GACCGATACTAACAAAAAGTTGCAGCTACAGAATGCGGCACTGGAGCAAGAGCTTGCACTTTTGCGCGGTCAAAAAACAGCCGTAGCTAGTGGATCATCAGCATCCAAATACGCCACTACTTCATCACCCGCAGCACCTAGTGATAAGCCTGCTTCCACCACACCCTCGAACCCCCAACAACAACAACGATCATCGCCACCTCCAACAACTACCACCACCACGGTATCCTACGCACAAATGGCAGCACGAAAGGTTGGCCCTAAAAAGCCTTCCACTCGCCAAGTGCGCGCTGCAGCTCGTCGCCTCGCCCCCACGTCTGAAAGTGGATTTAAATTTCTCTACCTTCACCAGAAGCACCGTATGACGATTAAACAGCTGCGTAATACCTTGCGCCAGCTGAAAATAGACAACTCGCGTGTGTTGGATATTCACTTTCCAGACCGTGGTGTAGCAGGTATCCTGATTCACAATGACTATGAGGCTGAATTTGTTGCTGCCCTCAGCCGTAGAGGAGTAGAACCATTTGACGACTTTGATCCCAAGAGCCCTTCTGTTGTGCGTGATCCTGCATTTGCAGAGAAAACGAATGAAGAGCGTACTAACCAAGCTGCCATCATTTTCCGTAACACATGTCTCCGTGCTATTAACTTTGTTAAAACCCGCCACATTAAAGTAGCCATCGCCCGTAGCTTCTGTCAACAGCAATGGATCACCGAAAAAGATGTTGAGGAGTGCTTAGCACCTCCAAAAACAGACGATGATGCCACCAACTCTCCCGCCACCAACAATGCAGCAGCATTGCTGCAACCACAATCTCCCTCCTCTCAACAAAAAGATGATGAGGATATGGATGATGCATCAACAACCTCCGAATCCAACACCACCACCCAATAATAATAATCATGAGTAATATTAACAATATAGACAATAATATTACGATTACATTATGGAATGCCAATGGGCTCGAAAAACAACTCATTAATACCGCCACCTCCTTACTCTCAACATCCACCCTCATCTTTTTAACCGAAACCTGGCTTTTGTCACCAAGCAGGTACCCAACAGACTGGACGCAGTATCATATATATGGTAAGAAAGTAGATAACTCCTATCGCGGGTCGATGGGCGTGTCTCTTTTAGTTCATCCCGATTGCCCGTACCCTATCACCGTCCTCCCCAACTCTTCCCCTTATATATTATCTTGTCAAGTCGCAAATACCCTCATCCACTGTCTCTACCTCCCTCCCGATGGCCATGGCACTTTAAGTGACTCTGCTGCCATCGATATCCTAAACGATCTCCCACTCACTACTAACACCTCACAAAACACCATCATTTGTGGTGATCTCAATGCTCGTCATGAGTTATTTGGTGATCACACATCTACTAACCGAGGATACGCTCTAAATAACTTTGTAATTGAACACGGCCTTGAATGCCTCAATAGCTCTTTATCTTATGGACAGTATACTTATATTTCACGAGATGCAGCTCAATCCCGCAGAAGTATCGTCGATCTTTTTTTAGCAGATAGCCCTTTGGATGATGCAACTATGTATGTAGACACCGACATTGACCTCAACTCTGATCACAAGCCTGTTACCCTATCTTTCCGTTTTCCATTCAACATTCCTATTATTCCGCCACCAAATAATCATCCAAGACAGCTATGGAAGCTCAGCCGTTTTGCTGATCCCAAATACCTAGAAAAGTATCTCTCCAAATGCAGTGCTAACCTTGAACATGTCCGACAGTCCATCTAGCTTGCTTTGGATAATGATACTATCCAACCGGATTTGGATCAACTAGTAGTAGATTTGACATCAGCAATCCACTCCTCACTAAATCAATCTGTAGAGGTGCAAACCAAAAGCAAAATAGGTAACAAGTAGTTTTGGAATGTTGAGTTAGAATCAGAATTTCAGAATCGAGAGCATTGTTATCACCAATGGACACGCAGCGACGGCCTTACATGAGCAGTATAGTATGAAAAACACCAAGCAGCTGTAGAAAAGTTCAAATCCCTCGTACAGCAATATAAGTATCAGATATGGAAGGATTTTTGCCACCGTCTTACAACAGATGATTTTTCTCGTACCACCGCAACAATCAAACGGATTCGCCACCACCGCACAAAAACCCCGCATTCATAGATCCAGCAGGACCCGAAGTGACTGCCAATAAAATGGCTCGTCATTTAGAGACAGTGTATACTGGACAATTCCTCCTAAACGTGCGTGCTGGATCACCACCTCGTCCCTCTGGTCCACATGACATAGATGATGATTATCCCTTTTCCATCGAGTCAGTAGAAAATGCACTAACCTCAGTAGCTAGACAAAAAGCCCCTGGCCTTGACCATTTATGTGCTGAAATGCTCTCACCCATTGTCTCTTTGCTTTCTCCGATCCTCACACAGCTTTATCAACTCTGCTGGCGCTGGTCTCATACACCGGTGGCATGGCGAGTTGCTCAGGTAATCCCGTTGCACAAGAAAGGTGATACTACTGACCCTGCGAACTATTGACCAATTAGCTTGACTTTGGTCTTACGAAAGGTCATGGAAATTTGTCTTACCCCCTCCCTCCACACAGCTTCCCCTCCCTTGGATCTGGCACAAGGTGGTCTCCGTCCCTAGCGCAGTGCCCTGGATCAAGCCCTCTGTTTGCATGAACTTGCTGTCCGCCATCGCCGTGCTACTGGCCAAGATCCGGCTATTGCCTTTTTGGATATCAAATCTGCCTATGACACAGTCGATTGTGCTATTGTTTGGCGCGCTCTCGAATGTGATGCTCCCCCTGCTCTCCTTGGATTGTTGCAAAGTCTATTTGATGACGTATACATTGAAGTCCTCATTGCTGGCTCTGTTTCTCGCCGTTTTTCTCCTCGAACTGGTGTCCTACAAGGCTCCATCCTCTCCCCCCACTTGTACTCTTTATATATTAACTCCCTACCAGCTATGCTGCGTGACCCTCTATACACATCCGATTCCGAACACGAAAGTGATACTGATTTCCTCCCCTCTCCCCCTCTCTCTTATAGTCAAGCCTCTCGTCCAATTGCGGGCCGCTGGATCAATGCACTTCTTTACGCCGACGACGTTGCCATCATTGCTACTCCCGATACCATGCCTCGACTTCTTGCACGCGCAGAACGACATTCCTTGCAACACGGATATCGATGGAACCCAGCCAAATGCATCATCATCAACTCGTCATCAACACCCGCCACTTATCACCTCTACAATCACCCGATCGTCAACGCCGCATCCTTTGTTTACCTAGGCATACCTTTTAATGTCCATGGTGCAATTGATGCTGGCATGCTAATCCAACGCAACACCAGCAGCACACTCACCGCCATGCGTGTCTTACACCAACTCGGTTGCAGTCCTGCAGGTTTTCCTCGCCACCTCGCCGTCCGCTTATACAAGACATTTATACGCCCCAAGTTCGAATATGGTCTTGCGATTACCCGTTTCGTGAAACGCGAAGTCGATCAGCTCAACCGTGCACAAGACACCTGCCCGCGCATGCTCTTTGGCGGCCACAGCAAAGCATCAACGATCGTCTTTCGCAATATGACCGATCTCCTAACCATGGGCGAACAGATCACTATACTCCTCAGCACCAAGTTTCTCTTGCGCTTGCAGGTCTTGCCTAATGACGCACTTTTGCCAATTATTGCACCTGCCACCACCAACAAACGCTTTTACCTGCTCCCCAAACTTAAACAAGATAAGCTTTTGCTCGCTCTCCCTGAGCTAAGAGAATCCTTACCTGCTGGTGCCTACAAGTCTGCCGTAAGGATTATGCGCTTGGAACACTTGGCTCGCCGCCGCAACGCCAACCATGGTGACATCTTGATCTCTGCTTGTCGTCTTGGTCTTGGTGTTGATTCCATCCTCTGGCTACTAACGACTGCACGTAAAAGGAGTCGACTCAGCGACAATCTATTGAATCGTCTCCCTCGCCACCAACCACGTGCTCATATACATGATGCCCCAACTCATTCTGCCATTATCTTCTGTTCCACGCCGGTCTTTGCCAAATTGATGTTGGATATTGACATTCTCTCTCATCCTAAAGAGGGTTCCGCCGCAGCAGCAGACGACCCTGAACGCCTCCCCCACCGTCACCACCACCCTATTCCGATTCCAACACTTTCACCGATTCCGCCGATCTCCCTCTGATTCCGTTACCACACCACAAACGTTACTGAAGTGCGTAATCCTTTGGTCTCTTTGGGAGATTAAAAGAAAACAAACAGAGAACAGAGCAGAAATACGCCCCTCCTTTATTAATTTTTTTCCTCTACGTCCGTGCACCTGAGGGTTTTAAACAGCTAGCTGTGACACCACCATTGTTCTATGTTTGGGCGAGCATATATCAAACTCTTGATGCGGCTCATCATTGCCCTTTAGTAAAGCACTTTCAACTATACTATCACGACATCTGAATGGTTTCATCTTATACTTCAAAAGCGCTGATATATTTAACTGTTGAAAATTGACAAATCACATTGTACTGCAAGTATCGTTCAATTCACTCTGTAAATTATATTTTTATAATTTTATCACAGATCGACTAGAAAAAATAGTTGGCAAAACCTAATTTCTGTTATAAGCTATTGAAGAAGAAGTCCTATAGTAGCAGTGGCACTACTTAGCTAATAATGTGTTGTTACCAGCTGAAAAAAACGCAATGTATAAATTGAAAAGCATTAATAAGCAAGAGGTAGAGGAGGTTCGTTGATTTGACTACTTCATAAACTGCACTGAACTATTAATTTTGAAGAAACTGTCAAAACAGTATCCTTCCAAACTCTTTTTGTAAGTGGAGATCACTAGCATGGGTATAAAGCGTACTAGCAGGCTGCTAAAACATGATTATTTAGAGGAAACGGTAGTAAGGAAAGGATTGGAAGGTTGTACGAATGTGTGTGTTGTCCTGCTCTCATGCGTCGATTATTATAGTTCCCGCAAAAACCGGTTCGGTTGTTCAAAGATTAGCAGACAGTCATTTACGCTTTTCGTTCTCCAAGGGAAAAAGCACGCGTTATTCACCTGATGGCACCATTGCGATACGCACTTCCTTGTATCCTAGCAGCTATAGCAGTTGTACAGGCTTCAGAATTACGAGGCGTTGCGCCTGAACGTATGAATTGAGTTTTGCATTTGGAAAGGTATCAATTTAAAAGAGCACACTGACGGTTTACTGTGTTTGCTTCTTCCTTAACAGAAAAACCTCTCTATACACCTCATTCGGACGGCCACTGGGAATGTCTCGACAGTTCGAAAAAGATTCCTTACACAGCAATCAATGACGATTATTGCGACTGTCCTGATGGTTCGGATGAGCCAGGTAAACACTATTTTGGCTGGAAGAGAGCTACAACGGTTTACAAAGGAGGCAGGGGACTGATATTCACACGTATACGCATGTACACACCTGTCTGTTTGACTCACTACTCTTTAGGCACCTCGGCTTGTCCAAACAGTTTGTTCTACTGCAACAATGAGGGTCATATTGCTGCTTATATCAAGTCGTATGCTGTCAACGATGGTGTATGCGGTACGTTTATAGCTCAATTGCCTATGTATATTTAATGTGTGGGAAAATGAGTGTTTGTTCTAAAAAATATATTATATAATTCTGATAGATGATGCTTGTTGTGATGGTTCGGACGAGACAAGTGGTTTAATTTCTTGTCCAAATCGATGCAAAGGTTTTGCTGCCGAATATGCTCGTGAACAGGCGGTACTACACAAGATTCATAGCGCAGGCATCGCTGCTAAACGCAAGTTGATTCAGCAAGGTCTTGAGACGGTCAGCGGCTGGCAAGAGGAAAAGTCAAAATTAGAAGATGCACTGGCCATCAAACGCGCCGAGCTTATCCGCCTCCAGCGTAAGCTATTTTCTTCAATTTATCAAATTTATTTTATTATTAGCTAAGCAAACAGCTTGCACAATTTCTCAGGTGAGGTCGAAGCAATTGAAGCCGATGTAAAGAGTCACTCGAGCAAAAAGAAACCATCGTCGAAAAAGATCAAATGCCCACCTTGTAACTCTCTCACTCTTCGCGACCATATTGAGACGCTTGAAGACGAGATCGATACATTGGTTACGATTTTGAAAGACATGAAGCGCGACCACAACCATAACTTCCATGACATGGCTGTCAAAGCTGCTATCGCTGGGTACAATGATTTCATTGAAGGTTATGACGAACTCAAGGCCGATATAGACAAGGATTTGGCCAAGTACAGCAACGATGAAGATAGCGGTTTTGATATAGAGCAATATGACGATAATGGCGAAGAAGGTGGTGATGTGGAGGAGGATACACCAGAGGAAACGGCCGAAAAAGCTGGTAAGTTTATACATTCTGAGCGAGCATCATCATCTTTCGATCAGCTACGATTCTAATGGTCATACCAATCTCTCTGTACATATTTACTTCCATTTTGCACTTTGCTCCTACCAAAACATCCTATGACCGCTCACCATCAAAAGGTAAAGTATCCTTTATTCAAACATGGCTTCAAAAGCTAGCTGCTGTAATCCCACCTGATTGGAGAGGCCTGGTTCCATTGGAAAAAGCCGAGAATAATGGCAGTGTTAAAAGCGGGGGCTCAGGTGGGACTTTTGGGATTTTTTATTCTAAATTTTTAAATGATGGCGTTAAACTTCTAATCAATTACGATACGATTATTCTTTGTCTTTCAATGTAGCTCTGGAAGCAGCCAAGAAAGCACACAGCGATGTCAATAGCGAGATTCAATCTACAGAAAAAAAACTCAATGCAATTAACGACGACCTCGGCAAAGATTATGGCAAACACTATGAATGGCTCAGGCTTAAGGATGTGTGCACGGAAAAGAACGAGGGCGAGTAAGTACAGTAATATATTCTCTCTACCTTCATGTTAAATATGGTTTAACAACTTGATACCTCACTATAGATATACCTACTCAGTCTGTATTTTTGGCGATGCCTACCAAAAGTCCAACAAAGATGGTGCTCGCGTGAAATTGGGGTAAGCAGAATTGATTGATTTACTGCAGAGAAACACCATCATTGCTAATATCTGTCAATATTCCATATTGTCAAATTCTAGTCGCTTTGAAAAGTTCCTCGATGATGACCACATGAAGCAAATCTATCCTCGGGGTACCAAGTGCTGGAATGGACCAGAACGAAGCGTTCACGCTGCATTCGAATGTGGTGGCGAAACCGAAATCCTTGAAGTGACCGAACCGGAGAAATGTGAATACCGATACAGAATGAAGACTCCCGCTGTATGCCCTATACCAGAAGAAGCAGCAAAAGATAAGCCTGTGGTGACACCCGTCAAAGGACCTACTAAGCCAACCACGCGTGTTCACGAAGAATTGTGAAAGGGGCTTTCATAAAGAGTAATAATAAATAAAACAAGAAAGAATGATATACATACAACTTCGTCTCTGTTTTATGTAATATTTTACTACTGGACAATGATGATGGTATTTGGTCATACTGTTGAAATAAGCAGCTTTACAATGGATGTATGTGATGACGGTACGGGTTATTTATAGGAGGAAAGGGCAATAATGTTAAAATGTGGTAGTTGTAGTTATTATTAATATTCTAACGCAAAATAATTTTATGTGCATTTAGTCAGACTGTAAGCTTTTCAGCAGATTCTCAGCCAACATATGATCATCATCCTCTCCTTGTTCTGGAGACTCAGTTTGCTCTTCCTCTTCAGATTGGTGATGTTGTCGCTGACGTCGCTTTCTTCTTGCTCGTGGTGCTGCTTCTGCATCTCCAGCACGCAGCTTGGCGAGTAAGTTGTCCATCATGCGTCGATCATCCTCGGTACCAGTAGTTGCTTCTAAACAATTCAAAAAGACGCATAAGTAAATATATATTACCCTCCCCAAAACACACACGCAAAAAAAACAGTTGACTCCCATTACCTTCGCTAAGATCAACGTTTTCGACACCGTTTTGATCATCCTTGGCAGCATTCTTTTCAGCTTCCTTTGCACGTTTGGCACGTAAGCGTTCTTTTCGCAGCTCTTCCTCTTTACGGCGACGCTCTTCACGTTCTATCTTTTGCGTATGCTTTTCTTCTGCCAGAGCTGCATCTTTCCAGTTGCTAGCAAATCTGGCAAACGTACCAAAGAAATCGTCAGGACGCATCACCTTGGGATTTTCACCATAATACACCATGACATCTTTCCATTTGGCATCCATATTGATATACACTGTTTGCAAATCTTCAAACTTGTTGGCAGCCTTATCCCGGTACTCGGTCATGACTTCTGCAAATCGATCGCCTTCTTCCAGCTCAACATCTTCAGGCTGCCATTGTGTGCCAAGTTCTAAATCGAGTTGCTTTAAGCCCTGACGTATATCGGTATATTGCTGTACCATATCATTGATACTAGCCATGACTATATTGAATAAAGGTATACCCTTGTGGTGAATAATCCAAAGATAAATATTATCTATTTATTATCTCTGACAAGAAGGCAAGATCACTTACTGCGCGCGACTTGGCCCACATCCTTCAGTTCATGTAGAAATTCGGTCAAGTGGGGAAACTGTCGTCTTGTGACACCTGTCAACACATGCAGTAATGTCAAAGAAGAAACGTTCGATGCCTTGGTATCCGCCAGCTGTGGAGTAAAAAAGTTAGTAAAGTTTTATTCTATTGTGATAAACAAATAAAACTCGTAATTACCTTATTGATACTAGAGATGCGCATGCCAAATGCGCCACCTTGTAAACTGGTTGCGTTCATGTAGTTACCAATAAGCAAAATCAACTAACAATCACCATCATGATATTTCAGTCAGCAAAAAATAAAAATGTTTCAAAGTGTGTATATGTAAGAACATACTCCTAGTAGTTCTTTGATCGATTCAGAAGATCGAAGCCTTTCCGATACTTCGAGTACAAGCGTCATATTCTAAGTGAACATTTCAAAAGAAAAACATTGAGAACTAGTAATCATACAGAAAAACTGGGTTAATCTGTTTGCTTACCTTTAATAACTGCTCGTACTTATCCCCGAACTGGATACGGAATAGCATGAATTTTAGACGTGCTTCATAGCGATAAATAGTCATCATCTATATATACACAAAAGGAAAAGACGATGTTTTAGCAGCGCGGTAAGAGATTCGAACTGCGATACAATATTAAGTCTTTACCTCAACCGTGAATTGTTCAGGATAATCAAGCTCTTCACGTTCTTCATCCGAAGCATCAAGGTACTTTTCCATCTTTTTGAGGTCGTCGTCCTTGCTAGGGGTATATTGGATTAAATTGCTCACAAATATTTCTGTACAAAGCTCATCATCCATAAACAGAATCTGCCTTCGCACTTCTTTATAAGTCATGTGTTTAATCTTGGAAAGAATTGCAAGATCTACATTAACAAGTTTATAAAGGTCGTTAGCATCATGTTTTATCTCTCTATCTTGAATATGCCAGTCGATAATCGAGGCAAAGAAGATAACAAGAGGGGGTCAACTTACTGATACTATGACTCTTTTCTTTTGTCAAGAACTTGATAGCATCCTTGCGTTCTTCAAGTTTGGCCTTCATGCGTTTCTCAAAGAACAAATTAATCTTGGCTGGGAAAAGGTCTTCGATCTTGGCAAAAACACCTGTTTCGCTGAGAACATCTTCCAGCTCGTCTTCGTTGACACCTTCAAGCACCCAAATCGTCTTGTCAACTCCACGATGGTCCAGTTTTTGCCACTGTAAATTCTTGAGCTTGACTTGAGGATAGTGTCTCAGTTCTTTACGGACAGGGCCAGCCAGAGGTGCAACAGGAGCGTTTGGTCCTCTTGCTCCTGGAAATACACGATAGACAAGTTGTTTTTGTGTGTCAGGGAAACATACGCTTTCGTTCTCTATTTCTATCCGAAATTACCTGGAGGTGGTGGAGGTGGCGGTGGTGCACCAGGTCCTCCTAAAGTAATAGGTGGAAGATTAGTATCTTGATTGCTATCCAACTTTATCAATATATTTACCTGGCGGCGGGGGAGGTGGAGGTGGAGGAACACCACCTGAATGTCATTTTATACTTAGTATCTAACACTGTATATATAAATAGCCGACACAAGGAAAGAAGTACAACTTACCTGGGGGAGGAGGTGGAGGAGGTGGAGGAGGAGCACCGCCTAATACAATACAGCACGGAATAGATTAATGCCAAGGGGGTAATATTATATGTATTTTTCTATCTTTTCTTTCTCTGGATTATTATAGTTACCTGGAGGTGGCGGTGGAGGAGGTGGAGGAGGAATACCTGCAGAACACTTGCAAAGTTATTATCCAGTTTAATAACAGCATCGCTATATACATACCAGCTGAACCAGGCGGAGGGGGCGGTGGAGGCGGGGGCGGAGGTGGAGGAGGTGCTCCTAACAATGACAAAAACTGTTAGCGACTAAGCCAAAAGTGAAAACGCATTTGTTACAGACTTACCAGTTGATCCTGGTGGCGGAGGTGGAGGCGGCGGGGGAGGCGGCGGGGGTGGTACATCTATTTCGTTTTGAGGATGTGAACAAGCATGTAAACGATTGTGTATCATGTTTATTCACTTACCAGAAGTTGATCCTGGGGGTGGAGGTGGAGGTGGTGGAGGTGGCGGAGGAGCGGCAGTATCTGCTTCGACATCGTCTACAGAGAATGTGCTTTAGTTTTGCAGGTTTGCACATTCGGATTTTTTTCGAGAACTTATATACCTGACGTTGTATCTTCTGTCGATAACGGTGTGCCATCTAAGAGAAAGTTTGTAAACATCTACAATAGTTGAAGCGTAAACATTGCTGAGCTGATCTCTATGCTTTTACCTTTCATATCATCCACTTTTTGTTCATCCTGTTGTTCGTCCGATCCTTGCTGTTGCGATGGAATTGGGGAATCGGGTGCTAATGGTCGATGGGATGTATGAGTAAATATATAAAGCCAGTGCTTTACTCCTCGATACTACGTTTCAAATACCTGTAGGTTCAGCGGGGTCTGTAAGCTCGATACCAGTAGGCTCACCACCAGCACCACTATCTGGCATCATCGTTCCAGGAATAATAAATCCTCCTGGCTCACCGGGTATCATACCACCTGGAGGCATGTTTTGATTCGCGGATGGTGGCTATAAGGTCATTGTGTTACTTATTTACTAACAGGTCATACACGATTGAAAAATCTACAAGAGACACATGTTTACATACCATCATAACACCATATCCAGGAGCAGGTCGAGATCCAGCAGTTGTCTTCCAATTTCCACCTAACACCAGGCCAGATGATTGAGGCTGACCTCCAGCAGCTGCCTCGGCATTGTCATCCTTTTGTTTCAGTTGCTCTTGCAACATCTCAATTGTGCTTCTAGACGTCTTGAGAAGGGCACGTAGCGCCACAACCTCCATTTTGTATGTGTTTGCCATCGATCCTATATTTTTCAACGCAAAAACAAAACAGAACATTGTGTGAGATCCCGTAGGGTTTCTACGTGGACTAGAGGATTAGTTAGAAAGAGAGCACTAACGACGAGACGATCTGCTTAAACCGACATCCGAAGAAGGTTTGGTTGATGCTGGCTGTCCCGCTTGATTTCGCCAATGCTCCAACTCTAACTTGAGCTCTTTGTTTTCTGCCGAGAGTCGAATCAGCTGTTCGCGGTTCTCTGTCGCTTCTTCCTCGAGTTGATGGAATCGATCCAATTCACTGAACTTTTCGATCAAATTGCCGACTGATACACCATATGTAGATGTAAAGTCAGAGGCAGTAACGCTCCCGCGTCTATCCATGACAACTTGGCTCACAAGCTCACTGATCATGCGATGGTAGTGTGTCCTGATTTTCCACAAGAATCAAAGTAGAGGGTTTCAGTCCAAGAATGTGTCGCGATCTAAAGTATTAAGAAAAGCAACAGATTTCGCTTACTTGTTTTCTGGATCGCCCTTAATCAACAGCATGCTCCGTAATGTCGATACCAGGTTATCCTGTGCGCGCGGTGCATCCGCAATGCTATCCAAAACCATATCGAACAATTCGTTGGGCTGAGACACATCTGAATATACCGACAGCTCGTCACCGAATGCATCTTCCAGGTCATTTTCAGCAGCAATTTTGTACGCATCAATTTGAATATTCAACAGCCGATAATCAAGTCGCTCCAGTTTAGGAAGCACACGCAGTAGACCAGCAGCATTGAATTGGTTGCGAAGATGTATACGTTCGTGTACATCGCTGGGTACTTTGGTTATGACATTAATCAGCATCATATTGGAAAGCTACACGGCAGTCATTATAATCGTTATTTCGAAAATGCTTATAGTGTCCCCCCCCATGATGAACTGGCGCTCGTCCTATACAAACTGCCTCCGAGCTTACCACATATTCCATCAAATGATTATCGGGAGCGCTATACAAGCCCATACGCTTCAAGTCATCGCTTGCTCCAACGAGTGAGCCCATGCGACCACGGCCATCCACTGTTTGGTCCAGCTGCTTGATCCATGCGTTGAAAGGTCCCATATCCTCATTATGCTTTTGCAGTGCTTCAAAGCCTTGCAAAACATGCTTGTGACCGATGGGTACTTCACAATGGCAAAAGAAAAACAGCATATCGCAAACGAGTTTGCGTGTTTGCCAATGGGGACAGACAGCAGAAAATACGAGCGACTCAATGTAGTTGGGATTGGCAATAGCTTCTCGGACACCCCACTATTACACGTATTTAAAAAGAGTAGATTCATTAATCACCTTAAAGCAAAGAGATTGTTTAATAAGCAGGGTCCGCATCTTATCAAGATACTTACTCTCGTGTTAATAAGGACTTTGACACACTTGACAATCTCAATTTCGAGCTCCAAAACTTTGTCCTTTCTACACCGTGATTTCAGTTTATTAGCTCTCTGCCTTCCCGTCTTTTTTTCAATGTCTGGTTTAGAGTCAGGACTGATTATCCTTTACCTTTCTGGTTTACGGTTTACGAAATTTAAGCCGTTACATAGTACATAAACGCCCTTCAAATCAATGAATTTGATGACCCAGCTATTTGCCATGGTGTTAAGTTTTTAGTGACATCATATGATAGTAATTGTAGTCGATATCCAGTTTGCACAATCGCCACCATCGGCACAACAACATACTCTAAAGGTCTTGTTCTCAAGTTCACCTCGAGATGTCCCACCAGCGTTGGTGTCACTGCCCGCAAATCGGCCTCCATGAATTTCCGAATGAAAAATTCAGGTGCATAACGATCCTGCTCGGGCGCTGTTGTCACATTGATTCCTGCAGGCGGAACCACACCGCCACCTGCAGCTCCACCAGTACCAGCGCCACCAGTAGTGGTCGACGCTGTGCCTGTGCTTGTTGACGGACTGATTGAGATAGATGGCGCGTGTCGATGTGGGGTTTGCTGCATACGTTGTGCGTGCTTGTCGAGTTTTCGAGCACCTGCATCCCATGTTGCTGTCCACATTTCACCTGCCTTTTCTGCCAAGATATTGATAAGAGGCGCTGGCGCGTCAGGATCATCAATATCCAACGCACCCTTTCGCCCCGAAGCAAGCTGTTCAGCTTGTCGATCCTGTACCAGCATCAACCATTTCTTTTCAACGTCCCACGCAAGCATGACAGCTTTATATTGTTCGTCACGGATACCTCGTCGTCCCTATCAGCCGCAAGAAAAATAAAACTGGTCAAGTAAACATATAACGTAGAAAGATACTTTTCTTATGCTGTGTCGGTCTCCTTTGTTTCAAAAAAAAAACACCAGGAAGCTGACACTCCCTTTTTCCTACCAGCATTTGTTCAAACATATCATTGACTTGCTCAGGTGGAGGCATAGCCTCACGTCCAAAGCCAGGAGGTACACCGTCTAATGACGATCGAACATCATGAGAAGCTCGCCTTGGCATATCGATAGATCCGCGAGCTTTGAGATGCTTTTCAATTCAGTAACCAGGTACCCGAACAATATTGTTTCAGAACTGAAAATGAATTGTTCCGTGTTTTTGTAAGTGAAAAAAATACCTGTCGACAAGTGGTCGTTACCACCTATACCTCGAGTCGTTGCTGCGATCGTATTGTTAATACCAGTACTGCCGGATGACGAAGCCGAGGATTGCGATCGTGTAGGTGAACCAGGTCGAGCAAGCGAGTCTTCAGGTGGCCGTGGTGGTGTAGGTGAAGGCGCTTTAGACCAACGCCTCCCGATTTTGTCGAAAAAATCAGACATGTCAATGTTCTTATGGAAAGGAAAAGTAAAAGTGCTACCACTAGTAGTAGAATAGCATATGAAAACGAGAGAGAGGAAGAGCGGGCGTGGGAGCAGCAGCAGTAAGGCATTGCATCTCAGACCCGAAAAGCCTATTATCCTCCATTTGGTTTGGTTTGCGACGCCACCACCACCAGCCTCACTTTAGATCAGGTCCAGCCTCTTCTCTTCTGATCTCTGGACTGCTGTGTCTGCTTTCAACTCAACCCACAGCTCATGGCACTATTGCAGTGTGCATTCTACCGGCGACAAGGGAGAAATAAAGTTTAATGCTGGCACGCGCTGCTCTCTCTGTGTCTCTCCGTCCACTCTGACTATAAATATACTGTTATTCACCCGGTGTCGTCTTATTGGGGCTGAGTCGCGTGGATGCGTGTGCACACAGTAGCTACAGATGAATGCACATAGTTGAAGTATCTTCTTTGCACGACAACAAACTGGGCTTATTTATATACTCGGCGGAAAAAGCCATTAAAAGCCGCGCATGCGGTGTGCGTTATATGTCTCGCCATATTAGGCTATTTTAAATTTGTTTTTTTTATCCATCTTGGATGTGCTGCGATTAACGAGAGAAAGAAGAGCCGGTGAAAACATTTACCACCATTAAGCTGTTGCTGTTAATAGGTCCCCGCACCACCTTTTTTTTTGGTTCTTGCCCGTGTTTGAATCAAAGTCAGCCATGCGTCGTTGACGTTTACGGTTCTGGATTAAAACATAAAGTGGCGCTCCAACAGTAATAAGCTAGCAGAGAAAAACGGTAGCATTTCTAGTTAGCTTGCAAATTTCTGCTGAATTAAGCAAGGGCCGGGACAATTAATGATCTTATATGATATTTCCTCAATACCTTTTACATGCTGCTATTATACTCACGCCACACTTACTACTGGCCATGATGATGATGACGACGGGTGCAAGGAGGCACAGACCCGGACATTCATTAATTCATTATTCTTCCGTGAAAATGCGAAAATCGATAAAAATAACATCTGGTGAATGAAATGGAAGGTTGCAAAACAGCGTGCTCTCGTTACAAATTAGATCGCGAGTCATGTTAGCTGTTCTCCTACTGCTGTTGGAGTAACCATAGTATCGCAAGTGAAAAGCAGCATGCTGTCTATCAGTAATCGCCCTTACCTCTCCCTTTTTCTATTCAATTTAATAGCCTTTTAATGTTACGATAACGAGCAGCAATGATCATTGGGAGAGAAGGAGACAAATGAACCTAAAAAGCTTAATGCGCCAATATAACATCTAAAATGCCCTTTTTCCATTTACTCTCACTGTGTGCGTATGTAGCACAAATACACATGTCGTACCATAAGGGCCTTTCTCTCCACTGTCCATGTTGCACAGCGTAGCACAGCAGAATATTGACCCTGCTATTGACGACAACAAAAGAGTCCCCTCTCTTTTCTTTCTCCCACTCTCTTTTTTTCCCTTCCCTCCAACCCTCTCCTTCCCTGATTCTTGTTAATTAGTGTCGATTTCTATCGACTTCTTTACTTGGCTTTCCCCTCCCACTCCCTTTCTATCTTTTACTCAATTTTTTTTGACTTGATCCCATGGCTGGCCATGCGGCCAAACGTGCTAGTCGTTTGATCCAGGAACGAACAAACGACTTTATAAAATCACAATCAGGTCCAAAATGGAAGCGTGAACTTGTCCCCGATCACAAGTGGGACTATATCGACGTGGAAGAATTCCGCAAGCACTCATGCTATGTAGGCTTAAGGTACCATCGCCACTCCTACTAGTACTACCGCTGCTGTTGCTACTATGATTACAATCGAAATTGTACCCTAACGCATATATACAATCAAACAGATACCTGTTACTATACTGCGCGATCATATTGTCCGCTCTCGCCTACTTTGCCGATTTATGGACTGCAGGTCTCTTACTCTCCGACGTACGTTTTTATATATTTCTATACCACCACAACAATCTACCACGCACCATCAGCAAACACCTTGATTGATGAAGCGCTCATACTCTATATAATAGACATGGTCGTTAGCAGAAGAGCCAAAGATCCCATTCTACATTAGTAAATGGATTTTCGTCGCATGTATCATTCTTTCTTTCCTGCTACTCGCTTGGGACGTGTACAAATGCCGGGCCGTACTAGCAACGCGCGATATCTCGCTTGGAGCAACCAACACCATGGCGTATCGTTATTATTCAGTTCGGAACTATGCAAAGTTCTGCTTGTTTCGCAAGATCAACGACTCCAGAAAGGCCAGCGACACATGTGCGTTTTTTGTTTTCTACACTCTGAAAGGTATAGCATCTCTTGGCTAGTCTCAAGCTTTTACTTTTTCTTACTAAACCAAAACAAAAAATATAATTAATCGCATAAAGGTTGGAAGAAGCTCTTGTTTGCTCAAGGTCCTCGTCAGATCATTGCCGGTGTGACACTTTATGCCATGTTGCGCTCAGCTTGGACAGCCCAAGGTGGTAAGTATTACAGACCGATCCACATTACAGGAATTCTTTTGTGCTTGCATAAATACCCTCTAGCTCTTATTGACACGAATACATGCGAATAGGTGGATTCCAAATCAGTTCCGACTGGGAAGTCTATGGTAAAAACTGGCAGCAGCGTGTCGCATTGATCTCCATGAGCTTCACATGTATTCTTTGGATCTTGTCCATGTTGGAATTACTTGCTGCCATTATTCTGTATATTCCCGTGTTCTGTCAGATCCAAGGCAATCTAAAGGAGTACTGCTGTCATAAAATAGATAAGCGGTAATTGTTCTTCAAATTAGACTTAGCACAAAAGAATATAAGAAAAAGATAATTGACGCTGACCGCTTTACATAGCATCGCTGAACTACTTGAAAAGCAACGACGAAAACGGATGCGAGACCAAGAAAGACGACTTGCCAAAAAGAATGGTGGCAGTAAAAATGGCAAGAACAACTACAACAACAGTGCAAAGAAAGGCGGTGACGAGTATCAAGACATTTACGACGAAAATCTACCTTTGCGATCCGCTGCCGCACCGCCTTCGTTAAGCGACCAGTACATAGATGCAAAGAGCGAGATGGCACCTGTATATCACAACGGTTATCCGGCATCACCGCGAAGGCCTGCTTATCAGCAGGATCCATATTCTCACTATCCCAACGACCATCAGTCGGGCTATTTTGAGATGCAATCCTACCGTTCTCCAGCTCCTCCATCAGCACCAACACCAGCTTTGACCCCTCAATGGAGCATTTCTACACCTTCCAGCTACCATACGACACCTCATACTCCCATGACCCCCGCACAGCATCATTACAGCCCCAATCAAGCAGCCGGTCCTGCTCCGCCACTGCCGAGAGCTCCGTATGGAGACGGTGGCTATCAGCGAAACAACAGCAATTCATATTTCTAGTGTATAGTTTTCTTTTTCTTCTTACCCTCTTCTATCCCCGTCACCTTTTACATTCGATAATCCCTGCCTTTTATATATACAAAAACTTACTACTACCCCGCACGAAAGTATAACAACTATTATCTAACAATCCAAACAGCAAAGAAGAAAGGACAATTCGCTCTTTCAAGTTTTATATATTGTCTAGTCCTGATTTCCAAGCTTCCTTGCACTTGTGCTAAGCTCGTCATCATCACTAATAATTCTACTGCTGCTACTCGTACTGTTGCTGTAGTCGAATACTTTGGCATCGAGTGGAGGAATAGGACGAGGGGTGACAGTGCTATTGGCTGGGCTATTGAAATGTTGCAACAGTTTTAAAATATCAGGAAACACAATATCTTCGATCTTTTCTGCCCATAAAAAGTCAAGATGCTCCCATCGTTTGATCGCCTTTACGTAGGCAAGTGGTGACGGCAGGTCAGCAGAGAGCACGTCAAACTGAACTAGAGAATCAGAGCCGCCATAGAATATGGCGATAGGAGTAGTAATCTGTTTGGTAGTGAATCGTGGAGGAAGATGGTCTGCAACAGCGTTGGAAGTGTGATAAGGAAGGCGGCTTGGTAGCTCATCATACATCTGGAATCGGCCTGTACGGATGATTTGGAACCAGTGCTACATACACGAGACAGTTAACACACACAAAACGCAGCCTTGCGGAAGTGCACAAAAATAGGAAAGAGAGAGAGAGAGAGAGAGGCATTTACCACGAGCGACTTGACACTTGTCAGACTATAAAGATGTTGATAGCTAACCAGCTTTTGATCGGCAGTCATGTTTCGTCCAGTCCATCCGAAAAGGAACCCGACGCTGGCGTCAATCACTTTAACAAACATGGGCGGAGATATAATGCGTTGCCAGAACAATGCAAGTTTTAGCGGCGTTTTCCTGCCAAACAAGAGGTAAATGACAGAAGGCGTTGCCTTGACGAATGCGTCAATCAGCGGGTGATGAAGCCCCTTGGGCGTAGTAGCAGGCGCCATGGCAATAAACAGGTTAATTTTGCGGTTCAGAGCCGGGTTGATGGAAAGACCCGCAAACGCTTGGGCAGTGCCTTGCGAGAATCCAATGTACGTCAAGTTGGGAGCACCTGTATGATCTAGGATATACTGTGGTAGTACATCATCGACATGTCATTATTAGCTCACGTGAGAGGAGGAAGCACCTACTGTACCACCAAAACAACAAGCAGCTGCCTTCCTCTTGGACGCACATTCTCGCTGATACTAAAGAGACCAAGACTTACATCCACTACGTTAGGAAGATCGTATATAGCGTATTCGTTTAGAGAAAACTCCCAAAACTCGTGGTACCGTGGATTACGCCACAGATGGTTCTGGCTGTACTTATTTCCACGTGCGTTTCCTAGCCATACGTCATAGCCCTTTTCTGCCAACAACAGTGGCAAGTTTCGGTGCTCGTCTACATTGCACACCCACACTTCGGACGACATCAGGAAGCCATGATAGAGCAAGACAACGGGCTTGTAGGTTGCATTGTCGGGTACGGGTGGGAATTGCTTGTCGAAATTATCGAGATTGTCTATCACATGAATTTTCGATGTCGTGTCCGACGATTGTTTTGACGGTTTCAACGTCCGTTGCTTTGTTGTTGTTTGCTGCTTTACTGCTGGTATCCGATGTACACATAAAAGATAATCGTCCTTTGTTCGAACCACGTGCTGTTCAAAGTCATATTTTTGCCTATACACAGCGTGAGCAATTCAAGACTGAAGTGTGTGTGTGTGTGTATACTGGAAAAAAAGGCTCGAGAAGCTTGACGTTGGGGGTTTAAGGGAAGCTTTTCCCGTCTCGGTCATACACTTACCAAATTCGCATCAAATGGTCGAAAGATTCAGCTTTCTCTAATGGACTGACATGAGGGTGGTCATCATTCTTGGAAAGCCATGGGAATACGCTTATTTGTATATAAAAGGTATAGTTTGAGGTGATTAGCAACAACAACCAAAAGCTTGAACATTGTATGTTCTGAAAAATGTTAAATGGGGAATCATTGGAACTAACGTTGCAATAAAGGCATCGATACCTTGAATTACAAAGCTGGGAAGAATAGTAACGATTACGCGCACAAGACTTTCAAAAGCAAAGAACAGGACAGTGAGGATAAGCCTAAATGAAGACAAAGAGAATTGTTCGTGTCAGAGTGCCTGCAGTAGTAGTAGTAGTAGTAGTAGTAGTAGTAGTAGTAGCATGCAGCGAAAAGACGGACCACGGTGGACATACCCTTGGTAGTCACGAAACGACAGTCGATCAAGGATAGGTATCGAAAGCATGTTACCAAATGTAGAGAAGGTTAAAAGGAAGAAAGACGAAAGAGAAGGAGGGAGGAGGTGTACTAACAAGTGATTATCGATCGGACAATAGAAAAAAGACGCTGTTGCATGGATTTTTTTGGTCGTCGGGTCGACGATCCAAGCGTTGGTGCGTCTCTCGGGGCGCTTGCATTAGCTGCTTTTGTATTTTTGTTCATTCGTGGTTATACCCTTCCTAGCACTCTAATTTTTCGCACATAACCTTCTCCTTCTTTTTTCTCTCTCTCCCTCCTCTTCCTACAGCCTTTTTCCCTCTCTCTGTCTCTCATGCATATATTTTGGATCCCTGACAAAAAACCCAGCAACACAAAAGTACCACCGCTGCCACCAGAGCTGATATCGACCATACTCGATCACACACCGCGATCTGATTTAACACAGCTCGCCCAAGTGTCCAAATCATGGTACGCCGAGGCCATGCCACGACTCTATCGCCATCTCTATGTTTCCACACCGCACCACTGGGATTGTCTCGTCCGTACCATGGCGAATCCCGACTTCACCATGGGCCAATACGTCCAATCGCTCGTTCTCCGGCCGTCACCGAAACTTGCTCCGTCTTCTCGATTCAGTAAGGTGTGGAAGCAGCACGGCGCACCACCCGGCTACGTTCGAGTAGAAGCTATTGATTTCAATCGTACTGGCTTGGAACATATCGACGACAATTACCCAGAACTCGACACGACTCAAAAAGAGGCAGAGTGGCTGGGCAGTAGCGTATCGCCTAAAGATATAGCCGTCGTTCTTGGCCGGTGCGCATCTTCGATTGCCTATATCGACGTGGGCGGTTGTGAACGACTCGGTGATCAAGTTTTAGAATATTGCAGCAAAAACGGACCACCATCATCATCATCATCTTCTTCTTCTATAACACAACTCAAGGGATTATGGGTACCCTTGGTGCGTGGTATCACGCCGGCGGGCCTATCTCACCTGGCCACCAAGGTCAATCCACATTTACGCCACGTGGATCTCTCGTTTTCTTTGAAAATCACGGACGATGCGCTGATTAATGCCGTGGAATGCTGGCCCAACCTTACACACCTACGCCTCAACTCGCTGTATCATATTACGGACGCCAGCATCGTTGCTATTGCACAATCCTGCCCAAACCTCCAGCTGTTATATCTCGTCCGATGTTGGCACGTTACCAACGACGCACTTGCGGTGATTGCACAAAAATGCCCTGAACTGGTCTATGTCTCGGTGGCCTTTCTCAATAGGACAACCGAGGAAGGCGTCGGACAGCTTATCAAGCAGCTCCCAAAGTTAAGATGGATCGACATTACCGGATGCGGGATCAACTCTTTGTTCAAGCCAATGTTTATTGGATCTTGGACAAAGGCTAGACAGGAACGCGGGTGGGATACAATCGAATTTAATGATTCAACAGTTGCTCTACTCTAAAGGATAATACTGCATTTTTTCCCTACTACATCTACAACAGCAAAATGTCTCTCTTGATTCTATTAACTACATACTGCATAAGATAGAAAGAGGCAACATGGTATTAGTGGGTGGGTTGTCGAAGGATAGATGCAAAAGAAACAACAGTTGTGTACAGTATATATAGATTATGTGTAGTGAAATGGATTGTATGTGTAGAAATAGAACTTGTATGTATAAAACTTGCGTTTGAGTACACCTCCTATTTTTTTACAATCCAACGCGCAACAAAACTTGCTTGTTCTTCTTTCCCTTCTTTTTCTTGGCCATCGTCTGCTCATCTGGAGCTTCGGCTGGAGATTCTGCTTCAGAGGGTCGTTCTCCTCCCCAAGCGTTCAACCGCGGATTGGAAGCGTTGCGACGCATGCTGACCAGGGGTTGTCGCTTGGATACGGTTGGCAAGGATGGGAAATGGTTTTTCGGGGTCGCTGCTGCTGCTGCTGCTTTGCTGGACGATCCCCCCAGAGATGGGAAGCTCTCACCCTTCTTGGCAGCAGCCGAGCTAGTCGAACGGCCGCCGGCCCATGCAGTGCGTGGGCCAGTGATGTTTGGTGTCGGGAATAAAGCCGGTGCGGGTGAGCTAGGTCGTGAGGTGTGTGGAGATGACCGTGGTGATACGCCACTTGATGCGCCACTTGCGGCTGATGCTACTCTGTCCCACACACCGGCCTTGGACTTGCCTGTCGAACGGGTACCACCAGCTCGGGTGTTGCGCGACTTGATAACGAGCACACGCGAGGACGTACCGTGACCAGCAGGTGCTGCTGCTATTGAAGGCGAATCCAAGACTGGAAAATTCTCCATCTAATAAATGCCATATACACATGAGCTATCATTCTACAGAAAGTGCCATTTTTAACAACAACTTACCGCTGTGTGTTTGTTGCGCCAGGCACGCACGACCTCCCATTTTTTCTCCTGGTTATCCATCAAATCCTCTACACCCTTGAAGATCTTGCCCGCATGTTCCGCGTTGGAATCGCACAAATCAACCACTGAGCTGACATAGGTATCCACATCTATATTTGAGTTTCGGTAAGCGGTGGTCAGTGCGCGGAATCGATCGAGTTTGTCATGGCTTTTGAACATATCAAAGACACGCTCCATAAATGCTGCATGACGAGAAACAATTTCGGGCGGTGCTGCTGCTGCTGCTGCCGCTGAAGAAGTCGAAGATGAAGAAGATTGTTGTTGTTGGGTGTTGTTGGAGGTAGAACTTTGACCTAAAGTAGGCCAGTTGTCAGACAGTGCGCCAAAACCTGCTGGCTTTTTAAATGTCGATTTTTGTTGTCGTTTGCTGCCACTACTATTGCTTGTAGTGTTACTACTTGATCGTGTTTGTTGTTGATGTTGTTGTGGCTGAGAACTTGTGTGAGGCTGACCGCTGATACCAGGGAAATCGGCGTCATTCAAAACATTGTCACGCGATGAAGGTTGGGCTCTTGTTGGTTGTGGTGTCTCTAAATCCTCATCTCCACGTGGTCTATTTCTTCTATTTCGTTCGTTGTGTTGATGGCCTCTTGAGCTTGAGCTTCCATAATCAAAACCGACATCCACCCGACGTGCTTCAACTTGCTTGGAGCGAGGAAGACGGTTCATGGATGCACCATGTTCCTCAACCTAATTTTTAACCCAATCCAAAAAAAAACGCACCCATCAGTTGCCGTTCCCATGGGAACCAAGCGCAATTTCTCCTTCTCCATAACCCTGTGTCGTACCTCGTGCGCCTTCAGATCAATATCCGTATCAAAAACTACAAACTTGCGATCCAAACATTCTCGATAGACACACAGAAAGTGTTCCTTCTTGAAATGTTTTTCCTAATAACCGAAGAATTTGGTTTAGTTATAGTCCACTACTACACCATAGAGCTCTCGTTAACCCTTACCAAGGCATCATAGTCATCATAGTATTCATGACGAATACCTTGACGAACACAGATATGGCACTGTTCGTGCTTATCGCGACAATGTTCATAGAGTTCGTCGTCACCGTAGAAGCTCACACGACAGAAATGACACTCGGGATGGCCCTTAAAACCTGTATCATCGTTGGGGTTAAAGGACTTGTCGCCGTACTTGCAATGCTTCTGATAATGTGTATAAGTATACAGGGTATGTTCATGAGCAAAGATCTTTTTGTGTCGAGTGCACAAGTCGCACAAGAATCGGTCATGGGCCTTCTTGACGTGCCGTTTCAACTCGCCCCATCCACCATCGCAGGCTACATCACAATCTGGATCAGGGCAGTTGTACTGCAACAGCAACTTTGTGTCCTGCTGAATCTGCTTGTCCTCGAAACGAAGGCCAAGTTTCTTGTCCACAAGAGGAGCATCCTTATCGCTGTAACTTTCAAATGGCTTTTCGGAATCTTTGGTAAGGATCACAGTCGTTTGTTCGGACTACAATGATATATCAATCAAATATATTTGTTTAAAGTTTAACAAGTCTATCAATATACACACACACATAAGAAAAGCACTATTATACAAACGCCCATACCTTACACAAAGCACAGTTTTTCGTCTTGTATAAAGCTCGTAATCGAAGTGCGCAAAGGTGGCAAGTACGGTGATCGCAGTTACCAACGGCATAGGTGACAATGGGTTCGGTACAAATGAAGCACAGATCGCCACTGGCTTCAGACGACGCGTCGTCACTATCATCGTCATTGTCACTAGCAACAGAATCCTTTTCCTTTTCCTTTAAAGAAGCAGAGGCTGGCTCTGATTCCTTTTTGCCCTTTGCTTTGTTCGCCGGCTTGCGGTTATGGTGCTGCTTTTTAGCAGGAGCCTTGCTGCCGCTTTGTGAAGGTTGACGATCCTGGCCATCGCCTAGCTGTTGCTGTTGTTGAGGTCGACGACGATGTTGTTTAGGACGATTGTTCTTTTGTTTACCGTCCTTTTGATCGTTATTGTTGTTGTCCTTCTTGTCAGCGTCCATTTTGAATGTATCAGACGGGGTGTGAGACAAAGAAGAATGTTCTATATATCTGAAGGGTTTTGAAAAAATATATACTTGATATCAAAATTGTTGTTGAGTTACTCCGCAAATAATGAAAGGGTTGGTCAGCAAAACCATGTTGGATTCCCTTTTGTATACGTACTGTGTAGAAGAAGTGGCGAGCGGATAACAAAAGGATGTATGAAAAATCTAGTGAAAGCAGGCAAACGTCCCTGCAACAGACTGGTATTTATAATCCTCAAAGATTTACCCGCTGTTGCTGCTGCGGTATCTTTAGCATGTTTGCGCAGCCCTTACGAATCTGTATTACTGCTTTTGTGCCTGGAGTTGCGTCTGTTTATGGAGCACAGCAGCACTACCAAGGCCTTTTTTTAGAGCTATCATAATTGTCTGAACATGCTACGAGGTACTCTTCTCAAACATTTCTTTAATAGTAGGTAGATCATCATCTTCATTATGTCCATAGATAGCTTATTACTCTATAAACACACAAGTAGCGAATATGTGCACTGATGCCAGCTACTAGGAACCGAGGTTTTATACGTAGCAAGCGGAACATGGTAAGGAGGAAGGAGTCCTGTTACAATTATTGTTGCTGTACATCATCCATCTAAGGCCCAGAGTAGGATAGCAGAGATTATAAATGTGTTATAGAAGGTTATCTCAATCATAAATAACATCTTTGTTTTTGTTTTGATCGACAAGATCAACTACTGCCGTTCCATCTGATAGTAGCAAGGTGATTGATTGTCTCATGAAAGTCTCTGACGCAAACAAGAAGGGTCGGTCCCGTTGATCGGAGTCGTCACGTAGTGCGAACTTTCATAAACTTTTTTTTTTGTGACGGTGCAACACGTTGGAGAGGGGGGGAAAAAGATTCGCGTCGTTTCAAGAAGCTTTTCTCACTTGACAAACTCGTTGACATTTTTTTTTCACCTCTTCTCGTCCATCTCTTCCTTGAGCGACCTGTCACATTCTCTCTCTCTCTCTCTCTCTCACTCTCACACACGTCCTTTTTCTACGCGTCTCTCTCCTCCACTAGTTCCGTGTTCCTCTTTGTAGCCTTATATACACACCACTCTTTTATTCCTCTCTCTCTTCCTTTTCAACATACACATAGTGTAATTTCGTAAAGTCACTATCGTCTACCACTGCTTTCTCAATTCCGACCTTACTACTAACATCTACTGAATTACTGTAAGTAAATTAAACTGGAGAGATTATTAAGAAAAACACGAAAACAATGGTTCTCAATTATAAATCAAACAGATCATGTCTCAACCTTCTAACGGAAGCATCGAACATATTGATGATCACACAATTGAAAACGTTGATAACGAAATTCAACAAGACGATGGCCAGCTCACTTTACGTGCTTTAGTATCGACCAAAGAAGCTGGCGTTATCATTGGCAAAGGTAAACACTAAACTCACCCAAAACCAAACGATTACAGGAACAGAGCATATGAGAGAGTGTATGGGTGTGAGGAAGAAAGAGAGAAAGGGATAGTGGTAGAAGAGGGATATATGAGGGATACATGAACTTGATGGCCTGGTTGATAATTTCTAACAATAACAAAAAATAGCTGGCAAAAATGTGGCGGAGCTGAGAGACTCCACCGGCGTCAAGGCTGGTGTTTCCAAAGTGATCCAAGGAGTCCATGACCGTGTCCTGACCGTCAGCGGCTCACTTGAAGGTGTTGCCAAGGTAAATTTGCGGACTGGTTAAAAAACGTGCTATTGCTATAATCGTAACTAAAACCCTCATTTGACAGGCCTATTCTTTAATCGCCCAAACACTTCTCGACAACCCCATTTCGCCCGCCACTCCCCCTACCTCTCCCATCTCCCCGTCGTCCAGCAACAATGGCAGCGGCGGCGTGATGGCCACAATCCGTCTTTTGATCTCGCACAACTTGATGGGCACCGTTATCGGCCGTCAGGGTGCAAAGATCAAGCATATTCAAGACACCTCTGGTGTGCGCATGATTGCCTCTAAAACGTTGCTTCCCCAGAGCACGGAACGTGTTGTTGAAGTCCGTGGTACTGTGGAGGGTGTCAACTTGGCTATCTTGGAGATTGGTCAGTGTCTCATTGATGACAAGGAGCGTGCCTATGGCACCATCTTGTACAACCCCACCAAGGTCGACACTGCTCAGCAACAGCAACAGCAGCAGCAACAACCTCAATCCCGTCGTACTTCCATCACACGCACCGGCAATGGTACCGACTTTTCCGATTACCAGCAGCCCCGTCGCACCTCCATCTCTTCGCAGCAACAAAACTTTTTGAACAACCCTAACGTCCGCACCCAACACATCTCCATCCCTAGCGACATGGTCGGCTGTATCATTGGTATGTGTATTCAATAACGCTGTAGTGGGTATGTAGGAGTGAGAGAAGGCAAGAAGGGAGGACTCACGCAGAAACGTATTGGAATTCTAGGCAAGGGTGGCGCAAAGATTTCGGAAATCCGCCGACTTTCTGGATCCCGGATCTCCATCGCTAAATTGCCGCATGACGAGAGTGGAGAAAGAATGTTCAGCATCACCGGTCCCAGTGAAGCAAACGAGCGTGCCCTGTACTTATTGTACGGTCAGCTTGAAAACGAAAAGGAGCGCCGTCTCAGAGGAGCCTTGCAAGAAGATGCCATCCTTGAAGAAGAGTAAATCAACAAAAGTATCGCACACACACACACCACACATAGCACATACTAGCTCTAACCCTACTGTACTTGTTCTTTTACACACACCTTTTAAAAAAAACACAAACCCTCTTCTTAACCTCTTTCTATCTACTTGTCGTGTTGTTGTATATCTTTGCCACCCTTTTTCTCTTCTATTATTCTCTCTATCTTGTCGTTTTCCCCCTCTTTTTTTCTGGATTTCATTTTCCACAACAACAAAAAAAAAGTTCTCCATTTCCAATGTTTCTAAAAGTATTACTATTACTTGATATGCTTGTTTTTATAAATGCTGTGAGTTGTTATTGTCTAATAGGAATGATGATGCTTTTTGTAAAGTTAATGCAAATGGTTTATATGTCGTCGCTATCACAAGATCCTCGTACTGGCAAGCATGAGATATATCGGCAGTATGGACAAAACTGTACGGATTCAGAGAAAGATTACCTGGGTTAGCATTTCTTCCAGAAGACATACACACAAAGTGGAATTACCTCGTCTGGTTCATCTGCTGCGTAGAATCGTCTTGACATGATGATAAATAAGCATAGTAAGGTTCCAAAGGCAATCGTGCGTGTAATCCATAGACAGAACATGCTCCGTCGACTTTTTCGTGGCAACGGTGGTACTACAACTATTCCCAACAATAATCCAGCGATAAAACCACCAATATCAGAGTAGTTATCGGCCCTATACAAAATATAATGCAAACAATTAGAGTTAATAAAACAATAGAGTGGTCCTAGCAGACAGTAATACTGCCGTTGCTATGTAGATGCTATGTTACCCTGGCAATAGTCCCAGCGTAAAGCATAAGGCTAATATAAAAGCCTTTAATTAGATTTCTGATAGAATAAGCAGGATAACGCATGTGAGAAGATGAAAGCTTATATTTTACCTGTCAAAACAATAACTTTGGCAAGATGTCGCACAGGTTGTATCAGCTGCTGCCACGATAATATGAGATCAACGAACAAACATGCTGCCATACCGAGAATGGCGCTACTGCATCCCGTTGACTCTATAAACAGTTTAGTATGAAGAGATAGGTTGTATTCTCTTGCAGGTACAACTATGCATGATGGTTCATCATAATAGTGATAAAGGTGAGGTTTTTTTTTTACTATTTAAACTTACGTGATGTTATAGGACCAAAGTTTGCACCAAACAAGTTCCCGAACACTCCAGAGACAAAGAAAACAAGAGTCAACTTTAAGCTGTTGATAAGACGTTCCAGACGTACACCGATCACTGCATGGCCAATCATATTGCACCCAAGTTGGATGAGACCAGAGTTGACAAAGAGCGGGGTAATGAAACGGAAACCCTGATCAGGTATCGTGTCGATCAAAAACCCACCCATGCCACATACATCTTGCAGCGAACAGGTTGAGCGTACAGTGACTCTGCGGTTCGATAATGCAAATGCTGGATTGATTAAACTCTTCAGATCTTCCTCGGGCTCGTTATCATCATCTTTGCTTCCGGCAAAGCCGTCCTGTGCTGCTCCGTAGGGTTTGCTAAAGCATACATAGCGTTCGTCTGGTGGCATGACTGTGGTGTTTTTCATACAAGGGATGTAGCGAGCACCAGACTGTATCATTGTTTGTGTCGAAGGTCCCAGCATTGGATTGAATGGATCAAACTCGAAAAACTCGCCAGACAGTTCACGATTCATGATGAATTCACCCGACATGATGGCTAGCGAGAAAAGAACAATGATGTATGTAAAGACGACAGGCCATTGGCGTTTTCGTGGAACGGGGGCAAGACGGGTGCTGAAAAATATCGTATACCAGTCTCCCGCATTTCTGTCATAGTCTTGTCCTGTTCCTCCTCTTCGCTGCTGTTTTTGTTGTTCTTCGTCGTCGTCGTCGTCATATCCATCTGATGTGGTGCTTATGACTTTGGTCGCACGATCCCAGTAAGCTGCATGTGGAGGTTCGCTTGCTGACGGGTGGCGCCATGAAAGACGAGAAGATGTATGGATGGCAGGGTTGGTTTGGCAGCACGATGACGATGGTGGAAAGTCCACAATAGAGCTGCTGTTAGGAACGCTGGTTTTGACGGGGTCAGAGGTTTTGCCATAGTATAGGAAAGAGGGTCGATGATGTGGATCCGGGTAGGTTTTTGTCTTTTCAGTGTCAGGGTTGCTGGTTTTGAGCATCACGAAAAGAAGGAAAAAGAAGAAAAAAGCAGGAAAACTTAAGGTGGGAGTAAGATGAAGGGGTGGTGGAAGGTGACGGGATTCTCATAATAAATCCCCCTTTTACACACAAGGAGTGCATAAAAGTCACTCGTAATATATACACATGTCGCGGCTAATAGAACTACTACATGGCACCAATCCGTAGCAGCAGCAGCAGCAGCAGCAGCAGTGAATTTTCAGTATCCAAGGATGTGTGCATGCTGCAGCTAGATAGGTCTTGGGATTATCATCATTGTCACCAGATACTTCGTACTAACGTATGTATAGTGACAAGAAAACGTACTATATTGCTGTATATATCTATAAGGATACGATGAAGGAATTAAGGGTAATGAACATAGAAAAAAAATAACGGAAACAAACAATAGGGGGTGGGGGAAAGGACACAAAGAATTTACAGCGATGATAATTCATAATAAGCTAGAAAAAGAAGGATTGTATATACACGAAGATAAAAGAGAGAGAGAATGTGAAGAAGGGACGGAAGGAGAGGGGATGATCTTTTTTTTTAAGGATAGAAAATTAAAAATAAAACTGCTTGACGTCGTTGACACCAAACGATTCGCCGCAAGAAGGACATCGTCGTTGTCTGGTTTCGATGCGAGCATCCAGACAGTTTTTACAGAACGTATGCATGCAACGCATAATTACGTGCGACTTTAGTGTTTGTCCACAGGAACCGCAATATAGCAGTTGCTATTACGAAAATAAGAGTTAGTCACTTATCATCACCCCATAAGCCAATTAGACTACCTGCTTTTCTCCACACCACCTCTCACCCATCATCTCCCACCAGAAAAATACTTACTCTATATTCCTCTTGTTGTTCACGAAGCTGGATTTCAGCTGGCCTCTCCACCCTGGTTGCTGCTTCAAGTTTCCGCCGCAATAACTCACTGTTCTCTTCTAATCGCAGACGCTCGTGTGCTCCTTGTTCTATCAGACGTATCTTTTCCTTGATCGACTTTTCAAACTGGGAAAAAAAAGCGTATTTATAGTGTTAGAACCACATTCGCCTAACCGAATGATTAGCAAAAACAACGTTGGGTTCATACCTCAACAGCCTTTTCCTTGGCAAGATTCGTCTTTTCTTTGAGGTCTTTTAATGTTTCATCAAGTTCGTCTCCTTTCGACTGATAAGTCTCCAATGCCGCGTTGCTTGCTGTCAATTCACGTTCCAAAGTGGTCTATTTTATACGCATTGCATACTTTAGTCACTCATCTTGTCCACCAGCTTTGTCACTTTTTACATAGTCTGGATATATAAGGTTGACTTACCAGCTGACTGTTCATATTCTTTTCACGCTCGTTTAACTCCTTAATATAAGCAAGTTCCTTGTCGATCTGTTTTTTAAGAGCAACGGCGACCATGCCATTTGAATCCTTGGCCTTGTTCAGATTCGTAAAAGCTTGATTATATCTAGAGCGCTGTTGATACGTGTTAGATATACTCATTTTAGAACCAATCCAGAAATCAATATTACTACATACCTCTGATCGCAGCCTTATGATCTCTTCCTCAACATCCACCAAGTCTTTAATTTTCGCCATATTCTGCTCGTCAAACATAGTGCTGCCTTTAAATGCATCTGCGACCACACTCGCTGACTCACTCTCACCCTATTAAATAAATCGGTTCATTTCGTCAGCATACACTCTGTACTAAGCATCTTTTGCCTAACTTTTGCTTTTCCGCCTTTACCCTTACCAGTTCCAATGATTTTAAAGTCTTTTGTGTTTCACTGATTTTGGCTTCTGTGGATTCGAGCGTCGACTCCAGTATCTTCAACACCGCGTTTTCGTCCGAATTCATAACATCAAAACCGTATTTCTTTTGAAACTCTTGTACTTTGTTCTCCACGTTTTGAATCTCTAGCATCTTCTCAATTTCCTTGTCCAAGTTTTGTTGTTGATCGGCGGCATCGTCTTGTCCTGCAAGCTGAGCCCGTAATTCGTCGATTGTGCTTTCTAAAGAACTGCGTTTTTTTTCCAAACAATAAAAAGGGTGTAAGTATGTCGATCAACTAAGTGTTAGTGGTCGCAAATCTGTTAATATCAGTGTTCCTGTTACCTTAATTCCCTTTGAGCCGGTTCGATGGTGATATCACCTTCGTTAATCGACATGGCCATCTCATAGAACGCACGGTTGCCGGTCAATGCTGCACATTTTTTACGCAATTGCAATAGTTGGTTCTCCATAATAGATCCCCGTTCCTAGAAGAACCATGTCAGCATAATCATAGTAACAAAATTATACACCCTTCTTTTTACATGCTATAAAACAAGGCTTTTTTCTTACCCGTCGTGTATCTGCAATCAGCTGTAACTCCGGTAACGACGCTCTTCCACCGCTTTCACGTGTCGACTTGTACTCATCCACCACAACCTGTAACGCATCACGTTGGCCACGCACATCATTCAATTCTCGGTCTAATTCACGCAGCTGCTTCTGCAGTTTTTTGATATGATGTAGCTGATCCGCATCATGTTCTTGAATAAACGGCCGTCGTTCAATTTGGAGACGATCGCGTTCTTGTCGCAGTTCTCGGCATATTTTCAACAAACGATCGCTTTTTTGACGAAAATACGCAACGGATTCTTGCGATTGGTAGATGTGTGGCAACTTTCCGATGCGTGCTTCTGGTAAGATGATCAGATCAATCTCGGCTTGCGCAATCCTTTGCTTCAAAGTTATCCGTTCTTCTTTGATAGCTTCGATTTCTTGCAGTTGCCGATCCAGCATACGCTGGATTTGAGTGAGCGAGTTTTCTTGTTGCTGCTCTGCAGCAAAGTTCTAATAAAGAATGGCCCTGAATGAGTTTGATAGTGCCCAAATTATAGACGCTCCCTTCCCTTTTTTTATTTTCATGCAAAATTTACCTCGTCAGTTGTTGCTCTTCCGGAGGATCCGCTAGATGATTGCTGTTGCTGATTGCTACTACCACCTATATCCAGGCATTGTTCTTGCCAATTACCGCCTGATTCGGCGTTCTTTGGCGCCAGCCGATTTTCGGCATTCACTAGCTCAAGACGTGTATCGCGCACAATAGCATCAACCACTTCCAATTTCCGCGTTAAAAGCTGTAACTCTTCGGTCAAAACAAGATACTAACCTCATATAACTTTTGTTAATTTCCTTGTTGTTACATAATATTCTTTTATGGGCAAGTGACCAATCCACATTTTTTCTTAAAAAAAAAGAAAGCCAAGTGTACCTTCATGGTGTGTAACTCGAGGTTATCCTTAGCTTTATTAATTGATTTTTCACCAGATTGCCAACGAGAAAGCGCGTCTTGATATTCGTCTTGCAGCGAGGAGTCTACAGGGTGATTTATGATTCCATGTCAGCAAGAACAAAGAAAAAACCATATTAGACTTTTCCAGTAAGTTCCTAACATGATTCTTTGTCATAATATACCTAACAATGGCTTGATTTTTTCAGCAAGTCTTTCTCGTTTATATTTGAATGATTGTGCAGACCGCGTTACTTCACACGCTGTCACCTTGGAAGCTGCTTTCATTGCAGTAGCCATAGCAGGAGCATCGTCAGCAATCGAATCTAATATGCTTTGATACCGGCTATTTTCATCTAGAGTTATTGTACATAGAGGGAAAATAAGCTTTTATTCTTCGTTTCTTGGTCACACGCCTAAATTATTTCTCTCTCTATCCTCCTTTTACTTACCACGCTGGTGCATCGCTGCTTTTAATGATTCGGCATGTTCTTCTGAAACAAGATCACTAAGTGCTTTTCGTAGCTATGACAATTTGGACCGTTTAGAACCTCTCATAGTTTTCTTTATCTTCAGCTTTACGTAGTTTATTGAAATATTCCGTTACCTGCTGAAAATGAGAATCCCACACACTCAAAGAAGCTTCGTCTGCTTGTTGTCGCTTTTCTGCAGATATTTTGCGCTTTTTATATCTTTTTCCAAAGCGCTACGAATAGTAAGAATAACAAGTTCGCTTTTTGCTCTTTCACAGTGTATAAGAAAATTACGATGGTTAATGAACAAGCATACCATATATTCTTTCCACTGCCTAAAGATCGCGTCCCGCCGAAATTCCTCAAACGGTTCCTATATTTTTTGATTCAATAATTTCAAGGTTAATTATAAGTAGCTTTTGTTATATATACACAGTAATTGTTATTGTACGTCGATGAACGAACATGTAGGGTATAGAAAAAGAATTATTTTCTTTATTGCTGTTACGTTAACAACAACAATGCAGGCTGATAGAGATAATAGTAGTAAGAGAAAAGCAATAAAACTCACCATGAGAGGATCGGCAGCATCTTCTTCAGAGGAAGCAAGGTCTTCGTCAATGGATCGCGCTGGAGACGACGACGAAGATGACGCTATGAACCGCTTTTTGGGGGGACGAGGGGCAGAGCTTGGTTCCTCAGACTCTCTAGTTGCCATCTCACACAAGATTACAACGTTGCAAAATTTATAGTAGACAAAGACGCTCGGATATGTGCCAAAAGTTTCAAACGTTGGAAGGTGGAAAAAGGGGGGGGGTGTGGGAGGGTTTGGTGATGGAGGTGGTAAGCCGGTTTAAAGTTGTAAAGTCGAAAAATGAGCCAAAGTGTTGTTCACCGGCAGCGGGCTCAAACTCAACGTCACATTAGTCACGTGCTTAAATAAGTGTGTGTGTGGGTGCTGTTCGGCTGGTGCTGGTTGTAGGTGTGTGAGAAGACCAACAGTAATAGGCTAGGTTTTTGAGTCGTTAAAATAGCTCTTTCTTTCTCCTCTTTTAAGCTCTCGCTTCTTTTTTAGCCGAGACAAATGAGTTGTCATGAGTGTCGTCTTTGGTTTTCATTGAGTTTGCATATAGATGAGAAGACTGTGATAAAATAGCTGATGCTTGGTCGAAGTTGTTCTTTTATAATTGTGGTATGATGGAGACGACCAGGAAAAAAAAACCGGCTCAAAAAAATAGAATTTTTTATACTCTTATTCAAGGTTCACTGGCCCCTCTCCAACTCTCCCGCGTTGAGTGGGGTCACACACACAAACAGCTCACACATCCAGATTCACACACACGCAGCGACAATAAAGCTGTGCTGTAAAGAAGCTCTTTTTTGCAGGTATCTTTTATGTTTGTTGAGTGCAGGCAATTAAATTACAATAAAACGAAGGAAAAATCAAAAGAAAGAGTTCTAGTCGCTATCTTCAAGCTCGTCCTTGGCATCTTCAGGTAAGATTGTAGGTCCTGCCTTTGCAACCCTCATGTCTTCATCGATGTCGTCTTCACTACTGCTCCCCAAACTCTCACTCCCTACATCATCGCCTTCCTCCTCCTCTACGTCGTCCTCGGTTGCAGCGAACTCTTCTTCTACTTCTTCGTCACTTTCATTGTCGGTCTTGGTGATATCTTGCTCACCATCCCTATCGTCATCGTCCTCCTCAGTGACTAGGTCTCGATCGCTGGCGTTGCTCGTCAGCCGTGACCCGTCTATCTCGTCTTCGCCGGTTTCTTCTGCAATATCTTCGCTTGCGTTGCCATTGTGTTCGTCATCATCTTCGTCCATCATCTCTTCGTCCTCGTCCTCAACACCTACACCATCTTGTGAGCTCCCAGCATCGGAATCGTATTCAAGTGGATCATCGTCACCATCGCTCGGTTGAAAGTCGGTATCGTCTTCCTCGTCGTCGTCTTCCTGGTTATGGTCGTCTCCAGGTGCGGCCGCCGTTCCATCATCATGGCAGTCAGCAGCAGCAGCCATTCGTGCTTTTGTTTCTGGTGCCATGTTTTCTTCGCTCATGCTCTTGTCGTTGATTCCGACCTTTTTTATATATGCATCGATACCGCCATATTCCGACTGTTCTATCATTGAGAATTCTACCGTCGCCTCTTCGTCATCCTTGATGTTGAAGCCTGTTATTGTCGAACCAAGTGGCCGTCGTGACTTGCGCAAAACTAATGACAGATCGAACGTATGCTGTGTGATGCCGCTATAAAATGTGGAGGCGAGACACGATAAGGGAAAGAAAACGATTGGTTTCTTGAAGCCGAACAGGATTCCTTCTGGTAAGAAGTAAAGGCATCCCTCTTTATTCTTCAAATGCACGTTCGCATAGAATCGATCTTCATCGAGCCGTTTACCGGTGGTAGCCGATACAACAGTTGATAGATACACCTGTTTAGACGGACTCATCGTCCGTAATCCACATTCTTGAAGCAATTGCATGATGGCTGTGTGCTTGTTGTCTTCTGATACGGGCTGCTGCTGTTTCTGATCCGGTCGTTGAATAAGCATGTCACCCTTTTGCTGGACTGCAAAAACAATTGGATCCGTGTCTGGCTGGTTGAAAAAAAGGGCAAAGGTATGACCCTTGGCAGGCGCCGGACTAGGCACGCAATAACATGACTGAATATTGCTTATGGCAAACTTGAACTCGCTTTCATTGTTCTTTGGGTTTATAAGCACCAATTGTGTTGATGTAAGCAAAAGATTGAACTTTCTCCGTCCTGGCGATTGAAATGAAATGTCTGAAACGGTGGCTATAATGTCGTCTTGTAAAGAATCGATCTTGGGTTTTTTGCGTTCGCGTTCTTCCTCTTCTGTTGTTGATCGATCAGCGGCGGACGCGAGTTTGTTGTTATAATAGGTTATCAGGTTTTGGACGACCTGTAAACTGTCGGGATAGGCTGCTATTAACTTTTCGACAGATTCGCGTAGTTTGGCATTGTCAACACTGCTAAGCCAAGAAGTCATTATGTACAGTTGCGAAGAGGAGGAGAGGGGTTGTGTGGGAAGGGAGCTGTGTGTTTTTCTGATAAAGGGATGCGCGATTTCAATGTTGGGTTGAGTAAAAAAATGCTCTCGATGTCGGGTTTTATCCATAAAAAAATGTATTAGAATTTAGGCATATACACGTATGCATCCAAGAACACGATATTTCTTTTAAGCAGTCTGTCATGTTCTCTCTGATAGAAAAAACTTCCATTGTAAGCTGTTGACATTAGAACAGGAATCCAACAGTGCATGTAGATACAGAGCGTAGCTTAAGGTATCTTGGGGACATTGGTAATTCTTCTATGGTCAAATATCTAACAGCTCTTTGTTGTTTAGGAACGCGTTTCCAAGAGTTCAGGGAAAACCTAAGTGTAGCCTTGGCAACAGCATTCTATTCTTTGTTTTACGTTGTCAAACTCTTCCCGCCACTTCTTCTGTATACTCTTTTGCAGAATGCCGCGCAGCGTTGATAATGCCTCGTTTTACGTACACGGCATCCGTAGAAACTCCAAAAGTTCTACAGCGCTAGACGAGAGTTAGCTTGATTGTTACGTAAAGATCTTTCAGAGTCTCCAAGGATCTGTGTCAGCCTTTCCTTTAAAGATTTCTAAACATTCCCTTCGTTTATCACCGCTGCTATACTGTTCCATCAGTGTATTAGGTTCTGTCTCCAAGCTTTGCGTCACTTGTTAATATTGCTAGTATATCAGTTGATCGCTCATACTTTGCCAAACTCGTTTTGTTATAATTAATTTTGTTAGGGATAATTTTATTTACTATTGGCCTTCTTCGGTATGTTTCAAATGATGATTTGATCCTGACAAAGATGTATAAGTAGAGTTAAAACCTGCACCAAGTAGATATTTTGTATACTACACATCAACAAGCGTCAGTAGAAGTGTTTCAAATCACATCGACAGCGTGACAACAAGGGATTACAGAATAAAAGATGCATTAAATTGCTCCAAGAGTCATAGTATAGATGGAGGCGCATAAGTTCTCATAAGCCAGCATTAATGTATTATTATCATTGTCACTCCATTATTGACTCTTAAGAGTGTAAAAGGTGTACAGAGAAGGATTGGTTGCATGACCATTTATTTTTGACAATTCACAATCAAGGCGAGGTGACACAGCTGGACTACATGGTTGGTTAAGCAATAGTTTTTTTCCTTTTCCTAAGTTGTATCATTTCTTGTTGTTGTATGCCCCATCAGCGTCTCTTCTATCTAACAAATTACATAGATAATGCTACCAGAAAGAATCACGGAGAAAAGGTGTTTCCTAATAATCACATCATCAATAAGTATGATACCAACTTGAAGCCACTAAGAGCATATGATAGTCTTTAGGCTTACATCAGAGAAAATCCAGTGAAGTTCATGTCGAGTCAGCTATTATCGTTACTATGCACAGCGATTGATGGTAGGCACACCCCGCTTGTGCTGCTACAGGTACCTGCAGAAACGATCAGCCAATAATATTTTAGGTGACGTAGCCTCTCTCCGTCTTTCTGTCATGAACATATATTAGTGTCCGCGGTACGCGTACGCAGGACACACTTTTTTCCATCGATCCGAACCTTACATCCTTTTCTTTCTTTCTATCATTTTTACAAATCAACGAAACAATGCCTCCAAAACAAGACTGGGAAAAATGTAAAATGTCTACAATCTGGGTAAATTGCCAATGGAAACATCACTGACTATTTTTTGTTCAGACGATAAACCTCTTGAAGATGAGAACAAGGACGAGAAAATAGTCGGTAAGAGCAATTTTTGGCTTCGACCATGGACGACGATAGTGAAAGCAACAACAACAGCAGCAACTTTCGGTACACATACGCTTATATTAATCCACTTGTCAATTGCCTCTTTATGTATATCAAATAGCTCTTGACGAAGGCGATATTAAGCTTCTCAAAACATACGTATGTGGTCTTGTCAGGAATTGAGAGAAAAAGAGCGATCGGGTATTTAGGTGTAAGAATGCCGTAATCAACAACTGTACTGTCTACAAATATTTATAGGGCCAAGGTCCATATGCAAAAGAATTGAAAGAACTCGATCAAGACATCAAAGATATACAGAAGCGTGTAAACGAAAAAATTGGTAAGCGGTTGCGAGAACCATATACGTGTCAAATGGATTTGTTTTATATAAAAAAGACAAGTACGGTTGCTAATAGCAGGTCTAACTTTATAATTACAGGTGTCAAGGAGTCAGATACTGGACTTGCAGCTCCAAATCTTTGGGATATTCCTGCCGACAAGCAGCGAATGCAAGAAGAGCAGCCATTGCAGGTAATAGAATGGAGAAAACCGGGGTGGGATGAAATATATCCAGGGACATATGCAAGTGACCGATGAAGGGAATACGATCTGATACGGGTTCAATGTATTTTAGGTCGCTCGCTGCACTAAAATCATCCAAGGTGGCGATAACGAAGACGCCAAATACATCATCAACGTCAAACAAATTGCCAAGTTCGTTGTGGAATTGGTTCGACACGTATCTCCCACCGATATCGAAGAAGGCATGCGTGTTGGGTGAGTCGTCAATTTTTGTTTCATCGACAGCGACTTTGCCCGTGTTGTACATCTTACTTACACCGTGTGTATATATCCATGCTTACTTATACTATCAACTTACGGATGAATAGTGTGGATCGTACAAAATACCAGATCCAGGTACCATTACCTCCTAAGATTGATCCTTCAGTAACAATGATGCAAGTCGAAGAAAAGCCAGATGTGACATATAGCGACGTGGGTGGGTGCAAAGAGCAAATCGAGCGATTGCGTGAAGTTGTTGAACTGCCACTGCTGCAACCCGAACGATTCGTGAACCTTGGTATCGATCCACCAAAGGGTGTTTTGCTGTATGGTCCACCTGGTACTGGTAAAACCTTGTGCGCTCGAGCCGTCGCCAACCGAACAGATGCAACATTCATCCGTGTCATTGGTTCAGAACTTGTCCAGAAATACGTCGGTGAAGGTGCCCGCATGGTCCGTGAATTGTTTGAAATGGCCAGAACCAAGAAAGCATGTATCATTTTCTTTGATGAAGTCGATGCCATTGGTGGTGCTCGTTTCGACGATGGTGCCGGTGGTGACAATGAAGTGCAGCGTACCATGTTGGAATTGATTAATCAGTTGGACGGTTTCGACCCACGAGGAAACATCAAGGTGCTGATGGCAACCAACAGACCTGATACCCTTGATCCTGCCTTGTTGCGACCGGGTCGTTTGGATAGACGAGTAGAATTCGGTTTACCAGATTTGGAGGTAAAAATTGCTTTTCGTGTGACGCGTAGTGTGTATGTGTGTAGGGATGGGTGATATGAAATTAAACGCTTTTTATGATATTTTAGGGCCGTGCACATATTTTAAAGATTCACGCAAAAAGCATGAGTGTCGAGCGTGACATTCGTTACGAACTTATTGCACGATTGTGTCCGAACGCAACGGGTGCTGAATTGCGAAGTGTCTGTACAGAAGCCGGTATGTTTGCCATCCGTGCAAGAAGAAAGGTGGCCACCGAAAAGGACTTTTTGGAAGCGGTCAACAAGGTTATCAAGGGTTATCAAAAGTTCTCCAGTACTCCCAAGGTAAACTTTATAACCATGTGCATATTGTGTGTGTCTTTATATGTATATTCAAAAATAGATTATCTAACATTCTATTCTTCTTTTTTATTATATAGTATCTTATGTGGAATTAGATCCAGTATTATCATCATCATCAATAAACAAAGCTCGCGTCCCAATGAAACTTTCTGCTTTCGTCAAAACATGTTGTTGGGGACTGGATGGAGAAATGAGAAGGATCATCACTATGAGGGAACTGATATGATATCACTCTAATAAGTAATGAACGATCGAGTCTGTGTCAGGCCTTAAACCTACTGTCTTGTTTAACATCATCTACATTATAAGGTTAATTGCTCTATTGGTAAAACAAAGAATAGACGAAAAAGAAGAGAGTAAAGTGGCATGTAAATCAGCTGTTGTAGGAGCAGTTTTCATCGTGACGCGGATAGATGCTACTGTTTAACTAAGGGATCGTGAAGTATTTAATACTGCATAAAGTCCGGCAAGTACTGCAAAAGATTACTGCAATTGCAGTACTGCAAATTTACTGAGGCCCGCGCAAACATATATATAATTGCACTGTGGTAAAAAACACATTATTACAGTGCCTGAAACATCATCAGCATTTAACAGCATACACAGCAATTACCACGGCAGCCAGCTAAGCACTGTAGCATAGAGACAATCCAAGCGAATTGTAAACATTATACTCGGATGATCCAGCTTATGTAAGGCTATAACCTGATATGGACTGACGCGATATGATGCATAGACGTAAGTCATTTGTGATCTCTTAAATCTCTTAAACGATTACTTACCAAGAAAAGGGCGGCTGATGATGCACTCAGAATGGATGTCTTGTCACCACAAGTTATATTCGCGAATTAAAATCCAAAAAAAAAGGAAAAGTATCTGGAAAGGAGGGGATTGAGGTATGATAGCGGATAGCGTTATGCAAGTTGTTTAATATCTTATCACCAGGATGACTGAGCGTGTATTGGGTTGGGTTGGAGTAAATATGCGCTGAACGCCGCACCCAGCGTCTTCATGGGATCCAGTGAAACATTGTAGAAAGTCTCGGCCATTGTTGTATCAACTGTGGTGGCGTGTGTAACAAAAATAAAAAACGCTCTCTTATACGAGCATATGCACACGGCAATCAGCGATTGCCGATCCTCCAAGCCCGCAATGATGGATGGGGCAGCTTAAAATAGATTGTCAAGAGCAGATTATAGAGCAGCATAGTATTATGCGCGTCATCCTAGAGCTACTATTATCCATACAGGCTGCTTCTTCAGGTTGATACTGTTGTTTGGTTTGCTCGTTTTATCCACCACCTGCCTGAGCAGCAGCGATACAAAATCAATCAGACGTGTGTGACTTCATCGGCGTATGTGTGGGTGATGTACGATATATGTGGAAAAAAAAAACAAAATACAAAAAAAAGCAGGATGGTCGGCTCGTACGAGAGTCAAGCATGCATAATCTAAGCCTTGCTTCTGAGCACATGAGTTCGTCTCACGTGTACTCTCATGTTCTATGTGAAAGTTGTGCCAACAATGTTTTTGGTTAATCAAGGGGTTGAAAGGGGCGTGGCAAGCGAAACATACCATTAAACCGGTTCTCTCAGCTTAGAACAGCTTGCCTTAAGCACCGTTGTTGCTGGTGTGCATAGCCTCCCAGCAAATACTTCCTTTCGATTATTTTCGCGAGCAGAACTACGCGACCACAGAAATGTAAAAAAAAAGAAAGGTGAAAAGCGCGTACCAAAGTGTGATAAAGCGCGTTGTGATCGTGTTACTGTCGGCTACAATACAGAAGATCTGTCATTGTTCCCCGCATTGTTAGCCTGGACCTGTGGAGGTATTTTTACTTATTTAGCAGAGAAAAAAGGGAAGCGGGATGCATATAAAGGCAGTCATTTTCCGCAGCGTGTTGCTTCCTCGCTTTTTCTCTTTTTCACGATCAGGTACTTTCTTTTTTTGTGGACCTAACGCGGGTTTTTGTAGGTCGTGGGTGGGTGATGATGCTTGTTCTGTAGGCACGGGTCGACTAAGGTAGGTGGCGCAGGTAAGTGATTGCAGGTAAGTGATTGCGGGCAAGTGGTCGCGATTGGTGAGACGGGACTGGGCATCTCAATACCAATCGACCTTCGATGATTTACAAAGCAACCAAGACAAGACCCTAGCTTTGAGGTAGAGGGTTACGGGAGCAGATGTCGATGTACCATCCTGTGGTTGCTCCTGTCAGTACCTGCCTAAGAACAGGGAAGCTAAGAAGACATCGACACCCTTTAATTGATTAGTAGTATAAAGTATCAAATAAAAATGTTTTTTTTCTCTTCCCGTTCGTTGAACTTGTTTGTGCGTGTTTTATATTGTTGTTATACTTCTTCATATACGAGCGAGAGTCGTCATTCTCGCTCCTGATTGCACAGTGGAGACTTTTGCAACGAGCAATATAGTTGCCACGAGATCGTCGACAAAGTGATATTGATAACAGTGTTGAGGTTCGGGAACAGTGGAGTCGACATTTAGAACGCTCTATGGGAGCGATGGCAAACACTCTATGGGAGAAATGGCAAACGCTCTATGGGAGAATTGGCAAACACTCTATGGGAGAGATGGCAAACACTCTCTGGCAGAGATGGCGAACGCTCTATGCGAGACAGCCAGCACTAACCCAGCTTTAATTGTAAAAGGCTATTAACAAATAGAAGGGCTTCAAAGACACTCTCATTCTACCGTTACCGAGCTTCACCACTTGTCCTTGGTATACACTTTTGCTTTGCATCACGCGTACTTCACGGTCGTCAACTTCTGCGCCATTATTTCTAGGTGTATATGGCTTCTATTTATGTGAGCTTCTTGTTACAATATCAGTAATTTTTATTTTCTACAATGTCAACCATTCCCGGCACCTGCCATTTACTTTTTCTCTGGGATCTTGTTGCTGATACACTGTAAACCGTGTCTGTGCGCCTTGTGGCCCGACAGGCGGCGACACTGTCGGGGCACGCCCTGCATGATACCGGTGAAACATATTTCGTAGGACTATCAAAACACGCAGACCACATACGCCTTCTTCTTGACAGCTTGATCGTGTCTCTTCAACACCTCTACTTCACATAGTATCTTCCCTGCCATTTTACTTTCTCACCTGCTGATTGAATGACGAATTACAAGTCACGTGACGTGTTTTTGAATGACGAATCACAAGTCACGTGACGTGTTTTTTCTAAGCGGCGGGGTCAATCCAAAAAGCATAAATACGCCCACATTTTTCAGACCATTTCGTTTTTTCTCTTCACTCTTTCTTTCCTTCATTTTTCTTTTTCCTTCACTCCCATGCCTCCTCCTGGTCTTCTCTTGGCTCTTCCCTTGGCTCTGGTTCTTCCCTTGGTTCTGGTCTTCCCCTGGCTCTGGCTCTTCCCTTGGTCCTGGCTCTTCCCTTGGTCCTGGCTCTTCCCTTGGTCCTGGTCTTGCCTCTGTCGGTCCTGGTCTCAGCCTTTTTCCCGTGGTCCCTGGCTGCCTACAACCGGTCCCTGCTTTGGGCTGTCCAGTCTGGCGTTCAACGGTGTTGGCCACAACCGATCTTCAGGCGAGATCAGAGGACGGAGAAATCCTTTTCGGTTTCTCGCCATAGAAATATGGTAGTGTCCTTTCGGTTGGATGCCTTGTCTGCTGGTCTGGTCTGGTCTGCCATGGTGGGGGTCGCAATGAGGAGCCAGGTGCCACTGTAGATTGCGTTGGACTCTCGGCAATCAACTCTCTGGCAATCGACTCTCGGCATTTGACTCTCGACAATCGACGCTCGGCATTCGACTCTCGGCATTCGACTCTCGGCATTCGACTCTCGGCATTCGACTCTCGGCGATCAACTCTCTGGCATTCGACTCTCGGCATTCGACTCTCGGCAATCGACACTCGGCAATCAGCTCCCAGCTTCAGTGTTCGGCTCCCAGCATCCGAGTATCCAGTAAGCAGCTCCTCCAGCATTCGACAACAGCAGCAATTTTTTTTTTCTTTTTTGGGTGTTTCGAGAGTCAATTCTTTCCCCTACCCCCACCCCTTCCCTTTCCTCTTCCCCCACCCCTTCCCTTTCCTCTTCCCTTTCCTCTTCCCTTCCGTCCTTCCCTCCCTTCCTTCCCTTCCGTCTACCCTTCCATCTTCCTTCCGTCCTTCCCTTCCCCCTTCCCCACTCACAGGCAATCCACAACCGATTGCTTGCACTTGACTCTCGAAACGTAGCGTACGTCATGGTTCCCACTCGTTTGTACCATGATGGCTGGGTTTGTGGTTGATTGACCCAGCCAAATGTGTGGGAGACTGGGACTCCCAGGCCGAGGCATTGGTGGCTTTCTTTTCCTCCCCCTTTTACATACTTCTTCTGTTTCTTCTTGCTTTCTTCATGCTTTTTGTATAGCCTACGGGTTGTGCGAACTGCTTGTTGAGGTCACTTTGTAAAATCGCGTTCTTATTATTTGTCTTTATTGTCCACTGATTGTGTTCTTTTAATAAAATTTGTACCCTTCGACTATTGATATTCATAACGATAACTTTTGTCTTTTATAAAATGTTTCTTTACTCTAATATTACAATGAATAAAAACCTGCTCTTTTACTTTATGTCCTGCTTAAACTCATTTACAATTTCTTTCCTTGTGAAGATATTTGCGTGTCGCTTCACCTTGCAATATCCATTTTCTTTCTGACTGTGTTCAATCGTCTTCGCCGCTTCATTTGACAGTTAGGAAAGAACTCATGTTTTGGCGTGCTGTGTCCTTGTTCTTATACAATGCTGACAATGTCAAATGGCTCACATTAGATTCGTAATTACTTTTACTTTGCAATGACTCGATCGATTCTAAACATAATATCTAGGCAACCGTTTGACGCAAGCATAATGGAAAGACCATGTAATACAATGTCAAATTGTTGTGAAACCCGTTGGGTATGTAGCAATATCAGTACTGGGCACATCAGAAAGTTTCTTGCAACAGCAGGAACTCTTTTAGACTTGGAACAAGTTGATCGAGCTTTGTGTGCTTAAACTATCGTTTCTCTTAAAATCTGCACGACATGCACTCTACAGTCAAGATCAAATCTTTTGATATCGAATACTGTAATGCTCATACTCAATAGTAGAATTGCTTTACAAACGTTTTAAATGGCTTTCTATCAAAGCCTAAATCCTCGTGGATGTGCCCATCTGTTTGGGAGATCGCCTGAGATTGAGCTGCATTTGGAGCGCCATATATGTTTCCAGGTGGAGGCAGTTCGACACATGTACAGCAACGCTTTTCTTTATTATTTTTTCTTGGTAATCGTGCTTGTCCATACAGTTACGATAAAAATAGCTGCCGTGGCATACCTTTCACTTTTTGTCGAGGTATGGCATGGAACATAACAATGACTGTAATTAATTGGCCCACGAAAGCTTGGGACAGTACAATATGATGGCTTTCAAGCTTCGGACCACCTTCCGATGTTTTGCCGTATAAGACTAAACTACATATACCAAAAGAATCTTAATATCAATGACTAAGTTTCTTCGAAAGCCCTTTTGCTTTGTTTCAGTTCAAAGTGAGTTTGTACAGCATCTTACCGTCGCCGTTTGTATTGCACTTTTCCTAATTTACAAATACATTGGCTACCCAGGCCAGTATTGATCGAGCGGTCTGTATACTTTAAAAGTACCATACATCATTCCTTTGATGGATGATGAGGGGTAGCAAAAGTCAATTTTCTAGAAGAAGGTCGTCAACTGATAGCGGGGGGAGCTCACCAAACGGGCAAGCCTCAGTGGACATGGCCATATCTTGTCCTCCTGTACCAGTGATCTCGTTTGAAACCGTCGCGAAAACGCCAGTTGGGACGATATCGAGAGAGGTCATTCCAACGCTATGAAATGGGTAAAAAGCTCGGATCATCCAATTTTAGGTAAGCCATTGCCTGCCTATAGCAAGAGACGTAAATCTGTTTCTGTTTCTTGAGGGAAATTTATATACAAACTTACAACCAAAAAACAAGCTTATAAACCGCGGCCTTGTTATCGGTTTTAACGAATTATATATCTCAGTCTCGCTAAATGGTCGTCTACACACTCCCATGGCTTTTCACTCCACGTGGTCATCGACACCTGTGCTTGTCTCGAGAGCTCTAAGTATTCTGTGATCCCAATATGTATGTCAAGCGCACAATCATATACGTTGCGATACATTCAAAGCACACAATATTTATGGCACCAACTCACTACAAACTATACATACAGCACATTGTATATATATGTATATGTAACTTAGATAGAAATAGCCACTACTTCACTTAATAAGAAATTGAAAAGTAATTGATCAACACCACGTCTCACATGTGCCGACTCATCTTGGTATTTCACGGATTAACTAGGCTAAGGAAGAAGTTGTCATTATGTTGGCACGCAATTCGCATTAGCTACTATCCGAGGCATTGAGCCAAATGGACCCTTTACCCACGCACCCCCTATTACTTCATCCTATATGCTTAATCAATAATAATGCATCTGTTCAATGTACAGTACATGCTGTGTGATAGTTACGCAGAACAAGTCTTTGCTATAAATAGTGAGAACTTCTGCTATCATAATAAACCGGTTTATTTGTGAACCTAACATGGATTAGATCCATCGCCATTAAGCAAGTTTCGATAGATTGAACAAAAAGTGGATAAGTCGGTAGAAGAACGACAGCTTGTCGAGGCTTTGAAACTGCAGGATATGATCCACCATAAATCGGCACTGCGATGGGGTGAAGCAAAGGATAGGCTGAAACAAGGATATGTACAACGAGAGAACTATGAAGAGGCTGCGCAATGGGTCATGACATCCCTCAAGAATGTGCGTGATACTTTTGGCCCTACGAGCATTGAAACATCGCATGAATTGCTTAAGCTCGCAATAATGTTTGCCGTGCGCAGCTCTCAAATAACGGAATATAGTTGTGTCTTTGATGGGGTATACTTTAAGCTTTACAGTAATCGAGTGCAAGACAGGGATGACAAAGAAGTTAAAGATATTTTGGGGCTCAAATATACCAAGACCAGAGACGAACAGCTGGCTTTACGAGGCATTGGCAATATGTAAGAAAGGAGCAGTTTGACGACTGTGTAATTTCTGGGTAATTTTGCAAACTTTGCCAATCTACGTCGATATGATAATATGTATGTATAGACTTATCGAACCTACGACAGCACTGATTTGCTAAGCGTTGATCAAGATCGTTTTGGGAATACTGTGTTTAAGCCAATATTCGATGAATTATTGCGTAACATTCCGTACACAAAAAGCGATGGTAGGTAATACTTTTAATTATTTCAACTAAGTGAGTTTATGTATTGTAATGCTGACCATGAATATCAAATTAGCCAATTCACTTCGTTAAGCAATCGGTACAAAGTCAAAGCAGATGCGACTCTCTCTGTTCTTATCAACGATGAGGAACTGCGCACACTGGTAGTCGAAGTAAAATCGTCTTTAAAAGTAAGCGAACAGGACTTTTCAAGTTGGCCGTAGAGATAAAAATCATGCTTGATGCAATGATAGAAAGGCATTTTTTGCAGCCCAGTTGTTTATGGAGTTCTGGTAGAGGTTAGTAGTATATATGATGTGCATATTTAGCAACCTCATTGGATTGATGCTAATAGAATCTGATCAAATATACTAGGGTTCATCTTGCTCACAATTAAGATCTATCTTCAATATTCTTCACCTGCAATGGTTGCTCTTCTTCTTGTCAGCAGGGGATATGCTATATATTTGGTGCCACAAGTCCAGTCTCTGATTTCTTGAACCTGTAATGCTTCCGTTAGACCTGCTAGTAAAACCTTTCCCTTCTTCTTTTATCGATAACGACTTTGCTCGTGTTGTACACCTTACTCAAACGTGGATGTAACCATGCTTACTAACTGTCTACTTACAAATGAATAATGTGGACGGTTTCGACCCACGAGGAAACATCAAGGTGCTGATGGCAACCAACAGACCTAATACCCTTGACCCTGCCTTGTTGCGACCGGGTCGTTTGGATAGACGTGTAGAATTCGGTTTACCAGATTTGGAGGTAAAAATGCTTTTCGTGTGAGGCGTAGTGTGTATGTGTGTAGGGATGGGTGATATGAAACTTAACGCTTTTCATGTATATTTTAAGGCAGTGCACATATATAAAGATTCACGCAAAAAGCACGAGTGTCGAGCGTGACTTTCGTTACGAACTTATTGCACGATTGTGTCCGAACGCAACGGGTGCTGAATTGCGAAGTGTTTGGAAGTACTTAACAAGGTTATCAATGAGGGTCAAAAGCTCATTTTGACATCATGTGCATATTGCTTGTGTCTTCGTATTATTTGCAAAAGTATATACACTGAGATCCTATCCTTCTTTTTGATTATTTAGTATCTCTAAGCGGAATTAGGTTCCATATCATCATCAATTAAGGAAATCCGCGTCCCATGAAAGTCTTTTTGCTCTTCTCGAAACATGTTGGGGATTGGGGAAGGAATCACAATAGACCGATATAATTTCATTTTAATAAATCGGTGTAATCTGTGTTAGGGTCTGAACCGAATCCTCCTGTCGTTCAAAATCTTCCACAAAATGTATAAGGCTTAGTTGCTACATTGAGACGCGCACACAGAGTGAGAGAAAGAGAGTAAGAGCTAACCACCTTCTTTATCTTTGTCTACGCCACCTTCCGACTGCGGGCGGTTTTCTTATTCCTCGCTGTATTCACATTTTTGTTCACTTCCGTCGCCACCCAACAAACCACCTATGATGAGCTCAGAGTATTATAGTAATAAGTTTCTTTCTTCCCCAAAAATTCCACAAAAGAAGGCGTGTGGAAAATGCGAGAATATCTCTACACGAGAATCTAACGGCGAAGAATGACTATGCGTTTATTAATAACAATATATTCAGAATAGCTATAACACTGGTAGCTCAGAACTCTGAGAAAAAATTCGAACCGAGGTAATCTAAGGAATCGACAAGAGTCACGTCTACAATACACTTGGTATCATTTAAGCGTTCGGCATTCAAGCCAAGGGACCATCGCGTTGGATTGATCCATACCAAGTAACCCACCACCACTGCTTTTATCAAGACGATGAAAAAGGAATAGGGATTGCTGAGCTCTTGAGGAAAGGAACCATAGCAGCGATAATACCGAGAAGAAGGGTGACAAAGAAGAATACAATACGAGGCATAATAAAAGGAAGTATCACAGAAATAGCAGTAGGCTTATTCTCTTGGATGAGATGCACTACGCCATCTTACATAATTCTGTTAACCATTCTCCTTTTGATATATTCTGTGGCATTTTTTGTATAGCAAGTTGAGATACGGCAGCAACATCGCAGAGCAGCGCATGTCCTGGTCAGTTCTTGGAAAAGCGACTAATGGTAGATATTATACGGCAGCGACAACAAATGGTTTGCTGCTATTACTTAATACAGTACTACAGAGAAAGAGATCGATCTATATTCACGTAAATAGTAGCCCCTTAGCCAGACACAGAAATCTGTTATGCTCCGCTCTCTGTCGTAATGTCGCTCTTGAAGCAAAATTAGCCTCAATTTGGCATTACTACTGAACACACATAAACCAAGAAGGTGGCTGTCATTGTTTGCCGTTCGCACTCTTTTGTTATGCATCCAAAATATATATTGCCTTTTCAAAAGCATCTATTTAGGCGGCTAATGTTGAACGAGAAACGGATACGAACGCCGTAGATATTTAGCGCTTGCTCGCTCGCGCTTCAAATCGTTAATTTTCACGATCCAACATCTCTTTCGGCCAACAACCCGAGTACAGTTACATCTACTATTGCACAATGATACATTGCAATAAATACCATCCCTACATTATCCGTACACTACTACTTATATCTTTCTTGATAATATGCTATCGTCAAAAACATCACGCGTATACTTTTCTTTCGGCTTACCATCCGTTCTTTTCCTCGTGGTGTTGTGGAATACGCACAAGATCCTCCTATAATCAGTCCATCCAGTTTTTGTCTTTGTTCTCAATAAATTTCTGTCTATCGTACACTTTCCCTATCTATCCGGACTTGTTAGAGCTCCGGTAAAGAAAATGCCTGGGGAACTCTGTTTCCTTCCGGCGAGACAAAGCGGTCTGGAACGAATCTAAAGACACGGTCCCCCATCACAAAATGCGAAGCGCTTAAAATACTCCGCTCCGCTCTAGCACGTTGTCGGGTGGCCCGTTCGCTTTCCACTGTAAAGACGATTCTTCTCACGCGACATTGAGGAACAAAAGAAAGAATCGCACAATAAGACTTCACAATGCGATCAGTATGATAAAATCCGGACATCACTATAAAGGCAGTATGGCTTTTGCTGTGGTACGAAACTTTTTCCTCTGAAAGGCTGGTATATAGACGAGACAGACTCGAGTCCCTGATTCGTGTAGCATTCCCCTAGTATCCCTTTTTTTTCATAGCACAACGCTGTCTTGCTCTGACTTCCCCCCCCACGCCCACGTTGGCCTGGTCGTTTGCCCAGGACCCAGTACTACTTGGGCAACTGCACGTTTGCTAATCAAAAGATGCTACTTTGACCGGGGCATTCATCTAACACTTGCAAAAGAAAGTCACATCATTGTCATATGGAGACAGAACATCTATTGTTTGTTATATTTGTGAAGGCTAAATATAAGAATATAAGATATGTTTGTATATTTATAAATATGTGATAATTATATGTGATGAGAATTGGGATATCTATATAGCTGAGTGTAATATGAGACTGAGGGATAAGTATAGCATGAAAGAGAAATAGCGTATATATAGTAGATAATTATAATAGGGGAATCGTAACAAAGAATATAAGAAAAAATCGGTTTTTGTACAGATTTGAACATAAAAAAAGGCTGAATGTAATGGATCGGGGATTGAGAGGGGAAATTGGGGGAGAGGAGATGGTTTTCAAGCAGCAGCCATGGCCAATGCGGAAGGGGGTGGTGGGTTTGCTCTGAATTGGCTGTACCACACAGGCGATCCTTCATTTAGCCGGCACGTTGCTGCTGTTAAAGTAGTAGCAGCCGTGGTAGCTGTTGTCATTGATGCTGTTGGTAGCGATGATGTGGCGATGCTACGCTTGGAGGAAGTGGACAGTGATGATGATGATGAAGCATGTGCTTTTTTCTTTTTTAATTTGATAGTAAGCAGTTTAGAAAGCCAAAGCCACCAGGACCGAGCTTTTTTTGGAGTGGTAGCACTATCTTGACAATCTTGCTTTGCGAATTTACGTGTCGTGGCTCGGTCTAATGGTGGAGCACTTGCTTGACGTCGAGGAGGAACTGTTGCGAGTGGACTAGGACGTCGCTCAGCGGCACTAGCTCGTCGTACTCCTGGATAGCTCGAGAATGTGTCAATGGATGGCGTAGGACTATTACTACGTCGACTGCTAATGGTGCTGTTATGTTGCTGCTCTGCAGTTGGAAGGAATAAGGAATCGTTGTGGTATGGAAATGGAGATAGACGTGGTGTGGCCACGACAAAATCCGAGGATGTTGTGTTGGATGAATTGCGTCGTTCGCGCCGTGCGGATAATACAGGCGAGGGTGGTGGCAAGTCGTTGTAGTAGCGGCTCATTAATGTGAAGGAAGGCTCGGTTTCTTCTTGTTGGTGCACATAGCGCGACAGATTTTCCTTGGTTAAAGGAAGTGATGGACGGTGACTGTGGTAGTAATGTGCGTCCATTTTTTTGTTTATATATATGTAAAGCTCTGGTTATATATGTAAATATGGTGGATTGTAAAAGAGGAGGGGTATATGGTATGTATAAACAGAAGATGGTATGTAAGCAATGAATATGTAAATAAAAAATGGAAGGAAAGAAGGAAAAGAAAAACAAAATGTCGAGTTGGGTTTATATACTAGATGTAATATAAGTTTTGAAGGATCACGATCGGCTTTTTATTTTTTTTGAGTTCGAGACAGCCCGGGTGCACGAGTAGGTCGTGTTGCTCAACAGGGGCGACCATGTAGTGGAATTACCGTAAAAGTCAATGTGTTCTTCACTGTAGTACTGCGCCCACAACAACCCAACGCGACGACCGACTCCGTTCAGTATGACAGCTACCGGTACCCGGCCTGAATCGTGGCGATGGCCTAGTTCTTCGTCTTGTACTGTGTGTATGCGCGTATACGGACAGGCGTCTTCTTCGCCGTCTTGATGGTACCCCGTCTATTTCTTTCATCTACAACGTATAATCTTTTAACTCCTCTCTCCCCCACTTTGTTTTAATAACCATGGAAAGGTTCATCGGAAGTTGGGGAAAGAAAAAATTCTTTTTTCTGTTCTTTTTTTTTGTCGATCACAGAAGCAAGCAACCCACGCAAGTTAGGTTGTATAAATGGCAGATCCAATTTACATGAGAATGATGGTGGTGTTTCATGATAAATTTCATTCTTCTCCTCTAGTATAAGTGCTCCTCTATCTATGCAACTTTAAAACAGACCCCCTTCACGCATGTACGAGATACGCAGGTACTGGTTTATCACTATCGGTCTCCCTCTTCTCTACTGTCACCCAGGTTAGGGCGCAGTAACAACACATTCTTCTTCATCTTCAAAGCTAAACGACATCCAAAAGAAAGATTGGCATTTGAAACTTAACATCAACAATCCATTTCTCGTCCCCCCAAAAAAGCAACTGTCTGTGTTACACCTTTTGAAGTGAGGCTTTTCTATGACAAAAGTTCGTTGCCAAGACAGCAAATTTTGTCCATGGCAACTGTATGCATAGAAGAAAGTTCAACAGGTTGCCCTGGCAAGTAAAGATCCTGTTGTTGTTATTATGCTTATGGTAGATGATGACTTCATTGTCATTTACTTGTCATATACAAAAAATTAAAAGCAGGGTCTAAGGAACTGATGTGGTAGATAGAGAGTCTCGACCCTGACACTCTTATGTATGCTTTGCTGCAAGCAGCTATCCTACTGCGAACAATGAAAGAGAAGGAAGAAGGTTGTGCTGATCATTACTTATTTTTCCAACCATTTGATTATATTATTTTACGATGAATCTATAGCAATATCGCCCACTCATTGTTTCATCCGTTGTCTTACATTACCTAATTTAACATTTAGCACTGCGTCAACGACGAGATGTGATGATAAATTCGCTAGAACCTATAATGCTAAAACCAAATGACGCCCATGCGATGGAGCAAATATTTACATCTGTCCGAGGGTGCTGATTCGATATAGATGGATCATCCCCCTTAAAGTATGGTTGATGCGCCATCATCGCATAGAAAAGCAAGGACGGAGTAAAGAAAAAAAATGCGGAGAGAGGGAAGGGGAGGTGTGAGCGTGCGTGTGTTGTTGTGTTTGACAAGCGAGAACTCTCGGGATTTCCAATTTGGTACATGCGCTTGTATATCACTTTTATCCCGACAATATAAGCATACAAGCGTGCTATACACAATCTACGATCGATCGATTATTTACTAGATTTGCGATGGCCATCATATCTTCCTTAATACTTGCTCTATTTCTTTCACTTTCGAAAGCCTTTACTTTTATTATTAGTGCTATGGGATTTTGTATTCATATACCGAGGATAGTTTAAAGAGGAACATTTCCAATATATAGCGACAAAGTGGTGGCACAAACGATGTTTTTGTCGTGCTCGTACTCGGGAGTATCGGATGAGCCGACGATTACACAAAGAATACAAAAAAAACAAGGTATGAGCTCCCTTTGGGTGGCGCCATTTCATTATGTTTGAACAACAAAAAACAAACTTGATCGGCTATTCGACATATTAAGCAGGATCCGAGAAAAAAACACAAATGCTAAGAAAGGAAGATACGTTTAGGAGGAGAAAAGAGAAACGGGAGGTCTGGTAAATTTGTTTATGCTGTGTCCATGTCATCCATCGAAATATCGGTTTTCATCGTCGTCTCCGTACTTGTTGTGGCCGTGTTCGCGATGGCAGTGGGTGCGTCCGATTTGCGATACAGGGTTTGCCTTATCCTTGGCATGCCATTGACATCGCCGTCCCATTCTCGTAACATCCGTACGTTTTTCTCGACCATCAAATCCGGTAACTCTGTAAACAACATTGATAAGCTTGATCTTTCTCTCCCAGCTTCAGCTTCACCCCCAGTTTTGGGTCCGGAAGTCTAATTCTCTTACCAAAGCCAGATGCATATTCGCTTTCTTCAGACGCCCTCAGCGCCGTCAAAATGTCGTGGCGTGGCACCTTCTTCCGATGCCCGCCCTTTTTCTTTCGGTCTAGCTCGAGTTGTTCAAGCTCATGGTCGTGTCGCTTCAAGTACCTAAAATTAATCTTGAGTTTCCTTTTTCTAATCCTTTGTTTTTCTCGCTTGCTGCTCTTCATCTACTAGTAGTATTTTAACTCACTACTGCTACCGCTACCCGGATGTACCGTAAACATACATGTCAATTAATTCGTGAACTTGTTCCTTCGTTGCACATGTCTGTGACTCCTCAAGTGCGAACCGAAACCATAACCATCGTTCAACTATATACAGCCAAAAAAAAAGAAACACGGAGTTAGGTCTCAAGCAGCAGTAACTAAACTATGATAACAGCGATGTGAGCAGGCTGAAACACAATGTCTTTTTACCTTTCGTGTTTCCAGTCGAGCGTCCTTCTTTTTTGCCGGCTAGTTTCTGGTTTCGTAAATGAATACGAGTCAATTGTCTTGCTTTCCGTGAATATGGATGCAGTTCATCGCGGTTCTTGACGTTTTTTAACGTGTGTCGTTTGTTGTTGGGCTACAAGGATTAATGCCGTAATTAGATTGCAAAGGCCACGATCCACACTTTTTGCGAAACTTACCATGATCTATTAAAGTGTCACCGAACAAAAGAAGAAAAAACCTTTTTTTTTCCTTTGCGCGGAATCTAAAATTATCCCGAGGAGTCGCTGGTTCGCTAACTGCTCTTTACCTAGCATTAACTGCAGCCTCTTTTGGGCATCTTTATTCATATTGAAAAGCCAAAGCAAATTATGAATGCGAAATAAGAGGGTATATGTGTGATATATATAGACTGGTTTTGCGCAAAAGAGATCGAATAAGTCTGCATCTTAGAGGAATTTTCTAATGCAGAGGATAATGTGATGGTAATACTGGACAAAAACAGTGATGATGGTAAGCAAATGCTATCACGAACAAAAATAGCTCCATTAAAGATCGCTTTCGGTACTGATCCCACAGGAAACGGTTCAAATAACCGGCTTCGTCAATCTCGTTTCGGCACCGCTGCACAAGGGAATCATCATCCGGTGATGTGTTGGGCCGCTTCCGCTTGCGCGACAATGTCGAGTCTTTGAAACCAAGCGAACGTTCACATTGTTCCCCACTAAGTTTGACAAACTTTTCACCTGGGATCGGGCTCACAACGGATGAATCATCCACTACCAGTTCCATCGATGGGCCATTATTATCTTCTTGTTGTGGAAGGGAGGTGGGCCAGATACCTGGTACGAGATAGTAATTGTCGTACAGAGTGCGTCGTTGTTGTTGAGGAGAATAAGAGGATCCAGCCATGATTGAAGCGATCACCGTGGCTCGGAGAGACGGCGAGCCCTGAAATGATGATATGGAAGGTCGACAGTGAACCGGGCCCCTGCGTGGGCAAGCAAGCTTTGAGGGCCTGTGCACCGAATCATGTGAAGATGTAAAAGTTGGGGATAGCGTTCTGACACAAAATTCATCAATGAGCCGCATAGGAGATTGACGTTGCGCAACCGAAGCGTTGTCAGTGATGGGATATAAGGCGCGTTGGGGTCGTTGATTGTGTCGACCGGGTCGGCTTTGGCACACACACCAGCAAGCGTGAGATTCATAAGGACAGGGGACGACTTCAAGACGTGATCGACCATTACGGTTCCTGGCTCGTCCCACGATCCCACCTGTACCACTTTGAGCTCCACCAGGTGGCTGAACGTCTCGAAAGAGCGTTTGTTTTGGGTTGTCAAAGAGTGTCCATAAATGCTGCCGGAAGTTAAAACCCGAGATGGACAACTTTGTCTGCGAGTAACTGCATCAGCTCTTTGAATCCATCAATACCCCCCACGTTGCAATTTTGTCCCTCGATCGATACGTATCTCAGTTCTCGGCCTGAAAAGATATGCTTCATTGCGTTCAAGGGTAACGAAGTGTCGCTTAGTTTGATTGTGTGCAATCTTGGACAGCGCTCAGCCAGCAAGCAGTAGCTTTCGTCATTTGGATATGTCGCGTATATCCACGGTCGAGGTTTGCGGGTTCCGGATGAAAGATAAGAGCATTTGTTAAACGACAGTGTCCGTAAGTCTGGGTATCGAGCAGCTGCATATCTGATCCATCTTTCTAAAGCATCCACCATATCTACGTCATACACAGAGAGATGTTGCAGTGGCACCTGACCAGGCCAGTGAGGCCCATCCAAGTCGCGTAATCGCTCGTCTGTTTCTCCTGATGTGTTTCGTGCTGCTGCCAGGTTTATGAGATTGGAATAATAAATATAGTCGACCTTAATGATAGGAATCGCAAGCTGAATCAAGTTTGGGCACGCTTCGTGAATCATGTCCATCTGCTTGTAAGTCAATACGCGCAATACGTGTGTCAGCGTCAACGACCGCAAGTTCTGTGTGCTGGATAAGTAGACGGAGATGCTATCGAGCCATCGTATTGATCTGGTGCTGCGGCTTTTGCTCTCACATTCCAGAGTCAGTTGAGTGATAGTAGGGAACAGCTCCAAGATGCGCTTGGGAGTGCCAAAGTAGCGTCGGCTCCCGGTAGCATTGTTGATGCTCCTGCTGCTATGGATAACCCTGCTGCGACGTGTGTCGTCACTGATGTCGTCATCCGCGTTACTGTTGGCCACGTGTTGTTCATGGGCCTTGCTGTTCTGCCACCGGAAAGTCAGGGAGGTCACAAATGGGCACAGCTGATGCAATTCCGTCATTTGTTTCGCTGTCATAAAACCATCGCAGATCTTGAGTTTTTTAACGTAATAGCCAAGAGGTCTAGCCGATTGAGCCGTTGCAGTCAGCTGTCGTTTACACGAGAGAAACATTGCGCGTTCGCGTGTATCGATGCTTTTGTAAAGGTGACGTTCAAAAACTGACTGCCATTCGTGATTGACACATAGACACGTAACAAGCTCTCTTAAAGAGACTCGATCTGCAATGAGATCCAATAGTTCCAGAGGCAGATCACTGATCGTAGAGGGCATACTTTTTATTATCCAGAATAGTGATTTGGAGAGAAAAAAAGAAAGAAAGAAAGAGAGAGAGACGAGGCAGGAAAATATGACAGGGTGAGCACTAGAAATACTGCAAGAAAAGATAAATTCTGCATTAATGCAAAAAAAGCAAGGATAATACATAGAATTCAATAAAGCACAACAACGACTTACCAAGCTTGCCGCAAAGACGATATCTCTCTTGATATCCTGTTCTGCCTGCTCCATCTTTTTGTACAGATTGGTATCGCCTACCATGCGTGCTGCACTCAACACCTCACGTGTTGTTTCATCTAGTCGGCTGATGCATCGAACAATCGAGCCTTCTAGGACATCCGTGAGATCCGTGATATGTTTGAACGGTAATCCACGCGCCCATTCATAAACAGCTTCTACCAAGCCAAAGTGCAAGCTATTCACGTAATCTTCGACAGAAATGGGCAATCCACAATCGACTTGCACCTGAGCCACCTTGCGTGCATAGGTCAACACGGTTTCTTTGGCCTTGGTTAGCTTGGGTGTCAATCGTGGTTCGCTAGCATTACGTTCTTGAAACACAAATGCGGACAAGATGGCAACAACTTCTGCAGGCTCATAATCCGCAAACACATTGTCCAGCACAAGTTCCGTAAGTAGCAGTTCGTCGGCAGAGTTGATTTCACATGCCACTCGGCCCTTGAGCTGCACTGTGCCTTGCTCATCTATGTAGTGCATTTGTTTGAGCACTTCAATGCGCTGATGATAATCTGGCAAGAGTTCAAGGTTCTGGTCCGAAATGGTCAACTTGAGCATGTCGATTTGGCTGGAGATGCGTTTATGCGCATGAATCAGACCATACTAAGTTTTTCGTGTAACATCAAAGCATGCACGATGGATATGCCGTCATTCAGAAAAATGCCGTTAATTAACCTCTTCTCTCCCACCCCGCTAAATTATACAATTTACTTTATGTATACTTCACTTACGTGCTCATCTAAATCAGGACATTTGGTACATTGGAACTCGTTTCGCAATCGCTTCAGATGATTCGCTTTGGTCCGTAACATTTCTTGAAACTCGATATCCCTGATCTTTTGCCAATCGAATTCCGCCAAAGAACCTTCAGTCGTCAACCCCCCAAAAAAGCATTAATAAATCATTAATTTGCCTCACTCAAATCAACATTAGCATAATCAGGTAGTCACCATTTGAAGCATCCATGGCAAACTTTTCCAGCTCCTGTTTGATCCTTGTCATTTCCAGCGAGTCCTGACTCATCATCACAGCATCCACGTCAAACTACACACAATAATAAGAAGAGTAAGTAATTTTTCTTTGCCAATGGAGACCTTTGAGCTATGTATATTAAGCAGGTCGCTAACCTTGATGCTCGTTCTAGTGACAGTCAATATATCAGAAACACCAATCGTTACTATTTGCGTGACGCTATCTGCACTGCTTGGTACATTGACCACAGTTACTGGCAATGGTGCAATTTCATCTTGTTAAAAAATAATAATTATTATCAGTAAATTGCTAATTCAGTGCACGAAGAGAGCTTGATTCTTACTTACCAGCAGCAGTCGCACCCTGAAGAGTGGTATTTAGATCCTTGGATGTAAGCACAAGGCAGTAAAACATCTTTTGTCCTGAAGAAGCAGTAGCATTGCCCGGGGCAGTCGACATTGGTTTTAGCAAAACTGCGGGTGCATTTCTATAGAAGTTGTTATTGACTAGAACGGCTCTGCCTGGTGTCAAAGCACGGTGACCAGCTGGTGATTTCGATATATGTTGGAGCATCATGGCGCAGTTCAATTGTACAACTTCGCCACAAATGTCATAGAACGTATTCAAATCAGGGCCACAGATCGTACAATCGAGTTGTTGCAAAGCACTCTTTTTCTGTTCGTTCTCGTCGACCAGCCGTTTGGTATCAGGCAATAGTCTTTGCGTACTGTTTTCGGAAAAGCTTCGCTTGATCATTTCTTCAACCTTGAGCGCTTCAACACGGAGCAGGTTCAAAATCATGTTGTATGTCAAGCGGAATTGGGACTCAAGCTTGGTTGGTTTGCCCAAAATCATCGTAGATAATGTGGATGCCTTTTTTTCACCCCAAATCGTATGTGTTGATCGATTAGTACCTATCCTGAAAGATGTATATTACGCACCTCCTTGTTAAGCAATCTTACCTGGGGTGCTTCGTCGCCACTGCATGCAATAATAACCATACCCGTATTGTCCAAACCACGACGGCCGGCTCTACCCGACATTTGCGTATATTCACCTAATATATAATCGTTTATTAAATGTGCAGTTTCTTCTTTGCTCATGCGTCTTTGTATTACCTGGCAACAAATCTCGGAAGCTGCGACCATCATGTTTGCGAAGACCGGAGAATACAACGCTTTTAGCAGGCATGTTGACACCCTGTATCGAGTAAGTTAGTAGCTGCTATCTATATTCAGGATTGTAACTGCATGAAAATAAAACTTACCATAGCAAATGTTTCAGTTGCGAATAAGACCTTGACAAGACCTCTTGCAAACAGAATTTCTACTATCTAATTAAGATACAAAAAAAACTTGATCAATACCCGGGTACCATGTTATGCTCATAAAAACAAGGAACTTACTTCTTTGATGATTGGCAATAGACCACCGTGATGAACTGCAATACCACGGCTTAGCAACTCGCGCATACGCAGAATTTGCGGTAACTCCTTATCAGTACCGCGCAAACGGACCAGACTCCGTTCAATAAAGACGTGGATTTCACTCTTTTCCAAGCTTGTACACAGATCCGTCTTTGACAAGCTACTAGCATATTCCTCACATCGTTTCTTGGAGAACGTGAAAATAACAACAGGCAAAAGTTGCTTCTTTTGCAATAGACCGATAAGATGAACAAATAGATTTCTGTCCTGAGATCGAGAAAGAAAGAGGGGAAAATTGCAAGAAGAATCATCGGGTGATGAGTATTCAGTCGATGTAGGTATGAGTACTGCAAACGGCTTAAAGAGCTTACTGATTGCATAGAAGCCTGGTAGCTACGACCAATAGGTTTGTGTGATCCACGAACGACGCCACGACCACCACGTGCACCGCCACGACCACCTCCTGATGTCTCTCGCTGCTCTTTACGTTTTGACAATGCGTCGGACGCGGCCTTATAACTAAGTATCCCCGATATAAAATCAGTTGTTTGTTTCTTTTAGTAACAGACATTTTTATGATGTATGTACCCTGATCCATTGAGTTTCGTCTCATTGGCGCCGACGATTTTGAACAAGTCCTTGCCAGCATATAAATGGTGTTCCAATGGAACTGGACGTTTCAGCGTGCTGATAACATAGATATCTTTCTTCTTTGTTCGGCTGCAAAAATACACGATGCTTTAGTTACATAGGCGCTGACCTAGTAAAAATTACGTTTCATAAAAATCAACAATATACATTACCCAACCCAATCGGCAAACTCTCTGGTGTTTGGTACTGTAGCCGAAAGTAGGATGATATTAACATGAGCAGGAAGCATGATGATAACTTCTTCCCAAACAACACCACGCTAAATGATTATAGAAAGAGGTTATTGTTATGTTTTCTGGTAATACAGTAGCACAGTCTTTAACTTTCATTGTTATTTTTCGTTTACCTCAAGGTCATTGACATAGTGGACTTCATCAAAGATAACAAACTCCACATCACGGATAAGGTCAGCACCACGATAAAGCATGCTTCGCAAAATCTCGGTTGTCATAATCAGACAGCTTGCTTCGGGACGAATCTGAACATCACCCGTCAATATACCAACATCATCACCAAAAGTATGCTTAAAGTCTCGAAACTTTTGGTTTGACAAAGCTTTGATAGGCGAGGTATAAATGGCTCTATAAAAGAGACCCTTAGCTTTAGAGGATTATTCTCTTTATATCCGTCATCTTTTTCCTCCCTTCAGCCTGCAGACGAATAAAAGAAACCTACTTGGTCATATGTTTGGAAGCCAGAGCAATAGCATAATCGGCAACAACAGTCTTGCCTGCCGACGTATGTGCAGCAATAAATACTGAATCACCCATTTCTAGATGGTACACTGCATGCTTTTGGAAAGTATCAAGTTCGAATGGAAACTGCTGGGCCATCTCAGGTACCAGTTCGTGAAAGTTATCAAAGGGTTGATTGACATTAATCTCATGAGCCCATTCACGTCGTCGATGGGCTTCGTTGACCGTTTTGAGTTTCGGAACAGCGTCGGATACGAGAGGTGGAATAAGTTGTTGAGGTAACAAGGCATCCACTTCTTGTTTATCTACAAGTCCCGAGGCACACTTCCTCTGTCAGCTTCCCTAGATGATCGTTTTAAAGATACTGATAGTTTATATACATACCCTCCGATGAAGCTTCTTGTTGAGTTGATTCTTGCTTGGTCTCTTCATCCACAGTCTTTACTTGTAAGAAGTCAAATTCATCTTGTGATGAAGGTTTGATGATATCTTCAATGTTAAACACTGAGGAACTAGCTTCCTTTAAGCGTGCATCGTCTGCTTGAGATTCGTCTTTTACAATAGAAAACATGCATGAATTTTTTAGTATCGCACCTCGTACACTGACATATATCCAAGTTCCAGCATACAACATCATACCGTCAAACGTAAGGCCTCGATCCAGTCCTGGAGCAACAGCCGATGAATCTAATAACAGAGATTACTATATCAGGGCTCATGCCCATTTTTCTTTGACTCTTCTGATTGATTATATCCCAGTACCAGCAATTACCATCCTGCAAGAAAGCCAGATCGATATCCAGCGATTGTTCGATCGCGTCATCATTCTCTGTGGCTACTATAACTTCTGTTTCCAAACCACCAGGAGCGAACGGGAACTGAGTAGCGTTTCCGCGCACAAAGTCCTTGACAGATCCAAACGGCCGGCTGAAACTGGTTGAGTTCGTCGACGATATATTGGGATCATTCAAAATTGCTTCGTTATAGCCTACAATATCACCATCATAACCACGGCGTGCTACTTGGATCGTCGTACGTGGTTTGGATATTTGTGCATGCCCGAAACTTGGAAAGTCGGGCGTTTCAGTCCAGTGTCTGTATGCAGTGGAGTTTTTGTTGTCAGGGCAAATCTAAACGCGAGCGTGTTGTCATTGAGTAAAATGCTTTATGCTTACTCTTGACATTTAGCCAACCATGAAGTTGGAAAGTTGCGTTGTGGCGTCAGGAATTCTTGTTCGAGTTCACGTCGAATGTCTTGATCCGATTGTTTCTCAAATAACGACGATGGCTATACAGACACATACGAGTAATTGCAGAAGCGTTCAGCTCGCGTTTTGTTTCTTATTCGAAAGGCGAAAAGTTCATTTATACACACCTCGATCGGCTGATCTGTCTCGTTTCGAAGGATCGCAAAGATTTCTTCAAGGTTTTCGCTATTTACTAGAGCAAGTTCAGTTCATTGTATACGTAAATTGAAGAAAGGGCAGTTTCTAGCTTACATTCGTTTGCCATTGTCGGTGCAGTTTGAAAATAAAGAACGAAAGGATTAATTTATAAAGCAGCCTTTTAATGTAGAAAACACGTTGTGATATGTTCTGTACTTGACACATGTGTGTATATGTATGTGATAGTAATGATGAAGAGAAAGAAATAATACAATAAGTAATAAGGAAGAAGCAAATGGGAACGTCATCGTCTCTTCTGAAAGCGCGTAGGTCTATCCAGTGTAGCCATATTGTTTTCTCCACATATCAGACACCTTTCGGTTATTGCCAACTTGAGAGTTACGCTCAAAGGTGGCTTCTTCATCGAGCAGACCTTTACTACCACTGTCCAATCCCGCTTCGTTCGTGAGCTCAAGACACAAGTGGAGCCAGCCAATGCTATTCCATACAGTAAAGAATTCCTCGGTCACTGCCTTTTTGGCTGCAGCACCCATCTTGTTGCGAAGGCCATCGTCTGTAGTGAGCTCATAGAGACGGTCCGCGACGCCCTTGACGTCCCCAATCTTTTCCAGAAAACCGTCCACGTTACGTTGGATTTGGAGTGGAATACCACCGGCTTCATACGCAACTACAGGAACGCCCTTGTGCAAAGCTTCGGTGACTTTCACTTCAAAGCCTTCACGGTGGGAAAGTTGTAAGGCGACTCGTGCATTGCTGATTACCAAGTCTAGCAACTGATCGTTTGGCGGAAGGCGCGCAACAATGATATCCAAAGAGATGGCAGTAAACGCTGGCTTTAGTAGCGTACGGTGAGTCTGTTCGTAAATTACGGTGCCATCGGGATCGTCTACACTGCCGTGACCACCTATTTGGATAGCAATAGTAAATTAAAATCGGAAGCGAACATACTGTTGTCGGATAATTTCAAAGGTGGGAGCACGAAGAAAGGAGCCAGAAACTTACAGACAATAAGTTGAGGGGTATTATAATCATCAATACCATCGGCTGCAAGCTTTTCGCGCAGCAATCTATAGGACTCGAGAACGTCTGGAATACCCTTGGATGGATCAAACCGAGCAACTTGGACAATGTAAGGGCGAGACCAGTCAACCTCGTTGGCGCCCTGATCCATGCAGACACGGTTGAACACGGATTGGTAGTACTCTGTGCACCATCCATCGATCGGCTTGTTGAGACCGTCCAATGGGTCAGTAGTAGCGGGCATCAGTACAACGTTGCGTCGTGGGACGACGTCAGGGATAAAGTTATCCATTGGGTGCGCAATAAACAGATCGGCGTGCTGAATAAATTGCCACAGGAAGCTTCAAAATGTAGAATTGGTACAGTAAGTAATGTATGTTAAAACAGCCCCACACGATCAATTCCAAGAAGTACTTACTTCCATGTTTCTGCCTGAGGACCGTCCGGGTAATCTCTGATAAGATCGGCACGCATTTCAATGTGTGAACGGAAGATCACGCGGCACTTTGGATTGATTTTCTTAATGTGAGGAATGATGCCAACCACTAACAGCAATGTGAACATGTGTCAGTACTTTTAAAAATTCGTATGCACCATCTCGCAGATAAACAACATACATTGGGGATCGTCGATGATAATGACGTTCGATTTAAGCAGAGGACCACCGTCTTTGCACCAGAAACGGTCGACGTTCTCGTTGGACCAATCAATGAACATCTGCTTGTCATGATCGTTCAGTCTGACATCAGGTGGTGCTACACCTTGGAGCACGTTGTGGAACTTGCGCTTGGTAATATCAAACACTTCAGGCTTGGGACGTGCCACAAACCCTATATAGATTGTTACAAATGAGGAAAAGTGCATTTGTTGAATGTCAACACATCATGATGTAAAGATTGACAGTTGTTCCTGTTATTGTTGGTGTTCTTCCGCGGAACCGCTTTCTACAAACAAAACAGCGAACATTGATGATATATCACTTACAGTGCACATCCAGATGCAGCAGACGGTATAGCCGCAGGAGAGCATGGCGCATGAGGGCAACTGTTGTTGTATATGTTAGCTGCTGCCTTGTTGTCTGATAAAGGCATTGCATGAGTTGTTATTACCTCCACCGCCTTGGGGCGTCGAATTGAAAAACGAAACACTAAGGTTGCGATCTTTGTATTTGGTCGCCATTTCTTGCAGAACACGCCACGTGTCCTTGCATACGGTTCTCTCATAGTCGACCAAGTCAACCATGTGAATCAAGCCGTTGAAGTCAACTGTCGGCGAATGTAGTAGTTATTGAGTCTCTCGTTTTTCTTTTCGCCTTCTGGCACAACAGAAACACAAAGATGTTACCCACCTTCGACTTCATGACGATAGCCAACGCACACACGTGGAATGTTTCCCGGATACTGGGGCGACATCCTGCAAAAGGCAACCAGCTGTTGTCAGTACCAATGGGAAGGCATTCTCTTTGTTTGTTTGCTTACAACAATGCGTTGCTGCCACACACACACACACACACACACACACACACACACACACACACACACACACACACAATTGACTGATATGCGCTGTTGTGTTTGTTTCTCGTAATTACCATATGACCGCCTTGCGTACAGCTGCGCTTGCACGTTCATCGAGCGTCTCACCATGTGTGCGGATATGGAAAGGAATAGCATCGAGCTCGCGCCAAAACGCACTCGCAGCTGTCAATGGAGGCTCTTCTCCCTTTTTGAAATAAGCGTCATAAAGCGTGTTGGACAAGGCAATGATCTGGACCTTGTAGTGCTGCGCCAGCGAGTATTGTTTGACAACCTGGAGCAGCTTGCGGAGACCTTCTTCTAGACATTCCCTCTTGCAGGAGCTGTTGGCCATGACCTTGAACTCGCCGGTGTAAAAGTCGGTGGTGTACGAACCATCGTGGACGGAAATCGCATAATTCGCGGTGTTTGTTTCGGTGTCGACCTCGACGTCCAGTCCGAGATAGACGGCCTGCGGGACGTAATACTGCGAGAAACGACGAGTCGTCGGGATGGTTGGCACATCGGGTGTAGGCGGCATGTTCTAGTTTTGTATAAAGAGATGGAGAAAAGACGTATGTGTGAGTAAAGGGAAAGAAGAGAAGAAAACAAATCACGAAGAGCAGGCAGCTCTATAAAATATTTTTTCTGTGCTGGCTGGGCCCGACGTGTCCGGCGGTTTTTCCCTCTTTTTTTTTTCTCCCAGGGCGTGACAAGTGAACTAGTCTGAAACCCCAGCACTCGTGTCTCTCTTTTTGACAGGCCCCCTCCCCCCAATCCCCTACGCCTCTCTTCTGCTTTTCCACGCAATCCTCAACTTTGTTACCAAGGTCCCGGTTATTTATTTTTTTCTGTTCTCTGTTTGTCGTCGGTCAACCCACAAACTTGGACTTTTTTTTTTAAATTTACATGGGGAACTTGCACTCGTCGTTCAGCCATCGTCGTAATAGTAACATTTCCTCAGCTTCAGAACCATCATCGCCTGGCCTTGTCCGTCGCACAACATTACGCTTGCAGCAAAGGCTAAGCACATCGTCGTCTCCTGGGGCCCGTGCACAAAAGGCCTCCAAGCAAGGGCCTAGTTGGCACCGGGCAAAGAGGCAAAAGAAGCAACAACAACAACAACAACAACAACAACAACAACAACAGCAGCAGCAGCAGCAGCAGCAGCAGCAGCAACAAAATACTGTGATCACCGACGATACAAACGTGTACCGCGAAGGCCGAAGGCATCAAAACATCAACAGCAAATATATCATGCCCAATGACGAGCAAGAGCAAGATCGACTTACAAATCTGGTACACAAACATTCATGCTGTGCCATTCTTGAGTACGTAGCAGTAAGATTGCCATGCAACTGATATGTTCTTCTAGCACTTTGTACTGAAGCATTGCTTCAGCGGTAATTACTCTGCGCCTGTCCAAGACCTGTTGCAGCAGCCATCCTCGTCTTCACCAAGATGGTACAACAATGTATCGACCGCATCCTTTTCGTTGGGCGGCAGCTCTAACACGCTCAGTACCGGCTCAACGCAATCGTCTGGACGCTCGCGCGGTAGAAATATCCAACCGCGCGTGTTGGACGTTGCCTGTGGTACTGGCATTTGGATCCTCGAGATGGCCACGGAATTCCCACATGCACAGTTTCACGGGATCGATTTATCGACAATGTACCCGGCTGACATCAAGCCCCCCAATACCCACTTTTGTCAAGGCGATGTGTTAAATGGACTGCCTTATACGGATGCCTACTTTGATTACATTCACATGAGTCTCGTCTACAACTGTTTTTCGTATGAGGATCGCAAGGTAAGCGACATGTGAAGGCTAGCAAGAGAGCTCTATACGGAAGAAAAAAATACTAAATCATCATGCCTTGTGTCCAGCAACTATTGCTAGAGATTCGACGTGTCTTGAAGCCAGGCGGATATGTCGAGTTTCGCGATTTAGACCCGTATCTTCGAAATACAGGTCCAAAAACCAGAGAAGCCCTCAAGCCATGTGAGTGTCTCTGTCTTTCTCACATGCACAAAGCTTAATACCAAGGCTAATCAATTATACTATGCAAATGTCAGTCCATCAAGCCATGATGGATAATCTCGATGTCGACATAACATGGACAACACACATGTGTGAGAATTTACAGCATACTGCCGGCATGACCGATATCCACCATCAAGTCGTTTCGATCAATTTCATATCGAGCAGCAAACTAAGCGAAACCTTTAACGCCACTGTTTTCGCCGAATGGGAAAGCTATCGCTACTTTTGTGTGAAATATTACAACCTTACCAACGAAGAATACAACGCAATGATACAAAGTGTCATGGAAGAGTGCAAAAAGCAACGATCCTTTCTCAACTATGTCATGTGCTGGGGTCGTAAGCCGATCATTGATGTGCCAAGCAGTGCAAATATTCAACGCGACTATGTGCGTGCGGGTAGTTGTACACCGCCACCAGCAGCAACAGCAGCAGCAGCAGGGTCATCCTCATCCTCCTCCCCGACTTCACACTCGCAGCATCATCACCGTCATTCCCACACTCCACCATTTCGTGCACCCTCATTTATCAAGTCTGTTTCATCTCCAGTACCTGCTACCACAGTGAGCACACCCATGTCTCGATCGTCACCGAAGTCCAGAACACAAAGCAGCGGCATGATACCCTCAAGCAAAAATTCGCCGGGAAGTCTTAAAGCAAGAGAGGACGCGAGGAGAAACAAAGAAAAGACGTCGGATATTTACCAGTTTGCCCATGGCTACGTCGAGTAGTAACCAGCAGACACTCTTCTTTTTTCTACTTTGTAGCTTGTTCTGATTTTGCAATATACCATCTACCTTTGCCGGGGATGTATTTACCGTCGACAGATTATAAGCAGTTTCTGTTGGCTAGGTGCAATCAGATTGATATGTACAAAATTAAGCAAATGACATTTCGCATCACCAATACCGAGGCCAAAACAGGCGCGTGGGCCTCTTTCTCAAAGATGGCTGCGTAACTGTTTCCAACTCATGTTGGCATGTACAAATATGCAGATATGTCATTGAATATCTTGAAGCATATTGCTGTTGATCTTTATCTTGTATTATTCTATAGCGAAAAGTGTGTCGCCTGCACGTAAGTCCCTGGCTTACGGGATTATCGTCGGCATAGGATCAAGAATTCCTTTTTATGCAACGTGAAATAAACTCAGTCGCCGATACATGGTCCATAAAGAAAACAAACACAGCAGCATCCAGATATCAACAGCAAGAGAGGGAGGAGCTGACGAAGACAACAACAAGGTCCTTTTTGCATCTGTTGGCTCTCGTTTTGATGCTTACCGGACGGATAATACGTAGACTCATAGCTTAGAAAGCTCCTATACATCCTTATTGACATAGCTTACAGGATGCTATTGACAATAGAACTTTTAAGTACTATACCCTGGTACTTCTTTAAATATGTTACACGCACCGCATCAACGCCAGTAACAAACGAGCAACAGCAAGTTTTGCATTTACCCGCGCCGGCGCAACCCCCGTTCAAATGTCAATTTTGCACATACACAGCTGCTTTGTATTTGTTGTGAGGCCCTAAAAAAGATCACCACAACAATTCTGCTTGTCATTCGCCATCGTATGTACGATGGCGAATCAACAAGGCACCCTGCGCATATGTACGTGTGTTTGTGTGGTAAAGATGCAACATTTTTATGTCCGTCATTACTACACCCAACATATTTGGCGACGACAAATCAATTAGGTTGACCTATGCCCTCCTTTTACACGACACGTTCACAACTTTTTTTTTCGGGAGCCGCCTTATCTCCAGGAGGAAACCCCTCCTCATCCCCGGATTTAATTCCCTTTTAAAAGAGACACTTCTGAAATCCAATCAAGGGTTGATAAACCAGTTTAAACACATGGAAAGGAGGAAAGAAGGAAAAGAACAACACGTATATTGAGCCGTTTTTACCAGGTATAATTTGAAATACATATACATGCACACCTCCTGCTGCTACTAAAATTCTTGGTTGCTGTTGTTGTATCTGTGTTTGTACGTAGTGGTGCAGTGTCAGCAACAGCAAGCAAATTGTAGCGAAGAAACAAAGCAGCAGCATACCTAACTGCTAAACTTGTCTTCGTTAACACGATAATACGACAAAAGTAACATACGAGCATTATAAAGCAAAGTCTGAATGCATGCGCGCGCCATAATCGTGCAGCGGTATAATATTTTATTTGTATAGTAACGTTGCTGTTGCATGTAATACATGGTGGATCTAAACCCCCCTTCGCTTTCTAATAACAGGAGCAGTGATGTATTTCCGATTTTCTAACATTACATCGCTTGATACGTATATATATATCCCGTCCACATCTTTCGCCATCATAGTATTAGCACTACAACAAATAACAAAATAAAAACCGAATTCGTTTCAACTTCAAGAAAGCGGGAGTAGCATTGGCAGCAACAGCAGCAGCTCCAGTAAGGTTTGCTACGCCTGTCACATGTATGAGACCGTTCCTAGAATATCAAAGCTTGTCGCAGTAGTACTTTGGAGCCACTCTGTTCTTCTCACGAGAGGCAAAGCGCCAATAAAAGGTTTTTTTATTCATATGGGCTAGTGTAAAGCCGAATAGGAAAAAGAAGACAGAGGGGGTAGCATTTTTCATCGGACGAGCGTGCTATTGTGCGTCATGGCCTGAATGTAGACTTTATTATGTGATTCCCACTTACTGCTATATGGTTATGTATGCTGTGTTCCTGATGGTGAGACACTGATCCCAAAATTTTAGAAACCTCAAAAGAACGGGTCTATTCGATTCAGTATCAAAATAGGAGAACGACGGCGATCATTTGTTGAACATGCCCTTTTCTCTAGTGGTGCATACTACTTTCATACAAATAGAGACACAGCGCCCGAGCAGATAATGGGAGCAATGCGTGATCATAGACACACAAAAAAAAGTAATCCATCTTTCTGTTTCGCATGGTTGCAGCAGATGGATGGTGAAATCTTCTATGATACATACAGAAAAATTAATAATTGATCGCATATTCTATATCTGTTCTGTGTCGACGACATCGAGACTAGTAATATTTAGTAATAGCGGGTATCTATAGTGTAGCAGCATACGTCATTTAGGCCATTACATGCTACCTCGGGACTAAACTCGAAAGCTGCTCCGTTTATAACTCCATTTATCATTGTTAGAACGTAAACATAAATAAAAAACATGGATGTATTTTCAATAGACAGTGAAATCAAGCAAACCCAGAGTTTCTGAACGAGGCTAAAATGCAAGGAGAACGAAAAGCTAGAGTGGACAAATTATAACAATAATTCAAAAACAAACACAAAAAAAGTTTTTTCCATGGGAATCCAAAATCGCGTTCAAAAACCTGATAGAAAAGAGTGAACAACCATGTGCTAGGCACTGATGACTACAGTAACGCAATCTATCATTGTTGTCGCCGTCTACATTATTACAATCACTACTATATACGTAGTGCATATACTATTTGCATGAATTCTGCTTATCCTGTATTCTCTTCGCTAAAGTGCTACTTCGATGACAACTTTAAAGAGGAGGAACGAATTTACAGAAATCGATTAATCGAAAAGGTCACTACTGTATGTCTGTATAGGACAACATGAAGAACACGGACATAGTAGCATTTACAGTATCTCAAAGAACAGATACACGTTCAAGGCTAATTGGAGATCAGCCATCTTCTTACTGCAACTAGTTATTTCAATACAAGAGGCTTGAAAGGGGGTGTTGGAAGGAGTAGTCGTAGTAGCTCCAGTTGGATGAAGTGTTTCCTATCAGCTGTTGTTGCTGTATACAATTTGCTGTTTCGCGAAAAGAGAAAAAAAGGAAGCAGACTCCTTAAAGACATCGTATCTATGTGTGTGATGAGGATCTGGATCTGTCCCCTCCCCAACTTCTTTTTTTGACGTCGCACAGTATGGCGTGCATAAACCGCCTGCATTCCAAGTTATTGACGATACGATAATAAATCAAAAAATAATTGTGCATGTTTCATCTCAACAAAGCGGCAAGTGCTGTATTTATCTGCTGGCTGCTGATCAAGGTCATCGACAGGAATTTTCGATAAAAAAAAAGGTAACGGTGGAGTATGTTATTTCTGCTCTTAGGGAACCAAACAGAGTAATAAAAGGGGAGGAATACCGGGCAATCCGAATAAAATGTATTTGAGGAGAATGGGAGGTTGGGTTAAAGAGTAGCAACGCATCTACAGAAAAAGTATGTGTCAGACTATCCTGGGGTGTGCAAAGAGCGAGAGTAAAAAAAAAGGGAGCTGGTGTAGTATGGATCAGGAGAATGAGTAACGTCCCTCTCTCTCTCTCTCTCTCTCTCTCTCTCTCTCTCTTGGTGCTGCTGCTGTGTGTGTGTGTTACCCCTAGTATTTCTAATTTCCATGCATCCCTCCTTTTGTCTGCAAGATAAAACTGTATAAATACGGTACCCTTTCTTAAACAAACGCCCATCATACAACACTTTTTCTTTTCTATTCTACTACTACTACTACTACATCTTATTATTACTACTACCACTACTACTACTACTTAAAAATCATGAAGTTCTCCGCTACCGCTATCATCTCGGCCGCTCTTATTGCCGTTACATCCGCCCAAGCTCCTGCTGCTGCTCCCGCTGGCGGCGGTGGCGGTGCCCTTGTCTCCATCACCTCGCCTCTTACTGGCACTTCCTACAAGGCCGGTAGCAAGGCCATCATTTCGTGGATCAACCCCCAGGTTCAGACTATCCCTCAAATCACCTTGGCCCGCGGTCCATCCACTGCTTTGCAGCCCGTTGCACAGATCGCCCAAAACGTTAATGCTGCTGCTGGTCGATACGAATGGGAGATCCCTTACGACTGCACAAACGGCAACGACTGTAAGTTTGCCCTTCAAAAATTCTTAACATTCTTTCAATATGCTGGTATCATTCAGTGAAGAGAGAGAAAGAGAGCTGACAATGATGAATTGATCCTTTTCACAGATGCTTTCGAGCTTGGTCAATCACCCGAACTTGCTTTCGCTGGTCCTTTCACCATTGAGGGTTGCACTGGTGGTAACTTCTCTTCTGCTGGCAGCAACTCCACATCTTCTGCTCCCGCATCCAGCGGCGCTTCCGCTGGTGCTCAGCCTTCTTCTGATGGCAGCACGAACAACGCCAGCTCTGGTGGCTCCACACCTGCCGGTTCTTCCTCACCCAACAGCTCTGGCTCTTCTGACTCATCCCACCAGTCGCCTGCTTCCACCGACAGTGCTGCCAACAATGTCATCCCCAGTGTCGTGGCTGTCGCCGCAGGTGGTTTGGTTGCTGCTTATCAACTTTTCTAAATGTCCCCAGGTCTTCACATCCATCTCTCTCCTCATGACATCTCTCTTCCCCTTTAACCGATCATATTCACCACTTTCGTGATGCGGTTTTATTATTGAGACGAGCCCTTTATTTCTGTACTTAACGACCATCTTCTTTAACCTTCTCTCTCTCTCTCGCAACAATCTACACACTCATGTCCCAATCGTCCGTCTTTTTTATTCGCTGGAGTATTTCTTTTTTCTTTATAATCATAGTACACTATAACAAATAAAAGTTATTTTAGTTGCTGGTGCCGTTGATACCATTTGAAATTCTGATCTGCAATAATGTTTTTCCTTGCTGCTTTTACTGACATGTCGCTCCTTGTTTCGATCTAAGGGACAATTGGAAGTATCATCGTCTATTATTGCATACAAAGCTGTGTTGTACCTGCCCCTCCCTAAGATGGTGATATGATTGCCATGATGATCCATACTCCTAACCTCTTTTTTCTACTCCTTGTTTATTAAAAAGTAAACAGATCCTATCTACTAAATACACGCTTTCTAGTGTAAGGTTGACAGCAACCGACGGACATAGCAAGCATGAGTAATGATCGATGATGATTGTCCTCACATCAATCATTATCGCTGTTCTTGATTACAAAATATTATTGTGTTAATCCGTTGGTCAAACTCTAACTTTAACTTACGACGATCGGCAATTTGTGTGTGCCTGTGTCGTCGTATGAGGTTTCGAAATGGGGTTTTCTTTTCAGGGGTTTTCATAAATAATGTAGCAAGTTCTAAGAGTCTCTATAGAGCATGCATAACATCGACAAGAACCAGGTCAAAGATTCCTCGGCACTAATTTCATCTCACTGTGCCAGCACTAGCAGGTATGGTAGCTTCACAACCTTTTTATATAATCTAATGGATCGGGTTATTGATACCACAACTGTCTGCGTTTCAGGATCATTCGATAAGCACCAGCAGGCATTACGTGAACTATGCAAGTACAAGCAATAGGTACAAATTGGCGCTAAAATTAAAAAGACCGACGATGCAGCAATCCCAAGAAATGAGAAGTTAAAAGACAGCCAAAAAAGAGAGGTGAGGTGGCGTGAGTTTGCGTATGGTGCGTAGTTTAACTAATACTCATTCAATGGAAAAGCGAGAGGTCTTGAACAAAGACGAAAAACAAAGATGCTGACCTACAGAAACTTTGTTTTACCAAGCTATGGTGGGGAGCGAGAGTATGGATGCTGGAACGAGGAGAGAAGGATGCAGACATGTTTACACAGCAAAACTTTTCAAATATACAAACTTTATTCTGTGAAACTGCATATCGTAATGTCACTATCAGAGTGACACGTTAGCTGCATTAGTGTTGCAATGACGATCGCTATGGAGTAACAAATGAGATATTCAAAAAAAGTTAATTCAAGGAGCAAGCAGAATTCTATGAAATACATGATATCGTGCAATACAGTGCCATGAAAACCATCACCATATGTAACATTAGAAACAAAGATGCATTAGTTACGTATGTACCTTCTAAAACTACTGTATTTTCTTATTTTCATGTAACAATCGTATTTTGGTTGAGACTGCCCCATGTATATCTCCTCCAACTTCAACGACTCCATAGTAGATAGACGAAGAGTCCATAAGTAAACCTTCCAGAATGAAAGTAGTCCCAGAAATAAATAGATATAGCATATATGTAGGATTGCATTAAAGTATGTGTTCTCGCCATTATACAGCAAATTTTACACGCATTTTGTGTTTTGTGAGTGCTTTTGCTATGTAGGCCCAACTCACTTCCAGCTTGAGATCCCGTAAAGAAAGGATTCTTTACCAGCAAAACAACATGCACGACACACTCTGGTACACATAAAGCTTGATTGGACCGTATACATGAATATACAATATATGCTACCGGCAACAAGGAAGTTGATGGGACAGTGGTCCCTGAAGACGCGTTGAAGAACTCAGATCGCGCGTCGACAGCCGGCCGAGCAAATCCTACGACCCCATTCGCGGTCGCGCGAGCTGTTAATTTTTGACACAGATAAAGCTTCACTCTACCAATGCCACCAGCATTAAAGCGAGCCTTCACCTCTAGCGAGAGCTTGAATGGCATATCTGACGATGAAGCAACGGTTTGTAATATATTTTAAAACAATTGCTGATTTAAACTTGACTAATTACTTTTGTCGTCTCTTTTCTTTTATTAAAAAAAAAAGGACGCAACGCAAACAAAACGACAAAAGCCTACTCGACGCTCACGTACCATTCGACCTCCAGCTGAAGAAGTAGAAGAAGAAGAAGAAAAGCTGATAGAAGGTCCAGACGATGACGAGTTCGAAGAAGAAGACCTTGACTTGACTGGAAATGAGATCGCCACTCAAGCCTTGATTCCAGAAGATGCCGCTATGGTAAGTTTAAATGAAGTGCAAGAAGAGGGAGGAGCGTCTGCATGCGTGTCCATGAAGAGAAGCCTTTGTATAACTAACGTCTTTATATCGAATAATAAAAAAATAGGACATTCCTGAATCTGGCACCATCGCGTGTGTCGAAATGGTCAACTTCATGTGCCATAAGTATTTACGTATAGATCTTGGACCAAAGATCAACTTTGTTATTGGTCACAACGGAAGTACGTAATAGTACTAGTAGTGGTTGTATTATCAAAGTGTGACTTACGAGAAAACATCTTATCATTAGGTGGTAAAAGTGCTATCATGACGGCCCTCACTATTGCTTTGGGTGCAAAGGCCAGCTCAACGAACCGTGGCAAGAATTTGTGCTCTTTTATCCGTGAAGGTGAAAAGTAAGTTGGGAGAATACTGCAGGAGAGAGAGAGAGAGAGAGAGAGAAGGTTATGCTTTTGGCAGAGGTACTAAGTCAAAAACTATCAAACATCGAAGCGCTGCTTTGATCACTGTTACTCTTACAAACAAGGGCCCTGATGCATACCGTAATGATGTCTACGGTGATAAAATTGTCATTGACCGCAAGATTATGAAGGACGGCACTGGCCAGTACAAGATCAAAAGCGCAGCCGGCAAGATCATCTCGTTCAAAAGAGAGGAATTGACAGCTGTTTGCGATCATATGAATATTCAAGTGGACAATCCCCTTACCGTACTCAGTCAAGACAATGCCCGTGAATTCCTGAACGCTAGTTCTCCCAAAGATAAATACAGAGTAAGTCAGTGTGAACCAGGAATAAAAAGAGAAAGAGATCATGCTAATAAGGGACACACTGGTTTATCTCTAGCTATTCATGCGTGGTACTCAACTCTCCACGCTTGCAGAAGATTATGACGACATTGGAGAAAAACTCAACACAACTTGTGCTATTGTGGACCGAAAAAAGCGCGTTCTTCCTGATCTGAAGAGAAAAGCAGATGATGCAAAACAACGTTACACGGAGGCGCTTGAACGTGATAAACTAGAAGAGCAGCTTGAAACGCTTGGCAGCGAACTCGCCTGGGTGCAAGTGAATCTCAAGGAAAAGGAGGCTGAAGCGTCGAGACAGAATGCAGAAGCCGCTGAGCATAAAGTCAGAGTGGCAAAGGAGAAGCTTGCCGCAGCTAGGGTTAGAGTCCTTAACCACTTAGACAGCTGTATACTTTTTGAAGCTCTAGTAACCTCATTGCATATATTCTTTCATTTTTAGGGTAAAGTTGAGCAATTTAATGAGGAGATCGCTGAACAACAACGACAAAGCGACGAGTATCACGCAAGCGTCACTCTTAATGTTGAAGGAAAACAGCGTGAGAATCAACTGATGATTAAGGCCCAAACGAGACGAGAAGAACTCAAGGTATTTTCTGTTCTATAAATTATTCAACTTTACCGGACCACAACAGTGTAAATTATATTACTGACTCTTCTGTGCTCTCTGTGTGTGTGTGTCGGATAGTCCGATGCCCAGAAGATCAACGCTTTCGTCAAAACCACAAAACAGGAAGTAGTCAACCTTACTAAAGACATCGATGCTGAAACAGCGAAGCAAGAAGCTAGCTCACAAGCCGAGAACGATGCGCGTCAAGCAAAGCTTGACGAGTTGGAACAAGCAAAAGCAGAGAAGGAAGAGCAAGCACGCAATTATCGGACAGAAATTGGTGATTTAGAAGTCCAAGTTGGCGAATACAGTGCTGAAAGAAATAGTTTTGCAAACAAATTCAGTATGCTGGAAAAACAACGACGAGAAACGCAACAAAGACTCGACGCTTTGACGAACCAAAAGGCCGACAGATTACGTGCGTTCGGCAGGTTTGTGCCGGAGGTGCTTCGTGACATTGAAGCTGAGCGACGTTGGACACGCAAACCTGTTGGACCGTTTGGCCGTTACCTCAAATTGAAATACCCCGAATATACGGAAACGATGGAAATTGTACTTGGAAAAGTCCTAAACTCGTTCGTCGTGGAGAACTATGATGATCGCAAACTCTTGTCATTGATTCTAGAACGCAGGAAAATGTAAGTATTGAATCGATTGTCCCTCTTTATTACGTCTCGTTAGCTCATATATTCTACGAAACAAAAATACTAGGGGTGATACTCTTATTATTGTTTCCAAGCATGATTTGTTTGATTTCAGCGAGGGTGAGCCAGATGCTAGATATCTGACGATGCTGCGTGCTTTAGAGGTGTGTATATTTACAATTCGGATGGTTCGTGGTAGCAAACAGAGCTGTTAAGATTGCTTCCTTTTTGTGCCGTAAAATACAGTTTTCAGACGAATGGGTCAAGCGCCAGATCATTGTTGCAAGAGATATCGAGAAATTGGTACTGATTGGTGAGCGAAGAGAAGCCGATGATTTAATGCTAGGCGGCGGCCCGAGAAACGTTAAAGCTTGCTACACAACCAAGGCCCAAAAAGTGACTGGTCAACATGGTTTGAAGACGGAAGCTCTTCAAAGATATAGGGGCCCTCCACGGTTCAAGCAAGATATTGAACCAGAGATCAGGCAAGTAGTACAAATCTGCAATACATCTTTGTGTGTACGTATGTGACAGCGCGACTGACAATTGTGGGTGTGTTCTGTCATAAATCATAGAGAGATGATGGCAGAATTGAGAAAGCTTGATGTGCAGTCTAGTGAATTAAAGCAAGCTCGTCAACAAGTACAGAACAATCTTGAGCATATTCGAAATCGCTTAAAGGAACTGCAGGTAACGGTCGAAAAAGCTCTTTATCGTATACTTTGCGTTGAAATTTATACGAGTACGTGTATCTTTCCCACAAACAATACTGACTTGCAGAGTAGCAAAAACTATATGCTATTGATAGAGAGATTCGAGCCATCGTCTTTAATATCCGTCAGGTCCAAGAATCGATGAAAGAGGAGGAGCCGGTGAACCTCCAGATGTTAAAAGACAGAAGAGACGTAAGTAGTTTTGATTCTTTCCTTTATTTGTTCCTGTGTGTATATGCCAGCACCTCCACTGACACAAACTCAACTTATTTGGCTATTACTTCTAGGAATTGCAAGGACAAATTAACGGTTATGTTGGCCAGTTTTCAGAGATTAGGAAACAAGACGATGAAACTCGAAAAGAAATCGCAGACATTACTGTCAGACTCCAGCAATTTGAAGCAGACGAAGAAGAACATGCACAAAAAATGCGAGTATTCCAGGTATGCTACTATTTTCCCTTTGATGATGAAATATGGGAAACGTGTGTATATATGAAAAATGGCTAATATCTAGAATTTGTAACGCAGAATGCTATCAATGAAATTGATACCTTGCTTCATAAAGCACTTCGACATCAAAGCAATATGCAAGAAAACCTTAATCAGTCTCTTGTGCGCGTTGATGAACTGAATAAGAAGGCAGATCTTGATGAACGAACCGTGGAGGTATGACAAATAGTATGCATTTCTTATATACTCATGGGCTGTATCGGATATACGTGTACTGAACATTGTGGTATATTTGGTATCTATCTAGGAATGGACAAGACAAGTCATGGCGGAATGGCCCCAGCGCGTTGATACCAGGCGTACTCCAGACCAGATTCAGAGACAAATCCGACATCTGGAGATGCGCATTGAAGAAAGAAATAGGGCGTAAGTAGTTATCACTCTTATCATTGTCACTTGTGAAGAGACTAGATTCTTATCGTAACACTTAATCATGTAAAGTATCGGAGCCACTATGGAAGAAATTGAAGAAGAAGCCAGAACAGCGTTAGAGGCTCTTAAAAGTGCCAAAAATACCATAGGGCTGCTGGATAGATTGAAGAGGGTATAGTATCATTTGATATTTGCGTAATATGTAAAGATATACATAGGGTAAGTGACAGCTCTAACTAAAATTAACTTCTTAGGAACTTCGGTCAACTTTGGAAGCACGCATGGATCACTGGACTTTGTTCCGCATGTACATTTCACTCAGTGCCACCGGGCATTTCACTTATTTCATGCACAAACGAGGATACAATGGCTATCTAAAGTTCAATCATGACAAAGAACGCCTTGATGTTCGAGTAAGTTTCTGACTCTTCATTCTTTTATGCGTGTGCATACATAGCCACTTTATAGAGTAGATTCGTTGCTTACTGCTCCTGCTATTTTCATATTGGCCTTATATGAAATAGGTTTCTACCAGTGATCAAATGAAAAGAGGAACAAGACACAAGGATTCCAAGACCCTTTCGGGTGGTGAGAAATCATTCTCTCAAATCAGTTTACTCTTGTCTTTATGGGAGGGCATTTCTTCCCCTGTCTATTGGTGAGTAATCAGATTTAACTTTCCTATCTTATTACGAGCGATTTTATAACTTCTAAACATTATACCATCATTCAAATAGTCTGGATGAATTCGATGTATATATGGATGCCGTTAACAGAAAACAAAGCATGCGTATGATGGTAAGCGATGTTTCTTTTTTCTTTTAAGAAGTGTATACGACTTTTTATCAAGAAACGCTAATCCGGACAAATAAATTAGATGGAAGCTGCAATGGGCAATGACTCTCAATATATCTTCATTACCCCACAAGGTACGTTTAAATATTATTAAAGGGAGTCTAATCTTCAATAGACGAAAGATTAGAATGCAAGATAAACAAACTTACGTTAACCTTTCAATGATAGACGCATCCAACATGGTTCCTGGTCCATATATCAAGGTGCACCGTTTGAGCGATCCGGAGCGACAACAGCCGCATGATTAAGCTCTTTCTTTCTTACAGTTCTCTCATAAATAATCCCTCCCATCGTCCATTGTAAAATACGCATAAGTCTTCCAGCTCTTTTCTCAAATAAAAGTGTAGTATAACAAATACAATAAATGCGATATAACGTCCACCTATCCAACGGGAAGGTGTCTCGGTCTTCGTGCTCTATTGTGTACACAGATAGTCATCATACCGCCAAGCGAGAAACACTCTTTTCGACGCGCTACAAACAAAGCAATCTTTCGCATTACTTACGAAAGTTGCTATCATACAATAACTTGGCGTGTGCTTTTTACGTGCGTCTATCGTCAATTTTATCAGTCAAACACAGTCAACAGTTATCCCTGCTGCGCGATTTTCTGTTGTCGCAGCTGAATATAAAGCACTTGACCCCACTGACCTGAAATTTATTTTCCTTTCACACCTTCCGACGACAACTAGAAATGAGCGAGTTATTGGGAGCTGCCGCTGCAGGGCAAATCAGAGATCGATTTGCACAATCAAGCAGTCCCGAAGAAGCCATTCGCGATATTCAACGCGACTATGGTCTTAATATGCTACCAGGCATGGAAGCCATTTACATGCTCCTGGATCTTTCGGGTTGCAAACGCGCAGAAGTCCATAGTGCATGTCTCGAAGCACTCAATCGAGCCGTTGTTGCACGTATTCAAAGTCCTGAATTTGGAGAAGAAGAGTGAGTTTCGACTTGGTCGTTTTCCTTCCTTTTTCTTCTTTGCGCTGGACATGGTTGATTATCAATCTTATGGAGTTTGCGATCAATGATGGAATAAAACAGTAGAAACTGATCTTGCAAGTATGTATAGATTCATTCAAGTTTTTCAACGCTCGCTTTCATATATTGCTATTTCAGAACTTCAGCCTATTCCTATGGCGTTATTGGAGAAATTTGCATCGTATCTCGACCAAGACACTTTGGAAGCGTTAAAGCAAAATCTAGACGTGTTCGAGGTATTTTAAAGTGTTGAGGGACCTTCCTTGTTTTTTAAAAAAAAAACATCAATGCTAACATGAATGCGCATTAACACGATGTCTTTGTAGCAATGCCCTGTTAATGTCAAGCAGCGTATCTGGAAGCAAGACGAATCATTCTTCCAGGAACAAATTCTGCAGATGCTTAACATGTATCATTATGACGACGATTTGCAGGAAGCTGCCATGAATCTAAGACCCGACAGTTATCAGGATGTTTTGTCCACGAGGTACGTATAGCATATCGTTACATTTTTATAAAATCAGTGAAAGTAAAACAATGACTTATATCTATATATTTCTACTAGACGATTACATCCAATTGTCAATAAACTGATGGAAATCATTAATGGCGATCCCAAGTTGTACTCTATGGTCCTAAACACGATCCATATTGTCTTCCAGTCATCGCCCTTCCCCAGTTTGTGTTCGATCCGTGTCGATTTACTGATGAACTATCATGAAAAAGATAATGCTGCTGTAAGTGAATTTGGAGGGAGGATACAAATGATGCAAAGTCTGTAATAGAGGAAAAAGGAAGTTACTGACCTTTCTCTTAAATAAATAGGTACTGAAAACAGACAAATGCCATCGACTTATTTGGTCACTCGACACCTGCGTTCGTACGCAGAATATGGATGGAGCCATTATCGAAAAAATTAAGGAATGCTTTGACGATGTCAAAAACGGCACTCCTCTATACACGTGAGTGTCTTAAGAAAGAAAAAAAAAACATATACGAAAAAGGAACACCTAAACATTGTAATGCTAATGACAATTTGTTTAAACTACGATTAGTGATTATGCCATGGTATTGATGGACCCAATTATCTCAAACTTTCTCTCTGCCTGCATTATGAAGTGGCTGCGCATTAGCGTGGATGACGACGTACCCGAGGACTTGGAACAACTCATCAAATACAGCGCCAAACTGCTTAACTTGGCTGAGCAGGCACCCATGGCAGCACGTACACAACAAAAAATTCCAAAAATCGACAAAAACTTAACTGATTGTTGGAGCTCGTTATGCGCAATCATGCTTATGGAAAACAACAACAAAGGTTCTGTCAAGCCGTCAGATACAGAAATATTACGGGTGATGCTGAGTAAAAGTGAGATTGCGCGCAAGGTGTTTGTCCAATATTGCATCGACAGAACTTTCGAAGGTGATATCATGTCGCTCCAACGATTGCTGCCTTTTATCCTCGAGACATTGCCTGTTTCAAATGATACCAACGCCGCGCATGTGTTCATATACGAAAGCTTTATTCATACGTTCATTGGTATTCTCAACAAAAAGTGGTTGGTCGAATGCGTCATGGATGATAAGTGGAAGACAGCTGTGTTCAATGGCTTTTTAATACACATTGTTCGCTGGAGCGCTATCGCACACAAGGAGGTCGTGGTGTTGCTGACGAAATGCTTTGCCGGCCCAAAACTTCAACGACTTTTGGATGAAAAGATTGGTTTGATTGCTGAATGGGTTGATCGTGTCTGTCAAGAAGGATACAAAGATGAAAAGGTAAAGCACACCAGGTTTATAAATTTTAAAGAGTACGTTGTCTAATTTGAATTTGGGCTGTAAACAATAGAATATCCACGAACTACATAAAGTCTACAGCAATCTCTTATCACTGTCAGAAACTACGTTGGATGGTCAATTTCGAATTGCGCCTCCTGCCGTTTTGCATTTTCTGAGTAACAACCCGTAAAAATAGTACTTCATCACGAAGCTCTGTACATAGATGATTGGCTGTATATACATTTTTTATAAACCAAAGGCTTTTCTTTCCTTTGCGTAATCATCCAATTGTCTCTCGAATTTGCACTGTTTGCATGATTTTGCTTGAACACTCACATTCACAGATGCGCAGTACATACTTGTATATGTATTTACTAGTAGTGTCAATAATTCGAGCTGCCACAGAACATTTATCATGCATTTTAAGCAGTGTGATACAATATGATCAGTTATACATATTTTGGATTGCAGGGTCCCACTAACTGTTAGTTAGCGGTGGTTGCTTTATCTGTATTGCTTGTCTGTCAAGCTCTAAATGACATGATCAATGATGTCGGTGACGAGTACATTTAACTTTTGAGGTTCTCCACTTGGAAGCAAATCACTATAAAGCGCATGTAGTAATGTCTCTTTCCGGGTTTTACAAAACGTTTGCTATCGTTTTAATTCTCTAATTTATTTTTTTTTCAACGGATTTAATATCATATCAGGATTAAAATTATCTTGAATTTCTATATATTCACTACATTCCAATATCAATACAGTGATATGGTTATAAGATATGACAATTAATTATATAGAAAAAGTGCTATAGTTCTGCTTCCATCCATTTTTCAACGTGTTTGCTCATCCAATCCAACAATTTGTTGTTCAAATTAACTCTCTCTTGTTCGATTCTGTACTTGGCCTCGTCCTCGGTGATGGCTTTCTCCTGTGCATATCGCTTGATGCCTTGGATGATTATTTTGCGACGGTTGACGAACTTGGAATCATCCCTGCGCCATTGCGTGCCCCACCGTAACTCGAGGCTCTCAACAGATGGGGCACCACCTAAACCTTCATGCCATTCACGCCACAAGTCGTGGATGGTTTGGATGCCACGGCTCATGCGGTAGTTTGGCGGTGTATCCAGTTGTTGCTGTGCGGGAGAAAACGGTGTTGCAGCGGAAGGGCCTGTGATAACTGCAGTAGATGCATCAGTGGGAGCAGAAGCAGAAGGACCAGTAGATGCATATGGCGGCTGGTGTGCGTGGAGTTGCACGGTTAAAGGGATCCGCCCAGATGTCAAATCCCGTAAGTACTGTTGAGTAGCTTGGGATTGTTGCTCAACAGCCAAAGTAAGTGCGGCAATCTTCGCTGAGACATCAGTATGCATGGTACGGACAGAATCATGTAAATGGGGCATAGCCATTTGGAGTGTCAGCTCTTGGGGTCTAGGCGCCTCGCTGACAGCACTTGTCACAGCTCTAGATACGATAGGCAAACAAATACAATACGTATACTTTTAACGCAACACGAGCAATTACGACCAGCTTTATAAATCACTAACCCTTTAAATTCCAAGTAATGTGTATCATTGAACAAGGAAGCGTTCCAAATGGAAAGACCTGGATGGCGTTGTTGCATTAAAACTGAATCTTGTAGAAATGTGACACGCAAAACACGCAACATCTTCAGAAATCCATCTGCCGCCATCGTACTATCGCCTTCGTTCTGATCTATCCTTTCTTGCCATTGTTCAATCCAAGGGAAAATTCTGCGGCAGAGTTCTGGCGAAGGCTATACAATGTCACGGGGGAGGTAAAAGCGACCACCATCCGGGGAAAAATCAGCCATATTTCGTAGCAACCTTCGAGGGAGGTTTGTCAGATATGATCCTTCCATGGAATCACCTGTCCAGCGACCAGCTCGACGGATATCCGAGTCACCAGTGCCTCCAATATCCGCCATTTTCGCACCCGAATTTCGTCCAGCGTGTGTCTTGGCTTTGCTACGAATACCGGCATGCCTGAAAGCGTTGTCAATGGTTTTGTAGTGCGCAGCATGGGTGATCGCTGAGGTCAAATCGTTAGGCTTGGACTTGCATAGCTTGATATCATACCAAGTCTCGGGCTCAGTCATGGCCGGAAATCGTTCGCCTTTGGGACATCAGTCAATTCCAGATCCCGGACGTTTTCGCCACGCATCAACGCAAAGTGGGAAATCAGTAGCATCAATGTGTTTCTGTAGTGTTCACTCTTGTCCTTTCGAAAACAGTAGTCGACAATCGTTCCTAGTTCCGCGAGGGTCGAGTAGCCATCCAAGAGTGATGGGGCAACCCTTCCGGATGATTCCGATTTGCGTATGATACAATAGTATTCCGAAATTTACAGGTATAGGCTCCGATATCCAATATACTTGATTAAACATTCGAAAGCACTTGTAAATATGATGTGACTGCAGGACAAAGGATCTTGTACGCATCCACCTCACAATGAAACGTTAATAAAATGCCCACGGTCAATACATGAAAGGAAAACAGAAACTGCAAACGATTTATTTAAGAACAAAAAGAAACAAAGGGATGGGCATTTTTAGATGTTCAAGAAAAGCTCGGTGTACTTGGGGAAGGCCCTATATTTAAAAATAGTAAAACGAATAATCAACACAGGCGCTCTTTCTCATTCCCTCACATGCACACACAGTTTTCACAATAACTTACCATAGCTTATCAGCAATAGTCTTCTCCAGGGAATCTGCAAGCTCACGGACAGCCTCCATGGCAGGCAAGACCTTATCACCAGCATAGACAGCCAACTTGCTGACGTCCTCGATGGAAGTCATATCGTTGGTCAGCTTTTCCAACTCCTGGGTGCGGTCCTGGAGGTTCGAAACGATGGGGGACAATTCCTTGATGACACGGGCCTCAGCAGTAGCATCCAAGCCAATAGCGCCAATCTTGGAAGCGGTCTCGGCTAACTCACCACGGTAAGTGTAAGCAGCGGGCAAAACGTGCTGGATCACCATTGTAATCAAAGTCTGTGCCTCAATCATGACGTCCTTGGAGTACTTTTCCATCAAAATATGGTAACGCGAGGTCAACTCGGCGTCAGAGAAGACACCAGTCTCACGCAACATGTCGGCGTTCTCCTTCTTGAGCAGACGGGTGAAAGCATCGGGGCTCTTTGTGATGTTGGGCAGACCACGCTTGGCAGCCTCTTGGACCCAGTCATCGGAATAGTTGTCGCCCTCGAAGCGGATAGCCTTGGTCTTTGTGATGTATTCGCGGATGACAGCCAATTGGTCCTCCTTTGAGGCGATCTTCTTGTCGCCCTTTTGCTTGCGCAAAGCGTCTCTGATTTCCATCAACGAGGAAGCGACGGCCGAGTTGAGGAGGGTGACAGGGAACGACGTAGATTGCTTGGAACCGACAGCACGGAACTCAAACTTGTTGCCAGTGAAGGCGAATGGCGAGGTACGGTTACGGTCGGTCAAATCACGGGCAATGCTGGGAAGGGTGGCGACCTTGAGATCGAGGACGGTGCCCTTGACGCGAACGTTTTGCATCTGGGTGCCGGTAGCGCCATAGTTGACGGGTCGGTTCTCCTCAATGGCATTGAGAACTTCGTTCAGCTGGCTACCCAAGAAGACGGAGATGATACCTGGGGGAGCTTCGTGGGCACCGAGACGGTGGTCGTTTGAAGCAGATGCGATACCAGCACGCAACAAATCGCCGTGGTCAAGAACAGCCTTCAAGACAGCGACCAGGAAGATCAAGAAGCGGACGTTGTTTTCGGGGTTGGCAGAGGGATCCAAGAGGTTGTCGCCCTGGTCAGTGGACATACTCCAGTTGCAGTGCTTGCCGGAGCCGTTGACGCCGCGGAAAGGCTTTTCGTGGAAGAGCACCTTGAGCTTGTGGCGATGGGCAACGCGGTGAAGGACATCCATGGTCAGCAAGTTGTGATCGACGGCCTGCATGGCTTCCTCGAAGATGGGAGCGACCTCAAACTGGGCAGGGGCGACTTCGTTGTGGCGGGTCTTGATGGGGACACCGAGCTTGGCGAGCTCGTGCTCGCATTCGCTGATGGCGGCCAAAACACGGGTGGGGATCTTGCCAAAGTAGTGATCCTCGAGCTGCTGGTGACGAGGGGGCAGACCACCAAGCAAGGTGCGGCCAGTGATCTTCAAATCGGGACGCAGCGTGTACAGACCACGGTCGATCAAGAAGTATTCCTGCTCGGTACCCAAAGTGGTGAATACGTTCTTGGCACGTGGGTGATCTGTGTGCATCGTTTGATGTCAGCCATACCGACTGAGTGTATTTTCCACTCCACTCCACTCCACTCCACTTCACCGCAAAGAGACTGATCATCCCTCCTTTTTGTTCTTTTCTAACCTTCATCGACCTCATCAATCAGCGACAAGATCTCCAAAGCAGTCTTGTTCAGCACCTCGGAGGAGCGCAACAAGACACTCTTTTCGTCCAAGGCCTCGCCGTTGTACGAGATGAAGACGGAGGGGATGTACAGGATGGCCGTGCCGTGGGGACCTTCTTGGATAAACATTGGGCTGGGATACAAATTAAGTCAGTTAAGAGTCATCGTCGCTATTTTTAGGCCGGTGATTTGAGGGTATGTACGCGGGGTGTGGATGGATGGATCGATGGGATCGATTGATTGGGATTTGTGTGTGGAGTGGGATGCTAAGCTTTCACTACTACTGAGACTCTACCTCTTGGTGTCCCACACGGTGTAACCGCGCGCTTCGAAGGTGGTACGCATACCGCCGGATGGGAACGACGAGGCATCCGGTTCAGATTGCAAAAGCTGGGATCCCGAGAATGTCTCGAGCGCAGTAACCTGTCAAAGAAGAAGACCGCTTTTCATTAATCTCAATGTCCCAGTCGGCAACCCCCTTCCCATCCCATCCCTTGCTGTGCTGCATGGCGTTGCAGTGCGTATGCCGCATATGTTAATTTTTCCTAGTGCTGCTAAATAAACAAACCTCTTCAAAACCATTGAAGAAGCTGGATTTCAACGTCAAAAATGAGTCATGCTTCTCTGCCGTCGAATCGGTCATGGGCTGGAACCAGTGCGTGAAATGGCTGGCGCCCCGTTCAATAGCCCACACCTTGACAGCGTGTGCGATCGCATCGGCTGTGACCTTGTCCAACGTCTGGTTGCCACGCAGCTGCTTCATGAAGCTCTGGGATATTAAAAAGTACCACAAGAGCACAGTCAGTTTCCTTTCATTCTTCCCGTTCCCCAACCAACCCCCCCTACCCCTTTGTCTCCTCTGCATGCACATCACCCTCTGAAAGCGATCGTGCTTTCCGTTGCTGTTACCTTAAAGATGGGCTTGGGCAATGTGTGCGACATTTCCTTCAGTGAAAAGACATTGCTGCCAAAGACCTCGGTAATGGTCTTGGCCTTGCCGGTAGCGCCTTCAGATAGGCTAATGTTACGAGGGGCCTTGGTAAGGCTCTCGACAACAGTGTTTATACGTGCTTGGTGGGTCATGAGTGTGTGGGGTGTGGAGAGAAGAAAATAATAAAAGAGAGCGAAAAAAAATCCCGCGCGTGTTGTGGTTTGAACCATTTTGTCGCGGTCGTTGAAATGAGTAAGCTGTGTGTGTGTGTGTGTTGTTTGCTGTCAATCTCAAAGCGTACTTAGCGCAGTTTGATGTGAGGCTATAATTGTGATCCGTTCACACCCACCATCTCTCCTTCGCACCGACCCACAGAAGATCGAAATCTTTTTGTTTGTGTTTTTTCTTCCATTGGTGACCCGATCACACCCGGAACGACCACTATCCGTCGAAATGCATAAACGTTTGATTTCCTTTTTTTTCCCCTTTGTATCACGCCCCATCTCTTACAACAGTCATCTGAGCTTGAGATAAGATATGATAGCGATCTAGTACTGCATTTCCCTTGATCCGAGAAAGTACCACCCAATACCACAGTCCCGGGCCCCCAGCAGCCAGACTGAGGATATAAATACCTGTCCCCCCTCCTGTTCTCTCTGTTCTCTCCATCACTTCAACTCTACTCTTCCAAACCAAAGCAATGTCCTCTACCACTACTATTACCACTACCCCTACTGCCACCGGCTACCGTCTCAACGGCGACGCCTGCCAGGACTACAAGTTCAAGCCCATCAGGGAAGCCGAGGTTAACCGCGAAATGACCCATCGCTACTTTACCGACATGATCGAGTATGCCGAAAGCGACGTTGTCATCGTTGGTGCTGGCAGGTAACCCTATGAAACAACCATTATATGCTGGATATTTTGTTACTTCCGAAGCAACTAACACGCGACTGATGCCATTAGTGCTGGCTTATCGTGCGCCTGGGAGCTTTCCAAGGACCCTTCGATCAAGATTGCCATTATCGAGCAATCTGTCGCCCCTGGCGGTGGCTGCTGGCTCGGCGGCCAACTCTTCTCGGCCATGATTGTTCGCAAGCCCGCCCACACCTTCCTCGAGGATGTTGGTGTGCCCTTTGAAGAAAAGGAGAACTATGTTGTCGTCAAGCATGCTGCCCTGTTCACCTCGACCATCCTGTCCAAGTTGCTCCAGCGGCCCAATGTCAAGCTCTTCAATGCCACTGCTGTCGAAGACTTGATTGTCAAGCAGGGTGAGGTCAAGGGCGTCGTCACTAACTGGGCTCTCGTTACGTTGACTGGCCATGACACCCAGTCATGCATGGATCCCAATGTCATTGAGGCCAAGGTTGTAGTTTCCGGCTGTGGCCATGATGGTCCCTTTGGTGCTTCTATGGTCAAGCGTCTTCAGTCCATCAAGTTGGTCGAAAAGGGCTGTGGCATGCGCTGCCTCGATATGAATTCAGCTGAGGATGGTAATGATAATATTGACGCGTGCTTCTTAACAGTAGTGGTAGTGAGCTAACGTTGTCTGAATGCCTTATAGAAATCGTCAACCAGACCCGCGAGATTGTCCCGGGTATAGTCATGACTGGCATGGAACTGGCTGAACTTGATGGTGCCAGCCGCATGTAAATATCCAAGATCTCTTTTTTTTCCCTCTCTCTGTGCTTGTTGGGACCCTGGGAAGATCTATCTCATTTCACGATAAGGAAGAAGCGTAACCGTTGCGTCACTGTTTGTTATTTTTCTATTAGGGGCCCAACATTTGGCGCCATGTTGATTTCGGGCCAAAGAGCCGCTTTCGCTGCACGTGCTTCTCTCCAGAGACAACGGGATGCTGAAGAGCAGACCCAGAACAAGATTTCTCACTAAAGAAATGAGGTACGTGCTGATTGTGATATCGTGGAAAACTATTAGTCCCTGTGTTTTTCTCGATTGCAATTGGCACTAGGGGTGCTTGGATCTTTTAAGGAACTTTCCTTCTCCTTCGTGGAGCGGGAGGGATCTTTAACTTTTTCAGGCTGAGACTTTACCCTTGGAACTTGACTCTGGATAATACCAGCGAAAGGAAGTGTCATTGCGTGTTTATTAACGCATCTTTATTCTCTTGCTTGTAATTTTGTGGTAATAAACGCGACTTTACCTTTTCCTTCTTTTAAAACCTTTAATGTGTACATACATATTGCATGCACTGGCTGTTGTTGGGTTTTTGTGCGTTTAAGCAACATCTGTCGCGTAGAAAAAAAACTTTTTTTGGGGTAGATGAAGACCCGGATTTTCCCTTTTGCTTTCTCTGACGTTCAAGAAATGCATATGTACGTTGCACAAAGGACATGAACCGTTGGTATATCTCTCGCCTATCCTAAAAGTAGCTTGAATTTCAAGGGAACTCGGATCACCATTTATCAGCTATGAATGATGGCCCTCGTTCGGGTAGATACGCTTAACGCCGTATTGTTTGGACGTGGAAAAGTGGGTCTCCATCTGCATTATGACTCACGATAAACAATGTACTATCCCTGTTGAAGCTAAGATCCGACCATCCATTGTTTTGGTTTATCACATTTCTCAGCTGTATAGCTCTTCTGATGTTTCTGATGAGAGGATGGAAGATTGTACTACAGCCATCTTGAAGATGTTCAAAATATACGATACAGTTTTGTATCATGAAAATCTGGATCGTTCTCTTCTGCTATTCCACGCTGATTTGTTATCCCTATTAGTTCTGCTCAAAACAGATTGGATATGGTCAAAAATATAGTCTGCGGAAGGAGTGATTGAATCTGTCATATTCTCACTACGCTTTTATGTGCTCTAGAGGGCATTTGTAGCATGAATAGTATTCCCCGTCGAAAAAGCTATTCTTATGGACAGCACCCTAAACTAAAACTGAATAACAAAGTAGAAAGTCGCGTGTTTTGCATAGACGTGTAGGAAAGTTCGTGCAGGCGTCTATCATGCATGAACCGGTATATACGAATCCTGTTATCATGACTACTACCGACTATCATAGAAACAATACACGTATTCAATTCTCAAACAAGATGTTCTTTTTGATCCAGGGCTTAAATACTACATCGGAAACACTCCTGGAGTACATTCTGTTAGCATAAAAGATATACCCAGCTGAGGTGCCCGAGACAGCTGCTCATAGTAAACATATGTATGCACTGCATTTACGCCACTAGTTCTACATAAATAGCACATATGAATTTGCTTCCCCTGTCGTGACACTGATAGAGACCATATCATGGTGCAGATAATGACAAGCTAATTGTGCGATTTTTAGTATTTGGGTTAGATTTTTGAGTACTTTTGTATCGAAGCCAAAGTGTAACGCAGTGACTTTTTGTATGTTTTTACTGCTGTATATATGCAACTTCAATAAGCACCAAGTTCTTTTGGTTGTAGTTCTGTTTACAGAAGTTGCGTTTCAATACAGAGTTCGAGTTTTAAAAAGAATGTGTTCGCGTTCGCGTCCTCGTTCTCGTTTTGCGACCGTGTTACAGATACCAAACATCGAAACTGGCAGTGAGCGAGCCCATCTGCTTCAACATCCTGCTTCTGCTTTGTTTTATGATACATTTTTAAATAATACGTATACATGTCATATTCGACCCGATCGGATATCGAAAACCACCGGCTCATCAAAGAGTGCGACAGGAATGAGGGGAAAATGTTCCAGCAAATCTATATCTTTTGAAGTCTGACAAAAGCGCTTGACAGCATTGTGTACAGTAATATCGAGGTCTTCAAGAAGACTGCAGCAAAAGTTGTAGTTTTCCACAAAAAGCGGTGATAGAAGAATCAATAGTGATAAAGCTACCTTATGAATCAAAACAGAAAAGAAGAATTACCGAAGCTGGTTTTCTAGAATTATTGACACTCACCACAAGAGGGTCACTAAAGCTTAGTTGCGAGGAAAAAAAGACATGATATTACACATCTGTGCCTACGGTAAGTTACTGTTAGAAATATGCTTCTACTGATGCCCTATCGCTAGTAAGTTGTGCATTTAATAAACCGTATGATTTACTTGCCTTCTCGTGTCGCTTTTAAAACTGATAAGCCATTGTATTCGCGATCTCTCCTTTTTAGATACTTTTGAAGCCCGGTCCGAGCGTCAAGAGCAGCATAAGCGATTTTGATAAGGACTGCTCGCTCCATTATTCGCTTGTTCGTACATTTTCTTTTAGAAGAAACTGATCAAGATATGCAGCACATATATCAGTTAAGCTCATCATGGCATCGATGATAGCACCTTGGTTGCTTGCGATATCTCGTTACGTCACACCCTCTGATACCGTGACTGATGGCGAAAAATAAAAAAACTCAAAGATGCTGAATGACACAGGATGTTAACAAGCTATTCAAGAGCACGAGTTCCTTCAAGAAGAGGAGCGAAAAAAAAAAGTGGATGCACTCAATGATGTACAGAATACAGTAGGCTTAAAGAAGCAGGTCATGCAACCGTACGGAATGGTCCAGGTAATCAAGATAATCAACAAGCAGACCGAAAAGATAAAAGGTCTACTCGATGCGTTACAAAAAAGCCTTTTTATGGTGTCGAAATCTAGTAAGCTGTTCTTCATTTTCGTAAAAGGTGTACATAGAGGATGTAGATGGTGTTGCTACTGGTGACTTTATTTATAAGCACGATACACAAATAAAGAAGAAACTGAAGGATCATCCTCAAATAACCGCCATTGTACCGCTCGTACTACGCTTCTCCTCGACTGCTTGGAAGTTTCGATAATCCAAGAGGCCATCAACCATCATAGAATTTGAGACAGAAAGACATGCACGTTTTTTCTAAAACATGCAGTATGTTACGGCTTACTTATAAAAGAGGACACCAGAGCCTCCGATAAGTGTATACAAGCCCTTGAAGGAAAGATTATAGATGACATTTTGTGTTCTAAGGTATATAGCGAGTGCTGCAAATACTACCGTGGTATACATATGATAGTGTAGAAGATGCACGCACGTTAACGTTCTTTTGTTGTTTTGATTTTTTTGCAAACACATGTCGGTATCTGCCCGATCATGCAAAATTCGAAAATGGGGCTTGAGTGTCAATTAAGAGAAGCAAACAACAGGTGTTCTGACATCATGCGTAATTGCTTTGTTTTTATAAGCATGTGATATGTGTGCAACTTGAAAAAATAAACAAGCACCACAGACATTCTGTAAACAAAAAAAAATATCGAGACGTTTACTACATCAGGGGATATCATCATAGTATAACAAGCAATCAATGCTTCTTCTAGCAGCAAGAGGAGAAAATTGGTTAGAATGAAAAAAAGAGCCTATATACAGATCGTGTACAGGTTTTCCACGACCCGCTTGAGCCAGGAACAGATCCTTTGAGAGAAATCGGATCACACTATATCCGCATCTCGACTTGTTGGGGTAATAACTAAGCATTTATTACTTTGCATGTTATACTTATTTAACATGAATTCTCTTATTCTTGCCTTGGTGCTTTGCTCGTATTATATAATACAAACACATTTTATGGCTGCATAAAAAGCAGAAACTGCTACTACAATGAAGGTGGAAATTTGGACAAGGGATTTTGATTGCAGCTATCAAGGTTCCATCAAAGAAGTATTACACGTACTGTTTTGGGGGGGGGGTTCGATCATCGCGTGCTTCTAGACTGTTTGCTATACCTTTTACTATTCCTTTCTGTAGTTATGCCTTTTGATATCATAGCTATTGGTAGCTCTAATAGTCCCTGCATTAATAAAAGATATTACTCTCTTGCTTGTCATCAAAAAAAAAAAATGCGTCATGTGGTAAGATGAACAAAGACACCTGTGATGATCACGGATGCATAATAAAAGAAGGGCCGATCTTTTGGTTCGGGTTTCTTCTGATCACACTAATCGAGCAATTGGGAACACTCCCTCTGCCCTTCGATTGATGGACAGTGATCTGTAAACATGGAATGGATTTTTCGATCATACTCTATATGGTGGTATGTTGTAAAGAAGATCAAGGGTTTGGAAGGTGTCACTTTATGTATGTATAATAAGCATGCCAAGACCACTAGGTCGACCGCATAAAATGTTTATCAGCCCACACTTTCATACAACTCAGCGATTAATAAGGAGGAAACACGCAATGATTACCGATGTCATGACCCGAATTTGTGGATGTTGAATATGCAAGGGGAAGAGGAGAGGAGTGCGAAATGGGTTAAAAAAAGATAAGTCGAGTCAACGGCAATCACAAAAAGGCTCGCAGATCGTGATGCCGGCGGGGCGGACGGAACGACAAAGTTGCGCCCCCCGATATAAAGTGCATGTGTGTATAGGTGATGTGCTGTACTCATATGTGTTATATGCGGTCTGACAGAGAGCTGTGTGTGAGTGGATGAAATTCTAGGGCGTGTGATACCAAATCGAGAAACCCAGCGAATCCAAACTGACCATCGAAATCAGCGTAGTAGAGATCTCGATGAGCGAGGACAATGGGCAGTCTTTAAAGAAATATAACCTAAGCGATTATTCAAACCGTATTCCATAATGACTTCTACCTTTCCTTTTTGTTCCCCATCACTAGTGTGGCCCGCACATTCCACCTCCAACACCACGCTTCCAGCTACTACTCTTCCTCATACTAGTAGTGGTGGCTATCTGGATTATCCTTCCTTGTCGCCGCCAATGGATTTGTTTGTCAACAGTCTCACCGAGCTGCTCCAATGTCCTGTTTGCAATAATGACCTGCGTGACCCAGTAACGTTGTCGTGTGGTTACACTGTATGCCAAGTATGCATTCCAGTACCTATTCAAGATCGCAACATCCACCAACCTGTCTTTATATGCCCCGTTCCTGACTGTCGGTACTCGACGCATCTTTTTGGACGTTCGCAAGAATCGTGCATTGATTCGGTCGTACAAAGTCTGTGCTTGATCGCGCACCGCTCAGCATTATCAATATGTCCACGATCATCATCATCATCATCAATCAATATTATGTCAACACCTACATCCGCCTCACTAGCATTACCGATCGCTAAGGGTAAACAGCTCGCAACGACAGCAGCCACAGCAACGACGGCAACCGATGCCCAGCAACAGGTCTCTAACTTGTTGCAATGCCGAAAATGCCACGACACGTTCCATCAGCCATTGACAACACACTGCGGCCACGTGTATTGCCGTCTTTGCTTGCTGAAGCTCAAGATTGAAGGTGAATCGTGTCCTGAATGCCAACGACCGTTGCCACGCTACAACCACATCCAAAACCAAGCTGCCGACAACCGAATTCTCGCACGGCTTCTCCAGCTACTCCAACAACACGAACGAATTTTCCAGGCGCCAAATACGTCGGCCATCCCCATGTTCGTGACAGGCCAAGTGATTCTACCGCATCAGCACGCACGGATCCCCGTCTTTACACCGTCGCATATCCGCATGCTCCGCCACGCCATTTTCGCATCGCGTCAGCACAACGCGCTCTGTCTACCAGCAGTACATCGTGGCCGACCCAACCTGTCACAATACGGCACGATTGTCCAGATCGTCTCGGTGGAACAAAAGACGGATGGATCGACTATCCTCGACGTCCGTGGCTGCGAACGGTTCCGCACCTACACCGCCGATCACGAAGAGGAAAATATGGAGGATGTGTCGGTCTTGATCGCCGATATCGATCTTGTTCCCGAAGTCGCTGTCCAAGACGCTTGGACTGACGAACTTGCGCTGCAAATCCACACGTTTATTCAAGAGATAGCAACAGTGCCACCGCTGGAAGGCGTGGTTAGCACCAGCACCATGGGATTACTGGGTCCGCTCTGGTTTGAAACAATGGAACGTATCCATGGACCGATGCCGGCACGTCATCAAGCAGCCGCACTTACATGGTGGGCGGCCGTGATTCTGCCTGTCAGCGGGGCGGAATGCTATGCGCTATTGCGGACGATCAATTTGCAGGACCGTCTTGAGCTTGTACTCTCGTGGATCAAGCAACTTGATGGCCAGTGGAAACGATGTCGTCAAACGGCTGTAAATACCGTTGCTGCTGCCATCCAGCCGCAATTGGAGAACTAGTCCACAACGACAACAACCGCAGCGTACTATACACTCGTTCCTCTTCTATGCTGCTAATCTACAACCGCACACACTACCAGCACCCATAACAACAACACGTTTGCCCCACTCATTCCTACTTTTTTTTACCAACACTATCATTCATTTTCATTCTCGTTATCTTCATCCACACCCACAAACCCTCTTTCTAAACCGCAAAACAGAGAAAAAGGAAAAAAAAAACAGTTCAGTCTTTAACAATATGATTCCTCTTTATATACATTGGACATCTCACAGCACACACCTAGTGCCCTCCTACTCCTTCTTCATCATTTATCCCCATCTCGTATATCCTCAATAATGATCCCCTGTCTATAGTTTTCTTGTTCTTACCATGCACAAATTATCTTTACGCATCTCTTATATACTGCACCGCAACCACACCCTATACCCCGCTTTTGTTTATTATGCTTCTGTATGCTAATCTTTTTTTCGGGCAAAGAAATAAAGGAACTCATTCATGGTATATAGCCTGTTTCGTATCAAGTGTTTCTGCTGTTGGAAACGAAAGGAAAAAAAGTCCTTCTCTCTCAGCAGCACGAGGAGTCGCTCCCCCTAAGCTTTCTATAGAGAGAGGGTCTCGTCGTAGTATTATGTATGCATGTGGGATCCAAGGTAACACATGTGTGTTTCCTCGTGCTTCAAAGTCGTGCACACTGCAGGCTCCACACATACACACTCTCTCTCTCTCTATCTCTATCTCTATCTTTTAGACTGCCACCTAGTACTTACCGCAGTGCATACACATAACCTCGTCTTGCGCCGACCCAAGCAAGAGAGGCCTGCTCGTTACAGTGTGTATGAGGGAGGCATAGTAAACTCAATTACCGGGATCCAGAAAGAGAAGAAACAGCCCAACCCCCTTCAGTATCCTTCCCCTGACGGTGAGTGAAAGGGACTAGCAGACGGCAAGGGCATCAAGTATAGTATAAAGTGTATACGGTTTTACCAAAGAAAGGTGCGTGTGCGTACATGATATAAGCTCCGCTGGTAAAGCAAAGGGCTCTTTTCCTTTTGCATATTCTGTCCCCTACTACACCCCCACCCCCCCCCCAACACGCCTTTTTTTTTTCTTTCTTTCGCTTCTTCCTTTCTTACGTTTCGTCTGACACCTTTCTTACTGCTTTCCTTAACTTAACATCCTTTTCCTTTTCATTCCATCATGAGAGAAATCATTCACGTTCAAGCAGGTACTGTTCTTGGTTGTTTCTTTTTCGTGAGAGCGCCGCTCTTTCTGCTTCGCGTTTACGCACCGTTGGGATCCGACCCGAAAAGAAGATTAGATTGAATGCTCATCTGCCTTTTGTTCATCTTTGTGTCTTTGTAGGCCAATGTGGTAACCAGGTAAAGATCCTGAGAGGCGAGGGACTCAAGAAGACGCGTATTACTGTCGTTGTAAAGCAACTAACAGTAACTCGTGTGATGTTTTTCCTTTTCTTAGATCGGTCAAAAATTCTGGGAAACCATCAGTCAAGAACACGGTATTGATGGATCGGGCGCCTACGCCGGCGACAACGATCTCCAATTGGAGCGTATCAACGTCTACTACAACGAAGGCTCCACTGGCAAATATGTGCCAAGGTGAGTTTGGTCTCTCTCTAGTCTCGCTTTTTTTTTTTCTAAAAGAAACTAATGGCCAGTGTAGAGCTGTGTTGGTCGACTTGGAGCCTGCCACGATGGACGCCATCAGAGGAAGCACCTACGGCAAGCTGTACCGCCCCGACAACTTTGTGCATGCACAGTCCGGCGCAGGCAACTCGTGGGCCAAGGGATACTACACGGAGGGTGCAGAATTGGTCGAATCGGTGCTTGATATCATCCGCAAGGAAGCAGAGCACACCGACTGCTTGCAGGGCTTCCAGCTCGCCCACTCGCTTGGCGGTGGCACTGGTTCCGGCATGGGCTCGCTCTTGCTGTCCAAGATCCGTGAAGAATACCCCGACCGCATGTTGTGCACCTACTCGGTGGTGCCTTCGCCCAAGGTCTCTGACACTGTCGTCGAGCCCTACAACGCCGTCCTCTCTGTCCACCAGTTGGTCGAGAACTGCGATGCCACCTTCTGTATCGACAACGAGGCGCTGTACGACATCTGCTTCCGCACCTTGAAGCTGTCCAGCCCTGGCTACGGCGACCTGAACCAGCTGGTCTCGGCTGTCATGTCCGGCGTCTCGACCTCGCTGCGTTTCCCTGGCCAATTGAACTCGGACTTGCGTAAGCTGTTTGTCAACATGGTCCCCTTCCCTCGTCTCCATTTCTTCATGGTCGGCTTTGCACCCCTGACTGCATTCGCCTCGCAGCAGTACCGCAACCTGTCCGTCCCTGAGTTGACCGCCCAGATGTTTGATGCGCGTAACATGATGGCTGCTTCCGACCCCCGTCACGGCCGCTACTTGACCGTCGCCACCATGTTCCGTGGCCGCTTGTCGACCAAGGAAGTCGAGAACCAGATGCTGGCTGTCCAGCAGAAGAACTCGTCGTACTTTGTCGAGTGGATCCCCAACTCGGTCAAGACCTCCCTGTGTGACATTCCTCCTGTCGGCTTGAAGATGTCGGGCACCTTCATTGGTAACAGCACCTCGATCCAGGAACTCTTCAAGCGTGTCAACGAGCAGTTCACGGCCATGTTCCGTCGCAAGGCTTTCATGCACTGGTACACCGGTGAGGGTATGGACGAGATGGAGTTCACTGAGGCCGAGTCCAACATGAACGATCTTGTCTCCGAGTACCAGCAGTACCAGGAGGCCGGTGTTGAAGATATGGAAGAAGAATTGGGTATGTAACATTCTAGCATGCAGGCACATTTGTTTTGTATGGTTTGTACTAAAACTGGCATCCTCTTCTGCAGATGACGAGTACCTCGAGGAAGAGCAGGTCTTGGAAGATTAGAGAAGGATCCTCCTGTCTCACTCTCTCCGCAACCAAAAATAACCAATCTTACCCCAACCCCCCCGCATACACACACACACACACACACACACGAAAAATACAAGAACAACAGCAAACAACAGCAAACAACAGCAACAACCATAATACCCACATCGTTTTCTTTTCTACTTTACCCTCTTCCACACACAACAGACCATGCTATCTTCTTTCCTCATATCCAAATGGTTTTCTTCCTTGCCGAACAAACACCTTTGGAATGCACTCCCCCCCCTTTTTTTTATCCTTCTAATAAAATGGCGAAAGTGTTCTTCTTTGACTGGTTGTTGTCGCATCAGTTACACAACGTGCTTCGATCGGTCGACCGCTTATAGAAGTTACACTAAGATGTGCTACACAGTGGCGCATCTGCACTTGAAAAAAAAAACCAGTGTCATATCACCGTTCTGTAGCATCCAAAATTCTTCTTGAACTCCAGTGCGGTCATAAGGAAGGCAATTCCTTCAGAAATCTGCAGCACATGCACTGAATCAATCAATTGCTTAGTGCATTAGAAGAGTGTCTTTTTTCCACTGGAAGTGAATTGTATCACATAGGCCATGTCAGAAGAGGTGAGGGTGATTCTCTCTTTTTCCGTCAAGTCCAAGTCAAATGAAAAAAAGTTTCCACGGCTCCGATGGCTGTGCAAGATCGTGCAACCAAAACAGATTCTCCTTTTGAATTTTGACATGTATTAATGCGATACGAATCGGAATCTTGTCAAAACGTCGCTGTCAAAGGGCTGACGTTTCAAGATATGCTTCGATGTCATTTACAGGATCCTCAGGACATGGACGATGGTAGATCATATTGCTTGAGCTGTTTTCTTTGGGGATACGGAACAATAACATCTTTCTTCGTCAGGAGACCGTAGAATTGAAGCCATCAAATCGAGTATTGACTGGCCCGTGGCAAATCTTTAATGATGTTCGGAAAAAGGTTCGCAAGCGCAAACAGTCGGTCATGCTTCTTGCTGCTAGTGCGCATACGTGCCTACCACAGTATGCATACTGCAAGCACTTTTTTAATGTGTTTTCGTCGGTTAACTACATAGTTCGCGGCAGGATATCTAAAGTGCCAAGTATGTACGAGTCGACTGAAGTGACGCACTGATTAATGGTTTGCGGGACTAAGCGTTTTTACTATAGAGAAGTGAAGGCACAAAGAAAAGAAAGGGAAGAAATGCGACTTTACAAAACACCATCCGTATATCTGAAGCTTTCATATGTATATGTGTGTGTATCATGTATCTAATGTGTAACGCTGTCACAGGTACATAATATCCCAAAAGCCAAGCCGAAGGCTTTTTTGTTCCACAGCACCCAGAATGTCTGAGCAATCCGCACTATTCCAGTAGTATACTGTACAATTAGAAAATGATATAATACAATTTTTGCTGTTGTCAATGTTTTTGTTGATCCAAAAGGAAAGCAGTGTCGTACTGGTTAATAACTACTAGATGTAATAATTACCATTTCGTATCATCAGAAAGACCTTATTTAGGTTTCATGGATTTCTGATTTATTAATAGATATAGAGATGTAATAAAATTAGTGTAATTACCGATAATGCAATGAGCCGTAAGATTGTAGTGTATCATTATATAGAAAGAAGGGAATTGTACACCATTGAGAGTATATAAAAAGTAGAGGATGGATGATTATTAACAAAATAGCAAGTATGTAAAGGGTTAGCGAATATGGCGGTCATTGTAAGTTCCGCTTTTCTTATTAAACGGGTAGTGCAGGGCCAGCAGTGAATCGATCAAATGTCTAATACGGAATAGCGACATTGTTAGAACATTATAAAGACTTCACTATCCGTTGTCTCCGTCTCAAATACTTACATTGCTCAGTCCAGGATGGTTCAAAAGAGATCCAATGATTGGAAGTTGTCGCAAAAATGCAAAGACCAGCGGGAAGAAATCACTATCGCGACACATTTCATAACAGTCAGCATCTCTGGATGTGTCGATCTCGATCCAATAACCCCATACACCCGTTTCTTTTATTGCATGATTGCATCCCCCCTTCATCAGCCCACACCATCCGAAAAATCACGACGACGACTCGTAAAGTAAATCATCACATACCCAAACAAGTTTAAAATGCCAAATACTTCGATAGCAATACCAATCATGGCCCACTTGCAAAAGACTAATAGAATGCCGCCGAGGAAGCAAATAGTGCCGCGGATCTTGTTCTTTTGAGCGAAAAAGGTTACTGTACGTTGAACACCAATCGTCAGGGTGATTCCTGCTAGAAATAAGATCTATGCTCGCCCACCCCAAAAAAAGAAAAAAGTGGTTAGTACACGTCCTGCACCAAACCTTACCCCCCCCCCTTCTTCCTTTGGTGCATTTATACTCACATTGCCCACGGCCAATAATCCAGCATCAAAAAAGGTAAAAATGCCCATCAACATGAAGAGGACACCCACTGCTGTGAGGCCTACGCCGATCTCTACATTGAAGCAAAGAAAAAAAATAAACACCAGCGGGGTGTTGTTTAGACATTTCCGAGAGTTCCCCTCTTTGACTCTGAATTTCTTGCGTAAAACACGAACTTTGACCATCAGAAAGCATCAAGAAACGAGACAGAAGGAGAGGAAAAGAGAGAGAGAGAGAGAGAGAGAAGACTAAAGGTAGCGCGATCTAGAACACCAAAAAAAAAGTGGGTATAAAAAGAAGAGGTGTTGCGGAGTGCGTCTTGGTGTTTCGCGCACTATAAGAGTTTTTTATATAAATATAGGCATTCTCGGTAACACAATCATATGAAGGTTTTGGATCCATGTCGATCCTTGAGAATACAATCTGCCTTTTCAAGGGACTTTTGATAAGGAGTCTCATATTGCATTTCAATGAATCATCTACGCTATCGCCATCAAATGCTCCTCAATACAGCGAAAAGAACAACTTGGGCGATGCTAAGAAACGCAGGGCCGGCGAATACTTCTTGTGGCCCTGAATTACTGACACAGCACTTGCTCCGACCCGCCACTGTGTGTTTCACTTTAATTTTAGCATGTGCTTGGGTTCCTCACTGCAGTGTTCAGGTACGGTAAGTTGCTTTGTCTAGAAATAAAAGTATCTAGTTTGAGAATGGGCACTTGAAACTAACGAAAGTAGACAAGTGAAAATAGATGGTGCCACCGAATCAGGATAAAAAGCTGCTATATGACCCTTGCGTCACACTGCCAAATAATCTATTTCTCTTTTATTAACCTTGAAATTGCGTTTCGGCCTTGTTCCGGCCATGAGCTCATAATTTAAAGAGTGCATATATATATATATATATATATAGAGCATTTGTACTTTTGTTTCTACAATAGTTTGTTATCAATAACAGCCACACCGAACGACCAAGGACAGGTTAAATAACCATTGTTACTCCGGGCAGTGTCTTTGGTGGTTTCTGTGCTACATACCTGGCCAAAAATCATGCGCCTACAGAGAGGAATAAAGAGAGAGGGCGACTACCACCATACATATACCACCACGGTTGCTAAACACGTAGTGTGCACAAGTTCCCACACACACACACACACACACACACAACACCAATCATGATCACCATCCTTCCATTCGAATTGCTGGCACAAATCACTGAAGAGCTTTCACAACAAGAGTTGCTCAGGTGCATGTGCGTCTGTCGCAGCTGGTATAGCACCTTCACGCCGATACTCTACGGCCGCGTTATACTTTCCAAGGACCCGAAACAATTTCGACGATTCGTGGACGCACTAGAGAAATCACCCGACTTGCGCAATCTCGTCCATTCCTTACGCTGGTGTGCAGAGATTATCACCTATGCCAACGTCGACAATCTTTCACAGCAGTGTCAGAACATTGGTTGTATGTCTATAACATGGAGTTCGAGGGCAATTCTGTCTCCATTGGCCGTATCCTTGGAAACCTTTTCTGTCCTGACACGACTTACGCTGGAATACCATGGCAATGGGCTCGGTCCAAAGACGGCAGAATATGGGTAAGCAGTAAACGCTGGGACATTTCATACAAAAAAACATATGATTAGAAAAAGGGGCAAGCTTAATTAGCTGACTTGATAGATCAACAAAACTTGCTGCGTTCCTAACATCCGTACCCCGCTTACAAGCTCTATCGCTCATTCATGTTATACCGCTTGTCCGTTGTATCGAGCTCAACAGCATCCATAAAGCATGTACCGAGTTGCGCTATTTGGATGTGACATGTGTCCATTGGGATGCCAAATGCACTGATATTCCAGGGATTGGTCCTTTTCCGGGACTACGTACGCTAAAAATCACGTACGAACGAGCAGGAAGTCAATGCACTCGCTTTTTGTCAGAATATTTGCAAGAGCACCTTGTACCACGATACCCGAACCTAAGACATGTCGAGTTTCGACGGACCAATAGCTCGGATGTTTTGGCTACTAGCACCTACTCCTCATACGCAGGATCACAACAGCAGCGACACCAACAACAACAACAAGCGGTTGAGCCGCCATGGCTACTTTGGAACGACACCATAAAACGAGCCAATTTTCGAGGTTTACGTAAAGCACTTGCTTTTCTGGCCAATGGTGCCGACAATGCACGACTCACTCGCATACTGTGCTCGACGTTACCTCGACGATCAACCTATCATCTACTGATTACCACCACATGTCTATCCTTCACAGGATTCCTTCACTCGGACCACAACTGCATTGAAATAGACACATTGATGGATCGCTTTGCTATGGTGAACACACTTTTTCTCGAAACGAGCCACATCAAAGTATCCAGACATAACAAAAAATCCCGAGCACCATTGTTGCGATTACGAACTATAACATGCAAAAACGTTCAAATGGACTTTTCAGCCATTGAATACATTCATCGACATTGCCGTCATGTTGACCAGGTTAATTTTTCTATATGCCAGTCGCATAACTGCAATGCCATCGGACCTCCTTCCTCTCCATCACAAACAAGTACGTATCATGCAACAACATCATCGTCATCGAATCACCATATATGTGAGCCGATAGAGGCACATAGTGTCCAAGACCTGCGAACGCTTTGTGAAAACAGGTCAACAATCATTAATCTCTTGGCTGCATGCTGGTCGATATCATCAGCCTCCACTATTATCAACAATTAAAAATGAACATGCCATTTTTTTTGTACATAGTAAAAATTCTCTACTAATTTTTTTTCCCTTTTCATACTTGTTAATACATAATAAGTGTAATGATCATCTTACTAAATTATAATCTACGTGATTTTCCGTTATGTATATAATATAATGGCATAATTTGTTTCTAATCCATTTTATGCTGTGGATGGGCTATTCAACAATGACGATCAATCGCTTCGTTGTTGGTCAATTCTGACAAGAACGAATCGAGAGTATTTGATCGGAAAAGTCCCAACTGTTCTTGGGTGATATACTCAGAAAAGTGACCGTTCATATACAGTGCATGGCGATTACGGAAAATGGTAGTATCAATGACGCGGTTCGTACGAGGCAATAGCCGATACACCAACTGATTCTCGTAGCTGTCGTTGTACAGAAATGCCCGTGCACCACACACTTCATCAATCGGACATCTTTGCATTTTTTATAAAAGACAAAAAATGAGTTGGCGGCATAAAAAAAACAGGCACAGCAACTACTCATATTGATCTTAAGATGCGGGTAAAAAGTTGTGAGTTACATACCTAAATACCAAGCCGCAGTCTTGTGCCTTTGTCATCATCCATCGCAACGAGTGATTAGATAGGACACGAGAAGCTTTGGGTCCACCAATAACATCAGAATGTGTTCCAGGGAACCATATCTGTTGGAGCTCTTGATCAGATTTTTTATGTGATCCATACTTCATCAGCGTAGGACGAAACCATGCGCGTTCCTCGTGAATCGCAAGTGCATGAAATGCTGATTTGACTTTAGGAGACAACTTGGTGTCATGAAAATTATGCAATCCATGAAATAAGCTCCACACTGGTGTAATAGAAAAGAAACGAAAGCGGTCATTTCTCTTTTAGTGACACTCTTTCCCATCAGATGATATCGTCAATGACATTCCTACATCCATCCTTTTCTTACACAAAGAGCCACCTAAATACCATGGGAGACATGGCACACCGAGACTTCCTACACAATAATCAAATGCAAAGAGAAAAAGGGGTTTACTAGTTGGATACAGTAGGTTTATTTCTCAAACAGAGATACGATGGATAACATTGCTCGTACCTACTGTATCAAAACAGCCCAAAAATCTGATCTCTGGCTCTCGGCAACCATATTTGCGACGAAACTCTACAGCTTCAGAGTCGCTTGGACGGCTTTTTCGATCCGCCCGTTGATAGAGATCATAGGCCTCGTGAAGCGCCACAGTGACGTATTCGCACGGCAGTAGACCCACATTATGTATCATACCAGCCAAGCTACGTGCGGCATAAGCTTATTCCGTAGAGTAGTAGGATTATTTTTCCAGATTAGCCTCAGTATACAACAAGTCATCAACGCAGCAGCATTATTTTACATCACTTTTGTAATTTGTGATGTATATGCTTTTCATTACCTCCGCGGGATACTCCAAGCAACCAAATTTCGTCTTGTTCTCCTTTGCAATTCTCGCTCAAGAACGCATACGCTGTAAGATTTGATCACTGATGCCGAGCCCAAATGCGCCACCGAGATATTTTTGCAAACCATCTTCATCTGCGCCGACGCCCTGGAAATAGTGTGCTATTTGCGACCATGTTTCGTTCGTCGACATTTGTTGAGGATAGGCGGTTTCTAAGCTAGTATAAAACTTATAAGCGTTGGTGCGTGCTACATGATAGATGTAGGAATTCGTAATTAATGTTAGCTATGTATATGTACTATGTGACCCTTTGCATATGTTGTAAGCAGTGGTTACTGCAGTAGTGTGAGTATTCTTGCTACGTGCCGCTTGCAACATCCCAAGTGCCGTCCATGCATGCAATGATCCGCTGCCTGCATAGAGGTGCAGCAGCATCCGTCTTTGATGTTTCTTCGGACAATGTGGTATTATTGTGGCTGTTGTTGTTGATGTTCTTGCGATTACTGCTTCTTGTGCTTGATGACGGCATCGCTGTATTGCTTTTTTCCACAGAGCTGGATACTTTTCTAGCTTTTTTGCCTTTGGACAAATAAGTTGTGCTTAAAGTTATCGCCATTTGTTTGCTGGTGTATAGAAGAAACCCGGTGTTACTTTGCTCTACTAAATGCTGCTTTAAATAACGAAATCCCAAAACCTTACAGCTTTTCCCAAGTATGGAATTGGTATTAGGGCGATGTGTTTTTCCATTTGCTGAAAAAAATGACTATCAAGCATTCCTGCTGCGTTACCCTAGTGTCTCGTCATTTGGCTAAAAAAATAGAGTTCATGCGACAGCGTGCTCGTCGCCGGGCGCACGTCCCTAAAATCCACCCTATCCCAGCACCTTTATGGCGCCCTCGAGACTTTGCCATATCTGCCTATCATTTAAAACGCAAGTGAAATCTATACAAGACATTTATTTTCGGGCCATATGATTCTGGTAGTGTGTTTAGCACGCTATTGCTCTCATGGCTGTCAGCAGCTTCTTCTTCATAATAGCATAGCTTGTCAGCAGATCTAGGGGAACCAACAATACTTTCACACCTTTTGATACGATGATTGATGCATCATTTCATCCTACAAATAAATGAGTGGTACATAACTGGCATAACGTATTGTATGTAAAACATCATCTATTAACCCCATCTATGAACAAGTCGCACTAACTTCAGTTATACAGGGCTGGTGCGAAATTCTTATACCATTTTACATCATACGTAAATCAAGATAAGTCAATGATACATAACAAAGGATATGCACGTAATTGCACAAGCATTTTGGATCCACAACATCTGCGATATAGAGAAATTACAGATAATAAACAGCCATCAAGTACATATGTACGTACAAAGTGATCTTGTATTTTTTTGTTCCAAAAAAAGAAAATGCGGTCAAAATTTTAAATTGGAGTTCAAGGAGGTAAAAGAATATATGGTAACGGGTAATAAGAGGGATTAGAGTAAGAGACGATACTAACACACCGGATGCTAACAACAACTTGACTTGGGGCTGGGCGGCTGTTCTTCAAGTAGTTGGCTGGTGGGCTGCTTCCAGGTTACTTCGTGTCCGTACTTCTTCCCCACGAGGATTTGCGTCAGCTGAAAAAAGAGCTCTTCTATCTCGCCTATGATGCGCAGATTATGGATATCAGTAACCAAGTGTCAAAAACCAATGTAGACAATACACTGCCTTATTCCAGCCATTGTCGTTTGTATGTACTAACCATCATCCTCTTTTGCTGATACTTCATAAACGGGACACTCCCGCCCCAAGATTCGTCCTGCATAATCCTCTGCTTTGGAAATTGCAACGGCTCGCTGGTGCGCAGCCAGATCAAGCTTATTACCGACAATACATATGACCATATCGTCCGTCGTTGCTTTTTTCAGCTCTAAAGAATAGTTTTGGTTTTTTTGGGCTGAGTAGGAGGATTCTCAAGTTCATTCTGAGTGTCAGTGTGGAAATATGGGTCTGTGTAAAAATTATACCTTCGACCCAAGTGTTCATGTCTGAGAAACTTTCTTCTGATGTAATGTCGTACACGAGAATGGCAGCTTGCGCCCCGCGATAATACATTGGCGCCATTGCCCTGAACCGCTCTATATATATTTTTCCGGTATTAAAATGAGTGGGAAAGTAGAGTATCAGCATATGTAATAATGGTTTGCATCCACTAAGTCTTTAATAGCTAACCTTGGCCTGCTGTATCCCAAATTTGGAGACGGACATGGCAGTCATCGACGGTTCTAGGAGGTGGAGCAAATATATGATTATTGCGTTGTTGTTGTTGTTATTTGTGAGTTTAATATTCCCTTTTGTGCTACACATTTACCCAAAAGAAAAACCTTACAACTTCTTTGTCATAAATGACGCTCCGATTGTGGAGGTGCTGCTGGCAGAAAAGGTTTTCTGCACATATCGGATCACCACAGACGTTTTCCCCACACCTGGAATAAGATAAGCATGGAACATAAACAACAAGAAGAATAATAAGAGCCATGATGGATTTTTATAGACTTGTCACTGGAACAATAGTGATATAGCATATAGAAAGAAAAAAGAAGCCCGTGAAAAACAAAGACACGCGTCAAAAGGAAAGCGAAAGGGATGATTTCAGTTGCTTTGCGTTAGCTGCCAATCTCTTGATCCAAATCCTTATTGACAATAACGTCTTTTTCACTTCACCAAAGCCATTTGGCTGTGATTGTCAGCCAAAACAACATGGATGGTTTCCCAAAAGAACAAAATTCTTTTTCTTCCTCCTCCGCTCCATATCCGGTCGATCAAATCCTTCCCATCCATATCTTCCTTCTCTCCACAGATCCGACTTGATATTAGAGTAAAGGAAAAAAGAAAGGGAACATACATGTATAGAAAAAGAAAGAGTTGAAAAGTGCGAGAAAAAAAAAAAAAGAAAAAGAGAAACGCTACACGAACCTGTTGCTCCTAACACAACGACTTTGGCTTCCAATGTTTCTCTGGAAGAAGCATACATTTTTCTTTTATGTTTGGTTCGAGAAAGTGGGTATATATGTGGTGTGAGTGTAGAGTGAAAGGGGTATTTTTTTTTAGTAAAGGTCAGAGTGTGATCTGTTTTTCTCGAATCGCAAGGTGCCAGGTTACAATGTCACCTAGGTAACAAGGACGTCCGGGTTTGGCAAAGTGGTAGTTGTTGTAAGCTTTGAAGGAGTTGAATTCGCCCAATCGTTAACGCACAGAAGAGAGGGGGGGGGGAAACAATTTTCTTTAAAAGTGCATGCACAATGGAGAAGAAGGAGGAAAGAGGATCAATGTCAGTTCGATCGCTTGTTGTTGTTCTTGTTGTTGAGAGATTTCTGGGCGACACACCAAAAGAGAAGAAAAAAAAGCAATATAAAATAAAAGAGTAGGATATTAAATAATAATAGTAATAATAATAATAATAATAAGCATTTTGTCCCCCTTCTTTCAAAGTAGCCACTACCGTGTGTCAGCTACTTAATTTAGCAAGCTACTAACATGACGGTTACGTCTTGGTTCTCTTCCATGATCGGCTGATAAGTACCTGACAGTCATGGGAGCAATGAGGCGTGCTAAACACACAAACTGTTATTACATTATTGCAGATCACGAGGCACGATATTACATTAGCACACTTTAGCATCATCGTCATCGTCACCATTATTCTACCGCTCCGTTACTGTCACTGAACGACATACACAAAGAGCAGGCAGCTATGGGATAAAATGACGATGATGCCAGGTTCAACAATATTTGGGATACCTACCTATATGATTTACAAAACCATTTCCCGCCCATCTACCACCCCGCCCCCTATTTTCTTTTTCTTCGTTTGAGGGAACGTGCGCGTATTGCATGAAAATGGTTTAGATGCAAACAATATAAAAAGACACATTTTGCGCGCATATGAGAACTGTAATCATTTTGCTTGACACAAACTGAGTGACAGCTATTCTTTGCTTTATTTGGGGAAAAGATGCCATCCTTATTAAAAGCTAAACTTATTACTGATAATACCCATAGTGAGTTGCTATTCCTCAGACTGCAGCCTGTTCGCAATAGCGCCATCTAGTATGATAGCAATAAATGTTCATAATAGGCTGCTAGTTGTGCATTGATTTTTTCACCTTGGCGTGACACAAATTTCCATTTGGCGTTGCTCAAATTTCATCTTGACCGAAGTTGTTTAATACATGGCACTCTGTCATTTTCAGCTTGGCGCTGCCACACTTTATGCATGGCGTCCACTTTGGCGTGATCCGCATAACATTTTGGCGCCCCACTACTTTAAAACTGGCGCGGATAAGTAAATCAAATAAGCAGTCCGCTGTTTCATGGATTGGTCTTCCATTGTCTCTTCTTTTGGTGTAATTTTATCTATCATGTATGTGGAAAAAAGGTCAATCCAGTCAGAAAATGTATTGGATAATAGGCTATGTGAATTACGTGATCTATATAGTGACAACTTCATGAGCTTTGGTATTCTATGTAGCATTAAGATGCGTCTAGATAAAGAAATATCCGTACACGGATATTTTTGTCCTAGTATCCGTTAACTTTCACAATCCATTATTTTCACAAAAAAATATTGGGATTTCAAGTTTGAAACTAACGGAAATCCACTAATAACACGTACTCTATTGCACTGTGCCCTTACATACCCAATCCATGCCGAGCACAGATAATTCCAACGCTCGTAGAATCGCCTTGTTCGTCCGCACATCTAAATTTGCTGTCGCTGGCCCATGCTTAGTGCTACTTTTACCTTCTTCCACTTTAAGGAGCCTAGCTCAATTGCCATCTTGCTTATAATAAGGTCAATCCTGCGCCCAATCACAGTTTGCTTTTGCTCGCTATCGCCGCACATATCCATGTCGTACTGCCGTGCAGCCTTTGTTGCTTTGCTGGATGTTTCCCCACTAATTTTTATATCATTAACACGATCAACGAGCATATATGTGCTGTATTTAGCACGTCCATGAAGTGACTTACTCTTCCATTTCAAAGCTGGTGTCGGGAAAGATGATATCCAGCAAGTTCGCAACGTGCCGATAATGCGTAAGCTCGCTTTTGTGTGCACAGTGAGGTTCTTGTTCTTATGATTCGCGATAGCTACAATAACAGCATCCATCTGCAACAGCTCATTGTCGTTCACACCAGTATCGAACACCTCCATTTTCTTTTTGCAGACGAGCTTCCTCGCCTCTAATTTACCCAAAGCTGCCTTCTGTACAATAAAAATCATGAGAACGGATCACTGATCCCAATCATTAAAACTCTTTACCTTCACAGTCTCGTCAAGGATCTCATGCATGTTGCCTGCCATACCTCGACCAAGCTCCGGTTTCTGGCTCGTCGCCTCCAGCCACTTGTTTCTGATGGATGCCTTGTTGTAGCGAAAGTAGTTTTCATACAAGGGTGCTGTACCTCCTCCGACCAGATATACAATTTTTAAAAGTGAAAGCCTTTTGATTTTCAGCAAACACGAATCATGTATAGCCAATAACCAATGTTAACTTACTTCAGGGCGTTCCTTCTTGTTTTTGATAGATCTGAGTTGGTAAGTGCATGAATTATATGCTCTGGCAAATAATTGTCTTCCCAATAATCCAAGAATGCCTCTTGCTCGTAGCAGGTATCCTTAAAGGATTCAATTGCTTCGTACATCGTGTGAAGATCTTTTTCTTGTAAGATCGCCTTCAATGCTGTCATCGTCTGTCCGCAGTAATCCTGGAGATCCTCTGCGGTTTTGTCTGCAGCTAGGTGAGACGGAGAACACATATAACCATTCTCCCAGTGACGCTGGCTTCATTTGACGCGCCATCGTATTGAGTTTAACGAGGGATACGAACGACAGTTGGCGTTTAAACTTCAAAAAAACATAGGAAGGATGAGGACACTAAGTTGCTACTTCAACCATAGAATAATTCACTTACCGACTGGTACCCAGATCAGAAAGCAGTGTTACTAAATTCCTCGGAGGTAGCTCCTTCTGCTGGAGGTTCAAGACCTTTGATGCCATCGTCCTCGACTGCCGTTTGCCAATCCAGTGTTTGACCACCAGTTGCTTTAACAAGTACATCCACGTTAGAAATTTTTTTCGATGATTATGCAAGCATTTCATACTCACACGCTTCTTGCAAGATATGATGTTGTCCAAAACTTTTGTTTACATCTTTGTACAGTTTCAAAATCACACAAAGTCGAATCCGTCTGCGCCTGCTTCTTGTCGGGTAGAATCTCATTCTGGCAAAAGCGCTATGATCAATAAAACTTTGCTGAGTCATCATATTGCATAGTTACCTCGACGAGGCGAGAGTATAATTTTGTCCAGTCATCCTGCGACACGTTGAAGTCGATCTACGTGGAGAACGTCAGCACGTACATTTTGGCATATCGCTTTAATTTCGTAAATCACTCTTCATACTCTTAACACTTTCGTCGGTGGAAGATAGATGGTCTTACCAAGCATTTTAAGTCATTGAGATCAGTGACCGTCGGCGATTCAGAAACGATGGTGGAATTAACGGCCTTCAGAGCTCTGGATAGCTTCACAGCGCATCCCTTTTCAGAACAAGCGTTGACATAAGTCGTAAATGCTACAACAGCGATTAAATAAAGATTTAGGTAGAAGAAGCAAATCCTTTAACGAACCTTTCTTATAACACATTATAACGGCGTGAGGAGGTGGATGCGGACACCTTATTGAGGGCTTAGCTATTTGCATCATATAAAGTGCGCCATACCAGTTACACCCATAGTGCACCACATGTAATATCTGGATTGACCCCGCGATACTTGCACTTCCACTCCAGCTTATGCAAACGTTTGTATTTACCATTACATTTTCCATATTTTATCATAGCTGTAAGGAGCCAACTTGAGAGTCCGTTTAAGACAGCCGTTCAAGACAGCCACTGGCATCTGGTGACATCTGCCGAGAGGGAGTGGTCAGTCTTGATCTGGTATTGTTAATAACAACAGGATCTCCTTATTCATGCTCATAGATTTTAACAGAACGTATACCGGCATTTTCATCATCCTCTTCCTTGACATAACCCAAAAGGTGACGCTCAACTGTACGGAAGCTACTCAGTAACTTCGTATACCACCACGTACAGCTCAACGATATTGGGCTCGTTTTCGCGATGATCAGCCTAGCACACGATAGCATTGCAACGGCTCTATGATGACCCCACGACCACGCTCAAGGATGCTCAAGATGTGCTTTGGATGCGCTTAAGCATCTCGTGAAGCTTTGCAGTCTGATGCATGACAGTATTCTTATGTTGGATAACGTCAGCATTCGTCATACCAAGGAAGCTGTGGAAGCGGTTAAGGACGTGAATTCAAGATACTTTATCTTATTTCTTACCCTCTGTTCTTGAACCTTATCGAATTTTTATAATCCAAATTGAAGGCTGGTGTTGCGCGCGAGCTATTAATAAAGAATGACGCCCTCACACCACGCATCCTTTGCTCTGCTCAGCGAATAACTGCCAATGAATGTCAACGTGAATAAATCATTCATTATCTTATTTCCCAAGGTGCCTCTTAGAAGAGCAGAAGTTGTAGCTTTTGTTACCACGATCAACCAAGATACTGATTTGATTTACTTATCCGCGCCAGTTTCAAAGTAGTGGGGCGCCAAAGTGTTATGCGGATCACGCCAAAATGAAGGTGATGGGACGCCATGCATAAAGTGTGGCAGCGCCAAGCTGACAATGACAGAGCACCATGTTTTAAACAACTTCGAGCAACGCCAAATGGAATTTTGTGTCACGCCAAGGTGTAAAAACAATCAAGCGCCATCCATGAGGAAAAAACAGATAATATGACTCTGGATAGAGCAGTAATAGAGCCACCATGGCACCACGGCGCGCCGCGTCGGAAGTGAAATCAGATGGATCTGTATGCAAACAACGAATCATTGCATGCATGCATAGCACGCAGTGTATTTGATTTGCTGAGCTTCTATGCACTATGGGAAATGGATATGAAAAAATATGAGAAAATATGAACATGGGGAAAATCTACTGAGAATATGGGAAAAATATGAGATGAATAAAGAGACAAAGTCGAGAGTTTAATTTGGTAGAAGAGAAAGTAAGGTCGGTGTGTTAATTTGCGGAAATAATGTAATTGAGGTTGTGATCGAATGGAATGGAAGGGTTGGTGCCGTACAGCTCGCTGCTTGGCGACCGAGTAAAATGGAGGTGGGTTTGTTTGTGATTGCCTGGAGTTTCACTCTTCAAAAGAGCTACAGAACAATCAATGTCATGCACGCTGAAAACTTGTATTTTGATTGACTGTTTTCAGTCATGCGTGGCCAAGGATGCCCAGTGACGGCTTCGGTTTTGTATACCTCGGCAAGTACAAGTAACCTATGGTCGCCCTCGAACTGATGCGAGAAGAACTGTTTTACAGTACCGAGATACTGACGCTGCTCTTTGGCGTTGCGCATTCCGGGGGCGTTGTTTGTGTTCACCCAGCATGTGAACTTGACAAACGAGGTCGAGGGAGCACGCACAGCACTGGTGAAGACATTATCACGAATGAACAACCGAGTAGCAGTGTTAACCTTACCCGTGTTGTCCACCGTGAGCTTCCAACTTCCTTTATCGAACGCCCAATAACCGAGAAGAGCCTTTGGATGTCCAAGTTCCCTTACCGTACAGGACTTTAAGAAAAAAAGTAATTGTTTGAGCACTCTCATATAACGTCACCAGCAATAACATATCACTGGTATTGTATATTGCTAGAGAGTATTTACCTCGGACGACTGTTGTCCTCCTCCTCTTGCTCCTCGTCGTCACCGCTGCTGGATGACTCGTCGTCGGTCGTTTCCAGCTAATAATAAGTACGTGATGATAAATGAGTATCATTGTATAAAGCATATGAAATGTTGTTTTGTAACTTACACTTATACGTTTGTGGTATTGGTGCTTGTTGCCCCATTTGTATTGCAACAACTACCTCGTTGCCCACGAATTGACGCATTGGTCAAAGTGAACATCAAATGCTTTGCAATTGACCTCTAGCATCAAAGCATACTTTTTTTGTATGCTAGGGTCAATTGAGCTCCATGCCGTTGCAAGAGAAATGCCCTCCTCGGTGATGATCTCTTGGATGATCATCGTCGTTTCGAGCATTATGTTCGTCATGGCGTTGCCGCACAGCTCTTCTTCGTAAACGGCAAAAAAGTGTAAGGCAATGAATTGCCTCAGAACGTCTGTGCTCAAATCTTGAGCCTGGCGACGGTTGTTCACCACAACGAACGGGCGGACAAGTGTTCGTCTTGTGGTATTGACGTCTCTCTAAATAGTAAGAACAAACATATCAGCATTGACAGCAATACACTCTATGGCTCTCTTTGTACGCGATCTTCCTCCCTCTTTACTGTCTACATAGATACCCTTTCTATGTAATTCTATGTTGCTACCAACATAAAGTCGACAATACTACCGTCTCCATATCTCTCTCTCCCTCTCTTTGTTTCTTCTTTACCAATGTTTCCAATCTACTCTTTCATTAACTGACAGCACCACTATTACACCGCCTTCTGTAATGTAAAATCCATCTAAACATACTGGTTTTTTTTCAGTAGGCTCCTTTCGATCTCCTTGCTGAAGGTGTTCAAGGATTCGATCCACTGTTACTTGGATCGTGTCGACTTTCTCTTGCAGCTGGGTTGCGACTGTCTTCAGCTCTTGCAAATCAGCGTCGACCTCCTCGTTTATTTCATCGATTCTTGTGATGAAGCTCTGTATCAGATGATCGTTATCAGCAAAACTTACATTAGCACACATTATATTCATAATACTCACTATCTTGCCGGGAATATGATGCTAAAAACGATCCAGCATATGTCTTGAAGGAAATGGGGCAAAGAGCACGTCGGTGGAATACAGGTATAACGAAATTTTAGTTTTAGGATGAGGTTGATTTCTTTCACGGAACAGGGTGCTGTGGGACCAATCCATAGCTAAGTCCAAATCTATTGCGCTCTACAAAGGGAGATGATGGTAATACTACGCATATGCGTGATCTTTGGGTGATACAAACTTCTGAACTTGTCGGCGCGTATTTCGGCTGAACGAACGGTCCGCCGACGATTGGCCGGGAGTTTTGCAACAGTAAAGGATAGCGTAGAAATCTGTCACTACTCTTTTTCTCCATGGCGACTACAAAGGAATTAGCACGGTTGCTACTTAATGTAGTAGGCCTTTTATCCAATGCATATGGTTTTTCGTTTGTAGTGGGCGCTTTTCCGTCCGATATCGGATTCGGCGGAATATTCCAGGTTTGTAATAATGACACGAAAGAAAGAAAACGAATCAATTCGGAAGTTAACAAGATGTGCTTTAAAACAAAAAGTTCCTCACTATCATTGGTTTAACGTTGGCAACTGCGACATTTGCACTGAAAATTCTCCGGTTCTTTGTTCCGGGTGCATTTGAAGGTATGTTTGTAACATTTTGCATTTTTTTTCTTAGGTCTGTAAAACTTAAAACGAAAAAAATAAATCATTTTGTAGCTATTTACAAGCATATCGCCTATGTTGCCACGCCGGTAAATACGAAAACAGTCATGCACATGTGATTTTAATTATGCATTAAGAATACCATTGACACTAAGTAAAATCTTTAGATGGAAGGATTGATAACAATCTTGTACTGGCCAATGGTGCTTTACAGTAAAGAGTTGCTGCAACATCAAGAAGTACCATTCTTTCTCCCGTTACCTCTGGATATGTCGCTCCATCTATGGCCTGCTGTCTTGTTATGGATCGACTTCTTGGCGTTTGATGTCGAGTTCGTGCGTTCCAAGACGCATATTGTTGTGATTTATGCATTCACAGTATGGTACTTGGGCTGGTCGTCGTATTGCTTTGCCCGAAATGGATTTTGGGTTTATCCATTCTTGTCAGAATTCTCAACTATCGGACGCGCTACGTTCTTTATGTTTTGCGGTAATGTGTGCGTGGCCATGTATGAAGCAGGTAAAGTATTTATAAGGATGGTAGTAAGCGGGAATAAACTAGCAGGGGATTGCTAATTGCCAAAAACCACGATAAACCGTATGTGTAGGTGCATATATCCATAAAAAGGTGAATGAGTCTCGAGTCGAAGCAGCCGGGACGAGAAAGGCCAAGAAGGCACAATAAGTCATTTAAATAAAGTCGACACTTTTGATATTGTAACTAAAACAATGTGTAAGTATAATAAAGATTATATCGGATCTAATTAGAGAAAGCAAGTAACCCAGTTTTTCTTGTGAAATGCTTATGAGAATGGATGTATTTTTAAAAGGGAAGTGGATATACAACAAAACAAGCAATCTAGCATAATGTCTTTTTCTTTTCTTTTCTTCTTGTGATAGTAATGATCGTAAATTATGTATAAATGTAATTTGGCTTTTTGTTATCTACATTTCCATTGCATTGGATTCCTCTCCCTTTTTTTCGTTGGATGGCGGTGATGAGGATGTCGTTGTATCCTTTTTAATAATATCTGCACTTTCACCCAGTACAACACGCTCAACCTCATCATCATCTACGACCGAGAACTGTCTTTCGCTCAGACTTCCAGGTTCCTTCTTATTAAGAACAAGTGATCGATTCCCCCCTGAGAATGACTTTGGCGGGACGGTGTGTTTGTAAAAGCATCCTGGTCTGGTGCATGCGCCATCGTATTTACACTATGTTCCGCCAATCCCATCATGTTAGCTAACGATCCAATTATATTTTGTGGGATTCAACACTTATTCCCAGTAACAACTAACTTACAAGTATCTCGGATACCGGCTGCTGTTCCTCGTCCCCAGGGTGGATGAAATGACAACCAGGCCGCTTACATTTATCACCCATTTTGCAGGGAATTGGAACGCGCTTGACTGGACCAGATGGAACGGGAGCACCAGGTGCGCCGGTGGCGCCAGTAGGTTGTTCAGGATGCATAAATGGACACATGGGGTTTGTACAATACGGGTAGAATCTGCAAGGGATGGGTCGCTTCATTGGCATTTGGGGCATCTGTGGTGTAGCCAACGAAAGTTGTGGCTGCTGCTGTTGAGGTGCTGACACCTCTGGATGGATAAACATGCACTCGTTTGCTGGCTTGGAGCATTTAGGGAAATCGCTACAATATGGAATTATTAGTACCAAGCTCCTCTGATGCCCCTTTGTCCCATACTTCCTCATCAACTTACGGGCAGATGGTCTTTGGATGAAAGTACACGCAGCTTTCACCCTGTGAGCATGATGGCCAATATTTGCATCGTTCCGCCTTTTGCGTCGCTGTTGATGGTCTGGATGTGCCAAGTCGATCAAACACAGATGGTCGCGCTATGTTTATAAGAACAAAAAGCCCATATTAATTTCCTCAAGCCATAAATTAAAACGAAGACCAATGATAGTACACGGTGTCCAAACTATTTTCCCCTTCAGGAAACGTACAATCCTGCTTTCCATTCGATTCCACAAATTGTACTTGACGTCCACTTGATAACCGTTGATTGATTCCTTGACCACGGCCCCGATCGTCATGGCCGTTACGGTACGGAGATCGTTCACGTTCTTGACCTCGTCGCTGTTGCTCAGGCGATCGCGATCGTGAACGATTGACTCTGCTATTATGCTGTGTTGATCCGTTGAGATTGCCAATAGCTTGAGCAAAAATACGGTTACCCCGTGGACGACTGCCGGCTTCGCTCGAGCTTTTCGCAGGAGTCGCTGATTCTTGTTGTTGTTGTTGTGTTGCAGTCGATGGATTTTCAAGCTCATTCGCTCTTGCAAAGATCCAACCGGTGAGATCGGTGTCTGATAATGACACGTTAGTCCTTCTCTCTCTTAATCCTCTTCCAAGCATAAAAAGCATTTCCTTCACCGTCGACTACTTACTGTAATCAGATCCAACCACTATAAACAAAAAAACGTTTTTTGGTAAGGTTAAAAAAAATAAATCATAATCGGTCAGTATACATAGAACACTTACACTGTTGAAGTTCCTGGTTCACGTGATCAGGAGAGCTTCCGATCTTGAGTAGATTAATTATGTATTGCGCAAGAGTGGTATCTATTATGCAAAAGATATTAGATCAGATCGGCTAGACAATAAGGAATAACTTGCTACAACCCAAAAAATAAAGTTACTGCATACCTCCTGAATCGGCATATTCATAAGTAATGCATTTTGCTTGGATTTCGTTCTAAAATAACAGTAGCGCAAATAATAAGTAACCTTGAGTATTTTTAAAAAGATGTACTGAGCAAAAACTCAAATTACCTGAAGTGTGTTCCAGTCTTGAGGCTGCATTAGAATGTGGTAGAGAATTAACAAGTCAAGGAAACAGAAAAAAAAAGAGACGAGCGTCAATTGACTTACTATCAGCGTCAATACGGGATTTTAATTCGCCGAAACAGCAGCAATTCTGTCATGAATGCCAGGATCAAGGACCTATTTGTGTCCCATGAACGTATCACTTGTGAAGAAAATTATGTTAAACACATACAAACGTAAAGACGGTACCTATCACCATTTTTTGATAAAAGCTTTTTTGTATTTACAAGAATTTGTATATGTGAGATACATTAACCAGATACTACTTATTGCAGAAGATGCTTATGCTGCTATGTACCATATATACAGTGAGGCGATGGTCAATCAATTTCAAGATAGCATTATTAAACAATATATAAAAGCTATGCTACTCTCCGTTTGGCATCAGTTTTAAAAATATACATGGGACTAATATGGGTGGTGATATAAATGGGGGATGGGTATTATGGTAAATAGTTCTATATTCCACTAAGTATGTACACCATCGACCACATCCTTTAACTAGCCCTCGGAAACCTCGACTACTTGCCTCCCAACGGCAAGTAATTGTTGCTGAAACATGCAGTTGTTGAGGATGATGGTGGTGATCAACTGCTGTTCTGCTGTTGTGTTGTTGTTTATGCGGCAGGGTCATCCATTCAGATTCCGCAGGCTATGTTTTTTCCAAGAGGTTTTGGAAAAGACAAATGAATATCCGGGAGACCATGCTGTCATAACTATCTTGTACCGCTCGTCGAATCGTTGATTACAGAACACTTATGGCTTGTTCATGTATAGTAAGAGAACTGTAGGAAATGTCTAGCAAAATAGGGAAAGGAAAACGAAGAAAGAATAACATGACGAAACAAGACGAATGTCTTGATGCGTTTTTGATACTTTCAATGACGTCCTTGCAGCCAATACTGTATTTAAACGTACCTTGTGGGGTAACGAAGATGTATTGCGAGTAACTGCCCATTGCAGCTTCCATCTAATTTTATTTAAAGAGTTGTATACACTTTATAAAAAAAAAAGAAACATCGCTTACCATCATACGCATGTTTTGTTTTCTGTTAACGGCATCCATATATACATCGAATTCATCCAGACTATTTGAATGATGGTATAATGTTTAGAAGTTATAAAATCGCTCGTAATAAGATAGAAAGTTGGATCTGATTTGAACTCACCAGTGGACAGGGGAAGAAATGCCCTCCCATAAAGACAAGAGTAAACTGATTTGAGAGAATGATTTCTCACCACCCGAAAGGGTCGTGGAATCCTTGTGTCTTGTTCCTCTTTTCAATTGATCACTGGTAGAAACCTATTTCATATAAGGCCAATATGAAAATAGCAGGAGTAAGCAACGAATCTACTCTATAAAGTGGCTATGTATGCACACGCATAAAAGAATGAAGAGTCAGAAACTTACTCGAACATCAAGGCGTTCTTTGTCATGATTGAACTTTAGATAGCCATTGTATCCTCGTTTGTGCATAAAATAAGTGAATTGCCCGGTGGCACTGAGTGAAATGTACATGCGGAACAAAGTCCAGGGATCCATGCGTGCTTCATAAGATGCAAGGCGCAATTTATTATAGTAGCACGATCATAAAAGCAAAAAACAGACGTAATCGCGATAACATCAACATCAAATATCACCTCAAAAAAGTGCACGCGCGAAGGGGACTTTAGCAGCGACACCAACAGCCTGGAATGAACAACATCTGACTAGGCAAGTACAGATTATCTTCCCCTTCACACATACACCCGGCTCAGGTAATCATTGCTATTGGATGATTGAGGGATATGTATGTAAAACAGATGAGAAAGGAAAAGAATAAAATGGATTGATTAACACATCCTATTGGTCGATATTGACGCCTGCGCACAAAGGACAAAGCGGAGCAAGAAGAACAAAACGCGATCAAGGCTATCGAATAGAAGAGACAACGAAGGGGCACCCAGAAGAAAAGCGATTCGATATACGATATAAACATTTTGTTTGATATATTACTACTATATACGCGGAAGACTATATAGCTAGTACTTCAAAAGCAATTGCAAAAATCGAGACACATGATGTATGGTATAATTGCTACCAATATGGTTTACAAGAAGATGCTGTTTGAGTAAGCATCATTTCATTACATTCAGCGACGCGAGAGTACAGGAACAGTAGCAGGAATGAAACCAAGGACAGGAACAACAGATCTGATCCTCTTTTGCGACATCTTTCCTTTTCCAGCTTACGTGTATATGTGTAAACAAATGGCTGTTTCTCTCGTTATACCCTTTGTGTCAGCTTCTTTAATGGGTTAATGGTGATAGAAGCGAACAATTTCACGTTGCTGGTGCGCGAAAGTCTTTCATTTGCTTTTCTCATTATGCATTGCATTGAGTACGTTTCTCAGCAAAAAGGCAGATTTGCGTATTTTCTCCTTTCTGTGCGACCCGCATGCGCCTTTATGGTCTTTATGCATCGTAACGTCTGTCATCGGAGATAGGCGCGCTGTGTGTGATGTGAGGTTCGAGAGAGCGCGGTTAATTTGGTGGGAAACAAGTACAAGGACAAAGCTTCCGCTGTATATAGATCAAGAAGCATAGAGTAAGAAATCCAGAGTGGACGCGCAGTATGTGTAGCTCTCGGAAATCGGTGTTGCTAGGGCACGTGGTCTGCTTTTCTTGCTGCTGTAAATCTTTGTTTTGCTAATGAAAAGCTTGTTTAACCTGTATGTATTCGGAAGGATATCAATGGAAGTCTATATGCTGTGGTGTTAACCATATATCTGCGCAATATTCTGCCATTTCTCTCAGAATCATTTTGATATACAAAGATAAAAATAGGGTAAAGATCGCCATTGTTTACCAAATGTACTTTTACTTTATTATTGAAGCGGCGCGATATTCTTCTAAGTGGTTGGAGCATTTTACTTTTCATTAAGTCATTGAGAAGATTTGAATAATATTTCACACGTTCCTTTTATTACTTCCCAAGCAGGCGGCTTCGGATCCTGCGTAACAATCGACATGATCATACAACAATGGACATTCTCTTTCTCTATCCGTCCGCAAATTTACTTGCTTGAACGATGATCCTTTCATCGATGGCGGCGTTACATAGGCGTTATTTTTTTTGACGTAGGACAAATAGGGAGGTCGGCCGAAGCGGATATAAAATGACGATTGTGGAAAGCAGTTGAATCGTTGTTAATAAGTCTTCTTTCCAAAATGTCTTTTTCATTCTCAATGTCCAACAATGCCAGCAGAAGTAGCAAGATTTTTGCTCTGTTTACCCTGGCTCTCTCTCTGTTTGCACGCTATGTAGCTGCACTTTCCGCATCAAGCATAAGCAAATGTCCACAGCTCGCTGCGCGTGCCTCCGGACCAGCGGGTGCCTATGATTTGCGTCCAGATGATATCAAAGTAATTGGTGCCATGGGTGATAGGTAAAATGAATATACCTCTATGCGCCCTCTCAATCTCAAGCAGTAAGCTAATGATGAGCCCTATATACCACTATCTGGAACAGTATTATGGCTGGTTATGGTCTTGAAGGTATCAATGATGGTCGTGGTGGATCTGGCCTCCTGAATTTAAGCGCTATTACTGAATACCGTGGCAAGAGTTGGGCTATTGGTGGGGACGATGGTCAAGTTACGGTTGCAAATCTCGTCAAGCACTATAACTCAAGTCTCGAAGGTCCTGCAGTAGGAAAGCATTTACTTTCCCTTTGCCCTGGTATGAAACATGAAATATGTTTTTGAATACATGCTGGAGTACGAAAAGCAATATGTGTTATTTTGAGACTTATTACTCTATAATCAAATGTTTTGTATATGTAACTGAAAAAAAGACAATGAAAACTGCGATTACGGTAAGTGCGATATACTGTAATATACGTTTGTATGTACTTCATACTTAAATCACCATATATTAAGTAGATTACCCCAATATTGATATCTTGAATGCCGCAATCAGCGGTGCCATCGCCAAAACCTTGAATGCTGAACTGGATTATCTTATTTCTCGAATGAAGGAGCTTCCAAACGTGAATTTTCAGACAGACTGGAAGATGATTACCATCCAGATCGGAAGTAAGTGTATCCTTACACATGTGTGTGTCTTTTGTACAATTACTTTCATATGCGCGTTTAGACTACTGACTAATGTAAATTTAGGCAACGACCAATGTAAATCATGTTCGGATGATGAAAGTGCCGATGTTACTCCTGATGCATACGCCGGCTATGTTGAGGCCGCTATCGAGCGCATTCGAAAGGAAGTCCCACGCGTTCTTGTCAACCTTGTTGGTACCTTCAATGTCTCCGGTTTATATGATCTGACAATGGGTCAAGATTACTGTCGCCCATTCCTCAACGATCCTGACTGGATTTTGAATCGTATTCTGTGCTCCTGCTTCCGGGGATCAGAAAAAGACCGTGCCTATATGGATGTATTATCTGTTCAATACAATGAAAAATTGTACAAAATCTACGAAAAGTACAAGATACAGCAATCTGAAGGCTTTGCGATCACTTACACACCCGCTCGTCTCAACGTTAATGGTTTTCCTTTGGAGACATTGAGGTACATATAGGCACTTTACCGTATTAAATAGCTATTAATTGGACGACCCCGCAAAAATAGCACATAGTTTATTGAACAGTATTCGCTAAATCTAACGTACTTTAAATTTCCTGTTCAACATAGCAATATCGACTGCTTCCATCCCGGAAAACTTGCACACGAGTGGATTGCAAAGGTACGTACATAGTAGTGATATTTTATATAATCATGTCGATGGTATCCAAATTTAACGCCTTATTTATCTCCTTTAGGTTATCTGGAACAACCTCTTTTTCACCCAGGAACAAAAGCCTACGGTGGATCTGAACTACGATGTAAATGAGCAGGTACTGTATAAGATGATGGCATACAACAACAGCCTATGATAGAGACTAATAGACTGTATACATGTGGTCGATTTAGATTTACTGCCCCACTGAAGACGACAGAATCCAAGTTAACTAAGAGGAAACATAGTTTCCCAGAATTGATTACTGCACCTTGCAGCTGGCTAGAATTTTCAATGTTTATTAATAAATTACCTTCTTGTGTGATATTATAACATCTTATTACAAATATCCTATTTCGACTTGTCTAGCTGTTGCATTAATCCAAATCTACATACGTCTTTCTTTGTTACGCCAAGGGGCTCTCCAAGCCAAAGCTGTATATGCTGGCGGTCCTCTTGCCGAGCGCACGTACACCAATTTGTACAACTTTCACCTTAAAATGGTATTTTAGACGACAGCGTATGCACTATAAAATGATCATCCCCCCTGGATGCGATCCGACTCATATGACGCGAATAAGCTTTTTCTTTTTTCTGTGTAAACGCGTGGACATAGTCCGATGGGCGCAATACGTTTCGGATGAATTAAAATCTTACTATATAACTGTTAAGCCCGGTATTATCCCACGACTCGTTTCGGATTGCAGTGAAGAATCGTCAGTATATGTACAATATATGCCGATTTGATCGTTATTGAGGAAGCATTACACATCATAAATAAGTATGCATAGCGGAGAAAAATTGCATCTCAAAATGAAACGAACTATAATAGCTTATATTGATGGTTGTATATGATATTTAGGGGTAGAGACAAATGAAAGCGGCGAGCAAGCGGAAAAAGCAAAGGCTGATTTCAACAAATTACTTGATGTTAGTGCTCGGCTTTGCATATTGTTTTCTTGTTGGAAACCAGCGGCGTTTGCTACTTCCTACGCCGCTTAATGAAACACTTTTTTCAATAAGCTCACTGTTCTGCGTTTATTAAAGAGAAGTAGCATATTTACCTATCAAGCGCTATAAACCACTACTATATGCAAATGATATCAATAGCATTCCAAATGGTGGATACAGCAGCGATCTTACTTTGCCCCCCTGTATGCAAGAGTGTTATGCAACTTTTGAAGAACTTCCTACTAGGGATGAGATGTCAAATAGTAACAGAAAAGAAGCCCAAGGGTTGTTCTAAGAGCAAGAAAGATGATCGCTTTCAATAGAAGCCTTATTGATTGCATGTCACTACAGACATGTAGCATACATGATCACCGGGGAAGGGCTTATGTAGGGTAGAAAATGTAAGGTCCCCGACCACCGGTGGTGATGTCGAGCACTGACGGATAGGAATATATTTATAGTAACAATAATATGCGACCGAGTATAGTAGCTAAACTCCGAGGAAAGAGAGAGAGAGAGAGCGAGTACCTTTTCTTATTGCAAAACGTAAAACATGTCGCATCAAAGTGGAATTCGAGGCATGCTTAAAGTTTAATCTCGACGAGAAACGTGTCTAACGAGAGTAGGAACAGACAACTTACTATTCACTATATTATACAGTGTCCGAAGAATTAGCAAAAACGTTTGCGGATGCCGTCGCTAGTGGCAACACTCGTATTCTTCGTGTTTCAATTGTCAAAGGTAAACATGAAGATGACACGCGCATACTATGTTAACAACAACAGCTTTTCGTGTGCTTTGTTCGGTATTGTATTATACGCGACTCACTTTTATGAATTCTAGAGTCGCTGGAGGCCAATGGCACCATTCCTGTCGACGCATCTTTTGAACAAGGTTCGAGCCGTTCTGTCTATCTTTTTTTCCCTATTTACAGAAATTAAAAAGGCAAACTCAAACTTTGTGTATATTGATGCAGATTACAACAAGGTCCTTGAGTACCTTGAAGATTCGACACCTTCTTACATTTTGATCCGACTCGATGACAAGGCCAGCACTGGGGAATACAACTGGCTGCTTGTCAGTTACGTTCCTGACAATGCCAAAGTTCGCGACAAGATGCTCTATGCTAGTACACGTGCCACTTTGACCAAAGAGCTAGGTGACAACCGATTTACTGATAGTGTCTATGGTACTACCAAGGTAACATTCTAACAATATATGTTTTTAAAGGAAGCATGTATGAATGAGAGGCTGGGTACCTATTTGAGTGTATGCGACAATTTTAATAACATGTAGTGTAAAACTGTAGGACGATGTGTCGTATGATGGATATAAAAAGCATGTCGCACACAAGAAAGCCGAGGCACCCCTGACACAACGCGAGCGTGAATTGGCAGAAATTAAACAGGCAGAGGTAATAAATTAGAGGAATGTATTATACGAGGTGGCCTCTTTGTTATCATCATCAGACCTCGTGTATAGTGTATATTAAAAGAGGTGAAAAACTACTGCTAGGCCAATACTGCATCGGATTATCAAGGTTCTAGCTCGAGAAGAACCTATGCACCCGGTATTACATTCCCCTTGACTGATAAAGCACTCGATGCCCTGCGGGATTTGCAGAAATCAAAAGACGAGCGCAAACACAATTTTGTATCCCTGGTAATAACCTCAACGCTTGTCTCGTATATAAGCCAAGAGATATCCCTTGATTTTGATGATGTTTTTGCTGTGATCCATTTAGTATCTAGAAAAAGAAACCGTCGAACTCGACACTGTCTCCGATGTCTCTATCAACGCCGTTCACTCAACCGTCTCCGCAAATGCTCCGAGATTTACATTCTACGCACTCACCTGTGATGGCAACGAAGCTGTCTGTAAGTTTTTCAGTTTTGTACTTGGCAATTATAGATAGATATGTATACTGTAGTGACCAGGGAAACAAATCCATGTCCAACAAATATGTATGTGTGTGAATAGTGTTCATCTACACTTGCCCCTCATCCTCAAAGATCCGTGAACGCATGGTTTACTCTACTTCCAAAGCGAACGTCATCACCAACGCCGAAACTGAAATCGGTCTCCAAGTGACTAAAAAGGTAAGGGAGTATGTATATGGGCATAAGCATTTGATTGATATGGGGACTAACAAAAACTTAAATAATAGCTCGAAACCAGCGACCCATCCGATTTGACAGAAGATTATTTGTTGGAAGAAGTGCGTCATATAAAGGCTTCAGCAGGACATACATCTGCTGGGGCGGGTGTTAGTGTTGTCGAGCAGCGAATCCAGATGCTCAGTGGACCCAAGCAAGGAGGTTTCAAGCGACCTGTTGCCCCCGGTAGACGAAGACCAGGCGGTACGGGTAGTGTGGCTGCTGCAGTAGCTGCCGCTGCCAACAACAATAGCAACGATGACGATAGCAACAACAACAACAACAACGATACTACTACGCCTACATCCTCTACTACGGATGAAACAGCATCAAACGAATAAATAAAGAATACATACGAATTATTTATTATTACAACTAAAGAGTAGTAAAAGGAAAAAGAGGACATGGGTTTTCTTATGAAACATATATCAAACGAAATCTAATTATATTGACCAGTCTGTGGCATCTGGAAGGGTCTAGCAGTCGACATGCCAGTGGATGGGCCGCTCATCGGAGGAGGTTGCTGTTGGGGTGGAGGAGCAGCTGGTTCAGGACCGGGTGCAGCTGTCTTGGAAAATCGGTTCTTTTTGCCAAACATGCCACCGCCACCCGCTGTTTCTGGATCCGTGACACGATTACGGTTTCGAGGAGGTCCACAGCAGGTGCCATTGAAGCACATGAAGCCGACTAAAAGAGCGCCCATGGCGCCTAAAAGAGTCCAGATCGAGTTGCCCACCTTACCTGACCAACCGCCGGTCAATGCTTTGTTGAAAGAAATGGCCAAGACGAGACCGATAATGAACGCACCCATGGTGCATAAAAAGTTAAGGAGTGTCAGTGTGGACATGGAAGCACCAGGGAGTCGATGGAACCGCTTGCCGCAGCACAACATGACAGGCAAGCTCAAGATCCATAACAAGAAGCTGAGGCAAGTGCCGGCCATGGTCAATGAAAACAGTGCGGTAAACAAGTGTCGGTATCTGCCGCCAGAAGGCTGATATTGTTGTGGCATCATCTGGCCAACGACGGGTGTGTTTCCCCAGTTGTAGGATTGTTGTGGACTGCCGCATTGATCGACTGATTGAAGCGAGCCTTGGCAGGAGTTCCTATATCCAGTAATAACAAGCACTATCATATTAGTGTCTGTTTGATTCCATGATGGCATTCTGCTGTGCTCTTTTTTTACCATAATCCGTTTTTGATAGCCTGGTTTTCGCCTTGGTTAGAGGATTCCTGGAAGGCCATGCTGGTTAAGAAGTTGCGGTTTGAAAGCTGCCCAATCATAGGGAAGAGGTGTAGCAAGAAGGAGAATAATAGCAATAGCGAACCCAACAGGGTGCAGCACTTGAACAACATGTTGGATTATTATTGATTAACAGTATTAACAAGTAGCGAGAGTGGGAAACTGGAAAAAGCGATAAAGAATTGTGCAAGCCTTTGCCTTATAAACGGCCATAACCCTCATCCGCTGTCATTATTAAACACAGGGCTTTTATCGCTAGGGTTAAAAAGCCATTGCATAGCTTGGAACGAGACGGGCCATTGGAAGGTGAGAAGGCGTAGTAGATATCAAACCCATGGATCCTTAATTTATTTGCTTCGAATCACACACACACACACGAAGTGGGCTTTACGTACCCCTCGCCTTGAGTCTGTCGACTGCCAAGTACCTCGCAGGAAGCAACAACAATAAAAGCAGTAATATCACAGCTCAGTACGCAGTATGTCGGCGAGCTTATTCTATATGCGAGACTGGGCTGTAGGAGGTGATGCAGTGACCGTGGCGCCAAGCAAGAAGCTGCGTGGTTATTCTCCTACCCGCAAAACAGATAAAGGAGGTCTATTTTTATATAGCCCAAAAGTAATAGTAGTGGCAATGATAAAATACTTTATTTATTGCGAGTAATTAGGTAAACAAGTCGGTGCAAGATCGGGCAGTTCTTCTGATGGAGAGCGAGCAACTATCCGCAGGTTGCACCGAGTGCAACGAGCACGTTTCCAATGTCACCTGATTACCAGTTTTGTAATATGTGCAAGGAGAAAGTGAAAGGGGAACACAACAGAAAGGGAGTTTGGTTTTTACAACAGCAGCAGAAAGCACGCTATTCTTTTTCTCGCTCTTCTCTTTCTTTCAACTCACACTGCTTTTGCAACCACAATACCCTTGCGACAGATACCCATGGACTCCGTCTCTCACTTTGTTTCTCGAATCTTTGTGCGTCGCTCCAGCAAAAAACATCAGCGACGATCTGCCGGTGCTGCTGCCGGTGCTACGCCTTCTGCTGCTGCTGCTCCTCTTCCTCCTTCTCCTCGGCAACCTAATAACGCCGCCACCAACGCCACATCTTCCGAGCAGAACCCGATAGCCGAGCCCACCACTACCACAAATACCACCACTGCCACAGTCGACAACCAACAACCGCAACCACAGCCGCTTCGCACCACCTTTAGTACTCCAGAGTCTTTTGAAAGTGACGAATCGCCTGCATCACCAAGGACAGAGAATTCCGTCAATGTCGACACCCTTGAATTCGATGCGTCGCGTGACCTAGTTTCTTTCCTCGACAGCGGCTGGTCCTCATCTGTCAAAAAGCAAAATGAAGCAAAACCCCAGTTGGCATTTCCGGCTTTCGAATACTTGCTGCACGAGCCACAACAGCCAAAACAGTCTGAAGAGCTGCAGCGTCCAGCAACGTCAAGTGGCATGCGGAATTCTCGACAGTTATTTGGCACGTTGTCAAAGAAACCAATAAACCTGTCGTTGAACAAACCAAAATCAGCCGTCAATTTAATCAAGAGGATCCGGTCTACGCCGAACTTTAAAGAACAACAGCGGCAACAGCAGCAGCAGGAACAGCAACAACAACAACAACAAGCATAAAAGATACTCCTTCTTTCTCTTTTCTATCATCTTACGTCATATATATAATTTATCCTTCTAGTGTATACCTCTCTTTTCCCTTACTGTTTGCATCTTATATGAATACATGATTTGAACACAAATATTTATCCCACCTTGTCCTCACAGACACGCGCACGGATTTCTGATCCCATTACTGCTGCTGTGGGCAAATACTATGTTTTAATGGACAAACCAAATCTGCGTTTAATTGTTATATTGCATACATAGAAAAGGCTACATACAAAATTTATACATCGATGCCCCAGTCACCAACCGTTCGCATGGACTGCTCATCACCACTTGCGATCCGCTCAGCGTCTTGTTCGCCTAATACATCCGCAACACACTGCCATGGATCACGTGCACCACCCCACTTGAGCAACTTGTCTCTAAATGCGAGTCCCTGCTCACGATTCAACGGATCCTGCAAAAAGCATTTCTGCCACACGCGTCTCGCCACTGTGCGATCAAACAGGTACGAATAGTATCCTGCGCCATAGCCAAACAAATGGCCAAACTGGACTGGCCACATGGTACCCGGCGCGCTTGGGAACAAGCCAACCTTATCTTGAAGGGAATGCCAGGTCTTGACGCTCGAAAAGTCCGGCTTGGTCGCCAACGTCGAATGGTATTTTTGATCCAGCAGTGCCATCAAGATCTGACTGTTGGTTTCAATGCCATTGAACCGTCTTCGTTGTTGGAGATAGGATTGGATCGTGCTGGCTGAAGGTGCTTTGCTTGGATCTTTACATAGAAGTGGAATCACTTCTGGATGCCAGATAAAGTGCTCCATCAAGATTGAGGGTAGTTCCACAAAGTCTGTTGCGCAGCGTGTGCCAGCAACATTATGGAAATCGGTCCGGCCGAGCATCGAGTGCATCGCATGTCCCATTTCATGGAACAGTGTCTCGATCTCAAACATCGATAGCATCGCTGTGCCGTTCTTTGTATTGTTGAAATCGCACGTCAGCGCAATCACTGGAAGTTGATACAGACCGTCTCGTCCGCGGATCGTGCTGGCAGATTGTGGTACAGGTGGCATGAAATGCTCGGCCGAAATGTTCTGTTGTGGGAACGCGAATTTAATATCGTGATCAGCGTCGTCGTCGTCAACGCGTCGTGATGTGCGGACCGTGTAGTGTGCTGCATTAGTCGTCTTACCCGCCCGAGAGTAGAGGTCGCAGTAGATGGTGCCGATTTTACCTTCTTGTTCACAAACAACGTCCAGTTTGCGCACATCATCGTGCCATAATTCGCCCGGGTTCACTGCACCAGAAACAAACTGAATACCATACAAGTGGTTGAATAATCGTGATAACCCTTGCATGACAGAGCCCACGGAAAAATATGGCATGTGCGGCGCTGTGCCTTGCGATTGGCGATCAAGAACGTCGTACACGTGCATATAATAGTCTCGATCCCATGCGTTGACAGTGGGGAGACTTGATAGCCGCATGGCACGTTCTTTTGTTTCTTGCAACATGCGCACGTCGCTTTCCGATGCTGGCTCCTGATGGCGCAGTAACGTTCGTAAAAATGCATCTACGTTCTCTAATGAAGAATCTCACTACGTATCAGCATACAGCGTCTTTTGACTATATAATGCCAATATGCTCATACCTGGATTTTTTGCCATCTTATCCTGTAATTGCAGCTCTGCAAACGAGCTCTTGCCCACTAGGTTGGCCAATTCTGCGCGAGTCTTCATGAGATGTTCCAAAATAGCCACGCTGTCTCCGTTGGCCGAGTTGACTGCTTCATAGACCTGCCTTCGGACATTTTCATTCTCGCCATACTTGAGAATTAGCTGACACTCTTGCGAATCCGTCGGGAGATGCAGATAGCCGTCCTTGTCCAGACTGCCGGCGCGTGCCATGCTTTGACCGAGACCGTTCAATGATTTTGGATCGATTCTTATACGCTGTACCCCACGCGGGTCGCGTTGTACGAACTCTCTGCCCAGTTGGATAATTTGATCGGATAGTTCGACAAACTTTTCTCGTTGCTTATTAGGTAAGTGAATGCCAGATTTTTCGAAATCGCGCAAGAATACAATGGCGGCTGCGTGTTCGTCTGCTGTGAATTCTTGTACAATGCTTGGATCGGCCAATACTTGGGCCAAGACCTATATTCCCCTCCTACTTAGCCTCATCTTAAGAGCTTTTCATCCAAGGTGAGATATTTGCTATTTACCTTGTGCATCCGGGTATCGGTATTCAGTGTGTTCATATAATAGCACAAATCCATGTATGCCTTGTTGGCCGCTTCCATGGTTTCTTCGCCCGGATGTGCGTTCCGTAAGAATTCAGCCAAATCAATCACACTACAGAGCGTATCGGACAAACGATCGAGATTCTTAACCACTCGACGCATTTCAGATCGTCCGTTTTCTGGTGCATGCCAGATACGTTCAACAATGAGCTGTGCACGCTGGATCGCTTGTTGTGCTGCATATTCAAACCCGGCAATGCTTGTGAAATGCGGGTTGCCCAATAAACCAACAGGATGTTCATTAGCGTATGATTGACGCTGCTCGTTCCAAACATTTTTATCGTCGAAAATTAATCGTAGGTATTCATTGTTGGTGCTGTCTGTGCTGTTGTTGTTGTGGAGTTCATGACGCTTGGTATTGGAGACTGTCGAGACATGTCGACAATAGCGACTTTGAAATCGTTGTGTAGTAGTAGAAGAAAAAGAAGTTGCTGCTGGAGTTCTAGTGGTTGTTGATCGTAAGAGTAGGCGTGGTCGCAGCGATCGGACACCTTGTCGAGAGAGTGACATTGAAGGAGGAAGAAGAAGAGAAGAGGGAAATAGAAATATATGTAAATTATGTGCCTGTCTGACAAAAGACACTAAAAAGGCATGGGTGACCACAATTTTCCACGGACAGGCGAATGCCGACCAACCGAGAATTAAATAGTCTGCCCTGGGAAACCGAAACCGAATAACATCTCTTACAAGGGTCAGTTCAAATATATATCAGTATCATGCAAGAGCATTAGGCACAAGAGCTACAGGCGCTGATTCTTTATATATGCGACACTCTCAATAAGCAAAATAAATACGTACAAAAGTAATGTTTAGAATTCGAATAACGTTTCCACGACAAACAGGTTCCCGTAGGATTTGTATTCATGATGCAGCAAACTTTTGCATGAAAAGATAACAGGGCGAGTTTATGTAATGAATTCATGCAAACAACATATGTATTGACTGTAATATAGTATTAGAGGTATAAAGCTACCTAAGAAGCAGCGAGTCTGTAAACAGACCATTTGTAAAAGTTTATATATTGAATGACAGGTAACAGTACCACAACAAAAAGGAGATGTCGGCAGTAGACTACTGTTATGTGCACAGTGAAGACAAGTCATATATAAGCTAAAAGGTCAAGGCAGTGTGATGGCTTCGGTCCAATTAAGGGACATTTTTAAAAAAAGAAGAGTGTAAACGATAAGAGAGTGAAACAATGTTCCTGCTCATCCATATTGTTGTTCTCTCAGCATCTGCACCGTTAACACAAGTTACATCTGCTGCAGCAGGCGAGTCTTCTTCTATGATGATAAGCGCACTACATACATATAGCAATTTACCATACACTTGCTGATCCGCTAGTTTGACTGAAGACAAGTCTGAAATATTTGACCAATACTGCAGACATCTCAAGGAAATCGCTGCTCATTGTCGATATCATCAATATCGGCAACACACATATCTCCTGACGATGACATGATTAACTAAAATTCTTTGGTCATGGGAGTCTAGACATCATATCACCGTAATGGGTACGTTTTCGTTGTCTTTATATTATTATTATTTTTGATCTCCTGTTTCTTTGTGGTATTATGCTTTAAATCACTCTCTCATGATCCCGTCAACATAGAGTTCCGTTCCCTTTCTGCCCGCTTGATATGATTTCGGAGACTCTCCTCGATATTTTGAGCTTCTTCTACATCCTTTGATAGTGTGTTTGAAACATGACGCATGCCTTCTTGCTCTTGTGCCAAAAGCTAAAATATTTAAAATAATATCGATTAAGTCAATATACTTTTCTTTTCCTTTCTTTTTCACTTTTCAAGAAAAATTAGGTTTTCATGGAGTTGTTACCTGAGCAATTGTTGCCACATCCTCACTGCTTGTTGCTTGCCACGAGTCCTCGGGTGCTGCCATCCTCTTTCGCTTGATATGTTGTAAGGAAGCCCAAGTGTCTCGCAATTTGGCATTCAGCTGCTCCGGGTTAGCAGGCTGTTCAGCCAACAGTTTCAGGTTTTGCATAAGTTTCTCTTCTTCATCCTCCAGTGGGAAGCCCTTGTAACGAAGTACTTGAACAAAACGTAATAGCTATAAAGTTTTCGTGGGAATATTAGTCGTGTAGGAGCCAAAGAAATCATTTCCGAAGGAAACGAAACACTTACTTTTATTAATCGCTGAGTCAGGTCTATGTTGCGGCGCCGCAGTTCGTCGATCTTGACGAGGGTGCCAAGTGCATGTTTTTGTTGGATTGTTGATAATCGCTGACCGATTTCCTAATGGTGATATAGGCATATGGTTAGATCAATTGGGCCTAAGTCAGTTGGATCACGTTGATATACTTACGGCAAGCTTATTTCTGTGCATTTCTGATGCTTGATCTTGGATATCCATACGCTTCAATACATCGCCATAACCGACTGCTAACACAGGAACCAAACTAACCAAAAAAAAGGACCCACATTAGTATCCCTTTCTCTCTTTTTCCCCCATGAGTCCACTTTGCATTTTAACCTATATCCCACTTGTAGACGACATACGTGTTCGGATCTGGGTTTTTACGCACTGCTTCATTCCATAACTGCTCATCCTGGTCTGGCGGGCGAACGTACAAGTGTCGCTCGTTTGGTGGTACGACATTATAAAAGTAGTGCTGATAGAGCATAATGAATCAGATGCATGTTTCTAATAGCACTAGCCTTCCACAAAGTACTCGTCTCCCTCCTGTCGTTTACTTACTCTGAATTGACATAGATGCGACGAAGGGTCCCAATGTGCACGTATTAAAGCTAATTGTTGCCATGTATTGTGAGGGGGTTGTTGTTGCTGTTGTTGTTGTAGTTGTTGTTGCTGAAGTTGTTGTTGTTGTGGTTGACCTAGAATACACACCATGTGTCAATTAACGTTATTCATATCGCGTATTCCAAGCAAAGAATAAGCATTACCAAAGCCTGTGCTACCAAAACCGCCGAATTGTGATTTGTTTTGTTGCTGCTGTTGGCCTGTATGAGTTCAATGTTCAGTAAGATCGCGTTTGGAAGAATAGCCCATCCTGGTAATCTCCACCTTACGTTTCCCCTGTAGAAATCACCATCCTTTTTCCACATACCAATACCACCGAACCCAGTGGATGCTGTGTTGGTTAAACCAGTTCCGAAACCAGACGTTGGACGTGCTCCTGCACTATTCGCACCGAATCCGCCAAATCCAGTGTTTGTGGTATTTGCATTGTTGTTATTCGCGCCAAAACCAAAGCCTGACGTTTGTTGCTGTTGTGGTTGTTGTTGTTGTTGTTGACCTCCAAAGCCGAATGAAGACGTTCCGGCCTGTTGCTGTTGCTGTTGACCGAACCCCGTACCAGCCGTCGAAGTGGGAGTGTTAGTATTTCCAAAGCTGCTGAAAGAGCTCAGTCCTAATTTTAAAAAACGGTCAATTCGTTTAGCGTACTTGAATAAATGGAATTGCGGACGCGTCGTCCCCTTCCTTCTTGTCTTTTCCACTTTTGCAGGATAATGCCAAAGATCTCGTTGTACAAACCTGGAGCCGCTGTCGTCGATGTAGATGCAGCACCGAATCCACCAGTAACAGTATTGCCAGGATTTGCTCCGAATAAAGTTCCAGCTGAAGTTGTTGCGTTATTGTTGCCGCCAGCACCAAATAATGTGCCTGCCGATGTGTTACCAGTGTTGCTGTTACCGGCACCAAACAAAGTTCCTGCCGCTGATGTGTTGCTCGTGCCCGCCCCAAATAAAGTGCCTGCAGACGAATTGGCTGTTGCACCAAATGCTGAACCTGATCGTTATATAATATTCAAAGAGAAATCAACGTTGATGGATTAGATTCGACGAGAGAGGTACGAGCATAAAATCGTTTGTCGTTGGGGAAAATTTTTCGAATGAGATTTTGTTTTGAATACCTGTGCCAGCAGTGGATCCGAATCCAGTGGAGGGTTGGCTCGTGCCGCCAAAAGAGAATGCCATTATTGATCGAATTTATAGATTATAGGCTCTAGATTCTTTAATATTTGGGCAGAAAGAGAAGGAAAAGGGGAGAGGAGAAAAATATAAAATCGCGCGCGTGTGTGTGTATCGCCGCTTGTTCTGCAAGCAAGAAAGGGCGGCCCAAAAAGTCACAGACGCGAAGCGGAAGGAAAAAATGAAAGGCAGAGAGAGAGTGGATCCTTATGCATTTATAATATATGGCGTCGTTTATCCCTTCTGCCGTACTTTCCGGCATCTTTGCTTCCCTGTCATCTGTCTTTGCAAAACTTTTTTCAGATACTCGGACTGAAATCTTCCACGATGCCTTTACAACATTCGTTACCGAGCAAAAATTATTGACAGCCGTTCCTTGGACTATTGATCCACAGGTAACAGCAACTAGGATGCTTGGAGGAAATGTATAGCACAGATAACTCATAGCAAGTTTTCGGTTAGCACTCGCTCTTAGCACTAAGAGGAGTATGTTTTGGGCTGATATTTGTCTGCAACTCGCTCATGTGGACACTGTTCACCAAATCGCTTAATGCCGCACCTTCCTCAGTTCAGACGACTACCGTGAATGGTGCTGTCAACTTTAGTATATCGGTAAAATTCTCTAAGAAGTCTCTCCAACAGAAAGGATAAGCGCATATCCGCAAAAAACTAATAGTGTTGTATACAGGCATTACTAGGCTATCTCGTATTCGACGAACCATTGGCATTAGGATGGTGGATTGGCGCAAGTCTTATTTTGACAGGCAGCATTCTACTTTCTCGAGCACAAAATCGGAAAGAAAAGACAGAATAACTTGTTATCATTTTATTAAAATGAAGACCCGTATACCATCCTAATTTCTTCGAAACATATCTACAATGGCATTTCCAACTAAACCTCCTTGATCTAACGGCACCATGTGACCAGCATCTTGTATGACTTCAAACACACTATCGATGTTTCCTTCTCCTTGATAACCATCGCTCAATTTTTTCCACGCCGACATGACATTGACCGTATGGTCGTCGGATTGACCCGTGATCAGCAGTTGTCGCAAACGGATAGGATGCCCATCAAATCCAGGGACTTGTTCTCGAGTAGGCACCGGAGGCAATGCATCAGCACTTGAACGTAGACACTGAAATAAGGCCTTGTCACTGATCAAAGCCATGGCTCGAACAGCTTCTTTCTTGGCATCATCATGCACGGCTGACTCGGAAATGGCTTGTCTTGCTGCCTGAAGAATAGCCGGATCGATCGATTCTGCGTTCCGATACACATCCATCCATGCGATCCGTGGCCACACCATGTGGATCGACGGTGTTGCTATAGCAATCAGACCTCGCAACGTGTATCCTAGCAATTCCCACTTGGTTGGCTGGTCGACACATGTCTGAGCCAGTATGCCACCCATGGACAACCCACCGAAGATAAGGTCACCGCTGCTGCATGATTGATGCTTGTTGTTTTTGAGCCATACCAGAACATGATGGATGTCGTCGCACAAGGTCTGCATATTAAAGACCAAGTCATCGTCGTCCTGGATATCTTGTTGAGGTTGCGATTCGCCATGGTACCTCAGATCGCATGTCAGCACTCGAAAACCAGATCGGACAAGGACAGGCAGAACAGTGTCAAAGTGATAATGATCTCCGCCAGCTCCATGGAATAGTATCACAAGTGGTGGCAGCGGGAACTTGTTGGAATAATTTAAGGATGTTTCGTCTGGTTCTGAAACGAATGCATGAAGGGCGATTTCCGTGTGGCCATGATTAATGGGAATAATAAAACGTTGTGTAGAAAAAGTAGTGGTAGTTGTGTTAGTCATCATTTACACGCTAACTACACAATCTTTTGATGGCTTCCATCGTCACTTGGAGGGCCTAAGATGATGTATATTTATGCGATACACATCTTTTGTTCGATAAATATGGTAAAATTTCGCATATATTGGAAACTTACATATAACACAAGAAAAGTTCGGAACTCCCGTATCATTGGCCGACAGCAGCAAGCAAAGCAGCAGCAGCAGCGGCAGCCAGTATAATGAAAACGCAGTAAATGAATATGGCAATACATGGAAGGAAAAAGAAAAAGAAACCCAGCATGCCCCGCTCGGCTCACACACATTGGTATATCATTTCATAGCACCCCTTTCCCAAACTTCAGCTAGTAATCTGTCCACTATATACCTGACAAAGAAACTCTAGAAGCTGCGATTGGTTGGCAATGTCAGATTCGTCAGCGCCGTATTGATTGGCTAGGACGATTACTAAGAAAAATACTCAGTCACAATCATTGGAAATCGACAAGAGGAACAGAGCGGGGCACAATGCACATATAAAAGCGAACGAGCGTGGTATTTTCCAAACTCCCTTGTCAATTTTTTTATCCCTTTTTTCTTTATTACTTTTTTGTTTTACAATAATGGCTCCTCAACATCATAAAGTTGTTATCGTCGGCTCGGGTCCTGCCGGTAAATATCATGTTTCATTTATTTAGACTTGTCCAAATAACATAGATGTGTGATATATCGTTTTTTCTAAAACTAAACGATCCAAATACTATTATCTAGGCCACACCGCTGCCATCTACCTTGCACGCGCACAAATGAGCCCTATCATGTTCGAGGGCATGATGGCCAACGGCTTTGCTCCCGGCGGCCAGTTGACGACGACGACCGACGTTGAAAACTTCCCCGGTTTCCCTGAAGGTGTCATGGGCGGTGACCTGATGGACAAGATGCGTGCCCAGTCGGAACGTTGCGGCACCGTAATTGAGACCGAAACTATCACCAAATTGGATTGCCAGTCGCGACCCTTCAAGCTGTGGCGCGAAGGTGCCGAAGATGGCGAGCCCACCGATACCGCTGATGCCGTTGTCTTTGCTACCGGCGCTTCTGCTCGTCGTATGAACTTGCCCGGTGAGGACAAGTACTGGCAGAACGGTATCTCTGCATGCGCCGTCTGTGATGGTGCTGTCCCCATTTTCCGCAACAAGCCTCTTGTCGTCATTGGTGGTGGTGACAGTGCTGCTGAAGAAGCCATCTATTTGACCAAGTGTAAGTGGTTACTTTTTTTTTTGTTTTACATCAGATAGGGTTGCAGATGGATGTACGGCTTTGTGAGACAGGGCTGATGATTTAAGATTCTGATCGATCCCCGTTTCTAAATGTATGATGTAATACAGACGGCTCGCACGTCAATGTCTTTGTCCGCCGTGACGTCCTTCGCGCCTCCAAGGTTATGGCCAACCGCTTGTTGAAGCACCCCAAGGTCACTGTCCACTTCAACACCGTTGCCACCGAATGCAAGGGTGACGGCAGCTTGTTGACCTCGCTCAGCACCAAGAACACCAAGACTGGTGAGACTAGTGAGATTGAAGCCAACGGTCTGTTCTATGCTATTGGCCACGATCCCGCAACGGCTCTTGTCAAGGGCCAGGTGGATTTGGATGATGAGGATTATATCAAGACTGTGCCCGGTTCTTCTGAGACCAGCGTCAAGGGTCTCTTTGCTGCCGGTGATGTTCAGGACAAGCGATATCGCCAGGCTATCACCAGCGCTGGCTCTGGTTGTATGGCTGCTCTGGACGCTGAACGGTACTTGACTGAGCTCGAGGAAGAGGAAGCTTAAACTTTATGCTGCATGTTTCTCAAACACCATGACGACAACGACGACGATGACGACGACAACACGACCTATCTGCCGATTTAATCGATCGATTCCGTATATATTTTCGCATATATATATTATCCTTATACAACATATATACAACTCTCTTCTCACATCATCCTTCACTACCCTCTCTCTTACGCTGTAAAGATTCACCACTCTGTTCATCATTTAAAATACTGTATCCACACCATACACACACCACACACACTCAAAAAGGAAAACCGCTAATGATATCTTTCTCTTAGAAGCGGAAATAGTTCTAGAAAACAAAAAGATATAAAATGATTTTTTTTTGGCACCAAAATATCGTATCATACCACACGCTACACGATAGATCATGATCTGCCGCTGTCAGGAGTAAATATAGGGACTCCAATGTCATTGACTGACTGACTGCTGTTGCTGTCCACGCAGCACACTTTTATAGTACTTTACCCCTTATTTTCTGGCTTCATGTATAGTACTGGTATAGACATATTGAAGCACTGTGCTATTATGGTTAGCAGAGTTCTGATATGAAAGAGAAAAACAAACATGCATCTATGGTGAGGCAATGTTGGCAGGAAAATGGAAAAGGCCATTGTTTGTTTTTGTCATTTGACCAAGGAAGAAAAACACAGTTCCAGGTTTGTGCGGTTCCTGGCCACTTTCACGTTGCACAATGGGGCGAAGAGGGAGGCGCGTATATTTTATATCATACACACGGCACTCCTATACTGTACAAGGCCACAGGCACACGTAAAGCGAGTTTAAAAAAAGAAACCATTTTCCCTCGCCTCCCTTGTTGTCACACACACACATATTCGCAAACATATCTCGTTCTTTCTTTCTTTCTCTCTTTCTCTTTTTCTCCTCTTGTTCTTTCTATCCACAAAAACATGTATCCAAAACTTATACTACTTGTACTCTATATTGCTGCCATTACATGCCATGCGGCTATAATTCCTGAATACGGCGACGCCGTTGACAGCAATAGCAGCGGTGACCTTGAATCCGACGCTGCCGCATTTTTGAACGAAGACGTGCTCATCAACAACAACAACAATAACGATATTGTTAGCGAACAACAAGAACCAGCAGTGATGATGTCTTCGATTACTGACAGCACTACTGAAGACCAGTTGCAAGAAGATGATACTGCTGACGACGAATTCCTACATGTACATCAAAAAGATGGTGAGCAGGATATCGTTTATGAAGGTGTCCATTATACGCTCAATGAAGATGGCCGTTTTGTCATTGTTCAAGAAGGTGTTGTGCCAATTGCTATTCATACAACAGCGTCATCTGAGCAAGAAGCCATCCGGCTCTTTGAAGAATACGCTGTTGCCGGGGCTACGGATGACGATGATGACGATGGCGATGAACTGGAATTCGCAGACGAACAAGACGATATCAGCGGTGAGCAAGGACCATCTTATGCAAAGTCACAACAAGAAGACGAAGAAGGCGAAGATATCAGTGAACACGTCGAGAGCATTCTCTTTGACAATGCCGATTCGGTGACCATTGATCCAGACACGGGCCTGCCCATGTTCAAGAACAAGAATACCGATGACTTTGACTTTTATCGACAAATTCCTGAGCCTGGTGAATCATTGGATACCATCGACGACGACGACGACGAACAAGTGGGCGCAGCAGTAGTAGCAGCAGACGAAGCACCAGAAGAGGCATTATTTGTTGATCAATCATCCGCAAACAACCCAGCCATGGTGATCCATCGCCGACCTCACAAGGACAAGGTCGATCCGGGCAACTTTTACCAGCACACACGATCTCGTTACCAATCCCCACCTTCAAAGAAGTCTACTGCCGCTGCCGCTGCTGCTGGTTCACACTGGCAAAGGCATTTTTGGAAATATTTCGCCGGTGTAGCCATTCTCGTACTAATTCTTGTGAGACGATCCTCAGGAGCAGCACAGGTAACACAGGATTACACACATACCACTCTCTTTGATTTCACATTCGTGAAAGAGTTAACCCGCGGCCCTCCAACCCATATAATTAGTTGTCGTCATCTGAAGCCATTGCGACACACCATGACTGGCGAAAGCAGTTGAATTACAAGTACGATCAAGCTGCTGCCCGATTACCCGTAAGCTTATTCTGCACACAGCGCATTTTATTCAACAACATATAAAACGTATGAATGCTAAATGACTCTCCCCCTTTATTACGCTTATAGGTTTATTATACCCAGGGTAATATATCTTTTCCGCTCTTCCTTTGTATCACAATTGTGAGACCCTGCTTATTTTTAACCCCTTTATGTCCATCTGTAAAATATAGACTTGGGCCGAGAATTTACTACCACTCATAACGATTCATCACCAGTCGTTTTAGACGAGAAAAGCGGCCTTTCCGCGGGATACCATCATAGCAGCAACGCTCGAAGAGCATCCGCGGGTCATGTTCGTAAGCTTTCCACTGGTTCAGCAAGCGCACGATCCCAAAATGTACGACTTCAGCATCAACGACACACTTCGCTCAGCAGCATTAATTCTGCTGCGCTGTACAGATACTCCAACGGTGGTACGCCGTAATTCACACCAACACACTATCTTTTGCCCGCCCTTTCTCCTCTTTCTCTCTTCCTCGAATATTCCCGAGAACTACTACTTAGAGTAGTAAGTAATCGTTCTACTACACAATCCGCAATACATTTACACAGCAACAACATCACTCAAAGCAAAATATGTATATATACAATCCTTCCGTTACATTCATTCATTCATTCATTCATTCTTCCATTGCTATTACTCTTAACTCCTATTCCTTTACAAACTAATCCCTATTTTACATTTAATTCACCCGCACACTCTTCTCACAAGCACGCACAGAACCTTTTTAATATCGCATTGCACAGCAAAGCGTATAGCAGTGCATAGTGGTAGCACAATCAATTCCACCATTTCATACTACTATTACTACTACCGTTACCACTATTACAACTCAATTAAAGTCCTTCTGTTCTGCTTTCAAATTAACGAGTCGTTTTGGCATTTGAAGTGACTAAAGAGAGAGCTAACCCCACAACCAAAAATCTTTAGGTGACACAAGCACCAGCGAAATTCGAAACTGCTTTTACTTTTTTCAACTCCAACAACAAAACAACATGGGTGCTACGACATCGCGAGAAGCTGCTCGTCGACTACCGAAACAAGTCAAAAGCGAGAATCTTTCAAAACCTACGGCATCACCTTCAACCATTCATGACGATTATAAGCAAGCAGCTGCAGCACCCGATGCACCATTACCAGGTTTATAAATCATTTCCTTTTCTAAAACAAAAATTAAGCGATCGATTACTCAAGCTTTGTCACTAACGGATTCGCATATCGAACCCAACAGAAGAAGAGGAAGAACAACGCGATCCTGAATTACACAAGAAGCTCACAAAAATAGGTCCAGTTAAAGTAGAACCTACGGTTACGCGTATGCGAACTGTAAGTGTAGCTTGTTCTCTATGTTTAAAATGCATAAACAAAATTAAATAGCCATATGCTGACTGACACACACCATGTAGTCTGATAATATGCTACATATCATCCGTGAACGACAACGGATCGAAGAAGACGAAGACCTCGGCCGACTATCCCAAGTTCCTAATCGAACCACGATTGATGTCATTTTCTCTGCCTTGGAGCAACGTAAACGATTAGCGCCAGGCGACTTGAATAACGAAAAGGTGCTGCAAGGCCTGTCGCGAGACTATGGATTGGATGTGCCGACATTACAAAGCTTGTACAAGTATTATAATACCATGGCTGTATTGCCTGCTAGACCAGACGACCAAAAGAATCGCAAATACGGTATTTGGGCTGAAAATAAACAAGAATGGCAACAGGCACTGGATACGGCAATTGCACGCAACGAGGAAATCAAGCAGAAGATCCGAGTGGAAAAGTCAGAAACAGCAGCAACGATTGGTAGTAGTAGTGGCAAAAAGGAACAGGCAGAACGGACATTGACAGATGCAGAAAAGAAAGAGAAACGTTTACAAGATTTGTTTGAAGACTAGAAAGTTGTAATCAATAAGTTAACAAAAAAAAACTTTCTTTTTTTTCCATCTTCTTCATAACTATAGCAAAAACGTTTACACACACAATAGAGATGGGGAAGAGAAGCATTTACATTAGGCGAATGGTCAAGAGATAGAGTGAGGACGTATGTATATGAGAAGGTGTGTGCGCGCGTATGTGTGTGTGTGTGTGTGTGAGTTGAGTATTGATATTCTCTATGGAGTGGATCAAAAGGAAAATCAAAAGGAAGGGAGTGGCGGTATCGACTGCTTTGGTTTAGAGAAACAGTATGAGTCTACATTATTATTCAAACGATGGGAAACGGGATTCAAAGCTAGGATCTACATCGGGTGCCTTTGCTGTAGCCGTTTCGAACGACAGCTGTTGAATGAACTCCTTCAAATCGGCAGCAACACCTTCGCCAGACTCGAATCGATGCCGTTCATCAATGGCACGCTGGTCTTGCTCGTGTTTGCGGATATCCAGGCCAAGCAGACTTGTCTCCATGCGGATTGAGTCGATAGCATCTTCCCATTCGCTCAAACATGTCGATACAGAGTCGGCATGAGCAATAAATGCCAACCGCTCTTCTTCGGCCGCTTCAATTTCTGCAGTGACATCCACCTTATTTGATTTGCCGGTGATCTTGCCCATACGGGCTGCAACCATAGCCTTTGCCTTGGCGCGGATCTTGTCATTTTCTGTCACTTCACCATTCGGTCCTGTGCCCACAATATCATACGATGGCTCTGCCGTACTGGCCTTGGCGGCCTTGTTCTTTGCCAGCTGCTTTTTCTTTTCAGCTAAATCATCCTCTGTTTCATGCAACTGTCGCACAAGGCCGCGTATAGACGTTTCAATCAAGTATTGGACCTCGGATTCCAAGGATTTCTCTTGCTCTGCGGCCTCTGCCAACTCGCTTGTCCGTGCCGTGTATTTTTCCCATGAAATCCCAGCTTCATCACCGCCTGATCGTACAATCTCTGACTGCAACTCGCGTACTTTTGCCTTGACGTCGTCGATATCTTTTTGCTCGGTATATGACAGCTCCTTGTAAGGCTTGGCCTTTCTGGCCACTGCCTCGTGTTCCAAGTCTTTTATCCGTTGCTGATGCTCCTTGACTTGCTTGCGCAGATCCGAGATACGGGTCTGTTTGCCGCGGTACCCGTAGCTGGATGTTGCTCCAGATGATTTGGATGCTGTAGGTGTGACGCTGCCTGACCGGCTTCGATCAGGGCCCATGCGTCGTGCGCTCGACACATAAGCTGTGTCTGCACTGTCGTCGTCTTTGTATTTCTCTTTTGCAGGTTTGCGTCCAGGGCTGACAGAGCGAGCACGTGACGTACGTTGCGTGGGTGGCGAGAGTGATGGTGATGAGCTGAAATTGCGAATGCCGCGCTTTTGCGCAATGTCATGCAAGATGGATTTCTTCAGTCCGTCGACGCTCTCTTTAAGCTCGCGCGTGGATGGAGGTATCAGTTCGGTTGGTAGGTGTGTTGGCACGTCGTAGCCGTTCAGTTTTCTGTAAATCAAGTGCATTGCGACCGAGAATTCGTCCACATTCAATTTGCCCTGATTGTTTGGATCCGCCAAGTTCCTGCGTTTGTATATAGAGTCAATTTTATCTAATACTTATGCATAGTGCCTTTCCCCACTCCTTATCGCTATCGCTGTATGCTAAATCACACGTTCACGCTAACCCCTCTTTCCTTGAACTTACCAAATTTGCATCAATACATTCTGAGCAAGTCCTGACTGCGTAAAGATTTCCTTGGCCTTGTCGCCTGTCAAGTATCCCTTCTTTTCCTCGTCCCAGGCCTTAAAAATCTTTGAATAGCGCTGCTTTTCCTCGCTCGTCACCGCCCAGGGTATCTTGACTTTGCTCGATACAGCTTGGAATTCCTGCGGTTGCTGACCACCAGACGGAGCTGCACCGGGCATCATTCGGTTCATGAAATCGAGATTGTTGCCGTACATGCCTGTTGGCATAGCAATCTGCTGGTTGCCAGGAGCCAACATGGGCGTAACGCCTGTCATCATAGGCACCTGCATACCTGTCGGCTGTTGCGATTGAAGGCCACCGGGGAGCGAAGTCATGCCAGTCGGTTGTGATTGAATACCCGTAAAGCCAGTAGGTTGCGACTGCATGCCGCCACTACCACCACTGCTGATACTACCAAGTGAAGGCGTGCCCGTAGACTGTGATTGGATACCCGTAGGCAATGGCTGCATACCCGTCATTTGTGCTTGTAATCCGGTAGGAAATGATTGTTGTAATTGTTGTTGTTGTTGCTGCTGCTGCTGCTGTTGTTGATGGATAGGCTGCTGACCGCCTGCCAAGTTGCTAAGCATCGAAGTCGACAAAGAACGCTGAGGCGATGCTCCTCCTACTCCCATGCCTGTAGCCATAGGTTGTAAGCCACCGCCGTTCCCGTAAACCGGTGAAGGGGTACTATTGCTACTGGTAGTCGATTTCACTATAGCAGTAGCTGTTTCTATTTCGTTTCGTATTTGGTCGGGCAATGCAGATGGAATGTCGCGACCCGCCATGCGCATCGATGTCAAATACATTGCCACAGCAAATTCCGGGAATGTGAGTTGTGGTTCTTGGGTGACATTCGAAAGGTCCCTAAAGAGTTCATCAACTTCAGCGGGAAAATCGACCTGTGTAAAATAGTAAGGAAAGGGCAGAGAGCGACGATTACCAAATCCTTGCCAAAGAGTTGCCATCCAAACCCGAACGAGATAATACATTTCTAGCCGTATCAGCTACAAAGTATATATATATAGATGACCGACGATGCGACAAATTGAGCTTTTATATTGTTAAACACATACACACGAAAAAAAGACAAGTAGTTGCATACCCGACATGAATGGGCTACTTGGCGAAGCTTGGCTGAAAAGCGATTGGTACTTGGACTGGTCAGCTTGAGCCAAGAAGCTGAGCCGTATATCTTTTTAATCAGTTAGATATAGTTGTTGTTAATGTCGATTCTATCAAAGCTAAGGCTACTATGCAAGTTCATCATTTTACCCGTCATTGTGCAGCAAAGTCAAGAAAGTAGTAGAGTGTTACAACGTTCTTAAACAAAAGGTCGAATTTAATCCACAACGTGAACTTAAAATTGTGTGGAGATTACCCAGGATTACTAAATCGAGCCATCAAGCATGAACTGCAAATAATCAGGTCAGACAGAATCCATGCATTCGCCCACAATATACTATCATTTTCTACAAATTACTTAATGCAATAAGCTACTTTCTTCACAGGTATAGAATGCTCTTACAAATTCGTAAGTTAATCATTGCACTTATTTCTGTTACTGCTATTTATCATTTAAATGTTGACAGCAGTCAGCCGTTGCAAGTTTCAGGCAAGCTAAGGAAAATAGAATCCGTAGTGAGATTTCAATAGACGATGTTGATACACACGCTAGATTGACTTCTTTACGGGAACAGGGTGCAGAGGAGTATGTATTAATAAATTACGACTATAACCATGTGGATCTATCTTGCTATTTAGATTTGCGAATCACTAGTGGATGTACGTTGAACGCTGTAAGCTTTCGGCTTGGCTGTTTGAAGTTGTACGAATACGCGGCGTGACGTTACACACGGTTGGAAAATAGAACAGCAAAAATTATCTTGACGATTAACCTCTTTCTTTTCCTCTCTCCTCGATATATCTCGTCTTCGACCCCTTTTCTATTTAATTGCCTCCGTTATATCGTCATTGCTTTATCTTTGCTAAATTCTATACAAAAGCATCAAAAATTGGTATCTGTATGCTGGAGAGCCCAAAAGCGATATCAAGAAGTACTCTTCATCAGCTCATACATTGAAGTGCTTATAGCGTTTATGAAAGTTAGTCCATTATACATTAATTTAACCGTCTCTAATGGCCAGTACTGTAACAATAAAATCATAGATAATGTACGTTACCTACAGTACCCGACAGTACTCTGATCATGACCAATGGTATTCAGAAACTCAGTATGGTTTATTTCGATTTGCCCGCCCGCCTCAACGATTTTCTACTCTGCCAAAACCACAATTTATGCCAAGCAAACTTCTTCGTGTGACCGACATGCGTATAGTTCAAGGCTCTACCGTGAACGAGGGGTATTGTGCGCTATCATATTCTTGGAATTGGTCTGGCGATATCATCATGGACGAAGCAAATGGTAAAACAAAACGGGTTGATCATAAAAAGCATAAGATCATTTTTTCAGCCAAACGAGTGCCACGAAAACCAAGAGGTCGGAAACGCAGTCCGCGTCGAGTGAAGTTTGTTGAATTCGAAGGCATCATACAACAAATATGCAAAGACTTTGATGTCAAATACATATGGTACGATCAATGGTGCATCAATCAGAAAGAAAAAGAGGAAAAGCTGCGAGAGATACGTCAGATGCACAAAATCTATCGCAATGCATACTGCACTGTAGCACTGGTCCCGGAATTCTGCTCCCGCCGCTATCTCCAAACAAGGGCTCTGAGCCACCAACAACCGAATTATCCCAAAATATATACCTCTCAATGGATGAGACGTGTCTGGACTCTAGAAGAAGCACTACTATCACCAAAGATACTTTTTGTCGGCCGCGATATACATTCTTGGGGACATCTGGTCAAGAGAGTAGCAAACTTGCACACTCTTTGTCAGAAGCTTCCAAACTTGGACGTCAGTACTGTTTTATATTATGCGCACATACGGACAACGACAAAGGAGCACGACCGAGTATTCGCACTTGCCAACCTTTTTCCTGATTTAATGAAGAGTATCTCGATCAGCTACGATGAGCCCGTAAACGACTTATTGCTTCAATTCTACCGACTTTTGGCGCAAAAAGATATATCTATCCTGTGTTTTGGACGACACAAAGATTACAGACGCATCGGCCGACCTAAAGAAGAGTTAGCGCAAGCTTCGGATGTGTCCCTTATCCTTAAAGAATATTTGTCGGGATACAAGCATCGCTACCGCTATCCATACAGTGTCCCAATCCAGGTCCATGACAAGATCTTGCCATCTTGGACTGGCGTACAAGGGGAGCATATACTACCTCTCCGCCTCGAATATAGCGATTATCCGAAAACGACATTTAAAAACTACATCGTTACTGAAAAACTTATGCAAGTGACTTGTGCAAGTATTTCGGTAAACGAAGACATCCGAAGCAGGATGTTTTTTCCACTCAAACAGGAAGATTTTCCACCTGTGCCTCAGGGCCCCAGTGCTGATGTCAACGGAGTGCTTGTTCGCTGGATCCTTTGTCTTTCGGTTCATTTACCTGGCCAAGAGAGTAGTAAAGTACTATCTCTTCCATTGTCACTCAACAGCCAGGATTCTACTTACGATCTATCGAAATTTAACCAAAAGCTCCATGAAACACTTTGGTTAATGGCGCAATTTTTCCCGGTCAAAAAGGAGAACTTATTCTGGTGGGACGCTGCTTGGCCACAGGACTCCGTTGCACGTTTTGAACACTTTTCTCTAACTGAGGGTGTCATAATTGGCTGCAATTTGGTGATACTTACGGGTGTGCGCTTCAAAGACAACTGGCCTGACTGGAAACGCTGTCCGGTTATTATAAAGGATCAAGGTGCTAAACATTACAGAGCTATTGGAACATGCAGAATTGGAAACATAGAGTACTTTCTCTCTGGTGTTAACTTGCCGGAAAAAACCTTTATTATTAAATGATGACCCCTATAGTTTCTTTCTTGTATTAATGGTGGAGCCGTGACATTGACTTTAAATCAAAGAGGGCACAGAGGACACATGTAACGGTTTTTCGTATTTTCCAACCAGCAATGTGAGTATAAAACTTCCTGGTCCCTTGAAAGTTAGAGTCTTGTAAAACCAATTATTCATCTAATACGCGTAACATCTGCTGTGATGGGCGGTTTATTTTATAGTGGAAGTGTCAGATAATGCGAGTGTATAGGTACAATGAACGTGAGCGCGAAAATGAGGAAGAAAGGGTTGAGAGAGAGAGGGAGAGAAAAAGGATCAACTGGTAATTTTGCTTTATAATGCACGTTATAATTCATTGCCGATGGTAACCCAATAATCGCGCAAGTTGTTCTTTCGACCGAAAATTTCTAGATATTTACCTAAGGTCATATCCAAGTTAGCATATCATGTTTTATATAGTCACGCGAAGTTCCCAGTACGAAAAGTAAAATCGTTACCATCGGGTACTAATTCCTCGATTAGCTCATAAAGCTCTTCTGGCTTTTGACTTTGTCCTCGTCGTTCCGAGAAGATCACATCCGAACCGACCGATCGTCGACAGTTTGGCGGATCCTCTCCCTTCTTTCCAACCAAACATGTCTCCTTTGCGTGTTGCAAGTAGTAACCGTGACCCTTTGCCATACGTCTGTTAACCGTTTGCTTCACCCATGTAATATCATCCACATACCTAAAAGTAACAGATTGAATATGTTTGTAAAAGAGCGTCACATCTGTCTGTTGCATATACATGCATCCCATTAAACCATTCTTTCTCTCTGCTGTCGCCTCAAACTTACGTGTATCCCCATCGTTCCATCAACTGGAATGCCTTGGCGTACTTGTTGTTGATCACCCAGATAAAGATGAAGCCGTTCTTTTGAAGCTTTGGGATGGGAATTTCTTCAATACAGACATCAGGCAATTGTTGATATGCAATAGCAACCTATTATGTTCAAGTCAAGTTAATATAAACATTTTGCCGCGTATTTTTCCTTGAATAAACTTACACCACGAGTAGGAGCATGGGTGGCCAACTGCCACGGTGGATCGGCAACAATAACGTCAAACTGTGTTTCTGCTGCTAATGACTAGTAGAATGTCGAAAAGAAATTCAGTCATTCAAGATTCACAAGCACACAACAGACAGCTACGAAGTCACTCTTGTTATCTATTTAGTTATCTTTTGCACTTTTAATACGTACGTCCCAATCATAGCTCATTACGTTGGCCTTGATAGGCACACACCATTCCGGTGCCTCGAACTCTTCGAGATCTTAGAAAAAGAAAAAGGAACGTTCATGCAAGGATATAAGTATAACACACAACAAGAAGAATGAAAAAAGTTCAATATAAGAAATAAAGAGTCGATTCCTTACCTTTTTCATCTAACTCTTCTTGATTGCCTTTATCTTTGCCACCATTATTACGTTCTTCGAGTTGTGCAATTTCGGTTTGAAGGGCGTCAATCAAGAGTTGAAGTTCGAGTTCTTTTTGAAGTAGACCCTTCAGGGCGTTATCGGGAACCTCGTTCTCATCGAATTCATCCGAGCTTAGATTAGGGCTGCTTATGTTTGACATATTTTCTTTATATATTATGCGTGGTTTGTGTAAAGAAAGGGGAAAGGGGGTAGGAACGCGTGAACGCGAAAAAAAATAAATACCACGCGAAATGATTTCCAAGTCAAAAGTCACCATCAAAATCGGTTGTCAGTTGCATTCACCGTCCCAGCATTGTTTGGTGCAATCATTCTTCGAAGGACCTATCACCCACATATAACAGTATATATCGTATTGCTATATAGCAAGACCTTTCTTAGCAAAATATGACAGCTGGATTTTTATTACTACAAAGTACGCCGAGACACCGAGCATTTTACACCGTTTTACTGTCTTTGAACAACTATAAACTACTATTAGCTACAACCTCACTCTCTACAGTAATCAGATTGATATAATAGGTCAAAACACATACAAAACAAGTTTTATTTTTTAATACTATTGATGAAAATGATGATGCTTCAGCGGCAATGAAAAGGAAAAGAAAGGGATAGGCATTTAATGAATCGTTTCGGTTAAATCATGTATATTTACAGAATCAAATGTGTGAAAGAGCAATGACATTTATCGCTGACCGAAACCGCCGCGACCACCACGGCCACCACCGAATCCACCACGGCCACGGCCTCCGCGATCGCCACCGAAACCACCGCGGCCACCGCCACGGCCTCCACGGTCACCACCGAAGCCGCCACGGCCGCCACGATCACCACCGAAACCGCCACGGCCACCGCCACGGCCTCCACGGTCACCACCGAAGCCGCCACGGCCGCCTCCAAAACCGCCTCGGCCACGGGGAGCACCGCCACGGCCGCCTCCAAAACCACCGCGACCACCGCGGCCTCCACCGCGCTTTTCGACTCTGCCTTGAAGACCAGTGGCCTTACCGCCTATCATACAGAACATTGGGACCATCAGAAACATTAATGCCATTATCCTTCACATAGCAAAGGACTATCCCATCTGCATATTTTCTGTAATGCCCGCTTTCTCTCAGCTTGCATTTGCAAATGCTTATTTACCTTGGTTGAGAACCTTGGGCTTTGGCAGGAAGCGTTCCAAAGGCAATAATCGGTCAGTGCCAATGAATACTTTATCGTCAGCCTTGAAAGAGGAGGCTTGCATGCCTTCTTGCATTTTCACAGTAAAGTAAACCTCGTTCAAAGGACCCAAGATTTCGTCGACCTTGCCGATCTGGGCCTTATTTTCCAAGAAAATAGGAGCGTTGAAATAAGGGATCTTGGGGTTGATCGACTTGCACACCATTTCACCTTCGCAAGCATGCATAAACGTTCCCATAGCTACACATGTCATTCCAAGAAAAATTTTTTAGCATTCTTCTTTTCCACCGTTTCTGTCTAGATATGTAGTATATGACTTGAGGTCAAAACTGTTTTCGTACCAACAACTTCGTCGGGAGGTCCTTGGGAAGCACCATGGAAACCGCCACGGCCACCGCCACGGCCTACATTCAAAAAAGAATATAAGTTATGTCAATCGTTTCGTCACGGGTTCAATGTTGTTTTATCCTACAAGCTCCTTGTAAATGTAATTTATACCTCCACGAAAGCCACCTCGACCGCCACCTCGATTACCGAATCCGCCTCGACCCATTTTTAAATTGAATGCTGATTTTATTTGAGTGTAAAGGTGATGTCAAAAGAAAATAACTTTTTTTTTCTCTACTCTCCAATTTTTTTAGATTCCGCTTGTGGTAAGAACGTGAGCGGCTTATATATGGCGAGCCTACATAGCTCGCTGACGTTCAACCTACCTCCTATTACATAAAAAAAAGATACAATGGGCGATCGCATGGCCATTGATGAAGGTTTGTTAAACCGATTACGTACATAAAGTAGCTTTCTCTACTAGTTTACTAAGCACCTTTCTGCTCTTCAGAAGCACCGGTCAGAAAGGGCCGTGGATTCACAAGCAACGATGGTACGGTTTCCTATTTTCTATTTCTGCAAGTGCAATAAATGCGTGTTTCATTTGAGTCACTCACAGCGGAACTATATTACGTGTTCTATTAGAATCATCTCGTGCATCACGCGATGCTAGAATGGATGTCTCCAATGGTGTCACACCTGAGCGATGTGAGTTGAATTGTTGGCTCAACTAGAAGCGAATCAAAAGTTAAGCAAGGAAGCGAGACTCACTATGGCAACACGTTCTTTGCAAACGAAAACGCGCCACAACCTTTTTACTGCTTTATTACCAACAAATTGTAGCAATTGAAGGATGGATCATCATTGTACGTGGTGTTCACCCTGAAGCTGATGAAGAATCACTCACAGAACGATTCGCTGAATACGGAACGATCAAAAACTTGCACTTGAATCTCGACAGACGAACTGGTTTTGTCAAGGTACGGTGTCAAAAACAACGACAGCAACAACAACTACGACAGAGGGCGTCAGCAACGACGAAAAAAGAATCACCATATTGACTTGAACTGCATACTGTGTTGCATTTTATATAGGGTTACGCGCTGGTCGAATACGAGACATTAAAGGAAGCACAATCCGCCATCAACGACGCGAACGGCACAACATTCTACGATCAAACCTTGAAGGTCGATTTCGCTTTCTCAAAGTCTTCCGAAGAAACACGCGGCTCGCGACGGACGAATGACCGTAGAGGCAGAGACAGAAGCTTGAGCCCTTTGGATTATGATAATGGGAGATAAAAAATAAAAGGGAAAATACAAGTTATGGATACCGTCTTCTTTGGATCCGCTGGGCGTTCCTTGTATGTTAAAAGAGATTTCAAGTGTAATTTGCACAAATATATTTGTGTATACGTGTGGATGTGGTTGGTATTAAGTCGGATACATATTGTAGCTAAGTGATGAAGAGGGGAATGTGGATAATTATATCCAATGGTGACTATTTACACATCTTTTAAATGAAAGCAACTGGGACACGAGTGCTCGGGAAGAGTTAGGTCTCTCTAAAATAATTGTTCCGTTTCTTCTAATGATTTTCCCGCAGTCTATATAGTACACATTTTGTGTTAGTAGAGAAATGACCATGCCGCATAGATAGAGAGGGACAGCTACCTCAGGAACATATCTAATGATCAATGCCCAGAAAATAACTGACAGAACTGCATAAAACCAAAATGCACCCGCAGCAGATAATGCATTGGTCAAGGACAGAAACGAGATAGCAACAAGCAAATTGCAGAACCAGTTGACAGAAGTGGATACCCCATTGGCTCGGCTGCGTGCTCGCATATTAAAAAGCTCACTTTGGATTAACTAACAATGCAAACATAAAAAGGTGCCATCATTATTCCCTTGACGATTTCTTTTCTCTTAGCAATTATTCATCTGCCTTGCCATTTCATACACTTCATTCAGCGGAATCTTACCCATGGAGCGTATCCAAGACCAAGTGCGTAACTACCAACATAGACAAAGAGCGCAAACAACAGGATTATTGATGTGCCTCGATCTGTCTTGTCCGCTGGGCATTCTGATTCATAAGCAGTATTGCCAAGGACGAGTGAAGTACATGAGTTCGTCTCCGTTGACCATCCGCATCGATCATCCAAAATGCAACGCGCACAAACGTCGCCGTAGAGGTCGCACGAATTTTGTTTGGGCGTAATACCTTGAAGTGCAGCAAAAGAACCTCCAAGTGCAACCAGCCCAAGAATCATGGTAAACATAGTGCTAATAAGCATACGACGGCGTCCGATTCTATCAATCAGCTTGATCGCCACTGCAGTAAACACCATGTTCGTCAAAGCGACGATAATAGCTACACTCGTTGAATCGGCATGGTTACTGAAACCTGCCATTTGCATGATAGTGGCTGCATAGTACATGGCTGTATTGAATCCACATAATTGTTGAGCAGCTTGTAACAAACACGCTGTCATGTACGTAGGTTTCAAAAGAATAATTTAGAGATCTAGCAATCTCATAAACGCATACACATATACGAAATTAACAGACTACGAGCTGCTTACCTATCAGAAGAGGTCGCAAGTTTTCAGCTGAGAGTAATTCTTGAAACGATCCAGAGGCACTAAGCTTAACGCTCTGCTCAATAGCAGCTAGTTCTTGTTCAATAAATTCATCCGATGTTGAGGTGGCATATATCTTCCGCACTACAATTCTCGCTTTATCAATTTGACCAGTTGCAACCATATACCTCGGCGACTCTGGAACAAATGGCAATGCTGTTTATCCATAAGATAATCAATTGTTGTTTTTCGAATTGATGGTAAATGTTAGTCAAAACCAGGTTTTTGTACCAATTGATCCAACAAGCTGGATTGTTTCAACAGCAGCGCCTCGTTATTCAGCCCTCTTTGGGTATACTTGCTCAAACACTGGACAATTGCAGGAAGTGCTGCTACGGCAAACATGTGTCTCCAACCATGTGGAACGTCAACAAAGATAATGTTGACCACATATGCAACCACTTGACCGAAGGTGACCATGAGAGTGTTTAAGGTAGCGAGCTGCCCACGAAACGATTTCGGTGCTACTTCACCTATGTGATAACATCCAAAAGAATATTTGCTAAGAATACGCGTATAAAGGTGCTAGCACCCCTCGATAGCGTGAGCGAATGATTTCTCCACTTACTGATGTAGACTGGGACAATCATAGATGCGATACCAACCCCCATTCCAACGATCAATCGCCCAGTGACCAGTGCGCTATAACTTTGTGCTGCTGCAAGCACTAGCGAACCTATGATAAATACAATCGAAGCCAAAAGAACCAATGGCTACAAAATATGGCCTAAGTAATTCTAGCCCCTTCCCCTTCTTTATTATCACGCCAATCATATATTCATTTTTCGTTACCCTTCGTCCCGCCCGATCTGCTGTCTACAAAATATATTTCCAGGATAACCAAAACGAAAATAGTATGAATTGAGGGTTGGCACATAGCAAAGCATTTGATTCAAACTTACTATGCCAGCAAGTAGTCCGCCGCCTATGGCACCCACAGTGGTTCCACCCACAACTATTTCCTTTTCAGCCGTGTCCATTGTAAAGTCACTGCTAAGAGGTTGCAACGCACCGGAAATGACTGTAATAGAGTGTTTTAAAATGACAGAAAAAGACATAGCACTCACTGTGTATCACAATAACACACAAAAAAGAGTATGCATATATACCTCCTGTGTCATAGCCAAACAGAAATCCACCAATACAAGCAGAAAGAACCAGCAAATACACATAGCTCGTTAGTTGTGCTGAAGGGCTTAGTAAAAGATGACTGGCTTCATTGACTTGATTATCAAAATTGTTTAAATCGTCGTTTATTGTTGATGTTGTGGTTATACCAGTAGTTGGTTGCTCAACAGGAGAGTCATTTTGTTCGATGCGGGTATATCCCCTTGTTGTGGGTGTTACTGCGGAATCAAATGAATGCAATTGCATAGTTCCAATACATTTATGAGTTTATATTGAAAGACGTTCAATTAAGAAACAGGTACCAAGGAAAAGGAACCTGCTTTATCATTATTCTCCGCATATGATGTGCCTCTCACTCGTTGTGCAACTGTCATGCAGACATTTTGTATTGCCTCTGTCGTAAAAGGTGCAACTAGTCGTTCAAACCCATACTATTGGGTTTCTGTATTTAAGAGATGCATGCAAACTTTCAATCAAATTTCCACAGCATCAGTAGCAAACGTGCACAGAATATAAGCCATTATTGATATAATAACAAGTAGGAAGGGTGTGTGTAATGTATATATTTATATTATGATATATAAAAATGAAATTTTCTTGTTGTGTAAATGGATGTATGTAAATCGGTAGAAAGCTTTGTTCTGTGGAAGGACAGGGTAAAAGAAAGAGAGGAGGAAGGGGAGATGATAAGAATGTCTTATAGAGGGAAGAAGGCAGGGCTTTAGGAAATCGATCTATCACATCACATTGCACTAGCAACTTTCTGCTTGATTTCCAAAATTGTATCTACAAATTCCAAATTACTGATGTTTTTTTTTCCGGTTGATGAGTTCAATTTGTTCACCAATGTTCATACTCTTCTTTATCGTCAACTTACTTTAGGTTCTCCGAGTTGGCGTTCGAAAGACTGTATATACCAGCCATCATTTGCTCGGCTACAGCAAGGGTTACTGCTGGTGGGAAATCTCGCAGGACCTTGAGGCACTTGAGAATGTCTTCTTGCATGTGTTCTTTCCCTGAGAAACAAATGCATAGTCGTAACAAGGCAACCACTGTTCGTTCGACGACCAAGACACTCTGTTTGTCTGCATGCTTAAGTACACCGAATATGTAATCTACTGCATATGGCCTAGTGAATATAAAATTATATTTTACAGTGAGTTGTTTTTTCAGCTTGCAATCTCTTATATTATCACACATTCCGTCGTTCATTTTTTCCTTTAAGATGGACTCTTACCAAACTATTTCTATCCGTTCTTGATTTCGCACTGCAACGGTCACCATGAATTCGAGAAACAGGACCGTTACTGGGTTGTAGGGAATACTTCCCTTTGTTTCTTCAATGGCTTTGAAGTCGTATCCAACTTCTTGCATTGATGTCAAGAGAGACTTGAGCGGGTCCAGATCTAATGAGCTATATAGGTTCATAAAACCAAAGATGTTTTTAAAAGTTAGTATCAAGGGATAGTGCCGAGCAGCAGTCTTTTGAAGTATTCAATTATCACCTCATATCTGAAAAGAGTTCTTCAAGCTTGCATGCCGTTACACAATCTACTGCACACATTGTGCTTTCGATTTCATCTTCTGTTGGATCTGCTCTATATCCTTCATCATTAGAATAGGGTGATAATAGGTAGGACGACAGTGTTGATAACAGCGATCCGTCTCGACGATTTTGTTGTTTGGAAGGTGGGGGCGTTTTAGGTTTCAACGGAATACTTGTGGTTCCGGACAAGAAATCTTCCACTTGGAGCATAGAGCCAGGCAACAGTGAGTTGATAAATAGGTTGCGAATGATCTCGAGGATCTAGTCCCAATTTATATCAATCAAGACACTTGCATTAGCATATATTAATTGAGAAAATCTTCACATATGTCATTACCTTTCCCCATCCTTTTCGCATCGAGTTGCCATGTCGCGTGACAACAGCAAATGCTACAACAGCAGCCAATTGTCCTTTGTAGTTTCTACCAAATCGTACGGCCAAATGGCTTACAACATATTTCTGACCGGCAACGTCCACAATCGGATCAGGAACCATGTTGCGTGAATTACTTTCTTCCAGCAAGCCAGTCATGTTCGCCAAGTTGACGACGATAGCATCGAATACTTCATATAACTTAAAGTGGGAAGCTAGCATGGCGCATTGATGGAAGCCGGATATGGCCTTTTGTAAGGTGGCATCGTCTTGAGCAGTGTCGAATGCTATCATTAATTGATGAATAGTTTAGCAACTCGTGTATATTTATTAGCGCGTTCAATAACTTACCATAGGCGATAGCAGCCAAAGCTGGTTTCCAAGCCAACTGGAAAATATTCTTGTCGTATGCTGCAGTATCGCAGACAACAAATGGACCAGATGACTTTGATCGCTGCAATAGCTGTTTCCAAGCATAATTAAATCCGAGCTGTCCCTCATGTTCTTCTGGCATGACAATTTCGTCGTGTTTGATACACTCATATATTTCTTGCTATATTTGCAGGTCAGCAGTGATTATAATTTTCAACAGTAATGTAGTAATACCAACCAAATGTTCTTTGGGAAAGTCCTTGCCATCATTAACACCTCGCAGGTTTCGCATATAATCTTCCAAAGTCATACGGCGCTAGAAATAGCAATCGACCGAGATATTGGTGAGTGAAGACTGGTTGAATCATGTTTCATTCGATGAAAGAAAATATAGAGCGGAACATACTCTGATCTGTGGATTATGCTGGTCGGTATTCAACAAAATAATCGAGTAGGCCAACAACTGAGCTGCTTCAGGATTAGCAATCTCAGTAGGATTGGACTCAAAGAAAACTTCAGCAAAGGTATCGGTAACACGCATGATTTGCTGCGATTCACCAGGTAGACGGAAGGTTTCGAGAACCACGCGAAGAGCTTCATCCATACGTTTCTAAATATTTGAAAGAGAAAGAAATGAGTTGTGTGCTTTGAAGGGGAGAGGGTATCTTTTTTGGAACATACACCAGCAAATTCAAATTGTCGCATAAACACTTGTAGTAAGGGAAGTTTATCCGGCTTTCCAAGATATTCACCAAGACTCTTCTTGTTGAGTTGTTGAGTTGATCGCAAGAATTCTGCCAGACTTTCTGTGGTATCTCCGTCTTTGTCGGCTTCAATGACTCCGTTGTCTAATGGAAGCCAAAGATCAGGTTGGCTGACCCAGTGATATAGCTTGCTCATGAATAAGAATAAGAAAAGGACTTACCTATGAGGAATTTGATACCCTTCTTTGGACTTTCATTGAACAGACTGGCACCCTTGAGCACTAGTCGCTTTCTTGATTTGAGCTCTAAAAGTACATCTGATGATGTCAGATCCTATAAGCGTAAAGAGAAAATGTTTATTAGTCACCGAAGGAAAAGTATACGCATCCTTCTTCAACTGGATTATTACGTTGCTAAGCTCTGTGCCATGGTCCTGGAGAGAACGATGCGGAGGTTAGTATATATTTGTTTTGGATTGACCTATCACGCATATAGCAAGAATGAGACGTACAATTCGTTCGACCAATTGGTCGATAAACATAAGTAATGTATCGAGGCAAAGAGTATGTGAATCAAAGCCAGAAAATCCTTGAGGATCAGGGAACGAGTTCTTGAGATATCAAATAAACCAAGTCAGCCTAAAAGCGCACACATCAAATAACGATATAAGTCTTGTTTCTTTTACCTTGCTCAAAAACTGAATAATTTCCTCGAATAAATCGCCACATGACAGGTCGCAATCATAGTTGAACCAAAGGTCAACCATGAACGTGGGTATCCTTGCACACTGTAACAGACATTCCAGCAGCAGCTCTCGCACTTCAGGCGATACCATGGCATACTCAGATCCATTGTTTTTACCTGATCTGGCATAGACACTGGGTGACCCACTGCGAACGTCAACATGACTTTTTGCGGCGGCTGCTTTCTCTCCACTTGCAGCTGTATCTTTACTCGTCGATGATGGGACCAGTGAAATCGTGCCTTCCTCGTCCACATCAATCACCATACCTCGACTCCCTGCACCGCTGCTTGGAGATAGGCGTTCAATCAAGAAGAATAAGAATAGTTCTTGCTGAAGCTTCAAGTGAGGCCGCATCGTGTCAATTACTGTCGAAATAACACGTAGCGTCAATGTAAGTAATGGAGTTGTGTCGGTCTTGGCAAGCTAATTTAAGATAAAGAGGCAGTCCATTCAAGGAAAGAGGTTAGTCAATGAAACATCACTATTTTCTATGCGTGGTGCCACGTGGAAATTAGATTCCTGTGTACTGTACCTGGAATAAATATTTGCAAAACTCGTCCGCAACAAGGATCCGCAGCGTTTCGAATCGGCTGATACTTTTTCCTCCAACTTCGAAAGCGACATTCAGGATACTTAAAGCCATCAGTCGCATTGAATCAGTGTGTTTGTGTTCGTGTGGATTGAGAAGTGAAATCAATACGCGGAGAAGCTCCCGAATCGCTGGCAGACCATATGGTTTCAGTGGCGCTGGTCCTACTAGATATCAGCATGGAGAGACCAGTAGACTTTCTAAATGAAATGAGAAAAACGGTTTTTTACCTGTGCTTTCGGTATTTTCTGCCCCCTTCTCAACAACCTGGTCATCACTTTGACTTTGCTGATCTGTCGAGCCAGTAGATTTCGCTGCTGCCGCATCATTCGTATCCCCGGTGCTGTCACGCTCTACCACACCAAACTCAGTCGTGACGCCATCTGCTGCCTCGCCATCCTGCGATTCTGATGGTTCAGTCTGTTGCTGTTTTGCACCTGACGGTGTTGGTGACGGTGATGTACGTGGTGTGCTCATGTGAGGTGCAGCCGGAGAATGACTATTCTTCTGACCCTCCTTTTCCACTGTTGCTGCTGCTGCTACTGTTGTGTGGGTCGTCGTCTCCTTTGGCGATTCAATATATACCCATTCCTCCTCTAGCGTTTTCAATCTATTTCGTGCCCCCCACCAAATTCGCATAGTCCGTATGAACATTCATATTCGCGTAGATCCTTCCATCGCTTTGTGCTTTTCTTACCTTTCAAAAATGGATATAACCATATTTATCATCACGTGCTCTGCAGATCGTCGTAGCATTTCTGATAAAGAGTCAATACACCTGTCAATTCCTCTTCTCTCCATCCAGAGTAGTACACGAATCGTTTCTTACCGCTCAAACGCATCTGGCAGCACATGCTCAAGCCTGTCTCCATCATTTCGCACACAGCCTCATCACTAAGAACTTGTCCACACTCGCTCGTCAACGCCATTTGTAGAACTTGTAACATTCTCAGTAGTACTAATTCGTCTGATGCTGCATCTGAAGCTTCGAATTTACAGTGCGTTGCTGCTGAAGATAGTGCGTTCATGGCAAATGCAACGCTTGGATTTTGTAGACCTAATCATCACCATAGACTAAATTTAGCATATCTTTATCTTCTGGGTCATGATTTCCATCGTTCGACTTACCGACAATCCCATAATGCAGAAATTTTTCAATGCTGCCTAAAGCAGTTCCTGCAATAGGACCCGTGGTATTTCCAGATCGGATAACTTCAAGGAATGGATTCAATAACACCAGGGCATCCAACTCGCTAACATCTGAGGTAGAACAAGAACACCCACCCATTTCTCATCAGAAACCCAAAGATGTAAAAATTCACTTCAATCTTTCTCTCCCTCTATCATTTTTATGCCAGGCACTACCTTCCAAAGTTCCCAGGTATTCTCTCAAGTTGGTGAATCCTTTCATTAATGGGTTTTCCTATTTAACCATTTGCATTAATTATACTTTTTTTCCCGCCACTAGAATAATGAATTTCGTAATATGTGATGGGAAAGGCGAGAGGCGTGTGTTACCTGATTCCGCGTATGAGGCTCTTTTGCATTTGCCTGACCTTTGCGTAATCCCATACTCATTCCGAGACCACCCATATTCAATCCATTCACATTCATACCAGACCAGCGGGCATTCTTGCGCATAGCGCTAGTAACCGCTATTTGGCAATATTATATATTAGACACTCGGTAGGAGCAAAAGAGTCTGTCCATCCAGTCCTATATAGTCCAGCACCGTCCCCCTTTCCAACCCTCTGATGATAGGTCCTATCGTCTTTAAGTTTTCTTACCTATAATTTCCGCATGGACGAGCTGATACCAAGTGAGTTCAGACTTGATGCGCTGAGCCGAATCGACAATGGCAAAGGAGTTCCCGTGTGCAACGTGCTCCTCAGTGTTAGATAAAGGAGAAGTGTTTACACCACCAATGCCGGCTCCAGCATCGCTCGTAGTTGTTATACTGCCTGTAGTTGAGCCTGTTGTGTTGTTGGTTGGTGCGTTATTATTGTTGTTGTTACTCATACTGGACGATCGAGGAATAGACTGAATCCACCAGGTAAAAAGCAATCGTGTTGCTGACAAGACTTGGTGGCTCTCTGTAAAATGGAATGTCGGGATGATGTCACCGATGATGCGATGGATGAGAGATGTGGTTTCTTTTAGTCAAGAAGGACAGGAGAAAAGAGCATGTTACCAAAATTCAAAGTGTTCATCCTCTTTGTTTTGTTTTTCTGGTTGATTATGCTCTTCAGTAGGTGGTCAGTACTTACATTTTATAGGTTGTATAACAGAGAGAGGGGGTTCTTTATAACGTCCCTGGAGGAGAAGACTATACGTGTGACGAAAAAAAGAAGGTTGTAAAGTTCCTGCTTGAACCCTGTGATTTGGATGAACGAAGAGTCGCCACATAGTCCGACATGGTTCTGCTACGTGTCTCCAATTAAAAAAAATGCTACGCATTGAAGAAGACGCGCAGCACTTTATGCTTTTGCTGTTCAAGAAGAATACTCTCAGTTATAGCTGCTAAAGGTTAATTGTCGCAATTAAATGGTTTGAGCCTATAGAGGTATACATTTGTTGTTATAGATATTTTCAAAAAAAAAAGATTCTGTGCCTTCTATTAATTGTAAATTGATCGGAGGTGAACAATGACGAGGCAACCAAATAGCAATCGTGTCCACCGGTAATACGCTATTGGCTACTGCGAACTTCCTCATACTAGTTTGTTTCATTGCTGAAGCACATCCAAGTATTAGCTACACTGATAAGCTGACATCTGGAAACAACACTAGCTGTTTCTGTCTAGCTACATTCACAACTTTATGCATCATATTAAACACACCGGCCAAGTAAAAAACAAACAAGCTTCAATACTTAAATTGCTCGTCCCGGGAGGAGCTTACTCAGCTGCTATACCATAACGAACGAGTATTCAATTGTCGAGAAGACTTAAGAAGCTGCGTCAGCCAAGGAAGCCAGAGAGATGTGCTCAAGAAAATAGCGGAAAGTGGAGCTGCGAGATAACAATCCGTCAGTAAAGCGGATACAGTTGCTGATATCTACGAGGAGGAAAAGTCAATACATGTTGGACTAATTGAAAACTGTGTACAAGTACTTGCAGACGTGATCGTTTCTTATGAAGTGACAAGCGATATCAGAGTATCCTGTCAACATGCTTTACATATCGTATTCTTTAACAGTGCTCGTCTTTAAGACCTCTATCAGTGGGTGTCTGTGACATACGAACATACAGTCTTACCAATATTAGTGCAGCAAGTTCGTTTGATGTAATGATTATCGCACCTCTGAATAGTGAATCTTCGTAGAAGAGCTTACCGAAGAGCACGAGCAACAGGAGAAAAAAATCTTTGAGTTCCTTTCAGGTATGCATTACGAAATTCTCCCAATTGATTTTACATCGGATTTATAGTACTATAATGTGCCACACATAGTGCCAATATTCTCGGAGCGGTTGTAAGTCATGGCTGGTAAAATGAAGATGGGATAAAGAAGCACACTTAAGTGAATAAACTCGATTGTCACAATCAACCATTACTTTATTCTTTTCCGTAGTACAGTCATACAGCCTATAGTTATCCAATGAACAAGAGGTACAAAGTAACGTAGAAGCGCTATTTCGGCCAACAACTTCAGCAACTTTAACATCTTCTAATCAAGAAACGGTAAAAAAATCATTAAAGAAACTTATTTGGTAACACAGGGAGAGAATAACCCATGGAAGGCTGTTTTTGCCCACAATCCTTCTATTCTTATTTGATACACAATATTTGGTGAATACATATATAGTGAAATTATAGCTACTATACATAGAACAGAATACATTGTACGCGTCAAATAATGTGGAAGTGGCGCAAGCACGATATGTATTTATAAAAGACTGCTCAATGTTATTATTAAGGATAGATGAAAGCGAAGAATACTACACAGACAGGAGAGTGATAGTAATCGGTAGATGGATGAATGGCGAAACACTGATCTTTGGGTGCTTATTAGACCCGCGCGCCATCATGCGAATGGGGTGGCTCAGACGCGGATCGTTCCGAAGGCGTGGATGCCACAGCCACTTTCTCACCGTATGGGAATGTGTAACCTGGATTGCTTCCTCCGCCGGTATTATACAATGGTACTCCAGATCCGCTGTAATCTGTAGAATATGACATTTGACGCTGTGGAGGTACTGCATACGGTTGTTGTACGGCATTGGTGTCGTAATAATTATAGTAATTTGGATACGGCGCCGAGTTATCGTACTGGACTCCTGAACTACCACCAGCAGCGGGTGCGATATTTGAATATTGCGGTTGCTGCTGATGCAGGTCTGCCACCGCATAGGCGGCAGGCGAAGGAGTGCTGCCATGATCAATGGCCATGGGCGCATCTTCAATATAATCATGTGCGTCATGCTCATTGTATACTGTCGACTTTTTCTGCAGGTACGTGTACAACGCGAGAACGATCCATAACGCTGCCGCGATGATGATCCCCAGCCACGATCCATTCTGCAGCCCTACACAAATATAAAAGTAGAAGTTTATTTGTCACTAAAAATAAAAAGTAGCTTTTTTTTGGTTTCCAGCATAAGAACAACATGACGACATTTTGGCATCGTCATTTTCAAAAATAATACACTTACAGCATCTGTTGGTCGTTTTGCTCGTTAAGTCCGAGTTGTTGGCGATGGAATAATCCGAGCAATAAGTGGCAAAGCCCTTTGTTGATGGGAAATTCTGTTGGGCGTCGCTGGCAATATCGGACGGTAGCCATGGTACCACACCGGCTTCAATAGTATTGTAGACAATGACGGCGATCAAAAGTGCTATGCATACGACGCTGACGATTCGGTCACCGCGAATAGATCTGATGTTCGACATGCAGCTTACAACGAGTAGCGCGACTGAACATATCAAGGAGAAACCTGCTCCGACATAGTACAGAACGTACTTTTGTGCAAGAAAACACACACAATCATTAGATTTAATAACTACTCACTCTCTCTCTCTCTCTCTCTCTCTCTCTCTCTCTCTCACAGAGCATATTCAAGTGAAAGAACGCGTGTCGTGTCATGATGCGCGTCGGTAGCAGCAACTTACAACTTTATAACCTGGCCACCAATCACTGGTTCCTAGCAAGACAACTTGTGCTTTATGTAAATAAAAAAAGTGTCAGTCATTATTGAAACGCATAACAGGATTGCAAGCTCAGCCGCCCTGCCGCCACTATATTTTAAACTTCTTTACCAATATGACAAGCAAGTGTCGCCGCACTGACAATAAATAGCAGCAAGCGAATCAACACCAATATCGTTACGCGAATATTCATACTGACTCTGGGATATCTTTTGCTTTATCTGAATCTCTCTTGGTAATGACAATGTCGACAATGAGGCGAGGTGGAAATGGGGGGGAAGAAGTGCAGTGGCGAAAAGCCTGGTATACAATAGAGGAGTCGTTGCTTTCTGCAGAGGTGAAAAAAGAGTTAGGCGAGAAAGCTATTGCGAGTAACAAAAGGAAAAAGAAACAAGTCAGGAAGAAAAAAAGAAGGCCTACAAAGAGAATGGAAAGGAATTGCGTTGTCCTTTTGTGTGTGTGCCTCGATATATACGCTTTTGGTGGCGCACGAACGCTCCAGAACGGGTACGAGTCTGAGAAGATTTTTTTTTCTTCTTGTGTTTCCGTTCGTATGGCAAACATTGCTGTACCACTCCTCAATGATAGCACCTGAAAGGGCTCGGATCCTTTTTGATTGGAGTAGCATCGCCTCGTCATCTTTCTTCCTTTGTGCTATGACTACTATATTCACAACAATAGGTAGCCCCAGTTCTTTTTCACTTAGTTGTGTGGAACCATTTATTATCATCCCTTTTTTTCGCCATTACAACTACTAGCTCAGGCACAGTGGCGATCTCTATTACATTTATACTCCAACAAAGTAATAAGCAACAGGCAGATCAGTTTTGGAAAAACTTGAGGGAGTACAAACGTTGTGTCTCGGCTTAGTGGTACTGATAGATAGGTAGCGCAGAGTAGGGGTACAATAATTCACGAAAAGCAACAGCTGTGGGGAATATTCGTTGTGTATTTTAGAAAAAGAGGTGATAGATAAATAGTACTGCACTTGGCAACGTTGACATTGATGCTCCTTTTGTTGGATGTCAACAGATCAGTTTACTGTGAGTGCTGCTATGGTAACCAAGAGTAACCAGATTACTGGGGAAGCTGAGAAAGTATTATGAACAAGCCCAAAGTTACACAAAGCTGGTGCATAATGTTATCGGCTTAACCCCCGAATCGCGGTTCCGTCAGAGTATGGCCATCCAATTCAACAGTAAGACCCGTCTGTTTGTATGTGCTTTCAGCACAGAGAAGCTTGAGTCTAAATCTGAAGCCATATTCTTTTTCATAGATGTGGAGCACACTCTCTCTGCGTCTGATTAGCAGAAGATATTATCCTGTGGCACGATTTACCAACGCCTATAAGATTACTCAGACCGTCCGATGATATACAAAATAGCTAACTCCTATGCATCGCACTGATCGCCGTTTCTTTTTAGTGATTCATCGTCTAAAACGCATGTCGAGGAGCTTTTATTTAAATAATGAATGAAACACGGAAAGTTTCTTTGAATTCTCCCGAATTAAGTATAGCCCGAAGAAGACTTTCGTCATTCTTGTTAAATCAAGCAGTTATTCGATTGTTTTCCGGGAGAATGACGCTAAAGGGTATCGAAAAGTATAGTGTCATATAATATATGTGCTTTCAAATCGTTCTTTTTGCTTTTCTTATTGAGCTCGCTTTTTCTTCTCATGACCATACTCTTTTACATAGTCACCAATATGTTTTACCTCCACCATGTATAGATAGCTGCGGGTATACTGTTTGGAACTGTTACAAGCATTGTATGTGACATTCCCAAACAATTTTCTACAATCATTATCTGCACTAAGCATTCATTGTCAAGTAAGCATTGATACTAATAATTATGGTCTCTAACCAAGGCATGACAGAAAAAAGCAATGTCATCTCTCTCAGATATAATGATGTCATGAAGGCTGCTTGCTTCTACTTTTTCCGAGGTCGACGATAGTTTTTTTGTAGTCGGTTGTCTCAGTAAACTCCAGTGTCGCGGCAACGTAATCGAAATACGCCGAAAGTCCCTCTGCCTCTCCACTGCACAGGTTTTGGAGCTTGATCGTCGTCTTTGCGCCTTTGACTTCTTCTTTTGACATGCCCTCCTATGGCAGTTTGCTTTTCAGCATATGTATAAGGACGTATCCTGGCGCCTGCAAGTCGGAACTGGCATAGTGCTGTATAGAGCGGTATTTAAGCAAATAATAATAATTACTAGGAGTTATTAGGATATATTAAACACAGCACTAGTAGGCCGTGGCATACGAGCGTTGATGTGCCGCATTCGACGCGGGCGTCGATGCTTGAGAATGAAAGGGTGTCAAAAAAAGTGCGATTAAAACGCAACTTTACATGTTTTGCCTTTCTCGTTGACAAACTTACCGCTAGACCAAAGTCAATCAAAAAGGCCATGTCTTCATCAGCACCGGTGCCCATCATGATGTTCGCAGACTTGATGTCTCGGATAGGATCAGAGTGGATACCTGTAATATTTTAAGTCTTGCACAAGGGATCCCATTAGAAAATGGAGGGGCCGACTTACGTGGAACCATTTGGATAACTCACAAAGCCGAGATATTCGAAGAATTTGAATTTTCAATGCTGCTGATAGTTTCAATCTTCAACTATTCTCGAGCAGAGGCAGGAAAGAAAACAGTTAGAATGAGAGGAAGCTAAAAAAGATATGTGTAGTATAAGCTACAGTTAGCATCAAATGATGATACTGGAGTACAGCTATTATATGGGCTCACAGCACGTTTATGCTCTCTTGCAACAAGTTCGAATTTTCAAGTAGAAAAAAATTATTTACAAAATGCTGACAGAGTACGAGTTCTAAGATTCCAAAACTGTGCCTATTTTGTCTATGTCTTGCTGATACCTGTTTGACCTCGCTTCGTTCTTTTTTAGTATCTGCTGTATAATATTTACTCGTTCTTAATAGCGTCTTTATTCGACTTCGCCAAGGTGTTTCTCTCCTTGCTCCCATTTAAAGATCTGAAGGAGTGTACCGCTGAGTTCTGCAGGTACTGAGCCTGCCATAAAAACAAGCGGAGCTGCCTTGGCAGTTGTGAAACATTCATGATGCCGTGCCATGGAAATGGCATCCAAGACAACGACAAGCAATTTCTAATACTTGACAGCTTGTTGCTCCGTCTCTTTTTTAAAGAAAACAACACAGCAGCTCCACTATCAGTAGCTAAATAATCAACGACTTTCCACAACCCTGCTGTTAAGAATAAGCTTCGTAGTGGTAGACCAGCATCGATGAGTAGTAGTCACCATTAATGTGCGATCGTGTTCATGTCAGCTGAGATGTGTGGTGGCTAGATTGTGATGGTTTATGCTCCTACGTAAAAAAAGGTACAATATAGGCGTTCTTTACAGACAGAAAATCGTTTGGCGATAGGATGAACTTTCCGCTTTGTTTGTGATATGTTTGTGACTCTGTTGGTACACGCTGAAACGGGAACCATATAAAGCATGAAAAGCTGTGAATGACATTCCATTTTTTGTCGCAGGCATAAATTGCCCTTGATCCAGCATTAGTATATATTCAGGACACGAATTTCCCAATAGCCAGCTTCTGTTCCTTCATTCAATAGATCAAATGGCATGTGTGTAAAGCGTGGTCGTGCTTGTATTCGACAGATTCTTCTGTTTTAAGCAGATTTTTACTGTATGTGTGGTTCATAATGTTGTGTCTGTGTGCGGAAGTAAGTACAACACACTTAACCCCATAGCTGTAGTATATAAAGGACATCTGTCGCTACATTTTATTACCTTTTATCTGCACTATCCTTGTCAACTATTACTTTATCATTTTCGCTAATTGCCACCAGTTCTTCGAAATACGTCGTGTGCAATGGATGGATGGATGGATGGATGGGTCGATCGTTAGCAATTGATTGACATAAATTTTATTGATCATTCAATGAAAAAAATAAAAAACCTTTCTCTTCCATTTTCCCTATCTATCCTAGGGTTCCACACGAGACGATTCCCACCGATTATTTGAGGGAAACGAATCGGTATCTCTGTGATGATAGAGCTTTAATAAAGATAATAAGGGACAAGATTAAGTATCTTTGAGATGATGTTTTATTCCAACAAAAGATAAAGCTCTTTTATATTTTCTATCTCTTTTGGTTTATTGGATATTATACCTATAGACCTATTATATACTATTAAAAAACTACTCTTTCATAGTTTCTTTATGATATGCATAAGTATATACTGTTGTAATTTAATTACTATTGACTAAATAGATTATCTATTCAGAGTGCTTTCTGATTTTGATAGAACATAGTTTGTAAGTATAGACGCCCACTGCCCACCTATGATATAGTATACCTACGAATTTTGTCACGTGATGCTGCGTAAGAAAATGCGTACGTGATATATATTAAGTGTTATTTATTGCTAAAACATCTGACAGCGTGCCAGAGTGGTTAATGGGTGAGACTCGAAATCTCATGGGCTCTGCCCGCGCAGGTTCGAATCCTGCCGCTGTCGCAAATTAGACTTGTGTCATTTATTTGTTTTGTTTTATATTTTTTGATTGATGATGTTGTCGAGTCGCTTTTTGGCGCGTGGATCCGTAGCCAACGAGAAAGGATAAGAACAAAGGGTAATCAGAGGATAGAGGGTTGTTAAAAGATACTTTTTATTGCTAGTGATAGCGTATAATCTTTTTCTAATAAACCGCCTCGGCGCTTGCCCTATGATACAACAATATAATACGATACAACTACGATGCTGTCGAATCCCGCCTTCTACTCGTTGCTTGTTTGTATGTTGTCAACGTATTTTAGCGCGGCGGTATTCTGTTGTAATTCTTTGTTGTCTGGCAAAAGTGTTGCGCCGCCAAAACGGAATAATTAAAGGCCGGTTAATTTTACTACGACAATGTCGATGAAAAAGCAGCAAGAATCATCGTCATCATACTTTGTATTTCTTGAACTTTGCTTTTCTTTATTTTTCTCTTTGATTTACACATTAACATGGGTCGTCGAAGACCTTCAGGGGCAAAAACCTAAACCCATTGTACTAAAAAAGTTACGCAAGTAGTCTTAAAAGAGAGAAAAATATTTTCTATTATATGGAATAAAAGTTATCTGATGGTATGACGATGATGAATGCTTATTAGCTTCTATTAATGGTACAAAAAGTAGACAGCAGCTGTATAGTATGGCAATGTCGATGATCCGTGTAGTGATAAATTTCATTTCCAGTTGTTAAGATAACGGCCAAGATGTTATCTCGCTGGATAATAACACTACCACCATCGTTGTTACAATTGGATACAATAATAAGGGCGTGATAGTAGTGGTAAATCAATCGATACCATTAATGAGCTTAGGTAATCATTGTTCGTCGTCGTCTTTTTCGTCAGTTAGGATCGTGACGATTCTCAAATGGGGCCGCATCATGGTTCACGGATATGATGTTAGGTCAATTTCCTATCATAGTAGCTCAATTTAACAAACCTGTGGGCTTTTGTTGTAGACACAAAAAATATCAATACAGCTGTCCAAGTAGATTGCAGCTATTTTGCAGTGTGCACTGTGAGGCGACAGGGTATACAGACGATTCTTGAAAAATATAGTCACTCCAGGACAGCAGGACTAAGAAAATGGTGGAAAGGAAGAATTAGTTTAGTTTTATATTCATATATATTGCAAGGCTAATGACGATACGTTTATAGCGTTCTTGTCGCTTCCTTACAGAGCGGTGAATGAGAAGAGAAATAAAATACTTAGTAGGAAGTGGTACTTTAATTGAAATACCCTTCCAGAGGGGGAGAAAAAGTCAAGCCATATTAAGGTGTTTAGAGAGGAGAGGTAACGAAGTAGAGAAATCAAATAAGAAAGGAAAGAGAGAAGTGAAAATGTAAGAGAGGGGGAGGAGAAGAAGAGTTGTCCATAGACGCTATGAGTGTGGTGAGGGATGTGGGGATGATGATGAATCTACATTGCCCCAGGTTTAGCGCTTTCTCGGGTGCCGGTTCATTTGTGTCGTAGGCGGTATCCGAGTGGCTTAAATTGTCGATTTCACGCAGCACACGAAGTAATGCCGTGCAGGTCGTTATCCAATTACCGCGCGACAGTATTATATCGGAACGTGCTAGTTTGTTCATGATATAGTCGATGATATGTAGCTCGTTGTCTTGATCTGGTGGTGTAGTGCCGAAGGCCGTGTACAACTGCTGAAGTAGTGGTGTCAGGGATGGGGAACTGACGTAGCGCTCCCGTTTCGCGCGTGGTGCTCCGCAACGACAATCCTTGAGTAGATATGATGGTAGCCAGTGCATTCTCCATTTGATGAGGCGACGGCGGTCTCTTGGAAAAGCGGCCAGATAGAGTACGGGGTCAACTTTCCAGGAGGAAGAATTAGTTTATGTCAGAACAGTAGATACGGAACCTCTGAAATATAATAATGGATATTAATGTATACTTTAACTACACTCCTACTGGTTATCCTCTTGTCTTTCTCTGTCAGGGGATGACGGAACATACACTGATAGCCAAAAAAGGTTAGGAACGTTTTTGTTACATGATATTCCTCTTGTAGCGAATTTAAGACTAGGAAAGCACGCAGTAATTTATTTACGCTGCTCTACGGATCATCGTGTTTCATGATGCGACATATTCATAGGCTAAAGGGCCAGCAGAGTGTACATCATTATCTGTTATTTTTAGTTTGAAGCAACATGCCATTCGTGCTAAATTACCCATGTCAGTTGAGTCGTCTGAGTAATGCGACAGGATTTTGAAGCACATTTAGAAGGCGATCTTTAATTAGCCATATCGATGTTGAAAAAGGAACTGTATTCTTTGGCAAAATGAGCTTAAATCCAACTATGCTAGTTAGTAGTAGTCATGGCGGCCCTTTTCAGTCAGATAACATTGTTATAATGTTACTACTCAAACTTTAGGGCTCGTTATAAACATAGATGTCTCTAGTTTGAGAGCTGAAGCTCGAGGCTGTGTTAGGCACGTCGGATCAGCTTTGTTTTTGTTTTTAGTATGGCTAGAGATACTTATCGCAGGTACATACAATTAGGAAATGTGTATTCTTCTACGCAGCAACCGAATAAAAGTAGTGTAAGAATATATTCTTTTTGCAATTCTTGATTGACTTTGCGTAATCGGCATAATCAACCACAAAAAATGCATCATCTAATTTGGTGTTCAAGACATTTATAGCTTTCTTTTCCATATAGTTTCTCTTACCCGGAAAAAGGTTGAGGTTGGCAACGTTACTTGGTACTAGGTTCAGCCACACGGCGTAACATTTGACAGCTCAACCAACCGGGAATCCGGCACATTTGCTGAGTTGCCAACATGCATGCACTATGCAAAAGAATTTTTTTGTGAGCCCACCAAAACTCGCCTGTGTCACATATACCATATTTATTTTGATGTGTGCTAAAGAGGCGGTGTTCGCATATGTCTCTCTTACACTTTTCAGTCCAGTGAGGAGTGTGAGTGTATGCATGTAAAAGAGACGCGGGTATGATGCTACATGTTGTTATTAATATGCAGTAATTCTAAAGAACTAAAGGCGACGATCAAAAAATCAGCAAGAACTGGTTTTTGCATTCTCATACAATATATAGCGGATAGAGATGTCTATGAGGAAACGTGATTGCTATTGACCTTTTCCGACTACTAGTGATACAAAGTGGTGTTGAGTCTCGTGAAGCTTTTTTCTCTGAGTTTGACTAAAGTATGGTACGTTGTACGACGCGTATACTAAACATTAAAGAAGAAGGTAATCTTGGCGCTCGGCGGCTAGTTGGTATAGTTCTCTTCTTGGTACGTACATCTATGCGTGCACAAAGATCTTTGTAGCACAGCAGTTAGTCTTTCGTCGTCCGCAAGTCTGATGATTGTGGTTTGCAGAGAAACGAAAATAGTTACTATTTTCTACTAGGCATGAAGGAAACAGCGGATACGTTGAACTCTACCGGGGCACAACCCAGACCAAGCACTTTTTCTTGCCGCGGAATGCTAGAAAGGGTGAGATTAAGGGGAAGAAGCAAGGCACATGGACGTATATAACGACTGTTTATATGAAAGCCTGCCATAGATGTAGTAGCTAGCAACTACCCATAGACTTACTTTACATCTGCAAATAAAGGAGTGGTCCTCGTTATTATTGTCACAGTGGGTTGGAAGTGCTAAAATAATCATGTATAATGGACAAGGAAGTCAGATAGCATTCTATCCGATATGTTGAAAAACATACTCAAGAGATCATACGGGGTCTTTTTTAGTCTCATTTATTCTCTTTTATAATACTACGTACTTCAACATACCGGATCAAATTAGAATTGTTGCTGTAGATATATAGTAGAAATGACAAAAGCAGAGCCGTTTATTTTCCCTAAGGAAACACTCTTCTGCTATCAGCGTATTCCTAAAAGTCCCATTCAATTTTTTATCTACCATAATAATGAAAGCTATTAGCTACTCGCGCTCTATTTAAATACTTGGCGACTTTGCGTTGATGTTATATCCTAGCTGTACCAGAACACGCTTACTATCTACTGCTGTCAGCAATTGCACTCTGCCGACTTTTTATTTATTTCTTAATGAATAGATGTGGTTCTCTTATACAGCATATAAGCTGTATAAGAAACATTAGCAATAACAGCAACAACATACTGCGACCGAAATATAATAAAGTGCATGTTACTGCCATAAATACTATGCCTCGTCGATAACTAAAACGAGAAGCAAGTTTTTTAATTTGTTGAAGCTTTTCGTATCTTGGCGCTCATGCTAGTTTGAGTGGTACAGAGTATACTTGGCACATAGCCCGGTCATGTAGCCCCTAAAAATGAATTGAATATATTTAATCATCATCATCGGCATAACCGTAAGCATGCATCTTCTGTATTAATACTGCTTGGATTCTTTTCGATTCCCCTTTACTAACCTCAGAACGTCTATCTGTGAAAGAAAAAAAAGCCACTCCGAAATTTTTCAAAAGTGAGGCTTGACCTGTTATGCCAAGTATGTAAACCCGTCAACTATATTTTTGTAACATGTCCGCATGACAATAAATATAAAGCACTCCTTTAACCCATTTAGCAACTTCTATATCACTATTAGCAGCTATTAGCTGGTATTAGGAGGCTAGGTGATTAAATAAAGACTTCTTAACAGGGTAAATAATCGCCAAATTTCCTTGTTGTCAAGCACCAGAGTGAAATAAGGAATAGGAGATGATGGAAAGTGGGGTGGAGGGGCTTGTTGAGCAGAAAAAAAAACCCTTAAACCGCGGGAATTATGCGGGGGAAATATATATGATATTTTCGTCCATTAAGCAGGAAAATAAGAAAAAAGGCTTGGCATCTTACTCCGTGGCTGTGTGGATGCGTAGTAACAGTAATAGCAGCGTAAAGCGGCTTAGTGCGATGGTGGTCCGTCCAGGGTGATGATGTACTACATCCAAAGGTTTGGATGCTAACAAACCCACAACTTAGAAATTGACATCCAAATGGATCACTTCGAAAATCGACGTCCGTTCCATAACTCAATAACTACAATTTGGAATAACAGTTCCAAGCTCCGTTTTTCAGTAGAGTTTTGGCGTATTCCCCTTCAAAGAGATTAAAGTTCACTTTTATACGTTAAGGCTTCTAGCATGTCTTTGAATCAATAAGGAAAATGCGTAATTTTACCTTAATGTTAGTGTACATATTTTTTTATGGCTGGCGCATTAGTTTTTTTCATTGCGCCACGGGTTATACATGCATACGGCGAGAATGATCGTCGTTGTGCGCCCAGTGTTCCAATGTTCCAAAAAAGAAAACGAGAATGACCATTTGTAAGAGAGAGCAGCGCCATAAGCGTTTTTGATTTGCGTGGCGCTGGATGATAATTTTTTCCGTCTAAAAATAGCCACTGCATCAACCTGCATTAAAAATAGTAAAAATGTGGAACCACAAAAAGGCAACAGAGATAATAAAACATATATAATGAACGGTCTATTTTCTACCTTTTTTTCTTTTTCTTTATAAACAGCAAACATCCTTCCAGCATTCAACTTACAACGCAGCATACACCCAGCCATCAAAAATACTATGAAAACTGTTCGATTCAGCACCCATGACTTGGAGACAGTCGTACCTACATATAGCAATGTAGATTATGATCGCTCTTTGCAAAAGCAATGTTCATCATCATTGGCACGAACATTAGAGCAGACACAACTTTGCAGTAACAAAACCAAGAACGTCAAGGAGCAGCAAGAGCAAGGACGACGGTCAAAGCCCGCTTGTTCCCCGGCGAGACCCTCCGCAAGACCCTACATTACTCCTCTGGACCTCTCGGGTGTTCCTAATGCCTGTCGACGTACTCCGGCTATGGGCCATCAAGTATTGGTCGTGCCCAAAGTCAGTTCGCTGATCCATGGCTATTCTTGAACTAGATACATTTACAGCATACACATACGCACAGTCATATACCGTTTCATTTTACACATCTCGCTTCCATTATATCGATACATATCCCATTCTTTCTTAATTTAGTACCCTTAACCTTCTTCTGATTACCTACCTCACGGCATTTGTTATATATTTGAGCATCCATTACTTTCCCTTTCTTCATCTTCCTTTTCTTTGCCTTTCTTTGCAGACGCAAAAAGTTACTTCCTTTGCACTCATTTGTATATGTCGACAATAGATCACACCACCTCTTATTATTGGCTTACTAGTGTCACAGCCATCAATAGCATCATTAAAAGCGTGTCTATATCACACCAGAACTCTACGAGGGACTCTGTTTCTTATTTGCTGCTACGAAAACAGTTTTATTTTTGTGTATAATAGTTTGTATTGTATATAGATATGTGATTTTTTGCAAGTGCGAGTGGAAATCGAACAAGGAAATGCAAGACGAAACAAAAAAAAAGTGGGATTGTTAGGAGTAAGAGAAAAGACAATGACAGAAAAAACGCTGTGCAGTCGTCGATGAGTCGAAGTAAATTGTGCCGTTGGTGTTGCGTGGATGATGAATGTATAAATGTTTGTTTGTATGATACTTCTTTACCATCTGCTAGCGCCGCTACCACCGTAGTAGCCACCGCCACCACCACCATAGCGATTACCGCCGCCATATCCACCGCCACGGCCACCACGATAACCTCCCCGGCCACCACGGCCACCACGGCCACCTCCACCACCGCTGGTGTCAGCCATCAATTGCAAACGAGGCTCAATGACTTGGTTCGTCTCACGCAGAATGTTGAGTAAATCACGGGCTTGTCGAGCGTTATCAGTAGTGAAGAATGTAACTGCTGAGCCAGTAGCTCCACCACGACCTGTACGACCCACACGATGGACATAGTCCTCAATGTTTGTAGGGAAGTCATAGTTGATGACAAACTTGATGTCCTTGACATCTAAACAACAGATATGCATGCAGAGATTAGTAACGCGTAGTTCTTTTTTTCTTTCCGCTCCACTCCCACACACAAACACACTATGCACGCAGTAACAGACACCGAGAAGAAAGAAAAGAAAAAGGAAAACAAGAGTTGCTCACCCGACCCAGGATCAAAACGCGGAGGAACAGTATCTCATCCACCTGAAAGAATGACTAACAGGAGGATGACGATTGTAGTAGCAAATGGTAATAACCCGTTATCAAAAGAATGACGACTGTTCGATTTGCTCATTATGTTTTCCCCGCGCTCCTTCAAACGTCTGGAAGGGTTGGGCCAGTAGATGTGTAAACAACTCCAAAAAAATATAAGAGAGAGAATGATTCGAAGCTGAGAGCGTCCAATCTTCCTTTCTCCCCGCTGGCTCACAAGAATTTGCAAAGAAGAGGTCACGAGAAATTCCTGTAAGCATTTTCCGTTGGGAAGAAAGGCCGAGCGATAACAACTGGATCTCCGCCAAAGCATGCCCGCTTTTCATGGTGTTGTGCGCGAACAAAAAGACAAGCCCAAAATCTTTTTGGAGAGCAGGAGAAAAGCTGCGGATGCATATGATGTGCTTCGAATCAAATAGGGTTTTTGTGTATGTGTAATATGTGTGTGTGTATGTGCCTGCAATGCATATATGCCTTCCTACGACGAAGCGCAAGAGAGACAAAGAAACTGCCATTTTGTTTTCTCCTTTGAACAGTCTCTCTTTGTGATAACACTTACCAATACCACGCGATGCTACGTCAGTAGCTACCATGATGGGATGGCCGCCAGTACGGAATTGATTGAGGACCCAGTCACGCTCGTTTTGCTGCTTGTCACCGTGAATAGCCAAAGCAGGGAAGCCGTCCTGTCTAAGGTAGCGCGTAATTTCATCTGCTGTACGCTTGGTACTGGTGAAAATAAGCGTCTTTCGCTCGTTGTCAGGTTCTTCCATGATACGTTCCAAATGAACAATAAGCCTTTTTTATCAGAGAAATTGAAGTTGTGTTAATGTATATGCTTTGATGCACGATAAACGTATTAATGATTAAGGATAGCAAAATGATATACTTACTTTCCACGTTTCTCGGTCTCGGCGCAAACTTCTACAGTCTGCGTAACGTTCTTGGATGCACTCAATGAAAGCGAGCCGATGGTGACCTGAATGTACTCCTTGAGGTAAGTCTCAGCAAGCTGCTGAACGCTCTTTGGCCATGTAGCGCTCCACATGAGTGTCTGTCTGTCGGGTCGAATCTGGTTGACGATCTTGCGAATTTGTGGCTCGAAGCCCATGTCAAGCATACGATCGGCTTCATCCAAAACGAGATAGGTGACGCGGCGAAGATTGGTCTTGCCTGACTCAAGCATGTCAATGAGTCTACCAGGAGTGGCGATACAGATTTCGACACCTGTAAGAAATAGTAGGTGTTAGCAGACGGTTTTTTTGTTTTGCGCTTTGCTGTGTACGCAAATTCTTTTGGTCTTGCAAAAATTATATAAATTACCCTTTGTCAAGTCTCTAATTTGAGGACCACGAGGAGTACCACCGTACAAACAAGTGTTCTTGATACGAGAAGTAGAGCCGAACTTGATGCATTCTTGTTGGATCTGCACAGCCAATTCACGTGTAGGAGCCAACACCAAGACGATCGGACCATCTCCAGGCTCAAGCAAGGGCTGTGCATTGATGTGTACGATACCAGGCAAAGTATAGGCCAAGGTCTTTCCAGAGCCGGTTTCAGCGACACCGACCACATCACGGCCACTAAGTGCCATCGGCCAACCCTGGCACTGAATAGGTGTAGGGGCAGCAAAACCAAGTTGGCTAAGCTCGCGCATCACATACGAAGGGAAGTTGGCTTCTTCAAAAGTCTTGAGGGGTTTTGGCACATTAGGTCCAACGACTGTCATGTTGGCAGCTGCACGAATTTGGGCAATTTCTTGGTCACTTCTCGCAGCAACTGCTGGGTGTTCGCTGTAGAAGTTCTTTTCGAATCGGGGCAAAGACAATTGGTCCCACTGGATGTCTTTTAAACCAGTGCCTAATTGACCCATGCGGTCGCCTCCTGCACCTCCACCGCCGTAACCGCCGTAGCCTCCGGCTCCGCCATAGCCACTGCTACCGCCATAGCCGCCGGCACCAGCACCACCGCCGCCATAACCTCCTGAAGCGTAGCCATTGCTACCGCCGCCATTGCGATAATCGTTCGAGCGATAAGAGCTGTATGATGACTGATGACGGTCGTTGCGGCTAGAGCCATGATCATAGCTGTTACAGTAATAGAAAAAAGAAAAAAAAGACAGTTAGATTTTACCACACGAATTGTCAGAAAGATCAGATGAGAAGATAAATAATTGACAAAAAAACTTACGGACGGCTTGATCGTCTAGGCGATGCATCACGGGTGTCACGGTATGAGCCTCCCCTGGAATAGCTGCTGTCACCTCCGCCACCGTATTTGCTACCGCTTCCACCACCTCTGCTATAGCTAGAGGAGTGGCCGGATCCGTAATCGCGAGAGTGGTAAGACATTATCGTTTTATTTTGAGTAAAACAAAGGAAAAAGAAATTTTTCTCACATCTTGCTCACTCTTTCTTTGTCGGCCTATCAAAATTTCATGACCGTTTCCTAATAAGGAATGGAGTAGGAACTTGTCGTATAAGGGATGATGCTTGTGATCGTGTTGATGTAAAGAGTTCACAGGTCACAAGTCACCGTATCGGGTGATGATAATAACGCACTGAGTGATATATATAATCACATACACTGGTTACCGCAGCAATCACAACAGAAAAAAATCTCATTCTATGTGAGATAAAACTTGGCAGTTTGGATTTATGCTCACCTTTCTTTCAATGTGAGCTATTTATAGTGCTTTACAAATTGTAACATTCTCCTTTAAATTGATGCTACGTCAACAGGGAGGTCCAGGGAAGGTATGGTAGAAAACTGATGGTGCTGTTACTTTCATTAATGCTTGGAAGCAGCCACAGCATCCCATTCGTTGTTGTGGAGTTGACAAACCAGAATTATACATCTGATAGCGCTGTTGGCAGTTTCCAGTATGTCAACAGCCGCATCGAAACTAAGCGATATCAGTTTGAACATTGCTCTGCTGCTACAGATTTGCTGCTAATGATCGGTTTGCCATCTTTGGATGCACATTACTACTAAGTGTTATTGATCAGTGGCACTTTTTACATACTTGTATCTATTCTTCGCTCTTTTTCCTGACGTCGCACATGCTAAAAAATGATACAAAAAGCAGTGAAGGAAAACATCTGGTGGGGTACGTACTAACCATGTGTTCCCCGCCTCGGTAAAAGCAGCTGTTGGCACACATAGAGAGAGAAAAAGCGGCTCTCAAGTACAGGTTACGTTACTCATTTTTGTGAATGAATTTGCTTGCGCTCTATCACCTTATTATTATACGCCATACGATTGAATTTTGTTCAGACACCATCATGTTAATCAAATTGCAGAAGAACAAAAAGTGTCTTTTCTCTGCGATTCCAGCTGCCTCACTGTTTATCGTATATACCCAGGAGCATTTTGAAAAAAACAGCGTATCGCATACAATCAAGCATTCTAATTTTTCATTCAATACTGAGTCCTGTTTTTTGATGCTTGTAAACTGATTATGCAATGTAGCAAAGCTGAAAAGCAAGGTAGTATGTGGATTTAGCATTTTCAAATGAACAAACACATCTACGTTGGTCTTACTTTTGTCTCAGGAAAGATCAGCACTAGGTACAGCTAGTAGCCATGGAGCTTCATGTTTATCGTAAGAAATAACAGCAGCTGCTGAGGTACGAAAATAAGCCTGTAGTTTTTCAGCATACCGCAATACCGATTAGATATAAAGTAACGAAATAGTAAAGAGCTCAAGTGTACAGTCGGCTTCCTTTAAGTTTACACCTTTTAACTTTCAACCCTTTGCTATTCTCAAAGTTTCTGGAGTCATCAAACAAACAAGAATAGCAGAGAATACTAAGAAAACTTGTCCTCGCTAACTTTCAATCCTCATTATCCTCACACAAAATTTGAGAATTTACGCCATTAGATTAACAAGGGTCTACAGTATCTGTACTAGGTCGTCGTCATCCCTTTATCTCAAATTGCAAAGTACTAGAAGAAGAGGACTATAAAAGAGTATGTTGTTGGTACTGCCGCTCCTCGATTACTCACTTATAATTACGAGTCAAGAGATTCAAGAGGAAAAACATCTTGCAGATGACTGCACAGAATTTGGTTTCATTAGATTTTCGCACGCAGGGTGCACATATAAAGTGAAAGGAGGATCGGGAGTGACCAGTGCACATGCGATGTAGCACATGCGCACACGTTTTACCAAAAAATTCAGGGTTTCTGTACGACACTTGGTTTTGGAATAGACCATATATACATACAGATGTCAAATCTTAAATGGAGACCGGGGTATGGGCCAGTACCTACATTCCACGCTCTGTAATTAGGCTATATTGAGGGTAAAGTAGTAACGCATGGTGGCCTATGAAGATAGAAAAATTGGTATCACTACATTTGAGTCTTTACATATGCTTTGCTGCCATCTTCTGCATGCAGCAGTAACAGTGATGATCATGTCGCTCTACATAAATGAAAACAATGAGCCAAGCCGATAGGATGTCAATCAAAAAGAAGTAAATGAACCAGAGATATGACGTTCTGGAGAATCGCTCATATTCTTATTTAATATATCTTACTGCCCTCCCTGCCAGCTTCTTCTTCCTCTCTATCGCTTATATATTTCAGTCTCTTACGCGGGTTTCCGGGCTACAGCTCTTAACTGTTTGCTCTTGATACTGTAAACAGCGTCCAACGCGCGCACATGAATGTATCATCACTCAAACATCTACTTACTTTATTCTGTACACCTTTTATTTTCGCGGGCGCTTTGAAAAAAATCGGATGATACAATTCTTTCACTGGTTTTTTAAGCTTCCAAGCTATCCGCAGTCAAAGTTTTATCTGATTGCTCTACCACTGTTTTTCGGGGGTGGGTGTGAAAGTATAGAGGAAGTATGCTGTGATCATACACACACAGACAAACACACGCACTTGTAATCATATCAATCTGAGCTAAAAAAAATGTTGTTACTGTCGTCCTACGTTCTACTAGATTACCTTCTTCTACTAACTGTTACTAGACGGATATGAAACTTTTCAGCTCGTCCTTCTATACTACTTTGGCTGATGAGCAGATGAATGTCGATGAGATGCACTACCATCAATATCAGGTTGCTCAGCCTCCATGAGAAAATGTTAGATGTTGCAGAATAAAAAGAAAATTGTTTTAGGAGTAAAAAGTGTTTGTAACGAACAAGGGACAAATATTTTCTCGCGGTTAAAAAGCACGTTTGTTCATTTGCGCGCGATCAGCAATCACTAATAGTTAAAGTAGAAATACACGCTAGTCACCTAATCAACGTTCATCGTCCATCAGATCATGATAAATCGGTGCAATGGCATATGACTCCTATTTTTCTCTTCTCTTATTAGATGCTGCATAAAGTACCAGAATTTTTGGACGATCGCGGAGTCTCTGATCATATTATCCTTTGCTGTACCACCCTATTTGACTGACTCGATATGCTTGAGTATGTGTACTTAGTGGTGATAAATGTATGAAATCATTCTACGCACAGTACGGGGTTTTCTTGGGTGGTTGGTTGGGGGTGGTGCAACAAGCAATGCACAATGCAGGACAATAGTACAGAGTATCACATTGCTGGTGATTATTGACAAAGCAAGTCAAGTCTAGTTTTCTGAAAAAGGGATAGACTACTTGACTGCAGCGACAAGTAGCAGGAAAGAAAATCAAGGTTTTGATGAGTTGTTTCTTTTTTGTAGACCTGCTGCCGCTATGGTAGTGGGTTGTAGATTATATACACGCTTGGGTATGTAATGAACGATACCGCCGATATTGTGCATTGCATATATATACTTGCGCTGTTTGCATAGGGTGGTATGATGCGAAGAGAGAGAACTACATGCAAATAAGGTATGCAGGTCACTGTTATTGATACTCACTGTTTGTAGTCAGCGGCTGTCTGTGGTATGTACATATTCAAAACAAAAATTTCGGAGCAAAGCGGGGGTGGGTGGGGGGGTGAAGCTGCAAAGAAGATGATACAAAAATGAGCAACGAGGTGCATGCATGCATGAAATCGAATAAGTGGTGAGTAACAGCTATCAGACGTAGCAGCAATGCTGTAAGTTGTCTCTCCATATATACTACGCTGAAGACGGTACTACTGTAAAAAAGAAAGAAGATGTCGCGTCACTCACGTAGCATCTTCAATTAACCCAAAAGCAGTATTGATCTGCTTTTGTGCAATGGTTTTAAAGCACTTTTGTTGTTCTCGCTCCCTTTACTGAATAAGCCCGCAGACCATGACGATATACATTTTTGGATGCCATCTTGATGAGCTATAGTGAAACACATTCCTGCATTTAATTCTTTTTAAGTTGTAAAAATATATTGTAATGATTGATTGATTTACATTAACGGTGGTCAGGTGAATGAGAACCGACGCGCGCGACATCTCTATGTTTTATGTTGTAAGTTCAAGAGTTTACGTGGTTCCTTAACCGCAGATAGATATCATTTACACAAATCAGAATTCACATGGAGCTCGAAATCCTCGATAGCACTTTTTTTTTCGGGTTTAGCACAAGAGAATAGTATACAGTTCTCGCGTACTTATTAAAAGAACAAGAAGCTAACTTCGTCTTGTAGTGGTATTCTTAATCTGTCGATAATGCAGGTGCCTAATAAGATGCGTCCAGACGTTCATGTGGTCTGGAATAATGTAGCGCTCAAAGGCGTTTTGTAAAAAGAAGTTAAAATGTCTAAATGGTAAAAATGGGCGCCGCTTTGAGGATCTAATGCAATGGTCCAAGAAAGAAGAGGTTGTGTGCCAAGTACAGGGCGCATCGTAGTACAGCAGCCGGCGGATACAATGTGTATGTGCAAACATTAGACTGTGCTGTTTATTGGTTCCTTTTAATTTTTGCCGCCAACAGCAGTAGCAAGCAAGCATGCATGAGAAAAACATAAACATTTTACCAAATAGACATCATTCCGAATAAACATTATCGTAGGAAGTTGTAAACAAAACTTTACTGCAAAGAAGTGCTTCTACCACTGCTTCTTTTCCACAGTGCTGGGTTCTCTCTCTCTCTACCATCTGCCACCCCCTGAGTCTCGGTTCCTCTTCTCATGTGCTAATATTAGAAGATATGTTGTGTAAATGCGTGTCTTGTATATTCAATCCATATAGTTGTAGTAAATAGATTGCCCGTGCGACCTTAAAAAAATCATCAGTCGAGAAGGAAGAAAGTTGGCATTAATCTTTTTTAGGCGCATGGAAATGTTTGAAGAAAAGGAAGGTTATACACGCTACTAACACTGTCATTTCACCAAAATCTCTGTACTCTTTCATACACTTTTTCTACTAAACACAAACATGTCAGTTGCATTTTCTGGGCTCTGCTTAAAGAAAGTTAGGGTTTAGAGCTTGTCGAAAGCGCGAAAGAAAACGTTTTAGACAAAAGAGGTCGTGTGGGTTATACCAAACTTTCCATTTACGCGATTTAGCAGCACACATTCAGCATAGCAACAAAACAACAACAATAGAAGAATTGGAAGCAAGGAATTAAATCATCGCATAAAGCTCCCTCCCCCTACAAATAATACTGCTGTACTTCTTTTCGGCTAAAGCTATAATTCGTAAGACGCGATTATTCTTTCCATGCTGTATTTTTTCCCTCGGCAACAAAACATAAATAGGTTATTCTTGGTGACGAATAATCGGCATCGTGTTACAGTATTGGTGAAGTACAAGCCCGAGTAAGCTGTATCACGTACGAAGTCAACACTATCCAGAGATGGTCGCATACATGTGCAGACAAACTCAATCATTTGTAGCACTACACTTTTGCAAAAGCTGTGTGACAATCAAGCAAAACAGTAACTGCTGTTGAAAGGTGTATACTGGTGTGCGTGCGTGTGTATACTACATGTCTATCGATGCATCTATGCTGTGCGTCTGAACTCAAAGCGCAAAATAGCTAGTGTTCGCGGTTGATCTTTTCTTAATACAACAGAAGTGCAGCAACACATGTAGACCATTTTTAATTCTATCCACTTAACCCCAAACCCTTTTTTCCCTTTCTTCCTCACCTTTCAACCCTTTTCTATCAAAAGGACCGAGACGTTACTCTTCGGTAGATTGGATTCATCCTTTTTTCAAATTAAAGCATCACCCAAAAGGCTTCTTCTTCCTATTGCTTTTCTCTTTTCTCTTACTCACACCTATCAAAACAACTCTCTCGAGCGTTGGTGTTTCGAAAACAAAAAATCCTCATTTTCTCAAACATTCAGATTGAACAAATCGTTTACTTAGCAGCAGCAGTCTTAAGACATATATATTCATCCCATAATGTCGCAATCATTCCCTCTCAGTTAGTAGCAGTCCATTTTTCTTTTTTTTTTTTAATTTAGCAGTTTTGGCTTCTTTGAAGCATCAAGTAGCAACTATGTTATAATGATCGATTTTTTTAATTTTTGGCTTTATTCTTGTAAAACAGGCTGGTTTTTCATCAAGAACCAGAATGGCTATGTGCTATCCGCTTCCCATGGATCCGCAAGTGCAAACATTGTGCTCTCCACGTTGCGTACGGACGAACCTGCCGCTCAGCTCTGGCGCCACGATAATGGTGCTTTGATTAACAAGGAAAGCGGCCTTGTCATGGAAGTTTCCAGAGGTAACAACACAACAAAACCTTTTATTTTGAAGTGACAAGGGCCTGGTAATTCTCGCGAGTTAGCCGGGATGGTTGTCGATAAATGGGGGGATGGGGATGTAAACAAGTGTTGCGTTGTGTTGCGTGTGTGTGAGTGTGTACGACCGAGCGAGCTAGCAAGCAGTTTGTCACGGGACATGGAACTTTTTGGCTTGAAGCGGGAAAAGAACGTGTTCGGGTAGCAACCGAACTTTTGTGTGTCACAAAGAGGATAACACAGCATTGGTGTGTCTCCCTTGTGTGAAATGCTTCGCCACCACTGCACCCCCCTTCATCTGATCCCTTATACCTTCGCTACCATATATGCACATCGCTTGGCTGCCTGCCTGCTTGCTTGCTTGACCTTATGCTCTAGATACATCACCGTCATAAAAAATAGATCGTGTATGATAAATATCGATATATACTAAACAAAAACACACATATCTATTCCCTTAGGCTCTTTGAAGGCCGGATCGGAGATTGTCCAGCAGGCTGCCGCTACAGACAAGTCCCAAAGCCAGCACTTTTCCATTTCTAAGGATGGCCACATTTGCCTAAAGGAGAAGCCCAACTTGGTGCTCGGTTTCAAGGAGTCCTTCTTTTCCCGTCGTGAAGGACTGCATGTGCATCTCCAGGCTGCAGATAAGCGCAGCAAAGAGCAGCACTGGAACTTTGTGCTACCGGTCGTCAAGTCATCCTCAACTGCGTCGTCCTCCGCCGCTCAGGTGAAGCGAAGTGCTAGCTCCAGCACTGTTGGTAGCAGCGTTGCTGGCAAGCCTCTGAGCAGGGGCATCTCGCAAATCAAGGAAGATGGTAAAATCCAATTGCTATTTAGCTAACATGGAGGAAAGGGGCAGCGAAGAATATCCTAATGATGATAAACATTTTCATCATGTTTCGCTAACTCTAATATTTTAAAAATATACACTTACTACACCACAAATTTAGATGCTCGGTCGACTGTTTCAGCATCCACAACCACCTCGAGTCTGGACCAAGAAGGAGCCCACGTTCCAACTGGTACGTTTCCGGACACGCCATTTTTTCTCAAATCCCAGCAAACGGGCCTGTACATTAGTGCCGAGGCTACTTCAATGACCCAGGTCGGGGGCCGATTGGTCGTTGATTCGTTGCGCAAGACCGGCTACGATAGCCAGCTGTGGGTCTTTGACAAGGCTTCGGGACACATCGCCAACAAGCACTCTGGTTTGGTCTTAAGCTTTGAAAGCTTAAAGGATGAAGCCTATGCCTGCCAGACTAAGCGCGTCAACTCGGACAAGAATCAAATCTGGACATTGTCACCCACTCATGAAGTCCATCTCAAGCACGACGCTAGCTGGGTCCTCGGATTAAAGGAAAGCTGGTTCAATTCAGCTCGTGAAGGTGCCCATATTCATATTCAAAAGAAGACTACCAAAAACGGCGACAACCAAAGGTTTGCAGTTGTATTGCCCGTATTCAAGAAGCGTGTGGTTGATGCTACCACAGAACAGCACCAGCACGGTACCTTCCCCGATGGCTGGTTCTTCATTAAAAACCAAGAGACAAGCGCAATCCTTACTACAGACGGTATTGAGATTACCACTGCCAAACTCGATACATCTAACTACGCCCGTCAACTGTGGCGCTACAAGAACGGCTTCCTTATCAACAAAGCGTCTGGGAAGGTTCTTGACGTGCGCGGAGGTAGGACAAAATTATAACAATCTCAATGAAAATCAACAGCCCGCCGGGCTTGTAGCACCTATTCACGCGTATACAAATCTTATTCATTTTCATCCGTATAGGATCGATTGAAAGCGGTGCTAGTATTTGCCAATACGACCAAAAAAAGAAATCATCTCAAAACCAGCAGTGGGCTTTGACAGTGGAGGGGTTTATCCATATTCAGTCCAATGGATCGCTTGTTTTGTCCACGCAGGTCAAGTCCGGCAAGGTATACACTTATTTAGCCGACAAGTTATCGGTTGAGCATAAGGAGCAGCGCTGGAACTTTGTTCTGCCGGTGTTCAAGAAGAAGCAAGGTATATTTGCACATTGAGTTTGTTGTGGTAGTCTACTGTGCTTGCTAATTCGTATCTCTTTGCTGATGCTTGCTCTATATGAAATGCTACATTGCAGGCACACGAGCTATTACTAGTTCAAGCACCAAAACAAAAACAAAGACTGTGTCGTACCGCTATGCTCAATACCCAAGTGGCTGGTTCTTTATCCGCTCATTGGTTGCCAGATCTACCAAAGAGAGCCCTCTCGTGCTGACCGCGAGCGAGAGTGTCCTTACCATGGCTGCCTTGGACAAGGAAAACTGGCAAACCCAGCTGTGGAGCTACTCATCTGGTGCTTTGGTCAACTATGCATCTCAAATGGCCATTGACGTCAAGAGTACGTATTGTCCTCCTCTCTCTCATTGTTTGTAAATCTTTATCGTTATGGTTTTTGCTAAACTCTTATTGCATGTAAACTTATAGCTGTTGTTGAAGGTGCTAGCTTGACTCTTGCCAAGCAGGAAAGCGTTGCACGTAGCCAGCGCTGGACCCTATCGATTGATGGTTACCTTGTCAACGGCTTTGAGCCATCACTTGTGCTCACTCCCCAACAAAGCGACGACCAAGGCAACAATTACAAGCTAGCTTTGGCCAACCATAACTCCTTCAAGGAAGAGCACCGGTGGGGTCTGTTGATCCCCGAGTTTATCGTCCGTAACCGTGTCCAGATCCTTACCCGGTGGACCGTTGCAATGCTTCAAGAATGGCGCTCCGAAACTGGTCAGAACACAATCCAAAAATCAGTTTCCCGTACCGCTGCTTGGCCAGAAGACGAATTCTTCATTACCAGCAACGAAGGATATGCCTTGGCACCCGAAAAGGCAGAGGCATTTGCTCAAGTTGGTCTGCACAAGATGGATGACAATGCAGATGCCGAGCTTTTCAGATGGACATATGACAGCGGTTACCTTGTGCACTGCATGACCGGCCTTGTGTTGCATTCGAGTGGTAAGGAAGAGTGCTACTCCTTTTCTTTGTTTGACGTTATACAAGTCCGATAGCATTATTATTTGTTGACACTTTCCATTTTCGTCTTGCTTTTCTGGGTTTAGATGCGCTTGCGGATGGTGATAAGCTGGTGCTCCGCGGAAAGCTCATGAAGGATGAGACGCATGCTGACGATCGCCAACTTTGGAGCCTCAACACTAATGGTTCCATTACCTCGGGCATCCGTTCTGAACTCGGTCTTGCTCTCTTCAAGCAAGGCGGTGTATGGCAAGTCCAGATCTCCAATGCTACTAAGCGTACTGCTCACTATGGCTGGAGCTTGATGTACGGCACCTGCGAGCGTCGCTACAGCGAAATCCACAAAAGAGAAATTCTTGTTGTCATCACCTGGATCCGCATTATTCTCATGATCCGTCATACCAAGGGTATGTCCTGCTTTTTCTCTCCTTTCGAATTTATAGCCATTGATCGCAACGTATATATCTTACTAAGTGCCACTGTTTTTTCCTCTGCTTACTCTGTTATGTAGCCTCCAGCACGGCCCACAAACTGGTCACTCAAAAGTACGGCATCTTCCCCAAGGAATGGTTCTTTATCCGCTCCAAACATGACAAGAACTACGTTGTCACCGCCAACACCAGCAAGGAGGGTGAGAAGTTGACCCTTGAAAAGATCGATTACAAGCTCTACAAGCGCCAACTGTGGAACTGCGACGAGTCTGGCTGCTTGACTAACATGGAGTCCAAGTATGTCATTGATGTGGCCGGTGGTAAGCTGATGGCCAATTGCAATGTTATCCAATGGCACGAGAAATTCTTGCGTCGCAGCCGCAAGAACCAGCAATGGGGCCTGTCCGTCGATGGTCACATCCATCCACAAGCCCGTCCTGGTCTTGTCCTTTGCCCCAAAGACGACACCAACATCAAAGAGCACACACTGCTTCAGCTCAAGCCCCGTGGCGCCCTTACTGCCGAGCATCAACAGTGGACGTTTGCTGTCCCCGTCCTTGGCAAGCGATCCATCAGCCGTAGTAGCACCATCATGGAGGATATCGGCGAGGCGAATCTCGAGGTTGCCGACCGTGAACACTACGAGCGTGTCAACAAGCGCACGATCGTCCACCGCTGGGGTGTCTTCCCAAGTGATGGCGTTTTCATCCGGCTCAATTACGGTGCTGAGCGTCTTGCTCTGACCGTCGAGAAGAGCGAAACCAACGACGCGAAATCCTGCTATGCTGTTGTTGCGCGCCCGCTCAACTTCAAGGAATACAAGTGGCAATTGTGGACCCACGAAGATGGTCATCTGATCAATGCCGAAACAGGTTTGGCGCTGGATAGCGAGGCTGTAACAGGCGGTGTCACCGAATATGGTCTCAAGACGCGTCTTCATGTCAAGGCCAAAACCGAATCCGAAACGCAATATTGGGCCTTGGGTGTCAACGGCGAAATCCACCTTCGATACAATGAACGCATGGTCGTTAGCGTTGCTGCTGCTGACCGTGCTACAATCGCTGGTGCTCAGATCGGCCTTCGTGAGCTGCACGTTCGCAAAGAGCTCAAGGAGGGCAAGCAAGAACTCGTTTTGCAGTCTGAACAGTGGTTGCGCTGGGCCTTCTCCAAGCCTGTCTACGGCAAGCGCACGGTCGCCACTGGGGCAAGTGCTTCAGAAACCAGCTCTGCTGCTAGTGAAAAGGAAGAGATTCAGGATTGCGAGGAGCAGAGCATTGCTGTTGAGCAAGAAGATGAGACTGACGATGGCGCATCGACCGATGACGATACCACTGACGATGATTCCTCCGACGATGAGGATGTTGACGATGACAATGCCTCCATCGTGTCTGCTGCATCTTCCAAGGCGAGCGGCAGCTTTGGCGCTGGTGCACAAATTAAGGAAACTCAGTCGAGCGGCACGCGTAGTATCAAGTCGACTAGCTCGCGTTCGTCGCGTAAGGATTCGTTTACATCGACCGAAGAGTATACCCCGACTGGCTTTGAAAAAGTCGTCCAGTACAAGGAACACAGCGGTGCATTCCCTACTGGCTATTTCATCATCAAGAGTCAGCTTCATGGTTACGTGCTTGATGTAGATGGTGAAGCTAAAGAAAACGCTGCTGTCGTCTTAACCCCCTTGCGATCAACCGACTTTGCCAGCCAGATGTGGTCCTATAACAATGGCTACCTTATCAATTTGAAGGGCCAAGTTCTCGTCCTCGATGCCGCCGCCGACAAACTCGTCGCTGGTGGCCAGCCATTGCTATCAGTCCGTTCGCCTATCAGCGAGGCTGCTGATCAGCGTTGGGAGCACAGCTCAGAAGGGCTTGTCTATCTGCTTTCCAAGCGCTCATGGGTACTTTCAATCAAAGAACTGAAGCGTACAACCCAGACTAAGATCAACGTATACTTGCAAGAAGAAAAAACCTTTGGCAATCTCAAGAACGGAGCCAAGAAAGAACAGCGCTGGGTTATCTTAGTTCCTTCGCTCATTCCTGTCAGTAAAAAGGAATCTGGCGTCAAGATTGTCGAAGCTGGCAAGAAGAGCACTGACACGACTGCTGCAGCTGCAGCAGGAGCGGCTGCCGCCGCAGCTGTTATTAGCTCCATGTTTGCTATGAAATGGTTCAAGGAAACCTTGTCGTACAAGATCACTACCCACGATGCCTGGCCAACCTCACAGTGCTTCTTTATCCGTGTTGGTAGCAACAACACCTTCCTTGCTGCTGGCCTTGAGAAGGGTCAAGTCGGCCTTTACCAGCTTACTGAACAAGAAGATTACAAGCGCTTCCTCTGGATTTATGTTGATGGCTATTTGGTGAACTACAAGTATATGCTTCGTCTTGTGTACATCACCCGCAGTAAGTGGCAACCAATCTTATAGTTTCCATAACCTCAATTGTTTAAGCGCTGCTATGTTTACTGATGATTCGTTCTCCACAAAAATTAGCCCGTCAATGGATTCTTTCAGATGATAAGGAGACTGCCGACCAAATGGTCCATATTTCGACCAGTGGTGTAATCACTATCCGTATCAGCACTATTACCTACTATCTGCGTATCATTCGTCGCTCTACAGGCTATGATCTGAGTGTTGCGCAAGGCGAGGACTCAGCCAAGACTGACGGGTGCTTTGAGCTTCACCTTCCCTCGTTTGCTGACCAAGAAAGGGAGACTGATGCTTGCACTGCTATTAGCACCGCAGCTACCTATGCTCACAAGCAAAAGGAGCTGTGCAGTCACAACTACAAGGAAACCATTGTTACTACCCGACGTGCTATCTTCCCTGCCGATCAATATTTCTTCATCAAGGCTGATGGTTACAAGGAAAGCTGGGTCTTAGCCGCCAATGGCGATACTCCTGGTATGCCTTTGGTGATCAAGAAATTGTCATTCACCGACTTCAAGAACCAGCTTTGGAGCTACCATAATGGTCTTTTGACCAACTATGGCAGTGGTTATGTCATAAGTATTCAAGGTAATTGAATGTTTGATGCAGCATGTGGTTTAAAAAACCTCTATAGAAAGAAAGCTAACCATTCCCTTTTGTGTTTTTTTTAAAAAAAACAACATTAGGTGGCATTGCGCCTTCTGCCAAGATTGTCCAGCATCTGAAGACCTCAGGCAGTCTTAAGTGGTTCTTGACCATTGATGGTTTGATCCATCTCCATGGCTATGGTGCTCTCACCTTGGGTTACCGTGGCGGTGATTTGGGAGAGGGTACTGCCGTCACGTTAGCTCTTGCTGAGACATCAGAGCGCACAATTCGCTGGAAGTTCTCCATTCCTGTATTTGGCAAGAAGACTGTTACCAAGAAGATTGTTGAAGAAGAAATCGCACAGGGCGCCAAGCTGGACAACATTGAAGAGTTGACTACCGAAGTTGCCAAGGAGCAAGCAGAAGAAGTCACCAAGAAGACCACCTCTTCTACGCAGCTCACTACTATCGAAAGCAAGAGACTGGCCTACGCCACTGCCGAGTCGTGGACCATCATTCTTGCCTGGCGCATTTACTTTATCCGCCGCATCCGCCAATGCCGAACCAAGGCTCAAGTCATCAGTGTCATTCAAGAAAGCCGCGAGACTCTTTACAAACGTTTGGATGCCCACTACAAGCGTCATTGCCGAAGCAGCACCCACGAATTGCCTTCGGAGTGGCAAGTCTCTATCCACCGGGTCCGCGAAATTTTCCGTATCGGTATTTTTGAAGGAGTGCTTGGAAAGCTGATCTCGTACGAGGCTGACCAAGAAGTATCCATTGACGAATTGGGCATCGAGACCATTGTCAACAGCACTTATAGTGAAGTCGAGAAATACGTTCAGGAGGAGAAGAGCTCTGTCTCGATTGATACCAAAGAAGAAGAAGAGATGACAGAGGAGGTTGCTATTGATAAGACTCAGGACGCCAAGGAACAGGCACTTGTCCTTGTTACGAGTGTCAAGACTACCGTTCGCTACTGGCTTGTCATCATCCGTACTCGCGTCTGGGAAGCTAAGAAGAATGGTGCCTCCGATCAGGAAATTGCCACAATCCTTGAGAGCTCTCGCAAGGAGCTTTCTTCCGAATTGTCGATTACACGCACTCAGGTTACCAAGTACAAATGGTGGTCTTACTTTACCGCTTCCTCCGGACACACCACCGAGTCTGCTCAAAACGCTACGATCGAGGCTATTGAGCGCATTAAGACTTCTGTTTTCAAGCATATCGATAACATCACCTATGATTCCGAAGACAAGTTGGTCTCATGGGTTGACCAAGGGGAACAAAACGTTGATATGGAATTGGATACTTGCAAACATGCTATCGGTGTCGTCGAGGAAGTCAAGAAGGTTGAAGAGATAACTAGCACCAACACCGATGTTGGATACTGCCGCAAGTCCACTTCAACAGAACTGATCAATATCCAGGAGCGTCTTACTGCTTGGTATGCTCAGCTGTCGTACGATATCACTTGGTGCTTTGAGCATCAGCAAAAGTCTGCTCGCAAGGATTCCTTGCTTGTTGTTGACTCTGCTAGATTGGACTTAATCAACTACTTGGAGCAAGCCAAGCTGTCTCTTCAAAAGCAATCCGCCAACCTTACCATTGAGGAGCGACGCCGCATCGAGTACTCTATCGAGACAATCAAGGTTACCATTATTGCTTACCTCTTGCGCTTCCGTAAGTCGATCGAAGAGGTGTCCGAGGAACAAGTGCACAAGTCCACTATTGCCGGCTATCTCGAGTTCTCGTTCGGAGTTTCTGCTCAGCAGAGCTCTTTAAAGGTCTTGCATGATACTGTCTATCAGCTGACCGGTGAAAAAGTCGAGCTTTCCCAACATCACTATGCCATTAAGGACACAGAGTCTACTACAGGTACCACTTTTTCAATTTGCTTCATTGAAGGTCAATATAACGAATGTCAGTTGAAGAATAAAAAAGTTAATGTGTCCGGAACTCTAACTCATAGAAGAAACGAAGAAGACTTCTGAGCACCATGTTGAGGGTCATGTTTCCGACAAGAAGGAGACTGCCAAGCACCACGACAAGTCATCATCGACCGGTGCTGCTGCAGCTGCAGCTGCTGCCGCCGCCATTGCCGCTGGTGCAACAACCGCCGCTGCAATCCACCACCATCATCACCAGGATGAGGAAAAGCATAAGCATGCTGAAAAGGCTACCGAAGAAAAGAAGCAAGAGAAAGAAGCTGAAAAGGTCGTCGAAAAGGTCACCGAAGAGAAGAAGGAAGCCGAAAAGACGACCAGCGCTGAAGAACAAGGTCAGGTATCTATTGGTATCGTCGACACTGTCAAGCCATGCGTACCTGAACAGCCAAGCAAATCGACCAAGGAGCTTCAAGTCGCAATCAGCCAGTGGTTCAGTGCTTTTGTCAAACGCGTATCCACAGAATCCAAGAAAGAAGGTGTCAAAGACGTGTACATTGCCGAGATGGTACGCGTTGAAACCGATACCATTCTTGCCCACTTGGATACTTCCAAGGCTGCTATTATTGGTACCGTCGTAGCTTCTTCAGGAAGCGTCGCTGCCACCAAGGAGTGGGAGTCCACGGTTGAGTACATTCGTGGTGCCATTACCAGCGGATCCGCACAGCTTCAAGCCATTGCTATCCAAGTTGTTTCCGGCCAAACGTCTACCGATGGCTTTAAGCAGCTTGAGGCGATCTCAGCTTCCAATGATCAACTGATTACCGAGTCCATAATCAAATATGAGGCCAAGATCACAGCTGTAGTTGAATCAAAGGTTGGTAAAACTTTTCTTGTACCGACAGCAGTGAGAAGTAGTAGTATTTCAGTATTGCTAATATATTTATAATCTTGTAGAAGCAGGCTACAATTATTGCCGACGAGACCAAGAAGCCTGTTACTGAAACACACGATGCTAGCAAGACCGGCAAGGAGGTAATATAAAGTTAATTAGAATGTCGATCATATTACGCGTGAGCCTTATTATAAACGTCTTTTATTGAGAAGGTTGCAACTGGTGTCGCTGCTGGTGCAGTTGTTACAATCGGCGCTGTTGGCTATGTTAAATCAACAGTCAGCTGGTGGTTATCCAAGCTCACCAAGGATATCTCTGAGCGTGTTGAACAGGGCGGCGACAACGTCGAAGCTGATATTGAAGCCATCGTTGCCAAGGCCGACGCTGAGATCGACATCGAATTCACCAAGGTTACCACCAAGACTAGCGAATGCAAGGATACCGAATCAGCTGAGAAGCTCAAGGCTACCATCGAATGGGCCAAGAGCACCGTCACCCAGACCACCACGCAGGTCAAGGCCACCGCTGTTCAAGCCATTGCTGCTGGCAGCACCTCTGCTGTCTCTGTTCACGAGCAGCTTTCCGGTGTTGTTGAAGCTACCAAGACGCAGGTTAACACTGCTATGGATAACTGCAAGGCTGATGTTGAAATCGAAGTCGAGAAGGAAAAGGTAATTATTTTTATATGCTTTCTGGGTCTCTCTAGTGATTGCATTCCTAAACTGTTTTTTGTTCATTTGGATGTAGATTGAAAAGGTCTCAACTGAGGTTACCAAGCATACTCACGAGCACAAGAAGCACGAGCACAAGAAGACCGAGCAGAAGGAAGATCACCATGCCGAAAAGGTTGCTGCGGGTGTTGTAGCTGGTGCTGTCGTTTCTGTCGGTGTTGTTGGCTATGTCAAGGATACCGTCAGCTCGTGGTTCAGCAAGCTCACTAAGGATATCTCTGAGCGTGTTGAAAAGGGCGGTGACAACGTCGAAGCTGATATTGAAGCTATCGTTGCCAAGGCCGACGCTGAGATCGACATCGAATTCACCAAGGTTACCACCAAGACTGGCGAATGCAAGGATACCGAATCAGCTGAGAAGCTCAAGGCTACCATCGAATGGGCCAAGAGCACCGTCACCCAGACCACCACGCAGGTCAAGGCCACCGCTGTTCAAGCCATTGCTGCTGGCAGCACCTCTGCTGTCTCTGTTCACGAGCAGCTTTCCGGTGTTGTTGAAGCTACCAAGACGCAGGTCAGCACTGCTTTAGATAACTGCAAGGCCGATGTTGAAATCGAAGTCGAGAAGGAAAAGGTATGCGTGATTTTGTTGCATTATTGCACTATCTGGTCTTTTGATTTCTTTTGGTCTCTTAACTGTTTTTTTGTTCATTTGGATGTAGATTGAAAAGGTCTCAACTGAGGTTACCAAGCATACTCACGAGCACAAGAAGCACGAGCACAAGAAGACCGAGCAGAAGGAAGATCACCATGCCGAAAAGGTTGCTGCGGGTGTTGTAGCTGGTGCTGTCGTTTCTGTCGGTGTTGTTGGCTATGTCAAGGATACCGTCAGCTCGTGGTTCAGCAAGCTCACTAAGGATATCTCTGAGCGTGTTGAAAAGGGCGGTGACAACGTCGAAGCTGATATTGAAGCTATCGTTGCCAAGGCCGACGCTGAGATCGACATCGAATTCACCAAGGTTACCACCAAGACTGGCGAATGCAAGGATACCGAATCAGCTGAGAAGCTCAAGGCTACCATCGAATGGGCCAAGAGCACCGTCACCCAGACCACCACGCAGGTCAAGGCTACCGCTGTCCAAGCCATTGCTGCTGGCAGCACCTCTGCTGTCTCTGTTCACGAGCAGCTTTCCGGTGTTGTTGAAGCTACCAAGACACAGGTCAGCACTGCTTTAGATAACTGCAAGGCCGATGTCGAAATCGAAGTCGAGAAGGAAAAGGTATGTGTGATTTTGTTGCATTAATGCAGTCTCTGGTCTCTTGATTTCTTTTGGTTTCTTAATTGTTTTTTGTTCATTTGGATGTAGATTGAAAAGGTTTCAACTGAGGTTACTAAGCATACTCACGAGCACAAGAAGCCTACCAAGGAGGCCGAGAAGAAGGAAGATCACCATGCCGAAAAGGTTGCTGCGGGTGTTGTAGCTGGTGCTGTCGTTTCTGTCGGTGTTGTTGGCTATGTCAAGGATACCGTCAGCTCGTGGTTCAGCAAGCTCACTAAGGATATCTCTGAGCGTGTTGAACAGGGCGGCGACAACGTCGAAGCTGATATTGAAGCCATCGTTGCCAAGGCCGACGCTGAGATCGACATCGAATTCACCAAGGTTACCACCAAGACTGGCGAATGCAAGGATACCGAATCAGCTGAGAAGCTCAAGGCTACCATCGAATGGGCCAAGAGCACCGTCACCCAGACCACCACGCAGGTCAAGGCCACCGCTGTTCAAGCCATTGCTGCTGGCAGCACCTCTGCTGTCTCTGTTCACGAGCAGCTTTCCGGTGTTGTTGAAGCTACCAAGACGCAGGTCAGCACTGCTTTAGATAACTGCAAGGCCGATGTTGAAATCGAAGTCGAGAAGGAAAAGGTATGCGTGATTTTGTTGCATTATTGCACTATCTGGTCTTTGATTTCTTTTGGTCTCTTAACTGTTTTTTGTTCATTTGGATGTAGATTGAAAAGGTTCAACTGAGGTTACCAAGCATACTCACGAGCACAAGAAGCACGAGCACAAGAAGACCGAGCAGAAGGAAGATCACCATGCCGAAAGGTTGCTGCGGGTGTTGTAGCTGGTGCTGTCGTTTCTGTCGGTGTTGTTGGCTATGTCAAGGATACCGTCAGCTCGTGGTTCAGCAAGCTCACTAAGGATATCTCTGAGCGTGTTGAAAAGGGCGGTGACAACGTCGAAGCTGATATTGAAGCTATCGTTGCCAAGGCCGACGCTGAGATCGACATCGAATTCACCAAGGTTACCACCAAGACTGGCGAATGCAAGGATACCGAATCAGCTGAGAAGCTCAAGGCTACCATCGAATGGGCCAAGAGCACCGTCACCCAGACCACCACGCAGGTCAAGGCTACCGCTGTCAAGCCATTGCTGCTGGCAGCACCTCTGCTGTCTCTGTTCACGAGCAGCTTTCCGGTGTTGTTGAAGCTACCAAGACACAGGTCAGCACTGCTTTAGATAACTGCAAGGCCGATGTCGAAATCGAAGTCGAGAAGGAAAAGGTATGTGTGATTTTGTTGCATTAATGCAGTCTCTGGTCTCTTGATTTCTTTTGGTTTCTTAATTGTTTTTTGTTCATTTGGATGTAGATTGAAAAGGTTTCAACTGAGGTTACTAAGCATACTCACGAGCACAAGAAGCCTACCAAGGAGCCGAGAAGAAGGAAGATCACCATGCCGAAAGGTTGCTGCGGTGTTGTAGCTGGTGCTGTCGTTTCTGTCGGTGTTGTTGGCTATGTCAAGGATACCGTCAGCTCGTGGTTCAGCAAGCTCACTAAGGATATCTCTGAGCGTGTTGAAAGGGCGGCGACAACGTCGAAGCTGATATTGAAGCTATCGTTGCCAAGGCCGACGCTGAGATCGACATCGAATTCACCAAGGTTACCACCAAGACTGGCGAATGCAAGGATACCGAATCAGCTGAAAAGCTCAAGGCTACCATCGAATGGGCCAAGAGCACCGTCACCCAGACCACCACGCAGGTCAAGGCCACCGCTGTTCAAGCCATTGCTGCTGGCAGCACCTCTGCTGTCTCTGTTCACGAGCAGCTTTCCGGTGTTGTTGAAGCTATCAAGACGCAGGTCAGCACTGCTTTAGATAACTGCAAGGCCGATGTTGAAATCGAAGTCGAGAAGGAAAAGGTAATTATTTTTATGTGCTTTCTGGGTCTCTCTTGTGATTGCATTCCTAAACTGTTTTCTTTGTTCATTTGGATGTAGATTGAAAAGGTCTCAACTGAGGTAACCAAGCATACTCACGAGCACAAGAAGCACGAGCACAAGAAGACCGAGCAGAAGGAGGATCACCATGCCGAGAAGGTTGCTGCTGGTGTTGTAGCTGGTGCTATCGTTTCTGTCGGTGTTGTTGGCTATGTCAAGGATACCGTCAGCTCGTGGTTCAGCAAGCTCACTAAGGATATCTCTGAGCGTGTTGAACAGGGCGGCGACAACGTCGAAGCTGATATTGAAGCCATCGTTGCCAAGGCCGACGCTGAGATCGACATCGAATTCACCAAGGTTACCACCAAGACTGGCGAATGCAAGGATACCGAATCAGCTGAGAAGCTCAAGGCTACCATCGAATGGGCCAAGAGCACCGTCACCCAGACCACCACGCAGGTCAAGGCCACCGCTGTTCAAGCCATTGCTGCTGGCAGCACCTCTGCTGTCTCTGTTCACGAGCAGCTTTCCGGTGTTGTTGAAGCTACCAAGACGCAGGTCAGCACTGCTTTGGATAACTGCAAGGCCGATGTTGAAATCGAAGTCGAGAAGGAAAAGGTATGCGTGATTTTGTTGCATTATTGCACTATCTGGTCTCTTGATTTCTTTTGGTTTCTTAATTGTTTTTTGTTCATTTGGATGTAGATTGAAAAGGTTTCAACTGAGGTTACTAAGCATACTCACGAGCACAAGAAGCACGAGCACAAGAAGACCGAGCAGAAGGAAGATCACCATGCCGAAAAGGTTGCTGCGGGTGTTGTAGCTGGTGCTGTCGTTTCTGTCGGTGTTGTTGGCTATGTCAAGGATACCGTCAGCTCGTGGTTCAGCAAGCTCACTAAGGATATCTCTGAGCGTGTTGAAAAGGGCGGTGACAACGTCGAAGCTGATATTGAAGCTATCGTTGCCAAGGCCGACGCTGAGATCGACATCGAATTCACCAAGGTTACCACCAAGACTGACGAATGCAAGGATACCGAATCAGCTGAAAAGCTCAAGGCTACCATCGAATGGGCCAAGAGCACTGTCACCCAGACCACCACGCAGGTCAAGGCCACCGCTGTTCAAGCCATTGCTGCTGGCAGCACCTCTGCTGTCTCTGTTCACGAGCAGCTTTCCGGTGTTGTTGAAGCTACCAAGACGCAGGTTAACACTGCTATGGATAACTGCAAGGCTGATGTCGAAATCGAAGTCGAGAAGGAAAAGGTATGTGTGATTTTGTTGCATTAATGCAGTCTCTGGTCTCTTGATTTCTTTTGGTTTCTTAATTGTTTTTTGTTCATTTGGATGTAGATTGAAAAGGTTTCAACTGAGGTTACTAAGCATACTCACGAGCACAAGAAGCCTACCAAGGAGGCCGAGAAGAAGGAAGATCACCATGCCGAAAAGGTTGCTGCGGGTGTTGTAGCTGGTGCTGTCGTTTCTGTCGGTGTTGTTGGCTATGTCAAGGATACCGTCAGCTCGTGGTTCAGCAAGCTCACTAAGGATATCTCTGAGCGTGTTGAAAAGGGCGGTGACAACGTCGAAGCTGATATTGAAGCTATCGTTGCCAAGGCCGACGCTGAGATCGACATCGAATTCACCAAGGTTACCACCAAGACTGGCGAATGCAAGGATACCGAATCAGCTGAGAAGCTCAAGGCTACCATCGAATGGGCCAAGAGCACCGTCACCCAGACCACCACGCAGGTCAAGGCCACCGCTGTTCAAGCCATTGCTGCTGGCAGCACCTCTGCTGTCTCTGTTCACGAGCAGCTTTCCGGTGTTGTTGAAGCTACCAAGACGCAGGTTAACACTGCTATGGATAACTGCAAGGCTGATGTTGAAATCGAAGTCGAGAAGGAAAAGGTAATTATTTTTATATGCTTTCTGGGTCTCTCTAGTGATTGCATTCCTAAACTGTTTTTTGTTCATTTGGATGTAGATTGAAAAGGTCTCAACTGAGGTTACCAAGCATACTCACGAGCACAAGAAGCACGAGCACAAGAAGACCGAGCAGAAGGAGGATCACCATGCCGAGAAGGTTGCTGCTGGTGTTGTAGCTGGTGCTATCGTTTCTGTCGGTGTTGTTGGCTATGTCAAGGATACCGTCAGCTCGTGGTTCAGCAAGCTCACTAAGGATATCTCTGAGCGTGTTGAACAGGGCGGCGACAACGTCGAAGCTGATATTGAAGCTATCGTTGCCAAGGCCGACGCTGAGATCGACATCGAATTCACCAAGGTTACCACCAAGACTGGCGAATGCAAGGATACCGAATCAGCTGAAAAGCTCAAGGCTACCATCGAATGGGCCAAGAGCACCGTCACCCAGACCACCACGCAGGTCAAGGCCACCGCTGTTCAAGCCATTGCTGCTGGCAGCACCTCTGCTGTCTCTGTTCACGAGCAGCTTTCCGGTGTTGTTGAAGCTACCAAGACGCAGGTCAGCACTGCTTTAGATAACTGCAAGGCCGATGTTGAAATCGAAGTCGAGAAGGAAAAGGTATGCGTGATTTTGTTGCATTATTGCACTATCTGGTCTTTTGATTTCTTTTGGTCTCTTAACTGTTTTTTTGTTCATTTGGATGTAGATTGAAAAGGTCTCAACTGAGGTTACCAAGCATACTCACGAGCACAAGAAGCACGAGCACAAGAAGACCGAGCAGAAGGAGGATCACCATGCCGAGAAGGTTGCTGCTGGTGTTGTAGCTGGTGCTATCGTTTCTGTCGGTGTTGTTGGCTATGTCAAGGATACCGTCAGCTCGTGGTTCAGCAAGCTCACTAAGGATATCTCTGAGCGTGTTGAACAGGGCGGCGACAACGTCGAAGCTGATATTGAAGCTATCGTTGCCAAGGCCGACGCTGAGATCGACATCGAATTCACCAAGGTTACCACCAAGACTGGCGAATGCAAGGATACCGAATCAGCTGAAAAGCTCAAGGCTACCATCGAATGGGCCAAGAGCACCGTCACCCAGACCACCACGCAGGTCAAGGCCACCGCTGTTCAAGCCATTGCTGCTGGCAGCACCTCTGCTGTCTCTGTTCACGAGCAGCTTTCCGGTGTTGTTGAAGCTACCAAGACGCAGGTCAGCACTGCTTTAGATAACTGCAAGGCCGATGTTGAAATCGAAGTCGAGAAGGAAAAGGTATGCGTGATTTTGTTGCATTATTGCACTATCTGGTCTTTTGATTTCTTTTGGTCTCTTAACTGTTTTTTTGTTCATTTGGATGTAGATTGAAAAGGTCTCAACTGAGGTTACCAAGCATACTCACGAGCACAAGAAGCACGAGCACAAGAAGACCGAGCAGAAGGAGGATCACCATGCCGAGAAGGTTGCTGCTGGTGTTGTAGCTGGTGCTATCGTTTCTGTCGGTGTTGTTGGCTATGTCAAGGATACCGTCAGCTCGTGGTTCAGCAAGCTCACTAAGGATATCTCTGAGCGTGTTGAACAGGGCGGCGACAACGTCGAAGCTGATATTGAAGCTATCGTTGCCAAGGCCGACGCTGAGATCGACATCGAATTCACCAAGGTTACCACCAAGACTGGCGAATGCAAGGATACCGAATCAGCTGAAAAGCTCAAGGCTACCATCGAATGGGCCAAGAGCACCGTCACCCAGACCACCACGCAGGTCAAGGCCACCGCTGTTCAAGCCATTGCTGCTGGCAGCACCTCTGCTGTCTCTGTTCACGAGCAGCTTTCCGGTGTTGTTGAAGCTATCAAGACGCAGGTCAGCACTGCTTTAGATAACTGCAAGGCCGATGTTGAAATCGAAGTCGAGAAGGAAAAGGTAATTATTTTTATGTGCTTTCTGGGTCTCTCTTGTGATTGCATTCCTAAACTGTTTTCTTTGTTCATTTGGATGTAGATTGAAAAGGTCTCAACTGAGGTAACCAAGCATACTCACGAGCACAAGAAGCACGAGCACAAGAAGACCGAGCAGAAGGAGGATCACCATGCCGAGAAGGTTGCTGCTGGTGTTGTAGCTGGTGCTATCGTTTCTGTCGGTGTTGTTGGCTATGTCAAGGATACCGTCAGCTCGTGGTTCAGCAAGCTCACTAAGGATATCTCTGAGCGTGTTGAACAGGGCGGCGACAACGTCGAAGCTGATATTGAAGCTATCGTTGCCAAGGCCGACGCTGAGATCGACATCGAATTCACCAAGGTTACCACCAAGACTGGCGAATGCAAGGATACCGAATCAGCTGAAAAGCTCAAGGCCACCATCGAATGGGCCAAGAGCACCGTCACCCAGACCACCACGCAGGTCAAGGCCACCGCTGTTCAAGCCATTGCTGCTGGCAGCACCTCTGCTGTCTCTGTCCACGAGCAGCTTTCCGGTGTTGTTGAAGCTACCAAGACGCAGGTCAGCACTGCTTTGGATAACTGCAAGGCCGATGTTGAAATCGAAGTTGAGAAGGAAAAGGTATGTAAAGTTACTTGTACGTTGTACTGTTTATTTTTCTATTTTCTTGCATTCCTAAACTTTTTTATCATTCGGAATTAGATCGAAAAGGCCTCAGCTGAGGGAATCAAACATAGTCACGAACACAAGAAGCCTACCAAGAAGGAAGATAATCACCACGCTGCTAAAATTGCAGCTGGTGTTGCAGCTGGCACTGTAGTTACTGTGGGTGTTGTTGGCTATGTCGCCTCCACTGTCAGCTCATGGTTTGACAGGCTTAGCAAGCAAGTCGCTGAACGCGCCGAACAAGGCGATGAGAATGCCTCTTCTGACATTGAAGCTATTGTTTCTGAGGCCATTGCTTCCATTGAAGGCGAACTAGCAACCGTCTCCGGCCAGACCAGCGAGTTGGACGAAGCAACCGCCGAGAAGCTCAAGATGACAATTGAAAAGGCCAAAGAAACTGTCGTTGCCGGCTCGACTCAAATCAAGGTGACCGCTGTTGAAGCTGCCATTTCTGGATCCAAGGACATCCGCGAAAAGTTGACGTCTGTGGTTGAGTCTAACACTGAGAAGGTGTGCGTTACTTTAGAAGAGTGTGATGCTTCCTCATTGGAAATTCAAGTCGAAAGCGAAAAGGTAAGCGTCGCATACTTCATAATTTACAATCCTGTGCTGTAAAAACCAACATGCTCACTTTATATTTAATTACTTTATTAGGCTGAAAAAACTCAAACATCTGTTGCCGTTGTTGACCATGTCAAGCTCATTATCCACTCATGGTTCGCCAAGCTCGTTCAAGACGTACAGATCTGCGCTGCCAAGGGTGGCGAATCGTCCAATGCTGATATCGAGGCCATTGTTTCCAAGGCTAAGTTGTCTATTGATGGAGAACTTAAAGAAGTCTGTGATAAGACCCAACACCAACAAGAGACGGATACATCGACCGAGCAGTTTTTGTCCACAATTGAATGGGCGAAGGGTCTTGTGATTCAAGGATCAACCCAGATCCAAGCGATTGGTGTCAACGCCATTGCTTCTGGCAATGCTACTGAAATTCAGGAGACTTTGGAAAACCAGGTCCAAGCTATTCAGGTACAAGTTGACACTGCACTTGACAAGTGTGACAGCTCAGCTGTCATCAAGGTAGATCATCACAAGAAGACTACCAAGCACCAAAACATCGAGAAAACAAAGAAGTTGCATGAACACGTTACCAAGAAGCACGAAGAGGTTGAAAAGAAGGAACACAGCCAGGCCGAGAAGATCGTCGCTTATACAATTGTCAGCGTCGGTGTAATCGAATACGCCAAACTCACCGTCCGTTCGTGGTTCAACAAGCTGATGGATGATGTTTCCTCCTGCGCAGCTAATGGTGGTACCGAGGAAGAGATTGAAGCTATTGTCTCCAAGGCTACTGAGTCAATCGAAGACACTATCGAAGATATTGTTGATGAAACCAAGTCTTCATCTTCTGAAACTGCTTCCATCAAGAAGATCAACGCCACTCTCGAATGGGCCAAGGGCATGGTTGTCCAAGGATCTCACCAGGTTGAGGCTATCGGTGTCCAAGCGATCGCTTCCGGTCATACAACCATTGCCAGCATCCGTGAGCAGATGACTCCTTTGATCGAAGCTAATACCACACAAATCGAAACTGCCCTGGGCAGCTGCGATGCAGCCATCGTCATTGAAGTCGATCACGAGGAAAAGGTAAAGAGCAAAAGACCATCAGTACACAGTAGAAGAATACTTATCATTGGGACCATTCACTCACTAATACATTAAAAAAGAACGAAAAGACCCAGCACGCTGTCAAGAAGACCACTGAAGAAACCAAGACTTCTGAAGAAAAGAAAAAGGTCACCAAGAAGCCTGTTTCCAAGAAGCCCGCGTTGTCGACTGATGAGGCAGCCGAGATCATTGCCGGTGGCGTTGTCACCGTTGGTGCCGTCACTTATGTCAAGTCTACTATCAGCTCCTGGTTTGGCAGACTTACCAAGGCTGTCTCTGAGCGTGCTGAAGAAGGTGGTGACAATGCTTCTGCTGATATTGAAGCTATCATTGCCAAGGCCAATGCCGAAATTGAGGTTGAATTCACCAAGGTTACCACCAAGACCGGCGACTGCAAGGATACCGAGTCAGCTGCTAAACTCAAGGAAACGCTCGAATGCGCCAAGACTACTGTTACCCAAGGCACAACGCAAGTCCAAACCATTGCCATTGAAGCTGTGTCTGCAGGTGGATTGGGTGCTATCGCTATCCGTGACAAGCTCTCTTCTGTAGTTGAGTCCACAACTGCTGAAGTGGACACTGCTTTGGAAAAGTGTGACTCTAAGGTTGATATCAAGGTCGAGAAGAAGGTAATATAACTTTTAGATTAATCGCTTTAATTGAAGACTCGCAAAGAGAAAATACTCATATGCTTCTGTGTAATAGGCTTCAGAAGTTAAGGAAGCAATCGAGGCCGCTGGCCAAGTCACTGTTGGCGTCGTCGATTACATTAAGGTCACAATCAGTACCTGGTACGGAAAATTGGTGGAGGACATCACTTCGTGCAAGACCGGTGAAGAAGTCGAGACTGTCATCGCAGAAGCCAATGCCGCTATTGAAGCCGAGCTTAAGACTGTAACTGAAAAGACCGAAAAATCTGAGGCTTCCACCTCTATTTCGGAGCAGATCGTTTCAACCACTGAATGGGCCAAGGGTATTGTCCTTGAAGGATCCAACCAGTTCAAGGCCGTCGGTGTACAGATCGTTGCTGGCTCTACTACTGCTCAGGATAGCATTGCTGACTTGGTAGAATCTACTGAAGCCCAAATCTCCACAGCCTTTGACAAGTGCGACTCGTCTTTGATCATTGAAGTCGACCATACCAAGGTTGCTGCCGAGGATGTGCACAAGGTTGTCAAGCACGACACGAACAAGTTCAAAAATAAGAAGCAGCACCAACACAAGGTCACCAAGAAGGACGACAAGAAGCAGGAGAAACTCGCCGAAAAGGAGGATCATCATGTCGAAAAGGTTGCAGCTGGTGTTGTAGCTGGTGCTGTGGTTTCTGTCGGTGTTGTCGGCTATGTCAAGGATACCGTCAGCTCGTGGTTCAGCAAGCTCACCAAGGATATCTCCGAGCGTGTTGAAAAGGGCGGTGACAATGTCGAAGCTGATATTGAAGCCATCGTTGCCAAGGCCGACGCTGAGATTGACGTCGAATTCACCAAGGTTACCACCAAGACTGGCGAATGCAAGGATACCGAATCAGCTGAGAAGCTCAAGGCCACCATCGAATGGGCCAAGAGCACTGTCACCCATACCACCACGCAGGTCAAGGCTACCGCTGTCCAAGCCATTGCTGCTGGCAGCACCTCTGCTGTCTCCGTTCATGAGCAGCTTTCCGGCGTGATTGAAGCTACCAAGACGCACGTCGACACTGCTTTGGATAACTGCAAGGCTGATGTTGAAATCGAAGTCGAGAAGGAAAAGGTAGAATATGACGCCGTATTTGCTATATATCCCGTTGTCTTCTATCCGTATACTAACAATGTACTCATAGGTTCACAAGGTCAAGCAATCTGTCGGTACAGCTGCCGAGATTAGCGTTGGTGTCGTAGACTATGTCAAGATTACCATCAACTCGTGGTACGCCAAACTTGTCGAAGATATCACATCCTGCAAGACCAGCGACGAAGTCGATGTCGTGGTTGCCAAGGCTAACGCCTCCATCGAAGCTGAACTCAAGAACGTGTCGGAGAAGACGAAGCAATCTAACGTTTCTGCGTCTGTCAGCGAGCAAATTGTCTCTACCACTGAATGGGCCACGGGTATCGTTCTCGAAGGCTCTGCCCAATTGAAGATCATCGGCATTCAAGTCGTTGCTGGTGCGGAAGGTGCCAAGGACAGTATTGCCGGTTTGGTCGAAACTACACAGAAGCAGATCGAAACCGCTTACGACAAATGTGATACATCCCTGACTTTCGAAGTTGAGCACAACAAGGTGTCCGTCCAAGATGTTCACAAGGTTGTTAAGCACGATGAGAAGAAGGAGGCTGCTAAGAAGAAGGCCTCTGAAAATAAGTCAGAGCATCATCATCATCATGATACTGCTGCCAGCGTAGCCGTGGGTGCAGCTGCAGGCGCTGTCATCACTGTTGGCGTTGTTGGCTATGTCAAGGCAACAGTTCACTCGTGGTTTAACAAGCTTACTAAGGATATCGCTGAACGTGTTGAAAAGGGCGGTGACGATGTCAACGCTGATATCGAGGTCATCATTGCTGAAGCTACCGAAAAGATCGATGGCGATTTCTCTCAAGTTGTGCACAAGACCGACGAATCCTCCAACAAGGAGTCTGCTGAAAAACTCAAGGCTACTCTCGGATGGGCCAAGAGCATGATTTCGCAGAGCACTACCCAAGTCCAGGCGGTCGCTGTCCAAGCGATTGCCAGTGGTAACACCGCTTCTGCATCTATCCACGATCAATTGTCCGCTGTGGTCGAATCCACAACTACTCAAGTAGACACTGCTTTGGGTGGTTGCAAGACCGACTTGGTTATCGAGGTTGAGAAGAAGGTAACTATCGATTCTGACAAATAGAAAGCTGGAAAAAGGTATTCGCAAGTATTAACAATCTCTTCAGCAGACAACCGCTGAAAAGAAGACTTCTGTTGTTGAAAAGCCAAAGAAGAGTGTCGATGTCACCGTCGGTGCGGTTGAATACGTCAAGATAACGGTCAACTCATGGTTCAAGAAGCTCGTAGAAGACGTTTCCTCATGCAAGACTAACGAAGAAATTGATGTTGTCGTTACCAAGGCCAATGCTGCTATTGAAGCCGAGCTCAAGGGTGTTTGCGACAAGACCACCACCAAGTCGGATGTCACCAGCACTGTCAGCGAACAAATTGTATCGACCACGGACTGGGCTAAGGGTATGATCTTACACGGCTCTGCCCAGATCAAGGCTATCGGTGTCCAGATTGTTGCTACAGGCGGATCGAGTGCAAAGACCGCTAAGGAAAGCATGGCCGCATTGATTGAATCGACCGAGACTCAAATCAGCACAGCTTATGACAAGTGTGATGCTTTGTTGACTATTGAAGTGGACCACACTAAAGTTGCTCCCGAGCATGTGCACAAGATTGTAAAGCATGATGCTACCAAGAAGAAGACAAGCAAGGTCGTGGCCGCTCATTACATCAAGGTTACTATCTACTCGTGGTTCCGCAGACTGATTGAGGATGTCTCGTCATGCAAGTCGACCGAAGAAGTCGAAAAGGTAGTTGCCAAGGCAACTGCTTCCATTGAGGCCGAGTTTAGCACTGTGTGCGGCAAGGTCAAGGGATCAGACAACAACCTTGTGTCTACCATCGAGTGGGCCAAGGGTCTGGTCTTGCAAGGTTCTACCCAGGTCAAGGCCATTGGTGTGGATATTGTTGCAACTGGTGATTCTTCATCGAGTTTGTTGATGAGCCAAATGACTTCTCTTGTGGAAGCCGCTGAAGCTCAGATTGATACTGGACTCGACCAATGTAATTCTTCCGTTAGCATTGAAGTAGATCAAGCTTCAAAGACAGAATACAAGAAATGCGCAAAGGTATGTGATAGTTCTATAAAAGAGTTAAACTCCTCCTCAAATAATTCGCTAATTGCATGATTCTTATAAATAGGACAAGAAGAAATGTGCCCGCAAGGAGAAGAAGGAAAGCGCACCCAAACCCAAGCAGAAGGACTCGGATGACGAGAAGGAATGCAAGCCAAAGGATAAGAAGGAGTGCGACAAGTCCAAGTCCAAGGTAGATAAATAACAATTGCGGCTATTGAATTTAGAAATCCCTTTTCTAACTTGTCATTCGCTTAGGACGACGCACACCACCAGTCCGAGAAGAAGCATACCGGAAAGGTCGCTGAAGGATCCATCGATGTTGTAGCTATTGTCCGCGCCTGGTTCGCCAAGCTGACCCTGGACGTATCCAAGTGCGCCAAGGAAGGCAAATCCAGCCAGGAAATTGAGGTTCTGATCACGCAAGCAAAGACCGAAATTACCAAGAAACTCGAGGTCGTTGAAGTTACTGCTACAGGTTCGGTTAGCGACAAGACTCAACTTCAAGGATTTAAGTCCATTGTCCGATGGGCCCAAGGCATGGTCGTGCAAGGCGCATACCAAATCCAGTCTATCGGTGCTCAAGCTGCAGCCACTTCGTCGAGCGGCTTTGAGCAAATGACCACTACAACTGCAGCTATCGAGGAACAAATTTCTGTTGCGCTACGACCTTACGGTGAGATCATTTCTGCCCATACCGAAAAGATCGAGGCACAGGAGTCTGCCAAACGCGATTCCAAGAAGGATGGCCACAAGATGCTTGGTCACATTATTGAAGGCTCTTTGGCTGTTGGTGCTGCTGCCGGCGCTGCAACTGTTATCGGTGCCTCCAAGAAGAAGAAGGCAGCTGAAGAGAAGACCGCTAGGAAGGGTAAGCAAACAACAACACTTGGACGTTTTTATAAAAGAAGCAGTTGATATTCACAGTGAATGTTTGCTTAACTTAGAAGCTTCCGGCCAGCATATTTCGGCTGTTGATGCGGCTGAGATTGCCAAGAGCACTGCAAAGGATACTCAAAAGTGGTTCTACAAGCTCATTGTTGTCAAGTTCACTCAGCTACTCGAATCGTCAGCCGACAGACTCTACGTGAACGGCGAAACTGAGCACATCATCTCGGAAGCCGAGATTGAAGTCAACGACAAGATCTCGAAGCTTCAACAAGGCACTTCTAGCGAACATTTGGATGTCTTCTTTAGCCACTTGCGTACTACTTTCTCTGCCCAGCTTTCGGACATCAAGAGCACCATTTTGGAAGGACCCTGGCAGAACGCCGCGGAGCAGGAATCAGCTCTGTACGAGATTGCCACCCGCTTGAACGAACAGATCGCAGCCCACGTTTCAGCTGTTCAGACTGCAGTAACTGAAGAAGAAATTGTTGTCGGCGAAAACGATGTTGATGTCGAAGTAAAGCACGAGGAATCGGCTGTTGCCAAGAGTGAGGACAAGGGCAAGACGGCAGTCAATGCAAAGAAACCCGCCAAGAAGCAGCCAATTCAACTTGTTGAGGTCACCAAGATTGAAGCAGTCAAGACCGACGTCAATGGATGGCTCGTCCGCTTGGTTGAGCGCATCAAGACTTGCTGCAAGCAAACCGACATCGATGTCTCTGCTGCAGTTACCACCTTACTTACCGAAGCCCAGCAAGAATTGGATACCATGATCAAATCCACTAAATCAGGTGTCTCTACTGAAACGGATGTTGAGTACAACTTCTCTGTCACCTTGGAGACAATCTTCGTCACGGCTATTTCGCAAGCGAACATTTCCAAGACCATTGCTATCCACGGTGTCGATGTGGATACACAGCTTGACAATGTTGTGATGGTTTCGAAGAAGCAGGTCGACAAATTGCTTCAAGTCCACATTGTAGATGAAAAGACTGGTGAGAGCTCGTATGGTGCCGTTATTCTCGATAGCAAGACTGAAACCAAAGAAGAGATTCAAGCCCACATCCAGAAGGAATTGACTCTTGCCATTCAAGATACCAAGACCAAGCTCATTCTATGGCTCGATCTGCTCGTCAAGAACATTCACACCTCGGTTCAACGCGAAGGAGGCAACGGCTGTCACGTTGCTACCGAAGTCCAGCTTTTACTTGAGGATGCCAACCAGCAGATTGAAAATATCATCAATGCTGCAAAGATCCAGATCGTTGCAGCTGGTGACGAACAAGCTCTCTTGCGCAAGGATGCAACTGTTGCAGGCCATGTTTCTTATGCTCGCAACCAGGCACTCTACTGCATCGACCAAATTAAGTTCACCTTGTACTCGCAGACGGCATCGCTCAAGCAGGTTGTTTCCTGCACTGACTCGCGCGATGCTGCCACTTTTGAAGAACGTGTCTTTAGCCGTATTGCCCTGATCAAGGATCGCCTTACCCACTCATTTGACTATGCTACCGGTGTCACCGTCTCTGCTGCATTCGAAGGCAAGACTGTTGCTTGGGTTGAAACCACCAAGATGCCTGAATCATTCGCTGGCGTTCGCGCTATTGCTTTTGATCTTGTTGGCACGGTTACCGACTTCCGCGCCTCGTTCACTGCTGCCTGGTCTGCCACCATCAAGTACAAAAAGGCTGAGGGTTTGCACAAGATTGACACTGTAGCCTTTGCCGACAAGTGGCATGCACTGTTCCTCGAGCGCAAGGGTGCCGACGGTAAACAGCAAGACCAAGTCCTTTTGCGCGCCACTCTCGTTGAGCTGCTCGCAAGCCACGATATCAAGGAAGGTGCATTCACTGATGCTCAACTCGACAAACTCGTTCTGGTCTGGCGCCGTGCTTCACTTTACAAGGATGTGGCCGCAGGTATCAAGCGAGTCAAGCACTTGAATCACGGAACGCCCACCGTTTCGTTCTCGCAACAGTTCCAAACTCGCACCATGGTTGATCTTGCCCGTCACGGATGTCTCTGTTGGCATGCCCAGTTTGGTGCTGATATGTTCGCTGGTCTATCATCCGAGCAATTCGTCGGTACTGTTTCCAACTTGTTGGCGCTTGACGACACCAACGAGCTTGCGGTCGTCTCGGCTAATCCCGATGTTCTAAATGCCGCCAAGTCAAGCGGTGCTCATACCGTGCTTATCCATCGCGCTGATCACAACACAAGCCAACAAGAATTTGATCTCGAAGTTGACGGTATCGACATGCTCGCTGAAAGCTTTGAAGCCTTGTTCGATCAAAAGGAAGCCCAGAAACAACAAGCTGGTTCTACTACCGCTGAGGCAGGACGCACTTGGTTCCAACGCGTTGTTGACTCTGCTAGCTCTGCTCTGTACTAAATTAGCTCAAACCAACAAATGAACGATGAAACTTGAATGTACGAATCTTAGCTTATTGATACCAATGAATAATTGAATAAATATATAAACATGTTTACTATAATATAAAAAAAGGCTGATGTACATTTGTTGCTACTGTATCTGAGTGTGTTTATCTACTGAAGCTGTTTCCTCATTGCTCCATCAAATATCAATGCAATGTTCCATAAAGCGCTGAGAACTCACCTTAGCTCATAAAACAGTTGTCCATACAAAATTCACATCCATTCTCTTAATACTGCTCACTTGCTCATATATTTTTTTGTATTCTAGTATGCTTGCTTCAAAGAGAAATACTTACACGTTTCAAGATTTCTTTGGTCCATCCATCGTGTTGCCCTGTGCTGCTAAGGAGTCTGGGGCACTCTTTAATTCTTTCCAAAAACAGTAATTGGGAAGAAACTACCATATACTTTGTTTCCAGCCTCCTTTCGTTCCTCGCGTACCACGTCCCTTTTTTACATTATTACACTCCACTTTGTTTCCAGTACATCAACAAATCAATTCGGCTGCGACGTACATCCCTTCTTTTCTTGCTACCAATTCTAATTTAATACGCCATGGCCATTAGTCAGTGGGCTCACACGGTGGCTCAATTCGACGCGTTCCCAAAAGTAGATGCTGACAATCAAGCTCGTAGTGAAAAAGGTGGATTGCTCACCATTTTACTTGCATGCTTCCTCGCTTTGCTGTCTCTCAGCGAGTTTTCTGAGTACGTTATCTATGCTATACTATGATTTCTTTTCGCTTGAGCTACGAACGAATAAAGTATTGAACTGTAACTTTATACTTGGTTAACAGGTACCGTACACTGCACAACAACTATCGCTTTATAGTCGATCCAACAATAGAGACCAGCATGCAAATCAATATGGATTTAACGGTCGCTATGCCGTGTCCAGGCAAGTTAACCATTACAAGTGTGCATATGTTGTCATATTAAAGCTAAATCATTTCCATGACAGTTTTGCTTGTCCATGTCTATGATGCTTCAGGGTATCGGATTCATTTAACAGAGAATTTACGCCTGGTGCCAGTAAGCTGCCAAATAAAAACATTATATGTACCGTGGAATAACACATATAATAACTTATGTAGGCACAATTTTCTACGAACCGTGCTGACCAGGAAAAGTAAGAATTGAGAGTATAGGAGTTGTTGATGCAATAATTTTAATTTATGTACGTGGACGATTATATAAAGGACGCAAGATGCAAGATATATGCAGGAAGTGATCAAGGCAGCAACTGGCAAACCATACGACGAAAAGATCGCTGGTAAGATCTACTGGTGGCTATTCAAATTATTGTCATTATTCGGGCAAATTATCTAAATAATGCACATATAGCCGAAATGGGTGCCTGCCGTATCTTTGGATCGATCCATGCAAACAAAGTAGCAGCGAACTTACACATCACATCACTCGGTCACGGATACCGTAAGTGCTTCCTAGTCAAAGCGCTACTATCCGATATCTAAACTTCTTGCTCTGTTACTGTTTGTCTATGTAGAGAGCCACACACACACTGATCATAAATGTAAGTTACTGGTGACACTCAATTAAGAAATGAAGAAGTTTCTGCGTACTCTTACCAATGATATTTTCTCTATCGTCCTTATCATTACAGTATTGAACTTCACTCATCGAATTGACCAATTTTCATTCGGCAAGCAGTACCCCGACCTTGTAAACCCGCTCGACAATAGTGTTGAAATTACAGAAGCACGTGAGTTTATCAGGATACTATAGTGCATAGTCCACCCAGAATCTGCAAGCTTAAAATTTTTCTTTCGTGCATATATTTTTAGATTTCGAAGTGTTCCAGTATATCTTGTCGATTGTATGTCTATCAGAGTTTCAGAAAGGAATCAATAGAGACAGATAGCTAATGCGCAAATACCCGTCATTATTAGGTACCTACAACGTACATTGACAGCAGCAAGAATGTATTATTGACGAATCAATACGCTGTGACGGATTCTCACAAGGCGGTTTCTGATCACCAAGCGATCAATATAGTTCCCGGTATCTTTTTCAAGTATGATATTGAACCGATCTCTGTGCAAATAACAGAAAGTCGACAATCGTTTACACATTTCTTGGTTCGCCTCTGTGGCATCATTGGTGGTTCGGTCGTCACTGTTGGCTTCATCTATCGGTCGATTAAATTTGTTCTCACGGGTGGAAAAGAAGATCCTAACCTTTATGCGCCCACACATAACCTTATGCGCAGTGTATAAATAAAAAGAGAAAATGGAGTATATCATCATCATCCACATATCATCATGAAACGACGGAAAAGAACAAAAAGGCTTTAAGAGGTATCGTTTCAGATGAGTCATAGAAGTGTATATGGTTGTGGCGTATATATTGCGTTCTGAACCTTCTTGTTAAGCGATGGGTAGATGTTTATCCGCCACAATGGTTTCATTGGGCTGATCTACTATTATGTAGAGCGTATGTGTATTGTATAATATACTAAGAAACATAGTGTGAAAACATAGAGGGGATCATTCAGTGTCATCACGAGGATGAACCACTCACGATCCAGAGAAAACGAAGATTCGCGCGGGAGTCGGCACCGAATTCTATCGGAGAGAAAAAATATAAAAGCCAAAATATGAAAGCCGCGCGCCGACTGATCCGATGCTGAGAACTCGCATTTCTACTTCTCTCATTTTATCTCTTTTGGAATATATACACAACCCTTCCCTCGGAATTCTATAACATTATATCACCCAGTTCATATCTACCCGTGTAGGTTGCCCTTTCAATTTATACTTCTATATAAAGAGAATTAAAAATTGTGTGTGGGACTTCGTGTGTGATGGCATCCAAAACTACTCTTCAAGAAGACAACGGAGTAAACGAGTATACAGTACATTCAGTCAGGTCAACCATATGTGGCAAAGATGAACAAGCCAATACTACTCGTCCTTCAGCACGATCGTCACTTTATGAAGGTATAATTCAGCTGTCTGAAGGAAATAAAGGCATATGTGACGATTGGCCGAGTTACTAATACGATATGTTTATCGTAACAATAGAAAACGCTGTGACAATGAATTCGCCATCTTCTGAAAAGAACTCGGCTACTGCTGCTGTTGGTACACATGAAGGATGCGGATCCGTCCGAAGCCAAACGCTACCTGGCGACCAAGAAAAATTCGATATCGACAAGATCCCTGACGGCGGTTACGGATGGGCTATCGTCGTAGGCGCGTTTATGGTTCAAGTTACGAGTTATGGTGTCACTACTGCATGGTAACTAACTACTCAATATGTGCATGATGATAACAAAAAGTAGTCGTACTAATTGAAAAACTTTCCCACCCCAGGGGTAACGTTTTCCGGGAATTGGATTTCCCGCCTTTGCTTTTATATGATCTGAAACCAGATCGGATTTTAACCTATTTTCATCAACATCATCTCCATGCCTATACCGGTTTCATGTGATAGGCGTTATGCAAGATTACTACGAACAGAATGTTTTTAAGGATACAGTTTCGAATGCACCACTCCAATTGAGTTTTGTTGGCACATTCTGCTTGATCTTCAGTAACTGCATGGGACCTGTAGCGCAAATCTTGAATTCCATCTGGGGAACAAGAGTTGTCTTATTGCTTGGGACCTTATTCGTTGCCGTCGGCGTGATCATTGCTGGGTTTTCAACACAGGTACGGTGTTACAAAAGCAAATCGTTTTCAAATACTAACTTAGCGGGGATACATGCGATAACAGATATGGCACCTGTATCTGACACAGGGCGTTTGTTTTGGTATTGGCGTTTCGTTTATGTACGTGGTAAGTACCTTTCCTGAGTTTTTCCTTAGTATCGCATTTGTGTACGTGACCCAGCCTGTAATAATTAAATGATTCAACCTTTACCACTTTTGCTTAGACGATAATGGCTGTTGCACCGCAATATTTCGATCGTAAGCGGGGTTTTGCTCTTGGCCTGATCGCCAGCGGATCCGGTATTGGTGGCTTGATTATGCCATTCATCATGACACCTATCAATCGCAGTTTGGGTGGTGGATGGTAAGCAAAATTAGATCATGATTAAATATGATCACGGTTGATGTGATTAACTTGAACTCCTAAATCAATGGATATATAGGACCTATCGTGTTGTCGGCTTCGTTTGCTTGGCATGCGATTTATTGGCCTGCATACTAGTCAAAGACCGCATTCCCCGCCCTCGTATGCGCAAGCGTTTACGTGACATCATCAAGTTTGATGTGTTTAAGAATGGCAGTTTCCGTATCTGGTGTTTAGGTGCTACCATGCAAATGGTTGGATATTTTATTCCATTTTTCTTTGTACCATGTAATGCATCAATTCTGTTTCTATCTTTATTCAGTTGGATCGAAAAGGATAATCGCTTTACTGATAATTTAAACGAATTTTACGACTGTTTAGCACATGCTACGTATCTTGGTTTATCTGATTCCGAAGGATCGTCGTTGGTTGCTGTCAGCTGTGCCATGAACTTTGTGGGGAGAATTGTTTGCGGGTTTGTAACTTAGTTTCAATAATCATACATAATCCTAAATGAACTAGCAGAATTCATTTTTTTTCCAACCATCCATAGGTTCCTTGCTGATAAACTGGGCAATGTTAATACGAACATTATCTACTTGGTCATTGCAGGACTTAGCAATTTCCTCATCTGGACTTTCGCTTATACATATGGTACATTAATGGCGTTTATGGCTGTATTCGGTTTCACATGTGGATCTTATTTCACCCTAGGTAAATATTGTAATGGCTGAGATCTTTCAAAAGGAATAGATATGAAAGAAAGATACGCTAAAACAAAAATATGTCTTTAAAATTTCTAGTATCACCCATCACCGCTGCTATCCTCGGCATGGAGAAATTCCCAACTGGATTGAGCATGGTTCTCCTCTCTAACTGCGTTGCAGTTTTCGGTCCCAATATTTCTTCCGCGATCGAGTCAGCTGTCAACTCGGAACCTTTTTTTTCCTACAAAATGTTCGCCGGTGTCGCTTATATTTTGGCAGCTTCGGTCATGCTGTGGTTGAAATTCAACATTAATCACAAGATTTCTGCAAAAGTGTGAAAAAATTATACTACCACCGCTACGTACTACTTCTCATCATTATATCATTGTAGAAATACTTACTTTCCTCTTCCATTTACTACACAGCTCTTACTTCCTTTTTTTAAGCTCTCAGCAATTAATTATAATTACAAACATATAGTCGGTTACGTATTCCTACAGCTGTTTATAAACATATTTTTACGTATATATGCTATGTCGCAGATTAAATGGTGTTGGTAGAAGATAAGAATTTGCAGTTCACTCGACAGTTGTTGCTATGTTTTCAGAGGAACAAATCATAATTTCAAACTTCTAAGATCCATGAAAATTGTGTACTAGAGATTGCTGCAATTAGTCTTATACAGTGAATAATAATTCCTTATAATGGAGAATAATGAAGGTGGTATGCTTCTGAAAAAGGCGGCATGAAGGCCCTTACTATGATTGTGTAACATTGCACCCTGAAAAGTCTACAGGCATATACTCTGGATGAAAAAGGCCATTTTACCCAGTGTTCCTACTTTCCCGCTGCATTGCTGCACATGCTCATTTACTGTGTACATCACTCATAGGCACTACGTTACTCACTTTCATAGCAATTCTGACAGGTAGTATACCCAGATGCTACTATGAAATAGCACCTTAATATGAGCATCAGTATAATAGACAGTTTATAGATTTTGAGCATCAACATTACATTTAACACACAAACCATTCCCTCTTCCTATCTCGAAGATTATTAAATGGATAACATCGATTACATGGATTTTAACGTTGGCGACTACGACATCCTGCCGGACAACTTCCGTAGCATAGATCTCCAAATCAGTAAGGAAGCAGACAACTGTTAGGACGACCTTGCCCAATTTGTGGAGGTCGAGGCGATGGAGCTGGAGCAACAGCAACAACAGAAACAAGGTAAATGACAAGTATGCCATAACAGAGTGTACTCGGATGCTGAGGTCGTTGCTGTTGTCCGCATGTACTTCTATGGCTGCGTGTCAGCGAGAGAGCTGATGGACGCACTGAATGCCGGCATCCACGGTGCAAAACTAGTCGCAATATATCGGCCAGACATGCCATCGCTAGCACCACGTGTGCGGCGGTTGTGTGCTTCACATTCAAGAAGTAGCAAATAAGTGCTACAATTCTGGAGCAAGCAAGACAGCAATGGTCTCCTCACTGTCCTTCCCTGGATATACTGTTGTTACAATGACCCCCTTGCCGTTGCTCCAGCCTCTTCTGTCTCTGAAGTCAAGTACAAAATTAAGCAAAAACTTATAAAAAGCAAGAAGTTATAACAGCTGCATATAACTTTTCAGAAACGTAAATTAGAAAGACTCTTGAAGCAAATATAGGATGCAAAAGGTCTTTAACAACGTATACAAAGAGGAGGAGGGCAAAAAACCAAATCTTTTATCGTCAGCATTGTGCATCAATGATCAGGCTTCTATAACTTGCAAACTTGCTTCACGTCCAACCATATATGGTTTTCAGTTTTTCTTGTTAGGAATTCAATAAATAAAAGATATTCATCCCGCAAATGAGTCGAGCCCTGGGGCCGCAAAACCATACCGCAAACCTCCTACACCGGCTTGCAAATAGATAAACCTGGCGGGCTCTGATTAAGTTAACTTGGGGGCAAAGGTGTTCGAAAAATCCAGTATCCGAGAATTTTCCAGTATGGACTAATCACAAGAGCCTACTGCTATATTGGTTCCTGGCAAGTCTTGGTCCATGATTCGATTAATGTTTTTGGATAGAGTGTCCTCGCCATAACTATATATAACAATTTGATTTATTGCCTTTAAATATCTTTGAATTCGCTATGAGATACAAATTCAAGAAGATTCTAGCATAACAACATTTCCTATTTTGTTCTGACGGTCTCGAATCTACCAAATGACTGTTTGAAGCCGCGTTTCCGATAATTCCGATGCATTGCTGGCCATCAAATAGGCCTCATATTTACAAGGATTGATGCAACGGAACTGTTCTTTGCTTTACTCGTGATTTCCTCCATTGTCTGCAAATTCAGTGTGGCTTCCCTTCCATGACTGATAACTTGCGTAGCTATTTCTCTGAATAGTAGCGATCCAACCTTTTCTTGCGACATTGCTATATGGTTTGATTCTTGATCTGACATGGTGTAACGGTGCATACGTTACGACGACATCCAACCTGCATGTTGACGATCGACAACGCATGGTTCAAACGATAGGATAACTTGCGATCGACCGCATGGTTAAATAGAAGTCTGGTGTAGATCAATACATAGACGTTAGCTAGCCCCCTATTACTCAACGTATATATAAAGACGGGATCCTGAGTTATATGGTTCCCCATCGTTTTATTCTTTGATATTTTTGTGTCTCACCTTGTTTCTGTTGATTCACACTGTCTACTCATTCACGTTCCCGATTGTAAGTATCTGGATCTATACTGTTACACATGGTCCATATGGTTACAGGTTGAGTCAAGGCGGATGCAAAGTTGGACGATGATCGACACATGGTCTACATTGAAAGACAAACAAATTTGCTGCGCACTTGCCTCAGCAGGTATAGGGATGGCATTGTTTGTGAACGGCTGACGATGGGGTTTGTTGGGATATGGTTGGCAAGTTCGAGTAAATGGCTGTCGAGAGACACACGGGTATTCTGTGATGGCGCAAAGTGTGAGGTTGTTGGTCCAAGATTAACCGAAATACTGTCTAGTCTGAGGCTTGCTGTTACGAGAAAATTGCACGTACGCGTACCTAGGACAAGTTTCTGCCCATCCGGTGAGTGAAGGAGGCAAATAGACTAGTATTTATAGCGACCAGGCACAGACGGAAAAGAAGAGGCAGAGCCGAACAGCCTTCTTTCATGGTGAGCGTCCAGCAGTGTATCTCGGGCGTAAGGCTCGATTGTGTCGATAATGATGGCTACTCCTTCCTCAACCACGATTGCACCGGCCAGCAGTTGGGAAGTACAGTAGCGTAATTGAGGATACTGTAGCCAATCTTGATTAAGGATGTCGCAGGTTTCATCAGACAGTTCTTCGTGGGTGGTTTTTGAGAGAGGCATCGAAATTTTGCTAGAAAAAATAAAGAGAGAAACTCAACGACTATTCATCTAAAGCCAAATTCAATTCAAGCCAAACTATTCCCCAACTCGCACTCTTGATATGTCGAATGACATGATCATAACCACCAGTCGTCCCTGCTGCCATTGCGGTGTTATCGTCATGGATGGGGCTGCTCCAAACACCAGTTGTTGATTCTCTGTTTAGTAGTATTGAGGCAGTTGTCGCTGACGTTAGCACTCCATGTTGCTTTTGTTCATGCTCATAAACTAAAGGCATCCACCTGCCTACTTTCGCAAGCATGATTTTGTCTTCTTGAGTTGCTTGATCCGCAGTCAGACTACCGCTCGATGCTAAGACAGCTTGACGGTGTTACTTGGTACTAGGACACCAGCTAGTCTTGGTTTCTGGGATCCAAACCAGGATGCTGGAGTCTGAACAATTCATTTAGTCTTCCAGAGATACTTGTATGTAAGGAGCCTAGGGAATCCAAAAGTTGGTACCTTGGGTACCTGGGGTCTGTGATGAACCTTGGGAAAGCTTTATGAGATCGATTACCTAATTGTGTCATATGCTTGTCTCAAAGATTGAGCCATGCATGTTTAAGTTCTAGCATTAATACTGTGAATCAGAGGCGAGAGGGTTTCAGCGTCTTGGTCAATAAGGACAAAGGTGGTGGACGGGTATGGACAACGTTTTCCTTGTTTTCAATGTCTTCTTCGCGCGAGCCCGTGGATTCATTGACGACCTCGCTCTGCGCCAGTTTTCTCTGTTTTGTCCGGTGGGCATTCAATCCGTAGTTCTATTTGAAATGGTTAATAAACGGACGAGTCGTTCCAATGTTCTTGTCACAAACTGTGCAAGCAAAACCATTTTCGCTTCTTCTCGCACACGTTGGCCCTATATGAACAAAAGGTGTGTGTGAGAGAATGCAGAGGAACTCAATAGTGGTGAAACAACAAACCTCCACCGTAAAACACTTCCTTGACATGGCATTCACCGGTCAAGGATGTCATAGGTGCTGGAGTTGAAGTGTCAAAGGTGTGTAGTGCCCGCAGCAGCGTGACAGGAAAGGGTTCTTTTTCTCCTCCTTTCTTCTCTTTTTCCTTTTTCAGATTTTGGTCGAGCCATTATTGCTTTTCCTCTCTCTAACTCAAAGCTCTCTTCCTCCAACTCAAGGATGCCATGACAGTGAGTATAGCTGGAAAGAGTCTTGTGCTTGTATTTGTCCTTGCGTGCTTAAAAAACCAGGAAGATGTCTGCCAAGATATGTCAAAAAGTGTATCATGTCGTGTACGCAGCTGCTCATAGATGTTTAAACTTGAATCGGTATAGACCCACCTCTCTCTGTCTATATCTTTTCTGTAAGACGACAAAACAAATGTAAGTATAGCTGTATCCAGCTTAGGATGGAGGAGGATGGCCATGCCGTGTCAAAAATAAAGATAGCACAGTGGGTGCAGCCCTCTAATGATTTTTTTTTTTCAGCTGGAAGAAGTGTTTTTGCCTTGGCCGGATTCTCTGCTCTGCTCTGCCGGGTGTTCGGCTCTCCTGTGCCTCATCGTAGAAGTATGGGTAAGCGTAGCACGATAGGATCATGTGTGTGTGTGGTTTAACAGTTTCCCATTGTCTGTTCGTCTCTTTTGTTTTTCGGGATGGCGATAGTGCACGGACACCTCTATGCTGGCCAAGATTGATGCTCTACTGTCATCCTGCTCCTAGAAGCCGACCTGTCAAATAGTCCATCGGCTGTGGTCAAGATCTATCCATCCATCTCGCCGGAGACGTGTGCTTTTTTCTTTGACTTGGACCTGAGGAAGTCGTTAAAAGCCTCATCTTCTTCTTGCTACATACAAATATCCGATTGTTGTCTATCCCTTCTCCCGCTCCCTCTCCCTTGCACATCCGTATCGCCTAGTAGCCGCTGTTCCGTATCCATCTTCGGATGTTACATCGCCTCATGCGAACGGCATACTCCCCACTCCAGGCAGACTTCGGGTGTAAGTATTTGCTTTCTCTCTCTCAATCTACCTGTGCGGGTGGAATTACATGGAAAGGGCCGAGTTTTCTATTTTGTGAGTGACAAAAGCTAACCCATCTTTTTTTCTCTGTATAAGATTGTACCGAGGTATGAAATGACGTACTCCATTATAGCTGGAATTGTTTTTGACTGAGCTAGCCTTGAGATCCATTAGTCTCTGCCTCCAAATTCCTCCCTTGCCACACACTGCTTTTCCTTTGATTATGGGGTTTTCGCACGGGCCGAGTGTCGAGGCAAAAAATGAGATATTATTATGAAAAGAACCAAATATTCACCAGCTTTTAAGCTGCAATGAGGTACATTACAAGTAGCTGGCACAACGTCAAAACACAACATGCTACTATTATTACCAGACGCGAAGAGTGAGAGAGCAACACTTTCATAGGAGAACCGGTCATATCTTGAAAAGTAGACTATTCCTATCAAAGGATATTTGTAGAGAGCGGCATGATTTCTGAGCGCGGCGTTTCAAACGACTCCGCACCATGCAGAGCACCGAAGTAAAAAACATACTGGAATAAATGAGCTTCTATATAAGTGAAGATGCAGGCCTAGCAAAAGTACAGAGGTGCTTGTAATAGTGTAGCTCAATTTTATTATATCTAATGGTACTACCAACGAGTCCAGATTCAATCGCATCCACCAATCACATTCTGTATGAGACACGCTTGGGACGTATTGCTGATTACGTCGATTGAATTCCCTGCCACTGTCCATCATGGAACGTAATAATTTTTGTTCAACGAGCAGACACGAACATTATATGCGTCTTATGATTATATTGGTAGCAATGCTCGCAACGAAAACAAAGGTTATTTGCAGACGTACGGTATATGGAACAATCCATGCGCCATTGCTACTGACGCTGGTACATTATCACTTGTAGGTGTTAAGCTAGGTTGTGCAAAACCACCATCAGTTAATTTTAAGCAAGTAGACAGAGTGACACTTCCTTTCCATTTAATTTTCTACCTCTTCCCTGTTCTTACTGTAGTCAGTTAACAGTGTACTTTTTGTTACTTTAAAGGAATTTATTAGTCATCGTGCTGGTGAGCTAAACGGATCGTCGAGTAGCCATAATCAGCCTGCGCTCCGTTGCAACTGCTCGGCCAAATTGAAGTTGCATATTAAAGAGTCAGATCCGACAACGATTGTGATCGAGTACGATTGGCGCCATACTGGGCATGAGGTATGCTGGAGGAATGATTTGATAACAGCACCTGGAGGACGCAGAGCACGTCAGTTGTTAGAAAAGATGGTCGATAGTAAGATGTCCTGGGTTGCCATCGAGCATGCACTTCGGGTGGATAAGAATCAACTACAACGTATAAAGGCAAGCAAGTACCGCGAACTTCCAGCAATTAAACAGATCCCGTACTCGATGGTATGTTACGCTATGAGACAGTCAATAAAGAAACGCTCGCGGCTGGACTCATTGTTAGACGTCAGCCTACACAAATGGGAAGATAAAAGCATGTGGATAGTGGTCCAAGCCATTATGACGATGACAAGGGCGACATCTAATAAGGGATGTTTGCATTTGCATTTATAGTGAATTGGCAAAGAGAGGTAAAATCATGGTTGGGATATGGATGTACTTCTTTCGTTACATGGCTGTCTTTTATTTTTACTTCTCCCCTTTTTCTTTATTTTCCTTTTCCTGTTTCTATAGGTCACTATGGAAAGCAGCACTGTTATTTGCATGAATTCAACATACGACACAACAGTGGACGAGGGCAATAACCGGTAGTCTCTATATACTCTTGTTGTCTGCTCGCTCGTCACAGGAATAGGATATCCGGTTGACTGGATGACAGCAAATTCTGAATATCATTATCCTATCGTTTCTTGGCTGTATTGGGTGCGTGAGACTGTAGGTTTTACACCAGAAATTGTAATCATTGACAATTCAGACATAGAGATGAACAAAGTGTTGCTGACAATGTAAGAAAAAATGGTGAGTCCAAGACTCACACGACTGTCGCTGGGCAAAATCGATTAGCAACAATAGACGAAGCAACAATGGTATTACCAGCATCAGAGAATGGAAAGCTACAGCAAGCTGTTAACGAAAGTAAAGCTCATTGATCTATGCTGTAGACCATTGTTTATATAAAACCTTCAATATGCTAATATCCAGAGAAAGATGCGAGCACTTCTGAGTTATCACCACGCTGTTTGACATCATATCTAGCGACATCCACAGTGGTTTGGCTCAGAACAGTAGTATAATAGGACCTTTATAAGCAGGGCAATTGAATGCCTCGTTGTTGATGAGGTCCCTGACGGTGCCACAACTGAGCTATGATGCCGGTAGAACATTTGTAGCTATATTTTCCAAGTTATGGTGTTATACTTCAGGGTATATATAGTGTTACTAGGTCGAGCTCAGCAATCAAGTCACAAATTTGGTTACAATGATCAGTGGACTAAAGTACACATGGCTTTGTTCATAGTGGTACAATGAGTCTGATACGGTTTAAAATTTGACGGTTATTAGCAGCAAATTTATTACGAACCAAGCAAATCTGTTGTTACGGTGCGTGCAGCTCCAACTGAGCTCTGTTGGCACTTTATTCTCTGCCTTTTCCCTTATATATGGGTACCCGTTGGATCTTACTGGGATGCATACTAGGATTGCAGGAGCAGCCCTATTAATTTGTACCCTTTTCATTACCGTGAGCCACATGGGTAATATACAAACTGTTTTATATCCTGCCTTTGTTACACAGCCATATTGTTATTATTGATGTTTTTTGCAGAATGCAGAATTCTTGTTTTTCTTTACCTAATCATGCTCAGGTGACTTCCACAACATTACACAGATCTGGTATTTGTACCTTACACAAGGGTATAGAAGTTGCACTGCCGTGCGTGGTAAGTACGACAACAACACATGTCAACGTTTGACACTTTTTCTTGTCTGCAAAATAGTAAGCTTATAATTCCCGTAGCTTGCAAAATTTGCTACTACTGCTGTCAAGACATGGAATAGAATAAAAGCAACGTTCTGTATTTAGGTGCGCAGGTGCCACGACCTGGTTGGCTGCTTATCTTAAACTTTTTTTTTTGATGGTCATTGAAGAGAAATAAAGCTTTTCTACGAAAAAAGCTACTGTTGCTATATACAAAATAGCTAATTTTTTATTAGTCCCTTTCTCGTACTACTGAGTATTCATTACGTATCTTGGGTTACCAGATTCACGAATACATCAACGAATCGCGAGTGGGTGCGTACATCCACTACTTGATCAATGTATAAGAAACAAAAAAGGTGGAGTAGCGCATCGTGATGCACGCATAACTTCTTCTTGGCGCAAAAGTACCAAGCAGTTGCAGGGAAATTAGGAGTTGCCAATCCCAATCTTGTTTTCCTGATGCTTGCTGGGTTGGGTGACTTATGGTGCAACAAGTTTATAACCGACATAAACGATGCAGTTTTTTGAGGTTCCATAGATACCTTTGTATGCATGGCCAGCCTAAACAAACCTGTAATAATGATTTTTAGGTACTTTCTGTACAGTTGTTATACGTTCACGTTATCACTTGTCTCAGTAAAAAAAACAGTTATGGGCGCTCAAAGTCTGCCACTTTTGGCTGGCGCAGGTGAAATTGAATTGGTAGGCAGCATAGTCGGTATAAAGTGCATCCGTGACATACAGCATGAAACGCGCTAAATCCATCTTCACCCCTTTCTTGATTACATATTTGACGGTTTGAAGAAGAACTTGCCCATAGCTTTAGGTAACGCATCTCCACCCAGTAATACTCCCACGAAGATTAGAAGATACTTTAGAGGATGTATGCGCTGCATTGAGTCTTATAGTAAGGGTATGAATGTGTGGGCAGCAGACGAAGAGGTGTGCAACTTCACCACAAGAGTTTCTACATCTCATCATTGGTGCCTTAGCGCAGATGAATAAGTCCAAAAATAAATGCTTACTATAAAAGGAATCAGGATTTTAAATTCTTCATGATTCTCAATTTTGTTGGTTATAAACTTTCTGCACCATAAGTCCTTAAATGAAACTAACTAATACCTATTACCGTGGCTATATGTTGGAGATGGGATATTTTCCAAACAAGTCTATATCAACAAATCTAACTCAGTGTCAGCTCATCTGTGTTTAGACCTAATGTCGCTTCTGCTTGTATCCAGATTAATGTCTCTACTCATTCCCCATTTTACATGCAGAATGTTTACAAGCACGACCTATATCGTAGCAGCATTTGTCATTGTATGATGACTCAAGTTACCATCATAGATTGCGAAGTTGAATATCCCTGCTGCTTATAACCATCCAACTGCTACTTGCTATTTCTACTGCGTTGAGGAAATCAACAGTGCATGATTACATTTTCCAAGCAACAGCAACCGGAAAAGCGTGTTGGGTTTACCGAAGGTACGATGCCGTTTGTTCCATGTTGTAGAAAAATAATCTAAAAGCAATATTATTATGGGATATTGCCATCGCATAAACTCGTTTTTTAAACAACCATGATGTCATAATTCCTCATAATATACTCCAATATACTTGCTCTGTGTGGATTGCAATCTTTGCAATCATTTAAATAACCAATTTACCGAGCAATCTGAAACACTGTCATTAATGTTGTCAAGTTTCGGCTTAATTTCCATCCGCAAACAGCGGGGCATGTTAGCATAATTTATTGTCGGAGGCTTAATTGCACTCATCAGCTCATCCCCTCAAGCGAATCTTTGCAATATCAATGATGAGTTAGGATATAGTAATGGTACGAAAATTGGCGTATTAGCTTCCTTGTGCCACTCTTTAAAATTGATCGATAAGCGAAATATAAAATTAAAGTCTATACACAGCAAGATTTTATTTTATTTTTTGTAATCCTTAAAAAGAGAATAATAAGAACCGAAATAAAAGCAATGCAGAAGAGGAATTTTTTAGTTTAAATTTACATTGAGAGAGAGAGAAGCTCTAGACTAATTGTAGAAGTGTAGAGTGGAATATTGTTTTTGGGAGATATATGTATGTACTTGTGAATAGGATGATAGTAAGGAAAAGGAGTTCAAGCGGATTTAAATGTGGTAATAGAGTGGGTGATGCTGATGATGATGTTATCGATGATGCTATTGCTTAGTAGAAAAGAGGGAGCTTCTGGGCGTTGACCATGGGATCGTTAAATCGAAGACCCATATCCAGTTGGTTGATGGCCTGGACATCTTCTTCGTCCATCTTCCAGTTCAAGGCTTCCAAGTTCATCTTCATGCGGTCGACATTGAGCGACTTGGGGACAACAGCGACATTGCGTTCCAAGGACCAGCGGAGAGCGACCTGGGAAGGAGCACGGTTGTACTTTGCGGCAATGTCCTTGACGGTGGGGTTCTCGAACAAGGGCTCGACAGATTTTGCGCGCTTGGAACCGGTCGAAACGAACGAAGTGGGGCCAAAGGAAGAGTAGGCAGTGACAGCAATACCTTGCGATTGGACCCAGTTAACCAAGTGTTCTTGTTGGAGGTAAGGATGCAATTCGACTTGGAGCAAGGAAGGCTTGATGTTGGCGTAGGTGAGCATGTCCATCAAGAGCTGGACGTTGAAGTTGGAGACACCAATGTTGCGGGTAAGGCCAGCTTCAACCAGTTTCTCCATGGCGCCCCAGCATTCGTGCATGGGAGCACGGTCCAAGGTGATGACGGGCTCGTCGTTGTTCTGGTACCATCCGGGGGGATAGCGCTCCTCAATGGGGACATGCTTGAGAGGAAGAGGGAAGTGGACAAGGAACATGTCGACATAGTCAAGGCCGAGTTCTTCGAGCTGCTTCTCCAAAGCGGGGCGGACGTGTTCCTTCTTGTGGTAGGTGGACCAGAGCTTGGTGGTGACAAAGAGGTCTTCACGCTTGACGATGCCTTCATCAATGGCCATATTGATACCGCGGCCGATAGCCTTTTCGTTCTTGTAGTTGCTTGCGCTGTCAATCAAGCGGTAGCCGACCTTGATAGCGTTGTAGATAGTCTCGGCACCATCATTGGGATCGATCTTCCAGCAGCCAAAACCAATCAAGGGCATCTTGTCGCCGGAGGGTTGGAGAGAGATGTATTCGACAGTCATTTTGATGTAGTATGTTGTTGTTGTTTAAAATAGATAGAGACGCGTTGTTATTGTTGCTGAGAAGAATGTCGACAGGATGGTTGATTTGGGCTCCCTTTATATATGTTTTTGTGGTCCTATCTGGCCGTGTGCAATGTTGCGTCAAAGATTTAAGATTGTGTGCCTTTTTGCCCTGAAAAATGTCGTCATGGTGAGCATATTTGGCAATCTGTGTCAGTCAACAAGATTTCTGCATCTGCCATATCCGTTTTCTATCGTTTTCCTTAGTTGACGATGTGTCGGACAGCAAAACCAGGACCTGTTCTAAATATGGTTTAGGACGGACGAAATGGTGTTCCTCCTCACCACCATCCCCCAAAAAACCCCCTCACACATCCTTAAACCACGCACACACTGTGTGTACACAGAGAGCGTGTGCCGTTTCTTACACAAACACAAGGCCGAGGAATTCCCCTGATCACACAGCAGCGATCGCGTTTGATTACCATGTCTTCCAACTGGCATAATTGTTTATTTACGGACATCCACATCCCTTACGGAGATTTTCTCCCAATTTGATAGGTCTTTTTCTGCTTCTTCCTCTTCCTCCACATAGCCGACGAGCAGAGGTACTTGTTTTGCATAATCTAGAGCAAAAAGAACAACTGGAATAGAAGCTCCTTCCGCCCCGGACAGAGCGGCAGAAAGTCCGGAGACACACTCCCCATCGATTTCTAGAGAACGTTATGTCCGGCTACTTTTGGAGGGTCCGGCGAGCCGGCGGTGCTTTTTAGCTTTATCAAAGACAAATCAAGATTCTGTCGGAATTCAGAAATCCGCCGGGCCACTCCACTCTCTCTCTTTCTCTCTGTCTCTTGTTAAAGGGCTGGTGGAAAGACATCGAAGCAACTGTGGTTGCTCGCCGTGAGAAGGGCAATGCGGCGGTGAAACAATTGTGCCGTAATCCCGACTGGGCCCAAACGTCGATATGGCGCTACTATTGTCTTGTTGTTAAAGGTGGGGTAATCAAGAACTTGAGGGGAACAATGAAAGGATTTCATACACCTCTTTTTCTTTTTTGAAGGGTCGTTTCATCTTTCATAGGACGTCATGAAAATGCCTTAATAGGGGAAAAAAGTGTAACGCACACACACAACACAATCACACCCGGTGTGCAATATGAATAGATGCCACCCACACGTAAACTTTATTTTTTGGCTCACGGGAAAGAAACTTTTTTTATCGTCATCATCATCATCATCACCGTCTTGGCCGTCCTCTTTTTCTTCGATAATACACCAACCAACACACGCAGCCAAGGAAAAGCATGGCCCGAGTTGGGGACAAGGGATAATGACATAATTCTATTTGCTGTCGCTGTTTGGAATCGCTCTGCTTCCTTAATGCGGGTGCGTGCGGACCTTGGCGATCTCCAAGCACGCTCTCTCGACTTTCCATCCTTGTTTTGCTGCCTGCAGAATCATTAACACCATCTCTCTTGCTGGTAAATAAAGTTCAAACGGTACCTTGCACCCCACCACACGCTTCTCTCACGCCCTTGTTATTTTTGCAGGGCTCGCGCTCACTTTATTTTTGGTTGTTTTCATATGCTTTACAATGAGGTCCCCCGATATCTGCTTCCCTATCTTGGTAACCATGCCACACCCTCTATTGCCTGGTCACCACAACCTCCGATCCATACAGTCTTTCATTTTCGATTCTGCCCTGGCGTCATCAAACCCTGTAGACTCAATCGACAGTTAATCAAAGTTTTTCACTTCCTTATACATCGTGAGACTTGATCTTACGGGCTCCGATGCTTCTTCTTCCATGATGTTCTTCATTGTTGTTACTACCCACTTGGGGCTCCTTGTACAGTTTCAGTCGGGATACTAGGGCTATTGCTGCTGCTGCTGTTGCTGTCATGTATGTTCACCATGGTCAAATACGGCTTAAAGTCCGTAACTGCATAATGATGATTATAACAATAATGCCAGCAGTCGCATATCTTTTTGATCTTGCTAGCTCCTTAAAAAGGATAGAGCTTTTGTTTGCTGTCGCCATTAGCAGCAACAGGTACTTGAGATAGTGTATATGCGTGCGCGTGTACATGCTGATGGCAAATCGAGGAAATTCTCGTTTTATGCATTAGTCTGTTTCTGTGAGGTGGGGGTTGGACCTTTACTTTGCATAATCGATAAATAGAAATTGCCCGAAACTGACAAAGCGCAGAAAAATAAATATCAGTAGTAAACAGTGGCAGAGGTAGTAGTAGAATAAAGTTCAGGATCGGCTTTTGCACCTTGTCGTCATCTGATCAGGTTACCCGCAAAAGAACGTGTTTTCAATTTTCTGTAAGAAAAAGTCCAAAGAAGCGGCCGTCCTTGTTCTTATTTTACCAGCCATCTTTCGCCGCCGCCGCCGCCGCCACCCCTACCACCACCCGGCTACGATCGGAAAGAAAATTCCATAATTATCGATATCGACAGAAATATAACCCTATCAAAATTATACAATAATGACCAAAATGCCCTTATCGATAAGTTAAAATGTAAAAGGGTTGACCAAGGAAAGCTAAGAAAGGTGCACACTCGTATCCAAAATCAGGGATCGCATGAGCAGAGATCATCACGGATGTTGTTAGCTCACAAACGCAAACAGAGAAAGAGATAAAGCCCCATTACGATATATGGGAGATAGCACTGTTTTTGTGTTGTGTATCCTATGGCTCCCTGTATACGCTCTCCTATATCGCGTTACCGTTTTATCCATATCTGTCTGTTTACACACACAAGATAACGTGATCACGCAGAAAGTAGAAATGCCTCGACTCTCAAACCATCATCATCATCACCACCAACAGCATTACCGAGAAACAAGACAGCCACAACCTGTTGTTTTTATCTCCATGTATGGCATGACTTCGTCGTATACATGTTTATTCCAAATTATTTGTGCCAAGCTGAAATAAGTTTGCGTTATGGAACCGATTTGCGCCAATGATTTTGCGTTCCTGTTTTCGCGCTTAAATTTTTGCATTGAAGTACTTGCGTTGTCAATTATGTGATATGAGAGCTGGACGGGAATTCCGGATAATAGCAGCAACCACGTGGGTCCTAGCTTACTCAAATTTGTAAACGAAAGAGTTGCTAACAGATTCCATTGTTCGGCCAAGTTGGGTGATATCTCCTGAAAGCAACATCAGCAAAGGTTCATCAAGTGCTTCTGCATTATCGACTTGAAGCTGTATCGGTTTATCTGCGTAGATGGCATGTACAGCCAAAGTTTATATGCTGAGATCTCTTTCAGCTCTAGTAAAAGTCAAGAGAACAAGCACCTTTGAGGATTTTATAGAAAGACCCAAAAGCAAGGCAGTCCTTTGGTTGATAGTCCTTTATAGTAATACTACAGTAATTGGTAGCATACATGAAGCTGCAATTTAGTTGAAGAAGATGAGAACTTACCGTATATTTGATGACATGAAAGAACCAAACGAAGATTGCTATATATTCAAGTAAATAGAGGTTATAATATCCGCCTCAATTTAAAGATGGGTGTCCATTCAGTGGTGTCTTGCTAGTCAGTGCGTTGTCGTTTTTATGATGGTTTTTATAAACTGGGAGGCAGGCACCAACGATTTCTTCCCGGCGACGATAATGATCAAGGTTGCATGGTACTACTGGTGGAATCAAGGGTTTTTTCCATGATTCCTTTACCAACACAAGCAAAATTCAAAAGTGGTAACTTTTTTATCTAGTGTATATATTAGTCTAGCTCGACATGAATATATGGCCAACTAGACATAGATACATAACTAACTGGACATAAATACATAACTAACTGGACACCAAGGTTTTGTTGTTGTCGGGAAAATCGAGATATTCTGTTCTCCTGACTCCAGTAACAAAACCCTTGGGGATATCAACACCCATTAATGAGACAGAGCCACCTAAATGAACGTATTAATAATAATTATCAATTTGTAAAACCCTTACTGATAAACAGGATACAAAAATAACACAAACCTGAAATGCTGTAACCGATGATATGGCACTTATGCAATAGCAAAGGAGGAAACGTAGCCAACAACAACATGTCGCGTAAAACAATTGGCAATCTTAAAAGACTATCTCGCATCTCTTTCGTCTGATTTTTCGCAGCACCAATTTCTGCGCAACCAAGTTCCAGCTTGCCCGATTTAAAGATAATATCACCACGTCTTGGTTTTACAGATGATAGCTGACGATCGTTGTTTAAGACATCTGCATTTGCTTCGCTCGATCCTTTATAACTATTGAATTTTATTATAAAAAACAGAGTACCAGTGAGCTTATCATGTTACCTTTCTTTTATCTATATATTTGCGATCAGCTTACCCCTTCACCGCAATGTCAGATCCTCGAGCAACAGAAGAAAGAAATCCAAACACTAGATACAGTTGGTCAGTTTCCATCATGGTACCAATATCGAATGAGCCGGTTTTCAGAAACAATTGGGCAATGTTTTGAAATTCAATAGATAGCCACACTTTGAGTGTTTTTTTGGATGGATCAACGATTGGGATGCTTCTTGCGTAATTATATAGCTCGGTGCTATCCTTCTATAAAATATGGAGTTATTTAGTTTTCTAATGTGATATCCACGTATACATTGTTTATTTGCTTGCTTGTTCATACGTACCAATTTCAGGATTTCTTGGAAATTTTGTTCGAGTTCTTTTGGTGCCGAGAAATCTGAAGCACCACCAGCCTCACGCAATTCATCCAATTCTTCTTCGGTAAGCACTCGTAACCAGCTACTATCGCCTAGATTGACAATAAGAGATTGAGAAGGACCGAGAGATGGCAAAGTTAGCTGGTAAACTCGAAACTACAAACCCTAGCCAAACGATCTATAATAGAGATTTTAACATACTGGTAGAATTTCTACGGAAAGTGGTTGGATGTTTTGCTCTCTTCCTCTTTCTCTTGTCGCATTCAAGATCCAAAAGTCGTCTTGATGCTTTCTTTTGAATGCTGCAAATCCATGTTGTAGGTTGGCTTTGTCAGCTAACTTACGGCCACACAACAGGAAAGAACCGGATCCCGCCCGATCTCCACAGTCAAGCCCTGTTTGGCCTGTTCAGCACAATGGCGGGAAACCACATGGGAATACCAGGTGCTGTAAGTTTTAAGACAATGAGTTTGATGACGCCGGCGACGAGGACGATGCTGGTGTTGGTGATGCTGATGCGTTTGCTTCTTGTTCTGGTCGTGTATTCGTGTTTTGTTGGATGATATAGCATTAAGCGTGTCTTTTAGTTGTCGTTCAATGGTTTTCCACGATTCTTTGGCTTCATCCTAGAAGATATAAATAAATTAGTACATGCTTTATCTGCATATTGTTTTGTAAAAAGAAAGTTCAAACGCAAACGCATAAAAAGTTGTTGGCACTTGCCACTGTAATTACAAGTGATTCAGCCGCTTGACTGATATTTCGGATCCAACTTGCTTTCACAGAATTGACATCCACGCGACAGTCAGAATCAAAGTCAATTTGAAAGTTGTCCACGATTTTCTAGAGGTTGACACAATGTACTCCTTTTTCGTTTGTCTCTACCAGGAAACACGTGATAGCTATTCCAAAGAACATTCATTAGTTCATGCGCTTGTAACGTCGATACAATTTTCTTATCTATTTATAATCGCAATCACGATTACTACCTTCTATTACAGGGTCTCAGTTGCCTTGGGTACAATGCTACGTGAAAAGAACAAAGCAAAGAATCGGGTAATTCAAAAGCAGTACTTGATATGGTAATCCATATTGCTGCGCGCGCCAGCCATCATCATTGGAAAGCCTGTAGCGCCAGTCGTGTATCATTATGGGTCCATGGTATTGAGCGTATCAATCATCAAATATTGTTGTCCGTCTCAATCGTGGATCATTGGATAGCCTATAGCGTGCGTTATTGAATAATCTGTAGTGTTGCGTGTGCCAGCTGTGATTCATCGAATCCATAGTGTTGCAAGTAGTGCCAATCGTGAATAGTTGTATTATATAATTGAATGATAATCCAAGTGTTCTGTGTATTGACCGCGAATCGTGGGATATATCATATTGCTGCATGTGCCATTCGTAGATCTTAAATAGCCTGCATTGTTTGTATACCAGTCGTGAATCGTTAATTAGTCCGTACTGCTGTGTGTACAAGTTGCAAAGAATTGATTAGCGCATAGCGTCGTGTGTACCGACCGTGAACACTGAATAGCCCATAGTGCTGTGTATGCCAGTCGTGAACATTATAGCCCATATTGGTGTGCGTGTGTGTGTGTGCGTCATTCGTGGTCCTTGAAAAGCCCATGTGGTTATACGTACAAGTCGCAAACACTTTGAAAAAATAGTGTAAAGACATTAGCTTTCCACTGCGAGAACCAGTGACAAATAGTTTATCCTACATTAAGGATCAAGATTACCTTGTCCATAAAACTAGTGGGTGGGAGATTGATTCGATTAAATGGCGTGGAGAATTTTTCATATTCAAGGACTATAGATGGTATAAAGGTATAGAGGTCTGAGAAAGAGGCAATCGAGGTGGATTGCGTCATTCATATGACGTCTACAAGCGTATGATATATGTAGTTGGAAAAACCGTGTGATGCTATCTTTCTATCTGTTCATGGGGTACTTGTGCACTATTCCGTAACATTACCCCAGCCCCAGCTAAACACTTTGTTACATAACTCCATATTATACATCTCTCTCATGAATTGCTGGACTCGAGCAAGTACGTAGTATCCGTAATAAGTTTATTCCCATTTTCCTGTCACCATGCGCATCACCTTGTTTCACCCCGGTTGAGTCTGACAAAAATTGGGGATTCAATAGCAGCAGCAGGGAGGAAAAAAGCAACAACCAAAGATCCTTTTTATTGTCTCATTAATCCGCCATGGCAATTCAAAAGATACGTAGCAACCAAATGGTTTTTTTCCCAACACCTTTTCCTCTTTCTTTTTTTTGTTAGTGGCATCTGATGGCCTCATGACTACGTCTCGTGGGATAACCCAGATCTTAGATGCTGCGAGGAACTATGACATCAGAAGCTCCCATGACTACGCCTCGTGGGATAAAGCCAGATCTTGGGTGCACAGTTCCAACCTTTAAAGCGCATTCGATGGCCTCATGACTACGTCTCGTGGGATAACCCAGATCTTGGATGCGCAATAATTGTTTTTTTCTCCTTTAACACGCATATACGCACGCAATGTTCCATAAAGATGTTAATTGCTGGTACTCGCTTTTATTACTATGTATAGGCTATACTTTTCCAGAGGTGGAGACCCCACAAGTGGAGAAATAAGTCCTATAAAGTATATTGTATACTGAATACAATTTCTATCAGATGAAAACAAATAAACGATAAAGCCCACAAAGTAAGACCAGGTATTATCACTAATTATTAGAAATGGAAAGAATAGTACTTGATAGATTTGGAAAGCAAGAACAAAAGTGTGTGGATCTTATACACAAGTCATCTCAAGCGATACTCCAGAAGTCTAATCCAGTGCTTTGAACTTATAAATACTCTATACCAATCAATGATTTAGTGAATGGGGACCACTTTTCGATACAAAATATTAAAATACGACGGAATTATTCAGTCAAGGGCAAAAAGGATGTATGGTGACAGGAAAATGGGAATAAACTTATTACGGATACTACGTACTTGCTCGAGTCCAGCAATTCATGAGAGAGATGTATAATATGGAGTTATGTAACAAAGTGTTTAGCTGGGGCTGGGGTAATGTTACGGAATAGTGCACAAGTACCTTGTAACGGTGCATACCGTTACGACGATATCCAACCTGCATGGTTGACGGTCGACAACGCATGGTTCAGCCGATAGGATGGCTTGCGCTCAACCACATGGTTGAATAAGGAGTAATAGGCGTGGATACTCTAGATAGAAATCTGATGTAGATAAAGGCAAAGATTAATACATAGACGTTAGCTAGCCTCCTACTCAACAGGCACTTTCAAACTTATTTGCAGGTTTTTTCGCAAGTGCAAGTGCAAGAATTTTTTTTGACCAATAAAAATTCATGAAACATCTGCAACTTTGAGTGTGCCGCAAGTTATATTTTAGTCTTTCACTGCAAGGTTTGCTAGTGTAACTTTTATTTCGATCCAGTTTAAGTCTTGTGCTAGATGTATGATGTGATTGATGATAATAATAATATAAAATAAAGATGGTATATGTAAACCATACTATTTATTTTTGACTGTCTTATACATGGAAATTATCATTTAATACTACATACAGCATCGAGTCATTATAGTTGTACTGTATGCTCGATGATTCCTAATCACAGTCAATGACTCACGCCACATAGTTTTCTTTACAAATGTAGAAGTGCTACGCGTACGAGTTTTTCTAAGCGGTTTTATAAAGTGGTTGCGTTGTTAAACCTCATATAGCCAATCTGATTGCCGTCTTACACGTACGAGTTTATTGCTAAAGGAACTGAACAGCATATGCGTACGAGTTTTTGTCTATCCATCAATCTTCCGTTTTTTTGGATGGCCTTGTCAAAATAAATAGCTATTGTCATACTTCTAGATGTACAAACTGCTCATTAAACTGTCGCAATGGATTTATTTACGCTGTTCTTTTCGAGATCTTACACGTCTGTTCTGCCACTATACAGTAATGACATATATAAGTTTTGCATTTGCTTCTTTTCTTTAAGTTCTTGGCCTTTTCCCAATATTTGATGCCACACCAAGCTCGATATCAGGACTCTAATCAATCAAGCAACTCACTTGTTCATGTGAAGGAGGTTTCTACCGAGTCCACATAGGTACCAATCACTTATAAAAGAGCTCTGGCCAGCCCTCTTTTACGCTTACGAGTTTTTTCTATACTGGTTCCATGCGTAAATCATAAGTAGCGGGGACAAGTTTTGACAGTTATCTGCTTACACGTACGAGTTTCTTCTATCCTGGTTCTACGTAAATTATAACCAGCTGGGACAAATTTTGAGTGCTATTTGCTAACGCGTACGAGGTTTTTTTAACCTGGTTACAGTGGGTTAACTCTAAATCTGAAGACCGTTCAAACAGCTCCATAGGAAGTGGAAGCTTCATAGGAAACCTGCGCACTGTACTACTTTCGAGTACTATATGCTTTTCAAATGTAGGAAGACTATGATCTATCATATTAAGTAGAAATAATAATGAGGGTAAGTACTTTCTAACTTCCTACTTTATAACAAGACCAAGACTACAACATCGCAAACATTGCGCCTTACATACATATCTTACATTCAAATGATCTTTGCACCCGAAACAGCTATTTTATTTATAGCTGAAAATTTGGAAGAAGGTAGAGTAGAAGGAGCAAAAATCTAAATGAATAGGATCTAATGCGAATAGAAAGTGTTGAAGATCTCACGTTTTATGCACGAACTCGCATGCGGAAAAGTGCATATTTTCGTTCCATTGTATTTCTAGAAACGTATAAATAGTATCTGACAGTCTTTATTACCTTTTCCCGATATTTTCTTGCTGTAACAACCCATATATTTATCTCTCCTCCATTTCATTTTTATTTTTCTCTTTCAGACACAATTACCGTTGTTCACCTTATACTTACTCTCACATGAATTAGCGTCTAAATTCTCTTATTATTTGTTTCGCTTTCACTTGTTTATACATAAACACCAATTCTTACCACAGTAGCTTATGCTAAAGGGATGTTTTACGCATGGAACCAGTATAGAAAAAACTCGTGCGCATAAAAGAGCGCTGCCCAGAGCTCTTTTATAAGTGATTGTTACCTATGTGGACTCGGTAGGAAACTCCTCCACATGAACAAGTGAGTTGCTTGATTGATTAGAGTCCTGATATCGAGCTTGGTGTGGCATCAAATATTGGGAAAAGGCCAAGAACTTAAAGAAAAGAAGCAAATGCAAAACTTATTTATGCCATTACTGTATAGTGGCAGAACAGACGTGTAAGATCTCGAAAAGAACAGCGTAAAGAAATCCATTGCGCCCATTTAATGAGCAGTTTGTACATCAAGAAGTATGACAATAGCTATTTATTTTGACAAGGCCATCCAAAAAAACGGAAGATTGATGGATAGACAAAAACTCGTACGCATATGCTGTTCAGTTCCTTTAGCAATAAACTCGTACGTGTAAGACGGCAATCAGATTGGCTATATGAGGTTTAACAACGCAACCACTTTATAAAACCGCTTAGAAAAACTCGTACGCGTAAGAAAAAAAACCTCGTACCCGTAGCACTTCTCTTCTATTATTTGCAACTTGTACACACAGCAGTACGGACTAATTAACGATTCACGACTGGTATACAAACAATGCAGGCTATTTAAGATCTACGACTGGCACATGCAGCAATATGATATATCCAACGATTCACGGCTGGTACACAGAATACTTTGGATTATCATTCAATTTTATAATACAATTATTCACGATTGGCGCTACTTGCAACACTATGGATTTGATGATTCACAGCTGGCACACGCAACACTACAGATTATTCAATAACGCACGCCATAGGCTATACAGTGATCCGAGATTGAGACGGACAACAATATTAGATAACTGATACGGTCAGTGCCATTGACCCATTCAATGATTCACGACTGCTACAGGCTTTCCAAGGATGATGGCTGGCGCGCGCAGCAATATGGATCAACTTATTTTTACCGTGGGTCCGCTGAAGTCCTCACAGGTCCAGCGGGTCTCGAAAATTCCGGGGTTTTTTCTTATAAAAAAACCCCAATGACCGAGCTAATAAGTGCATTTTTAACCCTGAGGTCCTCAGCCATTTTACTCACTTAACCAGCATTGAGCTCTTGTGTCTTGTCGGAGGACGTGCATGATCGATGCTTTTTGAATGACCTTCGTATACATTGATCAATCTGATCGATCATGGTAATAATTAGACTAATCGATTTTTTCTGTTCATGAAAAAATAAATTGTTATTCTTTCTACTGTATCACTCTCAAAGAAAAGTGTTCTTTCTTGATTTTTATAGAATACATAGAATACAACAAACTAAATATTGGCATGACAGATTTATTGACATTTAGAAATCTACTTTGTCTACTTGTTCCCACAACTTAACATTCTTGCTCATCCAATCCAGGGATTTCGGTTTTATGACTCCTCCAGCACACCATTCAGCCTTTGGGTGCTTTCGCCAGTATTCTAACATAGCCAAAGCACGCTGCTCATCCTGCTGTAAACCATGGCACTCGATAAACGCGTCGATACCTTTTACTATTTGTTGCCTGCGATACACCCATTTTGCCTTGTCTCCACGCCATTTTTTCCCGTAATCAGCCTCCAGCTTTTTGATGGCAGGTTTTCCGGATAGCCCATAATGCCATTCGCGGTGTAAATCCGGGATGCTCGTGACGTTTTCGCTCATCCTGTACTTTGGCATTTGGCTGCTTGAGGATGTCGTGGCCGGGGCTACCATGGTTGTATTTGGTGGAGACGCGGGCGAGTTAGCAGGGATAGGACAAGATGATGATGCAGTGGTAGTTGAAGCGGCATTAGTGGCGGATTGGTCAAAAGCGGGATGGGATGATGATGTAGGAGAGGCGGCAAAGGTAGGATGTGATGTTGATGCTATTGTAGAAAGTGCAGCTGCCTGCGATTGCTGTTGTGCGTTCCATTGCACCGTGATAGTCAGTCGTCCGTTTGCCAGATCACCCATGAATTGATTCATGGTTCTATTTTGTTCTTCGACCGTTCGAGAAAGGACAGCTAGTTTCTGTGAAAGATCGCGATACATTTCGCGCATGTAATTGTGCAAAGCTGGCATCGACTTCTGCAAAGTGAGCTCCTCGGGTGGTGGTGCCGTTTCAATGGCAGTCTTCAACATACTAAAAATAATCAAGGTACGATTGGTAAATAACTCATATATATATAATCGCACCATGTAATAACCTCTTTAATGATATTTCAATTACTTACACAGTTTGAAATCCAAATAATCTTGATCGCTGAACAGAGGCTGCTTCCAAACAGATAAATCTGGGTGTCGCTCCATCATTAATACTGAATCTTGCAAAAAGGTCCTTCGAAGAACACGCAGCATCTGAAGGAATCCGTCTGCCGCAACACTTTTGTCTCCTAGTCCTTGATCGATCTTCTCTTGCCACTCTTCAATCCACGGGAAAACTTTATAGAGCAAAGCTTCTCGAGGCTGAACGCTATCGCGCGGTAGCCAGAAATTTTTACCGTTGGCATCGAAAGCTGCCATCGCGCGCAATAATCGCCGTGGTAAGTTGGTCAAGTACGATCCCTCCATGGAGTCAGTGGTCCATCTTCCAGCACGTCGAATTGCCGAATCACCAGCTTCACCCAGATCTGCCATTTTACTACCGGATTTTCTACCAGCATGTGTAATGGCTGTTGAGTTGATCCTACATGCTTCGAAAGCCTTAGACAGAGCCTTGTAATGCGCAGGCTGGGTGATGTTCTTGGTGAGATCGCCGTTGTCGGTCTTGCATAGCTTGATGTTATACCAGGATTGTGGGCGCGACATATCTGGGAATTCTCCGCCTTCAACATGCCAACGACAGAAGAAATACAGGCCGAGGGCCATCCAAAGACAGGTTTCGACATGTGCACAGCGGATGGCGGATCCGTGCTGGATTTTACCGAATTGGTTTGTCTTTCCATGGTCCAGCAGCAAAACCAAACAGGGGCACTCGATATCTGGAGTAGGGCCTTCATTTTCCAATGGAATGGTATGTATGTCGGCCAGCTCGATTTCCCGGACGTTCTCGCCACGCATGAGACCAAAGTGTGAGATCAACATCATCACTGCGTTGCGATAGTGCTCAGACTTGTCCTTGCCAATGAAGTAGTCGATTATTCTGGCTAATTCTTCCATGGTAGAGTATCCGTCCAAGATTGACCCAGCAGCGCGATCTTCGTAGTTCGTGCGGCGTCTTTTGCTATCCTTCTTTCTTTCGTTCTTTAGTAAGTCCTTGACATCGGCGGTTCGTGGGTAGTTGTTGATGGTGTTGATACCAAGCTTAAGTTGATCGTTGTAAAATTGGATGATGGCGCTGACATACTGCTCGATGGTGCTAAAGCCGACGATGTAACGCTCAACTTCCTCTTGTTCTGTTTCGATATCATTGTCATTCGGGTCAGAATCTTCGTTGGCTTGTAGTTGCTTTTTACCAGTAGGACGTCGGATTCTTCCAATGACCTAAACATAAAATGTAGTACAATTAGTTTAATACAACCTCTTTACAATTAACGCGATCTTTTGAATATTGTCAATATACCACTACTTACTTTTTTTTCAAGAAACCAGTGCAATTTGTCGCCATTTACTTGATAACGAGTGGATTCAGGAAACTTCTTTTCGTCGCACCACTTACAAAACTCGCTGATCTTTGGGTAATAGGCGTGTTTAGTGTTGTCCGGACGAAGAGCCTGCGTAGTTGTTTGCGTACGTTATCTGGATTGCAGCATGGCCAAATTCAATTCGGCAGCGTGAACGGCATTGTTGTTTGATTGACTAGCAAACTCGTTAGCTGATTGGGATGACGAGGAACCGGTATTGTAGATTTGAGACAAATAGTTATGATGTTGTTGAGGCATGTTGATATTGAAAGCGTAGTAGAAAAACTGATATGACAAAAAACATGACACGTTCTTTTCAAGCCTACTTTATATAGTTTTCAAACATAGAATGCTAAGACTACGTGCAAACAACTATTTTAAATGCTGAGCAAGCTTAGCACACTCTTCATTGTCCAATGCAAATGATCCTACAGATACTTCTATTCCTTTCAAAAAGTATTATCTGCGTTGGTTTGCTCAGCAGCAAGTGCATATTCAGCTCAGCATGTCTGCGCTATTTATGCGATTTCTTTTTGAAAATTTCTGATATATCTCATATTAGCTACCCGTATACTAAATTGTTTCTGCTATTGTCTATGGGGTCGTCTTGGTTTTTTTTTCTTTGCTTTGACTTTTATTATAGACGTTAATGCATAAATTACAGTGAATCAAGAGCTTCCGCGCTGTCGCGCGGTCGTTGAGCCTAATTTGGAAATACGCATATGAGATTAAGTTCCGCTTGTGGCTAGGGACCCGGGTCCAGGACCCACTGCGTCCACAGTTTAATATGCTCTACATGTTGGTTTTGAATTACCGATTCTTTGCTTTGTCCTTTCCTACAAAAAAGCTTTGTCGTCTCCATTCCATGTCAACTGAAAAGTCCCCTATAATAGAAGGTAGCAACCATAGATATTATTAAGAATAAATGAGATTTGTTTGTAATAACGTTACAAGCACATGAACTAATGAATGTTCGTTGGAATAGCTATCACGTGTTTTCTGGTAGAGGCAAAAGAAAAAGGAGAACACTGTGTCAAAGTCCAAGAAATCGTGGACAACTTCCAAAATGACATTGTTTCTGACTGTCGCGTGGCGGATGTCATTTCTGTGAAAGCAAGTTGGATCCGAAACATCAGTAGAGCGGCCGAATCACTTGGACTTACTGTGGCAAGTGCCAACAACTTTTCATGCCTTTGCGTTTGAACTTTCTTTTTACACCACAATATGCTGATAAAGCATGTACGTACTTATTTGTATCTTCTAGGATAAAGCCAAAGTGTCCTGGAAATCTATTGAACGACTATCGAAAGACACGCATAATGCTACATCATCCAATCAAAACACGAACATACGACCAGAACAAGAAGCAAACGCATCAGCATCACCAACACCCGCACCCGCACCGTCCTCGTCAAGCGCATTAGCATCACCGACACCAGCACCGTCCTCGTCCTCGCTGCCGTCGTCGTCAAACTCATTGCCTTCCTTGAAAACAGAAATTAGCCCAGGCGACAAAGCCAACCTGCAACACGGATTTGCAGCATTCAAAAGAAAACATCAAAACGACTTTTGGATTTTAAATGCGACAAGAGAAAGAGCAAGAGACCAAAACATCGAACCACTTTCCGTAGAAGAGAAAGTCATGGATTTCGCTTTGAGTTGTGAATTCTACCAGTACGTAAAAATCTCTATTATAGATAGCTTGACTTGGGTTTGTAGTTTGAGTTTACCAGCTAACTTTGCCGTTTCTCAGTCCTTCTCAATCTCTTATTGTCGATCTTGGCGATAGTAACTGGTTACGAGTGTTTACTGAAGAAGAATTGGATGAATTGCGTGAGGCTGGTGATGATATGGATTTCTCGGCACCAAAAGAGCTCGAACAGAATTTCCAAGAAATCCTGAAATTGGTACGTATGAACAAGCAGACGGATAAACAATGTATACGTGGTTAACCCATTAGAAAACCAAATGACTCCATATCTTATAGAAGGATAGCACCGAGCTATTCAATTACGCAAGAAGCATCCCAATCGTTGATCCGTCCAAAGAAACACTTAAAGTGTGGCTATCCATTGAACTTCAAAACATTGCCCAATTGTTTCTGGAAACCGGCTCATTCGATGTTAGTACCATGATGGAAACAGACCAACTGCATCTGGTGTTTGGATTTCTTTCTTCTGTCGTTCGAAGATCTGACATTGTGGTAAAGGGGTAAGCTGATCGCAAGTATAGAGGTAAAAGAAAGGTAACATGATAAGCTCACTGATACTCTGTTTTTTAAATAAAATTCAATAGTACCGAGGGATCGAGCGAAGCAAATGCAGATGCCCTAAACAACGATCGCCAACTATCATCCGTAAAACCAATCGCAAAGAGAAAAATGGGTAGACGTGGTGATCTTATCTTCGAATCGGGCAAGCTGGAACTTGGTTGCACAGAAATTGGTGCTGCAAAAGATCAAACGAAAGAGATGCGCGATAGCCTTTTAAAGTTGCCAATTGTTTTGCGCGACATGTTGTTGTTGGCTACGTTTTCACCTTCGCTATTGCATAAGTGCCATGTCGTCGGTTACAGCATTTCAGGTTTGTGTTATTTTGTATCCTGTTTATCAGTAGGGTGTTACAAATTGATAATTATTGTAAATACGTTCATTTAGGTGGCTCTGTCTCATTAATGGATGTTGACATCCCCAAGGGTTTCGTTACCAGAGTCAGGAGAACGGAACAACTCGATTTTCCAGAAAATAACAAAACCTTGATGACGAGAATTCTGCCACTCTTGAATCTTGCTTGCGTGGGTAAAAAGATAATGGAAAAAACTCTTGATATCACTAGTAGTACCATGCGACCTCTATCATTATCGTCGCCGGGAAAAAATCATTGGTGCCTTCCACCCAATTTCGTTCCATCACCAAAGTCACCACAAAAGCGACAACGCACTGACTAGCAAGACACCACCACCATCTTTCTTCACCGTTGAGCCTACTCCAAGTGAATATTTTCTTTACCACGCAACCAGCATCAAAACAATCTTCTCAGCGTCGACACTGTACTTTTTTTTTCCATCATCCAAGCCCGCTACTATGAGCATGTAACAATCTTTTTTTTCAACTTCAAGCCTTTATCCAATTTTATCAACAACAAATCAGTATCATTTTTACCATTCGATATGTATCATATTTTTTTTTACCGCCGAACCTTTACCATCCAGTGCAATCTGTAATGATTTTTCACTAGCATCTTTCTATCCGATCCACACTTTTCATATCTCTCCTCTCCAAGCTATTTTTACTAGTCACATATCCACTATTATAATTCTCTTCGATAAATTCTGAAAATATTTCTCTAACATATATAATAAAATGACCAACGATATCTTATATAGCTGTGCTATATATTCTATCCATACATTGTTCTTATAATGTGCCATATATGCACTAATAGCCCATCTATGGTATTCAGATGCTGTAAAATAAAATGGCATTTGCTCTTGATTGACTTTCAATATGAGGCTCCTTCATTCGTAGTATCGTAATAAAACAATTGACGGTCAATGAATTTCCCCTCTATTCGAAAAGACCGTCGATTCCGGCATAGAAGTATAGCTGTATAGCTGTGATCTTCTTACTCGGTGATTTATTATTGAGCGAATGACAACGGTAATCTATATCTGATATCTTGATCTTCAAAGCGACTGGCCAAATGTAACTTGGCCGGTGGAAGCATATATACTCCCATGTGTTCATCTCTGGTCTTATGAAGAACAATAAGCCGATATGATAAACGCGCTTACGATTAGAAATGTATTTCTTCGAGTCACCAGGAACCAAACCGCTAACATGTCATGACTGTCTATTTTTATATGACTAGCAAGCCTTTTTGCCCTCCGTTGTAACAGTCATCAAGGCTGTTGCTGTCATGAACATTCATCGACCTCTACTAAAGTGATCATCCTCAACCTCGATGATCACATATTAAATTCTCAAGTATCAATATCGTTAATCATCATCATCCGACTTATCAATCTTGGGACCAGTCTTCCCGTTTATTCAGTATTTAAATCCCACAGTAAAAGATATGTATACCATAGTCTTTGAATGATAAAACATCAATCAGTTATCTTGTTTATTTCCTATATCTTGTTCCTTGTTTCTTCCCTCATTATCGGTCTCCTACCTTCAGGTTTCCTTCTTGTCTTGTCCTGCTCCTGCCGACAGCATCTAACACACTTTCGTCCGCTCCTTCTGTCCTTGTCTTGTCTTGTCTTGTCCTGTCCACACTTACAATTGCAATCTTTTCTCGTTCATCAATTTAGTCCATTACTACGCCACTTGAATTATACGCCCATTCTGTTCTCGATTTCATATGTCTGTCAGCTCACTGTTTGTATCCTGAATTTGGCATAAGGCCTGTTCCTACAGCATCATTTATATTCCTGCCCCAATACCGTCACTCTCTCGGACACGATGTCGGAAATAAAAATTTCGCCCTACTCCACTGGCCATACAAAAAAAAGTATGGGATTCCCATTTTCGGTTGTTGTGTTGTGGCTGTAAGTGACGGATCCTGATTCAGCTCGAGTATGTAGTCGAGTGGGAGAAAAGCAAAAGTACGCTTAGCTTTCTTTAGTGTATATGATTATGCTAATGCTGTGGTGTAAATAGAAGTGTGGTTGTACACGTGTATAGATAAATTGGTTACTCTTGGTGAGCCGACAAGGCAAAGTTCGATTGACGAAATGGTTCGTCACCATCCCGCCCAAAGAAAGAGCGAAAGTCGTTAAAGATGCCACACAAATGGTACTGGCAAGACGAGTAAAAATGTGTAACTTCTTGGTATATAAAGGTACATTTGGAACTTAAACATCTTTACATCTTTTTCTAATTTTTTAGACCAAAAGATCGTTTATCGAAGGTAATAGTCGCAATACATGTTTTGGAACGTCGCATACGTATAGGCCTAGCTTAGTGGCGAGTGAGAAAAAAACAGAGTACGAAAGCAAAAGCCTCACATATTGATAGTGCTACATAGATACTCAAGTTTGTTCTTTGTTGGTGGTATCAATTTGTTTAACGAGTAGTACCATGCGACCTTTATCATTATCGTCGCCGGGAAGAAATCATTGGTGCCTCCCTCCCAATTTCATTCCATCACAAAAACCATCACAAAGCGACTACGCACTGACTAGCAAGACACCACTGAATGGACACCCATCTTTCAATTGAGGCGGATATTATTACCTCTAATTACTCAAATTCATACCAATCTTCGTCTGCTTCTTTCATGTCTCACCATATCCACTGTACTTTCTCATCTTCTTCAACTAAACCGCAGCTTCATCTACACTACCAATTACTGTAGTATTATTATAAAAAAACTATCAACCAAAGGACTGCCTTGCTTTTGGGTCTTCTATTAGAATTCTCAGAGGCGCGTAAACAGGAACGCAAAATCATTGGCGCAAATTGTTTCCATGCGCAAATAATTTGGAATAAATATGTATACGACGAAGTCATGCCATACATGGAGATAGAAACAACAGATTGTGGCTGTCTTGTTTCTCGGTAGCGCTGTTGGTGATGATGATGATGATGATGATGATGATGACGGTTTGGGAGTCGAGACATTTCTACTTTCTGCGTGATCACGTTATCTTGTGTGTGTAAACAGACAGATATAAATAAAACGGTAACACGACATAGGAGAGCGTATACTACACAACACGAAAACAGTGCTATCTCCCGTATCATAATAGGGGCTTTATCCCTTTCTCTGTTTGCGTTTGTGAGCTAACAAAGTCCATGTTGATCTCTGCTCATGCGATCCCTGATTTCGGATACGGGTATGCACCTTTCTTAGCTTCCCTTGGTCAATCTACATTTTGACTTAATCGATAAGGGCATTTTTATCATTATTGTATAATCTCCATAGGGTTATATTTCTGTCGATATCGATAATTATGGAATTTTCTTTCCAATTGTAGCCGGGTCGTGGTGGTGGCGGCGGGGAAAGATTGCTGGTAGAATAAAACAAGGCCGGGCAATTACTATATATCGATTATGCAAAGTAAAGGTCCAACCCCCACCTCACAGAAACAGACTAATGCACAAAACGAGAATTTGCTCGTTTGCCATCAATATATACACGCGCACGCATATACACTATCTCAAGTACCTGTTGCTGCTAAACCAAAATGAAAGAGTAAGAGTAGGAAGAATCTACGCACCATAAACACGACTTAGTTCCACCCCTGCTTCATTCCAGACCAACTTGTCACTATGATTTTATTCTATTCCATCGCTTATTATGCATTTCTGCTCCCCCCAAATCCATCATCGTACATTCTATTTAGCTATATTTGTCTCCCCTGGCTTTCTCTACGGACGTGTGTAGAATAAGGCTATGTCTTAGGACATGAACAACATCTATCATGATGAACGATGTCATGTATCTAGTATGGATCATCACCACCAGATAAGGAACACAGAACCAAAAAAGAAGGATCCAGCTTTCAACATCACGCACAATATAAGATTATACAATATAGTACACTAAAATGACTCGCGGTTTATTTCCTTCTGGTATAGCGCTGTTCTCCATGTATCTGTTTCCCCCCCAGGTTGGAGCTTTATCCCGACTTTTGTTCATTCACCTCTTGTTCCTCAAACTAATCTTGTTGAGTGATGACGCGAAGGACTGATTTTTGCTGGATTCTTGAAGTTCGCCGGTGATCAGTAATTCATCCAAAAAGAAATATGCCTTAAATCGAGCACGTTAGTTTCTTTTTTTTAGCAAGAATCGACTTCATGTTCTGTCAATACTCCTTTGCCCTTTTTCTTTATAAACTTACCTTTTGAAAGTTAAAGGTCAAATCCAACTCGCATACCTGATAAGAAAAAGAAAGGATGCATGAATTTCATAGCAATGGCATTAATATCAAGTAACCGTGGTAAACTGTCTGCTTACGTTGCCAAAGTAGCGATCCAAGATCTCGACATATCGATGTATAATTTCCAGTGTAATAAGTTCGTTGTCATCTTGAGGGGGTTTTTCCATGATTCTTTTACCCACGCAAGCAAGATTCAAAAGTGGCAAAATCTTCGTCACCAAGGTTTTGTTGTTGTCGGAAAATCGAGATATTCTGTTCTTCTGACTCTCGTAACAAAAAAACTCTTGGGAATATCAACATTCATTAATGAGACAAAGCAACTTGACGTATTATCTGTGGCGAATACGGAAAAAAGGGAAACCCATTGTACCTATCTCGAGTCGATCGCTCACGGATAGCAGCATTACAAAGCTTAACACCGTCGTCATTTGCTGGTGATTGTGGAGACGTAAACTATCAAAGTGGAAGTTATCGAGCGGTGGATTGGATTCACTTTATGCTTTACCTTGTTTCGATGATCGTTTTGGAGCTCTAAAGTGTAAGTAATACAAAGCAAGCGCTAGTCAACCTAGTCAGTACGTTTCAGCAAAGAGATTGTTGCAGAAGATATTCAAGAGCTCAAGAAGGCAATGAAGCAGTGAAGCAGATTGGTGCAACAGCAAGTCAGGCTTTCTAATGTTTCACCTACCGTTTTTACCATCAACTTTCACTACCTGACACACTCGCACAAGATCATCGAACGAAGTGGACCATTACCGTACACTGCAGTATTTGCCATGGAGCGCACAAGTGGGGCAATCAAAAAAAGAATGCATTAATGCAGCAAAAATTGCTGGAAACATGCTTGTGGAACTGGCAGCAATTAGGACACGCCAATGCAGGTACAGTGTGATACGGTATGCTGATAATTGATCGTTCGTGGAGACAGGCAAGTTCTATTCGAGCGAACTTATGCATTGATCAAGCCAAGATACAAATGCCGTATATGAACTCTGCCATATCTGTTGACAGTGCCCACCTGGCAATAACAAAATATCTCAACAATCGCACAAGCATGGATGATGGTTGTTGCGTCATACATTAATGTTATGGTAGAGGCGGTAATCTGTAAGCAAAGCGTACATCAATTCAGGGCTTGCCTCAAAAGAGCCATTTTGCGAACGACCTTCTGATGAATGGCTTCTTTCAAAGAATTCGTACCACGGAAGCATCGATACATGGTCATACCACCACTGTCCTTGCCAATATCATAGTAAGAGGAGAACTTTAGAGGATCAGACATTTGACCTTCATGGATTTCCTTTAAGACGTTTTTCGACTGCCCCCAAGTATCTTTGTCGAATAATGACCGACCCGTTCTTGCGCACTTCTTGGGCCGTATCTGTCAAAAAGTCCTCGGATTAATGGGTAAACTATTTCTGGGGGGGGACATTACTTGTTACGATACTATGAATGCATGTTAATTCTAGCCTGGGATCGTCATACATCGACAACAAAACCGTACGCTTAACAAGTCGAAAGATCCAGCTTGGATTCTTCGAAAGAGTTTGGCTCCCTGACGATCCTCGTCTCATCAGAACAGCCTCGACTCGCTCTTTGTCGTGTTCATTAAGGAATTACAAATAGGGCATCGTGCAGCTTCCTCGAAAACGTATTCGCAAGTCCATGGCGTCGAGGTACCTTGATCATATCCATCAGTGCAATACGTCTTCTAATATCCTTATCGTATGACGTTGTTGCACTTTGGATGTTTCGTGGTCTTCTTGAACACATATCGCTCTCTATCCTCAGCAAAGCTGCTTTCATCTTCATATATTAATAAGGCTACAGCTTTTTGGAGATAACTTCCTCAATCGTTACTTACTTTCGCTGATGCTATCAATGTCCGTGTCTTTTTCTTAACTATTCGATTTGTGACGCATAAATTGTGCTTTCGACCTCATGATTAATTAATAAAGAGAATTAATTCTATCCTGTATACCTTCACCATTATCATTTAATGTATACAAACAAATCAGAATTGTCGTTGATAGTTTCAGCTGCTTTACTTGTTCACAAGTCACATAATCTGAATACAGTGTCGAATGGCAAAGAGGCAAACATGCTAAGTGCCTTTCCTTGTGCCTCTAAAGCATATACGATAAGCTCGTTGCTTTCCACATTGTATCCGATCTCAAGTTCTCTCTTTTCTTTTTTACTTGCTGTTCGAACAATATATAATATAAGCTTCGTCTCATTTTTGGTAATATCATTTTGAACAACTCCAGCTATACTACTCGAGCCCGAATTTACCCCTACTGTTGCCTGTTTCCGCAGCAAAATTCACATTGCACACTTCTTGTCGTTGCCGAATTAGTGCTATAATAATTAAGCACCAGTAAAATATCCAGCCATTTTGCAGTTGCTCTTCAATATACACCGGTAGCACAGTTGACTGTACATTACGTCACACTCAGCTTAAGATATGGTCTCTTTTGATATAAAGTATGATCTGCTCAGCTTTTACTATCTCTCTTACTTGACTCTTTTTCATGTCCCTTCTGTCTAGTAAATAAATGTCCAAACGTCCGGTATGAGATGAGAGAGATACTATATACTGGCTACTAAGGAGCCAAAAGGGCATCCATTATCCTGATCATTGAATGTCTTGGTTACCAAGCTTCCAGTGACAGGCCAAGTTACTGTACAGCACACGTATCCAATGCAAACGACCCAGTTTAACTCAACGAGACCATATATCCAAAGTGGTTGCGCGTCTTATTCACCAAGACTTTACGGTAGTGCATAACAAATACTAGATGACAGTAGAGTTTTAGGGATAGTACTCTTTTCTACAGATGATAGTAATAGAGATTTTTTAGAAAGCTTCTATCTCATATTTTCTTCAAATACCTTGTTCGATGAGGATCTTTTCTACCCTCATTCGCTTTCGTCCCACATAGTATTCATTTTATGCGATAATCGTCCTAAGTTTTTTAATATACATACTCTTTTCTCAGTACAAACATAATCGTCCTTACTGTACAATAATGTTTAAAGCTCAAGTATCATCCATTTACGTTGCATACAGGATGTTTTGTATGTTCCCTATGATATTAGTTTCCCAATAGAAAAACTTTGGCAAAAGACTATCGGTCGCTTCTAAAAGATGGAAATTGTTGGTAGGATTTTGCAGCGTGCGTAGCAATCCTCTAACAAAAATAAAAGGATTACGACAAAGATATAGAACTCGCTTGATTAATCTTTCCAGTAGTAGTGGGCACAGCTGTATTAATTATAGACAAGCCTCGATGACTTGGAATGTTATCCATGAAGTTTTAGATGCTGTAAAGGTAGCTGTTTCTGTTGCTGCTGCCATGGAAAAAGGAAATATTACATACCACTGATGTTGCGTTTGTTTCAATTTCTGGTACAGCAAATACGATAGCATCGTTTGTAGCAACAATGACGTACACAGCGGGGATATACAATTCTCTTCGCACGGTCATCCACAAAATTTGCATGTATGCATATGCAAGGCGTGCCAGCGACAAAGTTTCAATTGATTGAACTTAGTTCATTGTGGCACGGTGGCACACACACAGATATCGCCACTGCATCGCATTAAATCCTTTAATGTTCTATCCCACAATGCCGTCAATTTCCGCTGTAACCCAGGCGAAAATCCTTCTGGCAGTTACCGCTCGCTCGGTGAGCATTAGCACAGATTACATACATTATATCGCCAGAATCGACCTCTTAAATAATTATATATTCATCCCATCAAAATTGACAACTTTAGTTTATGCTGATCTCGAACGTAGAATACCAGTCCGTAGCTAAACTCGCTGCTATTGTTCCTTCTTCACAAAATTTAGAAACGAGGTTTTTGAGATAACTCTTCCGGATCTGTCCCGTATTCTTCGTTGTACTTTTTATGCTGACAGATCGCATGCTGGTAATTCGAAATCAATGTACGGGCCTTGATGTTGACCGTAGGATAGTTGGGCAGAAGTTTGTGTAATGCGTCAATAGCAAGATCATATCTTGAGCATCCTGTTTTGCGTGGAAAACGCCAGAAACATAGCAAAGTTTTAATAAGCTTATAAAGATCTTTTCGTACTATCACGGAGCAGCAGTAGCAACTCTGTGACAAATCTTACCGTTCGCCGTAAGCATTCGGAAAGGAGTATTAGTGGTGGTTCCCTCCTCGTTGTATCCATGCTATCGATAGACATTATCCATAAGTAAAAACCATTGTCACACACAGTTTTTGTGTTTCTGTACATATTGTAGTATAACATTCAACCCTAAAAGAATATGTATACGTACCACAGACACGCGTCTGCCACTGACACGATCATAAGCAAGTCTCTGAAGGGCCGAAGGTTATCCATGAAAATTGAAAAATGATGGGTTGTCCGGTGTGAAAATAGCCTCGAATTCGTCTTGGGACAATTTATGCGAATGGGTCTGACCAAGCACCATCAAAACCGTGACATTGACTAGACGCACACGTAGATCGGGGCAATCTTTATTGGGTGAAGCTGCAGCTGCTACGGCCTCGAATGCTGTTTCGACGCCACACCCGGCAATCACAACGTCCGGTTTTTTACCTCCATCTGTGCTGTATTCGGACCATACGGATACACCGACTCGACAGTGTTCGGAGGCTTTTTCGGCCGAAGTGATCCAAAGCGGGGTTGGGTTCTTGGCGCTAATAACAAGATTGGTACAGTTGGTAGACCTTGAGCAGTGGTCGATCGTTGAAACCATGCAGTAGGCGTCAGGTGGGAGATAGATGCGCATCATATTTGATTTCAAATTTATCAGGTTATTCCAAAAGGCTGGATTTTCTTGACCGAGCCCATTATGCTCTTGTCGCCATAACGTGCTGCTTTACAAGATTCAAAGCGAGCATGTGAGCTTTGTTTCTTCCTTCTCACCTTGATACGCAAGTAAAAAAAATCGCCTTCTTTACCTCGATGCAATTCATGGATGGCACTGGTCTTCGCCATACCGTTTTTTGCCCCAGTCTCAAAAAACTTGGCATACTGGATCAGCATAGTCGTCATGATACCAAGGAACCTTTTATGTTTGATTGAAAATGAGCATAGTCTCTCTATTAATAAAAAGTACGAATAGTACTTACGCTTCGTAACCTGGGAATAAACCAGTTCTTAATGTATAGCCTTGCAGGAGACCTTGACAAGTGTGCTCTAAAGTACCTCGATGATCCGACCGCCTTTGATGAAGAGATCCTTATCCCACTACAAAGTAGATAGATGTATCAGCTTATCATGAAGGCTACAGAGAGCTTTACGTGTATATTTACTTTGTTCGAGTTCTTTTGGTGCCGAGAAATCCATATCATCACCAGCCTCACGCAATTCATCCAATTCTTCTTCAGTAAACACTCGTAACCAGTTACTATCGCCAAGATCGACAATAAGAGATTGAGAAGGACTGAGAAACGGCAAAGTTAGCTGGTAAACTCAAACTACAAACCCAAGCCAAGCTATCTATAATAGAGATTTTTACGTACTGGTAGAATTCACAACTCAAAGCGAAATCCATGACTTTCTCTTCTACGGAAAGTGGTTCGATGTTTTGGTCTCTTGCTCTTTCTCTTGTCGCATTTAAAATCCAAAAGTCGTTTTGATGTTTTCTTTTGAATGCTGCAAATCCGTGTTGCAGGTTGGCTTTGTCGCCTGGGCTAATTTCTGTTTTCAAGGAAGGCAATGAGTTTGACGACGACGGCAGCGAGGACGATGCTGGGGTTGGTGATGTTAATGCGTTTGCTTCTTGTTCCGGTCGTGTATTCGTGTTTTGGTTGGATGATATAGCATTATGCGTGTCTTTTAGTTGCCGTTCAATGGTTTTCCACGATACTTTGGCTTTATCCTAGAAGATATAAATATATTAGTACATGCTTTATCTGCATATTGTTGTATAAAAAGAAAGTTCAAACGCAAATGCATAAAAAGTTGTTGGCACTTGCCACTGTATTTCCAAGTGATTCAGCCGCTCTACTGATGTTTTGGATCCAACTTGCTTTCACAGATTTAACGTCCACCACGCGACAGTCAGAATCAATGTCATTTCGAAAGTTGTCCACGATTTTCTAGAGGTTGACACAATGTACTCCTTTTTCGTTTGTCTCTACCAGGAAACACGTGATAGCTATTCCAAAGAACATTCATTAGTTCATGCGCTTGTAACGTCGATACAATTTTCTTATCTATTTATAATCGCAATCACGGTTACTACCTTCTATTACAGGGTCTCAGTTGCCTTGGGTACAATGCTACGTGAAAAGAACAAAGCAAAGAATCGGGTAATTCAAAAGCAGTACTTGATATGGTAATCCATATTGCTGCGCGCGCCAGCCATCATCATTGGAAAGCCTGTAGCGCCAGTCGTGTATCATTATGGGTCCATGGTATTGAGCGTATCAATCATCAAATATTGTTGTCCGCCTCAATCGTGGATCATTGGATAGCCTATAGCGTGCGTTATTGAATAATCTGTAGTGTTGCGTGTGCCAGCTGTGATTCATCGAATCCATAGTGTTGCAAGTGCCATTCGTGGACTTATTTCTCCACTTGTGGGGTCTCCACCTCTGGAAAAGTATAGCCTATACATAGTAATAAAAGCGAGTACCAGCAATTAACATCTTTATGGAACATTGCGTGCGTATATGCGTGTTAAAGGAGAAAAAAACAATTATTGCGCATCCAAGATCTGGGTTATCCCACGAGACGTAGTCATGAGGCCATCGAATGCGCTTTAAAGGTTGGAACTGTGCACCCAAGATCTGGCTTTATCCCACGAGGCGTAGTCATGGGAGCTTCTGATGTCATAGTTCCTCGCAGCATCTAAGATCTGGGTTATCCCACGAGACGTAGTCATGAGGCCATCAGATGCCACTAATAAAAAAAAGAAAGAGGAAAAGGTGTTGGGAAAAAAACCATTTGGTTGCTACGTATCTTTTGAATTGCCATGGCGGATTAATGAGACAATAAAAAGGATCTTTGGTTGTTGCTTTTTTCCTCCCTGCTGCTGCTATTGAATCCCCAATTTTTGTCAAACTCAACCGGGGTGAAACAAGGTGATGCGCATGGTGACAGGAAAATGGGAATAAACTTATTACGGATACTACGTACTTGCTCGAGTCCAGCAAATCATGAGAGAGATGTATAATATGGAGTTATGTAACAAAGTGTTTAGCTGGGGCTGGGGTAATGTTACGGAATAGTGCACAAGTACCCCATGAACAGATAGAAAGATAGCATCACACGGTTTTTCCAACTACATATATCATACGCTTGTAGACGTCATATGAATGACGCAATCCACCTCGATTGCCTCTTTCTCAGACCTCTATACCTTTATACCATCTATAGTCCTTGAATATGAAAAATTCTCCACGCCATTTAATCGAATCAATCTCCCACCCACTAGTTTTATGGACAAGGTAATCTTGATCCTTAATGTAGGATAAACTATTTGTCACTGGTTCTCGCAGTGGAAAGCTAATGTCTTTACACTATTTTTTCAAAGTGTTTGCGACTTGTACGTACAACCACATGGGCTTTTCAAGGACCATGATTGACGCACACACACACACGCACACCAATATGGGCTATAATGTTCACGACTGGCATACACAGCACTATGGGCTATTCAGTGTTCACGGTCGGTACACACGACGCTATGCGCTAATCAATTCTTTGCAACTTGTACACACAGCAGTACGGACTAATTAACGATTCACGACTGGTATACAAACAATGCAGGCTATTTAAGATCTACGAATGGCACATGCAGCAATATGATATATCCCACGATTCGCGGTCAATACACAGAACACTACAATTATTCACGAATGGCACTTGCAACACTATGGATTCGATGAATCACAGCTGGCACACGCAACACTACAGATTATTCAATAACGCACGCTATAGGCTATCCAATGATCCACGATTGAGGCGGACAACAATATTTGATGATTGATACGCTCAATACCATGGACCCATAATGATACACGACTGGCGCTACAGGCTTTCCAATGATGATGGCTGGCGCGCGCAGCAATATGGATTACCATATCAAGTACTGCTTTTGAATTACCCGATTCTTTGCTTTGTTCTTTTCACGTAGCATTGTACCCAAGGCAACTGAGACCCTGTAATAGAAGGTAGTAACCGTGATTGCGATTATAAATAGATAAGAAAATTGTATCGACGTTACAAGCGCATGAACTAATGAATGTTCTTTGGAATAGCTATCACGTGTTTCCTGGTAGAGACAAACGAAAAAGGAGTACATTGTGTCAACCTCTAGAAAATCGTGGACAACTTTCGAAATGACATTGATTCTGACTGTCGCGTGGTGGACGTTAAATCTGTGAAAGCAAGTTGGATCCAAAACATCAGTAGAGCGGCCGAATCACTTGGACTTACTGTGGCAAGTGCCAACAACTTTTCATGCCTTTGCGTTTGAACTTTCTTTTTACAAAACAATATGCAGATAAAGCATGTACTAATTTATTTATATCTTCTAGGATAAAGCCAAAGAATCGTGGAAAACCATTGAACGACAACTAAAAGACACGCTTAATGCTATATCATCCAACAAAACACGAATACACGACCAGAACAAGAAGCAAACGCATTAGCATCACCAACACCAGCATCGTCCTCGTCGCCGGCGTCATCAAACTCATTGTCTTAAAACTTACAGCACCTGGTATTCCCATGTGGTTCCCCGCCATTGTGCTGAACAGGCCAAACAGGGCTTGACTGTGGAGATCGGGCGGGATCCGGTTCTTTCCTGTTGTGTGGCCGTAAGTTAGCTGACAAAGCCAACCTACAACATGGATTTGCAGCATTCAAAAGAAAGCATCAAGACGACTTTTGGATCTTGAATGCGACAAGAGAAAGAGGAAGAGAGCAATACATCCAACCACTTTCCGTAGAAATTCTACCAGTATGTAAAAATCTCTATTATAGATCGTTTGGCTAGGGTTTGTAGTTTCGAGTTTATCAGCTAACTTTGCCATCTCTCGGTCCTTCTCAATCTCTTATTGTCGATCTAGGCGATAGTAGCTGGTTACGAGTGCTTACCGAAGAAGAATTGGATGAATTGCGTGAGGCTGGTGATGCTTCAGATTTCTCGGCACCAAAAGAACTCGGAAGAAATCCTGAAATTGGTACGTATGAACAAGCAAACGAATAAACAACGTATACGTGGATAACCCATTAGAAAACCAAATGACTCCATATCCCATAGAAGGATAGCACCGAGCTATTCAATTGCGCAAGAAGCATCCCAATCGTCGATCCATCCAAAGAAACACTCAAAGTGTGGCTATCTATTGAACTTCAAAACATTGCCCAATTGTTTCTCTCAGTACATTGTAGCAATAAAGGCTACTCCAGTATGTATAATACCCCGTCAACATCAAGTCGCCTGCTTGTGATCAAACGTTTCAACGCCAGTAATCACTCTGAAAACCGGCTCATTCGATATTGGTACCATGATGGAAACAGACCAACTGTATCTAGTGTTTGGATTTCTTTCTTCTGTTGCTCGAGTTTCTGACATTGTGGTAAACGGGTAAGCTGATCGCAAATATATAGATAAAAGAAAGGTAACATGATAAGCTCACTGGTACTCTGTTTTTTAATAAAATTCAATAGTACCGAAGGATCGAGTGAAGCAAATGCAGATGCCTTAAACAACGGTCGTCAGCTATCATCTGTAAAACCAAGACGTGGTGATTTTATCTTTAAATCGCGCAAGTTGGAACTTGGTTGTACAAAAACCACTACTTGTTGGTCGACATTGCACAGATCAGAAGAAAGAAGGTCCAGCCTTCGATTAATGGTGATCCTTCCGCAGGTTCACCTACGGAAACCTTGCTACAGAAATTGGTGCTGCGATGCATCAGACGAAAGAAATGCGAGATAGTTTTCTCCTTTACTATTGCACAAGTGCCATATCGTCGGTTACAGTATTTTAGGTTTGTATTCTGTTTATCAGTAAGGGTTTACAGATTAATAATCATTATTAATACGTTCATTTGGGTGGCTCTGTCTCATTAATGGATGTTGACATCCCCAAGGGTTTCGTTACCAGAGTCAGGAGAACAGAACAGCTCGATTTTCCAGAAAATAACAAAACCTTGATAACGAGAATTCTGCCACTCTTGAATCTTGCTTGCGTGGGTAAAAAGATAATGGAAAAAACTCTTGATATCACTAGTAGTACCATGCGACCTCTATCATTATCGTCGCCGGGAAAAAATCATTGGTGCCTCCCTCCCAATTTCGTTCCATCACACAAAAATATGTATGTAATAACAATTGTCTTTATACTTACAATATTTTTAATAAAATAAATATACACCGAAAACCATCACAAAAACGACAACGCACTGACCAGCGAGACACCACTGAATGGACACCCATCTTTCAATTGACGCGGATATTATTACCTCTATTCACTCCAGTTTATAGCAATCTTCGTCTGCTTCTTTCATGTCAATAAATTCACTGTACTTTCTCATCTTCTCCAACTAAACAGCAGCTTCATCTATACTACCCATTACTGTATTACTATAAACAAACTATCAACCAAAAGATTACCTTCCTTTTGGATTCTTCTATAAATGAACATGTATACGACGAAGCCATGTCATACATAGAGATAGAAAGAACAGGTTGTGGCTATCTTGTTTCTCGGTAGTGATGCTGTTGGTGATGATAATGACGGATTGAGTCGAGGCATTTCTACTTTCTGCGTGATCACGTTATCTTGTGGGTGTAAATAGACAGATCAATGGATAAAACGTAACGCGATAAAAGAGAGCGTATACTACACAACACAAAAACAGTGCTATCTCCCATATATCATAATGGAAGCTACATCCCTTTCTCTGTTTGCGTTTGTGAGCTAACAACATCCATGTTTATCTCTGCTCATGCGATCCTGATTTTGGATACGGGTATGCACCTTTCTTAGCTTCCCGTGCTTTACCTACATTTTAACTTATCGATAAGGGCATTTTTATCATTATTGTATAATTTTGATAGGGTTATATTTCTGTCGATATCGATAATTATGGAATTTTCTTTCCGATCGTAGCCGGGTGGTGGGTTGGGGTGGCGGCGGCGGCGAAAGATTGCTGGTAGAATAAAACAAGGCCGGGCAATTACTATGTATCGATTATGCAAAGTAAAGGTCCAACCCCCCACCTCACAGAAACAGACTAATGCGCAAAACGAGAATTTGCTCGTTTGCCATCAACATATACACGCACACGCATATACACTGTCTCAAGTACCTGTTGCTGCTAAACCAAAATGAAAGAGCAAGAGTAGGAAGAATCTACGCACCACAAACACGACCTAGTTCCACCCCTGCTTCATTCCAGACCAACTTGTCACTATGATTTTACTAATAGTTGTTACTATGTTTCTCATGCATAGTGCGGGTCACTTTCTATTCCATCACTTATTATGCATTTCCGCTCCCCCCAAATCCATCATCGTACATTCTATTTAGCTATATTTGTCTCTCCTGGCTTACTCTACGGACGTGTGTAGAATAAGGCTATGTCTTAGGACATAAACAACATCTATCATGATGAACGATGCCATGTACCTAGTATGAATCATCAGCACCAGATCAAGAAGACAGAACGATCCAACTTTCAACATCACGCACAATATAACATTATACAATATAGTACACTAAAATGATTCGCGGTTTATTTCCTTCTGGTATAGCGCTGTTCTCCATGTATCTGTTTTCCCCCCGGGTTGGGGCTTTATCCTGACTTTTGTTCATTCACCTCCTGTTCCTCAAACTGATCTTGTTGAGTGATGACGCGAAGGACTGATTTCTTGCTGGATTCTTGAAGTTCGCCGGCGATCAGTAATTCATCCAAAATGAAATATGCCTTAAATCGAGCACGTTAGTTTCTTTTTTTTTAGCAAGAATCGACTTTATGTTCTGTCAACACTCCTTTGCCTTTTTTCTTTATAAAGTTACCTTTTGAAAGTTAAAGATCAAATCCAACTCGCATACCTGATAAGAAAAAGAGAGGATGCATGAATTTCATAGCAGTGACACTAATATCAAGTAACCGTGGTAAACTGTCTGCTTACGTTGCCAAAATAGCGATCCAAGATCTCGACATATCGATGTATAATTTCCAGTGTAATAAGTTCGTTGTCATCTTGATTGATACCACCGACAAAGAACAAACTTGCGTATCTATGTAGCATCATCAATATCTGAGGCTTTTGCTTCTGTATTCTTTCTTTCTCACCCGCCACTAAGCTAGATCTATACATATGCGACGTTCCAAATCATGTACTGCGACTATTACCTTCGATAAACGATCTTTTGGTCTAAATATATGCGAAACACCCAAACCCGGGGAAAAGAATTAGAAAAAGATGTAAAGATGTTTAAGAGCATCTCTCTCTCTGTATAGAAGTTCTAAATGTACCTTTATATTCCAGAAAGTTACACATTTTTACTCGTCTTGCTAGTACCATTTGTGTGGCATCTTTAACAATTTTGGCTTTTTCTTTGGGTGGGATGGTGACGAACCATTTCGTCAATCGAACTTTGCCTTGCCGGCTCACCAAGAGTAACCAATTTATCTATACATATTTCAATTTACATCACAGCATTAGCATAATCATATACACAAGAAAAAACTAAGCACACTTTTGCTTTTCTCGCACTCGACTATACACTCGAACTGAATCCGGATCGGTCACTTACAGCCATTATGCTTTCTTCGACAATACACCACAGTGGTATAAATTAGTCTGGTTTCCCGCTCACGAACGAAGCTCTGCTTTTTTTGAAACTCAATGATTGAAAATGGGAATCCTCTACTATTTACCTTGTCTGATAATGCCTGTGCTCTATGCATAAGGCTTCCCAAATCGAGGCTATCGAGATATATATGATCATCTTGGATCATAATAAATTACTGTGACCCAGTATCATACACTTCAACGGAGATAGATTCAAAGTGCTTTCTCAAAGTCTGGTATGTTTGACGTTGTATTGATTGCTAGTCTTGGCGTACAGTTTCTGTAATAGCCATTTTCTATCTCTTTTAAAAAAGCTTTTATGATGCTTAATGGCTTTAGTCATTGTTTTCTCTTCAATATATAGAGTGATGCTGTACATCGGTTAAAGTATAAAGGACTAATTCTGGCGACTCGAAGAAATACATTTCTATTCATAAGCGCGTTTATCTGTGAAAAAGCTCACCCGCTTTATTATGTCATTGAGATACACATTCCGATAATATGTCTGATAATATGATGAACACCCAAGTCTTATTAGATTGACTTCATGGCCAACCTCGGACGTAGTATGTCCGAAACCGGCTGGGAGGACTATTGCCCAAGAGCCTACAATGTCGACGCTCGAAGACGCTTTGACTTGTCTTGCCGTCTTCGAACGTTCAACATATTTCAGAAAACATGAATGACGTGTTTCCAAACTGGTCGTTTCGGTGCACAGGAGGACCGAGCTCACCCCCTGTGTTTTCTCGTATGTATTACATGTAATCAGAAATAATGTCTGTGTCTGTCGAAAACTTGAGCAGGCAGCGACTTGATGCGCTGAATATTGTATTGACAAGCTCAGTAATGGTGAATAGACTGATATACATACAAACATTGCTGTACTACCGGTTCGTCATTTGGCGGAATTTTGTAATCTTAAAGGCTGCTGAGCGATAATACAACAGAATGACAGCGAAAGAACAAGGTTGACAGAGGATGAAAAGCGATAATTATTATATTTTTGGCAAAAAGTTTACAAACAAGGTGCCAGCCTTTTTCTTTACAAATATGGTACACATCTTATGCCATCATCCCACCCATGAGGGTTTTGTGTTGTGTGTTGACGGGAGTTGCGGAGAGGGAATATATATGAGGGAGGAAAATATTTAGCAGAAGAGAGGGAGACCAAAGCCATAGGAGAAGGGATCTATTCATGCAAACGTCATTCGATTAGCGTCTCATATAGTATAGCTACAGCCAGCCCCTAGGGCGAATTGACACAACCATCACCCATTCATCTATCTGACCCCATCCACTCTTTCACCACAAGGAAAACTTACCGTTGAAGCGGAGGCCGAGTTCGAGCTTGCCAATGGCAGCGACCTCATCCTTGGACAAGGAGAAGGAGAAGATGTCCAAGTTGGACTTGGTGCGCTCGACGTTCATGGACTTGGGAATGACAGCGACGTTGCGCTCAAGGGACCAGCGCAACAAGACCTGGGCAGTGGACTTGCCGTGCTTTTCGGCGATCTCCTTGATGACGGGGTGGCCAAGCAAGGGCTCAGCGGTCTTGCCATCGTCAGTAAGCTGGATGAACGAGGCAGGGCCGAACGAGGAGTAGGCAGTGACTTGGATACCCTGCTTCTGAACCCATTCGACAAGGCGGGTCTGCTGGAGGTAAGGGTGGAGCTCGACTGTAAATGGTCATGGATAGTTCTCGGATGTTAGTAAAAGAACTCCGCGGCAACGACAACCCAGAAACGTGGCGCCTTTTTGCTACACACAGATGCACACACACCCCGCACAACAACAACAAAGGTCACTTACCCTGCAAGACGGCGGGCTTAATGTTGGCATAGGTCAACAAGTCCAAGATGAGCTGGACGTTGAAGTTGGAGATACCAATGTTCTTGGCAGCACCGGATTCGGCGATCTTTTCCATCTCGCGCCACAAGTCCTGGATAGGCGAGCGCTCAAACTCGATATCATCAGACTTGCCAGGCTGGTACCAGCCAGGAGGGTATGCGGCCTCAATAGCGACGTGCTTAAGAGGAACAGGGACTACAGACCGTAAGGATATGCTAAGTATCTCTGATACTCATTCATATGTACGCACACCTTCTAACTTGGGGAGAAGAGATAGAAACTTACAGTGGATAAGGTACAAATCAACGTAGTCCAAACCGAGATCCTTGAGCTGCTTCTCAAAAGTGGGGCGGACGTTCTCCTTGGCGTGGAAAGTGTTCCAGATCTTGGTGACAACTGTTAAGATGATGATTGAAATAAGTAAACCGCATTGTTTATTACCGTCACCAGAGCGTCTCACTTATCAGCATAAGAAAGGGGGCAGACTTACCAAAGAGCTCCTCACGCTTGACGACACCTTCGTTGATGGCCTTGTTGATACCACGACCAACCTCGATTTCGTTACCATAGTCACCAGCACCGTCAATCAATCTGACACCGGCCTTGATGGCGTTGTAGATGGTGTCTTCAGCATCTTGGGGATCAACCTTCCAGCAGCCGAAACCGACAAGGGGCATCTTGTCGCCAGTGCGGTTCAAAACAAGGTGTTGGGACATTTTTGTGTGGTTGTGTAGAGTAAGAAGAGGGAAAAGGATAAAGAAAAGAAAAAGATGGCCCGAGTCTCGCTCGAAAACCACGTCTTTTATATTCCTTCCCAACCTCGTCCTGATCCTCTCTCTAGCTTGCCTTTTCTGCGGGGTGAGAACTAGATGAGGGCACGCGCGTCATACCCCATTGCCTTATTGCGGCTGGGCGGGAGATCTGGAAAAAGTAAAATGGTTGGCCGGAAAATTAAAGGATTGGACTGCTGGCATAAACAAGAGGTACCGCATAACTCCTTATGGAGTAAACTTCGTCCTTGGGGTTCTCCGCGCAATTCAGCTTATATACCGCCACACTTCCGCGCTAGATACTTTCTCCATTCCTCTGACCTATTGTATCTGAGCGCTTTTGGACTTTTCTCATATAGGTGAGGTTCTGCTATATTGCCCTCGATAAGCATCGTCCGTCCAGTTGGTCTTGTAACATCTGATGTCTCTCCTCTTCAGCTACAAAGATGAACTTGTTCCATATCCAATTTTGTTGAAATGGGTGTGGCTCGGGCATATTGCCCAATGGAGCAATTGACTTTAGCAGATTTACGGATTTTCACAGCAACAATATTACAGGCCATCATGTTCCATTTTCCCCACTCCCCGTGTTCTTCTTGGGGGGTGGAAAAGGACACGCGACCATCCATTTATGATCCGCAGACACCGAAAAAGAAACAAGCCGACGACGTCTGTTTGTGTTTTTTGTATTTTGCAATTGTTTATGCATTTGCTAGAGAAATTGGGTAAGCAGTCCGTGCACGACTTTCACTCACATCGAAGCTGATACTACCGCCCCTCCCCACGTTATTCACAGTGCGCTTCTCTGTTGTTGCTGTTTGTCACGCATGTCACAACTTCTTTTTCCTTTTATTTTTTTTATTCGGGGAAACGATCCTTTTTCGCGGAGAGAGAAGTTCCAGAGTTGCCATCATCGGCGCATAAAAATTTCAAATTTATTATCCGATTGGAGGGAAAGTTCTCAGCATTTTAAAGGGTCGACTTCTGTGATGCGGGTTAAAGCGGCATCTCCTCTCAACACTTTTACACCCCACACAATTCAACAGTATGACGGCAAAGGGTGCAGCCGCACCATAACTTGCGGGGTTGGTCTGTGTTCCCGCCGCCGTTATGTGATAACAGGCCCACATGTACTGTTTGTCCAGCTTACGATGATATTATACAGAACAACGATACTATGAAAGTGAGTGTCAACAAAGTGTTGGTGAAGAGGTGGGGACAGCATGCTAGGTCACAATGCTTTGGGTGTATTACATAAAACCCGATGGTAACCACTGTAACCTTAATTTAATGCACGCATGGTCGGTTTCTTTTGCTGCTATATACAAACATGTCAAACATCTTGCTTTTTATCCAACAAGACGATTAAAGTGTTCACTCATATCGCCGACCGTTATTTCGCTAATATCTACAAAGCTTTTTTCTCTCTTTTATAAAATTACCACCACAACACTATGAATGCTAGCACAATTGACAAAGAATACAAGCAATGGCTGGTTATCCGGTCGTATGAAATATGTGCGAGCGCTTGTATTTAGTGTAACACTGCCATGACGGTAACACATCGATCTGGTTCCTGAAGAAAGGAAAGATTTTCGAGATTTCAAAGGCATACATATAGAAGTTAACGCGTTTCGTTTGAGCTCATCAGCATATACACGCATGATCTTACCTGTATGCAAAATATACCGTCTGGAATTTATCCCCTACTATGCTTCCAATCGTGGTTATGATTATGCATACCTCTGAGTATACTGTGGCATATTTTTACGTTGAGCGCAAGGAAAGGACCCAGAGCCCAGGTAAAAAAAAGAGGTAGAAAAAAAAGAGCCGGACACTCTGGCCTTGTACCACTAAACATTACCAGTGATTGCTGCGCTGACCTTGAGCTGCTCTGGGTAACAAGGAACTGGAGCTCAAACTTAGAGATGTTACCAAATGTTTTCGTCTCAAAGACATCGCTGTAGTCGATAATCAAGAAAGAGAACGGGAACAAAATCATCTTTTGAAGCGAGAATGATTGAAAACTAAGTTGTTAGATGAGAACCACTGGTTTTTGCTAAAAGATATATCTGCCATGATCATTTAATAGATAAGGCCACTAAAGAGCAATATTCTTCTTGTTTTCTATCATCTTCACACAAACCTGATGTTTATGAATCTTCTTTTGTCTCGAAGATTGTCTTCCGTTACATATGCTTACACGTGCACAAAAGAGATTTATGCATCAGTGTAGAGCTTTGCTTATTACAAGATCAAAGTGCTGGTGTCGGGCGCGTTTCTCTGCAGACTACAGCCTACAATTAATATTCGCTGAGTTGTGCTACCATGCCCACAGACTAAGTATATATAGTCATGACAATCAGCCGTCTCACGATGCTCGTATCCACCAGTTTTAGCACTGTCTATTTTTAAAACACTTACATGCAGTATATTACTTATTTGTATGCTAAACGATGTGTTCTACACGTCCACGATATTTTATATGTCTCGCTGATATGGAGACTAGTTTCTTAGCTACCATCCTCGTCTTCATTTCCAGATCTACTTTGATCTGACCGAGGTTTTGTACATTGGTGAAACAAGCAGAAGATGTTGGCATTTATATAAGTTGACTGCATCAAAGCAAGAGTCGCAGGCCAGCTGACATCTTTATTTTGTCTGTTTCGGACCAGGACACGGCCCAGAAACATGTTGGATTGGATTGCAAGGATATAGGGCTGGGCAGACAACCCAAAACAAGGGGACCAAAAGCGCGCTAGCTATTGCAATGCAGACGTCCGCCAATACTAGATAAATTCAGAGCTCAGAAATTTACCTAGATCGACACAATCGCTCGCTGTGCAATTCTCAGCGTTTAAAGGAAACTAATATTTTGTTTGTGTGTCCATGGATGTTTCTTTTTTCAGTCTCTCTTTTCATAGCTGTCAAAAAAATGTATCGTTAAAGATGGTTCCTGATACAATGAAACATCGAGCACGTAGAGGAGTACAAACGTTTACTGATAGTTGATAGTTACGAAACGAGTAGTTAAGCTTCCGCTGCCTCGCATTCTTTCCACTACTTGTCACAAATGCTTACCTTACTAGCATGATTTCAGCTAGCCCGTGTTTGCCAGCACGGCAGCTCAATACACATTACAGTATACAACAATTTTTACAAACGCCTCAATTCGCTAAACTACTTTAACAGCTTACTAACCTCTACACTTACGTCGACACCGCCAAAACTCTTTTTCGACCAGCTGGAAGAACTCACTATTACCCTTGATTACAATGACGTTCACCTGCTGGAAAGCAGCTACCTTGGCTCTAGTCCTTGGTATAGTGTTAGTGAACACATGATCGTGAGTTTTTCCTTTTTTTTCTTTATAACACTCTTCCAAAAATATGTAAAATGAGAGGGAGAGAAATTTCCGTTGAGTTCCTTTACGACAGCCTTTCCAAGCTTTTTCGAAATGTCACCCAGAACAGCGCCGGCTAGGTCTTTGATATTTGCCACAGTATAAGCCAGTATCTGCGCGCGGGAGATGGTTTATGATGTGGTCGACGGCCTGATTGTTGGGCGGTAGGTTTGGTATCTGGACAAATGCATCCGTGGTCCTTAATTTTTGGACGGAGCAAGGGGTAGTAGGAGAAATGTTCTCCTTTAGCTTCTTTGAGCCGACAGCGACAATCCTCAAGTGGATGTGACTATAGCCAGTGCATACGCCATTTGTTTAGGTGGTGACAGTCTCGGGAGGATGCTGGCAGGTATAAGAAGGGCTAAGCTATGCGGGCGGTTTGAAAGCAACTGATCGATTGCATTTACTGGCGCGGGTGGCCTGATTGTCCTCATTACAGGTTCGTCTGTAGTGTCACCTCCATGTTTTACTCTATATAAAGGTTGGAACACTGGGTTGTACGATGTTAGGCTTTTCCATTGTTTGTCGCGATCTTTGAGTTATAAGAGTCTCAGCTCCACCGAGCGAGGATATAGTTGGCACTGGTTGTTCATGGAGACGGACAACAAACTTGGGTTGAAGTATACGTGATCGCAGTTGCGTTAATGGGAGATCAGCAAGGACTGTAGGAGCAATCGTCGGAAACTGTGTCTTGTTATTGCTGTTTAACGCCATTTAAATACAACCTTTCTGTGCGTTGTGCAATTTCTTTAGTTGCTTAGATGACAAAGCTGTAATGGCTAGTCCATATTACAGTATCGCACGGACAAAGATACGGTACGGAAGCAGCGCTGTCTCGATTCCGAGCCCATACTGGTGGATAATAAGCTGGCGGAGCAGCGCCAGTTGCTTTATGGTGCGCTGATTCACCAGCAGATCAGTATCAATTCCATTATGGTTGAATGATATTCCAAAGATATTGGAAGTCCCTCACTTTCATCATTGTGGTGTTGTAGAGCTGGTAGGACATAACAGTTATATATGATGATGGTGGTTCAATAATTATACACTTGTCGGGATGCCAATGATGTTCAAGGTCGAGAGAGTGTCGTTAAGCAACACGAAACAGTCGGGGCATATTCTCAGGAGATCCAACCAGGGCGGCATCATCCGCGTATGGAAGAGTTAAGACTATGATTTAATTGGTATCTGGACGATGCTTCTCAGGGCGGTCATTATTTTTCACCTGTGTATAGCTGCTTTTGAGCTTTTGCCTCGGGTTTGTAACGGCTTGTGACAGTGAGTATACAGGCGCTGCGGTAGGTGTCGATGTATACTAGCAACATCGGATGTGTTTCTTCCTCATCTTCCTGTGACTCAAGTCAGTTTAAGATCGACAAAAAAGCAGAATATAAAATGTGATATGGAAGTATAGTTTATCCGTAATATGTACAATAATGTAATATTGGTACGATGACATGTCCGGCTTTGTATTGTTGAATTATAAATCCGTCGAGGAGATAATTTAGTAAAAAGCCTCCTCATTATATATACGCCCTTTATGAAGGAAGAATAGATATCGCTAACCGGTTCCAAATTTAGAGCACATATTGGGTGAAGTAATATACATGCGACAGCCCAAGATAAACCGTTTTTTTATGGTTTTACGTCTATTTCTATAAAATTATTCACCTTACAATCTGATGAGTACTTTACTTCGTCGAACGTCCGTTGTGCTCTAGATGGTCAAGAGGATAAGAAGATGTCGCGGTTATAATTAGGTTTGAAGGGAGATAAAAATAAAGGTAAAAAATACAACAGACGACCATCAATAATATTAAAAAAGGCCAAAGCATGAATAAATGAGATCCATAGACTAGCGTACATTGTCCGTGTACCTTTTTTATCCTTTGTGCTTACAAGTTACTACACCAATCGCAGTAACACTTTTTTAAAAATTTACATAGCACTACTAATCTGCTCACTCCTTCCATGATTATTCATCAACTTTCTTCAGACTTATAATCATAGTAGTAATTTTGGTATTGTATATTTTATTGATTTTTAGAAGTTGATCAAAATTTATGAATACTTTGGGTCAACAAACGCATTAAAGATAATCAATTAACTTCCTTTTTTTAACAGACAGTATATCCCATGCCCCAGGGATAATCCCCTCCCGTTGAATACGCCGTTCACTCTCACTACTACGGCGGAGGGGCCGGTTGCTGTACTTACTAGATAATCGTTAAGAAGTGCCACTCAAAAGACTCAAGTAGTGCTGTCAATTCAGCTAAACCACAAAGGATCTGTCCTTAGGGAATCTCCCCCTGCCAAATACCTCTACTACAATGCTTTTGACTACGCAGTGTTTGAGTTAGGTTCTCCCGTCATATTAAGAGGACTCACCTGGTTGCGCCAGAGATAGCTCAGGTGGACGAACGATTAACCTACATACTCTTTTCCATCCTTTTTCTCTTATCACCTGGCTATGATATTTCCAGCAAAAGGTTTCGTAGCAGAACTAACCGGTGTGATAAGCGTGGGCTGGTAATAATAGTAAAAGAAAACAGAACAAATAAACGAGAAAGTAAAAGACAGTATGAGATACCGTGAGAGTCAAACTGACATGAGTTTTTTTTGAATGAGTTTCACAACCCTATATATACGGTTGGAGATGCTGCCTAGACTTTCCTTTGCATGAACTGATGGATGAACTGCCGACATGCCGGATATTGGATCTTCCCAAGATAAGAAAGGACGAGGAAGGTGGGGTTTGGATGCCATTATGATGGATGTTATCTTCCGAATGTAACAAGCTGCCTTTGCCTTGATCAGTGTGTTCCTTGATGCAGTGTCACCTTTGTCTGTGTTGGAACTCATTCATGCTCTTTGACAGGCACAATCCACTCATCTCAGATATCTACATCGAAAGAAAGTAGCGACTAAATCGAGAATAGAAAAATGCGTACAATGGTTGGTTTTGAGTTATTCATGATTGTGATCCATGTTTGAGGGATTATTGACATGGCGCTGCTCATGTATTATCTATACTGGCTCATCCGTGCGTGTGGCGTTCCTTCTACTTCATTATAGCAGCTACGAAGACAGCGGAGTGGGTTAAGTTGTCTGGATTAATCTCGAAATAGTGTCGTTTACCACAACCGGCATTCGATAATTCAGTTTTGGCAATTAAAACACTTGGGATGCAAAAACAATTGCACCACTAACAGAATACTGGCGTGCTACTATCCGTTGACACCAAACCATTACATCAGTAGTGTATATATGATAACCAGACAGGATTCGACAGCATCGTAATTGTATAAAATTATATCATTGTATCATACATCAATCGTCGCTGTAGTAGTTTGCTAGAATCAAAGCATATAAATATCCCACTCCAGCACAAGCAATAAAGGGCATCTTTCAACAATCCTCTAGCCTTTCATTTCCCTTTGGCTACGGATTCACTCGTCAAAAGCGTCTCGACAAAGGATTCGACGAAAAAAAAAATCGAAAAAATAAAAAGTCAAAAAGATAACCCACCATATGGTGTTTACAAATATGAAGAGAGTGGGATTCGAACCCACGCCTCCGAAGAGATCAGGGCCTTAACCTGACGCCTTAGACCAACTCGGCCATCTCTCCACGCTTCTTCCACTCTCTATTACTTACTTGTGACGTTACATAAACGTTATCCCTTCTTACTTTTATTTTTTAAAAAAATCAAAAAAATACCACAAACAACCGTAAAAAATACAACAACCTTACCAGGGCAACCAGAACCGTCCATAGCATCGCCTCCCATCGAAATCCCGGTTGAAAGTAGACATTCACGCATCGCCATTTCACCCATTAGAGATTTGGACTCATCTCAGGTAATTAACAGCCCATCTACCCACAAAAGAAGGCCATCAGCCATCCCGGCCTATACGTCACGCGTCCCCACCACTAAGAAACACCATATCTCTGCGTTACATGCCACTTTGACACCTGGTAGTGATCAAACAATGGGTGTAACAAAACAACAACTAGCACCTTCAGCTACTTCAAGAGGAAAACCTGAGTCTAGTGCTCAGAAAAAGACCCCACTGGACAAAAATTTCATTAAAATTATGCAACAGAACTTTATGTATGGTAAACCATTCATTGTGTGCCCCAGCTTGGGGTCGCAATTGGACGGGTCGGGTCGGGTCAAGGGTCTGACCCGTTGACCTGTGGGTCAAGAAAAAACTGACCTGACCTAACCCGTTCAACCCGATGGGTCAAAACTCGGGTTGATGGGTCAAGACTGATTTCAATGTAGTGATGAAGGAAGTGTCAATCAGCCTGAACTTGAGCGCTGGAAGTGCAAAACTTTATATATATATAGCTCTCTAAGATGATGGCACGCAAATTCCTAGCAGTGCTAGCAACATCTACGTTTTGAGTGATTATTCTTAAAGGTAAAGGGTTCTGTGCCATCACAAAAGAAATCGCTTGGGCTCACATGCTTCAAAGAAAGCATAATATTTAAAGTGTGGTTGAAAATCGACTTCCCTATATGCCCCTTATCCTTTTCCCTTTTCCCTTTTCTTTTCACTTCTTTCTTCGAGGGGTGAGTCTTAGCAAAATGATTTTAGTAAAATGATTGTTGTTAGCTAAAAAATTATAAGTAATATAATTTTTAAATAATTATAATAAATGATGAAATTTATTTTTTGTTAAAAAAATAATTTCTCAAACCCTAAATAATTCTTAGCTAAGATGATTATTCTCAATCATTAAGTTTAAATCACTTTAAGTGGCGCAACAGTAGTGAGCAAATCCCTTCTCTAGCCAAGGTACACTTGGACGAAGGCTAGCTTGACTGTGAGAGCGTGAGAGGCATAACTAAAATTAATTTACTGTTTACAGTAAAATCAATTGTTATGGATTGAGCCTCTTCTTCCTTCGATTTTCTTTTCTCAATTCCTTTTCTGTCTTTTGTTAAATCGCATCTCTTACTGCCACCCTCTATTGTATATTCTTATTGCACTATTGCTACTTCTTTACTCCTATCATATATATTGCTTATAGCTTACTTATCCCATACTGTTGAATATAAAGTATAATCCCACAATAAAAAGAATTAAGTACGTTTTATGCTATAGTTCTATAGCAGACATATTGACAACTAATTATGTTTCCCAACAAGAAGATTGACTACTTAAATATAAGTACCTCATACATATTATATGTATACACGGGTCACGACGGGTCAACAGGTTGGGTCAATGGTTGGACGGGTCGACCCGTGGGTCAGAGAAGCATCAACCAGACCCGTTGACCCGTCCTCAACCCGCGGGTTGGTTTTGACCCGCGGGTCAAATTGCGACCCCTAGCCCCAGCTGCAAAGATGTTGGTACGATTAATCTGTCTGCTGATACTAATCCGAAATATGATCCACCTGGACCTATTTTCCATTGCAAAGAGTGCAGAAAACAATATGCCCATATGGGTATATTAGAGGCTATTACTGTCAGATGGAGAAGCATCTGCTTTGAATTTTAAGCCAAGGGCAAAAATTACACAGCCACCAGGTAATAATAGAAAAAACCAAAAAAAGCGCACCCAACTTGACCTTGATTCGGAAATGGAAACTGAACAGGAGGAAGCACAACAACATTATTTGGTAATGAATAATACTAGTGATAATAATAACAATATTGCTACTACTTACCAAAACGCAACTAACCAACAATCTTGGGCTGATCAAATGGAACAGTTATCTGTTCCTCAAGAGGAGTACGACACTAACCGTTATGATCATTTACATCCTAACACCCCTGAATTTGTTCGCGATTTACATAAACGTATGGATGAAACGAACAAAATGGTCGCACAACTAGCAGAAGCTCTTGCTGAAAACACAAAATTGGTAAGAGAAAATATGAATCTAGCTCAAGAGCTCCAGGCAGCAAAAAACCAAATTGCACAACTGCAACAGCACCAACAACATCTACTAAGAATTCTCACAAAGGAGGATTCAACTGACAAACCAACTGGATCGATTGCATCTAAATATGCGACCACAGCCACTACTAGGGTTCGCAATTGAACGGGTCGGGTCAGGTTGGGTCAGTGTTTTCTTGACCCACAGGTCAACGGGTCAGACCCTTGACCCGACCCGACCCGTCCAATTGCGACCCCTACACATTACCATTGTCACTGATATTTGAAGTTATAAGCGAGCCTGTGAAAAAGTGATTATGTAAAACGAAGATTGTCGCTGTTTCTTCCACACGAGACACATAGCTGCTTTTAAGAAGTCGTCTGTACCATAGAACGAGGGATAGCAGACAAAAATCTGAATTGTACATACAATGAGCTGCTATTTCAATGTAAGGCCCTTTCAAACGAAACTGTAGCTGTTAATCCTATTACGTGCTGCTACTCGAGACTAGTCGTACTCAAAAGCAGAGTATTTGTGGACAACGATAAGAAATAGATCAGGATCAATCGAACTACTGTCTGTTAGTAACAAAACTTTATTGTAGTGGTCGAGAAAAAAATAGGGATATATATATATATAAAGATATAAAAGTTCTATACCGTTCAATCTAAACAAGGCCCTTATAGTAAAATGCTTACAGCAGTCTAAAGATAACTTCCACAAAAAGCATGCAAAATGGTGTATTTTCGCCACACGTTCTCCAAAAAGTAGGGTGTAAACATGTTGAACGGATTGGCGTGCCACAGCTCCCAGTATGCGAACCCATTCAGGAACAGAGGGAATGTACGAAAAGCGAACCAAATCACCCAGATCCGCTTCAAGGTATCTGCAAGTACACCCGTTTGCACTTTGAGGTAAGGCTGCACAGCTCGTTCCAGGATAACCGCCATGCCGTGCAAGGTGAAAAACAAACACTCTTGGCCAATCAATTCATTCCAATAAGCGCGAACGCCCGAGCCACATAAAATCAAGTATTCGTGCATGAGACCGGACACAAAAAAGACTGCGAGTGTGGCTAGCGCGAGACTGGCTTGGCTGCTCTGTTGCTGCTTCTTCTCTGGATTGCTGTTGTTGGTGTTGTTTTTTAAAAGTAGAAGAACGGGTCGGAAAGGGATAGCAAGCCAAATGCATCGAAAAAGTTGGTGCCAGCGATAGTTCCAAAAGTCATTGTACGACGTTGCAAGAATTGGATGGGACATCAGTAATCGCCATTCGTCTATTGGTTTTTTTTTGGGTATAGTGAGTGGAAGCGAGCGTAACATATGTGAATCGTAATATACCAAGTATCGCATTATTTACCCGGATCATAGTATCCACCACCATAGGTAAGGACGTATATCAGTTGCAAAATATACCCCAAGCCATTAATTACGAACGTCAACACCACCACGGCGAAAACGAAAAACACGAAAAACAAGCCTGGACGCTTTTCTTGGATATCAAAGGCATCTTGACCCGAGAATGTAGCATACCACGAAGCAGCAAAATTGGCTACCAGCATAGTAAGCAGCATGGGTGGGATCAGGCGGTACCAGGGTCGCAAGTTCTTTGCAAGCATACACGTGGGAAAAAGGGGATAAGCAATGTCAATTTTCATATGCAACTTGTACGTGTCAATGTGTCTGTGCACTTGTGTACCTACCTTATTTCTAACGTCATCCTTGACAGTGTCACCCCCGCCGCTCTTATCTGTTCCCTTTTCTTTTGGTTCCAAAGGGAACCGACGAAGGCACGACCACATGTCCTTGTGTAGCTTTTTGGGATCGATATAAGCTTCTCGATTTTGCAGTGCTGGAGCCACATAGACTGCCTCAACACATCGGAGTGCCGTATTGAATAAAAATAGACCCGCAATCACCGTAAGCGCTTGTCATACAAAAAAGAAATTAAACATAAACAACAACAACAAAAACCATGGACCTATTGCTATACCTATTTTTCAAAAAGGATTTATACAGTAAAGTTATTCCTACTACCTCTATGACCACCGGCTAGAATTATGGGAATGAGCAGTTGGATGGCAAGCATTGGAATGGACACAATCTGTTTTGTTCTTGTTGACACTTTTTCACAAGGCGTCAAGACAAGTTTCCACTGCAACATGCCAGCCACTGTGACAATGCCGAGGAAAGCCGGAGTAGGAAGAGCGATACGATCGTCACCACTTTTCAGTGCATTTACAATCGTCGCCAATTCCATTCTCGGGGAGATATATGACAAGCCGGCAAAAAATAAATTAGTATGGAAGAGTAAAGGGGAAAAACGGGAAAACCAAGTCGGTGTATGCAGCAAGGAAAAAGAAGACGGTCTTTGCACACCCTACAGTTAATAGATGCACAACAACAGAGTTTGTCCAACAAGCTACTAACTATGATGCTGGATGCTTAATGGGTATTATATTAAGCTATCGTCCGTGGGCCGTTTCCATATATCGCCCAGTAGTACCATCAGTTAACTTATATCTTGGCAGCGACTAGTTTGGTCACCAGGGTAAAAGGAAGTTGCATGATTTTACTGAGGAGACCACTCCTGAAGTACACAATGAAATACTGGAACGTTGAAGCAGCGAATAGTACATATTATACTGACGACTTGTATTTCAAAAGATGACATCTGTGTGGCTCCTACATTATCTTCCTAACATTTGACGTCTTCTTCCTCTTCTTCCGACGTGAAAGGCACTTTGAAATATCGTCGTTGTTGTCGGCACACGTTAGAGCTCAGCGGCATTACCAATAAAGCTTCGGGTTCTCATTTTATCCGATAGTTACGACAACCCTTCTTTCTATTTCCCCCAAATCATATGCGATTTTATGAATCGCCAAAGTTCAAAACTACGTAAGACATTAGCCTCTTCTTTCCGTATATACGCTGACATACTTATTGTATATTTTTACCGGTTTTCCCGTGGTATATACGCCGTATTATTACTTTTTGAACTTTAAAGATTAAGCGAGCAGGAATGCACAGCTGAATTAGCAGGAATTCTCGAAACATCGCCCAAAGTCGCTCGATTACTTCAGGGCATTTTTACACTTAATCCTCGAGCGCTTAAACGGGGAGTCACTTGTAGACCATGTCATGGCACCGAACAATCGGTAGGCATTCTTTGTTTTTTGTGTGTGCCAGGAATACAAAGTGGGGGCAGTAACAAAAGTATTTATTTTATACCAGTCAAGAATGGGTTATTATGACGGACGATATAAACGGTTAGCACTGAATTTATTTAATTGACACTATTTACGACAAAATTAACTCATGCCCGATGAACGCAGTGTCGTGTTATGTTGTGACAACATTCGATCCAAGCAACAACAGGAGGAGACGCTCGTACATGAGTTAGTGCACGCTTTTGATGCTAGCCGGACAGGTCGTTTTACTAGCATGTGTCATGTCGTTGCCTGTGGCGAGATAAGAGCGTCCGCGATAGGTAATCTTTTCTTTTTTCTTTTGGTGTTTTGTGCGCAATTGCTTACTACTAGTGGTTTGATTGCGTCTTCATTCAATGCTTATGTATAATATAGGACAGTGCCATGATATAAAGTCCCCATCACGAAAACGAGAATGCATTTGGGAAGACGCTGTTCGATCCACAGCCATCCATTGTGGCGGCAAGGATTTCGCCACGGTGTTCGTCCAGCAAGTGTTTGAGAATTGCGTTAAGGATACTGCACCTTTCATCCAGCCGAGGGCAGCGACTCATCAGCAAAAGCAGCAGCAGCAATAACAATACAGCGGCACATCCTCCCTTCACAACAACAACAACAACAACAGCAACAAAGAGCATCGTCGTATAAATTGATCTCAATTAAAAGGTCATCCTCCCACCCAGCAACAACCGTTCGTTTTACATAGATTTAATGGTACCATATTAGACAGTGTACTTTAGCTTGCGATAACTACACAGGAATGAGTGCATTTTTTAATTTACAAACGGCTCAAGCCCGCTTTATCGATAAACGCTCCCTTTTGCAACAATGCGCGGATCTGAGTTTGAGGAACGCCAAACTGGCTCAAGACTTCCATGGTATGGGTACCGGGCGCCAGGAACGGATCCTCTGCATCGTGTCTGGCTTCTTTGGCGGGTGTGCGGGAAAGGATGGGGGCTGGCTGGGGTGGAACCGCCTTGCGCGGCCATTGCTTCTCGGGCGTGGCTACCATGGAGACATTTGGAATCTCTTCTCTAAACGACAGCACAGGAGCAACGCATGCATCGGTGCCATCAAAGATTTCTGTCCATACCGCCTGGGTCTTGGTAGCGAATACCTTGGCAAACGTTCCCTTCATGCTTTCCCATTGATCGCGGTCGTGCTGGTCAGGGAGATCCTTGGGATCAAGACCGAGTCCTTTCAAAAACTGTGCATAAAACTGAGGCTCGATTGCGCCGCTGGATAGGTTGTTTTAGAAGAAGATGCGTGCGTATATGATTATAATTTCATGAGTGACTTACACAGACATGTAGCGGTCATCCTTTGTCTTGTACACCTCGTAGAATGGAGCACCACTATCGAGCATGTTGGTACCTCTTTCGTCGGCAAAGTTCAATTTGTATTTCTGCATCAAGTAAGGGAATGTTGTCAAGTACGACGTGCCGCTGGTCTATGTTATGTAAAATGTGGGGTAGCAAAAAAAAAAAAAACCATTTAGTGAAATCATCACATGAAAATACCGCATTATGCAGAAGTACAAAAAAAAGGGGTGGTGGGGCTGGACATAGACGAGAGCAAATGCAATAAGTAAAAGGGGGACTACACATACCAAGTTGGCATCGATCACTTGGCCTTGACCCGACCGTGAGCGTTCGATCAGAGCCATCAGAATACCCAAGGCACACATGAGCCCGCCTCCAGCAAAGTCGGCTAAGTCATCATGTAACGTGAGAATTTCTGACTAATAAAATCAAAGAAAACTGCATGGCCTTACAATTTCTTACCAAGCACATTCATAGGGAACATCGGCTTTTCACCGCGTCGGCCAATCATCTGTGTATCTCAAAGAGAAAAGTAAGCTATCGTTTTTTCTCCACACAGCTAGTCAGCATATTCCCTACCCCTAAAACGCCCGCAACAGAAAGGTAATTGATATCATGGCCAGCGGCTTCAGAAGCAGGGCCCGACTGTCCGAATCCACTCAAACGAGCAATGATCAGTCGCGGGTTTTCTTTCAAGAGCACGTCAGGTCCAAGGCCCATCTTTTCCAACACGCCAGGACGGAACGGATCCAGCAGCACATCGGCTTGTTTCAACAGTTGACGAATGACCGGTACGGCTGAAGGATCTTTCATGTTGACAGAAATCGAACGCTTGTTTCTTGTGTTCGTGTTTGTTGGTCAGATTTTGAATTCAATGGACGTTTGTTTTCTATAATGGGCCGCAAGCATAGCACACACACACACACACACTCTCTCTCTCTCTCTCTCTCTCACCTGGCAAGGATATCCGTGCTGATGGATTTGGGTCTGTCGATGCGAATAACGTCGGCACCAAAGTCAGAAAGAATCATGCCTGCATAAGGTGCAGGGGCGAGACCGCCCATTTCAAACACAACAAGACCGGACAAAGGACGTGACATTGGCTATTGGTTAGTGGGTTAGGATGTATATGTGAGAAAGGAACACGAAGAAGTTTAAAAAGAAAAAGAAGCGAAGAAACAAACAAGAAGCGAGAGAGGACTTGACGCTCGCTTTGTGGTTGCTGCTGGAAATCAACTCAAATTGCATTTTTACTTTTTAGGCAGGTGACGCAGAGAAAAAGAGAGAGAGGCAAGTTTCTTTTCTTTTTTTTTACCAGCCATTTTGAATTCTTCCGTTTTTCTTTTTCCCTCTCTTTTCCCTCTCTCTTCTTGCCCCCGTAAAGTTTTCTAATGTCAGGGAGGCAGACAAAGGCAACCCAAGAGCGCCATGAGCGCATGCTTTTGGAGCTCTTAAAGTTACCAGGCAACGACCGGTGTGCTGATTGTCCATCAAAGAGTAAAGAATAACTCTCTTTCTCTCATCTTGCATCCCCCGAAATAATCTAAAATCCCGGGTTGTTGTTGTCCTCAAACACTAATGATGATATTGTAAACTTTGATAGATCCTCGATGGGCATCGTACTCGCTTGGCATCTTTTTGTGTATTCGTTGTGCAGGTCTCCATCGCAAGATGGGAACGCACATTTCTCGAGTAAAGTCGGTAACAATGGACCAATGGACACCTGAACAAATAGATGTAAGTACTTTTCCTCCCAAGGAGAGGGCGATGCAATATACTTGTTGAACATACGAAGGAGAAAACTCACTTTATTTGCTTTGGGGGTACTGGGCTTGGTTCGCGCGGGTTTGAAACAGATGATTAGAAAGGCAGGTGGCAACGACAACGTGAACAGTAAAATCAATCCACATCCCGACAGACATCCATTGCCGCTCGCTGATGATGATGGCGACCGGTAAGCTTCCTCCCTCGATGGGGTAGTCGATGGGATACAGGGCTGAGGTTATTCATCATCAATCGATTTACTTTAGTGTCATGGAGCGATATGTACGCAACAAATGGGAAAAGCGTGCATTCATGGCCGAACCTCCCAAGGTAGAGAGTAGTGTCCCTTGTTTCATGTGGGGGGGGGAGGGAGGGAGGGATCTATCTATCTATCAATTAATACTAAAAATACCCACTGATGTATAAACTTTATTATAATTACCAGCCACCCCGGCCGACAGCACCATCGACCCACAATGCAAATTTGCAAGCCCCACAAAGCAACAGCAACTTTCCTAAACGCTCCTCATCTGTGCCTGTTCTTGTCTCGACGACCGAGGAATATCCTACCGAAATGGCACGTCTGTGTGAGATGGGCTTTAAGGACGACCAACGCAACCGTCAAGTTTTAAAACACACACAGGGCCGCATCGACGCAGCAGTGGATATCTTGTCTCGATTGCCCGGTGCACCCCAGTCACCCGCCAAGCCTGTGTTCTTGACGAACGAACAAAAGATGCAACGGCTCAGTGAAATGGGGTATTCGGATATTCCAGAGAACCGCGACGCCTTGCGACGATCCGGCGGTAACCTGGAAGTCGCTGTTGGGATTCTTCAGAATGCACGAAAACCAGCAGCACAAGACAACAGCGTGGCTACTACGAAACCAGAACCATTGTCCGCATTTAGTAGCACTACATCGAATCAGCAGAATGAGCCTGCCGGCCGGGCTCAAAACTCGAGCGAAAGACAGAACCATACCTTGTCTGGATTGAAGACAGCGGATCTTTTGAATCTTTTGGATGACGGTAGTAGTAATAAGCCTGCTGCCACAGCTAGCAACCCTTTCCATCAACCGGCAGCAACTCCCATGCAACAACAACAGCAACAGCCATCTTATTTTGCCACAAGCACAGCAACAAATCCATTTGGTTTCATCAACAACAATGCGTCCATGGCAGCACCAGTTCCTTCAGCTCGTAAGTAATAAAACCAGGGGAAATCCCAAAAAAGTTGGATGAGTGGCTGTAGGTAACACAAAAAGGGATCTTCTTTGATAGCCATGCAAGGACCCTTTGCAACCGGAATGACAACGAATCAGAACCTTGGCTTCAACGCTGGATCGCTTCAACAACAACAACAACAACAACAACATCCTCAGTTGACCGGTTATCAGTCATCGCCCAACCTGAGTCCCATGCTCACTGGCAACACCAGCAACAGCTCCTCTAATCCATTCTCGCAGATGTCCTCTTCGCCAGCTGTACCAAACGCACCTTCGCCATTTGCACTTCCACAACGATCATTCACTGCCCCTGAATTCCCTACCTTGTCTCAACAGCAACAGTCATCCTCTCCCTTTGCTACTGCCATGGCATCTTCTTCGTCGTCATTACAAATACCCTTCCAACAGCAACAACAACAACAACAACACACCATGGTACCATCATCATCGTCATTATCATCCTCACCTTTTGCAAATGCTGGCGTGCCTAGTCAGCCCACTGGCTTTGTGCCAATGAACAATGGCTTTTCTCCAATGGCCAACACGAATCCTGCTCCTGCTGCTAATCCATGGGCTGCTACGAATGGTACCACTGCAGCCAACTTTTTCTAAAAGAAAAATGAGATGAAGATGGCATGTCTCCTCTCTTTAGTAACTAAATAATAAAGTAATCGTGTCTTTACAAAAAACAACAGCAGGTGACGTTACTACTACTGCTACATGCACCTCTTCTAATCTTAATCTGCATACATCGGTTCGCGCATTTCTTGCAGCATGCAGGTATGTTACACGTGGCCCTTCATCTAATTATATCACAAAGCCCGTGTTACTTATTCCAGCCTTGTTGTGTGACCTAAATGCACTTGCCAGCCACAACACACACACACACATATACACACAGGGGGAAGGGGACTGATCGACCTACGTTACTCAATTAGTTTCAAAGCATACACACAGAAAGAATAATCAGCGTGTCTTTTACAGGTATTGATGAAGCGCCCGTGGTCAAGAATATACCTGATTTAGCGTGTCACCCATCCATGCAACAGTCCAAGCCGTTAAACTCGTCTTGGACGTTAAGGCTGGTGAGAAAATATAGAGTTTCCGGTTATCTGACACTTGTCCAAATGTGCCCGGTGAATCGGGTACAGCACTCAAAAGGAAAAGCCAAAAAAAATAGAGGAAATACGACACTAAAAAGCACCTTCGCAAGGCTGTACATAGCAGTAAGAAGTATATTAGCTCTGAGTTATATGTAGCTATTTATACTGGGACTTTCTCAAAAGCAGAGTGGACGTGTGTGATATATATAGCGGTCGGACCATCGATATGTGCATATACGCGACATCACAAAGTGCGCACACACGTCCTTTTCCCTTCTGAATTTAGAGTCGAGACCATTATTTTCATTTGTCTTTGCCTGTCAAACTAGCGCATGGGTTTGCAAAGGGGGGGGGTGTCGATCATTCCTGCATGGAAGATAAAAAGAAAAGCGAGCCTCATACCGAAGCTATCGGCTTTTGCCCTAATCCGTCCGCTCCGCCGGATTGTCGATCATATTGGTGATGCCTGTTAGAGAGGGACACCCATGAGAGAGAGGACGGGAGGGACAGACAAGTACGAATCGGGTATTCAAGAAACGGAACTGTCGATTTCTTCGCGTCTCACATGAACAAGGCTCAGGTTCACGTTTGAAGGATGAGCCATTTTTACTTTTCTATACATTCTCCACATATCCAACATGAACGATGATGACACCTTCACACAGTTTGGATCATCTCTTGCGGACGCAGGCGCGTTGTCGATAAATACTAGAGGGTTTCAACCACTAAATATCAACAAAGATGATTCTTGGCAAGCCACACCACACAGTGTCATATAGATTCTAAACGATGACGATGGGCGAGCCCGTATTCTAGAAGGCTCCAATGCCCGTTCTAATACCAAGGGTAAAGTGCTTTGTCGTCTTATGGACAAAGGAAAAAGGTCGTCGATACCATCATTGGTTTCTGCGCTAGCGACCTCATCCCCGCCATCAACAAGAACGGGTATCTACGAATTCTACAACATCAAGGGTGGGCTCGTTGGCTCTCATCAACATTTGCTGCGGCTTCACTGAAGATAATAACTATCTACCCGGCGAATACATCAGCGACGAGTACTCGAATCGCTGCAAGAGCCTCCACCACAGCATTCTCGGTGGTTTCTTTCCCAATCTTTTAGCAACCTCTTTAGATAGTCCTGTAAAGCAACACAGTAGAAGAATGAGCCTGATGTGTAAAGGAAATTGGAAGACGGCAAAGAATTAAAAGAGGATTTGTAGTTGGACGCGCATGTATATCGGAGGGAGACACGTAATGCTAGACTGGTGCATAAGCTTAATGTTAGGAAAAGACCATAATACATTGTATTACTAACTACTGATCCTTGACTGCGAAGAAAATAACCACATGATGGATAATAGCATGAGAGGAGTTGTTGGTTTTGCTACTAAAGGACTACAGAAGCGAAGGAGGAAGCTCACTGCTGTTACAATCAGCGATGGGTGTATATGGTGACGTTTTCAAAGAAACGGTGCGTTTGTGTCACGAAGCATATTTTGAAAGTGGCACTCATCACTACACAGCTCCATGCTTCGTTAAACTTCAGTTCACTCATCGAAGCACCACCGGCGTTATTCCCCATATGCGGGGTATTTTGAGAAGCTTCTGGCGACGACCAAACGTTTTCTGCAAATTTGAGTAGCAGGAGATTTCCAATTGCGCAGTATTGCCTCTTTCTCTCTGCTGAAGAGAAAGACAATTAAAGGGTCTATATTAGTAGTACACGTGGTGGGCTGGAGGACAAAATGTGTGTTATTATGCACCTATTGGTGTCCGTCTACGTGTGTGTGACGTCCGCAACCTCGAGGAAGGAAGGAAGGAAGGAAGGAGCGAGGGGTGTGCTGATAAGGCGTGTACGTACAAAGCAGCTATTGATCTAAGAATAACTCCACAGCACACACTAGATGATGGTTGATAATGATGTGCATGATTTCTCCATGATGTATGATGATACATACATACACCAGGCTTCCACTGTTATATATATATAAATGCAAATCGTTTGAACTCCGCTGCCGAAAATATTTTTCTTTTCCACCATTCCCGCTTGCTTTTCCTTCCCTTGCTAGGTCTTCTTCTTCTCTTTCTCCCCTTTATAACAAGTGGACAAAGTCGATCGAACCTTTCTAATTCTTTCTCTTTTCTTGCAACTTATGCATTTTTCTTCTACCTTTCTAATTCCTTCCCACTTGTTTTCCAAAGGAGTTACTCACGGTGGCAGAGTGTCGTTTGCCATTACTTTCTGCGTCGCACAATATCCATCTGATACTTCCGAAGGGGGCTAATTCTCGCATTGCATCGCTCTCATCAACTTTTTGTTAATTCCACTCTTATATTTTTTGGTTGATTTCCGAATCCCATCTCCCCTTCCTGCTTCCCTCTCTTAATTTCTCTCTTTTTTTTTTTTCTCTACTACTCACTCGAATAACACCACCAAACGGTTCCTATATATCATTTTTGCTTTAAATATCAACTTTCCATCCTCATTACACAACCCCGCACCAAAGAAATACCATGGTCAGCTCATACCTTCGCTCGGATTCTCCCCTGGGTCGCATGCTCTCATTAATTGAAACACCTGGATCCGCACTCCGGTTCCTCATCTTGGATTGTCCAACCGAATCGACGCTCTCTTACTACGTCGATGAATTCAAACGCTACAATGTCACCCACGTCGCTCGGTGCTGCCAGCAAACATACAATGCAGCCCGACTTGCTGAGGAAGGTATTCAAGTCCTGGACATGCCGTTCAAAGACGGTGGTGTGGTAAGTTTCTGTGTTACTTGGATTGCGAAAACAGAAGGAGGGGCAGACGGTTTTTCCATCCCTGATTATGCTGTAACACAAAAAGTATATATCTCTAACCTTAAACCACCATCTTATCCCCCCCCCACTCATATAGCCACCTGCAACGATTGTACGTGATTGGCTTCAACTCGTCGATACACAGGAACGTAAGGCCAGCGAAGAAAATCCCGTCACTATTGCAGTGCATTGTGTAGCAGGCCTCGGACGTGCCCCCGTCTTGGTTGCCATTGCTCTTATCGAGCTCGGCATGGAGCCTTTGGATGCTGTCGAATTTGTGAGGAGAAAGCGCAGGGGTGCATTCAACAAGCCGCAGATTGCGTACTTGGTAAGTCATCATCTTGCCGTTTTTTTCTATTCCTTTTTTTAATATAAAGAACCATGCAGGATCCGTCTAACGCATGAATGATAATAGGACCAATACAAGCGTTCCTTGAGACAAAAATCATCCTCGAGCGTTTCCTTCAAGAGCTCCTTGGGCAAGATGTTTAGATTCGGAAACAAGAAACAACAGGAACCAGAAGTCGTGACGATCCATTGAATATATGAAAGATCCATTCTTCCATTTTTGTCTCACCATCACCATCACCAACACCAACATCATCATCATCCTCATCCTCGTTGTCACAGCTATAATCAATACGATTATCATAATAAATTTCCAAGGCGTATATTAATCGAGCACAGAAAAAAACACACTTGGAGGGCTATTTTTTATGATGGTGAAAAGTTAGGAACACAGAACAGGGGCAGAAATAAGGGGATAGAAGCGGAAAATCAGCGTTGGAGAAGTGATAAAATCACACCCAAAGGTGCAAATTCATAAAAAAGGAAAATGCTACGCTCAAACTTACAAGTGATTGGCTAAAGCTGCAGTTTTGTTTGCTTCTAAGCAAAGTGCCAGGAGAATATTCGAGGCACACGGGTGTGGGAACCAGCGTGTGTGTGTGTGTGGGGGGGGGGGGAACACCCTTGGCATCTTGCTGTGACAAAACTCCCCCCCCCACCTTTTGCAAATTTCCATATCCAGCTGTGCTTTCTGATCCGACTCTTTCCCCATGAAAAAAATCACATTACAAATTGTTGGCATAGGGATAGAGTACTATAAGGATCGTAGGAAGCATACGGAACATAAGGAACATATGTAGAAAGTATCGGTGAAGAAAGAGATAAAAGACGCAAAACATTTAAAGAGGTATTACCTATAAAATGTAAGCAAGAGAAGGACAGGAAAAGAAAAGTGTGAATAAAAAAAATAAATGATAGTATAGAAAAGCAAGAGAAGGTACGAAAAACCTTACTTATCGGTGGGCTGGCAGGTATAGAAGATACCACAAGGCACCGAACTTGGAGATGTTGATGATCTTCAAACTGTTCACCATGCAATGAGTTTGCACATCAACGACTTCGTGTACATGAAGATCATCAGGATGGCGGGTGAGCTGCGATGCTTGTGGATCACGCTAGCAATTGGGACTGCCGATTGGATCTTTACGGGCATTGCAGTACACTGATTGCAAGATGAACTCTTCGTAGGAACCGTATGCGATACTGTCGTCAGCATAATCGAGATCCACGCGATACAAATCGAGAACAACCAAGATCAGTGGCACGATGGTCGATGGCAGCAGAACCACCAAGCAAGCCAGGTTTCGGGTGATACCATTTGCGGCAGTTCGAGTGGGATTGCACACCTCCTTTATGGCATGCGATGTTAGCGTGCTCTTTGTTGTCGGCTATGATCAAGTTGACTGGCGCGATCACCAACAACACGTCCTTGTTCGAGCCTAAAACAGAGCAGTCGTGCATGACGACACTCTTTTCAAGTTCCCCGTAAGTCTCCAGCAATGTATTCCATCATCTCTGTTGCTGACAAGCGGTTATGCACGCAAACCAAAAACGTGTTCTCTCGTTGGTTGCGTTCGTCCAAAGAAAAGGCAGCCGCAACCCAGCGACCAACTCTCTAATTTGTTCCACTTTTTGGAGCGATTTCCACTGGTGTCGTCGGTAAAAAAAAAATTGAGCGGCACCACACGTACACCTTCAATGGTTTTGCCAAGTGCTTGTGTGCGTTCCTGCACTCGACTACGGATACCAAAGACACCAGCGTCATCGTCGACTGGGTATGTATTAGCATCGCATACCAGCATGCCATAGTTGTTATACTGTGCGCGAAAATGTGGAAAATGCTGAAAGGTGTTGTTCTCATCAGAGAGAATACAGTCACCGATGGCAATGGATCGGATCAACGGCGCACCATGCATAGCGCACAAGAGAACGATAGCATTACTTCTCATGGCTGTAAAAGACGTGGTTTCGGCAATCCAGGCATTCGCCATTGTAACCCCATTCATAGTGTAGAAAGACACGATCTTGACGAGGAGAGGAGAGCTACTCATGTTAGCTCAAGGACGGAGCATCATGAAATCACCAACCCATATGTTTTGATTATTAGAGCTGATCATTGGATGCTGGAATAATGAGCAGTTCTTCCATTTGTCTCCTTGCGTCAAGGAAATGCGCTGGCCCTCAGTGTAGTCCGGTAGAGCGCTTAGCCGAGATGACATCTTCGGGTTAGCCACCATATGCTTGATAAGCTCGGATGGCTTATAAAGAGAAAGAGTGACTTCCTCCCTCGACCTTCTCATTTTGACCAAGGGCATTCCTTCTAGTCGACTCTTTCGTTTTCTGCACATGTGTCATCTCTATCTTTGGCTCTCTGGTTTCCGTATGCCACATAGCCCAATACTTTGACGGGGACCGTCAAATGCTCGTTCGTTTTGGCCAATTCGATGCCATCGGCAACTAGTTCGAGCGTACGCTTCTTCATCTCCAGAGACATTTAGCCGATCGTCAGCGTCAAAATACGCTCGAAGAAGAAAGTCAAGCTCGTTACGGTACGGAAAGAAATCGTTTCGATTGCTCTCCGTCATGGCAGACAAGTTAATGGTCGTCTGGTTGGCCAGTATGTTGCCCATGTCGACAGTTTCGTCAAACACACTGTCGTCAATGGATTGCTCCGAATCTTCAGCAGCCTGCATGTAAAAAAATAACTCATCAGTACTTTTGTATGCACAGTAACTCTGACAGCGAGGGTATCCAACTCGACATCTGACGCTACGTTGTCAGATCCGTCGACACCATATTCATTACGAAAATCAGACTCTCGGTCGTCATCATCGTCTTCAAAGTCATAGTCGCATTGGTCGTCGCAAAGAGGCTGCTCAGACTGCTGGGCAGAATCTAGTTCCATGGAAGTTGACTCTTGCGGAACAGCATTGAGTTGGTTTTGTTGTAGCCATCGCTGATGTCTTGCGCTTCTGAGATGGGCATCCGTGTTTGAGCTATATTTCAAAGCTACACCACAGCTTCAAGTAGCTGGACGAGCGCCTTTGCGACGAGGTTGCTTTTGCTTTTATTTGAGGGGAATTTGGATAACATTGTAGGTTTTCGAGGATGTACGTCGGAATAGGGTTATGTAAAAAAGGCACAGATTTTCAACGAGCGTCGTGGATTACTTTCCCAGAACACGCGTCAAAATTTTCAAAGTGCAAATGCACGTATTATAATTCAAGCATCATGTTAGTTGAAAAACTACCAACTATGACTTTCAAATCAATGTTTTTTTTTGATTTAAGCACTGAATATACCTTGGTTCATATTGACGTTTATTCGTCGTGTCATAATGTGAGTTTATAGTCTGCGTTTTCTTTCAAATGATCTTTTTTGCTTATCTTCTACCAATTCTTTTAATATCTCATATATAGAGCATTTTTTATTAACAAAAAACGTAAGCTTTTGATTGATAGCAAATTAGATAACGTACGAACACATATTAATTAACACTCTGTATAATAGGATGCACTGTCTCTACTCAGTCAGATATCATGGTAAGCTGGTTTCCATTATACCGGATAATGGCTCCATAATCTAAACCATGAAAACTGATGAAGCGTTTCTTCGCTAGATAAGTAATGTAAGTCGGCACAAGTTTGTCTTAGATAGAATGTAAAGTAGTGAAGCTGTTCAATATCATTGTTGGCTTGGCTGTACGGTCCAGCATCGTCACCAGCTATCGTTTTTTTGTATTCGTTGCAACGGTTGAGGGCGTTAAATAAGATGAAACTCTTCCTCCGTACCCAGTTACGTCCTCTCTAGCCCCCTTCTATAAAAGGAAATTTTTTACTTGATCTTTGTTTACTTTTCCAATTTCCATGTTCAAATTTGGAAACGGGGCACTTTGGGTGTGATGTAATGATAACAAAGATGCATGCACCCGCACGACAAGCTTGTTGCTCGTCACAAGGTTTCAGGGGTTGTGTGTGGTATGCATAAGCAGCCGTTTTAGCCACTCTTGATCAGCTGAACAGTTCCAAAATTGCAAAAATAACCTTATATGGTACATTACTCTCCTGTTCAGACGCATCGAAACAATATTTAAGGTTGCTAACACAAACTTAGTATAAGATGTTTCATGCTTTTGATTCAGTAACCGTGTAAATAAAACGTTTGATAACAACGATGTGAGGGATCTATTCTGTTTTTTTTTTTTTTTTTTCATATGGTATCCTCGCTATCAAAGACCCTGATAAGATGCTATCTTCTGTGTGAACATCAATGTCATAATAACCGTCGTTCATTTGATATTGTGATACGTCACTAATGGACCTACATAGTTTGCACAACAACGATATCGTCATAGTTCTGCATGTCAAGTGCAACGCTGTCGTTGTTGCCCGCGTATTGGGAACTACTGCTTAAAGGGCTAAATACACGTAGTACTCGTTCTGAATACCAGTAAGCTTAGCAAGCATTTGATAAAGCATCCATTTTTGATTATTGTTATTCTCGCAATGCATAGGAGAAAACCATGTTCAACAGCAGTAATTGCATGGCACTACTTTAGTCATTCCAAAGCAAACGTTGTTATCGTGAAAACTATCAGACAACTTGAGCTTTTACCGAATCAACAGTATCCTGTATGTCACATAATTAGTACTGCATACAATTTCCACTCAATAAAACCATCCACGAGTTCTATAATAGTAGTATAAAGAATGATCTTCGGTTAAAGTAGGAGAAACTCGGCTTACAATCACATGCAACGTGATGCTAGTTGAATTACTACAGCTGTCTTAACAGTGATTGTTGCTTTTTTATTTCTCTTTCTACTTACTGACATCAGCTATCACCGTGATCTCTCCATCTGTGCGATATATCAATCTTACACTACACGTGATTAAGGCTTGCATAATCACATTAGTTAGATTTAGTAAATTGTTGTTGTTAAGTACCGACATGTAGTCCACAAGCTACACCTTTATCGAACACATTGTTCTACTCACAAGCAACACCGTGGCCCGCAACATATTCAGAGCTTGGTAACTCATCTTTGCTACTGCACAGCCATTCTCAAACCATGTAGGTTGTTTCTACTACAATAGAGCAGGTTGCACATGGACATGGATATTCAATTTCGGCTCAATATTTTCAGCTGAGTCAATGATCCTTGTTTAGGGTCAGTAGATGTACAGAGGGCTATTACTACAAAGTTATCGGCGCTTGTCATATATATTTGAGTAATCATATAATCCACAAGCCCCATCTTTTATTTTTTTGCGAAAGTAGACAGTGAAGAAAGTGCGTAAAGAATGTTCAAGACATCATAGTATGTTATCATACTCGTCTATTTGTATGAGAAATGTTATACTTCTCTCACCCCTGTAGCAACCATCCGCTAAAAACTTATAAGCCTCATTTACTGTATTTTACATTCAAGCTATTATAAAATGTTCTGGACAAAGTGGGGAATTTCTGTCGAACTTGAACAGCATGATAGCTAGTGATATCGGCTATCTGAACTTTAAAGTTGTTAAAACTCATATATTGGCTCTATCAGCTATTTTCCTGGCATGAGAATTCATTGTTTAATACTATCATTACTTGTATCTCTTTCCTAAATCAAAGTAGTAGATGAAATTAAGAAAAATAATATTTAGAAGCATGATGGCAATGTTCTAGGATTGAATGGCGGCACCTCTCTATTATTTTCCCTCGAATTCTGGCTGCGATCAAGGTTGGGTCCCACTGTATCTCCTGGCATAAGGATTAGTATTCGATTTGATTCTTAGAACGGATACGAATTCACAGACACTCCATCGACCTTGTTTATTATAGCACAACAGTCCCCTCTGAGTACTTAATGATTATCAAGCATAGCCATGAAGATGCCAAAAAGCGACGAGTTCATGAATGTCGTATTATGTGATTATCAAGTCTGCCAAATCTCATTTTAAAAATGACGCTCTCTTTTACTAATCTGGGTGAGGAAATATATACAATAAAGTGGGATGAACGAGTGAAAGCGAGAAAAGTATAAAAGGACAATCGTTGATTTACTTGATGGGTTCCAAATCAGCAGCACACATCTTCAAAAGATCGGCCGTCTTTTTACCTACGTTTGCCATATCCTTTGCGACAGCCTGCCAGTGCTCGCCATGGTGCGGCTCAGCGGCCACGCATCGTCTAATAACCAGTTCCTGCTGTTCTTCCGTGCCATGCTGCAGCTCAAATTTGTACCACCATGCAAACGAGTCGCCCTGATCGAGGTCAATCTGCACTGCTTTCTGGAACCAATTGCGCGCCTTTTCGATCTTACGGTCGGTCCAGAACAAAAGGGCAACGGTGGTGACGAACGGGTTGCCATGGTAACGAAGTCGCACGAACGCCGCAGCAGTCTGTTTAGGTAAATCTTACGCAGGGCTGCGGTGATGAATCCATTGATCAAAGACAGGTTCTTTTACATCACCACAAGGCAGCGGCATCAGTCAATTTTTATCAGAAAAACAACCCGTAAGAAGATCCTCCTGCTCTTTTAATGTGCTCATCGTTCTTTCTTGGATCACAAGCACTGTGTGTAACAGGATCGACATGCTTCCTTATTTGGCACATTGTCGCGAGAGCATCTTTCACTGGTGCTTAGGGGCATATGGGGAAGTCGATTTTCAACCACACTTAAACCATTATGCTTAATTTAATACATGTGAGCCCAAGCCGATTCTTCTTTGATGGCACAAAACCCTTTGCCTTAAGAATAATCACACAAAACGTAGATGTTGCTAGCACTGCTGACAATTGGTTTGTTAAAGTTGACAGACTCTGATAGACTCGCTAAGATTATATGTGAGTCCGCTAGCAAAAGCTGGTCCGCTTGCAAATGTTGGACTCGCCCAAAAAAAATAATATAGCGAGTAAGCTGGACTTGCTCCAGATGCTATATTATTGTCATTTTCTTTTTTTTGTGTAAAAAGTGGGGAACGAATGGGAAAAGAAACTGATCATTCTTAAAAGAACTTTCAGCTCCCCACTCCTACTTCGAAAAGTAGAAGCACGATGTCAACCCGGCGATAGCTCGAAGGCCCCCGACACAGTTGGAATACCACTGCTGGCTTTATTCACCGCATCCAATTCGTTGAGAAACTTTTTTTTCGCAGCGAATGGCACAATTTATGGGCAACGTCCGCTATTGAAGCGACTTGTGGGTCAATTTTCAAATTTCGCTTGCATCGCTTTAACCCCAATAGAGGCCCTTCCTGTCATGACTATTCGTTGACCTCTACTCAATCCCTCAACAACTTTATCGTCAATCATCACCCAACTTATCAACCTTCATAAATATAAATGTAATCACTCGACTTGTTCCTTGTTCCTTTCTCATCATCTGGTCTCCCTGACCTTCCGATATTCTTCTTGCCTTGACCTAGATTCATCTCTCCTCTGTCTTTGGCTTGTCTTGTTTTGTCGTCGCTTCCGGCTCACTTTATGACGCATGCCCGTAACACTAATTCAAGTGCCCGTGTATGATCCAGCCTTCGGATAAAGCTCTTCCAAGTGCATGTCAACTGCAAGATTGTGTGAGAACAATGAGTCTGTTTGTAAGGGATTCTCTCACTCTGTAACCTTTAACTACCAAGAATAACTTTACCACAATACAAGCCTTTTTTTATTAGTATATGTACAATATCAAAACTGACAATTACGTTAAACACACAATCTGAAACCTGGTTGAAAAACTAGGGCACATCGGTGTGCTTCTATGGGTAAATCTATCATAAGCGTTGGCTATCCAATTTGTCACTGGGGATTCTGCGAGATGATTGTTTTTCATAGGCAAGACGTTTTTACCAGACAGCAGTGAGAGGTCGAACCTACGACCGTTTGAGCATGCTCAGAAAGGCTTCCCGAAATGGTGTGGAAATTCTTTCACAGTTTTGCGCTAGCCTTGTTAGGGTCGTCCATCGTCTCTTCATTTGGTGTATCTTTATCTATTATGTATATGAAGAAAAGGTTAATTCGGCCCGGTAAATGTATTTGACAGCAGGCAATGTACAATGTGAATTATGTGATTCAACATCAGAATCAAGTAGTGTAGAATATGTCGATACGGCCAGGTATATGTATCGGACAATAGGCTACATAAAGTACATGACCGTTAGAGTGACAATTTTCTTGAGTGTTGGTTAATCCATGTAACATCAAGATCTGTTTGGATAAAGAATCTGTACATGGCAGTTTGACCTAGCTTTCGTTAACTTTCACAATCCCTGGTTTCCATGAATTTGAAGAATGAAATATTAGGGGAACCACTGTATAAATGTATGGGACAACAAACGATTCAACAGTAAAAATGCATAAAAGGTTATGCTGCTGCTGCATGGGAAATTTTATTATAATATGTTACACAATATCACCGACGATTACATTGCTCAGAGAAACATTCGCATAATAGTACTTCACTTTTTCTCAAAAGCTTCACTCAGTTGATTGGTAATCATGGCCATGGTTTGTTTATACGCCGGTGTATCAACAGGAACAGTAGCATATCCATGAACTGTTTTTAAGCACATACAAGAAGGAACCATGAGTAATCACAATCCACCACTGTAGTAGTAAGGTAACAAAGAGAAGAAGCATGCTTCAACATAGAGTATAATACGTACTTGCGCCAATGACCCGAACAGTGGCATTAGGTACTCCAGCATTGGTCAATCGACGAGCATAGTCTTCACCTTCATCACGCAAAATGTCTGCTTCTGCGGTGAAAATTAGAGCTGGTGGGAGTCCTTGAAGCTCCTCGGTGGTCGCCAACATTGGGAATCCGATCTTTGTCTTCTCACAGTCATTCCAATACGCCTTATCAAAGAATATAGCGTCTTCGTTTTTCAAATAGTAGTCGCCGCCGCCAAAAAGCTTTGCAGATTCGTACTTGTCGCGCGAAGCTGCTGTCGCGGGATAAAGTAATATCTGAGCTTTGATAGCGCTTGGTAGACCACGTTCTTTGGCCATCACTAAGAACGGTAAAAGTGTCCTTCTTTAGCTTTGCATTTTGTCACTTTTGTCTTTTCAATCTTTCGTATCCTTAATATACATAGTAATGCATACATGGAATGACTGCAGATAGATTGCCTCCTGCTGAGTCGCCGCAGACAGCAAGACGGCTTACGTCAACATTTATGGAGTCGCCATTTTCAACAACCCAAGAGAGCGCTGCAAATGCGTTTTCATGAGCTGCGGGATACTTGGACTCTGGAGCGAGTGGGTAGTCAACGAATACAACCGCTACATTGTTCCTCACACAAATCTGGTTGTAGGAGCCAGCCATTAGTATTCCTCTTGTGATATTCAATAGAAGCGGTGTGTAATCATACATGTGAATTTTCCATTTCTTAAAGTACGAACTTACATCTTTAACTAGTTTGCCATGAGTATATTTGCTACCGAAAACCCAACCGCCGCCGTGACTTTTGAATTGATGTCAAAAAGAAACAGGTTTAGTATTGTTTAAACCTCCCAGAGAAGAGGATATTGAAGGTCAATAAGAATGTTTGAACTCACTAGAATACGACAGCAGGGAGAATTTCATTCTCGGTTCCTGGTGGCCGGAAAAGAGTCAAACGGACATCAATGCTATTGTGAACGACGACCTTATCTTCCTCGATAACCTCGGGCAAGTTTTTGACTCCTTTCAAGCGCTGGTTAGCAGCCTCGCGAAAGGCGGGAAGAGGTATAGATCCGTCGCTAAATTTTGGGTTGTGCTTTGCCTGTTCACAGAACGCAGCATAAACCGGGTCGAGTGCAACTTCTACAGGTGCCATGCTGTTTTTGTATGTAGCTGTCGCTGTGTCTTGTGTAGGGAGATTGAAGAAGAAGAAAAGTGCAAAAAGACAAAAATAGGCGAAAGATCTTTAAATTTTTATATGCATGTGTGAGGGTGCATAAAAAGAGACTTTATTCCCGCGGTATTACAAATTGTATATCTTGAAGGCTTTCAAAGGTTCGCACGCGTCCCCCAAAACTTTTGCAAAGTCTCCACGGTTTGATCAACAACCCATGAAGCGAGAGGGCTCAAGTTGCCAACGTTGAATACACCGTGAATCAAGCCCAGCACGCGCACGGCAGTGACTTGAACACCAGCAGCCACAAGCTTCCGAGCATACGCCTCACCTTCATCACGCAATACATCGGCTTCTGCCGTCATGACAAAAGCTGGTGGCAATCCCTTCAAATCCTCGTCCGAAGCATGTAAAGGTGCTGCGGTAATGTCGCGACGATCCTTTTCTTCGGGAACATACTGATTCCAGAACCACTCCATCATCTTGCGCGTCAAGTAATAGCCCTCTTGGAACTGATTGTACGAGCCAGTGGAAAAGTTGGCATCGGTCACGGGATAGTAAAGTACTTGGTATTTGATGGCATTAAGACCGCGTTTCTTGTCGAGCACTAGAAACAAGGCGTAGCAAGAATGGGGTTCAATGCAACGTCATATGAGCCAACTATTTCTAGAGCATAATGGTTCAAAGATGGGGGGAAAACAAAAGAAGTGTGGAATAAAGCGTACTTGATAAGACAGTAGTGAGATTACCGCCAGCGCTATCACCTGCAACGACCAGCTTGCTCGTGTCGACATTGATGGAGGCACCGTTTTTAGCAATCCATTCAAGGGTATCATAGCATTCTTCCAAGGCAACAGGATGACGCACTTCGGGGGCTAGTGAGTAGTTTACGAAAATGACAACGGCGTTGGCACGGACAGTGAGCTACACATATGAATGATATGTTAGCGTGAGTGCGCTAACGTTGTTGTGGATACAAAAATCGATGAGAATGCATTACCTCGTAGCGGACTGGTTTGGTAATTCAATTCACTACCTAAAACCCATCCTCCGCCGTGCCTGTATATTATATGTGTTAGTTTTAGTAGTATAAAGAATGATCTTCGGTTAAAGTAGGAGAAACTCGGCTTACCATCACATGCAACGTGATGCTACTTGAATTACTACAGCTGTCTTAACAGTGATTGTTGCTTTTTTATTTCTCTTTCTACTTACTGACATCAGCTATCACCGTGATCTCTCCATCTATGCGATATATCAATCTTACACTACACGTGATTAAGGCTTGCATAATCACATTAGTTAGATTTAGTAAATTGTTGTTGTCAAGTACCGACATGTAGTCCACAAGCTACACCTTTATCGAACACATTGTTCTACTCACAAGCAACACCGTGGCCCGCAACATATTCAGAGTTTGGTAACTCATCTTTGCTACTGCACAGCCATTCTCAAACCATGTAGGTCGTTTCTACTACAATAGAGCAGGTTGCACATGGACATTGATATTCAATTTCGGCTCAATATTTTCAGCTGAGTCAATGATCCTTGTTTAGGGTCAGTAGATGTACAGAGGGCTATTACTACAAAGTTATCGGCGCTTGTTATATATTTGAGTAATCATATAATCCACAAGCCCCATCTTTTATTTTTTTGCGAAGTAGACAGTGAAGAAAGTGCGTAAAGAATGTTCAAGACATCATAGTATGTTATCATACTCGTCTATTTGTATGAGAAATGTTATACTTCTCTCACCCCTGTAGCAACCATCCGCTAAAAACTTCTAAGCCTCATTTACTGTATTCTACATTTAAGCTATTATAAAATGTTCTGGATAAAGTGGGGAATTTCTGTCGAACTTGAACAGCATGATAGCTAGTGATATTGGCTATCTGAACTTTAAAAGTTGTTAAAACTCATATATTGGCTCTATCAGCTATTTTCCTGGCATGAGAATTCATTGTTTGATACTATCATTACTTGTATCTCTTTCCTAAATCAAAAGTAGTAGATGAAATTAAGAAAAATATTATTTAGAAGCATGATGGCAGTGTTCTAGGATTGAAAGGCGGCACCTCTCTATTATTTTCCCTCGAATTCTGGCTGCGATCCAGGTTGGGTCCCACTGTATCTCCTGGCATAAGGATTAGTATTCGATTTGATTCTTAGAACGGATACGAATTCACAGACACTCCATCGACCTTGTTTATTATAGCACAACAGTCCCCTCTGAGTATTTAATGATTATCAAGCATAGCCATGAAGATGCCAAAAAGCGACGAGTTCATGAATGTCGTATTATGTGATTATTAAGTCTGCCAAATCTCATTTTAAAAATGACGCTCTCTTTTACTAATTTGGGTGAGGAAATATATACAATAAAGTGGGATGAACGAGTGAAAGCGAGAAAAGTATAAAAGGACAATCGTTGATTTACTTGATGGGTTCCAAATCAGCAGCACACATCTTCAAAAGATCGGCCGTCTTTTTACCTACGTTTGCCATATCCTTTGCGACAGCCTGCCAGTGCTCGCCATGGTGCGGCTCAGCGGCCACGCATCGTCTAATAACCAGTTCCTGCTGTTCTTCCGTGCCATGCTGCAGCTCAAATTTGTACCACCATGCAAACGAGTCGCCCTGATCAAGGTCAATCTGCACTGCTTTCTGGAACCAATTGCGCGCCTTTTCGATCTTACGGTCGGTCCAGAACAAAAGGGCAACGGTGGTGACGACAATGGGATCGTGTTCACACTTTTTCAGAGCATCCACACTTCGTGCCTTACGCTGTGGTCGTGCTTCTAGGTAAATGACTTCGCGCCACAAGGCACCTGATGTTGGACATTCTTGCAGTGCTTTGGCAGACATGGCCTTGGCAGCACCTGTATTCTTGGCTCTGATTTCGATACGGATACCTTCGATCCACAATTCGGCTGTTTTGGGATTCGTGTATCGAGCCTTCTCCAACGTCGAACGCGCTTTGGTCACCATGCCCAGTTTCTCTTCCAGTTTTGCCAGCAGAATCCACAAAATAATGCTCTTGGGACAGTTCTTGACTGCTTTGTTGTATGTTTCTCTGGCCTCGCTCGTTTTGCCCAATGCCTCGTCTTGAATCTGACCCTTGATTGCCCATAACTTGTCGAACGTGGGGAACTTTTTCAAACCCTCTTCCAAAAGTTGCATGCATCCGTCATAGTTCTTAAGTTGTCGCTCAAGTTGTGCTGATTTCATCCATACGCGCTCGGTACCAGACTCCTTACGCGCCAATTCGAGCAATTTGCGTGCACGCTCGTACTCGTTGCTTTCGCTTTCCACCTTGACGGCAGCAAGCCAAATCTGTTCGCTGTTGGGATTGGCACGGAAAGCTTCTTCCAGAATCGCACGTGCACCTTGTACATCGTCTGCCAGCCATTTCTCCTTGGCGCCCATGAGCCAGAGAACTTCGGCTTGAGGACAGTATCGGACAGCGCGTTGCAGCAATTCTTCCAAGCTCCGAGCAGTACCATGACTCTTTTCCAAAAACGCAGCCTGTTTCCAGATCGACTGTTTTGCAGGGAACACCTTGAGTGCATGGGCATAAATGGCGCGGGCAGTCTCGATCGATCCATGTGCGACACAAGCCTCGGCGTCTTCCATCCAGGTGTCCTTTCGATCCTCATCTTCCAAGTTCAAGCCAATCGTTGCCGAAACAATGGCTTGGCACGTCAATACCGATCCGTTCTTTTCACACTTTTCAGCCTCCTTAAGCCACTGCTCGCGATCCAGCACAGCACCTGTCTGCGACAATGCGATAGCAGCCTTCTGAATGACTAATTCGACTCTGCTTGGTGTACCGTGCTCTTCTTCCAATCGAGCTGCTGCAATCCAGATTTCGTGACTCGTAGGGATTGCTCGTCGTGCCTTGTTGAGCACCGCTTGTGCGTTCTTGTATGTTTCTAAGCGTGCCAGTGCGAGCCATAATTCCACACTAAGAGGAACAAGTTCGATAGCACGCGATAACAACACTTTGGCATCGTCTGGGTTTTCTTCCATGTTGACAGCTGCGCGCCACAATTTCACAGAGTTGGGGATAAATTCAAGTGCACGTCGCAGTACTCGTTTTTGTGCTTTGTTTTCGGTTTCCAGATCAACTGCCTTAAGCCAGATCTTGACGGACTGTGGTATATGTCGTACAGCATCGGCGAGAATAATCTTTGCATTTTCTGTAGTCTATTTTAAAGAAAACGCATTGGACAAGTGTCATCGTGGTTAGACAGAACTGCACCATCCAATAACATATAAGATAATTGATAAACTTACATTCAAACTGGCATTTTCTAACCATACGTCTTCGTTTTGTGGGCAGTGCTCACAGCCCTTTGCAATGATACTGCGTGCCTGAACAATTCTTCCAGCTTCCTTTTCCAAACGGGCAGCAGCCATCCAACCAGGTGCATATTTAGGATTCGACGTCGTCATGGAACTAAAAAGCAAGCGTGCCTTTTTGATATCGCCAATTTCAGCAGCACTTCGTAGTGCAATACTGTTCAAATCTGTCAAATAGCCCTTGGGATCGACCGTCGTCTGACCTGACACCGAATCCGATACCTGATCCAATTTCAAGCCAAGCACCTTGTCTCTTGCCTGACCGATTTCTCTAAAGTTGGTCATCATGCCATCCGATGGTGTTTCCGAACCACTGTCATCAGCACTGATCGTCGTCTCATATTGTGATTTATCGCGAGCAGCTGCCAGAATTGTATCGGGTAAAGGTGTAAATCGTTCTGGCATTTTGTTCCGTTTACGATTCTTGCCGACCAAATCACCCACTTCTGGAATAGCTGCCCATTCGGTTTCGTCAACCGAGGACAGTTGTCGTTTTAAATCAGCAAATTGCTGCGAGATTTTGGGTCGTTCTCGTCGGTATCGCGCTAATTCTTCTCGTTCGCGCGCCTCACGTCGTGATCTGCGTCGTTCATCCATGCGATTGGCGACTTCTTCGTAAACTCGATCGGCTTCTTCGTCTTCGGCATCATATGGCCCGCTGGAGAACAGGGCTACTTCATTATCTGGATCTTGAAATCGTTCATCGTCTTCATCGTTGCCGCCTTCTTTTGCTGCACCTTGTTTGGCATCGCTATCGTATAAATTTAGAGATAATATGCGTATAGTGTTAGCAACTCACTCAAAAATATAAAATATTTACTTTGCTACAGATCAATGGGGGGGAAGTTAAAAGAAAACTTTCGACTTACCCTCCGACATCACCAGTTTCTCTTGCAGGACCAATATCTGATCGTGTGGTGAATCCAGTAGCACCACGACCTAAACCAGCGACATAGTTAGGAGGTGCAGGCTTTCCAATGAATTCCTTAGTAACTCCAAACATGATTCCTTTCGGTGTTGGTGATTCAAAAATAAGAAAGAAAGCTGTCGAAGCAAAAGAAGGGAATTGACTCTTGTCGCGCTGAGTATAAATTCGAAAGTTCCTGGTCCCACACTCAAGTGGATGTTTCGCAGCAGCAATTTATATCAATCGTTAAATCCGACATGAATATCTTTAATGATGAGGATTTCGTAAGCTTGAGTCATGCCAAAGTGGGCTTGCACAAGGAGCTATAATGTGCTGGCCAGAACCAAGGTAGTAGCAGCACAGTAGGTCGTCAAACTCTCTTTTGATCCAAATCATCGCGACAATAAATGTATCACCCAACAATGCTCTATGGACGTCTGATTGAAGGCTATCGCAATAACACATCGTCCGTAGCCTTTGCTGCTATGCTTATGGGAGCACTTTCTCCATGATGAGACTACAACCATATGACATTACCCAGTAACTCTAGATACCGAGGGGTACCGATGGAGCAGCAGATGTTTCCAAGCGACAAGAACTAATATACACTACTTTGTCTTGGTTACACTTGTTTTCTCATAGATTCCGGATTTCTGCTGTCTAATTTGAGCTGACTGTATCATAAACAAGGACAACATAAACGGTTATATCAATAGCATGACCCCAACTTTTTGTCCCGAAATACACGTATCCTTTCCGACTGATCGATTAACATGATGCAAAAATTATTTTATTTTATAAGCAAAGGAGATAAAAAGTGTACAGTAAGGTTCAGATTTGATCCAAAGAGTCCAAAAGGAGAAGCGTATATGTAGCTGAAAGAAGGTTGGGGGAATGACATGTAGAAAGATATTTATATATGATGCTTTTTTTAAAGAAAGAAGGAAACACTTCTTTTCCCTTTAGTTTCCTTCCTCAATCATTTCGTGAAGCTCGCCAGACGAGACCAATTCCTTGACAATATCCAAACCACCAATCAATTCGCCATTCACATACATCTGCGGGAATGTAGGCCAGTTGGAGTAAGCCTTGAGACCCTGTCGCACATCCTCATCCACCAAAATGTTAAAAGAGCTGTACTTGATCTTTTGCTCGTTCAAAATATCAAGCAATTGACGCGTGAAACCACAGCGAGGCTATCAAATAGATATGCGGAAAAAATTAATCAAAAATTGTTTTGAGAGAGAGAGAGAGAGATGACTAATCAATCTCCAAGGCTATCCTGTACCTGTTGTGGGGTGCCCTTGATAAAGATCATGACAGGAGCACTCTCAATCAAAGACTTTAAGCGAGTGTTGAGATCCTTGGCAGGTTTGACATCGTTTTCAGCCAAAGACTTATTGGCCGATGACACTCCCTTGGCGTGTTTGGCCACAGCGTTCGTCAATTCGGCGGCCTTTGCACCTTCAATACGTTCGACGGTCTTGCCACCCTAAAAAAATGAAAAAAGAAGAAAACTGATCAGTACGGAAGCACGGCATGACACAGATAAAAACAAGCGAGCATTTCGAAGCTGATAGTCGACAGTGTACCTTAAGAACAGCAAAAGTAGGGACGGCAGCAATTTCAAACTCTTCTGAAATGTCTGGGAAGTTTTCAGCTTCAATCTATTCAAAGATCGCGAGTAGATTAGTAACAAATTAAACTTACTCATGAACTATCTTCCAAGAGCCTCTAGTTTACCAGCTCGATCTCTTTTCAAAACTCTCCTACACAAATTTAAAAGAGTATAACCCGTACCTTGACAAATTGCAGGGAGGAGAACTTGCCAGCAAGTTCTGCGACAACGTCGTTCATTTGCTTACAGGGTTCAGCCCAAGTGGCCCAAAAGTCAAGAACTAGAACGACATCCTTCTTGGTGATGAGACCCTGAAATTGGGCGTCGTCGGTGATATCAATAATGTTGCTCATGGTTGGGTTAGTTATTCGTCGAAACGAGAAAGTGCAGTTGGACAAGTTAAAGATTGAAAAAGTATCTGTTTCAGATGTAAGTCTTATATGAAATCTTCATTTGAGTTCCGCTTCAAGATGGTGGAGTTGATCCGGTTGGTTCCCTATCGCGAATTGTTCAACTTCAATGCTTCTACAGGAGGCCATTATCACTAGATCGACTGCTTTGTAGATACCTTTTTATTCGCATTCGTGCTTGGATTTTATTCCAGATAGTAGACATGTGTTACATGGCTGGTGCAGCAGGGATTGAAATGGCAGCAAACATGGGCCATGCCTTTCTACAGTATTTTAGCAGGCGGGAACAGGTTCATATAATCAAGTTAGCGTCCCTACCTTATAAAGAAAAACCGTCAGCAAGACGACAAAAACACATAAAATTCTGCTATCATTAACACAACATAACAAATGATGATAATTCTACTATGAGTATATAATAAAATAGATATCTTATCGTCGACAAGTGCTCTACCAAGTAATATAATAAAAGTAGTACGAGCAAAACGGAAAATAATCACCAAAGTTCCAGCGCTATGTTGAAAAGAGGCAAAGCAATAATCCGTGGGATTGACTCATTATCTACTGCCAATATATCAAGAGGTGTAAGCTCAAAAGAATGACTACGCTTCTTATGATGGTGATATCATTACATAACATTTTATCATAGGGCGACCCTTTGTCAAAGATAACTATCACCGTACGAAAACTTACGATTGATGTATACTCGTTAGATACAGCTGTTTTAACCTTGCACGTTGATAGTGACGCTCCAGCATGCTGATGCAGATACACTTCATGTGAATCAAGCTTGAAGTTACAAGTATGTATAAAAAGAGCATAAAACAACAGTAAAAGCAGTATATGATGGAATACAGGTTTCTGCTATACTACTATTTTCATGATGATTTGAGCTGATAACTTCTTAGAGAATTGTGCCAAACACCAGTATGATTTAGGCAAACAATGCATCACTTCATCAGTCTACTGTATGTAATGGTGCCCATGAGCAACATCATTTTTATATATGACCTAACAATTTTACTACCTCTTTGCTCATCCTCTCTTTCCCTTTACTTCTTTGGCGAGAGACCGATAGCAAACAAGTACCGTTGTTTTGCACCATGGATGAACCGCCTAGCACTGAAGAGCTGCTACAGTGGAAACCTGAAGATATAATCCAGGTGCTTTCCTCCTTTGTCTTACCCTCGCAGTCAGACAAGATAACCACTTTTCTGATGGCGCAAGATTGTACACTCAATTCACGAGAGGGATATTTCAGACAGCAACTCCATCAGTTCGAGATCGAGACATTGATGACCCCGACAAAAGTATATATCAACCCAAATACAACCACTTGTCCGATATCAGAATTGACGCTTATCGAAAAGCTACAGCAATTCGGGCTCGACATGCACCGAGCCCTGATATAGCCTCACGAAATGCAGAATTCTTTCTTACGCAAGTATACCCTCCGATACGCGACGCAAAAACCGAGTTAATTCTTCTTTAAGTACAACTCGATATACATACACACACACGCTCCAAAAAGAAAACTCGAGTAGCATTATGTCGGTACGTAAGAATGAGAAAAATTCTCTGTTAACGATATACATAGATAAGTACAATGCGTATCAAATACATTTAAATGCTAAGAACTCAATAACAACACCATTCGTTTGAAAGCGTACTTTAGCACCAATAGAAGCATATATCACCCAGCTAGTTCCTCCTTATGGCAAGGTTTGGATTGGGTCAAGCTCGGTTTCGAAAGAGGCATGGCTTTACGCACAGACGTTCCGTTGCGAGATGTTTTGCAATGTTATTAAAACCTATACTGATCTTTCACGGATTGGTACCTTCAGCTAATGGACGAAGGTTGATACTACTACGTCGTTGATTGTAACATTCTGCCTTTTTGCGTGTATGAAACAAAGCGTATCCACGAAATCGCCTTCGAGCTACTTTATAAAATTATTTAGTATCAGGTTTTTACAGACTAATTTTCATATATTGAACATTATGTTTCGCGGATTTGCCTTATTAAAGCAATTATTATCCTTTTTGTTTTTCCTCGTACGTGTCTATTTATTGCTATTTCTTTTACAATATGTGGGGAAGGATTCGAGGTGGTCTAACGAATGGATAATGTCCCTTTAAATATATAAAGTGGTCCCTCCGCTTCGCTTCCGGACGATGTGAGCCCCTCCGCTTCGCTGCGTGTCAGCATCTGTCCTCCAGGGACCACTTTATTTAAATATATATCATAGGGCCATTTTTTTTACAAGAATAGAACTCTTCAAATAAGCTTTTAGAGAGCAAGAAAGTGCAACTTTTCGAACGCACTTTACAGCATTTACATTTTATTGAGGTCGCCAGGAGGATGTACGGCATAAAATTGAAAGAGATTTCTAAAGGAAAAGGTAATATGTAAGTGCTAATGAGACCCACCATCATCAAAAGGAACAAATATTGTCAAAATCGCTATACAGCTTTACTTGCTGAAGGATATGATGACCCCAAGAGTCAATGCATTTTTTATTTAACCTTATATCTTTCAAAACACAACGCGTCTACAGACCTTGTGTCACAATTTAATAATATTTGAATGACAGTGTGTTGGTCGTCTGACCTCATCGGTGGTGTTTGGAGTTTTGACAGGACAAATCCCTAAAAACTCACAGTAATAGTTGAGTAGGACGAATTATTTGCTCTTTCATTTTTTTTATTGGGCTACTTGATTCACGAGTAATAGGATCAGCTACATTAATTTACACATCTGTGAAGAAGGTTTATACAGCCTGGGGCTTGATGCAAATAGCATTGGATGGCCTTCGATAAGTGAATTGCATATTGGAAGTACCATCGCTGCAATAAATTATGCTTTCAAATTGAGTCGAAAGCAGCAACACCTACAGCGTTCGCACGCCGCTGGCAAGTGAACGCGACGCCTGCACAATAAGAGTCATGGTAATCCGCGTATCCAAGACGACCAGAGTGGCTATTTTTCCGGTGTGCCATTTAAAATGCTAGTAGGCTTCAGAATTACACCGCTCTCGAAAACTGCTACGCGTAAAGTGTGCTTTTCTCAGAGTAACTGGAAACCGTAAAGGTCGGACGACCACCGATGATTCCTGTCAAGGGGAAAATTTATACAGTGACCGGGATAGGCGGCGGCCTTTTGTAGCCTGGGAGGGACGATTTAACACCGCTAAAAAAGTGTGACGTATTATAGAGTCGCAAGCCGCGATTGGCCCGATTCACCCCCGTCCCAATGGCGAAAAAATATACGAGGGTTCCTAAAAAAAATTGTGCACCTCCTCACCTACAACTTTGTCTCGATAATGTTGTCCTCCGCTTCGCGCATTGCCATCCGCCCTGCCGTCGCTCCCTTGAGGTAAGCACAGTAGAAAGCTACAGTACGGACGAGATGCGATCGAGAGAATGAAACTCACAGCGCGTTTTCATGATTTTCTCCAAAAATTACTAGCAATGGCGTCCAGGCCCGCAACATGGCCACCTTGAAAGAAAGTAAATAATCTCGTTCCCCATTATATTTGACACTTTCTCGAAAAAAAAAACAAAAAGCACACACATACAAACTTACGCTGACCACCTATCCTTTGCATGCGTTTAATTAGTTCAACTTCGTTTGAAGTCGGTTTCCAACATTGAAAAGATCACCAAGTCCATGAAGATGATTGCCTCGACCAAGGTCAACAAGGCCCAGCGTGGTATGGAAGCTGCTCGCGCCTTCGGTGCCGCCTCAAACTGTAAATATCATCATACAATACTGGGAGGGGGTTGTCGAAACAGGGGTGGTGGAAGAGGGAGGAACGCGTTGATTGTTATTGTTAGTGGGCAGTAACATAATTAATAATTGACACTGACCATCCAATCTATCAATGCCAACCCATAACTTATTAGCCCTTTTCGAAAGCGCCGAGACTAAGGCTGCTGAGGATGGCAAGGTCCTTTTCGTTGCCACTTCGTCTGACCGTGGTTTGTGCGGTGGTATTCACAGCAGTGTTTCCAAGGCTACCCGCCGTTTGCTCGAAGAGCGCCCCGAGTCTGCTGTCGCTGTCTTGGGTGATAAGCCCAAGGCCCAGCTCTTGCGTTTCGCCCGCGACAACATTGTCATCACCTTCAACCAGATCGGTAAGGACATCCCCACCTTCGCCGAGGCTTCCTCGATCGCCGATGTCATCAAGGCCCAGGGTGTCGAATTCGACACCGCCAAGATTGTCTACAACCAGTTCAAGTCGGTCATTGCCTACGAAGCTGATGTTATCCCCGCCTACTCTGAGGAAGTTTTCAAGTCTTCCCGTAAGTTGTTTATTAATATGGACGGATATATATATATATATATATATATATTTGTGGATATGCGATCAATTAGTTGCTCATTTTTCTTTCGCATTATTAGCCAACTTCGCCGTCTACGAAATCGAAGATGATGTGCTCGCCAACTTGCAGGAGTTCACCTTCGCCAACGGTCTCTACTGGGGCTTGGTTGAGGGTTACGCCTCTGAAATGTGCGCCAAGCGTGCTGCTATGGAGAACGCCACCAACAACGCCGGTGACATGATTAGCAAGTTGACCATGACCTACAACCGTGGTCGTCAGGCCGTCATTACCAACGAATTGAGTAAGTTTTGGTTTCTTAAGGGAGGTGATGGGTAGAGGAAGATCCACTTGTGGCTCGCCTCTTTTTAATTGTATGTGTGCTCTAACACTATCTATTTAATTTGCCTTCGTCCTATAGTTGATATTATTACTGGTGCCTCTGCCCTGTAAATGCATTTTATTCTATTCTTTATTAAAAAAAGGCCATGTCTGCGTTCTTTGTACAAATAAAAATAGGACGTACGCGAATCAAAGCATTAGAGTGCGTCCAGTAGCATTTTAATAGACTTGATGTTGGAACGCTCTTTTCTCTTTTAATTGGGGTGTGGCATTGGATGGTTTATAATGATAGTCTGTGCTTCGGTGTCCATGTTAGATTTAATTGCACTCACTGCGTATAACTTTAAAGAGCATAGTATTAATAGCATACAAATTCAAAATGGACTATATTTTCACTTTAATGTAGTAATGAATGCTTCCGTGCCTGACTTCAAGGCAATGAAGCGATACCAGCGTGAGGATGACAAGCGATTAATTACATAAAAAGTTAATCGCTGTGATGAAAATTATACTCGTGTCACTATTATATTTCCAACATGCAAATCATCAACATGTCTGGAGTATTTGGTGGTGATATTATAAAAGGAAACGCCATGTTCTTGCAACCGCCTTTGGATGATGGCCCCTGGTAAATTCTCTCTTGTGAATGCATCGTCAAAAACAACTTTTTTGAGGCTCTTGCTCTTACGCAACAATTGGATAACGCCGGATGTGTCAAGTTCCATAGGCGGTCTCGTATAACCGTTACCAAACCAAACGCTTAGCGTATTAAGCCGGGGGAGATCACCTAACACGGAGAGAACAGCGTAGTTCAGGTAGCGTAAAGGCTCTAGCTTTAGCTTCTCGATCATGGATTTTTCTCGGAGCTTGTGGGCAAACCAGAGCAGTTCAGCTTCATCTCCATCGGGTGCACAAGCGAGTTTTACTTCAAGGCATCTAAGCGTGGCGATATGAGCTATCGCTGAAAGTAACTCGTATGTAATTTTTGGTACCCGCCAAAGTCGTACAGTCTCGAGATTGGAATATTGAGCCATGTACTTAAACATGGCTGGTGATACCACCATCCCTGTCCCTTGTGATCGTTGTCCTTGTTGGCCAAATCGACGGCCCCAATCGATAGCAAAAAGGTCCAAATGCTTTAAATGCTTTAAGCATTTGTAGATCGTTGGGTCGCTCAACGTTGCAGAGGAGTCCTGGATGCCAAGCTTTTCTAGCCCAGGAAGCCGCTGTAGTAGTGTTGCCACCGAAAGTTCGTCCATAAACATGAATCGCTGTAGATAGAAAGTGTGTAGCCTTGGTAGTATACGTAAAGGCTGTAGTTCAACATTTTCTATTCTTCGGTGACAGTAGTCCAATTTCATTAGATTGAGTGAAGGACATGAGTTGAGCATAGATATAATTGCTGCTGTGTCAAAGTGAGTGTTGCATATGAGTGTACGTAAAAGAGGCAATTGCAGGGATCGAAATACGGGCGACCAGTCGATGTCAACCCGGTTGGCTTGTGCTGTTGTTAAATCCAGATGCTCAAGTGTATACTGTTTGTTGCGCAAAACCTGTGCGATCTCGTCGTAACCTTCGCTTTGGCTTACTGCTAGATGATATAGTCGACTTTGCTTCCGCTGAGAGTGCAATGCGCTATTAGTAATAGCTACCGCACTTGGACCTTCGCCAACAATCGATTTCATGATGTCTTTATAAGGTACATAACCGTAGTTGCTCTTCTTTGCAATATAAACAAGATTTGGGCACCAAGAAAATATGTTTTTGAGTCGTATTACGTCGCTTGAATTCGTGTGGCCAGGGTGATAGGTCAGGTCCACAGGTTGCGGCTCATTATGTTTGGTTGCCGAGCTTGCGTCGATGAAATATTGTAAATTGGGACATTTTTGAAGAATGGATACAAGTTCAGGATGCATATCAATTGTAGCGTCAATATACATATATTTGAGTTTGTCGAAGATCGGTATTGATTCGACAGGTATCTGTTCGTGTGCGCGTTGACCAAGTTGCCAGGGAATGTATTCGCCTCGGTATGTAAAACTTGTTAGTTTTGGACACGTACAGAGGATGTACAATAGTGGGACGGCAGAGTCATGTGATCTCATCGTCAAGTGCGCCAATTGAGATCCGAGTTGTTGCGAAAGGCCAAGAAATCTGCGCTGTTCTCGTGTAGAGCAGTTTACAAAGACTATACGAGTGTTTCCAATTTAAATGAATTGGTAAAGCAAGCTTTGGTTTATAGAGCCGTTCATCAACATTTCTTCTCTTTCTCACCTAGAGACTCAATTTCATCACAGCCTAATTGAAGCAGTCTATACATCGCGACATACAGCGCATTTTCGTCTTTAAACTTGTTGAAATGGACGTCCTTCACATGCTTCCCTAGGCAACGAGCGCGTCGAGAACTGACGACATAGGGATCGCGTTCCGAAAGTTGTATGCTTCTCCACTTGTTCTCTGTATAACTTGGTATTTGAGTGTACCAGCCGCGACATACTGCCATACACACTAGACAGTCTTCTTGGTCGAGATAAGCAAAGATCTCGGTGACAACGTCGAAAGGAAGTTTCGCCATAAAGGCAAGTTGTTCCTCCGGTAAGTCGTCAATGCCCATCTTGTAAGAGCTCGAGTTAAAAAAAGAGGTAAAACATACGTCTCTCCAGTCGCTGGAGACCTTGGCGCAGTGAACCTAATCCACTTCTAGTAACACAAAAGTGCTTCAGCCGCGCGCGTGCTCTCCACCCGGGCTGGAACCTAGTGAAGTAACGTTCCATCTTAAATACAGCCTGCATGTAATTAGTACACGTAGAACAGGAGATCGGTATTGTGAGCTGCAAATATACTTTTGTCGCAAAAAATGTGGCAGAATTGATACGATAGAGACGAATTATGGGAATAACTCCCAAATTTGTCACCCGCTTTAGCCGTAGAGCATTCGACTAACTTGTGGAAAAAAAGAAACCTGTTTATTTTGTTTATGCGGATTCAGAGGGTTTGTTAGCGATAAAAGTGACCTTTCCTTTTGCACCCACTTCGGCATAGTAGGTGGGAATACCGTTGACAGACTTTCCAGTTGCGTAGCCAGGGTGATGCTTTCGTTTTGAAGAGAGTGTTGCTGTGTAAGGCTCGGCTGGTGCAGCAGGGAAAAGAGCAGATGGTTCGAAAGCTTGAGTAAGTGAATCATTGGCAGCGGCCAAAGCATTCATTCTATATAAAATTTGGTCAAAACAGATTATTTGGACAAAGGTATCGCTAATTATTTACTTACATTCTAGCCGATTCGAATCGTGGTTCTACTCTTGATGCCAGGAACATATCACCCGGACCCTTGACACGCACGAAATCCTAAATGTTGTCGAATGTTCATATAAGTTGGGTTGTAAACCATAGCCAATTGCTATATCTCATTAACATACCGGAGCGCCCATAATATAGTTGCGCAATGTCTTGGCTACACTTTGGATATACTGCAATTTGGGCTGCATTGAAGGACTATCAGCAACATTTCGTACAAATGCATACTTTCGCAATGGTGATCGTGGTGACGGGACAAGTGGGTTGGCAGGATGGAGCTTGGTTGGTTCAGTTCGCACATCCCACATCACAAGGTTTCTAAGAGAAAAAGAGTCGATGATTTTAGGTGGTCGGTTGACAGTATATTTGGACATGATGTACGAGCAATTTCCGACTTTGTCTTACCGTGGGTTTACTAGGTATTCTTCGCCAGCACTCAATGACAGTCTGTATAATCCACCATAATGGGAAATTGCAATCGTTCCTGGACCGCATACTGTATGTACGAGCTTATTGACAAGACCCTGCAACAACAGAATATTGATATCAATTTTGTAATCATTTTCCTTTTTTTTATACGCCATTAGTATATGCTTACAGTGTCTTTGCCCTTGACGCCATTCAATCCCAAATCGAGAGTGACCTTTTCAGTTTTGGCCAAGAAAGCGTCTCGTCGCAAAGCATATTTTGTGCTGCCACGCACATTGACAATAGCAATTTCGCCAATGCGTTTAGGTGCCAGTAATATATCACCAGCCGATTGCTTTGTGTAATACTATATAATTTAAGTCGTTGTGTTATTTCATACCGTCTATATATCTGTTTGTTCGCTATGTCGGTTTTGCTCCTTTACCTTTTGAAAGAACATGGGTTCTCCGACAAGTTTACCCGCAACAGCCTTTACTGCTGAGCTATCATCCAGCGAGAGTTTTGATGTGACCTAGTAAGGCAACAGCTGTGAATAAGAATACACTAACGCGCTTTTTCCTTTGATAAATTGCTTACACGGCTCGACGCACCGACTGCTGATCCTGTTGCTGCAGTGATTTCCGTATCCGGCGGAAGCTATTGGTTGCTATGGTTGTTAGCTGGTTGTAATCGAGAACAGTTTCATATCGTGGTAAAATTTCTAACACTTTACCTTAATCAAAAGCGCAGATCCTACATATATTCAATGAACTCAATGTATTAGCACACATATATCCGCTAAAAAAAATGCATGTGTAAGGATATGAAAACTATGACTCGTACCTACACCCGAAGAGATCACCTCGAACAAGGGCTCCGCGGTACTTTTTGACGCAGCGTCTAACAATAACAGCTCGGTTTAACTTTTCACAATCGACCAGAAAACACGTTGTATAGATATTCACACGTAGACAGTATACGCTACCCTGGCCAATGGACGAAATTCCACTCGAAGCTTGGCTCGTCGACGACGTGTGCTGGAACGACTTTAGCGAACGATCGACGGTTTGTACACCATTCACATGGCTGACTTGATGTTCAGGTTGAGCAGCTTCGTGGTATGCTAGCCCGACGTATGACCGACACTGTTGCTGGACGAATGCCTTTAGTGGCGCATCAAGCAAGCGCGCACGCATAAGTGCCATTGCTGCGTTGTATATGTTGTGTGTGCGTGTAGGAAAAAAGAGAGGCTAAGTTGCCAGGGCAAAGCGCCAATTTTTGACCGTGTAGTTGTAACTTCTTAAGGTCCGACTCGCGAGCTTGTTCTTGTCCACGCACACTTGTACGCACGCAACACTCGCCTGATCTTGTAGACCATGTCTTCAGTAAGCTTTTGTCTTGGCCTTCAAACACCTTAGTATTCTAGTCTGCTTGACGTTGACTCCAACAGTTATCATTGAAAGGGAATCAGCTAGAAAAAGTGAAGAATTTGGTGGAATTCACCGGCATGAGGTAAAGAAGGTCCCTTTCCCTCTAGCTTTATTGTTTATGTATAAAACCTTGAAGTTTTCAAACAAGGGTAGACGAGCTCATTCGTATATCTATACATTACAATCATAGCGACAATGAGGCTGTGCAACGACTGAAAAGTGTCAACTGGGATGTCAATGTTGCTTTGAATGCATACTACGAATTAGGAAGCCATCAGCCGTTCGTAGGCAACACGACTTCTGGCTGCGATATCCGAGCCGTGGAGAGAGTTTTTACACAGTATCGAGGTAGTGTGTCGCTTTTTGATAAGGAAAGAACAAGAGAACAGTCTGAAGTTGGTAAACTGATATATATATATATATATATATATATATTGATATCATATATTACAGATCCAGAAAACAAGGAGATGATTACGATTGAAGGAACGATGCAGCTTTGCGAAGATTTGGGTATAGAACCCACTCAGCTCGAATTCTTGCTAGTATCTTATCATCTCGGTTCCGAACGCATGGGTGAATTCGGTCATAAGAACTTTGTACAAGGAATGATTCGGTTGCAGTTCGACTCTGTGGATAAACTAAAACGGGCCTTGCCTTCGCTCTTGGCAGCGATGGATGATCCAGAGCGCTTCCAACGTATCTACAATTATGCATTTCTGCTTGGTCGACAGTCTGGTCAAAAGAGTTTGTGTAAGTTGCTCTAATCTATCTATAACATCTTACCATTTGGTATCGCTAATGCAGCTCTCTCTTGCTTTCGGATACAGCTTTAGATGCTGCAGTAGAACTGTGGCGCTTGTTGCTGGCAAATAAGTTCAACTTTTTGGAAAACTGGATCACATTTTTGGAGGTATGATATATCACGCTTCTATTGGGGTACATTTTATGTTTCCTCCAGCTGGACTAAAGCTTGGTATTCTTTTTGTGTGAAAAAAATGTATGAAGGTTAAGCATGGAAAGGCAATTTCAAAAGATACCTGGTGCTTGGTAAGAAGTCATATTTCAAGCTCTGGTTAATGTGGCAAGAGGCCGATACTAATTAATAGTCCAATGTAGTTTTATGACTTTGCAAGCCAACCAAGCATTGATTTCAATAGCCACGATTCTGAAGGGGCATGGCCCATCCTTATTGATGAGGTATAATACATATACATAGATATCTTAATATCTTGATTGAATTTGGTCGAGAACACGGAATTGATTGGATGCGTATACTAACTACATGGACGGTAACCGGTTGGAATTTGTAGTTTGTCGAATATATGAAGGAGCAGCAGTAAAGATGATGTTTTTTGCTCCTATGAGACGATCTTCCATTTTCTTTTCTGTTGACGATGAAGGTGTTCATATTACAACGATACCTCAAGGCAGACCAAATCCAATAAAGCTGGTATCCTTGCCTCATAAGCTATTATAACCGCTGACTAGGATTCACGCTTGGATTAAAATAATGCTCTATTCCGACTCAATACAAGGATAAGAAAGCCTCATCTTCTCAGGATAACATATCGCCAAAACGATCTATTATTCTTGATATCCGACCATAAATTGTATGAACAACTGTTGTATCTGTCTCGAACTTCCAGCGCGAAATATAAAGCTGGAAAGACATTACACTATATATCCTATGAAACTTCGGTTCTTCCGACAGTAATCGCGGTCTTTGTTGTCAGGATAAAATAAAATGAAATGCACAGTTACATGGTAACTTTTTTAATAGCGCTGACTTGTAATTGGATTCAAGGTCGTCAAGGCAATCTGCGGTTTTCAAGCATCTGAAGAATAGGGTGTTGATAGAGATAGAAAGGATAGCAGTTTGGTAACTGATAAGTAAAACAAGTCGTATGCTGCCGTAGTGGCTTAGCTCTGCAAGCCGGGGTTGGGAGTGATGTATAGCGGTGCCGGGCAAAACATTGCTAGAGCTTCACCTACACTTTGTTCTTTCTCCCCCCGCTCTAATTATATACACACACATCATGGGTCTGACTGAAATCTTCTCGAGCATCTTCCCTACCGCATACGCCGAAGAGGAACAGGCTGCTCCCGAGGTCGTCGAGGAAGTCGTCGAAGAGGTCGTCGAAGAGGCTGAGCCTGAAGAAGAAGAAGAGGAAGAAGAGGAAATTGAAGACCCCAAGGAGCAAATCATGGAGGGTAACGTGGAATTCAACATCAACAACACTCCAATTATTTTTAGCCGACGCGTATACATCGACGATTATCTAATTTACTCTTGTATACTATATATTGTATGCATTTGCCTTTATATTTTAGGCTGCGAAAAAGACTGCGCTGCCTTGAAGCATCACCTTGACGAGTGCAACGAGCGCGTCGAGAACGGTTCCAGCGAAAACTGTAACGTATCGTCATTCATATTCATTGTGGCATATCAAGTCGATATGAAAGACAAAAAGGGAACTGACAGAATGGGTGTATTCATACTATATAGGCATTGAGGAATTCTTCCACTACATGCACTGTGCTGACGAGTGCGTAAGTATCACTTTATTATATTCTCAAAGCGCTACATACGCGTAATGTGATACGACGGACGATAACAATGTGGAAAGAGTGGATTGTGTGTACTTATGCATTACATACTTTTTTTTTCAAATCATTTAGGCTGCACCCAAGATCATGGCCGCCACTAAATAAGTTTAACTCTTTAGATTTCACCACAAAAAAAGAAAATAAATGGCTTTATCAAGGCATATTGTTATTTTTTGACTTTCCTTCAGGGACATGTCTTTGCATTTTATAATGATTCAGATATTCCATTTAAGTGTTTGGTGAAAGACATACACTCGTGTTATTCTTTTTAGATGATGCGTAACCATGCTTTTTTATTATTATATTTCGACATAACAGTAAAGAAATCAAAGACGCGCTTAGATTTCAGCCAACTCACGGAGACGACGGACGGTCGAGCGGACGGTGGTGGCAGCAGCGGTCCTATACAACAATAACACATCAAAGTTTAGTAATCACAGCATAATGTAATCATACAAATGGTTCTCTCTTATTGGTATAAGCTCGAGCACTTACGAAACGGTGTAGGCACCGCCGGCCATGGTCTTCTTGCAGCCCTTGCACTTCCAGATACCAACAGCTTGGCGCTTGACAGCGTCCTAAAGAAAAGAAAAAATGATACCACGTGAGTCGGTCTTGTTTCCTTTAATCCGACGATGAATCCTTTCCAAACGGTCGCAATTAATTTACCTTGCCGCAGAAGGTGCAGGTGTAGGTGGCGTGCTGAGTGATTTCCATCTTCTTGACCATCTTTCTCAGCGAGGCACCATAACGGGTACCGTACTTGCCAGTGATGCCGACTAATTAATCAAAATAGCAAGGAAACAAGAATGTTCAATGAGCATTTCTCGAATTTAAGTTCGACAATGTAACAGGTATCTTCAATTTTTACCTTTCTTAGTGCGCTTAGTCTATAGAAAGATCATAACAGATGGAGCTTCGGTGAGTATTCATTCTGTTCAAACGGATGGATGGATGGATGGATGGCTATTTAGCCTCTGTAGCTTACCATGGCGATCTTTTAGAAAAGAGGAGGACCTAGCTCTTGCCGAGACGAGTGACCCACTTACGATATGTTTCAGACTCCGTTGCTACAGGCCTAGTAGCTTCGGGCTTCGATGATGATGAACCTGGCGTACATTTGAAACATTTTGTCCCACTTCAGTATTCCGCTATTTTCTTATTGTTGTTGCCTGTTGATTGCATACGCACATTAAATGCCGCATTATGCTCATCGTATGCTTATCTATCAAAATTTGAGTAAATGAAAGGGAAATAAAATGAAACTTACATTGAGGACGCAACCGTGACGTGCTTTGGGGTCGGTTTGCAGTGTACTATTGAAAGGCTTCGTTCTTTATAACCGATCCGGATCATTTTACAATAAATATAACGAGCAAGCGCCCTGAGTTGGTCACAGATCGTTCAGGACCATATTTGCTTTTCTGTGATTGACTGTAGTGAGTTGTTGCTACTAATATGTGACATGAGCCAGAAGGGGTGCAGATCATATGGTTACAATCATACTATTTTGTGAGCTATTTCTGACATCTCTACTATTATGTATAAAGACATAGGATTAGTGCTGTAACTGTAATGACCTAGAAAATGCGTGACGGCTGCTGTCAAAATCTGCAAGATTTTACTGTGTTTGACATTGAGGGTGGTGTCTTTGTTCGTTTCGCTTGACCTACAAATCTCACCAAAATTTAAGGACAATAAAACATCCCTGCTGATGCCTTCTGTGACCGAAAGAAAAAAATGCTATCCCTAAGCACTGCTACAAAAAAAGTCAGTCTTACAAGGACATAACCACTCACGCAATCTTGACTAAGAAAAGTAACCCTGTTCGGCGATCAGAGACGTTCAGAAAGCTCGGTTTCTAGCATTTGTTTTTTTTAAACGCAAGTTCACTATGTGCTTGGGCCGAGCGACCACAACTGCCTGACAAAGTCTTTTTGTATCAAGTGTTACGAAACCGATTGGCTTATGGATTGCGTGAGACCAAGTTTCAATCCTGATAGTTCTTGGACAAATCGTCTGAGACACGTGGATATCAAAAAAAAGGGAACCCTTGGTAAAGCGCTCATGAAAGAAGCAGCGAATAATGCTTATGACAAGATAAAATACTGTTCTCTACAACAATGGCTTACAAAAAATATAAAGCCTACAACATATGAGATGTACAGGGTAAGTCTGCAGATCAAGATGTTTGATTATTATGTGTACTACACAATATGCAAAAATATCGATACATAATACCTTGCAATAGTTAGTATAATTGGATGTGATCATTTAAACTAAGTCAACACCACTTATGATACATGAGAGGCTTCAAATATTAACATTTCGATTAATTTACAACATAAACAATGGATAGAATAAATAGATGCCAAAATACTATACATGTCTAACCCCCAGGCCATCGGCAAAGAATGCTTAGCACTAATACTTGATTTCATAAAACCAAAGATCTCTTGCACAAAAAACATCTTTGTCCCTCTCTTTACCCAACACATCGAGTGCATGTTGCCGGATTTCTTCCATGATGGCTACACTTTCTTCGTCCGAATCGTCGCCCTTGTATCTTGCGCTGAAATGAGTCATTATGAGTTTTTGTGCACCCATTCGCTTAGCAAGATCTGCTGCCATCTGTGGAGTTGAGTGGCCATGCGATCGAGCACGATCCTCGACGTCCTTCAAAGTAATCTCTGGTTGTGATGACGACGTCGGTATCCGATCGAGTTGGGTCAGGGCATTCGTCGCTTCGTGTACAAGTAAGTGTGGAGAATTACATAGCGGTAGCATTGAGGAAGCATCACATGTATCTCCTAGAATGACAATTTGCCGACCCGGTCGTCGCGCAGGAGGTGTCAAAACTTCGCCATCCGGCAACGTTATATCAACTTGCGTTCGTTGAAGTTTACCCAATACAGCCATAGGGCTTTTATATCCCTTTTCAAGCAGTGCTTGAGCATTACGTTGGATTTTAGGTACAATGGTTGCGTGATCCAGTTTGCCCGGTTGCGAAGGTTCTTGGATCACGTAGCCAAGGGACGGAATCGAGTGCTGGATCGGAGCGGCTCGCACGGTCCACCCTTCCTTGTCGTCAATAGGTAAATCAAACGTATTATCCTTGACGTGAATATTTGTTCCGGGCTCTTCGTCAGGATGCCGATCCTCTTGATTCTCGTCCGCTACTTCTCCTTCCATGATCAGCTCGTGTACTCTATAATGACGTCCAAGACGCGAATATGTGGATCGAAGCGCGACGCGCAGCCACTGCCGCAGCGGCCGAGGACCGTACACGTCCACAACACCTTCATGAGCACGATTAGGGTTGAGATTCTCGGTCATTGTGCATAGCAGTGGCGGCAGCCCAAAACAATGATCGCCATGCATGTGCGTAATGAAAACTTTGGTGATCCGGCCCATTTTCAGATTGCTTTTTTGAAGTTGATGTTGAGTAGCTTCGCCAGCGTCGAATAGCCAAATTTCGCCATCGGCTCGGAATGCCATGGATTGGTGATTGCGTGTATGGCTTGGTTGTGCACTGCCGGTACCAAGAAAAGTTATATCTATAGGCGCCACCATTCTAGAGATAGGTCAAGAGTGAAAAACGAAAGGAGACGTGGTTTGGTTTCGAGAAAGAGATTTTTAATTTAAATACAATTTTATACACATGAATCGGAATATACAACTAAGTATAGATACAACTATTTAAGGGTGAGGCTAATCTTCATGAGGGGGAGGCTGTGGGGGTTTAGCGGATAACGCTGTGGTACAAGGCTTTGGTCGAGGAAGGTTTTTGTCTTTTGGTGGAGGTGCAGGTGCTGCGGCTGTATTGTTAGTAGATGTTATTGGGGTAGCTGTTGCCAAGGGTGATGTATTGCCTTTAGGTGGCACCGATTTGGGATTGGGTGTAGAAGGAGCGGCGGATGGTCCCGGGGTATTGCTACTGCTACCACTAATGGTGATGCTTTCAATAGAACTTTGAGGTTGAGGTTGAGCTGGCTGCTTTTGTGGTAATGGCGTGTCAATTCGCTCTGGTGTCGGTGTACTGCTCTGCGACAGAGGGGAGCTGTGCTGTGGTACCGAACGATCGGATGAAGACGAGCCAGTACTAGTCTTGGGATGCAGTGACATTGGCGAGGCAGCTGATGACGGCCCCGCACGTATTCGCTCTGGAGTAGGAGTCGCAGAGAATCCCTTGGGTTGAGCAATCCCATGATGGGGTGCTGGGTTGGCCCAGTCGAGTGGAGACGACGACGACAACGATGTACTCGGCTGGTTTCTCATCATCAACAGCGGTTCTATAGGCACAGTAGTTGCTGGTGGTGAAGGACGTTCGTCTCGCAAGCTGAGAGAAGTCATTGGAACTGGTGGATCTGATAACTGCACAGGAGGATGTCGAATCGGTTGGAAATCCATTTCAGTGAGCGGCGCTTCACTGTCGCTTGAGCCTGTTGATCCGCCCTTTTTATTCAAAGACCGTGTAAGCAAAGCTTCCTTAAAGATATCGACACTTCTGGGACGCTCCAAGAACCGTGGCACGGGTAAATTATGCTGCATAGCAAGGTTGATCCGCCGTTCCTTTTCGTACTCGTTCCATTTCTTCATGACAATGCGACTCGTATCGAATTCGCCCTTTCGGTCACCATGTCCACGATCCTTTTCACTGCCTTCGATCTTACGGGTATCACCCCATGAAAAGTCATCAAAATGCCAATATGCGTACATGGGCAGGACAAAGTTCCATATAGGCAGACTGATTAGATAAATAAGCATCCATCCAACGTATACAATCTTGCGACTCGTCATTACGATCAATACTGCTGGGAGACCGAGAATGAGTGCGAGCAAGATAAGTGGGATGAGGGCAGGCTTTCCAATAATCGCCAAAATGATGAGATAGAGCGTGAATGCGATAGCGGCTGGTAATGCAAGTGTACCGACAAGTTCCATAAAGACAACAAATTGCATTGAGAAACAGAATGTACCGCACAAGTCGTGGACAAACAAAAGTTCCATTAAATTGTGGATGGTTGAATTGATCCATCGACGTCGTTGCGAGAGGAGCACCTTGAAGCTGTCAGGAACCACGGTCTTGCAACTGAAGATGTAGATTATGTCAATTTTTATATCTGGTCACGATAGTCATGGTTGCATATATCGAAGATGGATACAACAACTTACACTGCCTGAGGAACAAACATCATTTTACGATTTGGAAAAATCTTTAGCATGAGCGTGGAAAGGTATCGATCCTCGCCTAGCAAAAGCAAGTTCTTTTTGTGCAGCGTATCGACGACATTTTCAGAGTAATGTTGAACTACATCCGGGTTAGCAAGAACGGGCACCCAATAGCCCGTTGGACCCTTGGGAGCCTTGATGCGATACATGCAGAAACATCCTGGCAGACACGTGACACCGCCAAAGATAGCTTCAAATGCCTTGTTCATATGATGGGAGATATAGTACTCGAACACTATAATGCTTTTTTAGCTTTTCTAAAAATAAAACTAGTAATAAAAAAAGAACGGAAAAAAAGGCTACTGCTTACCTTGAATCATGCTAACCCAACTATCGGTCTTATTGGCAATCTTTGTTTCGCCGCACAGCCCTGAGATTTCCGGGTCCTTGACACAGCATGAAATCATGCGTGTCAGGGCATCAGGATAGAGTTTTGTATCTGCATCCACCATGAGACAGATCTCATAGCTATCAGCAGGGACACCGGTTACTCTCCAGATGCTGTTGAAGAACTCGTACTCCATCTGAGTAAGACGCTCGTCGAAGATCACCTTTTGCATAAACTGCATGAGTACGATCTGCGAGTCACGTTTTCCACGGTTTCCGGGCTTCGCTTCCGTAGATTCTTCGGGAGTGCCGCACTTGACAATGGTCACCATGGGGACACGCTGTTGATGCGCAGGGTCCACCGTTTCGTCTTTGTATCTATAGTATCCTGCATACACCTTGGCCATGTTGTTCTGTTTGGAGCCATCAGCAATGGCAACATAGGCTGCAGGCTGGACTTGTTCTGGTGGAACAACAAAGTCGCGCATCATGGATATACAGGCATCCGGGGTAGACTGAGTGTTTCCGTGACCGGTAATAATACCGTCACAGATGACAAGAATAAGCTTGTGTGAGCTGGGATAGTCGCTTGTAGCAATGGAGTCGAGTGTCGTGCGAATGCCCTCTTCGCCTTCTGAATAGCAGGTGACGAGACAGATAGTATGTGCAAGAGGGAACTTGAAAGGCATGTAATCTGATGATGGCTGCTGTACAACATGTGGCGAAAGCGGGAAAGGACATGTTGTTGTGGTAGCCGACGATGACATATCCGAAGACGAAATCGACGAGCGCCGGGGAGTCAAGTCGCCTGGTGTTGATGAAAAGAATCGACTAGAGGGTGTAGTAGGTGTCATGTACAGAGACTGACGGCTCAATGCCGCACTATAATGCAGCCGTAAAAGGAACTGTTGTTAGCTAAATGCCATAAGAAGGGTATAGAACAGAAAACTTACGTGGAAGGTGCTTTCCAATACGGAGTAGGAGCCCGTTCAGCATCGAAACGTGTGATCCCGTGCTGTGGCTGTGTAAACCTTGAAGTTTGTGGCAGAATGCTCTTCTTTTTGTTTTGATTTGTCTGCGACTGCATGTAGGATTTTGGAATAGGGCCTTGGGTTGTTATGTTACGACTCCAATCTTCGATTTCAGCTTGGCGTTTCATACGGTCCGCATAGGAACCGCCTTCTTTAAAATTGCCAAGTCGCCATGACAATAACCATCCAAACGTAACAGCCAGTGCAAACTTTGTGAAAATTACACCGATAATAACGCACAGGGAAAGGTATAGCACAATTTGGGATGCCATGCAGCCAATGCTAAGCGTATCTAGTGATCCGACCTTGATCGTTGCTGCCAAACACTCCGCTTCCTTCTCCCAGTCTATATCGCTCCTCCGCGACGCCATAGCGCGTGTCATGTCTTTGCCGGCAAACGACGCTTCATCGGCGAGGATAGTTTCGATCAAGCCACCACTAGGATAGCTGGTATCCGAGGGTAAAGATTGAAGGAGAGCCAAATTTAGAACATCCCTTTTAAAGTAGATTTTGCATCATGTTAGCGTTCTCATTATCTTATACATTAGCTTCATTGAAGCAGTCCCTTATAAACCATACCCGTTATATATCATGAGACGACTCCCAGCATTGATCCGATCCCAATCATAGTACACACGTGCGGCCTTGTCGAACCCTCCTTGAGATTTTGGCACGCCCTGAGTTTTAAAGTCATTGTACATTGAACGAGCAGAGGACGAAACATGGCAAGCTGTTTGGTTTGAGAACTGTGATGGATCTGGTGCGGAAGATGTTTCGTTGGGATTGAACAACTGACATGGGAAATATATAGGGCCACTGCCAAGAACGTCGGAGCACGCAGATTGGGCGTCCTGAAAGAGGAAGGAAGCATCCATGCCACCAGCGTTGACGGGCGGGTACATGATGTTGGTGTTTTCGCTCGTTAGGTCACTGATCGGAGGATGACCGTTCCAGTCAGACAGCAAGTAGGCCCAACCGCTAATGATCAGGTAGCCAGCGCTGACTTCTCCGCCTTGCACTGACAAAGGTGGGGTAGGGCAGACTGCTTGTGTGAAACCAAACGTCAAGAAGCCGACAAATCCCATCACCACAGCGATGAACGAAAGCAGGCCGATCTTTTCTCGCCATGCCATATGAGCAGGACCCTCGGGTATACCTGATAGAGTGAGCATTGTCCTTGATTTAGCGCCCTTTTGTGTTTGCATGTATGGTGCATCAAACTAAATAATCTCTTACCACATGCCGTCAATAAGCTGCCTGGAATGCAGCAAGTTAAGATACGGCAGTAGAAAAGCCAGGGATTCGGTAACCGGCTCCAAAAGCTGCCCTGGTCGGATTCTGTATTAACTGCTCCTTCTGCGCCTCCGCCGCCGGAAACACTGGCGCCAATATGCCTCCGTGGATCGTCGTCTTCGTCTTTTTCTTCACGGCCCAAGATGCTTCTGCCGCGTCGTACAAGGCTCTGTTTACGTCCCGTTACCCGTCTCTCTAAAGGCTGATTTCCAGTGGTGCTTGGGGCCACACCCCGTTTACTGGCATGGCGTCGATAATGGTACTGTCGATGTGTTTCATCGATGCGTTCACGTTCAGGTCGAACTAGCGATTTCTGGCGTCGTGGTCGTTGTGCTGGCTGTGCTTGCAGCAAGTAATTATGGTCTGTGGCTGTCGCTGAGCTACTGGCGAAGGCGCTCTGATTGAGTGCAGGCGTATAGAACTGTGGATGCTGAGGCTGGTGTGGCTGCGATGGACGATGGTGGCTGTCCATACTAGTCTAAGAAGAATGAAAAGGACTGAAAGGTATATGCGATATCTACGATATGTTTGATATTTATCTACAGCTGCTTTCTCGCCATGAAACTGAAGAGAGGAAAAGTAAAAAAAAAAAAAAGATGAAAAGAAAAACCCACAGAGGGGACGAAAAGGAAAAAGGCGGGTACGCATTTTAGTGTGTTGCTGCATTAAGTGTTTTCTCATGACTACCACTTTGGCAAGACACTCTGTACGTACTAAAAATACCAACCCGACTTTACTCTTCACTTTCCATGTAACAGAAATAGCGGGAGGCACCCCACACTGCACTCGCTCATTCTCTCTTAATTTCTGTATGCGATGTGCCTGTGTGCAAATATTAACAGACCTCCTATTACCAAACACACCTGCAAAATCCTTTGTTTCAGCCTAAACATCTTGGGCGTATCCGCTAACAAACAGTAATTAAAAAATGCCGCTCTCTCGCTCTCTCCTTTCTTTAGCCCGGGTTTGCACTTTTCGTTCGTTGGTTTGCACATTTGTCGCGAAATGGTCAAGGCGCGTAACTTTATTCATTGTGCACCGTAGCACCAGTTGCCGACTTGATTTTTCGATCGACCATGCATCACCATAATAGTCAGCAAGAAAAATAATAGCGTAGCGTCACACACGCTATACACAAAAAAATAAACGAGAAACTCTTGTTTTTTTCTGCTGCTATGTCTTGCATAAGGCTATGATCTATCTACTTTTCGATCTACCTGGAGCATTTAGCATTAGCTCTATAAAGGATGCAACATGCATGCGCACAAGTGAAATGTTTTAAGGGGTAGTGTGATCGTCTTGGCTGCACTAATTTGTTTTACCAGGATATAAGAGTACTCCGCACAACTTCTTAATGACGACAAGCTGATGCAAAAGAGAATCGTTACGTACACACTAAATTGCACCTTTATTACCTAGACTTTGCTGCTCTGTAAGACCATACTCCTCTCTTCCGCTCTCTCTCTCTCTTGCCCTGATTTCCCTTGTAGCAGCGAACTTGAGGATTTTCTTTGTTGTGCAACGCCAATAAAGTATAATTTATACGATGAAATGATTCATTGTGCTGTACTTCTTGATACGTGCATACTTATTAGGTGCGATCAGGCAAGCGACAGCATATTGAATTGCCCGTAAAAGTTACCTGTCAGAAGTTCCACAAACAATATTGTGTGTACCATGTGAGATTTATATGATAATACAATGAAACAGCTATCGGTCAACCTCCATTATTGGGTGTACAGTCAAATACATTGTGAACTTACTTTAAACCCTAAAAAGGCAAAAAGCTTTTCTGTTTTTCTTTTCAACCGTCCGAACTCCTTGAGCCTGCGTTTGTGGAGATCTGATTGGTAGGGAAAAAGAGAGCCAAGTTCACCCGGGCGGTGCAACCCAAGACGATGGTCAAAGCAAATTAGGCCATCCACGTACAGTTGTATCCTCCTTAAAAGAATATAGCTTCATATGAAACAAGAGTACGTAGCTAAGAAGGCAGAAATATGACTTTGCAAATTGTTAGGTTCACCAAGCGATGGAATTTAGTAGCAAATGTTGAGCAAAAAAGATATACAAGGATGAGAGACCAAATAATCTTCTATGAAGTGCGCACCAAATGGCTATCTACTACACATCCTTTATCGGCTCAGTGGACGCTTTCCAGATTATCAAATGTACTCGTACATTGCTAGGTGGATCGCTCTAAACGATTTAAAACTGGCCGACACGACGGCGGACCGAAAAACACTAAGAATGATATTGGCATATAGTCGGTCATATAGCTGCCTGGTGCTATTACATTGTATACTTAAAGGTCTTACCCAACTACACTTGCAGTGTACTTGTTTGTTCTTTGAAGGGTTGCGCAAATAATAGAAAGCGAAGAGCTATATACAGTAGAGACATTTCGCAGCGTTACGCAACACTGTGACACATCTTGCACTGGACGCTTGTCCCATCTAATTCACTCTACACGTAAATTCGATGTTTTTCCAAATTCTGTATCATACACAGCAAAATACAAATGTCTAATGACACAACAAAGCTTTGTATGAGCGGCAGTGAGAAGCGGTGGCAGTAACAAAGCAAAGTGGCCATGAGAATGATTCAACATGCGTGGTGATGGCAAGATATGTGGTGATAATTTAAACCAATCAGACACAGTTAATTTAGTCTCTTTGCATGAAAAAAGATCGTTTATGTGTTATCGAGAAGACTTATGCAAACACAATAGAGCATTTTGCATCATCTACTGTTGACTTTCGTACATCTTGTTTTCTATTACCACCATTTACTCTGCGTTCGTACGTGTGTTCAATAAATGCTCATCATCCCTACGAAGGTTTTTACGATGTGTGCTTAGATATGCGTGACATCATGCGTGGTATCTCTATCATGCACAGTTATGATCTCAGCTCGACCTGAGTTCAAGGATAAAGCTCGAAAACTGCCAAGTAATACCGTACTTCACTTTCTAGAAGAACTTTCTTTTTACGTCGACACATTAGTATCTGCAGTAGTAAAACGACGCCAAACCAACTAACTATTACTAACTGATACCGAAATGATTACACAGAGAACTAAGCGTCCAATTAGGGCATTAACAAAATCATGTTCCGTAGCCTTAGACTGATATAATTCTACAGTAGTTTTTTTCAAGCGAGGCTATCTTATCTGTAGGATAACATATTAAACATCAAAAGGCATCCAGCTTCTTGGATTCTTTTGGTATATTCTGGGATTGGCGTATATACTTCATCGGAAAGTCTTGTTTGATGAAACTTTTTAAATAGCTGTATTATGTTATGAGTGTGTCATACTTCATCTAGAAAGGACTCTAAACAAAGTTTAACATGCTGTGCAACATAGTATTCACGGATGTATACTGCTTACAGTCTACAGCAAAGCAACAAAATATCATCTGGACACAGCCGTTCGGTTTTATGCGCGGAGGTTGAAGCTTAAAGGGAAGAGAATGCATTGATGGCTACCATTACTTTACACGACTCCTTCTTCTCATTTGGGCGTACACCCAGATGTTTCGTTTCGATTCATTTCGCCGGCCCGAAGCACCTAATCCTTCAGCGTTACCAGCATCATTGTCATCAAACAATGCCACTGAACGAATCACTACTTCTGCACCATCGTCCTCGACGGCAACCTCAACAGCAGGCGACACTAACAAGTCAACTAATTTTTTACAACGCATGGCAAGTGCCGACACTTTGCTGCGATCGACATCGTCAATGAAGCGTCCCAGTTTCTCAAGTCTGCAGACGAGCTTTTCGTCATCTTCCGCTTCGTCCTTCACCTCCTCCTTTTCTATACCCGTCCCTACGAATTCGTGGGGCATGCTTGCATTATCGCGTCTCAGAGCAGCAGACGATGGCGAGTTTGATGACATTATTGATCTTTTGTTGACACGTGAAAAGGTTGGAGCTATTCCTTTTTTTTTTTTAATCTGGTTGAGCTATGAAAGAGAAAATAAAAGTTGGATGAAAGAAAAGGGGCGTTTTTAACTAAAACAAAAAGGAATAGGCTTTACTGTTGCTGCCGGTGTCACAACCTTCACATCCTTCAGCTATCATTGACCGCGAGTTTATTCAAGATCACGTCATTGTCTATCAAGGCAATCATGATCAAGTCATATCGCTTAGCGGAATTCGAGGCATATTTCAAAAGTAGGGAAAGAAGTGGATAGAGATATAGAATGAAGCATGGGATCAAGGCTGACCTTATGTGCATGCTCATACTAGTGATCAGTTCGTGGCATTAGGTCTGCTGCCTAGTGAGAGAGAGATTTCATCCATCATGAGTGGGTCACCTGCTAAAAAGTAAGTCATATATCAATGGAGAAAGGATGACCATTGCTTTATGTCTCATTTTCCAACCTTTTTCTTTCTAATTTTTCTCTCAGCAAAAGAACTCTCTTTGACACTTTCAGCTTGGACCCGTCATCTGTCAACGCAGATTGCCCAAAATACAACATCCTAGCCAGTCATGTACAGCTGCCTCTGCGTGACGATAAATCCATCACAACAATGTTAATACAGAAACCGATATCGAAAGCAGAAGTGATTGATTGGGCCGAATCTCACGCAGAGAAAAGCAAAAATATGAACTCGTTGAATATCACGCATTTATCTGATACGGCGGGAAAGGATCCACGAGTCAGCGAGTAAGTTGCAGGTATGGAGCAGCTACTTAGGGCATGCATTAAATTTTTGCAATAGGTTCATAAAAACCTATCGAAAACGGCCGCCACGTAATCTGGATCAAGCTAGTGGTGCTATGCTAGATCTTTTGGATGAGCTTTCTAGTGATATGGACGACGAAAACATCGACAAAGTCGAATCCTATATATGCTACGAGCTTTATGACTGGTAATTCTACCTCTTTTCCTCCTTTTTGCATGAGCATGATATGCGTGCAGAGATGTTTGCCATTGAAACTCACGGGGTTTTTGGAGCAGTTTGTTTGCCACCCCAGGAGGCGACGAGTCACTACAGGACGAGGCACTTGAGTCTCGCATTGCTGCATTAAATTTATTGGATCTCAACCTGGAGCACCTCGGTGTTATTGTCGAAGATCAATCGGAAACGGACGACATTGAAATCGTAGTAAAGGAAGCTGGTTTACAACTTCAGCAATTGAACTCGATTCCGGATGCAAAAGGAAAACTGACTGGACTGGTCAGAACACATCAGATTATTGTTGGTATGTCCAGACATTCTTTTGCAGATTTTATTTGAGGAAAAATATTGCCGCAGTCATTGACAAGGTGAATTACATATGCAGATGCTATTGAAAAATTCGCAGAAAGGTATCGGAAGGCAAGATTGGATGGCGATCTGGAAGTGGTCCAAGAGATGAAACAAGCAATGTCAACTGTCAATGACGAAGAGGTGCACAAGTCGACCAAACCAGCATCCAGCGACCCACCTATCACTGATAGCACCGACGAAAAAGCAGAACCATTTGAGCCACTTTCTGGTGCTCTTTCTGCTGACACTACTTCGACGACTTCTAGTGACAAGAAGCTACCAACAGCGCCCGCCCTTGATACAGCAGCTGCTAACGTTAGTACACCTGCGTCGGATCACCAAAGCCTTCGGTCAGCTAGCGCAGATGTGTTATTGCCACTCCTCATTTTCACGATTGTCAAGTCGAATCCACCCAACTTTCTGTCAAATCTACGGTTCATCCAACGTTTCCGACGACCGTCTCGGGTTGCTGGTCAAGAGAGCTACTGTCTCACAAACATTGTATGTTCATAACTTTTAAAAGTGTTTGTTGTGATCTATATTAACAACATGTTTCTTTTCTACGATAAGATGGCTGCAATCTCTTTTCTGGAGACTACAAACCTTGTTGGTCTTGGACTATCTGCCGACAAGGTGCTTAGGTGAGGTTTATTTTTATATAACTACGTGTCAATGAAAATGGGAGAATTGAATGTTGTTTTTTACTTTATATATTGTAGCAACGTGACCGATTTCAACGCACCTGTCGTTCCATCTAAACCAAACTCCTTACCACCGAGTCCACAGCAGCACCAACAAAGAGCAAGCGAGCTTGGAGCACCAGGAGGCCTAAAGATTATGTCGGATGTCATGGACAGCTCATATAGGATGTTTGATGGAATTGGCAGGTTATGGCAGCGAGATGGTGCAAAGGGACCTGCACCGCTTTCGAGCTCCACATCGACCAGTAGTGGCTCTATGATGGATCAAGTGATCAATCGTGTACGGGCAACATCGATTAATGAAAGCGAATTAAAAGACATGCCGAGTGGCAGTGCACCTAAAGAAGAGCCTAAGGACAGTCGAATAAGGGTACGGATATACTAGAATTCTTCATACCGATAAGGACTCTGTGATAGGATGCTAAACGTTTGACTACAATCAAAAATAGTCTCGACCGGATGCAGCATTTCATGCACTGTTACAAGCACCCTCACAATTTATCCATTCCGTCAATAATCCCAGAACGAATACGGTGGATGGGCCTTTGCAAAAGTTTTTGGATAAGAAGTCGGTGGATGAACTGAAGATTGGAGAAGTAGCTGAATTGCTAGCAGATTATAAGCGTCTTGCGGCTATCATAAAGCAAGCTAATTTATCTTAACATGATCTGAAAATACGAATTCTTTATCTCTGCTGCCTTCACATCAGTGTGTGTGTGTGTGTGTGTGTGTGCACACTGAGGTTGGTTATATTGGATGAGCAATACATACACATATATGGCCACAGATAATACGCGGTGACATGATCTCCCATATCATCAAACGAAAGCACCATGGAAAACGGCTGTGTGTGTGTATAATACCACTGCGTGATTCAACTTTCCAATTGATTAATTTTGGCAGCAACAGTCACCAACATCAATGCAAATCCCGGGCGTGCGACGCTCTGGAAAAGACAGCCCTACTTTTTTGTTTTTTTGAATACGCTACAACCATGTCGACGACTGCCGATCAACCTACACAATGGCCCCAGTTGCCAACGATCGAACTTCCTCCATTTCTTGAGTTTCTCAAATTAAAAAGCTTTCCGTTAAAGGTCTATCCACCCGTCTACGAACGTCCGAAATTAACACACGACACGCTATATATTTACGGGCCCGGTTGGAGGAATTCATGGGGTAGTTTCGACGTGGAATGTTTGCAAATGCAGGTATGTTTCTTTTTGTACATACCACATTCTCTCTTTCCAGGTCTCTTTTTTGTTGGTCTTTAGGCAATGTGAAGCATAAGCAAAACTGGTTAATGTATACCTTTTTTTTTTTTCATGTGTTGCTAGATCTACCTAAAGTTTTGTGATATTGAGTTTGAAGCAAAGAACAATAACGAGCCCAACAGTTCACCCTCTGGTAACGTGTTCATGTATAACGACAAAAAAAAGAAAAACAGTTCATAAAGCTCATACAAGAGGTAAAATCTTCTGCGTGTATACAGGAAAGCTGCCATATCTAGCAACTGTAACAGGCGCTGTTTACGACACGGATCAAATTCACAAATGGGTTTCTGAAAGGGTACGGCTTGTTTCATTCTAGGAGCAGATGTGGATGAAAGAGGGATCATCGTGACTAAAAAAGCGTTGCTGTCAAATATAGAACAAGACAAAAGCATTGGCATCAATAGCTGACAGTGAACAAGCTAAAGCATTCATTGCATTGGCTCGTACAAAGTTGCACGCCGCATGGGTAACATCAAATTTAACTTTAACCTTGGGGGGGGGGGAAATGGATACACGTTACTTAAATTTCTCAAAACAAATAGCTCTTTTCAGCATGGCTTGAGCCCCTCAATTACTCGGAAATCACATCAAAGGCTTATTACGGCCATGTTCCTGGACCGATAAACCATCTTTTGGCCTATCAGAAGCAAAATGAGGTGGTACACGAATTGTTGACTGATCGGGACATTTTGGTCCGTGAAGAGGTGCGTTTTTCCTTTTTTTGCTATCACTGGTCAAGTAGTAGATTAGGAATCTGTCATTTTTATATCAAGTGAGGTTACTTAAAAAACATTCATGATGTTATAGATTTACAAAGATGCGGCACAGGCACTAGAAGCCCTGTCCATTAAATTGGGCGACAGTGCATACTTTTACGGCTCTAGGTAAGCCTGTTCGTTTCAATTTTTCTCACATTCATCAGAATCATAACACTTTTTTTCTTGCTCCTGTGCTCTTGCGTATTGTATAGTGAGCCTACTTGGCTAGACGCTGTCATCTTCTCATACATTCATGCTATCATGTCGATGCCGACCCTACCTGGAAGCACGTTGGGAGATGAGGAGAAAAAGCAGGCAACTACTCTGCGGAACTTGGTTCGCAAGCATGAAAATCTTGTCCGTTATGCCAAGACCATCTACGATGAATGGTTAAAATAAAGCATAGGAGCACTAAAAAAAGTGCTGTAATCTATGATCAAAAGCTGTTATAGTTGCTAAATAGAAAACGTGTGCGCGCAACACTCGCCAACAGCACCGGTACGATTTGTTAGATGATCATGCGAGACCAATTTGGATTGTTGTGCAAATTGTTTGCGCCACAACATATTTTTGTGGACCCGTTCAATCATGACATCTTGTCAAGAAGTAATCAAGGAAGCTCACTTTATATTTTGTCTCGCTTCTTTCTCTCTTCTCTCTCTCTCTCTCTCTCTCTTGTGCTTACATAACAATGCGTCTTACATTTTTTCGATTCAAACCACGGGCTGACCAGCAACCACATTCATACCACCACAATAATCACACATATCCTTCTTACGACGATTCACAACAAAAGCCCCAACACTACTTTCACCAGTTGAAAGCAAATGGTGCTCTTGTACTCCATCGACCACGACGGTCGTCTATGGATGAAATACTAGATGGTTCATTTATCGGTACCCCGCAACCCTCAAGCAACAAGAAGCCTAAAATACCAACATGGTCACCTGCAACAGCTTCTTCAAAACGACATCGCCCCAGTATACTAACGGCTGAAGGAGAAGGACCTGTTGCCACTGGCAAGGGTGGCGTTGGTGGCGACAAGGACAATTTGCAACAACGTCGGCAAGAGCTCCTTAAGCATTACCTCTCAGAACACCAGCACCAAAGTAGCAAACTTTCATCTGGACCACTCTCTCATAGGAGGAGCAACAACAACAAGATCAACAGTGACAATAACAACAAGATAATCAGTAGCGATATGACGGAAGTGGTGCGAGAGGAAAAGCTCGAGCGCGAGGTACAACATTTGAAACGCATGGTAACACTGCTACGCACCATGGTCTTTTCCTCCTCTTCAACGAGCAGCAGTTTGGATAGCAGTGGCAGTGACACGAGCGACGATGGTGCATCCCCTTCTCTTTCTCATCGGCAGGCGAAAAATGGCAATGATACGAACAGCAGCAGCAATAATGTAACGTACGAACGCAAGCTGCAGATCCTATTCCAAGAAATCAGTGCGTTACACAAGGAACAGGAGGCTTCGGCAATGCGGCACCGAGAGTTGCAACAACGACACGACGTGCTTTGCGCAAAGCTGTGCGAGAAGGATGAAATGATTTCTTGTTTGCAGAGTGATTTGCGGGCGCTGATGGTCAGTAATGAATGAATAAATTTTATTGTTTCTTGCCCTTTTTCTTCTTTTTGGATCCAACGTTTTCCTCTTCTCTTTTCCGCTTGTTGTCATTCTCCGTTTGTGCTACTGTTTCTGCTGAGGGTATCATATCAACTCGGATCGCTGCGCTCACAGTTGACTTTCGTGTTTCTAAAACCCGCCATCCGTTGTTAGTCTAAGTGACACTGCTTTACTACTACGAGAAAGATGAATATCACATACCAGCTTTCAACAAGAGCCGTTCACAGTTGTGCCCAACAGCTGCTTCTACTTGGTCACGTCGTAAACCGAATAATAAACCACTATGATTTGCAGAGAAAATATACTTAATAACTGGACCAAACGGGCAAGAGAAACCGAGCACCCGAACTTACAGCATACGCAGATCAGAAGGTTGACGAATATCCAAGGCACGCAGTGCCTCGCTTGAGAATATTAAATTATTTCCTCGCGTAACTTCAACAAGTCGCTTGACGTTTGTGAAAAACAAGGCTCGTTCCTTGGCTATATTTGAAAATTAAATTCATTGTCATCGCCATCCTCTCACTGCCCCCGCCCCCCCCAACGATCAACTGCTTACTGTGAAATGTCTGAGCATAGCAAATCTCAAAAAAGATGCCTCTCGAAGTAGCCACCTGTGCTGCTGCATGGTTTGGTATGACTCGTTTTGATGCACAGTTGATGGAAATGATATCCACATCGTAGTTTTGACAGGCGTGTTTGGTAGCATCCAACGTTAATGGTCGCACAGCGAGGATATCAACCGATTGATTGGCAGCGTTGCTTAATACCTGCATATAATGATTTCGAGCGTAAGTTCATTTATATATACACAAGCAATTTTTTCTTTTTTAAACCGTCGACTGTTTACTATTTGATAGTTCTTCTTTGGGTTTTCGGCTTCTATGGTAACGCGAGTCAAAAGTGTTACGCCGCCGCGTTCAAACTGATCGCGTTTGACCGGCTATGAATATGAAAATGAATCGGTCATTTCTCTGTAGCACTATCATTTTTTTAACATACTGTTAGACCGAAAGAATACCTCTACTGCTTTAGAAGTGAACGGATCCGATGTTGATACATTAAAAGCAACTGTAGCATTTTGTACTGAAGAAGGGCGAATTAAAAAGCAAATGGTCAAAGTGAGATTCCTCTGGGCAATGCTGCTCGTCTGTAGAATTTTCCTTTCGACCATTGAATTGACTTACTACTCTGTATCCGTGATAAAATTCGGTCTAAGCGTTCGAGATCTTCTTGATTGGGAAGGCTTGGGAAAGGAATGTTAAAGTCGTAGAACATGTCAAAAAAAATAAGCAGGAATTTTTATCACACCGAGTACACTTTTATAACCTTCTCTCTCCGCTCCTCTTTCTCTATTTTTTATTTTTACCTCCAAAAAAATAAGTTGACATGAGCGGCCAACGATTACTGCTATTGCAGGGCTCACGACTCCAGCCTTTGAGAACGATCGTTTCCTTAAAACAGCAACGTTGGTTTAGCCATTCCTATATTCTACGCAGCAACGGCAAACTCGGGCAACCGGCGCTGGGACGACCCTTGTCAAATAAGCAAGGCGACAACAAAATCACCAAAACCAATTGGGCACGCAGCAAACCAGATTCCACCATAGGCATTGCGAATCAACGACGATCTGTTCCCGAGAAGCGCGATTGGACACGTCCCGCGGATCTCGAAAAAAAACAACAACAGCAACAGCAGCAATTCAAAAGCAAAAGTAGAGACACAGGCTTTAAAAGCGGCGGCGGCGGCGGCGGCGGCAACGGCAAAAGGTCTTTTGGAGAGACAGCGAGCCAGCGCAAAGAACGTAAAAAGCGTGAAGAGAAGGTGGCCGTATTGATGAAGCAGGAAGAAACGGAAATGCATAAGCTACGAGCAAAGCAAAAGAAGGCAGCAGAAGTAGAGCAACAGACGCGCGATGTGTATATACCGGAAATCATCAATGTCGCCAATTTATCTCGGATCCTCGGCATACGCTTGGGTAAATTACACATATGCGGTTTATTGGTGGATAGGATGTTATTCCTTATAGCAGATTTGAAAGGCTGATAGTTTTATTATAGAGCAGGCACTTCAGACGATGGAGGAGTTGGAAATGGATAACCCGTCGCATGATCGCAGTAAGTGAAGTACAGGATTTTGAGACTACGGATTGTTTAGTGATACATTTTTGGATAATCAGTGCTTAATGCGGACGAATCGAGTTTGATTGCTATGCAATTGGATATGAACCCAATTGTGGATGAGCGGCAAGCTCTGGATATATTTCCAAGGTACGTTTAAGTTATCATAGAGCAAGTCTTGCGCAAGCTGACACTAACGGCCATCACATTCTAGACCTCCACCCGCCGATACGAGCTCATTACCATTCCGTCCACCTGTAGTGACCATTATGGGTCATGTCGATCACGGAAAAACGACCTTGTTGGATACCCTGCGTAAAACATCAGTTGCTGCTGGTGAAGCTGGTGGAATTACTCAACATATTGGTGCATTTTCAGGTAAGGATCGTTCTTTTTTTTTTCATTTGGTTTGAACAAAAGAAAGGGGGTGGGGGGAGGGGCTTAATGTTAGCTCATCAATGTATATAGTCCAACTTCCATCAAAGAAGAGTATTACATTCTTGGATACCCCAGGACACGCTGCGTTTTCATCAATGCGTGCTCGCGGTGCGCAAGTGACGGACATTGTGGTTCTTGTTGTTGCAGCGGATGATGGTGTGATGCCTCAAACGCAAGAAGCTATCGAGCACGCACACAGTGCCAATGTGCCTATCGTAGTAGCCATCAACAAGTGCGACAAACCTGGCGTGGATCCCAGTAAGGTGAAACAGGAATTGGCACGCTACAATGTGCATTTGGAAGAGATTGGAGGCGATGTACCAGCGGTGGAAGTATCTGGTCTCACGGGCCATAATCTTGATCAACTCGAGGAAACCATCTCTACACTGTCTGAGATTCTGGAGCTCAAGGCTGAACGAGACAACGGAGCCGAAGGTGTGGTCATTGAATCACAGGTAGAGAAAGGACGTGGCAACGTGGCCACCGTGCTAGTGCAACGTGGCACCTTGAAAGCCGGGTCGACGGTGGTTGCAGGACGTACTTGGTGCCGTGTTCGATCAATGACCGATCATCAAGGTCGCCCTGTCAAGGAAGCTTTGCCCGGAACACCCATCAAGGTGATCGGATGGAAGGAAGTGCCCACAGCGGGTGATGAAATGTTGCAAGCGCTTGATGAGGTTAGTAGTTGTGCTCATACCAAATCGGAGCGCTGGATCCGATAACTCATTGTTTGCTATAATTAGGGTACTGCCAAAACGGTCGTTGACAACCGCAAAGCTCGCCAACAACGGGATCAACAGCTCAAGGACCTCCAAGTGATTAATGACAAGCGTCGTCAGCAACGTGAACAACTGGAGCAGGAACGCTTGATCGAACGCGAATACAAAAAGGAAATGTACATGTTCCATAAGGGCCTTATTGACACCCCACCGGAATCATTAGGCAAACGGCTGAGTGCAATTCAGTCTTCGCTGCAGGAAGATGAAAGCGCCGAAAAGAAGGAAGACATTCTTGAGTACCGAGCGGTCGTAAAAGGTATAGCTTCTTGTCCAACCACCATGTGCAGCAACTCCACCATCCTGTAACACATACAAACCTTTCTTTCTTACTATCACAACTACGTAGGCGATGTCAGCGGAACGGTTGAAGCCGTTGTGGATTGCTTGAACGGCTTACGGAATAAACAGATCCAGGTCAAGGTGGTGGAAAGCGGTGTCGGCAACATCACCGAAGGCGATGTTCAGCTCGCAGCAGCTTGCGAAGGTCATGTTATTGGTTTCAATGTCAAGGCGGATAAAAAGATACAAGCGGAAGCGAGCAAGCGCGGGATCACAGTCCGATCCTATTCCGTCATTTACAAGCTTTTGGAAGAAGTGAAAGATCAGCTGGGTGACATGCTCCCGCCGATTGTCACAACACAGGTTGTCGGCGAAGCCTCTATCTTGCAGATATTCGACATTAGTATCAAAGGGCGGGAAACACGAGCGGTGGCTGGCTGCCGCGTAACCAACGGTGCAATCCAAAGAAACGGACGCGTTCGAATCTTGCGGGACAAGAAACAGATATGGGAGGGTGAACTGGACGCTCTACGACAAGTCAAGAAGGATATCATGGAAGCAAAGAAGGGCTTGGAGTGCGGCATGTCGTTTGAAGGATTCACGGACTTTAAGGATGGGGATGTTGTGCAAAGCATACAAACGATAGAAACCAAACAAAAACTGTAGATCTCAGCCATGCACAAGAAAAACACTCATCACACGATAGAAAATACAATTTACTTTTTACCAGAGCACTGTTCTGTATATATATATATATATATATTATGCATGTGTGCGGCGCTGCCGCTTATATAATGCTTTAAAGGCCATGCGCCACTCAATATTCACAGGTTACTCACTCTTGTAATCTCATCAACCCGTGCTAAAAAGCCAATCCTAGTTTCACGATTGAGAATACCAGCTTGCTGAACAATAACACGGTGCGCCAGTCATTTTGTTTGTTGTCAAGGTGACAGTTGCCATCGAGTCATTAACATTGTGTTACACGATGCATCGTTTGCCAGTTGAACCATTTAGAGTTTTTTGACGTCAAGGCAAACGAAAGGACTATTCATGAAGCGTGTCACAAAAGCGCAGAGGACCCATCATGTATCCCAACAAGTCGGGTGTGGTTTAATACTTTCTGTTCTTCTTGCATGCACCATGTAGTACACACAGTGGTTCGGTTCAGGAACTAGAAATTGCTGTACAAACTACTACATATTGCCAGATACCAGCACGGGCGGAGGAAGAATACATTCCTGTCCTATTACATCATGCAGCCACGCGACCAAAAACCGGATGAGGCGGTATCGACCTGGAGTAGGCGTGTTTTATCCTTGAAATTCATATGGTTGGGAGGCATTCAGAGCCTGAAAGGTAACAGCTTGGTCATGGAATGATTAAGCCAGATGTACGTATGCATCAGCGCCACTATGAGGAATTAAGATTTGGTAGGTAGGGCGACATCAACACCATACCTGATTTGAGTGAAATCCCCTTCGGGCCTAATGCTTTTTGAGGCGCAGGGAGCACACACGATTGGTGAGCTATTTTTAACAGTTTCCTTCTTTCCCTCCTACCCCCTCTGCCCGCCCACCCCCAACTCCTTCAGCATTTCTCCTCTCTCAGACAACAGCATAAGCATAATACGCATGTATCAGAGGAACGCATATAAAAGGACACCCGTTGCCACCACTCTTTTTTCTTCTCTTTCTCTTTTTCGGTATTTCACATCCGCTTTGACACTCTCTTCATCTCGTTTATTTAACGTGTACATATTCCAACATGGCCAGTCTCCAACAATGGCTGAATAAACATCGACGACCTAGATCAGCACTCTACTTACCTACTACTACTACAGAACTACCTCAAAAATGTGAAAACCGCAGGACCATGTCCTGGGTGCAGCAATCATCATCCTCACCGAAGCTGCAACAAGAAGACCATGCAGAGCCGGCTGTGCGAGCAAGCTTAGATTGTGGGCTACCAATTCCTGCGCGACATACCAGTAAACACTACAAACTCGATCCAGAATTGCAGGCCAAGGTGGACCGAGTTGTGTCTAGCGAGAAAATTCGATTGCTGTCCAAGCGTGTCCAACGTCAATCAATGCATCCTTCGTGTTCCTGTCTGACTACTACCATTCCAGAACAAGAACACCATCATCATCATCATCATCATCATCATCACCCTCAATATACACAACAGCAACAGCAACAGTATCACAACAATCGTCTTCATCATCGCTCGTCACAGCCACCGCCACCTGCTCCTCGTCATTTTTCTACATTGAAATGATCTAGGACTCACAAAGAACCGCGCAAGGGCACAATGTCCGAGAATACATACCACCAAAAGTAATTCAAAAAAAAAGTTCTCCTCCTTGTTTTCTTTTCATCTTCCCCACCCGCCCCCCCCCTTTTTTTTTCTTTTCTTTCAGATATTTCTTATCATTATATATACGCGCGCAAGTCTACATTTACATTATTGCATCATACTCCTTACTACCTTTGTAATATTTGCCTATTTTAAAGCTGTTTAGCAAACATACAAAGATACAGTACTTTCTATGTAATAACAATCATGCGAATTTTAAAACAGCTCATTCTATATATTAGTCTCTATATCTTTCAAAAAAGGAAAAGCGCTTATCGAGAGTGTGATTGACGCAAATGGTATTACTGCAAATTCAATGGAGGTGCGTTATCGTACCATGAGTTTGGTGCTGAATAAGATGGCATCAGCATCTTCTCAGCCTGTCCAAGCCAAGCATAGGTAACAAGCCCAAGAGTTGACCGCCTCCTATAAACCCCATAAAATGCACTCTACACACATTTCTGTTTATTTTTACTCGAGTAATTTATGCATGCATATCGATAGCAAGCGCGCCAAGTAATTCAAAGCTCGGAAATTACACCTTTATTAAATTAGGACGAACTCAGAAAAATAGTGAATGTTCATATCTTTTGGTGAGTCACCTAGTGCTAAGAGACATGTGCTTAAAAGAGATATGTGTGTCAGAAATGTTGCTTTCTATTTTTCAAACTTAAACGAGCTAATGACGAAAAATAAAAGTTGTCAAAGAAAATGGCATATAGCAGTGATGATGACGTTGATGAACATGGGAAAAGTGGGGTGGACTGATTCCAATAAACTACATGTATGTAAATACGGACATGTACATGATAACAGCTTGCAGAAGGATGGTAACTCAACTGCATTATTTTGCTCTCTCAGATTGCTGGTTGTTGTTTATATTATGCATATCATCCGGTGATTTTCAGGGTGTTTTCTCCACTCCTTTATCTTTTGCGCCTGGTGGCGTAACAGCCGTTTCCTCATCAGTTAGTTTCTTTAAGGCTCATTGATGAATGTTGCCTGGGTCTGTACAGTAATATCTTGATATTAGGAAGATGTGAAAAGTATAAGCCCCCTTGATAATAATCACTTTATTCTTTACATTAATAAAAAAACAGGTGTTGCACAATAGTCAATTAGTTTTATATTCTAATTGCACGCTACTGACGGGAATGTTCATGATGATGACAATGATCTAGTGCACACGAAACACTCAGGCGACGTTTTCGTAACATCATTGTTGTGCCATCATTTTTTAGGGAAAAAACCATAGCCTTTCCAAAATGCAGCGTTACGTTTTAGCACTACAATAAGTATTTCAGCACCTGAATGCATATGTCTGTCTTGTCCGCTACTTTACACAGATGTTCCGGTTTTTCGTGCATGACATATTAAGGTGAAGTCAAATAATGATGCCATCGCCGCATCAAGTGCTACAGCTCGAGTACTACCTACTATAAACTGTAGCATAGGAGTACAAAGCTTTATTTTTTACAATTCTCAAAATGCGACACGAGGTTCGCAAGTGATATGACTGTAACCATCTCACATCTTTTTTAGATGCCATTTCGCGCGAGAGCTTATACTGTATCATTACGGGGCAACCAAAAAAATCTTCTTGTGCAATACATATGATAGAAGCTGGAGAGTGGCTGAGTAAACGAAGAGCAGCGATCTTGTATTCTTCTAAATACTTTCTTGTTGAGGCTGAATAAGATATACAATGTATGGGGAAAAGCTTATTTCAATGCTTGTACTACACTTACTCAGGTCCTCAAGAAACACGAGTAACTAAGATGCTTTTTCGTCAGAACAACACCAGAATTGTTTCTGTACATGTGTAAAGACAACTTTAAATTCTATCAACTAACAATCACTACAGTAAGCTTTCAGTGCCTCGTAAATCGAATTGTGCAGCATGTATGTAATACACCGAAAAAAGTGAGATCCACTGATTTCAGCAAACCGTCTCTGGTGCCATGAGTAGTATGTAGTGCTATTAGTATAAATAAGCTGATAAACATTTGAAAAACAAGCATAGAACAGATTACCAACGTTTGCGTAGATTATATCTTACGAGGTGATCACCCTACTACCACGTCTCACAGTGTAGCAGCAGCAAGTACAGTTCCATCACTTCGCTGCCATGAACAAGATTTCAATCCTAATAAAAGTAGAGAACGTATCATCGGTTGTCGTGCACTTCTAATAAAGGACGTAAACTTTGCTATTTCGCTTCTTGTTCCCAACTTTTACTCAAAGATAAGAGAACGTAAGCCATTTATGATGCGCTTTCATACTATCTGATCAAATGGCACATACTGGCGCGAACATTGGGTTGTAGACTTTTCTTTAACCGGTACAGTAACCCGATTACGAGCCATTCTTACTCTTTGGTATTGGGTAAATTTTTCTATACTTTCGAGTAGATAATAAGACACAGAATGAAAGAATGCATAAAAGAGAGGGGTTTCTTGAGTCATACAAATAACAAGCAAACAATAGAGAAATTACAATACTCTTCAAAGTTAATACTTCAAAAAGTTGCATGAGAATTGGAAATATCATCTGCACGACAAGAGATACTTTTGTCAATCGACTCTATGATCAGTTTAATAGATGTTCCTGCCCGAAAAACTGACAACTGCTAATAAAGAATAGCGTGCATTAATATGATTAGCTGTCAAAAATATTACCTGTATGAAGGTTATAGTGAAATGCACAACTGGATAACAAAGGAGCCATCGTCGTTTCTTTCTTTTTCGTGTGGACAATATTCTAAACCATGACAACAGCAATTACGTGCATAGCGTCGCTATATCTTTTGTTCAAGAAGTTCCATGCTCTAAATAAGGCAATTCCCCTGTTTTCCTCAGCGAATGATTTGCCTGAACAACGCCCTCCCCTTCCCTCGTCAAGTCCGCTCGACATAGAGAGCTTCTTTGCACATACTTTTACTTTAGAAAATGTACGGCAACAGGAACACAGGATCTACTGCATTAAAGCGTCTCATGACAGAATACCGAGGTATTTTGCTGCTATTTCCATTTTTTTGCTGTCATGATCTTCTAGCAATGTGGATTGTTAATCGATTGGGTGCATGTAGAGTTGACCTTGAACGCTCCTGAAGGCATTACCGCAGGTAACACTCTCACACACCGACTTGGGACGTTTACGCTCAACACACTGTGAATTCGAAATATTTACAATCTCGCTGCCCTTTTTTTCAATATTCCACAGGTCCAGTTGACGAAAACAACTTTTTTGAATGGGAGGCTCTTATCGCGTACGTTATATTACTTTATCAATGACTATGGCTGTTAAGGGAGAGGATAAAAATATATGTAAAACGAAAAGAGCTTTATATGGAACGATCCATGCTTATATGGATAAACTCATCCTATTGACAACACATAGTGGACCCGAAGGCACCCCGTTCGAAGGTGGTTTATTTCCTGCTACGCTTACCTTTCCCAAGGACTATCCATTGAGTCCTCCGACCATGAAATTCACCTGCGACTTTTTCCATCCCAACGTATACGCCAACGGTACCGTGTGCATTTCCATCTTACATCCTCCAGGAGACGATCCCAACATGTACGAAAGCAGCTCAGAACGTTGGAGCCCGGTACAAAGTGTGGAAAAGATTCTGCTAAGTGTCGTGAGCATGTTGGCCGGTTAGTCGTCTACATAATCATCTGCTTTTGCTCTTGTAGAAACTCAGTATGCTGATATGAATGTTGTATAGAACCTAATGACGAAAGTGGTGCTAATGTGGATGCCTGTGTGAGTACCTTCATCCTCTTTTTTGCTCAAAAACCATATTGTATTCTATGTTTGTTGTTATTGAGTGCTCACACATTTATCCAATTTATCTAGAAAATCTGGCGAACGGATCGCGAGCGATATAATGACATCGTCCGACAAAACGCAATGAAGACTCTTGGACTGTAATGGATGATATTAAGTCAAAAATAATTTGAGACGGATTGTCTAGTGTGATAGAGAGTAAATTCATGATTTCATACCTCGTACTTCTGGCTGTCATATACATGACACAGCTTACATATATTTCTTCCCGTTTATAATCTTGGGTGCCATTTTTTCTTTTCCATATACTCCCGTATTAAATTACGATACATTTCGTTGTATCATCATTTACTGTGCATCTTTTTTTTTTCCATAAAAAACGCAATGTAGAAAGTGTTATCATCCACAGTATCGTTGCCATATATATTGCCAGAGGAAAGAAGGGAACCACAGTCAGAGATTATTTGAGCCTAGAGACAGCTGATGTTGAATTGGCTTGTGCGCCAACGATTAAATTGACAACATTTCTATTGCACAAAAACGTGTCTAGCTCTTGTCTTCGTCGAGGGGATATCCACACCACTCCACTAACATATGTACAACAAGAAATGCATGCATGGCTGCTTATGAGTTTTGGTTGTGAATATCAAGATGTTGGATACTCTGCCCTACACAAAGTAGGAAAAACACATTAAACAATATATCTATACAACAATCTATAAAACAAGGCATTTTGAGTAGTATGTATAATAGGGACGGCATTCTACATACTGATGAAGGTAGTAGTAACCTTGGTTGTCATACAGTAGCAACCAAACGTCCTGCCCACAGCCAACAAAGTAGTCGGAGTAATCACGGTGTTCAAAAAAAATTTTTTTTCTCAACATAAAACTGTGAGTGGCGTTGGCAGTTTTGATTCCCTTCTCTTTTCCAGATAATAAGGAAGGTACGGTATCCTATAACTCGCAACTCGACTGTAATGGTTTGGCGTAAGCGCAACATTACTGACGGTCAGAGTTTTTTTTGCTGTATATGACACAGATTCTTTTTCGCGTCCCAGTGGGAAAATAATCGAGTTATCTGATTTGAAATTTCAAGATGCAAATCTTTGTCAAGTCTCTGCAAGGCAACACCGTCGCTTTGGACGTTACCGGCTCGTCCTCCGTCGCCGCCGTCAAGAACATGATCGCCGAGCGTGAAGGTAAACCATTGCGCTTTTTAGAATAATATTCTGAAGGGGTGTAAACAGTTTGGAATGTGTGAATTAACACAAAACTTTAATGGTGTAATTCAGGCATTCCCGCCGAAGCTCAGCTTTTGTCGTTCGCCGGCAAGAACTTGGTCGATGGTGAGCTTTCGGTCTACGGTGTCGAGAGCAACAACACTCTCCACTTGAACGCCGAGCTTTTGGGTGGTGGTAAGAAGAAGAAGAAGAAAACCTACACCACCCCCAAGAAGATCAAGCACAAGCACAAGAAGGTCAAGCTCGCTATCTTGAAGTTCTACAAGGTTGACGAGTCTGGCAAGATCACCCGTCTCCGACGTGAGTGCCCCAACGCCACCTGTGGTGCTGGTGTCTTCATGGCCTGGCACAAGGACCGCCAGTACTGTGGCAAGTGCCACTTGACCTATGTCTTCAAGCAGGTAAGTTGATTTAAAGTGTATGGGTTGGGTTGCGTCGGTGGCTTATACGGATGGGATGACTGATCCAAATGGTTTCCGTTCCTTAGGGTGAATCTGCCTAAAGGCAAAGATACACTGGCATCTTTCTTGTAAAAAAAAGTTTTTTTAATAAATGAGCTTTTTTTTGTTCACCATCCAACCTCTTTAATCCAATGATAAATATAAATGACGTGTGTGTGTGTGTATTGTGTCCAAGTAATAATTAATCATCGTCAGATGCTGGTTCACTAGAGGGTGCGTTGGATACTTTTTGTGTTTTTAATAGCTCCTTATGTAATGCCTGCTGCTCTTCCAATTCGCGCATATTTTCTTCCCGTTGCTGTAACTTCTGTCGTCGCTCATCGTCCTTTTCCAGCCCTTGTCGCATCAGCTACACAATGTGTAAATAGTGTAAGCTACGCCATTCACAGTCCAACAGACATGCGTGCTGTTGCACGTCAAAAGTGTAAGCCATTACCTCCTTCTCGAAGCGCTGCAAATAATGGACACCATAAACGGTGCCGCAGCAGAAGACAACCGATGCACCCAATGTCAATTTAGCCTTGGTTGACATTTATGTAGAAATGGGATATATAAACGGAATGGTCAGGAAAAGGAACTGTGGCTCTTTTGGAGGCCTTGCCTCGGACTGCAAAAACATTGGGAATTACCATTTCTGGCTTCTTCCTTGTAATTCTCATAAAAGCGTGCATGTAAAAAAGTTCTGCCAGCCTCCGCTTACTTGTTCTTATATCGCTTTTTCTTTACATTTCACTTCTTTCTTGCTCTTTTCTTCCACAACGTATTACTCGGCCGGAAAAACATGTTGGATAATCTGTGGTCAAAACTTCTCTCGGCCAGAACCGTAGCTGCTACCATCACATCACCATCGCCCACGGTGTCTTCATCCTCCTCCTCATCAAACAAATACCATCATCATCATCATCATCATCAATATCGTCGCGACCACACTATCCCACATGCAACATTGTTGTCATGGCAAGAACAAGAGCGTATTCTTTTTGCAACCCGTATCAAACTGCGGCAACAGCACAGTTCCAATAAGCTACGAGACACTGTGCACCTGAGAAACATGCTCAAGAGACTACGTCAAGAGTTTCGAAATGAAGACGACGACGATGATACACCCCTTGCTATGTTGCGCTATAGAGTAGCAGCATCCACATAATACAATTACATTATTACGCAATCGATACCCCACATTAATTTCTTTTTCTCTCATCATCTATACTACTTCCCATTCCCTTCGTTGGCCTGTAAATATAACCTCTCAAGAAAACACATACCACGTGGCTGCTGTATCTTCCGACATCTTTGTTCTATTTTGGTTAAAGAAGTAAAAAAAAAAGTTTAATCTGACCTTTGCAACGCCGAACGCTCGCTGAATTTTCTTTCGGACAGGACTTATTGCTATTTGTTTCAAGTAACACTCTACCTTGCAATAAAACGTCAATTGTCCGTGTATGCGTGAGTTGCATATGGAATAGTTGTACGGTCATCACATGTTATAATCAAGTTGTTCTTAAAAGCTAGTAAAAGAGAAAAAGAAAACAACCAGAAGACAGCTCTCTTGTAAACCCGGGTAATTGTCATCCGTCGTACAATTGGCCTGCTTTATTTTTAACCATGATCAGGGCCACCTACTTATTTATACTATCAGCCACATATTCTTCCATTTAGTATTTGATATCCGCGACCGTGTTTTATACTTGCAGCAGTCTTGCAGGTACACATGGTGTTTTATAGTAACTGCATGAAATTACTATATACGTGCTCCTTTTGGGCAAAGCGCATTTATAATTACTGTAGGTAATTTGCATAGAATTTGGATTATGGTTAAACATGAATCGTATTCCGATCCTCGGGTGCTTATTACCGAGATCGTTGTATATACAATCATCGATGTGCATATCCACGTGTTTGCCATTCATATCGTTCTCGCAAGATGAGTACTTGACTATATTCCACCGCGACGATTCTTTATCCACAATTCGATTTGCAGCACCTTTTCTTGCTAAATGAGTTATACAATACTGGAGCCAAGCACAAAAAAAAGCTGTAGAAAAGATGCAATGCAATAGCTACTTTTCTCCTTTTGAATAAGTAATAGATGGTATTTTTCATTTATTTATTGTATGAGATAGTCAGTTTGCCATTCTTTAGATTCAAGGTTGAATTTTCAGAAACCAAAGTACAATCACTGACAAGTAGCTCTTGGATGGTTGTTTGATTATTATCGATCAACATGGACAAACCAGTTTTGGTAATACCGTTACATCCAGACAGCACCAGTCGTTTCAAGCTTCCCATGCTCGCACTGAGGCTCAGGAGCGTGTCATCCGTAAGGTTGCTGACATTTCGTAATGTCAAAGACTGGAGTGCACTGCCGCTTTTGCAGTTCGCCAAGCTGAATATGCCTTCTGCAGACAAGGTCGAGGTACCATAGCACTCTGAATGGTCGAGTTCGAGTCGTCGCAGGCTTGTTAGATCCTTGAGTCCGTCAATAATTTCGTCATCTACCAGCACATTTCCTCCGAACGATAATTCTTTCAACCGGTTCGGTGCAGCCAATAAGCGTTTGAATCCAAGTAGAGTCGTATTGTTGGACGCCCAGGTCGTGAGAACGCTTGGTTTTTTCACGTTAACAGCCAGTTTGCGTAGCCGCGGCAATGCTGCAAGTGCGTCTGCCACATCGTCATCGAAATCCGTCTGTTCATAATCTAGCACGACTTGGTTCAACGCCTCGGACCGTCGCAAAAATGTACCCAGAGGCTGGTTCGGCAACACGACCCCTGTCAGATGGACCGACTCCAAATGTTCCGCAAGTATCGCCTGTAAACCTGACCAGCTCTTTTCTTCCTCATCATAAATTCTGTAATTGCCTGCAATGCGTACACTTTTGAGGGTATCCTGATGCTTTTTGAGGAATGGGACCATCTGTCTTGCTCCATATCCGCCAATCTCGGCCGAGATGAAATGGCGCAGACCCCTGGATCGTCTTGTGCCACACCGTCGTGCATATGCTTCCCAATTTGCCCCTTGTTGCTGTGAAACGACAGCGCCATGGAATCCGAGACATTCTAATTCTGGACACAAGCGTGAGCACATGTCGAGATCGAACGTTGTGGGTACGGATTGGTTGACGACAAGACATCTGAGCTGTGGACAATGCTGTAGGATCGCACCAAGTCTAAAGTCACTGTATGAGCCAGTGTTGAGGCAGAGGTATTTGATGGATAACTGAAGAGTATCTGGAAGTAGTTTGGATGATACGCGCGAATAGGTATGGTAGTCAGGACGGTCGCTGAAATGGTAGGTATAATGTGTAAGATTGGGGCACGACGCCATCATATGTATTGGCGACAGCCGATAGGGATGATCTTCAAAGGAAAGTTCTCGTAGCGTGCTTGAAAAGGGTTGTAATGCTACTTGGTAAACGTCTTGGTGGACCACATTGCAACGTCGGAAAACTAATGTATTCAAGTCCTGTCAGAATATATATGCATGAACCAAGAGCAATTTTTTCCAATTCCTATTTTTTGTTACCTATGGACTGGATATCGCATGTATATTCAAGCAGGGTAGCAAGGAACATGGAAAGTTCGTCTCTGCTAGATGCAGATAAAACAGCTTTGCGGACGTGAGGACCCAGACATTGCAGGAACCGCTGGTTCTTTAACCGCTTGTGACGGTCACCAGGCAGCAGTTCAACTGTTCGCCACAAGTGTGTGCAGTAGATTGGAACGCGTTCGTACCACGATTTGGAAACTGACATGCTTTTGATGCAGTCATCTTGTGTTAGGTATGAAAAGATTTCGCTGACAATGTCAAATGGAAGCGCATCCATAAAGCCGATAGTAGATCGTGTTGTAGTAGGTTCATACATGGGAATGGTATAGTGGTGGTAACCGGTGACTATTTACAAAAGACAGTGTGTGTGTGTGTAAGAGAGTTGGGAAGAGCAAGGGAAAAGGAGGGAACATTCTGCATGTTTGTATATGCCTTGGATGCGAGCTTCTATGGCGTACGATGTGGTTCGGGGCAGTTGCATATGAAAAGCAGGTGAAGACACTGAGTGATTAGGTGCAAGAATCAATTTTACTGGTGCAAACCCACCGTCAGCCTGGGAACAATTTGATCTTGTACCACGAAAGAGCATGATTTCACGTTATCTCTCTATTTATTGCTGCTGACAACATGTTTCTCAAGCTGCTCTTCCTAGCCTTTTCCTTTACATGAAGTGGAAATCTAAATACTACACTTTCTAAAGCTGCCTATCTGGATCTTTAGCAGAAAACTATTATTCATATCATAGCAAACTCTGACTCTTTCCCCAGAGTATGGGCATCGCGGAGATTTTCAAACACTCTATTCTTCCGACTATGATATCGATTGTTTTAAGCATCATCATGCGACTCCATGTACGGCTTTAATAAATACGGAAACCATTATTCACCATATATTAAAGCAGTTACTATTCGTTTTGAAGAGAGCACATATTTAAAAGTGTCGATAATGATACAAAGACACGGTTTACTATCTCTCCTGAATGAATCGGTCAAGAATGAAAAGCTTGTTGCTAATAGCGTTGATGGGTAGTACCACTTACTAATGACAAGTGATCATTAGATTCTATTTTGCGGTGATGAAAACCTTTTTTTTTCCATTGCTTCGTTCGGCCGTGACAGTTCTCGTTCATTTACATATTGAGTTAATGTCCGCTATGAATGTCAGTAGTATAAGCAGCTCATGCTCCAAAACATCCTTGATCATTTGCTTACTCTATTGTTGATAGTTGACTTTTTCTTTAGGGGACCAAGTTGTTCTCGATGTCATGCTGTTATTCTGGATAACATGAAAAAGCCATCTCCGTTTTGGATAGGATACTTGGTACTACGTTATTGTGAATTTTTGATGATCTTCTTCCTTTCGGCAGCAGTTGCCTTTGGCTCACTCTGAATTAGATTCAGACACCAATGATTATATAACGAACACGGTTCGTGCTGTTGTTTTCTGCTACTCTTTTTTACGATTCTCAGTGCAAGCTTTTTGAGAAATATGCAGGCCATCGTTTGACGCTGCTACATGGTTCGTTGTTGTTGGTCATGTGGTTGGAATTCGATTCGAATGTTTGCTTTATCGATTATATCTTTCTGTCGTGACAGTTTTCAAAAGGTGCTGTCTCGTACTATATATTCACCACGAGGGTGTATAGCTGCTGTTATTGTGTGTACTTGCCGGGTTTTATGATGTGGTTGCTGTCGAGCTAACATCTTCTTGGTGCCTCCCCTTTTGCGTTACACTTTCCTATGTTATTCAACGTCCTTAATCTCGTATTACGTGCTGTTCTCTGCACTTTACTACTGTAATACTTATTTTTCAGTTATACGCACAATGTTTTATATATGATTGCAAGTATCGATCCGACACTTGATGACAAATTTGTAGTTCCAAGTCTGACAGTGACCTTCCGTTGTCCGATAGCTCGGCATATGTAATGTTTCAATAACCGTACCAAATCTCCTCGTTGTCCGTGTATGTTTTACTATGTCCAAATGATCGACTTGTTGATGTCTGTAATACTGGACATGCTGCTTGAAGGGTGTTGTATAAATGACTTTTACATCGTATAGGAGAAACTGTGGTGAATCACTGTCTGTGTTCCATGATTGGTTTAGCTTTTTGGCGAAGCCTTACATTATAGCTAGCTAGATGGTGTGAAAAAACGCTTGGTGGTTGTGCATACATACTATGCAATTTTGAGGCGCACGCAGCTTTAATTACCTGATTGGACAGGTGGCCTTATTGTTACTGTTAAACATCCACCGGATCATCCTATTCAACACCATTTCTTTCTCTCTTTCTGATTCTCTTTTATACACAAGACCAGCAACCCGTCCATACAGCCATGATGAGATTTGCCAATACAATCGCCATCGGAAAACTCAAAAATCCAACCTGTCGAAAAGCCATGTTATACTTCCACCCAAACGTGCTTTCATACAATCTAGCGGTCTCGCCCACTGCCATCAAATCAACGTGTCGTTCCAACATTCACTTGCTGTGTGAACAGCGTGCGCAAGAGTTCAAAGACGTCGTGGAAGACCTGCTGTATTATGCGAGCAAACACCACAAAGTATATGAGCAGTACTACCACTCCTACCCGACGACGACGACAACGATTTATGCGGACATCGAGCCCAAATACGACAACTGCTTTAAAGTTACAAACTTTAATGATCTTATCCAATGTGCATCTATGGAAGAGAAACCAGTTGCAGTGCGTCTGGCAGGGGACATGACACAGTTCCCACTCGATCCATTATTTGAGCTCATATACAACCAGTTGGACGTAAACTCGAAACGGCCCATTGCACCTTACGACACGTTGTATCAGATGATGCTCGTACTATCCGGTGCCGCACAGCATTCGCGCCGTGCACGTTTGGGTCTCGATTACTTTTCAGATCTTGTCTCGTATATGGTGTGCATTATTATACTCCAAGCCATCATCCATAAACACTAATAACCGGAATTTGAATCGCATCTATTGTTTCTAATTAGTTTGGAGAGTTCCATGGTACTTTTAGCTGGGAATGCAATAATGATCACCATCAAGCACCCCCTTTGCTCAAAGACGGTAATTTACAAGATCTTGACATGGACATACCATCGTTGTACCAGCTCCACTGTGCCGGGTTCAGCATCCGACCGATTCCATGCTTGATAAAAGACGGAGGCATCCGAACCTATTGTCCAAGGAAAAGCGTCGATATCCAGATAATCTCGCCCGTCGACCTTCGATACCGCGACTTTAATTTTCCAAAGCATTCCAGTTTTAGAGGTTACCATGCAGACGCGCTGTTAAAGCTGGCGAGGCTTATTCCGGATAAGCAATCGTTTGACGTGGCCATGGCTACAGGTATTATTCCCGAAAACTTGCAGATCACGTATGTCTGGTGGAACGACCATGTCATATTGGAAGCGTACAGCTACGAATCGGGCCTGTACACGAACGTATCCATGAAAAGAAGTAAGGCCACATGCGCCGCATTGCGCGAACTCAAACACAGCTATGATCGTCATACCAAGCGTTCATTTTTTCGGGAGATATGGGCGTTTATGAAAAGCAATCGTCTCGAGTTCTTGTATAGTTCAATCATGCTTTTGTTTGCGTTTGTCAGCTTTTTGCAATTGCTTGTTGGTCTTGGTTTGTTGTCGCCTGTTCAACCATCCACCGTGATTTGCTTGTCTCCTCCAACCCTTTCATTATCATAGTAGTAGTAGTAGTAATAGCAGTAACGAGCTCTTTTTTTTAAAATGTAAACTTGTATAATTGATGGGATGCATAGTATAAAATAAAATTGTATGTACAAAAAAAAATAAATGTAGTGAAATGTTTGATTTTAAAACCTCCCGGTTTGTATCGTTTATCGTCTTCGCTTGTTGCCGCCACCCTTGCCTTTCTTTATCGGTAAGCCAATCTTCTCCTCACGATCTTCACCATCATCGTCACCATCTCGACGTCCGCGTTTGGAGCCTCGTGCACCACCCTTTTCTTTGAGTTCCAGTGTGGCCATACGCTGGGCGTCACTGACACGTTCCTGAAGCAGCATGACATCATTCTTATCGACATTAGGGAACTCGTCGAGCTTACGGTCCAAATCCTTTTCGATGCGCTGAATCAATTCGACGTCGTATTGGGTGACAAAAGTGATGGATTTGCCGGATCGACCTGCACGGGCTGTACGACCGACACGATGGATATAATCTTTGGAGGATAGGGGAGCGTCATAGTTGATGACAATATCGACGGAAGGAATATCAAGACCTCTGTATAACACTTGTTTAGAGAAAAAAAGTTGCCCTCAATGTATAATGGAAATAAAGAGTCTCGATAACTTACCTGCTTGCTACATCAGTAGCGACAAGAATGCTCTTTGAGCCAGCCTTAAAGTGATTCAATGCACCAAGACGTTGTTTCTGCTGCATCTGACCATGTAAACATACTGCACCCATACCCAAATTTCGCAGCATGTAGGCAATCTTTTGGGTGTCGTTGCAAGTGCGCGTGAAGATAATTGTCGAGTTACCGGCCAGCTCATTCAGCAAATAGACCAAATACCAATCCTTGTGAGCCAATGGGAAGAACATGTAGTACTGCAACAGGGACTTGACAGTCGAGTATTTCGTGGCGACTTCGACCTTGACAGGTTTCGACAAACTGGCACGCTGAAGCTTGGCGACCTTGGTCGTCATGGTCGCCGAGAACAGAAATGTGTTGCGTTCGCGGGGAATCACTTTGAGGATCTGGTCAATTTTGGGACCGAAATCCATGTCCAGCAATCGATCGGCTTCATCCATGACAAGATACTTGAGGCTGCGCAGGTTGAATCCTTTTGTGTTCTCGAGATGATCCTGGAGACGACCGGGTGTACAGACAATAATGTGTGGGCGTTTCGAAAGAGCGATGGATTGGGTCATCATGTCCATACCACCGACAATGACGGCGCAGCGGACGCCAATGATGGATCCAAGCGCTTCAAACGTCTCTGAGATCTGGTATGCTAATTCTCTGTGTACATAAAACAATGGCGGAGGAAGAGATTATGCGTAAGTTTTATCCGTCTATGCCGACTACTACAGAGAGAAAAGCATTCTTTCTTACCTGGTGGGTGCCATGACACAGGCGAAAAAGGCTTGCGGGTTGTCCCAAAGCTTTTGAATGATTGGCAAAGCAAATGCTGCAGTTTTACCAGAACCAGTCTGGGCCAAACCAATAATGTCTCGACCTTCCAATGCCCATGGGACCGATTCCTTTTGAATCTCGGTTGGGTGTTTGAAATTCAACTTTTCACAAGCTTCACTCAGTTGAGGAATGATTCCCTACACGACCGTAATCAAGTCAGTATATATAAAAAACCCCAAAGAACGCTTTAAAAAACAATGCAAAAAAAATGAAAATAATACAATACCAGTTCAGAAAACGAGGTTTCTTCGGGTTTCTTTTGTGACAATGCCTCCATGTCAATGGAAGGTTGTTCAACAGGTGCAGCTTCAGGCATGGTTTTTTTTTCCGAGAAAAAAAGAACGAGGATAGATCGTCGTCAACAAGGAACACAGCTTTTTTTTTTTTTGCTTAAAAAAAAAGTTTTGCATTTCCGCTTTTGGAAAGAGCGGGCGGATGCTTATATGCATTATGAAAACAAGGTAAATCCCCAAGCTGCTTGCCTTTCAGGGTCATCATCCTCACCCATCATCGTCGTCGAGAAGACCAGTATAGTATGTGGTAGAGGACAGCTGTCTCAATATCTTGTTGCTTAGCTATCGTGGTATTGCCACGAATCACAGAGTGTAGTCATGGCAGCTTGTTGCAGCTAGGATACTGGTACGTGTAGTAAGGCTACACATTGCATTTGTCTTCTGTGCATTGCGCTGTTGTACTCGACCTATTTATACACAGTTATGCTCTGCTCTGTCACACATTGCTCTGGCTGTCTTCAAGCTGGTATTCTGGGTGCCTACGAGGCATCAATGGATGGTTTTTTGACGAGCAAGACGTGAGAGAGTCATCTATTTTGAAGTAAAAAGGGCTTATCAGATTATGACGATCAGCCCTTCCAAGTGTGCTTTGTTATTATCAAGTCATAATGGCAGCACAACGACTTCTTCCAAGTATAACGTCCCGCTTTGCTGGCTACATACTATGTCTTTTCATCCACGTATGATATGAGCATACCAGCAGGTCGTTCATTGCCACCACCACAACGTTTCAATAGATATGGATTGTACGCGTATGTTTATGTTTGAAATTACAGACTGCTACTAAGAGATGTCATTGTTGTTGTATATGACACATGATGTGCTTTTACATTGTGTACATAAGTGATGCATTATTAATAACAGTTAAAACATAATTCTATTTCTGGCGGAAGGGATTTTGGGGGGGCATTGAAAAGAAACGAAAGAAAAAAAAAAGGAGAAAGAGGCGATCGTTTTTTGTGGCACTCTTTTCCTGACATATTGCCACCCTTGATACAAGATAAAGACATGCAAGGGTGACAAGTAAGAAATAAGTCCAAGCAATCATTGACTTGTGAAGAAATGCAACAGCTTTATTACAAAGATCAGCTTACTCGGTCATATGATACCTCATGCTTCGTATGACAGCTCCAGGCAACTACAGCGACTACCACTGTAGGTCATACATGCGACATGAGCGGAATAACAATGTGCTGATTATAGAGCGGGACGTAGGCCACTTAAGAACCAAAAACAAAAACTAAAGTTGGCTTACACAGAATGGCAAAAACCATGTGGTGTGTATATTTAACATGTCAATTACAAGAACATCCATCCTATTTTTGTTCACGAAACATGGGTCTAAATCTAGCATTTTCCACCCTATCCAACAATAATAATAACAACAACAACAGCAGCAGTGTCAACGTCCATTAGCATTGGTGCCACATTCTCTGTGTGTGTAGCAAACAAACAAATGGTAACGAAAGATAATAAGCTTACCATGGATGAAGGGGTGCACAAGTCCGCGCACGCTCAAAAGTAAGTGCGGGACAGCGGTTCCTAAGTGGATAATATTACCATGTTTATGATCACAGCATCAAACAACAACAACGGTGATTCATCGCCCGAAAGGTCTCTGCCGACGAAACTCAAGAAGCAAACAGAACATTTAACAACGACAACAACAACAACAACTGCTCACGCCACTATTTTGCTCGTTTTGCATCGGAGAAGAGAGTCAGCAATCTACTTGTAATTAATACTATTTACATGTTTTTCTAACCAATTTTAAGCGTCACTATGCAGCATTAAATAGCAAAGAAGAAGAGTGTTCTGAAGTTGTTGTTGTTGTGCTGCTCAGGTTAGTATAGATAACGGGCCCGGGCGTCGGTGGCAACTGTGCGTTCTTCTCTTGGACGCGCGTTTTTTTTTTTACAAGTGACAGCTTAGTAGAGTAGAGAGATCTGAGCGGTGCCTAGGCCAAAATCAGTCGGAGACAAGGGCATGCTAATTGCTTCCTGAACAGGTAAAAAGGAATCTGCCATGATTACCAAGTTTACGTACATACATGACACTATGCATTAAGTGATGATGAGTGCTGCAGCAAGCAATAGTAAACCCCATCGTATACAACTGAAAGCAAGCGAAACTACTCAAAAAAAGATCTAGAGTGAGATGTGGGTGGTTATCAACATTATCATCGCCATCGCCCAAACGGCCTTCTAATGATGTGCTGCACGAACGACAGGGTTCAGATTGCTGGGAACATCGTGAATATAGAGTAATAACAGATTTGAGAGAATAAGGAGAAAGCGAGAATAAAGGGGGGGGGAAAGTGAACGACACATGCTGATTGTTTGGTGTATATTTACCCAACTCTGTCACTTGGTGGCCTACTACCTAGAATGAGAGAGAGAAAAAGAGAGATGATCTTGCAAGGCGCACAATGAGTTACGGTCAGACCAACCCTGCTGTTGTGGTACTTTACAGCTGATGAAGATCCCTTTCAACTCTAACATTTACCTTGTGTAATCAATCCTCTTTCTTGCCCTACTGCAGTGCTGGGGTATCTGTTGCTCAAACAAGCCCCATTTGTTGTTGTCGTCGTCGTTATGCCAAGCATGCGTGCTTTCAAAGTAGCTTCGGCGGCGGCAGCAGCAGTCTAAGCATCCGACGCACAGCGTGCATCATTCATAACAAAGGGGAGAGAGGGTTACCTGGTGGAGATTGGGGGGGGGTAGTCTTAAGCTGAGACAATGGACATTTTTTTTATTGGGTCGCGTTACACACCCACACACACACACACACACACACGCTACACACGAGAAAGAGTTTCTCTTAGACAACCACCCCCTCCTTCTTCTTCTTCTGCACACTCACACTCGCACACACACAAATTAACCTATATCCTCTCCCTCCCCCACACCCCTCCTTTTCTCTCTCTCTTTCTCTCTCCCTTTTGCTTTCTCTTCTTCCACTCGCTCTCTGGCCTCTTCTTGTTCTTCTCTTGCTCGAATCCCATATAAAAAGCCTGCTTTCTTTTTCTTTCTTACCTTTCTCATCAGTGAATGGCGCTCAAGGTACCGTATCCTATCTCACCTACAGCGAGCCAATCTCTTTGCATTTCGTCCCCATTACTAACAGCGAATTGATCCGCATCCATTCCATATAGCTTGAATTAGAGCAATGGCAGCATGCTTGCGAAGCCTTTGATAACAGAGACTACGACTCCGCGCTCAGAGCGTTTTATGTAAGCTATTGCTTCGAGAAAAAATACACATACACGCGCTCGCGCACTCGAGAAGAAGCACTCACCCATGTATACACTATGTAGAATATGGCGGATAATGCAAAGATGCACTTTAACATTGGACTGATCCTTGCGTCGCTGGAAGATCATGAACGCGCGGTAAAGCAAACATCGTGCACTCGTCATCATCGTACACACCAAACTAATTATCCACTGCATTTTAGATCGCAGCCTATAGCACAGCCATCAGCATGGATCCCTTCTTTGCGGTGGCATACTTCCAGATGGGCGTATCACACTTTGTACTGAATCATATGGAGGCGGCAAGGCAGGATTTCGATAACGCACTTCAGGTACATTTGTTTTTTGTTTTTTTCAAGTGGAGTTATTTTATCTCTGTGTGTGTGCGTTTTGCAGGCAGACAGGCCCAGCTAATAGCGTCTCCTCTCATCGCAAAACAACAAAAAAGAAACTGCGCGGCAACCCAATCATCAACTATCAGCAGCTGGGGCTGGCCTTTCGACTGTATTCGTGCGAGGTCCTCTTCAACCGAGGCATCTGCCAGCTCTACCTCGGCAAAATCGACGCAGGTCTCACCGATTTATACCATGCACAAAAATCCAAAATGACAGAGGAACACGAGGTCATTGACCAAGCGGTGCGTGACCGCGGCAAAGGCTATTCGGTCTACTCGATCCCGCCAGGCGTGCTGTATCGCCCACCGGAAAATCGTCTGCGCCAGTTACGCGGCGTCGACATGTTTGCCGCTGCGGATAAGCTGCAGCGACTGCAACAGCAGCATAAACAACCGTTTGCCGGAGGTGGACTGGGACGCAACAACTCGGTGCTCTTACGGCGGCAGCCTCAACAACAACAACACCCACAACCACCGTTACCACAGCCATTACCACGATCCATACCCCCTTCTCCGCTTCCTTCGAGCTCAACGTCCACCACATCCTCCTCATTTTATTCCAGACGCCCCACCAACCCATCTGTACCAGTATTACCACAACAACCACAACTCCAACAGTCGCGCAGCAGCGACCATCCTCGCCGACGAAAAGATTCCAACGTGACAGACGACTGGGGCGACTCACAGTCCTCGCTGTCCTCCTACAGCTCTCGCTACCGCTCAGACGGACGACGCATCGACAGTGGATTCGAATCGACCCATGAACAAGACCGCTATTCCTCCTCCTCATCCACGGGCAGAAACTCGACCCGTAGCCACAAAACCAGCCGCTACTCACCGCCGCCTGTACCGCCCATTCCACGCAGTCAGAGCAATTACGACGAGTTCGACTCGCCCACGACGACAAGCATCACCACAGCAGGCACAAGCCAGTTTGACTTGGAACTCGACGAAGTCTATGGATCGCTCCACAACCTGTCGATGCATGCAGCAGGCAATGGCAGCAATGCGAGCTTGGATCGGCCCTTCACGCCACAGCCGTCCACCTCAACGTCGTCGGCCAAAGACCTTCCCAACAAGATCAAAATCAAAGTCCATTACTCGGACACGCGCATTCTCCTCATGCCGACCCATGTCACATTCGACGAACTCTTGCACAAAGTACGGCACAAGTTCAACGCACCGCCTTCATTGCGACTCCAGTACAAAGACGAGGACGATGAAATGGTCATCATGATAGACGACGATGATCTCAGTATGGCACGGCAGATCTGTAGGATGCGCAACGGTAGCAGTCCGGAGCGGATGGAGATCTGGTGCATCGCTTAAGGTCCTATAAAGACATATACACTTCTTCATACACTTTGTTTTTTTTTACATACACACATTATACAATTCCCAGCACCCCCCCCCCCCGATACTACAACATCCATTCACATTCCACTCTCTCGCCAGCACAAGCGCACGATGCACAGCAGCAACAAAAAAGCACAAGAACAAGAACCTTTTTGTTGAACGAAAACGGGCATTTTCTTTCCATCCCACCACCCCGCGCGCAAACCAGTTCATACAATTCCCTCTCCTTTATTCTTCCTTTTCTGTGTATAGTTTTCTATTCTATTTTACCCCTCCACCCACCCCCGCGGGACTTTTGTCAAGAACAAAAAGCCCTTTTTTTTTATTAAATTAAAAAAAAAAAGAGACCAGGTGTGGATTTGTTGTTACTACTACTGGTTCTGCACTACACCAAAAGCGGCGACTGTAATAAATTAGCTTCCATTGTTCGGTAACCAAAGTTTTCTTTGTTTCATGTCGCACACCGTCGCACTTTGTATACATAGTGCAAGACACTTTCATCATCATCATCATCTTTCCTTGGGTGTATCCATTCACACAGGTGTGTCCCGTTGATCACTGTACTACTCGTAATAAATGCTCCTGCATGCTGATATATAGTTACTGCTGCTGCTGCTGCTGCTGCTGCCAAAGTAGTCTTGGTTTTATTTGGTAATATATGCATTTACTTGCCTAAACTGTAAACTCCTCCTGCTACTCAACCGCGTAATACAACTTATTCAAGGACCTTGCATTGAGTTATTGGCAGTCAGAACTTAAACATACCGCTAGTACACAGCGCCCAGAAAAAGGTTCGACATGACTGCTGCTGCTGCTGATAGTAATAAGCTGCCGCATACAGTTTTGGTGGTAATACTCTAGTATGCATGTAATGCATGATCTCTGCACAACGGTCTGTGCTCATTACATATCATACAGCGGGAAAAGGGTTGAATTAGTTTAGGCTCCATTACACAAGGAGACCTTGTCACTTTTTGGAATCGCTAATTTATAAGCACCACAGTAAACTATGATATTGCTCCTGTTGGTTGTACTGTAGTCATGCTCATAGATCATCGCTTCAAATGATACCATCAAAGGTAAGATTGACCACAACAATCATATTGAACGGTACCCCCACTGCAACCCATCACACGCTCCTCTTTGCTGCTCGCAACCTCATCAAAAAATAAAATTGTGATTATTATTCAAGGTGGTAAGGTACATATTAGCAAACAGGTATACGATACAGTGTCTTCTTTTTGTCTGAACAAAATGATCGTATACTACTACTACTACTAACAGGAGGTTTTCTCGAGAAATCCAGGTAGAGCAGTGATGCGAACCACTGCCAGAAACAGAGCTTTGGGATAGCCTCAATGAGAAAGATCCATTGCCAGCCGCTCAATCCTCCTACGCCGTCCATGTACATAAAAGTTATTTTGTAACACATGCTGCACAGATTAGCTTAAAGCATTATTTACTGGATTCGTTCAGAAACTCATTTATATCCAAGAATTATCGACATACAAAGAGTCCACCGACTGCTTAATGAATAAGTGCCGTTAGAGCATATGCTTTGTCTAACGCTCACAGTTAATGAGCAACTACTACTACTACATATCACGAAACAAAAAAGTCCACCCGTACACTTACACCAACACAAGGGCACAGAGCTAATATATATGCCTATTTTTTTTTTTTTGCTTACTCTTGTCTAGTATACCATTTAGACTTGTAAGAGTAAAATTCCCCACCTGCATTAACAAAGTATAAGGGTATACATGGTTTTGACGTCAGAGATCTCATTAACGATCATGTGCTACACTTGTATATATTGCTCACAGCTTAAAGGTGTATCATACTTGCCTCAGCAATACCAAGATATAAAGCGTGCGACGAGTGATTGAGTACCGTTTGTTACAGCAGCTGATGTTGAGGCAATTACCGTTCCCCAACTCAATAGTAAAGCGGTTATGTCTATATCCTTGGTCCAACTTTGTTTAGCATTATATGGTAGGCATTTGAATTAAGATTTACTGACATGAGATGTTGCTTATCCGGTAGTAAGTATTAAAGCTGCTATCACGAATAGTCTGAAAATGATAGCCTATACTATGATTTAAATATATTTGACTTCCAAAACCAACGAAAAATATTGACAATGCAACGTTAAATTCACTTTCTGATATTGTGATATCCTTGATTAGACCGGCAAGAAGTTTAGCGTTTGCCTGCAGATAAATTGGGATGAGATAAACGATCACTTGTCCCACAAAAAGCTCATCACTAGGATGGCTCCTTTGCTTTTTTCTTCTATGGCAACGAGAAAGGTAGAGTATCTTGTAGTATGGCCAATACGAGTATTATCAAAGTATTCATGATAATCACCAATATTTGCTCGGTCGATAAACGAGAAGATTTTTGATATCGGGTAATACGAAACTGTAATATATTGCATACCGTGTAAGCATGCGGCTTGCCTCGTTGTCAGTACAGTAGACGAATAGCGATTTGAAATATCAGATTCCTTATTGCTATTGTTCTTTGTCGATGTTAGCGCGATGAAAAATCTTCCAAATAGGCGCAGTCTCGAGACATTTCGTAGTTGCGCATATTAAACACTGTTTTTTTTAGCTTGATTTGTTATCAATGCGTCAAAATAATCCATACGAGCGGCTGAAAAAGATGCCATCGACCGATGTCTATCAGGCTGCGTTTCATGTGTATATGAAAACAGACGCTGGGGTATTTACTTCAAATTCAGTGAGGGACCACTTATTTTCTCCTTGTATTATCGTGAATATAGGATGCTTTCTTTCTTATACGTGATTCGGATAATCATGAGGTGTAAAACCGAACTGCCATACAATTAAAACGAGTCTTACGCACACCATGGCGCTATAAACTTCCTGTTTCGCAATCAGTAGCATGGAAGCAAGGGGTAGAGTGGTATCCCGTGATCGCGAATAGATGTTTTAGCGGATCGTGTAGACTAGTCTACAGTAATCGAGGCTAGTGAGCAAGTCCAGCGGACTGGCTATATCAGGAAGTTATAGCTAGTTGACACTCCAGCGGACTCGTCAAAAGGAACTTGTAGAATTAAAAGGATAGCTATTGTCGGACACAACTGTTTGTCAAAGTTGACAGACTCTGATAGACTCGCTAAGATTATATGTGAGTCCGCTAGCAAAAGCTGGTCCGCTTGCAAAAGTTGGACTCGCCCAAAAAAAAATAATTGGGGAAAATTTAGCGAGTAAAAGCTGGACTTGCTCCAGATGCTATATTATTGTCATTTTCTTTTTTTTGTGTAAAAAGTGGGGAACGAATGGGAAAAGAAACTGATCATTCTTAAAAGAACTTTCAGCTCCCCACTCCTACTTCGAAAAGTAGAAGCACGATGTCAACCCGGTGATAGCTCGTAGGCCCCCGACACAGTTGGAATACCACTGCTGGCTTTATTCACCGCATCCAATTCGTTGAGAAATTTTTTTTCGCAGCGAATGGCACAATTTATGGGCAACGTCCGCTATTGAAGCGACTTGTGGGTCAATTTTCAAATTTCGCTTGCATCGCTTTAACCCCAATAGAGGCCCTTCCTGTCATGACTATTCGTTGACCTCTACTCAATCCCTCAACATCCTTATCGTCAATCATCACCCAACTTATCAACCTTCATAAATTCAAATGTAATCACTCGACTTGTTCCTTGTTCCTTTCTCATCATACGTATGTGATAGTGGTGGCTACATACTACTGTGTAGAAGAAAGAGATGTCTGTTGTAATTACTGCATGGGTAGATGAGATTCCTTGTCATATTGTACCATTTATATGGTTTCTAGCCACAACAGCATCTTGATTTTTTTTTTCGTTGATCTATCACTGTTTATATCAATTATGCATGGATTTTATTTGCTGTTAGCCCATTGTTGTTGACGTAAGTGTGTGTGTATCTCTTTCCGTAAAGAGACCAGGCAAGGTTAGCTCTGATGGAAATGTGTCCTGAAAAAGAATTGCGCAGCACATTTAAAGAAACAACTGCTGCCCAAAATTGGCAATTGAAGGTGGCGCGTACGTACATCACTCTCACCCATTCTCTTTTTGCCAATTGCATAGAACGCAACCCACATTTACGTTTTCTGTCAACAAAGTTTTATTATGAATTCCGAAGAAACTTTTAAAAAAGGCGTCGAATATCGCGAAGCAGGCAATGAAGCCTTCAAAAAGGGCGATTATCCCGCAGGTGCACATCACGCAGTAACTTTATTATTACGATTATGCTCATTTACATTGACAAAACTATGTTGCTCCATTTCATTCCATTACCCTTTTTCTTTCTCGGGCGAAATAGCATTATCAAACTACTATCACGCACTTCTGCATTTGCGAACTGTCGGTGGTCTTCAGCCTGCAAACGATTTGAAAGAGAGATCGAACGAGCAACTCGTCAAGATTTACAACAACCAGTGTGGTATGTACCTTTTACATACTTGTCCTTCAATACTCTATTTTAAAAAACACATGCAGACACACACATACAATATACACTGGCACATTCAATGTATACACAACCACTGACAACAATTTTGTAATTCATACAATAGCTGTTTTGGCAAAGCAGGAGAAATGGCCGCGCGTTTTGGATACAGCCACCAAGGTAAGATTGCAAACAACAAACAAACAAAAAGAGCAGAATGAGCGAGATATACAGATCAAGCACTTTGGATCAGATTATGGAACGTTATGATATGCTACACAGGCACGCGAAATCGATGCTGAAAACTTAAAATCCAAGTTCCGGCAAGGTCAGGCGTATGCTCGCATGGGTGATGTGGACAAGGCAAAAGAAGTGTTGAACGAGGTGTTGCAAAAGGATCCCAAAGGTAAAACAAGCGGTTACAGTAAGAGAAGCAGTAGCAGTAGTGAGGGGGTGTATCTTTCGAAAAAGGAAAAAATCAGAAACTAAAGCAAAAAGTGTATACATGTAGATGCGGCGGTCAAGCAGGAATTGGCATTGATCAAGCAGCAGGATAAGAAGGGACAAGAGCAAGTAAAAAAGGCGTACTGGGGCATGTTTGATCAACAAAAGAAGGCCTAGATGGTCAATGCAGCAGCCATGACAAAGAGTACGAATAGCACGATCAGTAATACCATAGTATACCCCGTCCATCCATGTCCCACAGCAATCCGACGCTCCAAAATCTGGTTCATGTTTCTCAAATAAATCATGACCCCAACGCATATACTCGCAAGCCCAAGTGCCACGAAAATGTACGACACAACCTGAACTTGGATCGATGCTGGATCGTCTGTCCAAGGTATTGAATTAGAGGGTGCGAATACTTTGGTTGGCAGGTCCAACAGCGTCATAAAGCCTGCACATCGTTTACATATATATGAGCATGGGTGTCTCTCTGTGTTGTGCGCACTGTCTAACTAGAGTGTTGCTTCTCCACGACGAGTGTATACCCATGTGGGGGTTGTTGTGTGGAGAAGTAAATTGAATTTGAAATTACCTATTAATGCAAGTACCATGCCAGTACGCAACCAGGTCAGCAAGTTTCGTTCATTGGCACAGTGATCGCGAGGATCCGGGCCATCCACAACGGAATGCACCGTGGCAACATCAATAAAGTTGAACTTGTTGCAACATTGGTCGTTATTACAAAGGGTGAAACGTGAGGGAGCGTTTGTTTCCATGGAAGCAAGGTTTTTAAACGGAAAAAAAGAAGGCAGGATCACTCTCTCCCCCACACAACCCCTCCCCCTCCTCCTTTTCTCACACTGTCTGACAGCCAATCGTCGCACCAGAAAAAAAAAAAAGAGGCACTCCTATAGGATGCATAACAAAGAAACAACAATGTATTGTCCGCTGTTTAAGCAGTAAGTGTACCGTACGAAACAAGAAAGAGGTTTTTTTGTTGGATCACAAAGTTTGAGCACAGCCTCACGCTCGGTTTCGTTTGACGATTACAAAAAAAAAAGAAGCTATGCCTCCATGGACTTGTTCGTTTGGCTGTTTAGAAAGAGGGCGGTACCTTCCAGGCGTACATGGACTTACCGTTTGGCGGCAACCGACGGTGTGGTGACACAAAAAGTGCATCGCTTTTCTGCATAAAAAGGTTGCAGAACAAACACGCTTTGGGGTTTCCCTGTGAATCGTCCTCTTCTCTGTTGATGGGATGAGACACGTCATGGAAGGCTGGAAGTAAACAAGCAGCATCACAAACTCTGAGGAAACTTGAGAAGAAGCAACGGGCAAATAGATTTAAGGGGCTGTGCCCTGCTACCCAACCGCTCTTCTCTCCCTCCCTCTTTCACAGCCCCCACCCCTCTCATCCTCGGTTTGTTGTAGCTGGAAAACCCGCTTTTCTCTTTTTCTTAGCCGTTTCTCCCCCCCTTTCATGATCGTCATTCGCGAACCTTTTCCATCTTTATATCATTCGGGCAAAATGCCATTTTCTTTCCTTTTCTCTTTTTCCCTTTGTCAAGCCTTTTACTAATGTACATTACTACTACTATGCGAGTCCACGATAAAGCCTTCATACAATCACTATTCTTCCCACTCATATTATTACTGTCATGCTTCACCTTTACTTGCCATGGCTCTCTTTTTGGTCTCTTCTCTAATCCAACCATCAGCCAAGGTAAGTGCCTGGTAGCAATACATGTATACTACTCACATCCAACAATAGGCCATGATATAATTAACATGCACCCTGATATGCCCCACATAAATAAAAAAGACGTCGTCTGGCTCAACATTAGCTCATCGTCCATCAATCATGTCAATGTCAATGTACCTGCCATCATGTATGACGAAAACGTCCAGGCTGCAAGCAACCTTACACAGCCCAGTCGGCATGGTTTACGGGGTATTTTGTACACCAGAAATGATTCGTGCAACCGAACCAGTATGACCCCACCCTTTTTCAATCAAGAATATCAAAGAGCGCTGCCTCGGATTGCATTAATCACCAGTGGAGGGCCGTGCACTTTTGTCGATAAGATCCGTCTTGCACAACAGGATGGAGCTATTGGCGCTATCATCTACAATCAGCCTGGAGCCGATACGAAAAACTCGAGTAATTACATTGACGACGGAACCATGGTAATGAAAAGAAAGTTGCCAAAAAAAAGAGAGACTTGTTGTAACCTACTAGAGGAACTTTGTTTGATTGATGAAGATATATATATATATATATATATATGATGGTATTAGTATGTTCCGGCAGACACTGAAATCACTATCCCGGCGTTCCATGTCGATCCGCGTATTGGACCTCAACTGAGTCGCCACGTTCTCATGTTTGCACAGCAAGGGACGTCCACGGTTCAACAGGCAGTGCGTGTACTCATGTTGCCTGGCAGCTCGCGTGGCCCGAACCCCTGGGAAATGACACTGATTGTCATGAGCGCGCTCCTAGCCATTGGTTTCCTCACTTCAGGTTATAACAGCTAGTGTGATGTGTGCGTCATTTATCTTTTAACTGATACATATAATGACATGTAGTGATCATGCACTGCCACCTATTGCGCAAGAACCGACGATTAAGAGAACGCGTGGAACAAGGTCTTGTCCCGCCAACGCCAGACATGTTGCCTATGGGCAAGCAGCTGCTAGATGAATCTCAACTGAGCACCTTACCAACACGCACTATTGGCGGCAGCGATGCAGTGCCTGATGGGCATGCTATACGACGACGTGCTTCAAGAGTATCCTCGATTCTACTAAAAAAAGTCTCAACTGCTGCTGCCCCTGCCCCTGCTGCAGCTGCACCGCCAATAAACAAGAAGCAAGATGACGAAGAAGACCTGTGCGCTATTTGCCTGGAGAAGGTCGAGCATGGTGATATGGTCAGGCAGCTACCATGTACTCATGAATTCCATTGTGAATGTATAGGTAAAGGCCCACACACAATGTAGTAAAAATTAAAAGAATCAGATACAGAAAAGCTTAACCAACCTTTTGATACCGAATATATATCTGCTATAGATCCTTGGCTGACATCAAAAGCAGCCGAATGCCCACTCTGCAAGTATGATTGCTCACAGCCATTTGTGCCGCGTGTACAGCCTGGAGAGGCGGGTACAAACGAAAGCAATGACCATGAGAATACATTCGTATCACGGATGAGAAATTTATTATTTCCAAGAAGACGACACGAAGAGAATTTGAACAATAACGACGCAGAACAGCAGCCGCGTCAGCAACCACCGCAACAACAGCAACAACCGTTTGAGACAATTGAACTTTCATCCGCCATCACCATATCTCCTTCTCGGTAGAGAAGATATAGAAAACGTGCATACATAATTCATCCAGCTTCATTATTCGTTAACTAGCATAACCCAAAAAGATGTTTGTGTAAAATATGCTACATGGAATTGACTTTTTTTTTTACCATGCTATGGCGTACACTAGAAGTTTTCTTTTGTTTTTTACAATGAAATACACAAATAATAGATGACATATAATGTGGGGGTTAGCATGGATTGATTTTCTTTTTGTTTGTTTTAGAAAGGAGCATCCTCGACGCTAGGATCGCCGTATTCAAAAAGTCCAAGCTAAGATAAGATTTAGCAAAACAAGCAAACTTTAGTATTATCATTTTCTTAAACATCACGACAAAATAAAAAGAGAGAGAAAACAACTCACTCGTTCACGTCTAGCCGACTCCTGAGCCTCTTGCAAGGTTTTGATAGTAGCTTGGTGGCCAGCAGCATAGCGTACCTTGGAATTGACCAACAACTGACCATCACGCACCATTTCCAAGTTCAAGCTGGCCTCAGCACTGCTAGAATTGGATGGATCATATAATGTCAAGCACAATACGCCATTGTCGCGTGCATCAATTATACCAACGAGTTGTTTGCCCTGTTCCAACGAAAAAAGAAAAAAAAACAGGATGAGTCTTGACCTCCACATTATTCTAGCAATATAAAACTTACGCCAGTCAGCTCCTTCAGTCGTTCCATAGATTCATCACCATAGTCTTCATTTCGCTCAGGTCCTTTGACAAATGAGAGAACGGCTTCCTGTGCTTGAGGTTTTAAGGTCTTGAACTTGTCTGGCAAAACGCGAATGCGAGAAGTGGATATAATTTCGGACTACACAAAACCATGTTAAGAGTTAGAAGAATAGTGAAAAGTATGTCGTGCTCTATAATGAGCATAGAACACTTACGTTGCCATAGTCAATATATAATACATCTATGGAATCGCCTGCAACCCGGCGGACCTTGGCTCTGTACCAGCTGTCATCTTCAGTGAATTTGGCACTCACGATATCGCCCACACGTGGTTTGTGGGGTCCATCCATGCCGCCTCGACTGACATGATACTGTGACAATTCGCTCATCAGAGCTTCCAGTTTCCGCACATCCTCGTTAACGACCTGGATATAGATCCGATGACCACTCAAATATTCTGATACCACCAGATCAATATACTGTCGCTTCTGTTCAACAACCACATCTTCAGACTTTGCCGCTGCTGCAGCCGCAGCAGCCTCCTGCTGTTCCTTTTCTTCATCATAATCCTTCCATAATCCCTTTCTGGATGCTTGTGCATTGCGTTCAGCGGTATACAGCTGGTTGGTATATTGGGATTCGTTGGCGGAATATTCGTGAATGTTGGCAAGACCTTCTTGTAACAAGAGCACAGCCAAGTTTTCGCCGTTGATGAAAAGACTTCCGATAAATGAGCCGGTCTTGTCAACGTTTTCAACTTGGATGTCAACGTCGCGCTGCAGACACTTTTCGACCACAAAGGCAAGTGCTTCAGGACCATAGGGATCAGATCGCTCGTTAGATGTGCGGCCGACTCTCGGTGCACGGATGCCAGCAAGTACAAAGGTAAGTCGGCAGTTTTCTTTGGGAATCCACAAGAAAAGACGCGAGCCGTTTGCAACGTGGTCGACCACTGCGTGTTGTTTGCTGCTACGCTTGAGGAAAGTAAGGAATTGACGAGACTTGGAAGCATTCTGGATTTAAAAGACACAGGGGCTTTAGCACTTTTGCATTTCTTTATCAAACACATATTCATGTATATATTTTACCTCGGAAGCGTCCACTATACGCACGACAGGCTGTTCCTTGGTGCTGTGGACACCCTTTTGACCTTCTTGTGCCCTATTCAAACGATTTGATGTTAATGATTCTATCGTACGTCCTGTTTTTCCAATCTCGTGCCATCCTTACTTTGATTCGGCCAACAAAAGCTGGTCATAGAATTGAGACCGGTTATCATCATCCTTACGGTGACGGATCACAGTAGCCAAACCGCGCTCAACTAGTTGCTCGGCAACATTACTATAGTCGCTTGTTTTTCAGTATATACAAGACTTGTCATTCACAGCTAATTTTGATTTTGACAAAGACTTACACATGGCCCACTTTAACAGTCGCACAATCCTTTGCTTCAAATCCATCCTGTGCCGGCTTGTGATAATCAACACTGATATGTGCCTAAAGAACCAAAAAGTGGTCGACAAAATCAGCTGCATAGTCACAGTGGAAAATCAACGTCTTCTTTCCCTGATCTGGCAGGCAGCAATTGTGAAAGGCCCACGAAATGAAACTTACAGTTTTTCCAACCAATTTCTTTCTCAAGAATTCTCTTGCTTCGAATTGGTAACCAACTTCCTTGACGTCTCTTGATTTGTTGCTGCCACCAGGAGCGGTGCTTCCGACACCTCGGGGTGCTTGCTTAACGCTAGCCAACTGCAGCTTGCGCTCAACACCTGACTTGGTCTTGACAAGGATGGTGTCACCAGTAACGATTTTGAGGACCTACCATAATCATTTCCGTATAAGTAAGCTTTTTTCAAAGCTATTTAATAGATGTTATTTACCTGTGCTTCAAATTCAGAATCATTGGTCTTTTCCTTAGCTACGAAATCGCGCCACACACGAAGCTTCTTCTCCTTGGCCAGCCTGTTACCCGCCAAAACCAATAGCAGGGATTTTTAATCAGTAATCATGTAATTTTTCTTTTGAGTATGTGTAAACAGATCTTTTTTCCGAGTTTTCTTACTTTTCAGCGGTGCGCAGTGCCACAGGGCCACCGGTCACCAAGGTGATACTCCAATCGACGCATTTGGCATAACCATTGGCCAGCAACAACTCGGCAATGTTGCCTGCAGGATGCTTGATGGAACCAACAAAGGTCTGTCCATTTGTGCCTTCCAACAACACCTTTACGCCGCGTTGCAGTAATCGAGTCTCGACAAAGAATTTTCCTTCTTCACCAAAGGGCTCTGACACGCTTTCAGGGACATTGTCACGCTTGCATCCGGGTGCCTTGATACCAGTCAGAAGCAATGTGATGTATTGTTGTGATTTGTCAGGCAAGGTCAACAAAACACGATATGTGGATGCGTCACGAATCTGTTCGATCGTGGCTAGAATATAGCCAAGGGGAACCAAAAGACATTGGTAATCAGCCTCTAAAACCCCATTCTTTCTCTCTCTCTCTCTACACCTGATCGTTTTTGTTTTTTTGTATCGTACCCTCCAAAGGCTGTCCCTTGTACTTGTTCAAAAATGCGCGTGTATCACCGTCAAAAGTAAAAGACACGTCGCGGAGACCCGATGCGTCCGAATCCCACATGCCACGTTTCGCTTCCCGCGCCTCGTCTTCTAAATCATGCAAATGGTCTAACGTAGCCTCGTGTTCCTCAAGATCACCATGTGCCTTGCCGTCTCTGACCTTGAGCCATCCCGCTTTGACACCCAATTCGGCCACCTTTTCGCCATTGGCAGTCATGATGAATCCATATTCGCGAGTAGGCGTTGTGGTCGTCACGGTGTATTCAGGGACAAACGAGACTTCCTTGCCAACTAATAGCTTACGTAAAAATTCTCGAGCGCCAAAAGCAAATGGCTATACACCGAAACAAGTCAATTTATGTGAGTATATATACAGAATGCCAAGTACAGAAGATCGCGCGAAAGGTTAACAGCAGCAGCATCAAGTGCGAGGCTGGCGTCATTCTCGCCCCCCTGGTACCTCATCATCTCTGTCCTTGTTGCCTAATCTCGGTGCTTGAACGTTCGAAAGAGCAAGCAACCGTTCGGGTGGTGGTCCGTTCGGACGTGGGTTGCCGCGTAGAATGACAGTATCACCTGAAAGTACGTTCTTGACTACAGCTTTGTGGACGGGTGATTGAACCATGAGAGGAGAAAACAATAAATATGTATATTAACTAAGGAAGCAAGAAGAGGAACGCGAAATAGTTGCTTAAATGGGGTCGAGGATGGGTTGGGCCCAAGTCGGCGCATCAATTGGAAGTTGTACACCAATCATTGAGTGGCAACACATTTTTTCTTGTGGGTGAATAAAAAAATGTACAGGGCAGTTTTATTACACACAGCAAAAAAGAAAACAAAGGATATGAGGAATTGGCTGGAAGAGAGGAGTAAATGTACAGTTACTGAAGCGAGTAAGGTCGATTGTTTTGATGATACTGATGATGATGTTGTTGTTGTTGTTGTTGGTGATAGTTGTTGAGATGGATTTGCGGTTGCTGGCCTAGTGTGGTGGTAGTATCCCAGGTACTAGGTCGGCGGCTGTTGTTGTTGTCTGACATGATTAATGGCTGAGTTACGGCATTAGATGGATCTTCACGGGAATACACGGTATTGATGATGTTGGTATTATGATTACTACTATTACTACTACTGTTATTATTACTGGAATTCAAGCCAAGGACAGAATGTCGGTTCCTGCCACTGAGTTTCCATCCATTGTGCTGTTCAATGTTGGTTTTCACTTTGTGTGGCGGCGTAGGAGGAGGAGGCAATGATGATCGAGGGGAAGGTTTAGGAGGAGGGTTGCTGGGAATGAATGCTGCCGGCGGTGCTGGATCATCATGCAAGGAAATGACTTCCATCACTGGCTCTTGTTGCTGCTGCTGCTGTGGTATCTGTGGTTGTTGCTCCTGGGTTTGCTCTTCATGATGAAGATGGTTCTGTTCGTACAATTGTTGCTGATGTTGCTGCTCGGCGATTCTATCGAGTTCGTCGTTTGCAGGCACACGCTGATGCATTTCTCGCCGTCCGAACGTTCGTTTGCGACGCCAGATGGCCATCCTTGCAGGCGGAGCACCTGCTTCATAGATTTCATCATCCGCCAATCCCGTAAGCAGCACGACCAGATTGCGGATAGGAAATGCAAACATCAAAAGAAAGACAATGCAGTGGAGTGTCACTTGGGTATATGCGACCGCCTGCTTATTGCGATCAAGGATGTTCAGTGTGTCCACATAGGTAATGTTGAGCAGCGTAATCACAAGCCGGAATGCGCCAAAGAGGATCTGTTGAAAGTTAACGTGTCGGGATGCGTAAGGTTGCCGGAAGATATGCAGGGCAAAGTAGGCGGCTTCGAAAAGCACGAGTACGACCATTTGCGCCACGCCCGATGATGAAAACCATCCAGTCATGGCCCCAATGAAAACCCTGTACACGAGTGCGCAGAGAAAAAAGTAACAGCTTTCGTCCGTGAATGTGTTGTATAGGCAGCCGTAGCGCAGCAACAGTGTGATATCCGAGAACACAAGCGAGGGCGGACGCACGTCCAATAATACAAATGCAATTCCGCCATAAATCAAACAGATGTGAAAGACGAGGACCAGGGCAGCGGTAAGGAGAAGGTACCAGGGCGCAGGCAGCATCAGCTGAAAAAAGCCAAGTGCCATCATGGGTAGATAGAACAAAGTGAGCACACGTAACAGGATGCCTATAGCAATGAATGCAGAGAAATGGTTCCATGTCAATTACCTGTGAGCTGAAGCAGCTTTCCAAATACCCCATCCTTTTCCGCCACATCGCAAGTCTTACAGTCTCTCTCTCTCTCTCTCTCTCTCTCTCTCTCTCTCTCTCAGCAAGCCCAATGATCCGTCTAACCACATACCTATTGTAAAGTTGATGATTTTAGGCGTCTGTGCAGCATAGCGATGTGGCGCCTGCCAGCTCATGACCTGTACAACCATCCAAATGAGGAAACAAAGGGCGAGACATCCTGCCAGGATAATCAGCATGAAAATGAAACTTGTCAGAAAGAGAATGTTTACGTCAATATCCAAGGCATTAGCAAAGCTCGTTATGCCATGTCCTTCTACCGTGACAGGTCGCTCTACTTGTAGCTGCTGCACCGAAACGGGTGAATCATAAGGGAAAATGGAGTCGTTGACATTGCGGAGCCATTGTACTGGAAACAGCAAAAAGCTCCATGCAAAGTTGGAAGCAAACAACTGATAGAATTCCGGATATTCTAGATTGAGCAAGCCCGTCAGCGTAATGAACTGCGCATAGTAGATGAGGTCAAAAAACCCGGGCGATTTCAGTCGTAATGCTGCTGGTAACATGGCGTAGTTGGATGTAAACAGAAATACGTCGTGCTCAGCTTCGGATACCGTCGCAAACGATGCAAAAAATGAAATCAGCGCTGCGAATACTGTGAAAGCGACGGGAACGTAGGTAAACACCATCTTCCATGCTGGATTCTCGTAGCCAACTGGCGCCATGGTTACGCAGATCCATTCTCGGCTGTTTGCTGTTAATGTCGAATAGCGAGTAATGATATCTCCAAGCGGTAATGACGTTGCCGGCAGTGTAAACGACTATCAAAAGATAAAGTTGAGCAATTGTTATCATCAATTGTCTTCCCTGTGTATATGCTTTTGTTAATCACCTGCTGAATTGACACGTCTGAATCCGCCGATATCGGACATCCATTGGTGCCGTTCTCCAGCGTCGGGCATAGCCTCTGGCGCTGATCCATCAATGCATTAAAGCCTACCACGACTTCTGTCCTTGCCGAAGAGTATTCTGAAGGAATAGCTCAAGTCATTATCGTGCCTACAAGCTTGTGTATTCAAACAGAGAGGGGGGGGCACTTACGGTTTTGCCCTGGGTTAAGGTTGGTAACTGCGATCGAGGAGTGTCCGCTTAGGTTGAAGCTAAAGGTATTGGTGGCGTGATCGTAACTTCGACTAAGACTATGGACGATAAAGGTGTTTGGATCGGAGCATTGCGTGAAATTGGCTTCGTTTGTAAATGAAGTGTCAAGCATGGGCTGCTGCTGTGCGATTGCTGTAGGCAAACATATTAGCGCGATAAGCACCAACAGCAGCGGCAGCGGTGTTATGCAAAACGAAGAGGGAGAGAAATGGCGCGGTCGACGACGCTGCTTCATTTCTGCCAAGGAACAAAGGCAGGAGCTAGAAGAAAGAAGAGAGAGAAAGGAAACGAAAAAACAACCATAAAGAGCAAAATATGTGCCGTGTGTGCTGTGGTTTTTTTTGTGTGTGTGTGTTTGTGTGTGTGATGTGTGTATGTGCGTATACTGTTTCTAAGTTTAGCCTTGCTTTCAATCCATTCTTCCCCCGCTCCAGCTGTTGTTTGTGCCTGGAATCAGCTGGAATTGTTAAGCAACTTTATTTTAAGAAAATTACCGTCATCACCATACGAGCAAATGCGTTTTACCATTTTAATGGGTTTGTAAGCCCCCCAACGACTTGACTCAACTCGTCCTTCTTATCGTTTCGCCTTTTCGTTCTCACTTGGAAAAATCTTTTTGTTTGCTCGGCTTTGAAATGCTTCCTCTTCCGTTCGTCTAACCAACAACGGAACGTATCGTACAATAGGCATAGGTTTGTACTACGATGACGTTGTACCAAGTGCTCGGCTCGTTATACCAGAGATTTACCAGTGATGGGAAGCTGTCCATTATACGAAATAACAAGGACCATGTGCATCCTGTAGACCTTTGTCATATGATCGTCTGCAAGTCAGTCGAATGAGACCAGAAAGGGATGGTTAAATACATTGTCTCTTTATATACAGTTAGCGCAACACCAAAGGGCGGTTTTTTAAATAAAAATGCGGGTTTTAAAATTCTCAATAGGCGGATTGTTTTTTTCCAAAGGGCGGTTTTTGTTTTCTCAAAGGGCGGTTACAATTTTCTCAAAAGGCGGTTACAATTTTCTCAAAGGGCGGTCTCTTCGATCCTCAGTAGATATTTTTTACAGTTGTTTGTGACATTTTATTAGATAGGATTGCCTTTTAAGCAATCTTCAAATATGTTTACCGAATGTTGTACAAATGCTCGAAGATGTTCTGGAGGAACATTATTGCAAGCCTCAGTTATTCTTGTTGATAAATCCTCTTTAGTTTGAAATTGACTACGTTTGACCTTATTTTTAACTATGGACCAAAATTGCTCAATAGGATTAAGTTCAGGCGAGTAAGGAGGGAGATAAATGCACTTATATCCTCTCTCTGTCACCATAGTATCAATCTCGTTAGATGTATGTATTGGTGCATTATCCATAACTATATAATATCCTTTCATTTCCGGAATGCAATCCATTTCATCCATTGTTTTCTGAATAAAATTCATATAATGGCCAGTGACAGTTCCTTTGGAGGCAGGCTTCTTTGGTTTTGATGGTGCTTTTCTTTTGCGATTACCAGAATCGATTTTTAGCCTTTTGAATGTGTGTTCCTGAGGATTTCGAAGCTCCATTGACACGACATACTTCGCCGAGATTGCACCCAAAACTGTGTGTGATACTGCTCTGGTGGTAGGAGTGATTACAATAGCTGGTGTGCCCTTAATAGACCATCCTCCTGGAGGTCTCATATTGATATCGAAAGCTGATTCATCAACAAAAACACAATTTTCAAGGTAATCCATATCTGTTTTGCTCCACTTCTCAACCCACGCTATGCGGTTTGCAATTTTGGTTGGATCGTTTCTGGGAGCTGGATGACGAGTGATTTTTTTGAATGAAAGGTTGCATTCTGTTTTGAGGAAATTTCTCACACTTGATTCTTTCAGTGTGAATGATTCGAATTTTTCAGTAAGTGAATAAACTGCATCCACAACCCTGGCTTGAGGATTACTGTCATAAAAATTCAAAAGGTGAATCTTATGCTTCTCATCAAGCTGGCCTGCTGATTTATTGATTTTATTGGTTTGTTTTTCAAAGATATTCCAATCTTTATCCTCTTTCAGTCTCCTAGCCCATTTCTGTGCAGTTCTTTCAGCAACACCGCCTGCTAATCTACCAGATTTGGCAGCATTGAACAACTTAATCCTATTGTAGTAGACAAAAAGCAGTTTCTGATCATTGGTGTAGTTGTTATAACTCCTACCACTATTGATCTTTAAGTTGGTGGCAATCTCCTCCATCTCAGCATCTAAGGCTTCCATCTCAGTGTCCTTCTGCTCTGTATTTTGCTTCTCGCAGTAAAGTCGAAGACGAGTTAATGTTTTTAGATGGAAGGGGTTAATCTCTTCTTCGCATTCCATCGCATCGCGCCCATTTTCATCACAAATGTTTCCCTGGCCATCTTCATAAAAAAAGTATGTACTCATTAAACAAAAGTAAAAAAAAAAAAAATACCGCCCTACAATTTGAAAAATCCGCCTTTTGAGAAAAATGGGACTCTTACAGTCACGTAATACACCCTTTCTTTCAATTCAATCGGCACAAATTCAGTATGGCAAAATCGTCTCACTAAAAAATTTACCCGTCCCAGCAGAAAAAAAGTACGTCCAAATTTTTATTCAAAACCCAGTACATAAAGAAAGTGAATTAATTTGAGATGAATAAAAGCTTGGCTGGGACAAGTTAAGAAAATGTTGGAACAGGCACAAGACAGATTAGTAAAGTTTCAAGACTATTTTAGAACCATTTGAGATCCACAACTATCTAAGACTATTTTTCTTTCATTCACAATTTAACTAAATAGTTTCGATTTAACAAGCAACGTCATTTATTTCATATCAACCAAACCAGCAAGTATACAATATGTAGATGAATATACTACTTCTGATGAAAAAATGACAGAGAGAAGAAATGCAAGGCATATAATTTAAGTCATGCTAAGTCGGGGTTTTTTTTTATTTAGTCACTTTGTCCAAATACTTTTAGTCGTAAAAATATATTTGATAGCATGAATTTTATTTATATTGGATGCTACAGTCACGATACTTCGAGGTGGTATTGTTAATCATCTGGAATAATTGTGTGGTATGGGGACTTGCAGAGGGAGAAAATGTTGAGGTATCGACTGGATATGCAACTTTGGGGGATGTGGGGGATGGCGTGCTGACAGGTGCAACGACAGATGGTGATGAATCTGCTTGGTAACAGCAATGCCAAAATAAAAGGGTGACGCGCAATAACGTACGGATATTTTTCAGTGTGATGAATGAGTGAAGGCAGGATAACGCTTCAGGCAGGGTGATGCGGCCAATTTCTGTTATGGTAAAGAAACTGCTATGTATCATTTGTGTCATATAAAAAACTAATTGAAATCCTACAAAGCATTGTGAAATGGTTATGATCTATAAACACTGTAGCAACATTTTCCTTCTTACCATTAACTTGAAAAGTGAGAATAGGATGGTCATACTTCAAGACGCTGTTGCGCGACAAGACGGCGAGCTTGAGCGTGTCCAAGCAAAGGGAATGATTGGTGGTGTTGTCACCGCCAAGCTTGACTTCTCCAAAACCAAGGGATTGCCCAAATGCACGTTGGACCAAGGTGGATACAATGGCGTCCGGACGAATGCCAGTGGTCATTGTGTCCTCCTTGTTCGGCCATCGTAATACAACCTTCCTCGTAGTATCTGCCACAATGGACGACAGCAATGGATCATAATACCTGGTTTGTACGTCTACTTCTCCAAATTGGTTCTTGTCTGCGATGGGGTCAAACGGTAGTTTCACCAACCTACAATGAAAATAGATGAGGAAGGATATTAGTACTTAGACGCACTTTTCTCTACCACACTACAATATTTACAAATCAGCAATGCCTTCGACAACATTAGACTTGAATTGATCCATGCTAGTGGCCAGAGTCAAGAGGCGGAGCTTGGCACTTTTTGGAGATATACCCTCCTCGTCAACAGCAGATACAACATTCACCATTTCCATAAAGTCATCATTGGTAAAATTCGGGGTATCGTGTGGCACTTTGCTGAGTAGCGTTTGAATTTGACACTTTAACAAATTCTTGAGCACTTGTTCCCCAAAAACAGTCACTTTGCATTTTATTGTGATATAATCTTCATTTTTTCTTTTAGATTCTTTTTTTATATCACATTTATTATTAATATTTAATTTATTCATATCTTCTTGTAAATTATTTTCAAATATATCATTTAGTCTTATATTATTTATATGTTTTTTGATAAAATCTAAATCAAGACCTTTTTTAATTTCCAATAATTGTAAATTATTTTTATTATCAAACATTTTTTTTTAAAAATCTTATAGCTATATCTTTCTCATTTTCCAATAACTCATCTATAGTTAACATTATTTATTTTATATCAATAAATTCAATTTTTTATTAATTATTTCGGGTTGAAAATTAATTATTCTTTTCATCACCTTTTATAATATTTTCAAACGATAAAATTGATGATTTTTTTTAATATTTTTGTAATAGATAGCGAAAATGACATTTGAAAATACAATTAACCTTTTTTATTTAATGAATTATTTTAAATTGATAAAAATAATCGATCACGTGTTTTCAAAAATATTTATTAAAATTTTTATATTTTTTTACTTTTTTTATGGATTAACAATAGCTATCAATAAAGTAATTAAATTAATTAGTGAAATAATAAACATTTACAAAATATATTAATTTCCTTTTCTTGCTAAACCATGTCAAGACCGTGAGGAAGGGGAAAGAGAGTTATTTTTATTAAACATATGCACTTTGATTTTAAAGTATGCCTCAGGCATTGTACCACACTCAGATGTACAGGATTTTTCATCTCCTAGTGGATGTTTGAACTTTTATTTAGGTGAAGGGATTTAATTTTAGGCAGAGTAGACATGAATGTTAATCTGAGTGGACACGAATGAAAATCGAGCTGGACATGAATGAAAATCAAGCTGGACATGAATGAAAATCGAGCTGGACATAAATGAAAATCGAGCTGGACATGAATGAAAATCGATCTAGACATGAATAAAAATCGAGCTAGACATAAATGAAAATCGAGCTGGACATGAATAAAGATTGATCTGGACATGAATAAAGATTGATCTGGACATGAATAAGGATCGACCTGGACATGAATTAAAATCAATCTGGACAAGATAATAAACAATCTGTACGTGAATGAAAATCAATCTGGACAAGAATAATAATCAATCCAAACACAAATAATAGACAACCTGGATATAATAACAGTCAGCCTGGACATAGTTTTAGTCAACTAAGACTTCAAAAAAGTTGAAGAAGTAGATAATATATTAAGTGTAGCAGAGCAGATCAGCAGAATTTGTAAGTACTTAAGATTTTCAATTCAAGTCAAGACATAATAAAAGTTAAGCAGTACAAAGCCAAAGTCAAGTAAGATATAGTATGGCTGTTTCACTCGTGATAGGAAGCTTTCAGGCTAACATACAGGAAATGGCAAGAGTGCGTTAGAGACTCACTGTGTGCACAAGCCTACTATTTTGCTGTGGGAACAGGGTCTGAACGTTAAATTGGAGGGTGGTGGCTGAGGTAGGTGGAAAGTGTGGGATTTGTTAGTGGAAGCAGGGAGGAAAAAACAACAACAACCAAAGATCTGTTTTTTTTTTCTCATTACCATTCGCCTTGCAAATCAACAGCTGCGACGCACACTTGTAAATGGCTCCTACTCTCTTCGCGATGAATAGAAGAAAAAAGAAAATATAACGGCACAATCCACAGATTCATTGAAAAACGAAATGAAGGTAACTGTTTTCTTAAAAGAAGTATGTGCTCAAGATTTATAAGGAGTAGGCCGCCGTTACTGCTGCTTAAAAAAACTCTGGGTAAGTAAACAAAGGAAGGGAAAGGTAATCGGTTGTGCTTGAGGTATAGCTTTAGTGGAGATATGCCCATTCAGAATTACTGCTTCTTTCTCTTTTTCTATGTATATACTTATGCACCATCTTACACCATTCCAACGTCAAACTTACGTGCGTAATACAACATCGTCCTCTACCTGCACAAACGATTCGTACTCACAACAAGAACGACGCAACAATCTTCTTCTCCATTACTCAAACACAATCATATACAACTTGACGCTGATCCGCCATTGGCTTGCAAAATATACAGCCTGACGTATTCACCTTTCACTATCATGTACGCCCATATTACACGATGACGACTATGACGCCGGTCTTTTGTTTTGATACTTATACGCTCAAGCACATCATCATCGTAATGACGGCCATCTCTTTCTTTGCTGTTTGTATACACATCAATGTGATGATAATTATATTCCTATGATGCATACACACTACCACAGCTATAATCCTCCTCTGCAATTCGCTGTACTCGCACACACACGATGGCAACGACGATTACCTTTTTCTTTTTGCATATGCCAACACGAAAATTGCCGGTCTTGATGGATAAGGTAGTTATATATGCTGATGGGTGGAATGTAGGGTTTTATTATTGTTACTGTAGATGTTATGGTTGGGATAAAAAAATAAAAGTAAAAGATCATACATTATGTAGTCATTATGTTTCAGTTGTCTGCATAAACGGGTGTGGGATGGGATTGCATATTATTACAAGTGCTTCTATAAAAACTATAGATATAGCTCTGGGCGGTGATGATAATATGGCAGGGACAAAAAAGAAAAGGCGTTTGTTGTTATGAAGGAGGAAGTTTTCTTGCTATTACAACAGCAACTTCATTTGTTATTAATAACAACAACTATGAACAACCAACAAGTTACTACCCTTGACAACATTCGCAACGCTCTCTCTCACTCGACTGTACCTGGCGTTCTTGCTTTCATTCCTAATGAAATCGTGTGCGTTCCTGCTGCTCAATGGCAGATCTTCAAGGATCACATCTCGGAATTGTGTGGATACAAATGGGCTCACAAACGCGAGACTGTGAATGGCACCAGACTCTCTGCCACGCAATGTCAAAAATTACAAAAACCATCCGTATCCACGAAACAACATCCTTCGCACTTGTATAACTCTTGTAAAACCTTCTTTGTTATCTTTCTTATATAACGGTCATCATACTTTATTTTCATCCAATCCACATCAACACAAAAGGAAAGAAACCCGTCAGTTATCCTTCCAGCTATCTACAGCTCATTTATCTATCAAGACCGGCGATGTTACTGTTGGTATATGCAAAAGGAGCAAAGTAATCGCATCAGGTTGTATGTTTTACAAGCTAATGGCGGATCAGCGTCATGTTGTATATAATTGTGTTTGAGTAATGGAGAAAAAGATTGTTGCGTCGTTGTTGTTGTGAGTACGAATCGATTATGCAAGTCGGAGACGATGTTGTATTACGCACATAAGTTTGAAGTTGGAATGGTGCAAGATGGTGCATCAAGTATATACATAGAAAAAGAGAAAGAAGCAGTAATTCTGAATGGGCATATCTCCACTAAAGCTATGCCTCAAGCGCACCCAATAACCTTTTCCTTCCCTTGTTCACTTACCCAGCGTTTTTTTAAGCAGCAGTAACGGCGGTCTACTCCTTATAAATCTTGAGCACATGCTTTTTTTAAGAAAACAGTTACCTTCATTTCGTTTTTCAAATAAATCTGTGGATTGTGCCATTTTGTTTTCTTTGTCTTTTATTCATCGTGAAGAGAGTAGGAGCCATTTACAAGTGCGCGTCGAAGCTGTTGATTTGCCGTGGCGAATGGTAATGAGAAAGAAAAAGGATCTTTGGTTGTTGATTTTTTCCTCCCTGCTGCTGCTAACAAACTCCAATTTGTTTCAAACTCAACCCAGGTAAAATGAAATGAGGGGAAACGCTCAGGCCCTGTTCCCACAACAGCAAAATAGGCTTATGCGCACAGTGAGTCTCTGACGCACCCTTGCCATTTCCTGTACATTAGCCTACAAGCTTCTTGTCACGAGTGAAACAGCCATACTACTACATCTTGACATTGGCTTTGTACTGCTTAACTTCTATTATGTCTTGACTTGAATTGAAAATCTTAAGTACTCAAATATTCTGCTCTGCTACACTTAATATATTATCTACTTCAACTTTTATTATGTCTTAGTTGACTAAAAGTATGTCCAGGTTGACTGTTATTATGTCCAGGTTGTCTATTATTCATGTTTAGATTGATTATTATTCTTGTCCAGATTGATTTTCATTCACGTACAGATTGTTTATTATCTTGTCCAGATTGATTTTACTCATGTCCAGATTGATTTTAATTCATGTCTAGGTCGATCCTTATTCATGTCCAGATCAATCCTTATTCATGTCCAGATCAATCTTTATTCATGTCCAGATCAATCTTTATTCATGTCCAGCTCGATTTTCATTTATGTCCAGCTCGATTTTTATTCATGTCTAGATCGATTTTCATTCATGTCCAGCTCGATTTTCATACATGTCCAGCTCGATTTTCATTCATGTCCAGCTTGATTTTCATTCATGTCCAGCTCGATTTTCATTCGTGTCCACTCAGATTAACATTCATGTCTACTCTGCCTAAAATTAAATCCCTTCACCTAAATAAAAGTTCAAACGTCTACTAGGAGATGAAAAATCCTGTATGTATGATCGACTACAGAAAGTACAGTCACTCTGCAAGTCAGTACAACAATTCGCTATGCTGTTCATTCGCTAGGAAGGATGCACCCGACGACAAGGCTAATATCTCCTGAATGTTTGATTTTCAAAGGAACAGGTTTGGGAATGATGTCTGCTTGATACCAGTAATTTAGGAAAAGAGAAGTAATATCGTTCACATCAATAATCCAATGCTTCTCTTCGTTGTCACTCTCTTGTCGAGTATTAGCATGCTCTTGATCCAAATCAGCTGTAGTTGTTGTTGCTATAGGCTGTGATGCAGTTGTTTCCTGTGTTGGACGTGGAGTTGGTAATTCTACGGTTGAGGTTTGATTTTGAGGCTCCAAAAGGCCCTAGGAATCAGATACTAACATCTAATCGATCACTTCAGAGCAGTTGGATGCAGCAGTTTCCAAAGCATATTTTCGTTTGCGTTCCTTCCAAAACGCTGTGCAATCAAGGGTGAGGCACCAGTTTTCAAATTCCTGAAGGAGGCGAGATTGCTCTGCTTCGGACATGTTAGTAATGATAGTCTTATATCGAGCGTGGCAGCGCCTGCGTTCATAGTAATCATGCTCCAGGGCAAACGCCTTTAAGGTAAGCGTACTGACGTTACAAACGCACCATTGAGCATCAGCTGCTAACACCCGTGGTCGCTTCTCGTTTGATTTTGGAATGATGGCCGTTTTTCTTTTGCGATTCTGTGCCGTATCCGGTTCCTCTGGTGATTGTTGGTCTTTTTTAGCTGTTTTCGTGTTCACTTTATTATTTTTGGAGCGTAACTGACGTTTGCTGACAGTAGGAGTCTGACCACGTTTACCTGTCATTTCAATAAATGATTAAAAATGAACAAAGATAAAAAGGAAGGCTTATTACTTCTTCATCAACGAAATGGACTGCTTTTGTTCATCAATTGATTTCCTGTTTTTCATAGTGGGGTGATACGTCAAATTGTAGTGACATCACGTTTTATTTTAGTTTTACTTAAAAATATTTCTCAATCACTAAACAAATTTCCTTTTTGCTACCGCATCATTGCAATCTCGTAAGTATTTAGTCTGCATGCTATGATTTTTTGGATGCTCTTCGTGGAGAAATGCTTTGAGTCAGTAGTCCTTGTGGATGAACCTCTCTCGATACCAGCCCTTTGGAGTCGATTTAATTCTTTTGGATCATTTCGCTTTTGTCATGCTCCTCGGACATTGGGTTTTCTTCATTTTGTGCGGAAGAGATGCTTTGAGTCAGTAGTCCTTGTGGATGAACCTCTCTCGATACCAGCCCTTTGGAGTCGATTAATTTTTTTGGATCATTAGCTTTTGACTTACTCCTCGGACACTGGGTTCTTTTTCGTAGAAGAGCCTCTATTCATATTGATATTTCATATTACTAACGTTTTATTTTGATGGTTGCTTTACCTGGCTGGAATGTGATTGTTCAATTTGCCTGAGGCACTACATCGATGGCAAATACTATGAGGAAGGTTGTATTACGATGGCCGAGCAAGGAGGACACAATGACCACTGGCATTCGTCCGGACGCCATTGTATCCACCTTGGTCCAACGTGCATTTGGGCAATCCCTTGGTTTTGGAGAAGTCAAGCTTGGCGGTGACAACACCACCAATCATTCCCTTTGCTTGGACACGCTCAAGCTCGCCGTCTTGTCGCGCAACAGCGTCTTGAAGTATGACCATCCTATTCTCACTTTTCAAGTTAATGGTAAGAAGGAAAATGTTGCTACAGTGTTTATGGATCATAACCATTTCACAATGCTTTGTAGGATTTCAATTAGTTTTTTATATGACACAAATGATACATAGCAGTTTCTTTACCATGACAGAAATTGGCCGCATCACCCTGCCTGAAGCGTTATCCTGCCTTCACTCATTCATCACACTGAAAAATATCCGTACGTTATTGCGCGTCACCCTTTTATTTTGGCATTGCTGTTACCAAGCAGATTCATCACCATCTGTCGTTGCACCTGTCAGCACGCCATCCCCCACATCCCCCAAAGTTGCATATCCAATCGATACCTCAACATTTTCTCCCTCTGCAAGTCCCCATACCACACAATTATTCCAGATGATTAACAATACCACCTCGAAGTATCGTGACTGTAGCATCCAATATAAATAAAATTCATGCTATCAAATATATTTTTACGACTAAAAGTATTTGGACAAAGTGACTAAATAAAAAAAAAACCCGACTTAGCATGACTTAAATTATATGCCTTGCATTTCTTCTCTCTGTCATTTTTTCATCAGAAGTAGTATATTCATCTACATATTGTATACTTGCTGGTTTGGTTGATATGAAATAAATGACGTTGCTTGTTAAATCGAAACTATTTAGTTAAATTGTGAATGAAAGAAAAATAGTCTTAGATAGTTGTGGATCTCAAATGGTTCTAAAATAGTCTTGAAACTTTACTAATCTGTCTTGTGCCTGTTCCAACATTTTCTTAACTTGTCCCAGCCAAGCTTTTATTCATCTCAAATTAATTCACTTTCTTTATGTACTGGGTTTTGAATAAAAATTTGGACGTACTTTTTTTCTGCTGGGACGGGTAAATTTTTTAGTGAGACGATTTTGCCATACTGAATTTGTGCCGATTGAATTGAAAGAAAGGGTGTATTACGTGACTGTAAGAGTCCCATTTTTCTCAAAAGGCGGATTTTTCAAATTGTAGGGCGGTATATTCTTTTTTTTTTACTTTTGTTAAATGAGTACATACTTTTTTTATGAAGATGGCCAGGGAAACATTTGTGATGAAAATGGGCGCGATGCGATGGAATGCGAAGAAGAGATTAACCCCTTCCATCTAAAAACATTAACTCGTCTTCGACTTTACTGCGAGAAGCAAAATACAGAGCAGAAGGACACTGCTGAGATGGAAGCCTTAGATGCTGAGATGGAGGAGATTGCCACCAACTTAAAGATCAATAGTGGTAGGAGTTATAACAACTACACCAATGATCAGAAATTGCTTTTTGTCTACTACAATAGGATTAAGTTGTTCAATGCTGCCAAATCTGGTAGATTAGCAGGCGGTGTTGCTGAAAGAACTGCACAGAAATGGGCTAGGAGACTGAAAGAGGATAAAGATTGGAATATCTTTGAAAAACAAACCAATAAAATCAATAAATCAGCAGGCCAGCTTGATGAGAAGCATAAGATTCACCTTTTAAATTTTTATGACAGTAATCCTCAAGCCAGGGTTGTGGATGCAGTTTGTTCACTTACTGAAAAATTCGAATCATTCACACTGAAAGAATCAAGTGTGAGAAATTTCCTCAAAACAGAATGCAACCTTTCATTCAAAAAAATCACTCGTCATCCAGCTCCCAGAAACGATCCAACAAAAATTGCAAACCGCATAGCGTGGGTTGAGAAGTGGAGCAAAACAGATATGGATTACCTTGAAAATTGTGTTTTTGTTGATGAATCAGCTTTCGATATCAATATGAGACCTCCAGGAGGATGGTCTATTAAGGGCACACCAGCTATTGTAATCACTCCTACCACCAGAGCAGTATCACACACAGTTTTGGGTGCAATCTCGGCGAAGTATGTCGTGTCAATGGAGCTTCGAAATCCTCAGGAACACACATTCAAAAGGCTAAAAATCGATTCTGGTAATCGCAAAAGAAAAGCACCATCAAAACCAAAGAAGCCTGCCTCCAAAGGAACTGTCACTGGCCATTATATGAATTTTATTCAGAAAACAATGGATGAAATGGATTGCATTCCGGAAATGAAAGGATATTATATAGTTATGGATAATGCACCAATACATACATCTAACGAGATTGATACTATGGTGACAGAGAGAGGATATAAGTGCATTTATCTCCCTCCTTACTCGCCTGAACTTAATCCTATTGAGCAATTTTGGTCCATAGTTAAAAATAAGGTCAAACGTAGTCAATTTCAAACTAAAGAGGATTTATCAACAAGAATAACTGAGGCTTGCAATAATGTTCCTCCAGAACATCTTCGAGCATTTGTACAACATTCGGTAAACATATTTGAAGATTGCTTAAAAGGCAATCCTATCTAATAAAATGTCACAAACAACTGTAAAAAATATCTACTGAGGATCGAAGAGACCGCCCTTTGAGAAAATTGTAACCGCCCTTTGAGAAAACAAAAACCGCCCTTTGGAAAAAAACAATCCGCCTATTGAGAAAAAACAATCCGCCTATTGAGAATTTTAAAACCCGCCTTTTTGTTTAAAAAACCGCCCTTTGGTGTTGCGCTAACTGTACTGTATCTTATCGCTCAGTTTGAATCGTCATCCGGCTTCTATCCTTCCAAAAACTCCATTTAGGATCTCCATGTAACATATCAGTTTGGGCTCAGCTGGCTTCGCTTCTAACCCGCATAAGCCTTTTATGCTCTCCCCAGCCACACTTAATACGGAAAGCAATAGTAATGAGTTAGATCACACATATGGCCAATATCAAGAGAAGAGCTTGGTTGCTGAGCCACCACTAGTGGTATCATTCTGATCACCAACAATGAACTTTTACTTTACATACTTAAAGGTCTTATATATATAAAGAGTTCCTGGTATACACCACAGAAGAGTGGTCAATGAACCCGTGACCATATTTACTGCTGAATGCATGCATATGTGCTGCAAATCACTACCCGTGCTAATTTTACTGTTATTGGAATGGCGGTGGTGACAGTCTAACGCAGCAATTCCCTTGGCCATAGGTCATCATTATGAAATGCACCCTATGCTACCCGAAAGAAGACGGCAACAAGACAAAGAAGTGTGTAGGTTGCGATAAATCTGGATAGCAAACAAGATCCCTTTTCAGTCGGCAGCACACACATCAATTACATTTTTACTTGTTAATGTTATCAAAGTTAAAAGGAATAACAGGCTCATCGGTACATACGCTCTTGAGCTAGTACTTTGACGTAAAATCACTATGAATAAGTCATGATTCCGCCTTATCTCAACTCCTGCTGGGATAACTCTGAGTGATGCTTTTATTGGTATAAATACATGGAAATCAAATATTCTGTCTCGTCTTCTTCTAAATAATTATTGAGATTCAGATCGTTAGAAAGACCCTTGTTATATTAAACATTTACGACCTACCCCCGCGAAAAATGTGTTTCGCGGACCCAAGGACCATAGCTTAGATTAGGCTTATGTTCGTAGGCGCGAGTTCATCATTGCTGCAGTTACAGTACTGTAGTTTATCTGACAGCTGTTCCCTACCAGTATATAAATTTAAGCGACTGTTATCAGTTGGTGATGTTACTATCATTTGGAAGCGATGAGCGCGTAAGGAAGACTAACGTAATAATAAGGATAAAAGTTGGTCAATATTACATGTAAAAGGAATTGAGGGAAACTAGTGAGGGTTGAGTATTGTTGTGCTAGTATAACAGAGGTTAAATAGAAGGGCGTCATCTGCCTGACGTCACAACATCAGCTTTGAGGGCCATTTGTGGTATGCCATGCTGTTTCTCCTAACTAGTATACGTACCCTTTATTACTTTCTTCCTTACGGCCACAAAGGGATTACAATAGGGAATATGTATCTATATAGACACATTGTAGCATTACGAACCTTTTGCATGGCTCTTTAGACATCGAATTTTGTGCTTGCTACCAACACACCAGAACAGTAAACCGTCGATGAGCGTATCCTGCCAGATATATATCTACAGACTGAACCATAAACCCAATACGCCGACTTGTGCGCGCCACATTACTTAACGAGTTGAGTTGACCGAAGATCTTCTGAAGGGTTTCAGAAGTCCAAAAATGGTAAGTCGTTTAGCCATAAAGCAAATGCCGGGCTACCTGTCACCTGTCGTAGTGATTTGCAACAATCTCCCCCCCTCTTCCTGCAGTCTTCAATTCCTTCTTTCGACTTCTCTTTATTCTCCCTTTCTACCCTTATTGTTTACCAAGCAACAGAAGAGACGCCCACACTTACTTCCACACACAAAAACTCGTACACAACACATAGACATAGCAACAAGAGGGGCTGTCAAATGGACCTATCACCGAAGCAGATACACTATTTTAAGCGTGAGCTGCTGGCCATTCAGCTTCGCCAAGAACTCGAAACAGTTCGACGGAAACCTGATCTGCTTGCTCGATTGGTGCATCCAGCACATTCAGAAACCGACGATCTTCCGTTTTTGCGCTATATTTTCCAGCACATTGTGGTCGAGTTTCCATTGCTGAAACAAGGAGGTGGTAACGGCAGCGGCAGCAGCAGCAGCAACGGACAAGACGATACCGCTGGCACGGGCAATAACAAGGAGTTTTGGGATAAGGCGCATGAATTTTTGAGTGAGTTTGGCAAGGTGCAACTCAATACATATGCACCAAGTCAAGCCGACGCCACGCAACGACAAGTCATGACGCGTAAATTAGAAAAGACTCTCATTTTGGCACTCAATGTCGGCATCAAAACGGTTCAAGGACAAGAAGAAAGTGTTAAAGTGACGCCTAGTGACCTCGCTTCTGCTGCACTACAACAAAAACCAGAGGTAGTAGCCGCTGTAAAAAAACGCAACAACAGCAACAGCGATAACAACAACAAAAATTCGTTGGCCACTGGCCCAGCAGCAACATCATCATCGTCGTCGTCGTCGTTGTCGGCTCCTGACGGAGAAGGAGAACAAGTACAACAGGAAACAAAAAAGGAAAAGCAGTCGGTGTTCACTGATGTCAATGTTGCGACGGTGGTAAGTCAAATTTTGAAGATCAGTGAGTGTATTTTGGATTGGACGGAGGCGAATGATGATGAAGCTGATCTTCATATGAAATTGGTTTATATTCTTCAAATCAGCGTGAGATTCGTGAAAGCAGGACGTTTCGTGGCACAGTGACGCATGCCGAGTTCATTATAAGCTCAGTGTTGGTGGATAATCCTAGCGATAACGATGCTGTTGAACAGCAACAGCAACGGATCTATGTCGCACGACGTCATGGGCAGTTTCGACAGCTGCATGATCACCTTCAGAGTAAATTCCCCCGCGTGAGAGTTCCCATGGTGCCGAATAAGGCATCACGCGATGCAGGCGATTTCTATCGGGACAAGGATCGGCTGCTGTTGCGCTCCTTTTTACGGCGTGTCATTGATCATCCAAAACTCTCCAAAGCTGCTGCTGTCCGTGCCTTTCTTCTGGATAATCCGATGACCTTGACGGCGGAAGAATTAGAGGACATTGAGCGACGAAAAGAGATGGATGTGAAGCGGGCAGAGCAAGAGCACAAGTTCCGTCAGGAAGTGGATGAAAAAGTCGTTGCACTTAACGACCTACTGGATATGCTCAAGAAGCAGGTCATGCAGCCAGGCGGGTTAGTGCAGGTGATTGAAACAATCAAGCAGACCGAAAGACTAGAAGATTTGCCAGACACGTTACGAAAAGCATTTGAATGGGGCCGGATCAAGTAAGCGGTTTTGTCTTGTTTTAAACGTGACAGATGTGGTGGAAAAACGGGATGTATAAAAAGGGGGTATCGAACAGGACATCACAATTAGAACTGATTGAAACAAAACATGGCCTTTGCAGTTTTGCGTTCACGCTGCACACGCATTTCGTAACAGATGATACTGCTGCAGAAAACACAGCAACGCTGAAGCGTACTCATAACTTCATGCCGTATCGTACCATGGCGACCATTCTCAGGTTGTCGAATCCGATCGCCATTGTCAAGATGGTACTAGACTTGTTCCTCGCTCAACCACTTGGAGGCCGTAGCTTATTTCAGAGGTAATAATAGCATAATGGTTAAACGGAAAAGGTTCATTATTTTTCTTTTGATTAATGATAAGACTTGTAATATCAGAGTTATCGTGGCCAATATGGAAGAGGATACTAGAGTAATTGACAAGGATATCCAAACCCTTGAAGAAAAGATAGGGGACAAACTGTTGTGTGCCAAGGTAGCAAACGCTGTCAATACGACCTTGCCCACAAACGCTACGGGAAACCATGACCGTGGTAAGTGTAGTAAAACCTTTTATTGGTGCGCATGATGTTGAAGAACTCAGTTGATGTCAAAAAAAACATAGCTGTTACAAACCCGGTGCTTGAAACTCTCATACTATTACAACGAGACGATATCGAACCACAGCTGGCACCGGATCAAATCGTCAAGCTTGCGCACCTTGATAATGGACCAAACAAAACGACCAAGCGATTAATCAAGCAATTATACGATTTATGGATTTTGCGTGCTCGTAAACGGGAACAAGAACTATTGATGTCGCTGGTGTTCCAAGGCGTGACGGGTGAAATCTTGAAGGAACTTTTCGCAATCTTTTATCAACCATTGGCACAAGTGTATAAGGCAGCCAACATTGGTGAATCGATCCAGCACCTGTCAGCATTCATGAGCGATCTTATCCAACTTTTGGACAGCTTAGAAACTGCAACTGTAGAGACCAACACTGTGGAGCCATTTGTGCGGCTTGTCCAACGGCACGAGGATAAATTCTATCAATTTGTACATCGTGTGCACGCTCAGGACACTTCGCATCTGTTCGACGAACTGGTTGGCTATGTAGACCATATTCTGGGCTCGTTGACACGGGGAATTTATCCTAAACAGCCATTGGATTTGCACAAAGTTGTGACATCGGCCGGCATCCCTCCCAATGAATACCAAGCTCTACGTGATGAAATTGATGCACTGTGTGAGCATCGACGGCAGCAAAAACTACTTCATCTGGAACGTACTCGTCGTAAAGTAGAAGTGCACAAGAATACCACTACCAGCAATAACTCAAAGGAGATAGACGATCTTATGGTCAAGAGTGCACGCCAAGATTATCAAGATTTGATCCAGTTTTTACCAAGCAATATGGATATCATGGGCGTAATCAACGATATTCAAGATATAGACTCTGAAGATACCGGTAGCACCGCATTAACGGACGATACCTCGAGTACTACTAGCAGCAGCGATGACAGCGACGATGACGAATACGATAATGAACGACGTGGCAGCAATAGTAGCCTGCAGTCATCTTCAGAAATACTTGCGCCTCCTGTACTCAAGATTATACCCACTGTCGTTCCTTTCTTTGTTCGAGATGTGTCTCAGATGATGGAGCAAGCGCTGCGCGACAGCAAAAATGCAGCAACAGCCAGTCAACAAGTACCAGATCAACAGCAGCAGGAAACGAAAAGTTAAGCGATGCTAATACTAATTCTTTGATAACTATATACTTTTTGTAATACTTCACCTTTACATAATACAAAATTTTGCTTTATATCAAGTTATATATGATTGTCCGGCTGTTTTGCACATAGCGTCTATGCACTACATGAATAATGGTACGTACTAGTAGTAAAACCATCACCACTAGCAACGGATGTTTGACACAACAAAATGGAAGCAGCTGAACGGCTCCTGTTTGATGTAGCAAGCATTCACGCATATTCTGTGCACCAATATATATGTATCATATATATATGTACAACTTTTTAGATAAGATAACAGGGTTCATAACTTATGTTGCTTAAACATCAACAGAACAAGTCAGAAGCTTGTCTTGCCGTCCCCTTTTTTCTTGAAGCAGGATGAACTACACCTGTGCCGCTTTGTCGTGAAATTCGAGCCAAACCGACCAAATGATCATCATAGAATTTCGTAAGGTGAAATTATTTGCTGTATCGTCGAGTGTTCATCCTTGGCAACGTGCTATTTAGATAGCGACGACTGTAAGTAGGAGCATGAAACGCCCTGAATAGCATATAGAACGGGTAGAGAAAAGAAGCCGGTGGTATCATTTGTGGAGCATGAGGGAGAGAGAACATCATGGATACATTTGGTGTCATGTTTACGTACCGGTTTCCCAAACAAATCCATTTATCGAGACTTGGATGAACGAGTGGTTGTCCATAGATATCTTGGCTTCGTCTGGAACCTCCGGAGACAGGTTCTGTAGCTTTAATTCCACACATGAGAATAAGAGCGATGCATCTTCGGCACTGTAATTTCGTGCGTGTATGTTTCGGTGCCATAGTTTGAACTCAAATTTTAAAGAGGACTCTCACTCTCTCTCCTATTCGAAACAAGGGTGAAGTAAGGAAACGGAAGGAGTGGATGTCCCGCAAAAAAAATATGTTGCTGTACGTTGTTCTGGGGAGATTTAGGGCTTACATGGACAAGGCCGATTCAGTCACTTGTTCTTCGTCGCCGTGAGGTGACTGGGCGATATAGGCAAGCTTTGCTCCGGGGCTGCTGTCGCCGATGAAGATATTGCAGTGCAGTTACACGTTCGTTTATATCTAAAGCCTCGTGAGCAGACTCGGATGGTCCATATTCGTCTATGTGAACAGGGACGAAACGGCGGTACTCTTTTTTGCTTTATGTATGCTAGGTTTGATAGCCGTGTGGCTAGCTGTCGCCCATGGCGAAGCGTGAACTGCTTCTGTGGTTTCCTGTGGTAAGAGCTTCTAGGGTAAGGTTCAACCCAGCAAGATGTGTTTCTTTCAATGTCAATAGTGCTGCTTGTTCTAGTCGCCTGCGTTTCTGACATCAGTTTTTCTGATATGATACACGGTACTCGCATGCTGATCACTCGAAAAACCATGCTGGTCCCTTAACCATGTTCTTGAAAGCCAATTGATAATCTTGTGTAGTGGCCAATAAATTGATATACCAGTATCCCATGCCTCGTGGCTGGCAGGTCGTGATAAATAGAGTTGTTAACGAGCAATACCTGCATTGCAAGCTTGGCAAGCATGCACATACAGCAAATATATATCTTTGTTGCTTTCGGTACTGAGCGTGTTTCGTGAATGCTATTCTATGGCGTGAACTTGATGTCTCGTTGCCATCTGCCACTGTATGTCTATCGAACGATATGTACAATTTGTTTTTTATTAACATTATCCTATATACTGAGTTGATGTTCGTACATAGTGCTAACTTGGCACTCGCAGTAAGGGTTTCTTCAGGGTCCAGGCCGATTGCGCCATCGAAAGATTCCACCCCTTGTTCCCTTGCTGGTGCTCTTTAATATGTAATTTATTAGCAGTGACGGCGATAATAACTCTTGCTTTCATAACACATACAGTACCATTTGCGCGCGGTCATTGTATCCTCTTAATTTTGGCAAGTACCGTAGATTCATTGCGCCGAACTTTAATGCGCGTTAAGTCCAATTAAATATATTGGCAGAAAGCTGTACGCCGCTCGTCTGCATCATTTTCTCAAAGTAAAGTTTGGTGTGGGCGTTTCTACCACATCATTCAGCGTCTCAGTTAAAAGCTTGTCGTATCTTACTCATCGTTCTGTTCTGTTGTTTGCCTGCGCCGTCTATTAAATCGTAGTGGAGCGCATACAGATAGTTGACACGAACTGGACCACCCTCCTCCTTCTGATCAAAACAATTTCTATACGCTACTTCCAGCCGTAGACGTTCGGGGTGGGGCATAAACTCTCGCTCTATATAATTTAGGATTGTTATATATCTATAATGCCTTACATACTATATATTTCGCACATGGTCTTTTCAATATATTGGAGCCATGATTAATAACATGCTTAGATTTGAGCTTGGAACATTTCATCGTCAGTTTGTCTCCATCAATCTATCTTTCTTAAGCTGACGTCTTCTTTGTCAAAGGAGTATGGGCGAAGCCACTTTTACTTTGCAAACATGCCTTTAAGTGTCAGTGTTCTTATACCTATCAGAAGGTCCTGCATCAAAAGAAAGATATGAACTAATAAACTTTCTTGCTGTTTCAATGTTAAGCAGCATAGTTTATTACAGAAGGAAAAGGAAACTAGGTTGCGGAGACAACGTGTCTAAAAACTAAAACATCACATTTCATTCCGATGCCTTTGCTGACACTCTGGCTACATCATTGAGTATGGTGGATATGGGGTCGAAAGGCTGACCTTTTTTGGTGGGGGTGGGAGGTGGCATGAACCTTGGGGCGCCGGAGAGGTACACTATGCTTGTCGGAAATACAAATACTGCGTGTTAGCCAATAGGCTATCGTTGTTTGTCCGCTTAGAGAGAGAGAGAGAGACTTGACGGCTGACGCGGCCCTGTTTCTGCAATACCCAACTCTTTTCATTTTTAACCTCTAATGTTCCTCACAAGAAGCGAGTACGATAGAGGTGTCAATACTTTCTCACCCGAAGGTCGTTTGTTCCAAGTTGAATATGCCATCGAAGCAATCAAGGTCAGTTATAGTATATTTATTTTATATATAACACGCAAACAGCATTCCGTGTTTGCGGTGAATCCCGTTCGCCACCAAAAATAATGACACGTCTCCAATGTATGTATATACATTGATAGTTGGGCACGACGGCCATTGGCATTCAAACGTCAAAAGGCGTTGTACTTGCTGTAGAAAAACGTGTTTCTTCACCATTGCTCGAAGCAAGCTCGATTGAAAAGATTATGGAGGTCGATTCCCATTTAGCAGTAGCATTGAGTGGTATGGTCGCTGATGCTCGAACACTCGTTGATTACGGTCGCGTTGCAGCACAGGTAGCGTCATTTAGTATTACTCGAGGCATAACCGCAACAGAAATGAAATCCAAGTGAGCTTTTCTTTTAAATCGTGTTTTTGTTTTTATATATCTGTTTTCTTTTTTCCAATATATGCAGAACCATCGATTTACATATGACGAAGCCCTCAAAGTCGAAAGTTTGACCCAGTCCACTTGTGATTTGGCTCTGCGATTCGGTGAAAGTGCCGACGGTGAAGAGGCTGTCATGGTAATGATTCTTTGGGAACACAAGCAAAATAAAAGTTGGGGATGCTGGAGTAACGACGGCGACTGATCAAAGATGTAATTTTATAGAGTCGACCTTTCGGTGTAGCATTGCTTATTGCTGGTGTAGATGAAAAGGGACCTCAACTGTAAGGCGTTGGTTCCATTATTTACTTGAAAAAACGACAAGAGGATGTTATACTTACTTGAACTGTTTCTCTATTACGTTGCATAGCTACCATACTGATCCATCAGGAACGTTCATGAAATACAACGCAAAGGCCATTGGATCTGGCTCCGAAGGTGCACAAACTGAGCTCGAGAAAGAATACCACAAAGTATGTGCACAACACGCTTGGATTCAAAAGAAAGGAGAGAGAGAGAGATAAAATGACGGTATAACTCACATTCAACCATTTTGCAGTCAATGACCCTGGAAGAAGCCGAGACGTTGGCTTTGACCGTACTCAAATCCGTCATGGAAGAAAAGCTCAACAAGGCCAATGTACAAGTCGCGTCGGTGACACCTACCGAAAGCTTTAAAATCTACAGCGAAGAACAGTTGCAATGCATCATTGATCGGCTGTAATTTCTCGTGGAGGGAAAAGGAGGAAGAAAGAAAGGAACATTACAAAACACTTTTTATTTTTTTTTCTCTAACTTTTTTTGTGTGAAGAATTAAAAAAAAAACAGACAACAAAACAATCATAATCAAATGTTACGTAACATGAAGAGCAATGTCAGGGCAACAGCAAAAGACATGTAAAACGGCATGGCATGAAGCTCGTGGGAGGATGGTGCACCGTCCGTGAATACGCCGATTTGACCAAGCTGACCATAGTCGATTTCATTGTAATCGATGCGAGGATATGAGCCTGGCATGATTGTGTTGACTGCATAGACGGTGGAGACGACATAGGATGTTTGTTGTTGTGCTTGGTTATTCCTGTCAATATCTTGAATGGCCTTTTCTTGCTGCTCATCGTCGTCGTCGTGAGCTGACGGAGGCAATGGACTGGATGGAGGGGTTGGAGAGCTGCTAACCAGAACAGGCGATTCAAAAAGAGATGACGGTGTGATTGCTGGATCAGGCGATGGTACCGCATTGTGTTGTTGTGCAGTTGAAGGCAGAGGAGGAGATGATGGTGGTGGTGATGGTGGAGCACCGTCAGTAGGTGTATGAGTCGTAGCTACTGACGAAGATGTTGTGGAGGAGGTAGTGTGATGCGAGCTACTTGTGCTTTCTTTGTGCTCGGAAGTCGTGGTGTGATGGTGGTGATGATGCGTTTCCTTTCTTGTTGTTGTGTGGTGATGATGGTGTTTATCATGTTTTGCCGCCTCGAGATGCCCGTCGGGAGGAGGTCCTGATGGATCACGATCTCTCGAAGGAGGATGTTGATGCTTTGACGGCGGTCCTCCAGATCCTGGTCCGATCTGATCCATCCTATCCACAAACGGATCATCTTCTATTCTTTCCCAACCATGAGGCGGCTCTTCCATCTAACACAAACATTCATCTTGATCATATCAGCATATGCACTGTCGCCAGGGTAACAAAGGTGAACGTACCGCATTGCCCCAGACTTCGTCATCCGGCATCATAAGATCGTGCCATGGCCCACTATCAGCGTCAGCAAAAGGGGGTGGATGGGGAGGACGCATGTTCTTGATCCAATCCGAAAGAATAAGCCTTTTTCTAGAAATCTAAACGGCTCGAAAAAGAAGAAATCAAGCAACAGGTTCTACTTTGACAGTTGTGCTTTTTTTATACCACGGATCACGATCCTGACCACACTTGTTTGCAAATGTTTATGTTCTTGGGATTAGGACCAAGGAATTTATAGCAGCGAAATAGAAGCAAAATAGCAAACAAAGGATGTTTGGTGGCGGTAAAGATGTGTCTTTGTGTGTGTGTGGGGGGGGGGGAAAGGGTAGGCTATGACGCAGAAGCTGTCAGTTTAGCCAATTCGTCGCGTAGTGCCTTGCCCTTTTTCACCTTTTCGCGCTGGTCGTCATTTAATGTTTCGCCCTTGATCAACTTTTGCTCCAACTCTTCGACCTGTCTAATCTTTTTCTGCACGTTACGGATTTTCCGTTCTTCAACCGAGGTGGTGTTGGTGGCAGCAGGCTGTGTGTGTGGCCTTGCCTCTTTGATAGGCTTTTGTCGTTTCTGCTCTTCTTCTCTACTCTGTAGCAAATGTCGTTGCTGTTCCTGCTCTGCCTGCTGTCGGGCTTGTGGTGATGCATAGCGTTGAACATCTTCTAATGGTGTGAAACCGGCCCGTACTTTGCGAGCGGGCCGGTAGGATCCGTCGGCCCGTCTTGATCCAGGGATCCATCGTTCCTCACCCACGGTAATAATGCCGGCATCGGTCGGATTGGGATCTGTCATTATCTCTCGCAACTAAACAAAGCAAAAGCAAAAAATAGAACGTTTGTGGTAACCACTCGTAGTGCAAAGAAACGTGCGCTAGTTATTGCTGAGTTTATGTAAGAAGGAAAAAGGCCCGCGCTTTGGGAGGGTTCATATTTGTGTGCAACATTTTTATTTCCATTCGTTTTTGCTTGTTTGTTAATCAACCCTTTCTTTCGCCTCCTCTTCTCTTTTCCCCCATTCTTTCTCTATCATTATCCAGTGCAACATGACGACGGTGAAAAAGCTACAGCATCGATTGCTCCGCACCGAACGCACCAAGATATCGCTTAGAAAGAGCCAGGCTGCTGCTCATGCAAAGACAAAAGAGCCAACGACAGGAATACCACCCCGATTATGGGGCCACCTCATACCACCCATGCCTGTCGTCACTTCAACCATCTATCGTCATTACGCTAAAGGTACGACTGTGACTCTTCCGTAGCCCGGCATATCCGCTCAAGAAGCTCTCACACAAGACGAGTGTATTAATGCATAATGCAACACTCTATGCCAACAACAACAACAACAACAATGTTAACAGGTCCACCCGCCAAATCCTGGTCACTGACATTCGACCTGGCTATTGCAATCGTGTCAGACCTACTGAGACGCTCCAGCAGCAAAACGGTCGAAGATCTGCAAAGGCTATCCACCACCAAAGGCGCGCCCGTACCGTCGGACATGAAACGACACAAAGTACTCCTTCCTCAAGACTATCGGGTTCGGGCTGGGAATCACTTGGGCTGCTTATTCACTGCCCAAGACGAGCAGGCCATTGGCTGGGACTGGAAGAGCGACAAGAAGCGGGTCAAGGAGCTCAAGGGCGAATGGATGCAGCCCAAAAAGGTGAGCAGCCCATTGAAAAGGACGATCCTGTATCTTCACGGTGGTGCGTACTATTTAGGCTCATATGGGCTGTATCGCAACCTGCTGGCCAGGCTTGCAAAGGTTAGTTTCTACGCTAGTGATTTTTCACATACACACGCTCTCTTTATTTGTCTGTCTCAGTCTCAATGTTGACTACAAACACATGATAATGGTTGATGGTGCGAAGGCTGATTGATCAATTTCTGTCTGTACTATGATAGTTGTCAGATGCTCGAGTATTTGCCATCAACTACCGATTGGCACCCCAACACCCCTTTCCAGCGGCTGTTGAGGATGCATTGGCGGCGTATCTGTACATGCTCGACCCACCTGAAGGGATTGACCCCGTTGATCCTAACTCGATCGTTGTCGCAGGAGACAGCGCTGGAGGCGGATTGTCTCTGTCACTCTTGCTAGCGCTTCGCGATGCTGGGTTACCGTTGCCGGGTGGTGCCATGACTTTATCACCATGGTAGGGAAATTGCGAAAAAAAAACATTTATGCACCTTAAAGTTAAGGGGTACTTGGGGGATTATGATGACTGATCCCTCTCTCTCTACGGAAAAGGGTGGACCTGACTCACAGTTTACCGTCCATCATCAACAACATCTCCACCGACTATTTGCCCCCGACAGGCTTCAAACACGCACCCTCGAAAGCACAAGACTATACTCTCCTACCACCTCTGAAAAGGACATGCAGCATCGGCCCATTTGCTGAATCAGATTTAGATCGTGTTCAGTTCTATGCCGACAACAGGGTCCTAAAACATCCGCTTGTCAGTCCGGTCTTTGACAAGAAGAGTTTGCGCGGTTTGCCGAAGCTGTTGATACAGACAGGCACAGCCGAACGTTTACACGATGAAGCCGTTTATGCTGCACTTTTGGCCAGCGATCCGCTTTTCTCCTGCAACGACAAGAAAGATGACAAGGGTGACGACGATCGCACAGACGTTACACTCGAGATCTATGTGGACCAGCCCCACGTGTTTCAGATTATTCTACCTACACGATCATCCACCTGCGCCATCAAACGACTAGCAGATTTCGTACGAGACGCTACCGTGCAAGAAGACATAGAAACATCACCGGATAGTAATACAACGAAGGGATCCAAATTAAAGGTACACACTATATCGCCACGCGGCAATATCAGCGAAACCAAGAACGAACTGTTGGACACGTTCAAGGATGGAACCAAATGGACGGATTGGCAGGCTTCCTTGGCCAAAGAGAGTCTCCGTAGTCGGTTAGAGGATGTAGAAGCAGCTGTCGCAAAGCTAGATGTTTGAATAGCCTGCTCCCTCAACAAGTATAGTTTTTGATAGTTGATGTGCGTCTCCCTCACACCTCTTTCGAACAAGTATAATCCATCTCTTTTGATCATGACTTCTGTACTATTTCTACTTTGTCGGTTGACTTTTTAGTTTAAGAAAAAAGCGATTTCAGAACAAACAATATCCTTAGTTCATATGTTACTGCTAACTCTGTACATCAATTTGCAGGATCATGCGAGGCATTTAACATATTCGATTAGTTTATCCCGTCAGCATGATCCACAAAGTTCAAGTTGAATAAGTTCAGCAAAGAGTTCAAAGAAACCAGGCTTGCTGCAATGGGCCTACAAAACGCAAGCTATCAAAAGCATGTGATTACGTGTAGATGCAGTTTTACTGGTTGCAATTTCCTTATTTGAACACACAAAGCAAAACACCTTGGGGACGGCCGATTAGCGAGGGCACTTACTTGTGTGGAATGATTTGACACGGTAATGACGAACTAATGGCGGGAGTAATGGTGCTGCGGGGATGGTGTTGTTTTGTCGACCTACCAAAAAGAAAAGATCTGGATTGTGTATCACGTACCAGCAACATCGTCGTCGTCGTCGTTGTTGTTGTTGTTGTTTGCTGGTGCCACCCATCACCCATCTGTCTTTCTATTTCTAATAATACTTGTATTAAGCTTTATTCTTTTTGTTTGTTGTGAGCGATAGCAACAAACGTACGATTATATACACACGCTCGCACGAACACTGTGTTTGTGTGAGAGAATATTACATATCCCCAACCGCCTTCCTTATACATCTGCATCTGTTTCCACCGCGACCACGCCTGCTTGCCAGTGTTCGACACATCTTGCGATTGCGACTTTTTTTCTTCTTTTGCACGTATCATACAGTAACGCAGTATACTCTCTTTCTGCGTTCTCGGGAAGTTACTACCGAGTTCAGAAAACGGCCGGAAGAGCAATCGAGATGTCTCCGAGGGCTGATCTTTTGATAGTTGTACGTAATACTTCGTTAGCAGCAGATATAGTGCTCTCATAACAACAAGAGCAATAACAGGAAACGCTTCTTCATAGTCCGCGGGCTGTACTGTAGTACACACAAAAGTGCCGCATGGAGTATGTATCCACAAAATGAAGTCTTCTCTGTGCACCAGGGCCATCTTCTTTTGAGCTTTTTTGAGTCCGACACTACAAGTGCAGCATCATGCCTGCTGGGCAAAGAAGGAACTTGTCCCTGAAAATTGGCTACTGCTGCTCTTGGCTGTATCATAGTGATCATTTACTACTGCAGTCACTTTATCATGCAGAGAGAGAGAGAGAGAGAGAGAGAGAGAGCAAACACTCTACTCAATCTTAAATACCACGCATCTCGCAGTTTGAAACGAGGCCACGGAGGTGGGAAGGCTTGTCTTGGGTGTTTGTGACAACAATGGCTGTTCTTCCTTGCACTGGTTAATACGATCGATCTACTGTGTATACTATCATACTGCCGGTGTGATGACGCCCCTCTTTCTTCTTCTACTACTTCTTCTTGACAAGAATACGTGCATGGACGTACGTTATTATTTGTCCTTTGGGTTACACATTGCTTTTTGCAGTAATAAGTGTGTGGTACTGCATCGTGTTTTGGGAATGCGCTTATGCGCCTTGTGAAATGTTTCGTTATTGTGGCATGGAAGGAAGGAAAAGCAAACGCCCAACACGCCACTGTGTTAAGGAAAAGCTGCTCCTCATTTGGCAAAAAAAAGGCAAACCTGCATTCCAGCATCGTAATTGCTATCGTCCCTATAATAACACAGCTACGATGGCTCTTTAAACGTGTAGACATACTACTAGACCACGACCATGAGCCGTAGTGCGTGTTACATTTCTGATCAAGGTGCCACTTTTTTTTTTTATTTCAGTCCCGGTCCATGTCAAAGCATCTGGAGTGCAAAGCATAATGGTGAGGGGTGAGTATCTAGTAGTAGAAAGGGTGGGAGGAGAGGTGGGGGAGGAGGGGGGAGGGTAAGGACACACAAGCTTTACCGCATTTGACCATGTTTTTCAATATCCAAAAATGGGCATTGTCAATTTTTGTGTGTGTGTTTTTCGCGCGCGCGAAAACAACCATGGCGTTTTCGCTTCTCTTTTTTAACGCCACGCTCGTGCTGAACTTGTTCCCCTCTTCTTTCTCTTCTTCATCGTCTTCTTTTTCTCATTACTGCTGTATTTTTATTACATATCAAACGAAATACGGATAGAGATTTATAACAGACAAAAGGGGGCTCTTAGGTAGTGGGTTTTCTTTCTCTCCTCGCAATTCACAAAAAGAAAACAAGACAAACAGCAAGCAATGGGGAGCCAACACAGCAGACCCAGCAGCACACGACACAGCATTCGATCATCCACCGGATCGTTAAGCAGTAGAAGAACACTCAAGCGGCTATCCCGCCGTCTCAACACCCTCAGTCACCATCATGATTCACAAGACCTCGTCACCGTCAGCAACGAATGCGAGCATACCATCCACAGCAGCAGCAATAGTTCCAGCAGCAATAGCATTCTCACATCATCATCGCCCGTCTTATCGCCACAGCAAGAGCAGCCACCACCACCACCATCATCATCGTCGTTATCACCACAACGGCCGGACACCGTCGTCACTACGCTTGTCGAAAAGCAAGAGGATCCGGCGTCACTCGGACAGCACCTGTACCCAAGGCGACGAAGCAGCGAGTACGCAGCAACAGCCGCAATGGTGCGTCGACGGTCCCCGTCACCGTGGAAGCACAGGCGACCGCACTCGTTTGCATCCTCAACCGATGAAAGCAACGTGAGCGTGTGCTGGTCATCCGGCGGGCTCTTTTCACAAATTGACCCTGCAAGTTCCTCCTCCATCACCACTGCCACCGACTTTTCTTCCACCATCTCTCGCCGTTCTCTCTTCCTGAGCCATGACAAGACCATCATGCTCGTCCCGCCGCTACAGCTCCAGCCTCGAAAACAGCCGGTCCAGCAAGCTGCACACAAGGCCGACGAAATTCTTGACCGTCTTGAGCAGCAGCAGCAACAGCAGCAACACGACCGACATTTTCTGGACGAAGCTGCGGCAGCCACTCGTACATCCGACGATCGTGCCGAGTTCTACAAGGCCGCACAGACCTGGAGCGCAAAGACCAATGATCCGGCCGCCATGGTCTGGGTCGCCCGGTGCATGCTTGATGGTTGGGGCATCCCTCCAAACCCTACGCTTGGATTGAACCAGCTGAAGCAACTGGCAGAGTTCGGCTGTTGGGAAGCGTACTACCCTCTGGCCGACTATTATCGCGAAGAAGACAAGACCCGCAGACTCGAGAAGGAAGCCATCCGGTGGTACAAGGCCGCCGCCGCGCTGGACATGCCCAACGAGCCCGTTATCGGATTTGCACAGTACCGACTGGGTGAGATGTATGCCAAAGGTCAAGGCGTGATGGAAGACGACGCCTCGGCGCTGGCATGGTTTGAGTCCAGTGCCAAGAATGGAAACAAGTAAGCAACGAATTTCTTGTTTTATGCGCTTTGTGTTTCTGTGTGCGTAACGTGGGAACTGCGGTCATCGGAAACTTAAAAATATAATTTCATGCAACTCACCCCCCGCCTTATTTTCAACAGGTACGGCCAATACATCTCGGGCGTCTATTATGAGCAAGGCATTGGCGTCGAGAAAAACGTGGAAACAGCCAAAACGTACTTTTTGGCAAGCGCTAACCAAGATTTTTCAGATGCACAAGCTGCCTTGGGAATTTTATTGGTCGACCAACAGCAATTGTACGACGAAGGCAAAGCATGGCTTGAGCGTGCCGCACAACTGGTAAGAATTATCTTGCTTATCGCGAACCCATCCAAACAACAGCAATAGCAGCAGCCTTGCTAACAGCAGACACACGTAAAAAACAGGACAATGCACGCGGACTACTCAAGCTCGGAATCATGTACGAGAACGGTCAAGGCGTTCCATGCAGCCCTGAACAAGCTATGAACTACTACAAAACTGCCGCCATCACTGCCGACGATGCCCGAGCTCAGTACCTGGTTGGACTCAATTACCGTCTGGGCACCATGGGCTTACCACAAGATTTTAAAGAAGCCGGCCGCTACCTCGCACGCTCTGCGCGCGCTGGGTTTGCGCCTGCCCAACGCATCATAGGCCTGATGCTTGCACAAGGCCTGACGGGCCGCAAAGACGAAAAGTCCGCACTGATCTGGTTCCGACGCGCAGCCTGCCAGGGCGATGTGCGCGCACTTTGCTTGGTCGGCTCATGCCACGAAACCGGCACCGGCGGCGTTCAAGCCAATCTGGATCTAGCCATGGACCATTACCGTAAAGCTGTCCGCATCCCCGGACCGTTCCAGTCTGCCGCACAGCTGGTCTTGGCGCAGTTACTGTTGAGAATGGATCGACAGCGCGATGCCTATGAATGGTTTATGCGCGCAGCAAGCCACATCACCAATGATCTGGTCGGTGACACGCCTGCAGCCGTGGCGGGGCGCAAGGCGATGCTGATGGTGGCTCGCTATCATCTACATGGTTGGGCTGGTGTGACAAAGGACCCAGCCACAGCGTTTCAGATGCTGCACACGCTCATTGAGCAGAATCCGAATGAAGGCGGTGCGCTCTATTGGCTGGCTGCTTGCCATGAAGAAGGTATCCCGAATATTTGTTTGCCCGACACTGCAAAAGCGTTTGTCTATTACAAACGCGCAGCCGAAGCTGGTGACACCGACGGTGAATTCCAGGTAATAAGAAAACCTGCACCCTTTTTTATATTTAAATCGAGTCTGACCAAAACGACCCGTGGTTTATCAATTACATTAGATCGCCTTGATGCTATCCAACGGACAAGGCGTCGAACGTGATCGCGCAGCTGCATTCCCTTGGTACGAAAAAGCGGGGCGCAAGGGGCACAAGATCGCCTTGTACAGCTTGGGACTCTACTTTGCCAAAGGACTCGGCGGCATTCCCGTCGATCTTCGACGTGCGCGAACCTGCTTTGAAAAGGCTGCACGTAAAGGCTATGTGCCTGCCATGACATCACTCGCTATTCTATGCCGTATGGCTGCTGGTCCACATGCTGCGCCTATATCTACAACGAATAACAACAACGACGTCCGCTCAATCCGACAGCAAATGAATGCTCAGCAAGAACAGCGTGAATTAATGGTCTACTGGTACAAGAAAGCGGCCGCACTCGGTGATGCTGCTGCACAGCGCGAATTGGGCATGTTGTACGACTCGGGTCTCGGCGTCACACAGTGCTATGAGCAAGCCTTTGTCCTCTTGCAGAAAGCAGCAGCGCAGCATGATCCGCGTGCTACACTGCTCCTTGGCAGCTATTACCAGAATGGTCTTGGGGGTATTGAACGCAATGTTGAAAAGGCGCTCGAATTATACCACCAGGCAGTCAAACTCGGCGCTTCCACGTGAGTTTCTATATCTTTGTTGTGTCCTCTAGAAGAAGATAGTGCACAAGTTCGATTGCATAACATTACCTAACACCATTGATATTGTCATTCAGTGCACATTATGCCGCAGCTCGTGTATACCAAGAACTAGCACGGTATGAAGAAGCATTTGCTCAGTACAAGTTTGCAGCAGAGGACAGCGGCTTGGCTGAAATGTCTGCCGGAAAATACTCCAAGCTTATGCTCGCCCGCTACACGCTCGGCTATTACTACGACCCTTCCAATTCCCCCATCGCCATTAACAACCTAGATGGCGTCACCAAGGAAACCGCATTCCAGCTTCTGTATCTCCTAGCTACCCAGGATGAATTCCCACCATGCTTCTTTTGGCTTGCCAACTGCTATTACCAAGGCAACGGCTCCAGTGTGGACATGGAAAAGGCGTTTGAATACTACTTGGCTGCGGCCCACAAGACCGATATGGTGGATGCCATGGTACGCGTAGCCTACATGTACGAACACGGCCAAGGCACCGAACCTGACCCCATGGCGGCATTCAAGTACTATCAAGCCAGTGCAGATGAACACCATCCTGAAGGGGAATACAATATGGGCATGGCGTATTGGCGCGGGCTCTACAATGTCCCTATCAACCTTGGTGAAGCGGTTGTTTGGTTTACTCGATCTGCGACAAAGTATCCTGCAAGTAGTTGGGCGCTAGGCCAGATGGCGCTTGAAAACGGAGACCAGGATGTTGCTATAGCATGGTGGCAAAAGTCGATCAAACAAGGCCATGTTCCATCGATGCGATCCCTTGCCAAACTCTTGCTACGGACATCATCCTCAACATCCTCCTTACCATCCTCGCCAACATCTATGGACTGTTTGCCTACAGAAGACGATGCAGCAGCAGCATTGAACGATGAGATGGTTCTTAGCAGCAGCAGCAGCAACAACAACAACGAAGCAGGCAATTTTAACACTGTCGACAGGGCAATTTCTTTGCTAGAAGGCGCAGTGCGCTCGGGCGATCCCGATTCGCTCGTCATTCTCGGCAAATATCACCAGAAATGCGCATTACAAGATGTCCATCTACAAAGCAGTAACAGCAACGGCCAAGACTGTTGTGATGACGACACTCTTGTCCAGAATGCCGAAATCTTATTACAGAAACGCCAAGCACAGCAAGAATTAGCCATTCGTTGTTTTGAACAAGCGGCCAATATGGGACACGTTGAAGCCATGTTCTTGGCAGCACAGTCCTGGCATTCCCAGCAACAATTTGCCGCGGCTTTGGATATGTACGAACGTGCAGCCCTACAAAATCATGCCTTGTCGCGTGTCATGCGTGCTCGCTATAGGATCGCTGGTCTTGGAGGCATCACAGCTGATCCTGAAGCTGGATACCAGGTAAAACTTGTTTTAGCAAAGCTTTTTTTTTCAGTGCCAAAATTGACAAATATTATTATTTTCAAATCAGGAACTATTGTCATGCGCACAAGATGACAACTGTGTAGATGCATACAACTCCTTGGGCCAATGTCATGAGCTTGGACTTGGAACTGCACAAGACGACCGTTGTGCGTTAGAGTGGTACCTACGTTCGGCTGAAAAAACGCAAGACGCTGAGGCCATGTTCCGTATCGGCCAGATGCATGCACAGGGCCGCGTCCCTTCACAACAAGACGATCAAAACAAAGATCTAGAGGCTTTACAGTGGTACCGATTCGCCTGCGATTCACGCAACCATCCCCGCGCACACTACTACATTGGCCTCTACCACGTCCACGGTATCCGTTCCGCTGATGATGCTGACAACAAGACATTCCTCTTACAGCCTGATATGCCCACGGCCATCAACCATTTTCGAAAGGCGGCGGAACAAGACGACCGAGACGCCATGGTCCAAATAGCACAATTGTTATTGTTTACAGACGACGATCACAACGACAACAATGAGCAGCTAATCAACAACATTACTGCTACCACTGCTAGTACTACGATCGAAGGCCTCGAATGGCTGGAGCGCGCAGCGCAACTAGGATCAGCTGAAGCGCAATGCGAATTAGGCAAACTGTATCATTCAGGAAAACCTGCACACGTAAATCAAGACTTTGAACGAGCGTATGACTATTTCTGTCGAGCCGCAGCACAAAAGGATAAGACAGCGACGTTGTTTATTGGCACCTATTACGAACACGGCATCCACGTCCCACCCAATCTGGATCTAGCCCGCGAATGGTTCCAAACTGCAGTTGACACGCACAAAGGATGGTGGCTTGCCGAATTGGCATTGGCTCGCTTATTACATACCACTTCAGATACCCAACACGAAGCCTATCACTTATTCAAGGCTGCCCATGCGCATGCTCCACATGAAACTTCTGCCACACTGATGTGTGCCCTCTATGAACTGTATGGATGGGCCAATGTACCTGCCCGGCCGGCCGAGGCAGCTGCTGTATTGCTTCATTTGGCTCAGCACAGTAATGAACCCAAGACTTTCCTTCATGTTGCCCATTGTTATGCACAAGGACTCGGTTTGCCCCGCGACGCTGTCAAGGCGTTCGAGTGGTATGGCCGAGTCGTGTCCCATTACGACCAAGACGAAGACGACGACGAAGCTGAAACGTATGTGGGCGAGGCCTTGTATCGATTGGCCGAGTTCTATCAGCATGGATGGGATAACGTTGTCCCCGTCGATCCAGGAAAGGCTCAAGACCTATTCAAACTGGCTGCCCAACATGGTACGTACACGCAATGGGTTGTAAGAACATAGTAAACCGAGGATCAGCATTGGCTAATACCTTCTTTTTATGAACAACAGGCTTTTCACCGCAACGTTAGTTGTCAGCGCACTTTATTTATATGCTATGTATAGTACCCTTATTCTCTTTTCGTGTTGTTGTATATAACATACATATCCACTATATATTATTCCCATCTTCTTATACCTTTTGTTATTACTATATTTCATCATATTGTTATGCCCCATTCAGCCTACACGGCACAACAACAACACCACTTGCCACGCACAGCACATTCATCATATACCTTACATATACACACAACGCTCAATTTTTTCCTTTATTCTTTTTGCATTTCTTTGTTTATGAAGACTATTATTCCCCAATTGCACGACAAATAATTGCACAACTTTCCTTTCGTTTCAGTTACTATTAAAAATATACCACAGCCTATCCAATATAGCCGTGGTTGGCCATCCCTCCCCTCCATTGACGCGTGCATAACACATGTCTCATACAGTTTATGCAGGTATCCGTCAGATCAAATGATCATCATCGGGTCACGCGACCTTAAATTCGGATTGAATATGCATGAAGTAACAGAATTCACCGGGAGTAAGCCTTACTTGGCATTTTATTGGATGTTCCCCTTGAACATTTGCACGGTAGTGAAAGAGAATGGAGCGGGTGCGGCAACTTGGTATTGACAGATAAAGCAATGGTTCATTGTTGACACCCTCAAGTAGCAACATGACGAGGATATCATGGCACCCATTCCTTCCTGCAAAGGTCTTTACACCTGTATATACATAACATTTTCTCAGACCCACATCATATAAATCGCTTTCAATAATTGCTACCATCAAGTTATTACCTAGACTTAAACAGCTTTTTCTTCGTCCTACTGTAGTCAATGCTGCGTTGTCTTCTTAAGGTGCTTTATACAGGCGAGATACAATAAACTGGTTTTTGCATATACGCGAACAAATGAAGCGTACCTTACTACGTTTGGTAGTTATAGACATCTTTGCTCGTAAGAACGATCGACATTGACAAAAATTGTATAACAATAATGCATTAAGGTGAGAGTATGACAAACGACAAAACAGCCGGTTTCAGGATTCGATTACAAAGCATGTGAAAATTGTTGTATCCTACCTATTTTCTCTATTGTATATTACACACACGCACACACGCACACACGCACACAGTCTCTCTTCTTTAACAAACAAAAAAAAAGCACAAACACTTCAATTAACAAAATGGGCGATTCGCTTGACATGTCATCTGCGTCGATTATTTCGCGCAGCGTTACGGACAGCCAACATACGACCACCAACAGTGAACCCGGCAGCAGCATTCCTTCGCTTCCATCACCTCCATCACCACGGTCCCTGGTGGTTGAACCATCATCTTCAACTACCAGCATTCCACAAGCTGCGACTCCGTTATCTGTACCTCCGTCAACTACACAATCGTTCCATTCGTTACCACCCACAAACGGCGTCAACGACCTTGCCGAAAGTAGTATCGACCCAAAAAACACCAGCAGCAGCAGCAGCGACGTTAAAGATCCTTTGCCAATTCCTCCAGCACAACCACCTGTGCCATCTTCTCGCTCGACGTACTTGTGGAACACTTTCAAATCCTTCCTGGCCAAGATCACGCACATTGTATTCAAAGACAACAATCTACCTTTAATTCTCAACATTATATACCATGCCGCTGCTGCGCGCTCGCTTATAGCCGAACCATGGCTTTTAGTGAATCGATATATCAAAGTGCCCATTATCCAACAACAACAAAGCCAACAAGCACATCGACCTGTTTTGGCGGCAGCCAACTTGGCGACCGATGCATTGAGAGCAGTGGGTGCGATGCATGCCGCACTCGGCTTGTTGGCGGCTTTGGCGCTCAAAGAACGGCATATTCGAGCTGAACGATCTGCTTTATTGATTCTGACGCTGGCGTCGCTCGGTCAAACATGGGCTCATGGTCGGGCCTACTGGACGAACTCGAAATATTCTTTGCGTGCGTTACAAGAAGTGGGGTCTTTGGATAGTTTGGTGTTTGTCGTGAGTAGTATTGCATTGGTCAAAACTGTACGACGCACAGGTCGTCTATTGTAGTGGTGATGATCCGATTCCTACTACTTTCAACTTGCTCTTCTGTAACTATTGTTAGCATTTACTTGTTTATTTATTTTTACTATTAAAGCCTTTGTATATGTGGTAATAGACAAGAGTGGAATCGGGAGAGTGGATTGCTAATGTGATTTTTCTTATTTTCGAGTTAGTTTTCGTATACGAAAACAGCTAAAAAAAAAGAGATATTGCTCTACCTGAGTTGATCGCCATCGTTGGTCAAATCAGCTGCAGCAAGCGTGTTGAATAATTCTGAAATGCTATTTAAATACAAGTGGCGGTATGAATATCATCAAAAGAAGCAAAGACGTATAACAAAGCAGTTCTGTACCGTGCACTGGATAAAGATGTTTCTTGGTAGATGGGTAGGATTACAAGGCGTTCATTCGACTATCATTCATTTAGTATTTACAAGTTAGGACAAGTAGCAAGATGGTAGCATACTCTTTAGAATTGACTTTACCGGTGTATCGGGCTCATGCGCAGCAAACACCACAGTATTCTCAAGAGCAGCGATGGGTATTGGCTCGACTATCTTCCACATTTTTGCTAATAAACAAGTTTATACACCTTTCTTGAATCATTTTGTATACCACACAAAATATAAAGAATTCAGTTACCAAGTACAAGATCGAGATAAACTTGACGAATAAGTGGCCAGTTCTTTGGATCTGTCTTTGCCTCTATATTGTCGAGCTAATTTGGCGGTGGCGTTAAATATGCAATGCCAGTTTTGTTTGTCATTTTTTTACATACTTGAGCTTGAAAATCCATATGAAAAAAAAAATAATTGTAAGCGGAAGAGAAAGAAGTTTGCTTATTTTTGAGTCGGTTTAAAAGAAAAATTATTAAAAAAAAGCGTGTAATGTGCGTGCGTGTGTGTGTGTGTGTGTGAGTGTGGTATAGACAATGCAAAAAAAAGAGGAAAAAAATAGAAATTACAATGAATTTAATGCTACATTGAAAAAGAAAGAAAGGCGGAAAACATAAAAGAACGGTTTTTTTTCTTAAGGACGCCCGCGTCCACGGCCACGGCCACGGCCACGCCCTCTACCACCGCGAGCGCCGCCACCACCACCACGTCCACGACGCGCTTGTGGTTGGAATGACATTTCCATACCACCCATGGCTGTCCGTGATACACGCTGGTTTCCTTGTGTCCGTCGTCGAGTATCCTCTGCGTTGACACGTGCACCAAACGACTTTCTAGAATCGTTCCTGTTGGACATGCGACCGCCTTCAGATCCCATGCGCATTTCGGGTTTACGTTTATAGTCTGCTCCTCGAAAGCCTCTCGATGACGCCGCAGCCACGTCCGATCGTATCGACATGCGTGCCTTTTTCTTTTCACGAATATGCAACCCGCGTTCCTTGCGAATCTTGGAAACAAGATCATCGTCGCTGTCACTGTCGCCTCCACTTTCACTGTCAATAAGTGAGTTGCGATCAGAGTCTTCGTCGCCTTCCTCTCCTCCCTCTTGTGTATCCTCGTCCTCTCCTTCAGACTCTTCATCATCCGATCGTTCCACGCGTCGCTTTTTCTAAAAACAGAAAATGTTAAGCATAAACTGGCGGGTGAAATTGCAAAAAAAATAGATGAAAGAAACTTACAATTTGTGCTGGATGTAATAATTGATACTCCTTGGACGCCTCATCGACTTGGAAGTCAGGGTTGCTAAACAGATCCTTGAAACGGTCATCTGCAAGCACTTCTGATCCGCCCTTCTTCTTATTATTCTTGTTGTTCTTTTCATCCAAAAACTTCTTGGCCAAATTCTTGTTGACAGCAGGCAGCTTGTTGTTGACACGAATACGCGACTCGCGGTCCTTTTCCATTTTTTCGCGCACGGTACGTTCCTTGTAGTCGTCGTAAGCAAATGGATTGGCAATCAGACGGGCCTTTTCATACAATCGCAGATCGATAAAGAAACCGTGCATGTACGCCTTGAGTACATTGGTGCCCATCAAGTGTTCCAAATTCAATGCTGTCAACTCCTTGCGTGTGATAAACTTGTACTGATCGTAGACATCCTGCGTTGGGCGTTCCTCCATCTCTTCAGTAATGTTATCCAAGAACGAAGCAAAGCGTGGTGCAGGGCCCAGTTGTGGAATATAGTAAGCGCCCATTTGGATACCCTCTTGAGCCGTGAACAACAAACCGCTGTTCTCGACCACGCATACATCGTTAATGTCAGTTTCAGGTTCGATGGATGTGAAATGTTTGCCCGATTGACGATCCCAGATCTTGATAATCTTGTTGTCCGAAACAACCATGCGGCTCGCTTCGGTGCCTTCGTGGAAATTGATTGACTTGATAGGTAAGCCGTACTGATGATCCTTGACCAAGTATGGCACACTGGCACGCAAATCAAACAACAACGTATGGCCGGTAGAGGTACCAGCTGCCATAGTCAAACCATCGCTTCGGAACTTGAGCGCTGATACTTGTGTAGGTGCTTCTTGTCCAAACGTTGCTGGAACGGGCATATCTGACAATAAGCCAACACGTGCGCGCGATCGTGGATCCCATAATTCAATCGTACCGTTGCCGGTACCAAAACCAAATAACTGGTGTGCTGGATTGATCTCGGCACAATTGACACCTTCGGTGGCGTCGGTTTGGATCGAGGTGGAAAATCGGCCCTGGTCCAAATTCAGTCGATAGACTTCAGGGCTTGAGGCGCCCACAAGCAAGTCGCACGAAGGGTAGTGGTATGCCAAATCACGACCGTACTTTGGAATACGAGTTTTATAGTGAATGCCGCTCTGTGTGTGAAACTCGACCCAACGATCGTTTTGCAAATGCACCGTTTTTGTCCAATCGTCTGACAAGATCTACAAAACAATTAAAAAAAAAGAAGTCGTTGGTTTTTTTATTCTCCTTTATATTCCATCCTCTCGTTATTCATTATGCATAAAACACTTATTCTTGTTACCTCAAAATTAACGTTTTCATGGTCACAATGACGTTCGAACTTCATGGACACTTCGGCAAAATCATATACTCGCATTTGTGGTTTATAGGTGCCTGTAGCAATGGCATAGTTACCGTCCCGAGTGACTTTGATACGATTGGACGCTTCAGGAAATTCGAAATCCTGAATAAGTTCGATACGACTTTGAAACTCTATATATAAAAAGATAGTAGCAAAAAAAAGGTGAGTGTTCTTTTCTCTAATGTACTACACAAAAAAACCAGAAATTGGTGATATCTAGAGTTGCATGTATCTATGGTTTTCCTCCCCCTCACTCCCACCACATACCGTGATCTTTTCTTAATTGTTTTCGGTTCTTGCGTACGATCCAATCAGGAATAGTTCGAGATCCTAAACCACCTGAAACAGTATATACTTTGACATTGTTGGCACTCGTGACTGGCAGCACCATGCTGAATTATTTTGATGTAAAGAGAGGTAGCGAAATAAAGAATAAATGAGGCTACACTCGCAACAACGGCAAGTAAGAAAAAAAAAGTTGAAAGGTAAGAGCGATATGCTTGAATTTTCGAAAATTTGGGTGGCTCAGCGGATACTGTTTTTGTTCCGCTTAATGCAAAATCATGGAAGCTGCTGACTACTGTGACAACCTTTACTGTGACAACTATATCATACTTATACTACCTGTACTATACATAGATAGTCTTGTATCCTAATACTATATCAACAATGTAAAAGAGTATACAAACAGCAAGATCAGGTATATCACAATTGTTTGGCTGCTATAATTTCATCCATGAACTAATAAGTTTCTTATTATTAGCTTCTCTACATCGTGCCATACAGCTGCGTAACTATACAACTATGATAAGCGACCCATTTCACCTGTTTGCTCGATACTCGAGTAATATATTAGTATTGTAGTGCATGTTAAAGAAGAAAAAAAAGGATTTTTGATTGCGATAATCACCAAGGCTTTTGATACGGACACCCCCCTCTGACCCTTACGGACACCCCCTTCTATTATTAATCCTCATCAGGTTACACACATCCTATAAGTATATACTTGTGGGGGTGTCCGCAAGGTTATGAGTATACCAAAGTGGTTTGTTCTTTTATTCCTATACCATATAACGGGAGAGCCATAAATCAAAATGATGTAAATTATAATGTTCCATTAAGGTATGGAGTAAATCTTATCAGCATCGCTATTTAACACATGCCAAAATATATCAAATAACAATGAAATGTAGAGAGTGGTGTTCGAGAAGAGAGGGAATTATTGTACAGGAAGTAGTAGATTGATTAATCTAGTGTAAAGGGTCCAGCACGCACTGTCTTTTCGTCGTCACGCTTTTTTATCTGCAGATAACGCCACTTTGTTTTACGCAGGTTATCAATATTACCCGTTGATCGGTATGCCTTTATACACATCGAGTTGATAATAGGCCAGTCCATCTTGATAATGCGTCCTTTTGTATCGATGGTAGCCCAATGATTATTATTAAGACGCTGCATAATGACGGGGTGAGGATTCTTGTTGTCGGACGATGGACCTTGCATTGGCAAAATAAGAGATGCTTCATAAGCGTATTCGTCAGAGTCTGGCTTTTTCTTATCATTGTCTGGATAAATTGCAACAGGTCGTTGATAAGTGTCTGCAGCGATCTGTGCAAAGTCAGGCGCAAGGAACCAATAATCGGATGGACACGATTCTGGGGGTCGTGGAGCATCAAGTGCGTAAGATAGTGATGTTTCAATGCGCTGTAAATTTTCACGCATAAATACATAGTGCTGCTGATATATATCCTTGTTTATCTTGAAGCACTCCAGCATTTATAGCTTGACCAACATAAAAGCCTCTTGATTGCCGTGTACATGATGTGCGATTGTGCGGAAGCCACAGAAGCCATCAGACATAATGTCGACAGTTGTTTCAATGAACTTGCGAGGGATGGTTGGATGAACGAAGAACTTCAGCTTGGGTACAAAATCTTTTTTGGATCTACAATAGTGTAAATAGTTTATCAACTTAGTTTGGTTACAAGAAATCGTGATAGCTGCAAGTATTTGTTAGCTAGAATTCCATCAGAAGAGCACGTATCTTTTGTTCGTGCTTTCAAGGAAGTTCATCTCCGGATCCTTTCTTTTCCCTTGTTGAGGAAAAATGTAGATGTTATCATCCTCAGTGTTGCTGCCTTCGGAGAGTTCCTCTGACTCGTTGGCATTTCTACTTTGAAAGCGTTGCTGGCTATCCTTTCATCGAGTTCGAACTTTGACGGTAATCGTGCATTTCTTGTGTTAGCAGGGCGTCCTTTGGTCTTCACATTGCTTGGTAATTCGATGTCGCTAATGTCGATACTCATTGTATATTCGTCGATAGTCCCATCGATACTACTAAGTAAATCGGATTTTTGCTGATCCGACCGCATATTGTAGAGTACATCATGCAGCTTCTGTAGTACCATGTTCTGTTGCTCTTATACAATTGCTTCAGGAGTATACACCTTTTGGAAGCTATCTGTGGATATATAACTCTCATATTAGGATATGAAGTATATTACAGGCGCATAGTATAATCACAGTATTACTATAGCAGAAAATTATACCTCTGTCATATTCCAAACGCCATCGATCAGGGATATCCGACAAGCTTATACTGAACCCTTTTCGTGCGATATTATGTTGACACGACAGTCCATAGTTTAGCGTGGTACCACACCAGCAGTCGCTTGAGTCAAGTTGATATTTATCGCAGTTATCCCAAGCTCGTTTGAACTCCCTTCGGAGTCGATTCAAAGCATAAAACGAGATAGTGCCAAAGAGCTCTTGCATCGCAACCGATTCACGCTTACCATACAGTGGCATCTTATGTCTTTCTTGCAAAAACTGAGTCTCTTCATCAGATAACTAGTACAAAATTCTGATTAGCATATCTGTTAACACATTAACTTTTCAATCCGAAAACAAAGGGTGTAGTACATACCGATTTACGCATGACACGATTAATTGCTTTGACCGTTTTAAACAAGCTTCCGGTGGTTTGCATTGTATCTTTGATGCGCCAGTGTGTTCCTTCAACACGCGATGATGCCCTCATTCCCATGTTTAAAAGTCTTCCAGCATAACAAGCACCCCATTTCTCCTTATATTCAAGACAGCTATATAATATAATATAATACAGCTGGTGAGCACAACTCGGCAAAAGCCTCAGTCAAATATTGGATAAAGGTAGTTAACATACCCGTTGAGATAGTCCATCATTTTCTCTTTCTTTATGTTTGCCAGCAAACGTATTGCAGACGTTGCATCATCTTCAGTATCTCTGTCGTTCTCGCTATTGCTGCTGTCGTCATGATGCTTCGCTTTGGACTTTGTTTTCTTGTGCTTTTTGTTGGATCGCTTATGGTTTTCGTTGGCATACGCAAGAGCACCTTTTTCAATCAGACACTTATAAGCGTCAATGGCAGCCTGGAAAGTCGCTTCGTCTTTTTTACCAACATAAACCATTTGCTTAATGATAGCTTTGGCTTCGCCTATCTCTTCGCTGTTCGGTGGAAAGCAAGTACTGAAAATGCTACGTAAATGCTGCTCCATATGCCACCCGCAAAGTATATGCTCTGCATCTTTGAAAGTTGACTCGATGGCGTTGATTAAAGCTCTTTCGTTGTCCGTAATGAAGATACGTACGTTTCCTTCTGGCCATAAGTAAAAAAAGAAGATATGAAGGATAATGTGTATGCTCACGGTTTTGACGGTATCTTTGTATATTTCTACTGCTTCTCCTTTGTATTGACATATACTAATACACAGTGTTATGTCGCATTGTTATATTCAAAGAGTAAATAGTGCCATAATAGTGCTCTTGTATACGGAATGTACAAGCCTTTAAAAGCGGTATTTTAGGCACACGAACTTTTTCACAGGTAAAATGGTGTTAATGCCCAAGTCTTTAATGAAACCACTCTTGTTGCGATTTCTTAGAATCATAGTTATAGATATGAAGAATTTGCAAGAAAAAAGAAATCCGTCCTTTGGGGTATAAATAAAAGGTTCTTTGTGACCCTGCCTTTCAACAATTCAAAACCACTCTACACATTGCCCTTAGACACTACTGTTGTCACTGTATCATGTGAAACTGTCAAAGTATTGGATATTGTTTCACTGCTAAAGAAGAACATTCGAATGATATTTTTTGGGCCATCACCTGTTTGGGAAGACTATCACCATCCAGCACACCACGCACATCATCTACCAATAGTTAATGCTTTCAGACTTAAGAATTTGTATGAGTGACGCAACCATAGGGTGTACGAATACATGTTACAAAAATGGCAAACACCTACCCAGCAGACCGACCAATAAAACGTTACAAAATAGGCAAACACCTACAATACACCCAATAAGCTTAACTTAGGCATAAATCATACTGAATAAATTCCCGCTTTGTTGATGTGAAGGCTCGAGCACTACGCGGGCTGAATGGTTTTGTACTCTACTCATATCCATTTCTGTGACATATTCCATATTTAATAGTAGAATATGTAGCACCTGTTCACGCTTATTTACTACTGGCATCGGATAACACCACAGTAGGTTCAAATCAACGAATGTAATCATACACCAGCACCTAACGTCTCCTTCATTACTCTTCTTTCGCATGTCTTTTTTCAATTAAGTCTTGATTGACCGCCAAACACTCATTACATATTGGCATTTTTCTTTTCTCTGATGAACTTGATCACTGTTGATACGATTAGATTGCTCCAGTTAGAGGTGCAGTGGCTAAGTATATACTGGATGTATTCACTGCCAAATGTCACATTCAGCTGGTCATCGCGATGCTTCTTAAAAGAATGCTCTCATTACTAAATTACATTGGCCAAGTAGAATTACTGTTGGCCATCGCGATGTCACTACTTTTTTTTTAATAAGCTTGCTTTCATTGCTATTACGGTGGCCCAGACCGGAATCGCTTCGGCCACATGAATTTGTCCTTTGCATGACTGTAAGCTATAAGTTTATTTTAATTGAGTTATATATCGTGTAGCTTGAAGACAATACATTATATATAAGATCCTTCAGCCCGCGTAGTGCTCGAGCCCTTCACATCAACAAAGCGGGCTGAATACTAATAAAATGCCGGAAATTTTCAGTCCGATTGGTCTCGATTTTTCAGCCCGCGTACTAATTCTCTTTTTTTTAAAATCTACCAAGGTTGAGAGCGCCTAATAAGTGGAAATATTTAGAAAAGTTATTTATCGCATGTAGAACAAATATTTTTGAAATCAAACTCTGAAGCTGTATTTGGTGCTAATGTCCAAGTAAGATTATTCATTATTCTTTTGCTTTGCATTCAGCCTACTTTCAAGATGATGGTCTCCGAATCTTTTATCAACTTTGTTTATTTCCTTTGAGCCATACTTTCTTGTCTATTTTTCTTTTTGTTGTTGGCTTTGACGGCAGCAAAAGCGAACTTTAGTTTGGGCTAGATTAAACACGCTACTTTGTACTGGGATTGGTTTTCATAAGAAAAGGATTTGGCTTGAAAAAACAATGCGTCCGAATAGCAACTGACTCATAGCGAGATTTCCACTCAAATTGTATGTAAAGAGGATGTTGAGAGGTCCAATGGATTTCGAGTAAGATAACGCGGAAGGGTTTATCATGAGACACAAAAGATCTTTCATCTTTGTGGCGTTGCAAGTAAAAAAACTCTAATATCGCGGGCTCCATCCAGCATTACCCCGCTCTTTTGAATATATAAAAAAAAGGGACCCAAAGTTATGGACGCTTTACAAGGTACACTGTTTATTTTCAAGCAAAACTGCGGTACACACTATAAATATCTACCGAAGCAACAGTGCCACGTTCAATGCTTAGGTATAGCTTAGCTTTTCCCAAAATAATCATGTAACAAGAATTTCTGTTGACGACATACGAGAGTAGATCGGATCGAGGTGGGGCAATAAGAAAGAGAGAGAGCAGCCGATTAAGCTCAAGGTTGTGTTCTGTCTGAAACAAAAAGAGAAGACCTTCTTAATTGAGTAATTCCAGGTGGGGCGGGGGTAGGGATTCAGTTGTTCGGTCCGAGGTTCATGATTCTAGTTAAAACATTTGGCTGCCTTTTGATAAAGGAAGAGCAAGGTGCTCTGTACATATATCCGCATGAGTGTTTCCAATCATAGGAGGACTTGTAGCCTGAACCGGGCTTTTTGTGCATCCAAGCATAATGGTAATACACTCACCACTGTTAGTGCTACACATTCTCTGTATATGTAGGATGGGATTAAGCAGTAAAAGGGGCCCGTGTATTCGGATGGCTTTTCCACAAAAAAGAGGAAGGTGCACGGGCCTAATGACCGGCGGCTTGTCTCTCTCTCTCTCTCTCGACTCATAGCATCCTATATGCGTGTTGACTTGGTCTACTTACTGTTACTTTTTTAAGTTCGCCATGGCTGTTTATGTACTGGGCGCTGTGGGCTCTTGAGAAGGTTCTCATAGAATCAGCTGGATCCCTCCCCCCCCACTCCTCCCCAGAGATGGTGCGACAGTAATACAAATTGACCCAATTGAGAATGACTTTCTTTTTTGTTTTGTGCTATTATACAAGCTTTGTAAAAGTTCTTTTTATATATATTATGATACATTATTTGGAAAGGAAGAAGCAAAGTTCGCGATAACAAAAGGGGGGAAGGTGGGGGAAGAGCTTATATATAGGATACACACACATATATATGGATAAATATATATATATATATGTATATGAATGATGGGGTTGTATGTATAAAGAAAGCAAGCATAAGCAAAAACATATAGTAGAGAGTTCCTTGTACAACAAAACACGGTGCAAGTGCGTGCTTTTCTTTTCGCGGGGAGGAAACGGGTGCAGCTATGGGAGGAGTACAGAAAAGAAAGAAAGCATGAAAGAGAAAAATGAAACAGACAACGAGCAAAGTAGTAAAAAAAGATTATAATAATAAAGGAGCATATAGTCGTGTGTGTGTGTGTGTGTTCGAGACAAAGTGTTCGAAAGGTAAATGTGCGCAAAAGTGGTTAAAGAAGTAGGTTGCTTTGTGTAGGAAGGAAATGAAAAGTAAAAACGAGTGCACAGGATCATTGCTGTCGGCCATATCAGAAGGAATAGAATTTGCCGGTTCGATAGACAACACCGTCGCCTCTGACCAGCAGCAAAGGCAGCTTGCGCTGGCCATCTTCTTCATCAACCACAATTGCAGGTGATGACAAGAGTTCGTTCAGATCCGGTACTGCACACGTCAACGATTCGCGAGACCGATAATCCGTTCGCGGGCTCTTGATATCGCCAAACCAGACTGCCAAGTCGCGCGTCAGGTTTTCACCTTGGATCGTCAACTGGTCGCTACTGTTGTTATTGTTACTGTTGTTATTGTTGCTACCACCACCACCACCACCACCTGATTCAGTGACTTGAGCCATCGTTGGAAACGGAGTGATGGGAGCACTGGCAGGCTCGGCATACAATGGGTTCATTGTGAATGGCGAGTTAAATCCGGTCTCACACGACGTGTTGCCTGCAACAAGGGGTGGAGGGGTCCAGAAGGTGTACGTGGCGCAATCCGTGCCCACAATGGTCCATACCGCAGCGTCTGATACGTCTTCAGTCCAGCATGCACCGTCGGCTTGTTGACCTCCTGCACTGCTGCTGTCCGTACTGCCACGTCGATCTCCTCCCAGCATGGATGAGGTGCTGCCGCGTCGACCGCCGCCACCGCCGCCAGTGATAGCAGGCACGTCGTTCAAAGAATTGACACGGCGTCGGGCTGCCATGGCGCTCGACTGTTGCTGCAGTTTGGCAGGTAAAGACATGGGCTTGACAACATCGCATGACACGCGGCGCTTGCGCACGACCTTGCCGCTGCTTTCTTGAGATACCACAAAGTCATTGTTGTTGATGTTGCTCAGCATTTGCTGTGCCTCCAACCACGTTGTCGGCGATTCTGGTTGCTGGGCTGCTTTGGCTGCTGCTGCTGCTGCTGCTGCTGCAGCATTGGGCAATGAAGGACGTGTAGCGATAAATGTACGCGCTGTGGTCGTCTTGTGCATGCCGACCACATCATTCAAACAAGCCAGATAAGTGATGGGCTGACATGATTGTGGCAAAGTCCATTCTTGGAGCTGTTGTTGCTGTGATTGCGGTGAACACGGTTGTTGTTGTTGTTGTTGTTGGTGGTGGTGGTGGTCATAGGGCGATGGATGCGAGCCGCCGCGGAAATTGGCCTTGTTGTTGTGAGCAATGGAAGGATCCTGGACGATCTGGAAAGCAATCTTGTGCAGCTGGGAGACGGGATCGCCCAGTGACTCGTCACCGCACTCGCCGCCCGTCGTGCCGGAAAGATCTTCCATGCGATTGCCACCGAGCACCATGCTGCCCTTGTCGACCTTGCGGATGACCATGACGGGACTGACCAAGCCGGTGGAGACACATTGCAAGACGACGGCTTGGTTGTAGTGGATGGCCAGTGGCTGCTGGTTGGCGTCGGTTTGAAGAGCGATGGCGGGAGGAGGCGGGTAATTGGGGTTTGTCGGGTGGTGCTTGCGGGGCATCGCAGTAATGTCAGGCGCCCGTGAAGTATCCACAATCCAAATCACAAACGGATCCCAAGACCCTGTGCGCGCAACAAAGCAAGTGCCGTTGCCATTGCCCTTGTGTCCGTTGCTCGACACACCGAGATACTTTGTTGACACGGTCTGAGACCGGATACGATTGAACAAGGAGATGGTTGTGCCATGATGAATGCACACTAAAAAGGAGTTTTTGGTTTAATGTTAGTTTGAAACACCGATCAAACCCAGTAGTTCACCTCCCCCCCCACACACACACACACACACTAACCACTGCGCGCGCAGTTGTGTAAAAAACCAAACTTACATTCCATGTTCTTGACACTCTGTCGCTTTTTGCTTGGTTTGGAAATGACTTTGATGCCTTTACTGGCCAATGTGCCCAGCTGTAAGCCATTGCCGAGCTGCATCTTGACCAGCACCTCCACGCGCTTGCGCTTTTCGTCCGCATCATTGATGTGCAGATGCTTGGACACGCACTTTGCAGACATGGTGGAATCACCTGACGCAGCTGCGTTGCTTGCTGCTGCAGCGCTCGAAGAACCATCCAAGACGGTGCCATTGGGTGCATACCATTCCAAAACACCCGTCTGGCTTGTTGCTTCGCCCGAGATATGGATCGTCAACTTGGGTGGGGTCAATACACCGGAACTAGTAGCAGTAGTAGTACTGCTGCTGTTGTTGTTGTTGTTGTTGCCATTACTACCATTTGTTGTTGTTGTTGTGGTGGAGACAAGGCCATTTGCAAATCCAACACTACCCGCACCAAAGTTGTTGTTGTTGTTGTTGCTACTCTTGTTGTGTGACGCCGCATCTTGACCGCCGCTTGGTGTTGCTCCTGTGCTGTCATTAGTCCACCAGCAAGATCCGGAGAGGACAGTGGTAGGAGGCGGGCACAAGAATCTTGTGTAGATATCAGAGAGAGAGAGAGAGAAGTTAGTACGGGCTCATCTATAATAGGGAGAATCACTACTGATAGGGTAATTATTTATACCTCTTTTCGGTGCCATAACTCTTTTGTGCCACTTTGCTCGTCAAGATCATGACCGTACGTTCGCCCGAGCCAGCAGGATCGTTGCTCATCAGGTATTGTTGAACATGCGGCTTGAGTGCAGTTGCTGTGTTGGCTCCCTGAAGCATCCGGGCCGTCACCAAGCTGCTCTTGGAAGTCCGCAGCCGGTTATTTGCTGCCGCTACTGCTGCTGCCGCCAACGCCGCTTGAGCTTGTTGATGGTGTGCAGTGTTGTTGTTGTTGTTGTTGTTGCCGCTCTCATGGAACGGGGTCGTCATTTCCTCGTCTTCTTCGGGAATGGCAGGATGATGCTTGTAGGAAAGCTGGTCATAGCTCGTTGTGGGTTGCATGGGCGTGATAGGGGGAGAAGGTGATGACGAAGACATGGATGAGGTGATGGTGTTGGATGGCGATGTGGGCGGTGACATGCGATGAGACGACTTGCTCGCTCGTCGCTTGGTTGTTGCCTTTGGTTGTTGTTGCTGTTGTTGCTGTTGCTGAAGGTGATCGATGCCATTAAACCACATGTCATTCGGCGCAACGGTCTGTGTAGTGGCAGCGGTGGTGGTGGTGGTGGTGGTGGTGGGTTCGGAACCTTGCTGTTGTTGTTGTTGTTGTTGTTGATGATGATGAAGCAACTGCTGGTCGCCAAAGTCAGAAGTAGGATCGGTCAGAGGCAATGCAGTATGGAAGGAGGTAGGACCCGTAGGAAACATAAGTGGTGCATCTCTGTCTTCTTCGGCATTCAAAGCATCCAAAAAGCTTGGGGAAAAGAAAGCTGGGGTGGTAGGCGAGGCTGATTGTTGTGATTGCTGCTGCTGCTGCATTGGCAATGACGTTTCCAGTCGCAACGACATGGTCCGCTTATGCTGTATGGGTTCCACGTGGTGGTGGTGGTCCGTGAGGCTGCTCACACCGCCGGCGCCACCGGTCGAAGAAGAGCTGTTGGAGGAGGAGGACCATGATGAAGGCAAGCCCAGCAACTGCTGCAAGTCGGCATCGAAGCGTCGCATGTCCAAGTCCTGCTTGATCGAGTCAAACGAATGATAGTCCAATTCGCCCACGGCGACTGAATGGCGCCTTGAGGAGGAGCCGTTGTTGTCGAGGGTGTTGTGATGTTGGAGATGATGAAGGCCGCCGTCAAAATCAAAGGGATTGCTGGCCGCGGTAGGGTTGATGCCTGTGCTCGTGTTGTGCGAGAATATCGAGTCCAGGTTCAGGTCATAGGCATGATCCAGCATCAAGGCATCGGCGGTGGATGATGGAAGGGTGGTTGAGGGCGAGCTCGGGGACGAGTAGACATAATCTGACCACACATTCTTATTGTCTGCTGTTCCTCCAAAGTCTTGCTTCCGTTTGCGCGAGAGCGGCTTTGCCGAATTAGTATTGTTATTACTGCTGGTGGTGGTAGGAGCTTCGGTGGATAATGTGTCAAGCATGTCTCTTATTTCTTTTTTCCAGTGGTAAAATAGTTATAAGGTAGTAGTAGTAGTAGTAGTAGTAGTAAGTAAGTATCGCCAGCGATGTATATCAGAAAGTCAATTCAAGAGTGTGTGTGTTTGTTGTTGTTGTTGTTTGAAGGTTGGAAGAAGGGTTTTTTTAGTGTGTGGAGAAAAGGAGAAATAAAAGAAGTGGGAAAGAGTCAGAAAAAAAAAAAGCGGGGTAACAAGACAGTGGCCCTTTATAAACGGGTTCTGAAAGGGTTACACCAAAATGGGCGCTACTCGTCTCTTGCGGTCCTTTCAAAGGCCGACGCAAGAGAGTTTAGTACTGGTTATCAGAAGAAGAGAGAGAGGGCGAACCCCACATTTCACAAACCAATGAGATTGGTTCTAGCTGACCCTTTTTTGCCTGAAACAGTGGAAATGGGTAACCTTTCTTCCTTTTGTGACTCCTCTTGGATCTTTTGGGCCTCTTTTTTGTTGCTGCTCCCTCCCTCCCTCCCTCCCCCACATTTCAATGGCAGCAAGGCAGGAATAGAGAGAGCAGAGAGGAAAGCTTTGAATGCACCCCTATCTTGGTGAATTTAGCTATACGTAACGCTACAAGCCAACGTATGAACGCACGCACATGGCACGCGGGCGCTGAATAAAGAGGGGGGGCCAGCAGCAGCAGCAGCAGCAGCAGCAGCAAAAAGTGAGGAAAAAAAGCGCGGGCAAAGCTTTTTTAAGGATGTGTTGTGCCGATGAACCAAGCGTTGGAGTGGGGTTCAAAGAGACAGGAGACCGAGAGAGAGACAGAGAGACAGAGAGAGACCGAGAGAGGAGAGAGTCCACATGACAAGGTTGTTGGGGGGGGGGGTTGTGTATGCCAGCTGATGTGCGCAACAACAAAAAGCTTAGGCCGAAACGGACGGTCTCTTCGCTCCAAAAGATAATGTGCTGCTGCTGCTCATAAACACTTCCTGCGGGATGCCTTGGTAGTGGTGGTGGTGATAGTGATAGTGGGTAACACCATAAGCACAACTGTGTGTATGTACGATGGTGAAACAGAACGAATGTACAACAACAACAACAACAAGGGCAACACCTCCTTTGCTATAAACTCGATTATTTTCTTCGATCGACGAGACCCATTCCTTTTGTGCTGCCTTCCCGCCTTCCTTGCTTCTGCTACTGTACCCCCACACCCAACCTGTTGTATTTAATAACCTGTTTATCCGCCACAATACAAGCAGCAGCAACAGCAACAGCAACAGCAACAGCAACAGCAACAGCAACAGTCCACTGCTTTGTTATGATCAGATGTCGCAACTTGACGGTTTACTGTCTCATCTTGTTTGTTACTGTCTCGCTCTTACAAGTTCCTGCATCGATGGGTCCTGTATACGTAGAGAAGCAAGTGGTTCCTGAAATGGGAAACACCACCCCTCCTCCTCCTCCTCCTCCTCCTTGTCGTCTGTTTGTCAAATAACAAGTCCCCCCACCTCCTTCTACCTCAGTAAGTCCTCTTCTTCTCAAGCCCAATGCCAATGCGATAGTATCCAATGAAACCCAATATAAAAAGCAAAATAGAATTCAAGAAATATAGCTCTTCGGCTTTTAGATTTCCAACCCTTTTGTCAATGACGATTGGATGGCCAAATCTCCGACGTAATAGAACCCAATGTTGACACATTTTGTCAGGTTAATAAAAAAAAAGTGTGTATTGATAGATGTGCTACATGTCCTTGACTTCTGGTTGACTGCTAGAGCATCATCGGAAGCCAACAGCAGTTGTTGAAGATCTACATCTTTCTCTACGTATCTCCATGACCCAGCTTAATACACCCCCCCCCAAAGTTTTACAAGCGCCTCCACAAAAAAAAAGAGGACAGCAGCCACATATTGTTCCAAATACGGTCAAAAAGGATGGCTTGAACGTAACCATTGTAATACCCCGATTCTTACTGGGGCATATCCCCCCCCCCACTCACTCTCTAGCATATACGCTGCGAATTAGCTCGATACCAACGCACCCACCTCCTAAAAACGATATATTATACCTTGCATAACCCGCAGCAGCAATTCACACAAAAAAGACGCGCGATGGATCAACAAGAATTGTACACATCCACATGGAATGCATTAGGCGCATTTGATTATGCTGCTGCTAGCAAGTTGGCTACACGCTTCTTACGAGTAAATCCCTGCCCACCATTTCAAACTTTTTCTTCTTTCGCTCCACAATATGATAGCAACAATAAAGCTGACTTTATTTTTTTTTTTTACTCGGTGCTTTGGCCGGATATAGGTATATCAGCCCTTTAGTAACCTGCTTGTCAAACTTTGCAATTGCGAGAATCTCTATACACAACTCTCGTTCTTGAAGCCGAAATGGTATTATATGCGAAAAGATCCTGCAAGTAAACAACACCCCCTCGAAAAGAAAAAAGAGCTTCGTCAATCCAAAAGCCCTGGCTAATGAAAACAGTTTGTCACAAGTAGTTAAACTTGCTGTACCATTACTTGGCGGAAGAGACAACCAAAGAAATTGCCGTTTTGGAAAGCCATCCGACGACCGTCGTTGGCCTTGCCGACACGACTCCACTCTTGGAAATCCTGCATGCGCTGGTGGATCTGTGTCGCGTGCGTCAAACGTTTATTCACTTGTAAGCCGGAAAATCCCAAAAATAACCCACACATGCCACGTTGCTTATACAGAAATTCCGGTTGTCAAATGTTTTAGATACCAAGCGCTGCTAAGTAAAAGTCACAGCAGCAGCAGCAGCAGCAGCAGCAGCAATAGCAACCACAATGATCCTTTCCAATTGGTTTTCCAAGAGCTAGAAAGACTGGAGACCCAAGTTCAAACATTTTGCAGCAACAACCGACTCGGACTGTTGGGTGTGGGTGTTGCCAAGGAAATGCGCATTCTGCAAGCGTTGCTAAGGGCACGACAAGCCATCATTGATTATGCCTTTCAAGATGCATGCATTGCGCTGTTTGCTTGCAAGCAAGATTGGCAAGCGTGGAAAGTGGCATGTCAAGAACACTATTATGCTCAAGTGAGAGAGAAGTTATTTTCAGATCTCTCCTGCATATCAACATCGTGATGCATTGACTAAATTTATGTTTGTAATTCTGTAAGAAATCCAATACTGCGCCGGCAGCAACAACAACAACAACAACAACAACAGCTCGGCAAGAGATCCGTGAACCGACCTGGAAAACGATGCTGTTTGGTGGCATGAGCAGCATCACCAGCGGTAACAGCAGCAACAGCAGCAGCAGCAGCAGCAGCAGTACATCTGATGTAAATTGCCTACTAGGGTAGAAAACAATCCAAAAGAGCCCTTAATCAACAAGGAATTATATATATATATATGTAGCACGGTGACGCATCATGGCCGAATACCATCCGTTGGTTTGGTAAATACCTGGACAATCTGTATGCAAAGATGACGCTCTATTTCAACAACATCTTGCTGGACAAGGAACAGTTGTTGACGGATGACGATCCGGCAAAGTCATTGTGGAAGGGCATCAAGATTGACTACCACGACCAGTAATGCATCCTCTTTCTGTTTTAGGCGGGAGAACCTTCCTTTTGGCATATGTACGACACACACTCACTCATGGACAATATGCTAGGATATGCACATTTCGGAAGCGTTTTGGCGCGCATTGTGTGGGTCTCATTTACGAGGTGACCTCTGCGGTGCCATTCCATCCACAAGGCTATGTCCTTGCAGACACTCCGTACGAAGCGCCTCAGGGCATTCATTCCTTTCCTTTTATCTACTGTCAACCGAATGTAAGGAGGCGAAGGGGTGGGGGGGGGCGGTCAGGCGACCTTTTCTCTTGCATGAGATGAGAATGTAATATCTGACACACCAACAACAACTGTAGCAAGCACCCAAGGAGCACATGCCCAACATTATCTCCATCATCCAAGGCAGTCGCAACAAACTAAGCGATCCGAAATCCGACCCGGTGTACTTTTACGACAGCAAAATCGGAAGCACGTACTATCTTGCCCAAGTGGACGAGCATGTGGTGCTCGTGGTGATCTATCTCGAACGACAGGTACCACAGCGTGAGCCCACTACGCTGGACTTTATGGCAAGCATGGTCAGATCGCTTCGAGGCACATCGGTTATTGCTGACCTTTCACGCATGGAATAAGCCAACAAAGTAGTAGGGCGAAACCCCCCCCCCCAAAAAAAAAAAGGGATTCTTGCTTAGATAATTGAATAAAACGATATAGATACCCCCCCCTCTCTCTTTAGTGCACATAATACTCCATGTATCCTATAATGTGATGTGACTGGGGGAGAGGGGAGAGAGAGAGAGAGAGGGCCTGCTTATTTTAGAATACACGTGGTACACACACACACACACGGCGAACTAATTACCGACACACGACACCATCGCCGCCGCCGCCACCCAAGCGGAAACAAAGTGTGACCTTTCTTTTTTTTACCCCACATTTTAGCATTTTTGAGTTTTGAACCGTACCGAGCCATCGTTTGTGTAACCTCAGACTTGCGTCATGACGCATCTCTGTGCCCGCTCTAACAACGGTCCCCTTCTCACTTGGTAATCAGAAGGGCAAAAAGTGTCAACGCCAGTATTGGTATCCACCCACCCACCCCCCCCCCAAACTATTCCCCGCATTTTCTTTTCTTTCTTTTTTTTGGCGCTTGCTACAACATCTCCTGCTTTTGGAATCATTGAAAGAAGAAGAAGATCTTGTCCCACTTCTGTTGCATGCACTCGTTGAAGTACCCCGGGGGGCTCTATACTGCTCGACATTGTCAATCTTCTTCTGCTAATATGAAGCACTTTCAGAATAGTTGCAAATAAAAAAAAACGATGCTCACAGTAGCAATCTTTTGATTGGGGGACAGTACAAAATGACAAAGATGCTACTAGAAAAAAAAAGAGAGAGAGAGAAAGAGAGAACTTGTGTAATGTGGGGGAATAGGAAGACCAGTCCTCTTTTTTTTTTTTTATACATTCGTGTTACAGTTCCTATTAATCGAAACGTGTCCACGGTCTTATTTCCAGCAATAGAATTGGCGCCGTTCCATCCATCACAACTACTCTTTTGGGACAAGCAGTGTGCTATGTGGTATTAGCAGTGGTGTGCGCCCATCCCCCCAGAAAGAAACGAGCAGAGAGTATAAAAGATTAACGTTGCATATGATAGCACAACGACCTTTACTCAGGCACAAAATCTTAAATTGTGTATGGATATAGAATCACGAATGATGATAGTTGATTATCCCTTCGGCCGGACTGGACCGTGCTCACATAGCACATAGCACACACACACATTCGCTCTCTCTCTTTTTTTACAAGCGATGGTATGTAGATGATGATGATGTGTCATACGCAGTAATGTGTGTATGATTGGCCAATTGTTTGTGTGGCGTTTCTGTTTACCACTTTTGGATTTGGCTATGTTAAAGTCACTAAACCGTCTTATTCGATCATGTTGCGCCCGTGAACCTTTTCAAGTTGAAAGAGTGTACGTAGTCTAGTTTAATTGATAGCAGCAGCAAGAGCAAGTGTAGTGACGTGTTAGCAAAAGAAGTAGTCGACTGACTTTTGCACCTAATGCCAGAAATATGTTCACGCACGTTGAACGCCAGGAAGAAAAACATGTATCATCTTTGGACAAATAACATGACGCAACAGCATCAACAAATTGCACATTTCTATTGCCATGACTACTGCATTCAAAAGGCCAAGAGGCGGACTGCTGTTACACGCACACATACACAAAAAGAAGATATAAAAAGTTAGCGGTAACAGGATACAGCAACAGAAGGAATCTGCTGGTTATCAAGGTACAAGATGAGCACCTCTCCTCCGGCTTACTACTTTGTGTCTACCAGCTTATCTACTATACACTCACTTTACGAAAAGGTCACATGGGCAAAACGACGGACGGTTGGCCAAAGGGTGTAATGGTGGTGGTGGGGAGGGGGAGGTAGTCACGGTGTTCCCTCAAACGACGATCATTTCTCGGGAGGGGGAGACAAAACGTGATAAGCAAAATAATATGCTGCTGCTGCTGCTGGTGGTTGTAAGCATGAATGGTATACGTTGTATCATAGAGAGAGCGTGTGATAGAGTTGTTGTGCTTCCTTTTGTTTTTACTCATGACAACTATATACGGTTGTTTGGAATGTTCAATTCATGCAAACTACCAAAGTTACACGCATATTGGTACATACACGTAGCAGCAGTATATGTTAGTATATATCACGGTACCATCCAGGGCTTGGTGACGGGCCGCCGAATGATATGAGCTATATAGCACCTTACTACTGGTACGCTGGCTTGTTGGATAAAGACCCAAGGGAATGGTCATGCGTACGTCCCATCTCTTGTTTGCCGTTCATCACATTATTTTTTTTGTGTACATAACAGCGGCAGACACGACGATTATGCTGCCTACTCATGTAGCTTCTGTAAAAAAGAAAAAAAAAAGAACTCGTACTCATGTGCTTCAACAACGAACATTTAGACTATCAGTCAGTGATTTATTAAAGAGAGAGAGAGAGAACACCTTCATCCGTGGTTTGCTACAGTAAAGCAAATGATTAGGCGGGGACGCGCGTTCTACAAAACATACGCGAAACACAGAAGCCAAGCCGGAGTGTATTTCTTCCGGTCACCAATTTCTTGTAATGGTCCAACTATTTGCCTAAACTTTCTCTGTCTTTTCCGATTTTATTTTACCATCACTATTTTGATATTTCTTAACGACAAGGAATTGGCGGAGGATGATTCATCTAATAGAGGTACACGTTATTGGCAATATATTCAGGCGCTAACTTTTTATATATTATGACACGTAATGAGACGAAGAAACGTACATAGTAAAGTTGGTATGTACTCTTATACGTACATACATGCAATACGTGGATTTCAAGTTGTCTGTGTGTAATGAAGAGTGACCGGGGGATGTGTTGCTCTGACGAGTACTTTGTACAGAAATTCTCTGTGTGTGTATTTGAAGGGGACAGTTGGGGTCCTATATAAGATACAGTATTGTGAGAAAATGGGGACAAGTATATTGCTCGTTGGCAACTAAAACGGAAACCAAAACATTGCTAAACATTGCGAAGAATATGCTTCATGTTTGTGGTCTGTTACGCAATTTTCTAATAAACCTATTGTCATACATTCGCACAAAAGTAACACCGAGCATTCTAAGTAGCAGTAATATATGTATGACGAGATGCTGATCCCTTTTTCTTTCTTTCTTTCTTGTTAGATACTAGATGTCGATGTATCGGAAGTCGTAGATATAGTCGCCATTCACAAAAATTACTTCCTTTCTAGTAGGTACGCATCCCTTTTTTTTTCTTAAAGAATATTCAGATCCAGCGTTTCTAGTATATATTCATCAAAGTGACGTGAGCAAATCTGTTCTTCTGGTTTCAGCTAGTGATCGTCTATGAGTTCACAGCTGTTACCGAGATTAAAATTTGGTGGAGGTATCAGGGGCACGATATTTTCTATTTTACATATAATAGCTGCCGGATGTTATCATATCACAAATTAGAAACGTGGACTGCATATATATATATCTTATCATGTTTACTTAGATGACTACAGGAAGAGTATTCTAGCTATGACATAATGGATATGGTTGGCTAGTATGTATTTTGTGATAGCCGCAAAGCAAAAAGCATCAGTGCGTTCGGGGTTGCTGGTGATGACAAACAGAGTTATGAGTCCCTCCTCCCATTCCTGCATAAGCACAAAGTATTTCGTCATCAGAAAAAAGCATACTTTATGCAATTATCAGAATGCCGATACATAGTACTATTTCGAACATAGAAAAGTTTTGTGGTAGAAATGTCGTTTTATTGAACGTGTACATTTTATACAGTAGCGTAGCAAGGAGAGAATCACGCAGGATTATAGGGGGCATATGCTAACGCAGTTTCAATCATGAATTTCTGTAGTATGTCTTTGGACTTATATCGACTTGTTGGTATTCTGTCTTTTAAGGATATGACACTTTAAGATTACTTGCACGATAATACCGTACCCGCTCGATAAACCGATGCTTCATAAACAGATCACATGTTTGGTTAGTAGGGAAATATCGGCCACTCACGCAATAAGATCCCCTTTGGTCATCACAAAGCTGATCGGTTTGGCGGGTACTGTTAGTGATGGCGATAAATAGCAGCTAAGATGAGATGGAAGCGTCCTTTTTTTTCTTTCTGATCTCGCCACAGTCATATACAAACCTCTCTCTCCAGCTCAAAATTGACATATGAACAGATTATACCAAGATTGTTCTGAAATTCGACTATATATACTTTTTCCATTAACTCTTGATGCGATCCAATCGCTCACGGCCCAGAAATAGAATATTATAGCTATCTCATAATATCACCGCTACTATTGCTATTGCAATATTCAGCAATGACATACGCCACACACGACGCATTCATAGAAACAGAGACTCAATAGAAACAATAAGGTCTGTCATCGAAAGAAAACGAGCATAGAAATTTGTGTCGCTATCTTTTGGGAACATATGATTCCATGCGATCTAGAATACACCACTTCTCATGTTTTACTTACCGCCATATTAATATTACAACTGGAGATAAAAATATAATGGTTAGAATACTAGACAGCAAGATTCAAATGGAGCTAGACAGATGACGGGCAATTGTGAAAAGCGATACTACAAAATAATGACAATCAGTTATATATAGTGGAAAAAGAAGAGCATAAATGAAAGGCCATCTTACGGTTTGTGGTCGTTAGTGGTAACAGATCTTAATAACTATCGAAGCATTCAGTAATTAAGTGACAGTCAGAAATTAGCATATTATAGTACGATAGAGCAAGACGAGACAATCACGCTTACCAATTGAATTGGGATTACCGGCAGACAGTCAAGCAGTGGTGGTATGGAAGTAGTAAGCAAGGGATACCTTGCACCGAAAGACGCGTAATCTCTATCTATGTTATACAACTCTACGGAAGGAAGAAGCCGAGCATGGGAGTTAGCAACATGATGGGCGCTTCAAGTAGTTTTTAGCAACAAAATCAGCTTTTAAAACAGCAAACTGTTATGAAAGGAAATGGCTTACCAGAGCATATAGATACTTGATACGAACTGAGAGAGGTGCCCACAAGTATCGAACGTAAAAATTCAAGTTAGTTTGACACTGTTTAGAAAAACGTGCATATAAGAGTGAGTCAATGAGGTCATGGACAAAGGCATTGATAGTATATCACTTATAAGCACACACTACATTGAATTGCTCTTCCTTTTGAACAATGGCGGCCGCGAACCAAGAGTAAATACAAGCGGGAAGTAGAATCAGAAAGAAACATAAAAACGGAAAGAAAGAGTGTTTGATCG